CTGGGACCTGGCTCCGGGCTTGCGGTGGTCTGTGTAATTTAGTTTGAGTCAATCGGTATTGGTCATCAATTGAGCTTAACTGAAAGCACGATTTGTCTTTGGTAGCGCATCCGGTCCACCGGGGAGGTTTTCATGACTTTTTTGTGGTCCAACAATATTGCTTCTTCCTACCTGATGGAGCTTGTATTGTTCCAAGGTCCCCTTGGCCCCCAAAGATTACAAGCTTTGGCGCATAAAGCTCCACCACGCATCTGAGTCATCTCTGTTGACTCCTGAATGACTGCTACATTCTGTGCATTTTGTGCATTCATTGCATCTTGTGGAGATCGAGTTGGCCCTGCGAATAGTCGGCATCTCTGTCACGAATCTCGAGCTTCAACCCTTCCCCGGTGAGGACTTTCGGCGTATTCTAGGTCTAAACGGCTCATAGGCTTACATCCAATGCAAACTTACTATCTAGCACTAGCAAGAGTAGGAAGGAAGGAACCGACGATCATCTGCACCGGTCATCGCAAGTCCCTGACTGTGGATAACGGGGTTTGCGGTCGAAAGTAATGGAAGCTATATGGTCCACAGATCAAGCCGATGGTTGGTAATCGCAGGGGAACAGTAGAGGCAATCGGAAATAGCACACGTTATGACCGGACTTGTGTATCTAAATATGAAATTAAAGAACTCTGACCACCCTGGAGGTTCGGGAAGAACCGATACCGATGCCCGGGGCTTATGCACGGCCCCCGTACTATGCAACGTCCTCCATCTTACGTTCCAAGGTCGTCGTCTGACCTACGGTTTCTGTATGCAGCCACCTCCCAGACCTCAGACTATTCAGACACTAAAAAGCCAGTTTCTGTAGAAATCCTCACTCAATGGAACACACCATAAGGGTATACTCGTACATATGCATTTGGGCAGATACGCGTCCTTGAGAATTATCCAGCGGGGTATCTCCGGCCTCGGGGGCCTAAACCCGCTCGTGGACCCGATGTTGAATTAGTCAAGTGAATATACGCCTCTTTGGGGGTCTTCCCGTCCAATTAGAAGTTTGCAGGGTAACTTGAAACTTCAAGCAGCCCGGACCTGGATGAGTCAGGTGAATATACGCCTATTCCAGCCAATCAGACCAGTGCCGCATAGCCGATGGCAGCTTGGCATAACTGTTCATAAGTCACGTGCCACACGTGGCTGCAAACGGCACAACCTTGCATATCTATACTCCAGATACGACCAGTATCGAATGAATGATCGGACATGGTTTAGGCTCTTAGACACATTCGGCGAAGTAGATACAGTTCAAGGACAAGTAAAAAGCGAGAATTCCATAGTTGAAGGGTCCAGAAATAACCTCGTTGGGGCCCAGAACGGAGATATGGCTAGATCCACTTATTTCCATGTCCACTTCCCATTTCCCACTTTATTCCCACTTTATCTGCATAGTGGCTTTCATAACTAAGAGCTATGCGGTTTAAAAAAAATTCTCGAAAGCGCCACAGGATGGTTTCCCATTATAATAAGGAGGCCCTGCAACCTTGCTCCCATTTACTCTATACTTATCTTCACCTTCACATTTGATCTAAAGCTTATTTGCTTTCCCCTCTCAATCCCCCGCAAGCGGAGCTGCAGGGCACTGAGCACCTCTAATTATATCGACTCCCGACCCTAATTGTCTCCATATTCCAACCCACCTGCCCGTCATGGCAGACATGAAGCCCCAGATCTCAGAGAAGATCGAGCTATCTGCCCCCACGAAAATTACATACTGGCGCATGGTCTTTGATCAAGGTGTCGTCACACAACAAATTATTGACCACCCATACCCCGGCTCAGGGACGGACGAGGACCCATTCGCCGTGACATGGATCGCCGATGACCCTCGCAACCCTATGAACTTCAGCGAAGTGAAGAAATGGACCTACACAATGGTGGTGGCTATCGCCACACTGGCTGTTTCCTTGGTATCATCGGCCTACACCGGTGGTATTCAAGAAATCATGCGGGATTTCAACATTGGTCAGGAACTGGCTACTCTCGGTGTTTCGCTTTTCGTCCTAGGTTTCGCGGTAGGTTTCTGATTATTGCGCATTGCGCGATGGCTTCTTGTGCGTACGCAAATGCTAATTTTTGGGTATAGATCGGACCGTTACTTTGGGCTCCACTGAGTGAGCTTTTCGGTCGCCAAATTCTATTCGTTGTTACCTACGCCGCTCTCACGGCTTTCAACGCCGGTGTCGCAGGCTCCAAGAATGCCTGGACCCTCATCATTCTCCGATTCTTCGCCGGTTCCTTTGGATCTTCGCCTCTGACCAATGCCGGTGGTGTCATCGCCGATATGTTCCCCGCCAAGCAGCGCGGTGTCGCTATGAGTTTGTTCGCCGCTGCGCCTTTCCTGGGCCCTGTCATTGGTCCAATCGCCGGTGGATTCATTGGTATGAGCAACGGTGGCTGGCAATGGGTTATGGGCTTCCTCGCGGCTTTCTCTGGTGCTGTCTGGATCATTGGCTCTCTGGTGATTCCCGAGACCTATGCCCCTGTGCTTCTCCGTCGCCGTGCTGAGAAGCTTTCCAAGCTGACGGGCAAGGTCTACCGGAGCAAGATCGAAATCGACCAAGGCAAGATTTCTCTCAAGAACTCGTTCAAGGTCTCGCTTTCCCGCCCTTGGGTCCTTTTGTTCCGTGAGCCTATTGTCTTCCTGCTGTCCCTTTACATGGCTATCGTTTACGGTACCTTGTACATGATGTTCGCTGCTTTCCCTATCGTCTACCAGCAGTCCCGTGGCTGGAACCAGGGTGTCAGCGGTCTTGCCTTCCTGGGAATCATGATTGGTATGCTGATTGCCGTCGGATACTCCCTCTGGGACAACAAGCGCTATGTCAAAACCTCCGAAGCACATGACGGCTTTGCTCCCCCCGAGGCCCGTCTCCCACCGTGTCTCATTGCATCTGTTGCTATCCCAATTGGACTTTTCTGGTTCGCTTGGACCAACTACACTTCTATCCACTTCATGGTCAGCATCGCAGCCGGTGTCCCTTTCGGATTCGGAATGGTTCTGGTATTCCTCAGCATCATGAACTACCTTATCGACGCCTACACCATCTTCGCCGCTTCCGTTCTGGCTGCCAACTCCGTCATCCGATCCCTCTTCGGTGCCGCCTTCCCTCTCTTCACCACCTACATGTACAAGAATCTCGGTATCCACTGGGCATCCAGCATCCCCGCCTTCCTTGCTCTCGCCTGTGTGCCTTTCCCCTTCCTCTTCTACAAGTATGGCCCTGCTATCCGCACACGCTGCAAGTTCGCCGCGCAGTCCGATGCCTTCATGCGCAAGATCCAAGAACAGGCCACCACCGCACCCGTCGATGACGAGAAAGTCGAGTACGATCGCACTGAAGCTGCCAAGCCCGACGGCTCTTTGTCCAGCGAGTCTGAAGACGAAGTCAATGTGCTTCCGTCCACAGAGCGCATTCGCAGCCGTGCCCAATCTGTCGCATCTAACCGCACAGCTGGCTCGTTGCACCGCACTGTCACCTACGAAGGAAACCCCTATGACATTGACCGTGTCAATACTCGGGAATCCTTCAAGCAGTAAGCTGCTGTGCAGCTTATTGTCCACCATTCCCTTTTGGGTTTACCGTTATGCATGACGTTGCTCTAATCATAGTTTATATTCACCTTGCCCCTACACCCCCAAAAATAACCTGTCTACCTGCATGTTCATATCTTGATTTGATACCCGACTTGGTCTCCCATGTGTCGCTGCGGCCACGCATTGTCGATTCCTGAAATAATGTTTTATATGATGCATCACTGCGCATAACTGGAGTTTGGGTCTGTTTCTAGCTTCAAAAATACCATTCTTGATTTTTTATAATATCCCGCCTCTGGCAACCTCGGGATTCAGCACGATACCTAGTAGTTTCTAAAGTTGGCTTTAATCTCGGTAATTGCCCAGGTGATCTATAGATGTCTTATTATTACAGGTTTCAAGATTTTCATGCCATCATACTACCCAGGTGGATATATATGTTGAATATTCATAAAGATTCCTAGACTCCTGACTTGTTAGGCTTTTTGTCTAGTCGGGAAATTCAACAATATATACAGCCAAAATTCCCCCCAGGCTCAACATTGCGTTTTCATTAGCCCCAGAGGTACATATTCTCTATATTACCTGTAGTGCTCACATCAAATATGAGATTTATTATACACATCAAGTAGATTGATGCCCATTGTCAGCCAGATCAGTGTCCATACTCCTATATCAATGGCCCAGGAAACTTTCCAGGTGGGCCCACACGTGATTAGCAAGGAGAAAAAAATGATTTTTTTCTTCGCAACTGTGGATTGTATGTGACTTTGTCACCATTCAATCATTAATATTTTTTTAATTTTGGTCCATGTTTTACGCCTAATTTCGACCCTATTTTGTGTGTGGGAATCAGATCGACACTCGGTTTGGCTGCAGCAAAGAATTGTGAGGTGACTGGAGAGGAAATGCAGGACCAGTACATAATTCTTTAAACAGGGGCAAAATTCTGCCAAAAGCTCGTATAGATCAATTGGCAGATCGTCGCTCTTATATTAGTATCCCGAAAGGGAACTCGTATGGCGAAGGTTGAGGGTTCGACCCCCCCTATGAGCATTTTTTTTTTCTGATTTTCATATTTTGAAAATCACCATATTAATCATCCAAAAATGGCCTGCACGGAATCATGCCAGCGATACAAATTACTATTCTCTGATTCTAACGTTAACATCGCTTTGAGTTATCATAATCACCCACAAATTTCCATCTCCATACTCCGTAGACCGCCCCTTGGCTATACGCCCTGGAGATCGGTGCCACCGCACCGATGCAAGCGCCAATCGGGTCCAGCATCCGGCATTGTTTTCTCCCGACTTTCGGCTGACTCTTATCGCGCAATAGCGCCGATTAAAAATCACATTCTGGGTTTCATTCTTTGACTGTCACTTCTCTGTGAAAACTTGTGTGGGCTTTGGATATGCGCTTCCTCCACATTGGGCCCATCTCCAGGGCCCCGACCCAGACTCCCCGCCCGATAAACCCCAGATCTTTGCTCCGACGGCCGCAACCCCGACACAACTCCCACTCCGCCGGGAATGGACCCAAGAACAAGAGACAAGTCGAGCAGCCTCCTTCAAAGAATGCGGAAACACCCGCACAACCGCCTGCTGGCGCACTCGTACGATCTCGCGGACTTCGCAATGTCATAATGGCTGGACCGGTTGGGAAGTTTGGGCGGTGGTATGCGCGCGCCCAAGAGCGCAAGCCGTATGCGACTCAACTGTGGAGCTCGATTATCATTTACTTGTGTGGTGATCTGAGTGCACAGTTAATGTTCCCTGCCGAGGTACCGGTGTCTGGGAAGGAGGGCGCGGAGGAGATTGAGGGAGAGCAAGAGACCGTCACAGCTGGATATGATCCGTATCGAACTTTACGGCATCTCTGTGTGGGTGTTGGGTCCAGTATCCCATCATATAAATGGTGAGTTTGAAACCAAGTGGTTGACATGATCTGTTATTGTTGGACCGGAACATACTAACGTGCCTCGGTAGGTTTGCATTCCTCAGCAACAACTTCAACTATTCTAGCAAGATTCTCTCGATCTTGACCAAGGTCGTTGTGCAACAGACGTTCTTCACTCCCGTTTTCAACACATATTTCTTCAGTGTGCATTCGCTCCTTGCAGGCGCAACACTGGACGAAACGTGGGAGCGATTGAAGAAGGCTTTGCCCGTCAGCATCCAAAACAGCGTGAAGCTCTGGCCTGCTGTCACTGCCTTTAGCTTCATGTATGTTCCGGCGCAGTTCCGCAACGTGTTCTCAGGTTGTATTGCTGTTGGCTGGCAGACGTATCTCAGTTGGCTGAACCAGAAAGCGGCCAAGGAGGTATTGGCTGCAGAGCAGCTAGCTGCCGCAGAGGAGAGGAACCAAGGGGCACTGCATACTGTTTCCAGTGGGAAATTGGTTACTGCAGCGGCATGATTACCAAAAGCAAGTGACTGGGATTTGTATAGATGGATAGACTTTGGGTGACATCTCGGCGTTGATACCTGACCCCTATGGGGGTGATGCATATGATACCAAGAGCAAATCAGCTCTAGACGTAGACTTTTTTCTTCTTCTGTGATTAAGTATAGAACATTTGAAACATATTGAACAAGTGTGTTGTGTTGACCAGTAAGAGGATCCGAATTCAGAATGACGAACCCGCGTCCTGCCAATGACGCATCCGCTGATCGCAGAACTCCCCAAGACATGGTCTCGAATCGCAGGCATGTCCTGCCTAGAGTCAGACGATTCCACTGACTACGGGTCAGATTTTACACCCGATGAAGAGCAGCTGCTAAACGAGCTGCTCAACAAAGCTGCGGGACCTGCGACCGGCCAGCCCGCCACCGCGCCAACACCATTCTTGCCTTCAACCCCGGTCTCCGTCGAGCGGATCACCACCCCAAAATCACCGGAACTCCTCGAACTAGAGTCTCTGCAACCAGCAGCTCTAGCGGCACTTGTCGCAGATATCGAGGATGGCGTTGAAGAGCCTTCCGCCCGCCTGCCTAAGGTACTGGGCCGTGAAAGGCCTCGTGCACCGTGGCGGTCGCGGCAGTCTCAGCCAGGCCAGGGGTCTCGATGGAGCCCGAGTGCCATGGAGAGGTCAAGCCCGCGCGCTGGCAACAGTAACAGGCCCCTATCGTCTGGTATGCTTATTTGAACCTCCCGCGTCCTACCTGTGACGTTGTTTCTCGTCGCTTTGCTATTTCGCCCGACCCACCGAGTCTCCAGCTTAACTAACATCTTACTTCGAAGCGTTTAGTCGAACATCCTAACTCAACCGAGGGCAGAGAGATAGAACGCGAACGCCAAAATATCCGAACGCAAGCATGGACACAGCAAGATCCCGCTGTGGCGGCGCAAGACACTCGGCCTCCCGTCGAACGGTATCGCCAGGCGCCCAACAAGGCTTTCTCGGTGACTGACCTGGTCTCACCCGCTTGGTGCGAGCTACAATATTGGTATACGTTAACCAAGCATGGGCGGAAGAAGCGGACAGCTGCGATGAAGAAGGGAAGCTCCATGCACAAGACCCTCGAGGATGAAATTTACACCACAGTGCCTGTGGAGATCACGACAAAAGAGGATGCATGGGGCTTAAGGATATGGAATGTCATCCAAGGGCTGCGCATGCTGCGCGAGTACGGCGTCACGCGCGAAATGGAGGTTTGGGGAATGGTGGATGGGCAAATTGTCAATGGCATCATTGATCAATTGTCATATGAATGTCCTGACTCCGAGCTTGAGGCCACCGCTGAAGAGTACTATGCAAATGCTGTAGCATCGCGCGTCGCTCTGCCTGAGTATCAGATGTCTTTATCTGACTATCTGCTTTCCTCTTCTGGAGGTGGGATGAAGCTGTCAGATTGGGGCCAGGGCTACACTGAAGTTGAAGAGACAGGCCCCACTGAAAAGAAAGTCCCCGACGCTGTCTATAACCTACCCCGGATATACCTGACGGACGTGAAGACAAAAGCCAGCCGTTCATTGCCGACTGTGAAGAGCTCCGGGTTCCGACCCACTCATCTTCAACTGCAACTCTATTATCACATGCTGAACCGCCTCATTACAAGCGACGATGTAAATATCGACGTGCTTGCCGCTCGCTACGACTTCGATGCGGAAAAACCATTCACTGATGCCTTCGTTTCAGAAGTCGGTGGGTTGAACGACCAATTCTTTGATGCTCTCTCCTCTCAGGAGTCCGAAACAGTTGAGAATCAAAACGACGATAGTCAAGACTCGACTGGCCTCTTACTATCACATAACAATCTCTCCCAACTTTGGGGTCTCATGATACACCAGCTTCGCCTCACGTTCCTCCCACCCGCGGAGACACGAGATATTTCCTCTTCCATTCCATCACAGACCCAACCAGAGCTCCTCGAGGAATATCCAACTCTTATTTCCCCGGTACTTACAGCCCGGTACCTTTCCTCAGCTGCCAACGAAGACCTAGAAAGGCAGTACTTGGGGAGCAGGTGTTTCCTTTTCGATCCTACAACCCTGACTTCCTACCTGTCTGACCAGATGGAATGGTGGCGCGGCGAGCGAGATCCTCGCGGCGTGGATATAATGGATGCATGGAAATGCCGGATTTGTGAATTTCGCGACGAATGTACCTGGCGTCAGGAGCGCGAGATGGCTTATGCCAGACGAGGGCGCGCCGGGTCGGCGGAAATATAATTTGGCACTCAGGCCGATATCTGGTCTTCGCCCTGTTGTTTTGCGTATACTAGAAGCGTTTAGCGACGCAAGCATGATCTGCCTTGATTCCTGACTGCGAACTGTAATGGTCAGTGTATCATATGTAATATTGATATTGTACTTTTAGAAATATACGAATCTCTGTCTAACTCTGGTGTCTCTTACAGATAGAATCCATGAATATTCGAAATGGTGTGTGATTTGGCAAACGCTAGAGCATATATGCGTGAGAGATCATGGCTTCCATGGCTGAGAAGCAACCCTCAGAAAGGATAACTCCGAACTTCATCTTCCTTCTCAATCTCCAGACCACCCTCAATCTGCTCTCGATGCTTCGAATCCAAATACTCCAACAAGACTTCCTGGTACTTCTCCTTCCCCTTGTATCGACTAACATCATCTCCCCAGCTCCGGATCGCACTAGCCAATCTCCCAGGAACATATGGCTCCTTCACCACCTCAGTGATAGGCTCGAAATAGGTCCGAATGGTGAAAATCACCGCACCAGACTTTGGCAATCTTCTCAATGACTGCCTCTCAGAACGGAAGAAATGGTTCTCAATAGCCCGATTCTTCTCCGCCGTTCCCCACGAAACCTCATCAGCATCCTCAGGCCCAATACTATGCGACCAGGGCAGATTATCATCAACCTGAATGAAATAATTATTCCGCAGAACCGGATCCTCAGGACGCAACCGACGGAAGAAATTCATCATTCCTTTCTCGAGCTTGCTTTTGTATTGCGGGACATCGCCCGAGGTATGGATTTCCGAAAGTCGCATGCCGAATTTATCAGTGAGGCGCCAGAACCCGGCGAGGAGAACTGCACCGCCTAGGAGGTAATATTCGCCGTCTGGACGCTCGATCATGATGGCTAGGTCGTCTTGGACGAGACGGGCGGCTATCGCCATTGGGTCTTCGGGGAGGGGACGCTGGGTTATATCAAAGGTTTCTTTGGTTACCTTGTTGGATATGCCGGTTGGGGTCTTTTCGAACATGCTTGGATATCTTTCCGGAAGGTATGTGCATCTGAGGGTGTTAGATTGGATTGGATGATAGGACCTCGGGATCGATCGGTGCTTACAGCTCGTTTAGAAGTTCGAGTGCGCCGTCCATTGCTTCTGGTGATGTGTGACAGCATTTGCTGCCGCGTTCTTCGATACGACGTGCTTTGTCGGCATGGTACTTAAGGTAGTGGTTATCGAGCTCTGCGTTGGGGTATTTGGTCAGTTACCATCGCCAGGGAGTTGGAATTGAAATTGATCTCACCAATCCATTCATCCCAGTTCATACTCCTCAGTCCTAGTGTGACGAAATATTTTCTGTCGTCAATGGTCAAATGATGTTCCTCATCGGGATCGAGGCATTGTACGACTTACGGTCCATATCGGAAAGGTCTATACGGGAGGGGCTTGGTTGAATGGACATTCCAATCTGTATATGGAGCCGCTGTTGGTCGTTGGAAGCTGGAAGGTGTCCATTCTATACATAAGATTGGATTAGTGATATTGCGTGGACCGACCTGCTTCGGGGTACATACCACCAGGTGGCCTAGTGACTTTGCCTCTCAAGCCGACAGCAGGCTTTTCTAGGTCAGGGCTTGAGGGCCTAGCAGTCGCACCAGAAGCCCATCTTTTGGATACGAAGATGACAAGACAAGCACATAGATTAAGGATGAAAAAGACCCCAATGAGATCTTTTGGGATAGCTGATAGGATATCGAGAGATTCGAAGGCCAGCATGATGATATAGTGGAATCAAAGTATAATAGAAGATAGCGAGGCCTGTTCCACTTCAGAATGCATGTTTCGACGACTCAGAATCAAAGACAGTATTGCTCTACTTATCTAGTACTCCGTGGACATTCAAATGGAGTGGAGAGAGCCAGATGGCCCTTATCATAAACCCAAGACCGATAGGAGAGATCTCCTGCGAGCTGCCGTTCCTGTTAATATGATGCGAGGAACTACGTTATCTCTGAATGGCAGCCAATATGATGTCCCGTCAAGGCTAGGCGCTGACTTCATTTCGCGGGGGAAGAGGACAAGGGGGTTTTCTCCGCATCTGCTTCAAGCCGTTGGATCCGAGGCTGCATACGAGGAACAAGCTCGAGCCAGGCAGTTGAACCGGTGACTTTGCCTGGGAGACATATCAAGGCTTTATCTGCAGATCACGGCTTGCCATTCGCTGGAGTTGGGGATATTTTGTCCACTTTGGGAATAGTGACATTACCTCCAGCACGGGGGTTAACTCTGAATACTTCAGTCTTTCTACATTTAACATAGATGTCCAGATGTTGAGTCTGGGTTTATACATTGTTTGTCGCACCAGTTCGCTGGAGAAGACAATACTTGCCCCACTTGCGCCGGAAGCGATCTGGAATCACCGGGAAATCAGGAATCCAGATCAATCGACCCAAGAGCCCAGTTTGAGATGCATCGAGGAAACTTGCACATTTCACTGTGTTCCAGTTTGCCGTATCCAGGGCATAATGAGGTTCAAGCTCGGTCGCATCGTGACCGGGGAAGTGAGAGTCGACCAGGAAAGAACACTGGGAGATATCGACCTGTTGCCAAGTTAGAGAACACAAAAAGAACGAAACGGAGATGCACAGTACTTACGTATTTACTGGGATCCTCAATGTTGAGATCGTTCATGCCCGATGGCAGCTGCGAAGCTCCACCTAGGCGCTCAAGGTAGCTGGGTGCATCTGGGAATTCACCTGGGAGCAGTCCTCGGAACTCGCTTCGAATGAACCTGGCGCGCATGTCGTGGGGAAGGAAGTATGACGAAGGGAAGCGATACCATTCCTTACCAAAGCATACAGTGTCTCCGCTTTGCGCAACTTCCACATCCTGTAGCGGCTCATAAATTTTCAATGGAGCGTTGTATGCAGTGACCATACCAAGAGTGCGCAGCAGTCCAGCGTTAAAAGCAATGGCAACAACCGACAAAGCTGCAGCGATCTTGAGTTTGGTTGGGACACGACCGATAAGCTCCTTCCGGTCAGCGGAGCCAAGATACGTCAGGATGATATGGAAAGAAAGAGCAGCACTCAGCGCCAAAAACGGGTATGCTGGGTACATGAAGCGCTCTTCCTTGTGGGGCTGGAGCGAGAAGATTGCAAACCACATATAGAATGGAGCAACCAAGGACATTGATCGCAGCGAAGTTTGCAGCGAGGTGGTGTGGGATCGGAAAACGAGTTGGAACACCAGGAGAGGCGCAGATAGCATGGCGAGCGCGAACCAAATATTGAAGTTGAGCAGGAGGTTTCGAACATAGAAAGTCCACGGCTCCGTGCCAAAAATACCTGGTCCTTTACCTTCTCCACCCAGGATGTTATACGCAACGATGTTCCAGGGCACGAGGGCAAACTTTCGGAAGAAAGCATAGTCAACAGCGACCTCAACTGCCTCAACTGATATTAGAACAGGTCTCAGGGTTGGAAAAAAAAACTTCACATACCAGAATTCCCAAACAGCCAACAACTCCGTCGGCAATAGTCCAGAAAAGATTGACCATGGACCCGGAGATGAAGGTGAGAATGACTTCTTCGGCCAGAAGAGGGACAATAAGAGCACCTGCGAAAGGCCATCCCACGATTGTACCAAGACCAAACCATATAATGCCATTAGCTGCCCTCTGGGCATTCTTCCAGTCCAGGAATGCAGCCAAGCCAAGCATTGACATGTACATGGTGAATGTGGATGGTAGAAAGGCGGTTGAGGCGTGGAACATACCCGGGCTGAACGTGACAACCATCACAAACAACAGACCGATGCGAGGGCTGAGAGTGCGGCAAATCGCAGAGTATAGCCGAGTCTGACAAGCAGAGCAGACAAAAGCAAGAGCCAGTCGGATTGTGTAGAATTCAGCTGTCTTGCTGTGGACGATCATTGACCCCAATTTCCCTACAATAGCATGCAGCGACACATAGAGCCAGCTGCGGATGGAGTAGACTGGGGAGTATTCCCACGTTTGAAGACCATATCCATGCTGCAAGTAGTGCGCAGGCTCCCAGAAGTTGAAAACTTCATCGCAGTCTTGAATTGGGGCGAAGATTGCGGCCAGACAATTGGCTGCTAGGAAGATATAGAGCGCGATATTGAGGGGAATGTAAAAAGGAGGTGGAGGAGGCCTATATCAATCACGTCAGCTTGAGATTCAAATTCGAAGAGCATTGGGGCCGCACTGCTTCTTTGTTTTAGGGGCATGGCTATCCCCCGAATCCTTATTGTTCCCTGCCATAATGCAAGTTGGCGAGTTGAAGTGGATATGGGAGCTGCGATAACTGATAAGATCTCTCACACCGCCATGAGATGCGGGCAGAATAAAAAAAAAGTTTCCCGCCGAATCTTACTGCTAAACTTCGAGATCTGCTCATTTAAATTTGGGTTTTTCGTGCTTTCAACCCACAGTCCACTATGAGTGACCACCAGAATCCCCCACGTGAGGCTTTGGGCACCGTTGAAGGCCCCGACGCAAAGAACCAAAGCCTGATCGACACTCCGCTTGTCGCAGCAACCCCAGACAACGGCAGCGATTTCTACAATACCCCTCTGACTGGAGGAACACCTATACCTAGTGTAAACGGTATGGTTGCGGAGGCAGCTGGCGCTGAATCTGTGGCTCAGCCCCAAGCTCCAATCCCTGGGCTGAACCTCATCGATCACCCCGCCCAACAAGACACCAACATGGAGCCCGAGCCCATAATCGAGAAAAAGGATGATCAAAATACGTCCCAGCACCAAGGTTCCGATGTGGTGAAGAATGAAGAATCGCAGACGAACGAAATCAAGACTGAGCCAAGCGAACCTCTCGATGCGCCGATGCATGGAGAATCACAGACAACCCAGGTCAAGCGTGAGACAAACGAACGTCTTAATGATGTGATGGAAATTGTCGACACTCATGACGGCAACATGATTGAAGCTGGTGGAAGTGATGTGAAAGAGGAAGAGGAAGAACACCCAGAGTGGGAAGTCGATTCATCTCCGTATGAATCATCCTCAGACAGCTCTGACTCCTCGGACTCGAGTGACAGTGACGATGAAGACTATCCCATCCTGAGTGCCGAGGAGCAAGCTCGCATCCTCATGCAAGCAGAGGCTGGCTCTGACGATGAGGGCGACAACAAGGGAAAGGCAGGCGCGAACCTCCGTACGGCCAACGAGATTGAACAAGAGGTCCTGCCGCTCCCGGATGTCGAAATCACACCCGAGATGAAGATCGTGTTCTTGGGTAAAATCCACGCCGCCATTGATAACAACGTTCTTATTGAGGCCAACACATCTGGAGAATACCAGGTTCTTGAGTCTGGCTCTTTGCTCTGCTCTGCCGATCGCAAGGTCATTGGTGTAGTCGCCGAGACCTTGGGTAGAGTGGAGAACCCACTGTACACCATGACCTATGCAACTGCATCCGAGGTACAAGAGAGAGGCCTTGTCAAGGGAATGGATATTTTCTATGTCGAGGGACACTCTACGTTTGTTTTCACACAGCCCCTCAAGGGCATGAAGGGAAGTGATGCGTCCAATTTCCACGACGAGGAAGTGGCTGCCGAAGAGATGGAATTCTCAGACGACGAAGAAGAGGCTGAGTATAAGCGCAAGTTGAAGCAGAAGCGCCAAGAGCGCAAGGAGGCCCGGGATGGACCCAAAGGCAAGAAGGCCGCACCAGGACCCTCGAAATTGAGCCAGACTGAGCTCAACTACGACGATGCAGCGGGCGAGGAAGGTTACACTCCCCTCGAACGCCCTACAAATCTCCATGAGATGATGGGTGCTCGCGAGGCACCGGTTGAAGGAAATGAACGTGGCGGTCACCGTGGCAGAGGTCGTGGCCGAGGTGATCGTGGCCGTGGTGGGCGAGGCCGTGGTGGAGCTGGCAGAGGTGGAAGAGAATGGGATCATGACCGTCGTCCTCAACAAAGTCATGAACCCCAGCACCAGCACCAGCAACACCAACCGCAGCCACAGGCCCATGCTCAGCCCCAAGCGCAGCCCGCTCCTTATGGACAGCCCATGTATGGCATGCCTCAGCCTTTCGCCGCTTACGCCCAATACGCACAGCAGCAGCAAGCCCAGAACCCGCAGTTCGCTCAACAGCAGCCACAATTCGGCCAAGGTGGACCGCAGCCACAGTACCCCTTCCAGTTCCCCTTCCAACAGCCTCAGATGCAGCCAGGTTTCCAGAATATGCCCCAGGGTGCCCCTCATATCAACCCTCTTTTCCTGGCTGCTCTGCAACAACAGCAGCAGTTCCAGCAGCAGCAACAGCCCCAGCAATCGCAACAGTACCAACAGTACCAACAGCAGTACCAGCAACCCCAACAACCCCAGCACCCTCAGCAACCTCAACAGCAACAAGCTCCTCAAGGCCAGGCCCCCCCGATGAACTTTGATCAGGTCAAGGCTCAATTGGATTTGCTGCGAACTTTGAGCCAGAACCAAGGAAACCAGGGACCTCCCCCTTCCTAAGCCCAAAATTATTTATCTTCTTGATCTTGTGAAAACTTGGCATCGGAATATTTGCATATGGAACGGAGTTCGCAAAGGGTCGGATTTTTGCTTTATCTAAAAGTGTTTACACATACTCCATCCATACTTAGTTTGCTTTTGTTCAGTTCAGCTTCGAACCGGCGGAAATTATAGCATAGGAGAATCTTTTGAAATTTCAATTGTAAAAATGACAATGGCTATGAAGAGAAAAATTCGCTTTCCGTAGAGTAGTTACAAAAAAAAAGCCAGGACGTTCAAAGTGGCCATGGGCAAGATTTTGGATTAGAATTCAGCTGGCTTAGCGCTCTTCGCGAGAGTCCAGAAGTTCTCCATCTTGGCCCTGGACAAAGCATCTTTGGCCGCTGAGTCTGTTTCACAGACACGGGCACCAAACCACCTCTTGAACGATCGACCCTTGGCTTGGCCTTCCCAGATGAGATTGCATGTATTCTGGCTGAAGTCACGAGGTTCTCCTTTTTCATCTTGCGTGGATAGCCATGCCACTTGGGCTTCAGGGCTATCAGCAGAAGCTCGATCCGAACCAGGGTTTTCGGTCCAATCAATGCGGTTCACCATCAGCTTTCGGTAGTTGTTAATGGAGTGCTTGCCCCCCTCAACAACCACAAGATTCAGCTTGGGATGCATGACACAAATTCCCGTCAAATTATTCTGCTCCGCGTTCTTGCCAATCTTGAAGCGGTTCCGGCCGCTTGCCAAGCTGTCAATGCGGTACACAGATTGGAAGATGCCCAGAGAAGCATCTTTCTCCTTCTGAGCTGCCAGCTTCTCATGTCGTTGCTCCTTTGTCAACTTGCGCTCTTCATTTGCATGCTCGTGCGCCTCCTTCCGATCTGCAATCTCCCTGGTGACACGTGCTTCCACGGCCGTAGGATCCTTAACAGCTTGTTCTCCGAGAACCCGCATAAGATTAGACTTCTTGACTTTGGGGGCAGGTGCTTCCACAAGACCAAGTCGGATCTTGGCCTGCTCCTCCTTGAGGTCTGCTGCGCGTCGCTGCCGGCGAATCTTGGCCTGTTCCTTAGGAGTCAGGTACATAGCCTTTTGGGCAGGCACATGCTTTTCCTGTGGAGGTTCTAGCTGGATAGGATGCTGGATATAGTTGGTGATGATAGTGTCGGGGGTATCAATTTTGATATTTTGTTGGTTCTCAATTGCAGAATAGTCGCCGCCAGTAACAAGACCCTCATCCCACCATTCTATGGCTGGGGGAGCAGGAACCAGGAATGCCTTCTCGACGTCCATTTCCTCGTCGAGACCGGCCTGTCGTGCTTTCTCGGCAATTCTCTTTTTCATGGCTTCCAACTGTGCCTGTCTGCGCAGAGCCGCAGCCTGTTGAATGTATTTTCCTTTCTGGTTGAAGAGAAGCTGGCGAGACTGTCGTGGCTTGGCCACTGTTGCTTTAGGGTTGAGACTTGGGTCAAAGTACGGGTTGTTCTTGATCTCCTCCACAGACGGGCCAGACAGATCAAGCTGGGGCCCGCCCGCACGTTTGGGCTTGGCCTGCTTTCCCTTTCCGCTACGGAAGTCCGAGGTGGCATCCGAGAGAAGTGCAGGGTGAAGACCAACATCGAGACCACCACGTGCTTTACTCATGCCCTCATCGTCGCGCGTCGGAGGTTGGTAGGATGGTGCCGGCGCAGCTGGTCGGGGTTGGGAAGGCGCACTGGCTCGTTGAGTAGCTGCAGCAACTCTAGCCTTCATCTGTTCGAGTTTTGACATAGCGGGTGAGGGTGCTGGCGGAGCAGGACTTGCAGAACCAGTCGCGGGTGGTGTCGGTGATGCTGTCGCACCACCACGCGCGGCTTGTAAACGAGCGCGCACAGCATCTGCCTTAGCCCTGGCCTCGGCCACCATTTTGGCAATATCTGGTTTGCCCGGGGCAGCACCTCCCTGACCTGGCGCTGGAGACCCATTGTTGGAGCGGGTCCGCTTTTGGGAGTTGTTGTCGTGATCCTCCGGGTGAGGGCGCTTCAGCGCATTTCCTGACGTGTCAGCCATGATTCCGATGGCGTCCAACGAACACTCTGATCCTCGACAAGTTGAGATCCCAAGAAGTTGGGCAAGGGAGCATTGACCAGAACGTGGAGTGACGGCAATCGCAGAAACCCAATTGTAAGGCGGTAAAGCGGAGCAGAAAAAGTTGCTCCTCCGGAAAAAAAAGTTCGCTCCAGAACTAAAGCACTTGGAGATTGATCCGAGCACTTTGATTTCGTGCGCCTGCGTTTTCTGTTGCTCAAGGAGCTACAGGCCACAATGGCAACCTTCGCGCGCCCGGTCGCCTCGACCATCAATGGGGTCGACTTTAATGTCTACTCCGAAGAGGAGATTAAAGCTCTCTCAGTGAAACGCATTCACAATACTCCGACTTTGGATTCTTTCAACAACCCTGTCCCTGGTGGTCTGCAAGACCCTGCTATGGGTGCATGGGGAGACCATGTGTATGTGTCGCTTGGGCTGTTCGTGTTGCTCAGTCACTGATGCCAGAGATTTCCTTATAGATGCACTACCTGTCGCCAGAACTCTTTCACCTGTACCGGACACCCAGGTCACATTGAGCTTCCAGTACCCTTCTATAATGTTACTTTCTTCGACCACATCTTCCGCCTTCTCCGAGCACAATGTGTGTACTGTCTTCGTCTCCAGATGGGTCGCAACCAGGTCAACATGTATACCTGCAAGCTGCGCCTCTTGCAATATGGATTGACCGACGAAGTCGCCATTGTCGACACCATGGGATCCACCAAAGGTGGCAAATCAAAGGCAGCAAAGGGCAAGGAGCAGGACTCAGATGATGACGATGAACCCGATGACGAGGATTACATGAAAAAGCGCACTGAGTACGTCTCTAGACGTATCAGAGAGGCCAAGAAGTCGGGTCAACTGGAAGGCTTGATGGCGGGTGGACAGAACCCCATCGCCGCAGAGGCCCGACGAGAGTTGATCAAGACGTTCCTGAAGGATATCAATTCCTACAAGAAATGCGTCAACTGCAGCGGGTACGTCATTATAAGAGCTATTCTCAATTCGCGCTTCATAACTAACACCGCTATAGCATGTCTCCCTCGTATAAGAAAGATCGCTACAACAAGATTTTCCGCAAGCAACTGGTTGAGAAGTCGAAGTTGGCAATGGCACATGGTGGATTCCAGGCGAAGAACACGATGGTTCTACTTGACGAGGAACGCAGATTCCAGTCCAAGAAGGGCGACGTTGAGGCTTTGCATGGTGCGGAGGAAGAGATTCGCCTCGGAGCGGCTGTTATGCAGCAAGCAGAGGCAACGGCCGGACAGGAGTTTATGTCTTCTTCCGAAGTATATGCGTCACTTCACTTCCTCTTCCAGAAAGACAGTGAGATTTTGCAGCTTGTGTACAACTCTCGGCCCGTGCCTAAGGGCGCAATTGTTGTGACCGAAGACATGTTCTTCATCAAGAGCCTGATGGTACCTCCGAATAAGTACCGCCCAGCAGTGCAGCAGGGTGCTGGAACAGTCATGGAGGCACAGCAGAACACTTCATTCAATGCGATTCTGAAGGGATGTGATACCATCAACCAGATTAGCAAGGAGATCCAAAACGAGGAGGAGAAGACAATGTCACGGGCACGCAACTACAGTGACCTCCTCCAGGCCATGGTGCAGCTCCAAGATCAGATTAACGGCTTGATCGACCGCGATCGTACCTCCGTCACTGGCGCTGCTGCCGCCGCCCAGCCGAACGGTATCAAGCAGATTCTGGAGAAGAAGGAGGGTCTCTTCCGAAAGAACATGATGGGAAAGCGTGTCAACTTCGCTGCTCGTAGTGTTATTTCACCCGATCCCAACATCGAGCCCAATGAGATCGGTGTTCCCCTTGTCTTCGCCAAGAAGCTGACTTTCCCTGAACCTGTGACAAACCACAACTTCTGGGAGTTGAAGGAAGCTGTTATCAACGGCCCTGACAAGTATCCCGGTGCTTCCTCCATCGAGAACGAAAACGGCCAAGTCGTCAACCTCAAGTTCAAGAATCTCGAAGAGCGCACAGCACTTGCCAACCAATTGCTTGCGCCGTCAAATTGGCGCCAGAAGGGCTCACGCAACAAGAAGGTTTACCGTCATCTTACCACCGGTGATTATGTCTTGATGAACCGTCAGCCCACACTTCACAAACCCTCTATCATGGGTCATAAGGCTCGTGTCCTTCCTAATGAGCGTGTCATCCGCATGCACTACGCCAACTGTAACACCTATAACGCTGATTTCGATGGTGATGAAATGAACATGCATTTCCCCCAGAACGAACTGGCTCAGGCAGAAGCTAGAATGCTTGCGGATGCCGATCATCAATATCTCGTTGCCACATCAGGTAAACCTCTGAGAGGTCTGATTCAGGATCACATCTCCATGGGAACGTGGCTCACTTGCCGTGACAGCTTCTACGACGAAGAAGATTATCACCAGCTGCTGTATAGTTGCTTGAGACCTGAGCATTCGCACATTGTTAGCGAGCGGATCCAACTCGTTGAGCCTGCTATGCGTAAGCCAAAGTGTCTTTGGACCGGAAAGCAGATTATCACCACAATTCTCAAGAACATCCAGCCTGCAGAGCGCGGAGGTCTGACCTTGAAGAGCAAGTCTTCCACCCCCGGTGACCGATGGGGCGAGGGCAATGAGGAAGGAGAAGTCATCTTCCAAGATGGAGAGTACTTGTGTGGTATTCTTGATAAGAAACAGCTTGGTCCCACTGCTGGTGGTCTTATCGATGCTATCCACGAAGTTTACGGATATAACACCGCTGGAAAACTCATCGGTGTTCTTGGAAGACTTCTTACCCGCGTCCTGAACCTGCGGGCATTCAGTTGTGGTATCGACGATCTTCGATTGACCAAGGAGGGTGATCGCGTTCGTAAGGAGAAATTGGCTACCGCGCCCCAGATGGGTCGTGAAGTCGCACTGAAGTACGTGACCCTGGACAAGGCTCCTGGTGATCAGACTCCCGAGTTGAACCGACGATTGGAGGAGGTTCTTCGTGACGACGACAAGCAGAGCGGTTTGGATAGCGTTTCCAACGCCCGCTCTGCCAAGCTTTCGTCCGAGATCACCAGCGCTTGTCTGCCACACGGTCTTGCTAAGCCTTTCCCCTGGAACCAGATGCAGTCTATGACGATATCTGGAGCCAAGGGATCTGGTGTCAACGCCAACCTGATTTCTTGTAACCTGGGTCAGCAGGTTTTGGAAGGTCGCCGTGTACCCCTTATGATCAGTGGAAAGACCCTTCCATCATTCAAAGCCTTCGAAACACACCCTATGGCTGGTGGTTACGTCTCTGGTCGTTTCTTGACTGGTATTAAGCCCCAGGAGTACTACTTCCACGCCATGGCTGGTCGTGAGGGTCTCATTGATACTGCCGTCAAGACCTCTAGATCCGGTTATCTGCAACGTTGTTTGATCAAGGGTATGGAAGGCCTCAAGGCAGAGTACGACTCATCTGTTCGCGAATCATCCGACGGATCTATCGTCCAGTTTTTGTACGGAGAGGACGGTCTCGATATTACCAAACAGGTCCACCTGAACGATTTCGACTTCCTCGCTCAGAACCACGTCTCTATTTCCAAGCAGGTCCAAGCCGACGATTTCACCAAGCTGGCCAAGGAAAATGTTTCGACTTGGCACAAGGATGCAATGAAGGCCGTTCGCAAGACTGGCAAGGTCGATGCTATGGACCCTGTGCTGTCCCACTTCCCCCCTGGAGGAAACCTGGGCAGTACGTCTGAAGCGTTTGCCCAAGAACTTAAGAAGGTCAGAACTCACATTTTCCCACCCCAAAGAATTGAAATGCTAACTCTACAACAGTACGAGGACGCCAACAAGAACAAGCTCCTCAAGGACAAGAAGAAGGACATTGAGGGTAAACTCAACAAGAAGACTTTCGAGGCCTTGATGAACATGAAGTACATGAAGTCTATCATTGATCCTGGTGAGGCGGTCGGAATTATGGCCGGTCAGTCCGTTGGAGAGCCGTCCACACAGATGACTCTTAACACTTTCCATTTGGCTGGTCACTCGGCGAAGAACGTCACACTGGGTATCCCCCGTCTACGTGAAATCGTTATGACAGCAAGTGCCAACATTATGACACCCACCATGACCCTTCTCTTGAACGAGGGTATCTCCAGCGAGGACGGCGAGAAATTCGCCAAGGCCATCAGTAAGCTTACTGTTGCTGAACTTGTCGATAAGGTGCAAGTCAAGGAACGCATTGGCTCTGGCATCGGCCACTCAAAGGCCAAGATCTACGACATTGAGATCACCTTCTTCCCATCCGAAGAGTACACCAAGGAGTACGCCATTGAGACTAGGGATGTCTTGAATGCTCTGCAGTCCAAGCTTGTTCCTCGACTGGTCAAGCTCACCAAGGCCGAGCTCAAGAAGCGCAACGATGAGAAGAAGGGTGTTAAGGGTAGCACTTCTCAACCCGAGATTGGTGTCTCAGTCGGAAGAATCGAAGAGGCGCCCAGAGGCGCTGACTCTGAGGCGCAACCTGCCGACGACGACAACGAGGATGACGAGGATGACGCCAAACGAGCTTCCGGAGCTCAGAACCGGGGCAACCAGGTTTCCTACGAGGGACCCGACGATGGCGAGCAGGCCATCATCAACCGCCAAGGCACTCCTGACGAAGTTGACGACGAAGAAGAATCCAGCAAGCCTTCAAAGACCACCCGTGATGTGGAGATGAAGGACGGATCCGATTCAGAGGATGACTCCGACGACGAGGTTGCTCAAGACAGCAAGGCACGTGAAGATGACTTGCTGGGCAAGTTTGAGGAGGTCACGAAGTTCAAGTTCGACCCCAAGAAGGGCCTCACCTGTAACATCCAGCTGCAGTACGACGTCGAGACCCCCAAGCTTCTGCTTCTTCCTCTGGTTGAGAAGGTCCTCCACCTTTCCGTCGTTCAGTCCATCCCCAACATGGGCAACTGTGTCTTCGTCGAGGCCGATGAGGCAAAGGGCGATCCCGCCAACATTCTCACGGATGGTGTCAACTTGATTGCCATGCGTGATTACCAGGACATCATCAAGCCTCACTCCATGTACACCAACTCCATCCACGACATGCTCAACCTCTACGGTGTGGAAGCTGCCCGTGCTACCATTGTTCGTGAAATGGATGCCGTTTTCGGTGGTCACAGTATCTCCGTTGACAACCGTCACTTGAACTTGATCGGTGATGTGATGACCCAATCTGGTGGCTTCAAGGCCTTCAGCCGTAACGGCCTGGTCAAGGAAGCATCATCTGCTTTCGCGCGTGCCAGTTTCGAGACTACTGTCGGCGCCCTGAAGGACGTTGTTCTTGAGCGTGGTGTTGACAACCTCAAGAGCCCCAGTAGCAGAATCGTTGTTGGTCGTATCGGTACTGTTGGTACCGGTTCCTTCGATGTTCTTGCTCCTGTAGCATAGTCATCTCTGACTGGACGGAGTTTTGAATGTGTATTTGATCTTGTATTTCCTCATGTGTATATTGTCTTGCAAAGCTTTTTATTTCAGTTGTGTCTCTCTTACTTTTCTGTCACTTGATCTTTGATGTGTCGATGATCTGGAGTTTATTCTGTGCAGCGGAACTAAAAAAAAGTCTCTATCCCTGTTCATATTTGCATCATATCTAGTCTCCAAATAGATATTTTCAAAGTCTTGCATCCACAGACCACCAGCTATTAATTAGACTAGAACTTAAGAGACGTCTTATTGCACTTTGGTACTGAATTTACATCCAGTGCCCCCAAAACACATTGAATGTTGCTTGAGGATCAATGGAAGGAACTGGAAAGCATCTATGGATACCTAAGTAGTTGTAGAGTTACGATTTCCTACTGAGTAGATACCACGAGCTCATTGGATTGTATAGATTCATTTTCAGTTGAGGCGTGGCATCTTATATTATATGCCGTCCTAAGAAACACCATCCATGCTAAATGGCACCATGCCCAGATTCAAACGCCCTGCCCATGCCTTTTGATATGCATTATGTACGACCCCAAAATAACAACGAATTATTTTTTTTACTGTGGATCAAGCATCATGAGATCCTCATCAATGTCATCATCGAAATCATCGTCGACAACGCGAGATGTAGATGGAATCACGCCGTCCATGTTCCCATTGACATCCTCTCTCATCATCCGCTCTTCTTCGATTTTCCTCTTTGCTTCATGGCGCTCAATATCAGCCAGACCCCAAGTGGAAATGCCTTCTTGATCCTTTGCTTTGAAGGGCTGAGCCATTGTACGCAAGAAATTCTTGGCGTTAGATACGGCCATGTCTGTGCTGAGATTGGTCTCGCTGTCTAGCATGGCCTGATTGATCCACTTTGGAAGCTGGGGTCGTTTTCGCTCGAACCGACGATCTGCCAACACCATGACTCCATAGTCATCTTTACCACGCAATACACGTCCCAAACATTGGGCGGCGTGTCGAATAGCATCGAAGGACAAGAAGTCATTCTCTCGAATGCGATAGTTTTCACGCAAGAATTCGAGACGAGCCTTCAGGATTCGAGATTCTGTATATTGGAATGGAACACCAATACACAACACTGCACGACCATAGTGATGATCGAAATCGATACCTTCGGACACCTTTCCTCGAGCGACACAGAACAAAATTGCGCCACGTCCGTTGCAACACGCTGTACGATAAGTCTCCAAGGCAAGGGATGACTCTTGTGCATCAGGTGTTTCCACAAGGATCAACTTGTAATTCCAGATTTGATCCAAAATACCCATTCCTTGCCACATACTGATGATCGACTCCATGTAGAGGTAGGAAGGGAAAAAGACCACGACTCCATCAGGTGTGATGCGAGCAAACTCAGTGACCAGAGATCCATAGTTTCTCACAACGCCGGGGTCATTGCGAATTCCGAAAGAAGACGAAACCTGGGCTTGATCAGATCCTCGGGTGACAATCATGGGCAAGAATGATCGTCGTGCAAGTGTCATGCTATAGGACTCCTGCAAGACGGCATCGAATCCCAGCATCTTCGGGTACATTTCCAGGGGTGACAGAGTTCCAGAAGTGATGATCACAGAGCTGAAACGGTCGAATACTGGTTTGATGGCAATAGCAGCATCCAAGCACGTAAAATGAAGTATGGGGTTTGGTACAGTGGCCGCTTCGGATTCAAACGGCTCAAGGATAAGCACGAACCCTTTGTCATAAGTCGCGACAAGGGTTGCAAAGGTAGCTACCTCTTGAAGGGGCTGATAATCCTCGATGTTGACAAGCTCTAGCGTCCGTACAAGTGACGTAAGCCGCTCGGCACAGAATCTCAAGGGTTTTCGTTCGATATAGGTCAGATCTCTTAAGTGGGTTAAGAAAGAAGGAGGGGTTTCGGATATAGTATGAGTGACCTTCATGCGAGTTTTGAGATACTCGATGAATCTCTTCAAAAAAGAGACGAAATGCTCTGCTCGACGAATATTGCCGGGAACAGCCTCCTTCAGTAGATCATCAGGCAAGACTGGGTTCGAGATGAATTGATCTTCTTCACGAGCTTTTTCTGCTTCCTGTAACCCTTCCACCAACTTGGTATATTCGTTCTTGAGCTTTTCTTCGTCCGAGCTTTTCATTTCCTCAATCTTTCGTTCTAGATTAGTCGCGCCCCGAGTCGCTTTGCGGAGAGAATCCTCGCTTAGGTCTATGCTTAGCGATTCGATGCAGACGTTGTCAATGTTGTGAGCCTCGTCAAAGACCACGATACAATCCTTTGAAAGCTCGCGCGACACGCGCTCCGCAATTTTTGGATCTAGGAGATAGTGGTATGAATAGATAATGATGTTGCACCATGGCATCTGCGAAGTCCAGTCAGAATTGAATTGTTCCATACAAGCACAAAATCAAGCTTACCATGCGCCGGGCAGAGAAGTAGGGGCATTGCTTGTGCTCTTCTCCATAACGTGACAGTCCATCTAGTGTAAAAACGCCTGGGGGAACGAGATTATGTGGTTCGAGTAGGTCGAGGTTCTAGCGCCCGTTAGTTGGTCCAATTCTGCTTTGCAAATAAACAAGGACATCATACTTCATGGTATACGCAAAGATCGACGTCTTCTCCGCGCTCCTTCTTTTCCTTGACGAAACCCGCTGTCAAGCTTCTGCACCTGGCATCGACCACCGTACCACTCTTCTCTCTCTTCACGGAAGGGTGAAGACAAAGGTTTTTCCGACTGGTGAGGCCGAGTGCACGGAATTCCTCCTCGTGGCCCAGCTCTTTGGCACGGTGCTCCATCAACGCTTTCAGCTCTGCCAACGCCTTCTCGATCTCAGACATTGTTCGGGAGCAGTAGATGAGCTTTCGGTGCTCTGGGTAGTGTTGTTGGTACGCGACGATCAATGACAGCAAAGAAACAGTCTTTCCGGTCCCTGAAGGCATTTCGAGCACACAATGACCCCCTGCATCGAGGGTCTTTTTGAGATCGCACATGTAGGCATATTGTTCGGGGTAGATGCGAGGATACGGGAACAGCACTGGAAGATCACTATGACCGACAGGACAGATTAGTTTGGAGGCATGAGTTGGACAAGGAGGAAGTCATACTCAATGAAGAACTTCATTTTGGCTGGACTCCGATGCAAAGCGCAAGAGGGCAAGGAATAGAAAGATGACCCGAGCTCTCTTCTTTCGCGCTGCCACGCTTTCCCCGATTGGGACGGCTATGACACAGTCTCACGTGACCTGCCCGTATCTTCAAAGATCAGTCCGAATGAAAGTTAGACTCTATTTACCTGATTATACTTGGTGCTTCTAAAGTTCTTTGCTTTAATAACCTATGAGGGATATATATGTGGGAAATCTGGCAGAATAACTGGCAGAAATATTGATGCCTACTACTATCAAGGACATCGATATCAGAATCAGGCCAAAATCAGGCATCAGGGGCGTTGCATTGTCCAAAGGGGTGTCATATTATCCGAGAGGGTGTCAATGCATCAATACCCTATAGGGATTGGCTACATGAGCAGAAAAAAGGTTCTATTCATATTTGTACACTCATTTGTGACACAACAGTGACAACACTGTGCGGCTTAATGACCGCCTCTGTCACACTTGAGCAGGCAGATCAGAATATTCCAGTAGCAAGGGGCCACCCAAGCCCTGGAGCCTATGCATAACTACCCAGGTAGTAGCAATAGACAAAAGCGCGACTGGTCGGAATCTAAAGAACGGAGATGAGGCTGATACGTGCAGCATAAGGTACAGAGTACATAGTGATCTTTCTCCGGAAATATACAGTACAACAACTTTAGAGCAAGTAGTCAAGATCTGCCCAATGTAATGTAGAAGTGTGATGCTGGATCAAACTGTGACTACCTAGGTACCTGGGTATACCACCTTCGTAGTTCCCGTGGCTCTATAGCCATCGCCTATCGATAAACCGATAAACAATATCACGTGTAATGCGCATTACGAGCGGCAGCATTTGTTTCCTATCTCGAATCCCCCACTACATTCCAATACCACTGACCTCATACCCCACATGAGCAAAAAGTTCAAATCCCAGGCCTCCAGCAGTCGCGCTGCTGGTAGTGCCTTTGGCTCATTTGGGGGTTTCTCCGGAAGCCTCTCTAGCCAAGGAAAAGAGCCCTCCGCGCTCACATACATCACAGCTCCACCAGATCTGTCCCGTATTGCCGACCAGCAACTTGTCATTGCATTCAAGAACCTGCTGAAGAAAGATGACACCACACGGACAAAAGCTTTGGAGGAACTGAGAGACCATATCTCGAGGGTGGAAGGCAATAAAGGGACTTTGGATGACGGGTTCCTCGATGCATGGGTAAACACAACTAATCTTACAATATCCGGCACCAGCTAATCAACGGTTGTCCAAATATAGGTCGGAATATACCCTCGACTATCAATTGACCTAGCTCGCCGAGCACGCCAGCTTGCCCATTCAATTCAAGGCACTATTGCAAGTCTCGTGGGAAAGCGAATCGTCCCCAAACTACCAAAAGTAATCGGTGCATGGATTGCAGGCATCTACGACAATGATAAGATCGTCCATCGGTCTGCTCTCGAGTCATTCACGAAGGTCTTCTCAACAGATCAAAAAAGAAACAACGTGTGGAAGATCTACCAGAGTTCGATTTTGGACTTTGTAGATGACGTCATTCTTCACCAATCACCCTTGACGCTGAGTGATGAGAGGACAGTGAAACGAGATGATGCCGAGGGAAAGTACGCTCGCGTGGTTGGAGCTGCAATCATGCTTTTAAACCGCGTTCTAGGTACGTGTGTCGGTGATCCCCATGTGAATGTCGGAAGCTAACCGTTCAATCCTATTAGGCAATTCTGCTGACGAAGAGTTGGAGAAGGACTTCTCGCAAATTGAAACAATAGTGGGAAGCAAGTTCCTTTGGGCTCTTTGTCACCATGATGATCCATACGTCCGTCGCTCTATTTATGTTCTGCTTAAAACTGTGGTTTCCCGAGAACCTGGGTGGGTTGACTGGCCTACTCTCAGCTCGGCCGTGATTGGGAAATCCCTGTCTCTTCAACAGATTGGATCGGCATCAGAACTGTCTGAATCTCTTCTTGTATTGTCTATATCGAGACCGCAAGTGTGGACGGACGACTACAGTGGCAAGTCTTCTGCTTCCAAGAGGTTGCGCCAGTATATCCAGAAAGGATCTCAAGGCGGAGCTAGTAGTTTTTGGTCGAACTTGGATCAACTACTTCGAACAGTGCCTCACGAAGTCCTAGCAGGCGCCGACAAAGCCACTGCTGATCGAGGAATTACTTCCACCAGCGCAGTCGCTTTGACTGAAGCTTTCCAAGAAGGACTGAACTCACGAGAAGAGCCGCGCCAGAACCTCACCGTCGGATGGAAATGTTATATTCAAATCGCAACATGGCTCGCGACCTTGATTCCCCAGGATCAAAAGGCCGAATTTATTGACCAAAGGATCTCACCCTTGGTTGTAAATCATGTACGACTTGACCCAAAGTTGTCGCAATGGCTGCTTCCAGCTCAGTCAGCCGAAGACAGCTGTGTACACTATCTATGTACCTTGGGATCTACTGGACACGAGCAAGAATTGCAGTCGTTGTGCACAATTCTCTCCGAAGGTCTGCTAGAAGCCGTCAAGTTGTCCTCCCCCGAGCAGTCTAAAGATTTCCACGAATCCCAAGACTTGATCTGTGCCCAAGCCAAACGTCTCATGGCCCTGGAGTCGGCGGTCCTTTCACGCATCGCGGATTCCAAGGAGCCGCGAGTGACGGAAATAATCGAGACTTCGATCTCATACCTCCTTGAGAGCTGTCTCGAGGTCTTGCGTACCCGCAATGGGAAGCCATATGGTGCTGCTGCTGTGGTAGACGAATGCGCCAGCAGTATGCCGACTGTCGCCAAGAAATCCCATAATCTGCAGAATTTCGTCCAAAAGGATGCCCCAGAGCTCTTACTCTCCCCATCTGCCGATCGGCTGATCTCAACCATCATGAAATGTCGCGAATGGGATGGTTTCTCGTCAAGTTTCGAGAATATCGTTGAAAAAGCTCTTGAGCTCGAGACAGAACAGTCGAATATTCATGTGCTGCAAAGCCTGCTCTCATCTCTAGACTTTAATGAGTTTGAGCACAAGGAGAAGCTCAACTCACTTGTTGTGCGAGCTCTAGACAAAGCTTGCCGTGGAAGCCATTCTCAGTGGCCTATCATCACGGCTGTTCTACAGAACAAAACATCACATGGTGAATTAATGGATCAGATCTTCTTATCTCTGATTGATGAATTGTCCACCAATGACAAGGTCCTCAATGCACTTCATGGGCTTTCACACATTGGGAAAACTGCACCCTCTGCTGTTCGGGAGTTCCAAAGTGGACCGAACGGCTCAAAGCTCGCGGGTAAGCTAATTTTCCTCACGGAGTCTCCCGAAGAGGAGGTAGCAAGCCTGGCGGAAGCACTCTTGAAATCCTTGAAAGAAACTGTCGTTGGCGAGACTACTACAAAGTCGGGCATCGAAATCCTCCAGCATGGGTTCAACCATGTGGATGAGGAATCATTGTCGTGAGTATTCCTCTTTAACCCAGAATTTTTGTTACAATTCTTGGAATTGCGCTAACATTGAATTAGAGTTGAATCACTTCTTGCTATCGCGGCCGAGCTTCTTCCAAGCATCACATCCGACGGTGCTGTCAGTACTGCCAAGGATGTTCTACCTTCTCATCGCTCATGGGAAGAAGCTTTGACACCTTTCCTCCAACTTCCACCTCGACCTTCCACTGCTATCACATCCCCCCTGGGAGGTGCTGTTCACTTGATTCAACGTGAGCTATCTGAATCTTTCAAGGCCCTATGGCCTACTATTCCGCGCGACTCAGATCATCGAACGTCTGCTTTCCGTCTGGCAGCCTTTACGATCAATGTTCTATCTACTTCTGAGATTTTGAAACACCTGGACCAGGGAAGTCTCGAGACTGTGTTCCGCTTCTTACCCTTGGCAATTCAAGTCATCGATGATGATCTCAGCATCGAAAATAGCAATGGGGTCTCAGGTATTGAATTAGCCGATCAACGCGAGGAGTATACACAGATTGTACTTGATGGCCGAAAATTGATCAGCAAATGGATTCACGGTAGCGAGCCAGTTGAATTTGCACCAGAGAAGACTATTTCATCTTTATTCACTGCATTCTGGGAAGACAGACTGGAAGAGGTGAAGAGTACTTCTCCCGCCGACTATCGCACGGGTGAAGCCTTCGTCAAGATCATGCTCAACGCAGATTCACCCCCACAGTCCAAATCTTCAGATGATATTGCGCAAATCTGCCGAGATGCACGCTCAGCTAATACTTTCCGTTCAGCCTCTTGGTTCGCGGTCCTGCGAAGCGCGATTCTATCGAACCCAGTTGGAAACCGGATTTGCAACGAGCTGGTTGCAGACTCTACAGGGCTGAAGCCCGAGACTGCCTCCGAAGGTGGTAAGTAATGTATGATACTACCTAGTGTTGCTCATACTAACTCTACTTAGGGATGCAAAAACTCACCTTGCTGAACATCCTGCTGTCTGGGGAAGAAGACGTTGTATCAACAATTCCGACCCAGCGGTTGGTTTTCCTTACCAAAAACTTGATTGAGTGTCTTCATTCCACCAAAGCATCTTTTGGTTTGAAATCCGAGATCTTCAAAACCCTCTCTCTCATCCTCCCAGCTCTCAGTGAAATTTATGGATCTCACTGGGAAGAATGCATGCATATCCTAAGCTGTGTGTTCCGCAATACCACTGGCGGCGAAGACGCCCTACCACTACTGGTTTCTTCCTTCAAGCTCTTCTCGCAGTTGAAGTCTATCTCAGGGAGTGATGGCAATGAAGACGCACAGGATGCTTGGGCTTCTCAAAAGGGCGAACTTTTTACTGCATTAGCGTCTACGATTGATACTTTTGGTAAGCTATCCATCTTGCTTGCTCCTCAACTTGTATCTTGTCTAACAAGAAGCAGATTCGGAAACACCATTCCACCAGCCTCGTGACATAGCTGTAGAACACTTGCGACGCCTGATTAACGCCATTCCTGTTGAGCACCTTGAGGACGTCAGCGAAACTTTCCATCTTCTTACTGCGCACAGCCGAGCAGTTCAACGCACTGCTTACTCAATTCTTCATCATTACATTCCCCATGCTCAAGAGAAGATCTCATTTGAACTCGCTCTTTCAAAGACTGCTGCCACCCTGCCAGATGAGCTGGTTTCCCTCCTACTTGAGTCACCTTCAATGCAAATGGTCAACGACGCATTCGGAGATGAAAAGATGTGGACCAGCATGCGCTCATACCTGCTCAGCTGGAAGATTGTGTATGACCATTTCACGAACGCGGTAGGATTGTTTCTTCTGTCCGGTGCTCTACTCGTTTGCTAACATGAAACTAGTCGCTCCCTGTCCAAGAATATTATTCCGCTAGCATCAAGGAGAATAACATCTTGATTCCGCTTTTGGAGTTCACGTTTGACTTCCTGCAGAAGTCGCATGGAAAGCTGATTGACGCCTCCAAATTCGATATTCGATCATTTGAACCGGATCAGTCTGAGAGTCCCGAGAAGGAAACTCAATGGCTTTTAATTCATTTGTATTACCTGTGCCTGAGATACTCGGCCAACATGACCAAAAACTGGTGGATCGATACCAAGAAACGCGTCAAGGGCCCCGTCGAGACTTGGTCGGAGAAATACGTAAGTATATCCACCATCGGCTTGCAAGATAAAGAGTAATAGCTAACAACGTTTAGATTTCTCCAGTTGTCGCGCAAGATGCCCTACAGGGGGTGATCGATTGGGCTTCTACGCTAGATCCGAATGAGGAGCGAGGACTGCAGGTAAAGATCTCTCAAAAGACAGGGGAAATCATCGCCAGCATTACCGTGGACGAAGAGTCTCCCCCAGTTTCCATCTCCATCACACTGCCACCAGCATACCCACTTTCACCTGCGTTGGTTGTCGGCCGCAGCCGTGTCCTCGTGGATGAAAAGAAATGGAAGAGTTGGCTGTTGACCATCCAGGGAGTGATCATGTTTGCCAATGGCAATCTGGTTGATGGTTTGTTGGCCTTCCGACGGAACGTCCAAGGTGCTCTCAAGGGCCACAGCGAGTGTGCTATCTGTTACTCTGTGATCTCAACGGACATGCAGACCCCGAACAAGCGTTGCGCCACCTGCAAGAACACCTTCCACTCAGTTTGTCTGTTCCGCTGGTTCAAGAGCAGCAACCAGAGCACTTGTCCGCTTTGCCGAAACAACTTTGTGTATGTTTAATCGTACATAGAACACAGATACAAGAAAGGCCTGCGCGCCATGTGGCTACGACACGACCAATTTAGTGACGGTAAATGTGCCTTAGAGCCACAATATTTCAGCAGAACACTGGCACTGCAGTCAGGTGTTTGACGAGCAATGCTAGGGGACCTCAGGGCCCAGCCCTGGAGGGAACTATGAAACATTCAGGTACCCAGCATGTTTGGAGCCATACCCGATGGAGACATCCACTGAGCCCCTTAGATTTCTGAGGCTGATGAATTCAAGTGAATGTTCATCCTTCGAGTACCGAAGTTTTGAGGCTAAATTACACACAGTGTCGCATAACTAGATCACCAAGCTATATTTCACCCGTCACTTTAGGCTAGGTGGCGCAAATACCCCGGAACACTGTATTTGATGAATATGCGGGGAAAGCAGACCCTGACCCTTCTGCAGGCATGTCTCAGTTTCCAAGGCTTTATACTCCCGTGCCCAATAGGCTTGTTTCAGCAGACTTGAATCCCTTAACCCCATGCGCCGACTGATTCAGGCTAATTGCGCCACTCTAATTATGTACGGTTAAGTATGGCAGCTGTTAACTGAAACTTGACATCTGGACCATGGAAGATGATTAGGCAAAATCCCTCGGTCGAAAGGACAAATCTGAAAGATGACCTAGTAGAGTGGAGAGAAGAGTCCATAGGGGCATGTTGGCATGTTCCAGACCCTATAAAATAGCATCCTGTCGCCTGCCTGGTGGCAATACAACACTTTCTACTCTATAAGGGTTTTTGGTATTGACTGATATCGACAACATGGTTGGAAACATATTCATATTCTCTCTCATTGCCGGCGCTCTCGCCGCCCCCACTGAAGCCCAACTGGAAAAGCGCGCCTGCCCAGGCGTTCATATATTCGGTGCACGCGAGACCACTGCATCCGCCGGGTACGGCTCCTCCAGCACAGTCGTCAATGGCCTTCTGAGTGCCTATTCGGGATCCACCGCCGAAGCCATCAGTTACCCAGCATGCGGCGGACAAGCATCCTGCGGCAGCGTCAGTTACTCGAACTCAGTTGCTCAGGGAATCGCAGCCGTTGCCTCAGCTGTCAATACCTACAACAAAGAGTGCCCATCTACCAAGCTTGCTTTGATTGGCTACTCTCAGGTCAGTATTTGCTAAATCACGATTCATTAACAGGATTTGACAATGCGATAGGGAGCGGAGATCATCGATGCAGCTCTGTGCGGCGGCGGCGTCCCCAATCAAGGATATACCAACACGGCAGTGCAGCTGTCAGCTTCTGCGGTGAATATGGTGAAGGCAGCCATCTTCATGGGTGATCCATTGTTCAAGGCGGGCTTGCCGTATAATGTTGGGACTTGTGCTGCTGGAGGCGTATGTGACCCACAACCCACTGATTGCTTCATGGAGACTAACAATGCCTAGTTCGATGCGCGTCCCGCTGGCTTCTCCTGCCCATCGGCAAGTAAGATCCAGTCGTATTGTGATGCCTCGGACCCATATTGCTGCAACGGTAGCAATGCAGCGACTCACAACGGGTATGGCAGCGAGTATGGGTCGCAGGCTCTCACTTTCGCCAAGGGAAAATTGGCTTAGAAGTAAAGTAGTCATATATGAGATAGCTGGGTATATCCATAAAGACCGAATACACTCAACATCAATTTGTCAAAGAGTCAAGTCGAGATGCGCCTGAGAAATCAGGGAGTCGATGCCCCACCACGGAAGCCCAAGCTCCCAACTTCCTAAGTACATATCATGGCCAGTATTCCCAACCTGAATTCTCTCCGACGAGGTCGAGGTCGAGGATTCGGAAATGTATCACGCCCGGGAAAGGACCAGGTCGTACAGGGTACAGACAACGACGCGAGCGTGTCCCGCCTGAGCGCCGTCGAGCTGGGATACCTCGATGATCCCTTCGCGACAGCATTGACACCACCTGGGTCCGCGACGCGGCGACTCCCAATCATCAATAGAGGTGAGACCGATACCATATGATCATGACAGTCAGATAACCGAGCTAATCTCCCACAATAGGAACCTATGTACGCACCACGACCATTGACCAACTCGTGACCCGCTTCCTCGGCCCATGGTCACCAAACAAGCAACGAAAACAAATCATTTCGCTCGGCGCTGGATCGGACACACGCGTCTTTCGATTGTTATCGTCGCGACAAACACCAGACTTTGTCTATCACGAGCTCGATTTCGCGGTCAACACGACAGCGAAGATTCGCACCATTCGGTCAACGCCGGAGCTGCAACGCGTGCTAGGCATTGACTCGTCGGTTTCTGAGAAGGACAGTCCGGTCACGGTATCAGAGGCGGGGGATGCGCTCCAATCGCCTTCATACCACATCCACCCAGTGGATCTGCGGTCGCTGTCCGGGCATAGTGACCCCGCCGCAGCATTGCCGGGCGTGGAGACGGGATTGCCTACCTTGTTGATATCCGAATGCTGTCTGGTGTATTTGTCGCCCGCTGAGGCAGAGAAGGTGGTTTCGTTCTTTACGGAAGGGCTTTTTGGTCCCGGGGCCGTATCTGGGCCTGACGGTGATGCGATTGGACAAACTGGTGTTGTGCCCCTCGGTCTGATTTTATATGAGCCCATTCGTCCAAATGATGCCTTTGGCGAAGTGATGGTTTCGAATCTTGCGGCGCGAGGGATCCAACTTCAAACTCTACATAAATATGCCTCGCTAGAGGCACAGCGGACTCGCTTCCGAGAGCAAGGATTTGGAGAGGGCCAGGCTGCGGGCGATATTGAGTTCATTTGGAAGAACTGGGTCAGCGAGGAAGAAAAGGGGAGAGTTGCGGGATTGGAAATGCTGGATGAGATGGAGGAGTGGGAGCTGCTGGCACGGCATTATTGCATAGCATGGGGGTGGAGAGATCAAGCTCAAATCTCGGCGTTTTCTGGATGGAAAGACCTTGAGGCTCAGAAGGGCGAGTAAACTACGGAGTGAATTCCATAACGACAACCTATTATGCACAGCACGAAGGCCTTTTGCTCGGATTCTCTGAAGAGGATCTACGGATTTTCAAGGCTAGGTTCTTTGGTCTTCTGACTTGGAGAAAATGATGAGACCAGCCTCGATACCGAAAATCCATTCGCTTCAAAGCATGACAGCAAGGCTACTTCGTAGACCATCACAACCCACGGAGCACCTCCCAGATCACGTTCTCAGTGCCAAGCCCAGGAACTGATGTTCGGCGAGAATCCTAATCAAATTTTGATTGTACACTTGATCCTGAGCTTCATATCCAGGTCACGAGTACAGTGCCGCTTTCAAATATTTGCGTCGAGCGGCCTAAACACCGATCTACACACATAACAACAAAGCCAACGATCTGACCTGTCATGCACAGGTAGTCGCATGGAGCCCCGCAGGAACAAGCTGTTGATAGGCCCAGTGGATATTCGCCATGCGAGGAATATCGTCAGCCCTTGCAGCAACTTAAAAATCTTGGAAGAACATTCCCACTGATAACTATGCGAGATACACATTTCTGCCCAGGTGAGCTTGGTCCCCTCGCGGTATGCCTGCACAGAAGTGAGGCAAGGACTTTCAGGCATAAGCGCCGCTTTTTGATATAGCTACTCGAGAATTTGAGGTGTCAAAGAGATCTGCAGGTAGAACCCGGAGAAAAATCACCTCATCCTCTGGAGTACGGACTTGAGTGAGTACTCTGTACTCCGTACTTAAGTATGTTACGGTGTAGTTGTTTATATTGCTCCGCTGAAAACCCAGGTATAGGTATCTATGCTCCATACTCCGTAGGTATTCGAGAACATGAGAACCGATAACTTTAGAAGCTTCCAAGATTGGCGTGAGCTGGTATCATGCTAGGGTATGTAGCTGCATGTATGTTTACACCGCGCTAGCTCTGTGCGGATTGGCGACATGCTTCTGAAGTTATACGAGGTCATAAATAAATGTAGACGAAGGGGGACGCAGTATGGAAATTCCGTCATTAGACGATTCGTGCTACTATTCCGAGATCCAGTTAATGCATAATGGCTAACATCTTCATTTTAATCAAGGTGCAAGGGAAGTAAGCTGCATGGGCTACGACCTGGGAGAGCAAGACTGACAGAGAGTCATGCGTTGGGCGTGCTTTCATTATGTCTTTTGCTACTTACTTGTAATATTTGGCCAATCTATATGTATTCCAAGATTCCTTATACAATACTAGGTATAGATTGGATCTACTCGTAAGCCAAGCTTTAACCAAGAACCGGGCAAATCGGCAATTGGAGACAAATTCTTCGAGACTTCCACAAGCCCTATGGGGAGAAGCTCGAAAAACTTCCCTCGCGCAGCATTGGTCATTTCAGCTCGGAAATCACCAAGATCAACAGGCCCAGACCGGTTGCGGGCCGGTTTGATTAGGATTGACTATCAGACCGCGGTGCTGATGCGCGCGCTGTGGAGTATTTTCCCGCTTGTTTTCCCTCATATTTTATTATCAAAAAATAACGATTCTATCTACGGATATATCCCATAATTACAAAGTAGTTAAGAAGGAAGTAGATACTCCTGATGCGTTGGCGATAAGGAATTGAATAGGGGGGAACTCGTATTCGGACAATCTCACCTCTTCCCCCGAGCAGATGGCCGTTGAAAGAGTTCGATCAGCAGCTCCACCTCATATCACCATGCTTATTGGCTTCACTCCACTTGCCAAGCAGGAACCATCGGGGTATGCGGGTGCACAATTGGCTCCAGATGTCGACTTGCCCCTGACGCTAAATGGCTAGTGGCCAGTGGCTGTCCACTAGTGGGTTTGCTTCAGGGGCAACACACTCCAACACACTCCAACACACACACAGAGACAGTTTGTTGTGGGTCAGTTGATGGATATCGAGCGAACCCCCAGAGCCACTCAGGGTCCGCCCGTGCGAGTCAAGGCCACTCTTGCAGGATTTCGTGAGTGCATCATCCCACGTCTAAACCGCTTTGAGATTAGAGCACTCGTGCTCCCCAGGCGTCCCTTTTCTTGCTTCTTCCCCAGAGCCATTTCTCTTCCTTCGTCTTGACCTTCATTTTCTGTGTGCATTGTGTCTGTCCTTGGCCCGTCGGCCGTACATCTTTTTGTCACTCGTTTGACTTAGCCATTCGCTTTTTGATATCAATCTACATTCTTTGAGACACGTCCTCCCCTGACACAATGAAGTTCGAGATTACACCTTCCCGCGCAGTTGCGCTTGTCGCTCTCATTGCAAGCGCTGAAGCCGCGAAGCATGGCCATGCTCATGCCCGTCACCACGAAACTCGGGAAGTCGCCCTGGAGAAGAAGGGCGGCCAGTGCCAATTCCCCACCGACGCTGGCTTGGTTGCCGTGACCCCAAATGAAGAGAACGCCGGATGGGCCATGAGCCCCAACCAACCCTGCAAGCCTGGAAACTACTGCCCATATGCTTGCCCTTCGGGTGAGGTCTCCATGCAGTGGGACCCCAAGGCCACTTCCTACTCTTACCCCATGTCCATGAACGGTGGTCTCTACTGTGACGAGAGCGGAAAGATCCATAAGCCATTCCCTGACCGTGACTACTGTGAGTCGGCCATTGGTGTCGTCAAGGCTCACAACAAGGCTGGCAAGTCCGTGTCTTTCTGCCAGACCGTGCTGCCCGGAAACGAGGCTATGATCATCCCCACCCTGGTCGAGGAGCTCGCCGATTTGGCTGTGCCCGGCACCTCTTACTGGTGCTCCACTGCCGCCCAGTACTATATCAACGCTCCTGGTGTGAGCGCCGAAGAGGGCTGCGTCTGGGGTTCCAACGCCAACCCGTGGGGTAACTGGGCAGCTTACACTGCTGGTGCCAACACCGACGATAATGGAGACACTTACCTCAAGATTGGATGGAACCCCATCTATCTGGAGACCACATGTCCCTTCCGCAATACCAAGCCCGACTACGGTATCGAGATTGAGTGCGAGGGTGACGGCTGCAAGGGCCTTCCTTGCAAGATCGACCCCGCTGTCAACTCTGTGAACGAGATGATCGGTGACCCCTTCACTGGTGCTGGCGGTGCCACTGGTTGTGTCGTGACTGTTCCCAAGGGCGAGACCGCCCGTGTTGTCGTCTTCGATAAGGGCGGCAGCAGTGGCTCATCTTCTGAGACAATCTCTGTGTCCAGCTCTGCTACCTCGAGCTCGAGCTCCAGCTCCAGCTCCAGCTCCAGCACCAGCACTAGCACTTCGACTCCCACTCCCACTCCCACCCCGACTAGCACCAGCACCAGCACGACCGAGACACCTACGAGCACCCCCACTCTCACCTCCACCTCCACCCCTACTCCCTCGTCGACTTCCACCGCGACTGCCACTTCTACCTCCAGCTCTAGCTCCATCACCTCCAGCTCGACCAAGTCTCCCATGTCCAGCGTCACTCCCTCTGGTAGCACCCGCTTGCCCAAATCAAGCCCCTCGCTGAGCTACACTTATCAGCCTCACGTCCTGACTGGTTCCGCTGATATCTCCGAGGCCTCCTCGACCACCGGCGCCGCCGCCGCATCCTCATCCTCTGGTACCGGCGGTGCTACCAGCGCCACCGTCTCCATGATGACCCTTGCTCTCGGCGCCGTTGCCGCCGTTGCCATGAACCTCTAGATCGGACCCACCGATCTGGTTTAATTCACTGTACATGATTGCAAATATGTACAATGGTGTGCTCAGATAACACCTTGGGGCATCCTTTTATCACTATATGTCCGTGGTTATCGACCTAATTTCGCGGACATGATTGTTTGATTCTCTCACATTTTTTCTAATCTTCACTTCTACATAATCCCCTTTTTATGATTCTACACATCCCCTGGATGCCCATTTTTGACGACGCTCAACGTTGGCCTTTCTCATTTCTCTACTTCATGACTCATATATCCCTTGGCTGTTCAGCTTTGTTATTATTTTGTTTTTTTCCAAACTTGATGGAAATTCTCACCTTTTGCTTCTGGTATGCATGGAGGGGCTTTTTTCTTTCTCTTTTTATCACATATTGATTTCTGGTTTGGTATTGGACCAACCAGGCTTGACCACTTGGGTCTTTGGATGGACATAGGAAAAACAGTGTTCGATTTCTCATTGATCCTTCGGGGCGTGTATACTGCAAGTCTTCCAAGGTTCTCAGCATTTTGTATCCTGGTAGAAAATACAGGGCTGTCTTCCGCTGGATGTTTCTTCGAGTCATGAAGCAGCCGTTCATTCCTTAAATCTTTTTTGGACATTTTCTTGGACATTTTCTTGGAAATCATTAGATCATAAGGATAGCTCATTGTATACTATTCAGTGCGCTGCATGCATTTTACTCAAGATGTGATGACATAGTTACCCCACGAGGGTGCGGTGGCCAAATAACTGGTGAATAGATGCTCGCAATGCCCTATGTACTCCTAAAGTCCGTATATACAAAACCCATAACGCCTATGTCCATTTTCCATTAAACATATAGTTCGCCTTGTCAGGTCGACTAGTACAACGATCAAACCCAGCCTTCGTCCAATGCATTTCATACATTCAACTGCTCAATAGGAATGATCATATCCGGCCTCCGAGCCTCCACAGCCAATCTGTTCAAGTTTCGCTGTCTGCTCTCACGCATGTACTTTCTTTGTTCGTAAGGCACGTCTTTGTTTTTGTCCGAGTCGTCGAGGCCATGATACATGATGTATATACTGAATCCGATGAGGGTGCCGACTACGCAACCGAGAATGATGAGGAAGACATAGAGGGGGTATTTGTCTGGATCGGCCATGCTGCTTCGTTTTATCAGGCTAGTGGCTGTGTCGACTGATGCTGTCGTTTCGACTGTGGAGGGGATGGTAGGCATTCTAAAGTTGTTGTGTGTTGAAGGGACTGGATAGATAACAGACAATGTCAGCAATTGAGTCCAGCAGAAGATAGATATCGTAGATAGACGTACGAGTATCAAAGAGAGACTTCAGGAGGTCAATTACGCAGATATCCTTTGATATGTGTGCAAGCAGTGTACTATCACGATTCGAAGTTCGGAGTAGACTTGTTCGGATGAAGGATAGCAAAACACTTGAGAAAACAGAAGCCAAACCTAACAATCTTATATGAGCAGAGACTTCAGGACTGTACGCTAAAAATTCCCAGTATCTAGAATAAGCACACATGCTGAAACACCACGCTGCTAAAATGAACCACACAGTTGCTGATGTTATTCCCAAAGAGGAAAGGCGTCACCAGAGTCCGGCACCAATGATGTCATAAACCGAGCAGACCAATCAGAGATCTCTTACTACAAGTGGGTCGACCAGTCAGGATCCAGCAGTTCTAAATATACAGATCTTACTCCCGCAGTCGAGATCAATCTCCTGCTCTTCGGCCCCCATTCTTTAAATCTGCTCCCGAAGAGTGGCCTGTCACTCCACTGTACCTTTGTACCCTGGTGCGGTTGCTCTATGCCAGACTTCGATTGGCTAATGGACCGAGGCCCGCATTGGTAGCTGCATTTTGAGATGAGCTCGGAGCCGATTTGGTATGTTTCTTTCGTTCTGAAGGTTGTCTCAGATGAGTGGACTCTCTCTCTGTGTTGGCTCATTGGTAATTGCAATTATCCCGAAGGAGTTGGACAAGAGCGCTTTGTAGGATAATGTTATAGAGACTAAGACTTCAGGATGCTGTCATGAGAAGATACGTCCATAGCAAGCCCGCAATCAAGTTCACGGATGTTATATATGCTCCTCTGCAATATCTATAGATACAGGTAGCTAAAAGAAGTAAGAGAACTCATTGCACTACTGGATATTCAATCAAGGGGAAGAGAAAAGAGCGAATTTTGTTTGTCTTTGGGCTATCAATGTTCCAGCGAACATTGGCATGGTGACTTTGGCCTTGGAGAATTTCTTGGAAATGATAATCCGCCTAGTATTCCACTCCCTTTAGCAACCTAGGGGGGATAGGAATACACAGGAAGTCACCCTTCTATATTCCGGGAAGGAGAGCCCCACATCCGCAAATGATGAGTCAGCGCCCCGAGCGGGTCAGCACTTGAGGTCCCAAATCGTCCAGTCAACCTTATGCTTCTCAATGCCAATGGAGCCATGAATCCATGCTGGACTTGTCGCAACCGCCGCGTCCAGTGCGACTTGTCTGGATCTCCTTGTGCGAAATGTATCAAGGCTGGGGTGGAATGCTTTGACAAAAGACCCTTTAGGTGGGTCAAAGGCGTGGCAATTCGAGGGAACCTGCAAGGCTATTCTTATGAGGGAAACCCAGACAAGCCCAAGAAAAAGGCCCGGGCTTCCAAACTTGTCCAAGCAAAGCAGAAAATTTCGGAGAATGCTCTGGTCAGAGCTGCCGAGGACACCAGATGCCTGCCGGCTGCGTTACAAGACCCGTCTATATTGAACCTGGATAGAGTTTCCAGATACTATATAAATTATTGTAAGTCATCTACAGATATCGGAGAAGCCAACCTTGGAAGTACTGATGACGGCCAGATAATGAACATATATGCAAGCTGTTCATTGTATACGACAGCGACAGGAACCCATTCCGGAGCCTCATCTCCTTCGGATTAAAGGACCCGGTTTTGCAAAAGGCCATTCTTGCCCTTGCGGCGCGACATCATGCAAACACAGGCAAATCATTCAATCAAATAGAGGCACCGACCTCATCCAATCACATCAATGCCGATCGCGACGCACTCCTCTTCAAGCACCAAGCGATGGAAGCCCTATCCCGCATCATTGGCGCTGGAGACACAGCGAAAAATGACACTACCGTTGCTAGTATATTTCTCCTTATCTTCTTGGACTTGCTTGAGTCAGGGAGTGATGGATGGAACTTTCATTTGAAGGGTGCGAAAAGTCTGATTAAATCGTACTTGCCTCTGCTCGAGTCACAAGCTGGGATCAATCATGGCCCTGGTCAGACATTGCAAGAAATATGGAGTTTCATATCTATGCAAATTCGCTCGTGAGTTATTGACAGACCGGAACTGACGAAAAGCTGGTGTTAACAAAAATAGGATCGAAACCCTGGGAGCAACCTTCTTACGGCCCAAGCTATTGTCAGAATTTGCCCCTACCAACCACGAAACTATCCAATCCCAAGAGACAGTCGAGCAGTCTTTCCTTGGATGTCCTGAATATCTTCTGACGGCCATTCGGTTCTTCTCCAATGAGAGAGACACTATTGCAGGATCAGAATTTACTGAGCAGGCCAACCTTGAAACTCATGTTCAAGATACAACTTCGATGCTAGAGCTTGTTAAGAACTTTGACAGCTATGCATGGGCTTTAAGCGTTCAACGCCCGACACAGACGGTCGACGTGATCAATGATCTTTGCACGTTGTCCGAAGCATTCAAAACTGCTACTTTAATCTACGGTGGACGTGTTCTTGATGCTCTCACGGGAGATGACACAACCCAAGATGAGCTGGTCTCCGAGTTGTTAGGACTGCTTCACCTTTTGAAAACCAATGACGCTCTTTTCAAGTGTGTTTTGTGGGCAATCTTTGTTGCCGGCCTGGAATGTCGAACACAAGCCCAGAGAGACTTTCTGATTGAATGCCTGGAGATCTTCTGGAGAGACACGAGTTGTTTGAATGTTATCAATGCCACGAAGATCTTGCGGGACTATTGGGAACAGTTGGGCTCGGGGACTCCATCAAAGTGGATATTTGACATTGGATGCTTGGGCCGTGACTGGCTTTTGTTATAGCACTTGCCCTTGGGAATATTCGCCAAATTTGCCCAAGCTTCAAGCCAAAAGTGAACTGAAAGCCTTGAACAAGTCATCTTTCAGATCCTCCCAGTTCTCTAGTCCAACGCTGACTCTCAACAACTTACGATCGACCCTCGAATCCGATAGAGCTCGCCACTCGATCAAGGACTCGACACCGCCCAGACTGGTTGCGTGTTGGAAGTAACTCAGCTTACTTGGAAAAAGCTTCGCAAAGTCCTCTTTATGCAAGACGATGGAGAAGACAGGTCCAAAGCCATTGGGCATCTGCTTCTCCAACCACGATTCATCCTGCACCTGCATACTGGCATGGTAGATCTTCTGCACGACAGATTGGATTACAGCATCCTCGCTACCAACCGCAGGCGAATCAACCTTCATAGCATCATCAAGCCACGAGATCAACTTGGCCGAATTCTGGCTCGCTCGCTGAACCCGCACCTCCAGGGTACGCAGACTCCGGATTCCAAGCCAACTTTCCATATTTCCCATCACACTCCCAAGGGCCAATCTATCTTCGAAGAGTTGCTTGGTCCAATCAGCGCGTTTTGTCGCAAGGACACCACAGAGAAGATCGCTGTGCCCGCCGAAATACTTCGATCCAGAATGCATGACTATATCTGCGCCCCAAAGGAATGGATCTTGTAATCCAGGAGGAGCAAATGTACTATCGACCACGAGGAATGCACCCCGAGAGTGCGCTTTGAGGGCATATTCCTCGATGCTGAACGCTGTTCCGAGAGGATTGACTGGTGTCTCGAGCAGAATGACGTCACCTGCATTTAGACTGTCGGCTGGGCAATCAAGTGGTAACTTCTGCAGGCCCGATAGACGGGAGACCACTGCAATGACCTCGTGGCTACCGTGGTAACCATCGCCGACGGAGATGCGACGCGGGTTCAACAGTGTCAGAGCAGCATGAAGTGCAGCAAGGCCGGTTGAGTAGCTCACTGCCGTACCACCTATAAGGGAGGAGAGTACTGCTTCGAAGCGAGTTGGGTTTGGTGCAAACTCGCGGGAGTAGACGTAGTTCTTGCCGTTGAACTCATCCTGGTGACTTGTTAGATGACAGTAAATCAACAGAATGCAGAGCTTCGGGGCTTACGACGGGATCTTCGGATGGTACAAGCTGTTCTGGATCATCAGGGTATCTGAAGATTGTTGAGAGGTGGATTGGAGGGGCGACATCAGACACTTGATTCAGGATATCGTCTGCATGCAGTGCTTTAGTTGATGGGTGGCTGTTGTGAGAAGGGGCCATTATAACGATTGAGGGTAAAAAAGAGGGTGATGGGTCTTTAGATTGAAGTCAAGTTCAGATACAGCTTGACTCTTATACCCTTCAGTCTAATAGAAAATTCAGAAAGATTGCCACGTCAAAATTGTATCTTGATCTTGTAGAACGAGTAGATATCATCGGATGGTGTCCACTCCCCTCAAGTTCCTAATCGGGCATCTGACTAATACCCACTCACCTTAAATGGCGAATTTTTATTGGCCGATTTCCGGTTCGCCCTTCCTTTTTAGGAACTTGAGCGGAGTGGGAACCGCCAGAGCCAACCAATCAGATCCGGCTTGACTCATATCAATCACCCGGATTGGGCGCCTTTTAAGCTGCGATCTCAAGGTCCACACCTGCTCAAGTGGGCAGTTACTCTGTACTTTAAGCGCCGAGTAGATATAAAATAGGTGAGATGACCCTACTTCTCTTCTACTCGTACACCCTTTGCACATTCACACAACATGTATCTCAGAGCAGTCCACGCTGAGGGCTCCATCAAAGCCCTCTTTGAGTTCATCAAACAAAGTCCCCTCGGAATCTTGACCACAGCCATCTCGTCCCAATCACACCCCTTCATCCAATCCAGCCACATTCCCTGGGTCCTGGATGAAATTAGCGATGACCCAGATGCACCAGTGAAGGGCAAACTCCGCGGTCACATGGCTCGACAGAACCCACAGGCCAAGGCCATCATGGAAAACGCCGGACAATCACCGGCCCAATTGACCCAAGATGTGATGATTCTCTTCACGGGCTCAGCTCACCACTATGTCACTCCCAAATTCTACACCGAAACCAAGCCCAGCACGGCTAAGGTCGTGCCGACTTGGAACTATTCCGCCGTGCAGGTTTACGGCAAAGCAACCGTCTACTACGACTCCGCTTCTCCGGAGACATCTAGCTACTTGTCACAGCAGATTCATGATCTGTCACAGCTGTGCGAGACTTCTCAAATGGGGTACACTGGGCAAGAAGGGAAGCCGGGGCCTTGGACAGTGTCAGAGGCACCAGAGCGGTACATCGATATCATGAAGAAAAACATCATTGGCATTGAGATTGCAATCGAGAGCATTGGAGGGAAGTTCAAAATGAGTCAGGAGAGTAGCCAGGGTGACCGCGAGGGTGTGATCAATGGGTTCTCCAACCTTGGCTCGGACGTTGGCGACCAGATGGCAAGCCTAGTGAAAGAGCGTTGTGCAATGAAAGATGCAAGCAAGACTCAATGAATTTAGGATCTAATAATAAATCCAAACTCAAACTCGATTCACCACTTTCAGTCTCTTTGTGTAGTTTGATGGGTGTGTATGCCAAGACTCTCTATTGTCCGTATCATGGCAATCCAAAATATCAATGTAAACGGCGGACAAAGAATCCTCAGTTATAAGTCACAGGAACCTAACTCTCGACTTATCGCTTCAAACTTTCTACCCAACTCACAGTCACCTCTAGACTTACTTCACCATGTCGCAAACTTACACTCTCGGTTAGTGACTTACCAGATACTTTCCCGCCTTCCCATCCTCGTATGCTAATTGTGAATGGAACTCAGAGGAAGCTCTCAAGAAGATTGAGCAATATGAAGCTATGATTTACAAGTTTCAAATATCACAGCACCACAACGATAGGGAAATCCTGTTCAGCAAAATCCGCGGCAGATACTACTCAAAGGAACGAGAGCGGTATCACGATGGACTCCAGAAGAAGATCAATGGAAGTCTCCAGTTCTTGGAGGGGACCCTCGGCCTGGCAAAGGAAATTCGCAACGAAGTTTCGAATTCTGAGACGATCGACAAGAAAGCTCTTCTGGACAAGTCCGACGAGATGATACGGGTTACTACTGTGCAGTTAAGCATCTGGAAAGAAGAATTGAAAGTCGAGGTGTCGTTGAGGGAGATCGAAGAGCTACTCCGGGTGAAAGACGTCGAGTATGAATGTCACCATTACTGATATGCGTTTTTGAGGCGATGGATTTCTTTGGAGGCAATTATCTTGGGTGCTGTTGAAAGCTGTGGATTAAGAAACAATGTCGAGTTCTCATATCATGTAGTATTTACTGGCTTCTCCCCCCGGCTTTGGGACAATGTTGATTAGCCTGTGTCTTCTATTGAAAGAGCCTCAAATGCTACTGAATATCACAAAGAAACCAATGACTTGGCTTGCGAAATGATTGTCGAAGTCATCTCGGTTGATAATGTGGAGTAGATATCACTAAATAAGGGAACTCGTAGCTTCTCGGTTTCCTAATTTCACCTACCACTGCCAGAGGATTGAGCATTTGTTTCACAATGGAGAGACACAACCAAGGTAAGAGATATTCCCGGACATCTACATATTTAACTGGGTACCTGAGTGCACATGCTAATCGCAAGAAGCACACCCTAGACGCGGCGAGAGAAACCGCATCTACACTGCAAGTGACAACAAGGCTGCAGGTGATTTGACTGCTTTGTTGGATGAGATTGAGACCCGCTGCGATACACAAACACGAGAGATCAGCAGATGGCTCGCTTTTACCGAGAATTTCAAGAGGTCTATTGCTGACGATTTGGAGCGCATGGAAACCACTATCACCGTCCAAACGTCGCGATCACTTACACCCGCCACACCGAGAGCGGCCACCCCAATTAGTAGAGAGAGGTCACCTGGTCGGCACCTTTGAAACCTTTCGGGGCTTGTTATGTCCAAAGTTGTGGAATGTGCCCAGGTGTGTACTCCGCGTACTGATAGCGGAATCAGACCAAGTCGGGATCGACGCGCTATCAATTGCCTAATCGCCCCCCCCCGCCTTTCTTCCAACTCCAACCTCACAACTTTCAAAATGCCTCCTTCACCTCAAACTGTAAGTCGTTTATCGCTGGGCTCTGGTTTCTCCGATGATCAGAGCGTTCAAAAAGGCGTTGCCTGGAGCTTCCAAGCCTACCCCGCACCGTCCATATAACCGTGGCCTTGGAGTACACATGTAAACAGACGATGGCTAACCCACGCGAATCGCAGACCAGATTGGTCTCCACATTACGACTCCTGATCCCCCGATTGCGCCTTCTACAAAAGAAAGATACAGCCTCTTCAGTTGTCCAGCGTCGCGAGCTCTCCCAACTCCTCGGTGAAGGGCGTGATGCATCAGCGCGCATCCGAGTCGAGAATGTCATCGCTACAGATGTTGCAGTGGAAGTGATGGAGATGGTCGAACTCTACTGTGAACTACTACTAGCGCGCGCCAACGTGCTGGACCAACTGGCCTTCGGCGAACAAGGCACCCGCGCCCGCCAGCGCGCAAAGGAGCAATTAAAGAAACGCACCCAGGCACAAGCGGCGGCCGCAGGAACAGCTACGGCGACAAAGGGCGCTAGCGAGAGCACCGGTTCGCGATTCGGGTTCGGTTGGCTAGGCGGTGGATCGCAGAAGAAAGAAGCCGAGCGGGCTAGTGCATCCATTGCTGGACTCGCAGAGGATGGGGACGCTGGTACAGACGAGGATAATCCCTACTTGGACACTGCACTCGATGAGGCCGCTGTCGTGGTGTTCTACGCGTGGAACCGCTTCCCGCACGAGGTGCGCGAGTTCACGATGCTTCGCACTATGCTAGACGAGCGATATGGCAAGGAGTTCCGTATGCTGGCAACAGAGAACAAAGTTGACGGGGTTACTGTTCCTGATCGGCTTCTCAAGAGCTTGCGCGTGCGCCCGCCTGGGCAGGAACTTGTGGAGAGCTACCTCAGAGAGATCGCAAGGGCATACGGCGTGGATTGGCATGGGCTCAATGAGGAGACACCGGAGCTTGGAAGCGCACCCGAGTTTGTTGACGATGTCGAGCCTGAGTTACCTCAAACGCCCGGCAAGCAGGGAGAGCCGGATTTTTCTGAGGCCCGACGGGCATCGGAGACGAGTGAATTGAATAAGGCGACGCCCCCGCGGGGACTCGCAGCTGGGCGCAGCCCTGTCAGTGTTGCACCCCCAGCTCCCAGGACTGATAACCCAAACCCTCGAGTCAAGGTCCCCGGGACGGATGACAAGGTTAATGTTTCAAATAACGAGACAGCGGGCGGTGCACCTAAGAAGACTAATAATGGGATCCCTGAGCTGGATGAGTTAACGCGGCGGTTTGCAGACTTGAAAAGGAAGCCCTGAATGATGAGTCCGGATGCCCCATCAACAGCATGATCTGACGAATGTCTGAGACCAGGCTCTGATTGTTCCCGGATCAGCGCAGGATCGTTTTCTATCGTCGGACGAAGAACGGACTTCAGGAGGATCGAGAGAGGGTACGGAGTAATCAGGTAGCCATGTTACAAGATTAGCAAAGTATGCACGATCTATCACATTTCAATATCACCCCGGCTCAATGGCTACTCGTATCCGTCAGACACATTGTAAATAGATCTATGCTATGTGACAGATCATTTATCTTAGCTGGGGAGAAATGCGACTCACGAAGTCTCTTCAAATAAGTTTCCCAGGTTAACGTACAACTTGAAGGCGTACTCGGAGTAACTAACATGAGACAATCACAAACTCTAAGGAACAAGCTAACAATTACCTGCAGACAGAGTGCAGAACTAGCGAGATTAGCTCAGATCGAGGGAAAATAGTAGAGGATATCTATATTCTCTATACTCTGTATAATATCTTTCAATTTACATAGAGTGGAAAGTAATATACGAATAAAAACCGTCAATGTGTCAAAAAACCGTTGCGCACGGGACACACCCGACCCCAAACCCAATCGCGTTGATACTTATACGAGGTACTCCGACTTCACCTCCATTTTTTTCTCGCAATTCTCATCCGCCTCCGGGCAAACAAAATGCCAGTTTACATGCTCCACGGATTCCGCTGGCCACGCGCAGGCTTTACCGGAATCCGCGTCTACATCGTCCTCCACAACCTCGAAGAAGCCGCAGCCGAATACATCCAGCAACCCCTCACCACAGAACTCCTTGCAGAATCCTTCCACAAAACACAGGCGGATCTCGTTCCGCGCCTACCCGAGTTATCCTTTATCGAGCAATATGATCCCGCCGACGAGACGAGCGGCACGGTCAGTCAAGACCATGCGTACGTTGGCGCTCGAGTCATGGAGATTCCGGACGGCGGCGCCAGCGCCGGCGGGGGTCAGAATATCGAGGATGTGGTCGAGCAGGGCTCTGGGTTAACGGAGGATGAGACAAAGGCGCTGGAAGAGCTGCGGGACCGGCTTGCGCCCGGAGAGAAGATCGGTTGGTATCTTGTATACAACGGGGATCCAGATCGCTGGTATCCAGATTCAGACTCAGAGTTTGAAGAAGAATACGAGAGCGAGGAGGATGTACAGAGTACTGTGCAGAGTCAGCAGCAAAGCCAGCGCCAGAGTCAAGTCCAAAGTCAGGCCCAGAGCAGGATACAGAGTCAGCGACAGAGTCGGGTTCAAGCGAAGGAGGAGAGTTATATGGATCCCCCCAGTCCACAAAGCTATACGGTACGTGTTTATGTCTGTTCCGGACGCATTGGGTGCATTGCTGATTGATCTTAGTCTCGGTTGACAAGGTTCTTCAATCGTTTGAGTTCCGGGTGAGGGCGACAGGCCCTGGGAACTGTTGGATGAAGATATGGTGCTCTTCTTGTCTGGTTGTAACTGGCACTTGCTCCTTACACTGGGCTGTGAAACGAGCTTTTAACGATTTCTACGCTTTACGTTTGTTGATGCTCCTTATATGTGCATATACTGTTATACTAGCTCAGTCAATTGATGGAAGTTTTTGGATTAGCTGATGAAAATCAACTCAACATACTTGGATACTTGGTTATCCTCGTACAAAGTGAGAACTCATTTGCAATTGTGATGGTTTGCGTTTGCTACCATCAGCATGTTTGCTTTTCATGCGTTTGCACGTTTGCACGTTTGCATACTCTGTACTATAAGAGCAGCTCTCCTCATAGACCTCCAATGTCTTCTTCATCTCAGTTCTCTTCGTTGAATTGGACCTTCGTCTTCTGAAGCTTTGCCCCCCTCACAGCAATCATCTTGCTTGTCTTGATCACCTACGTTCAAGGCAGATCATCTAGGCGGTGAACACGGGCAGTATGGGCTGAGGGGAGCTTCGATAACGGGAGTCGCGGAGAACATCCAAAGCTTATTGCAACACTCCCCCGAGGTGGTTTCATAAATGCTGACCAGGTGACATCCTGGCTTTCTATCACAATGGTCCTCTCATTTATTCTGGTTCAGAATCGCCAGTGAGTGGCTCTTCGTCCGGGCTGCATCCAAGGCTAATGATGGTATAGGGGGAAAACGCGCCTGGCGAAGTGGTACTCCCCATACAGTGTGAGTTGCGCTAGAATCCATCCTTGATCGTGATATTTAGGATTGGGCTAATACAGGTTACAGGATGAAGAGAAAGTGAAGCTAAAAGGCGAGGTTCGTCCTGCAATACCACCCGCACCTCCATTCGCTCCGAAGCCATCTAACCGACGCCTGTCCAGGTTCATCGCCTTGTCGCCCCGCGCGATCAAAAATACCAGTCGAATTTCGTCGAGTTCCGCCGCAGCACCAAGGTCGTGTACCGACGATACGCCGGACTATTTTTCTGTGTTTGCGTCGATGCAAATGACAATGAGCTCGCATATCTTGAAGCCATCCACTTCTTTGTCGAAGTATTGGACCAATTCTTTGGAAATGTATGCGAGCTAGACTTGGTCTTCAATTTCTACAAGGTGCGTCTCTCGGACATATAGCCCATGCGCTCAGCGGGGCACGTGGATGTGGAATGTGAGACTGATTTCGATTGATATAGGTCTACGCCATCCTGGACGAAGTCTTTCTCGCAGGCGAGATTCAAGAGACGAGCAAGCAGGTTGTTCTCACACGATTGGAGCACCTGGACAAACTGGAGTGAACGTGATCGGAGACACCAGTTGACGTCTTATCGATTACGAGCCTGTATCAAATCAATGGTCATTTGCATGGAGTTCAGGGGTATTGGGTGGACAATCTTATCTGTTCAGAATGGGAATTGGAGATATCATACCTTACATGCCATCACTTTGGGGCCAATGTCGAAATCACGGACCAATCTGATTGCCAATGCCAAGCCTTTCGTATTCTCGTTCCCCTGCAGACCCTTGGGGTCCGGGACAGAGCTTTGTGCAAGCTATCATCGTAACTGCCGAGGTTACTGCCGTTACGTCGTTGATGCCTTTGATTGGGACCCATATCCCAACTTTGCGGGCAAGGTTAAGCTCTACTTAAAGTGTAACGGTGCGCTGATGTTCAATCGACATCACCTTGCGGGGCCCTTTGACTTCCTAATCGGTCATGGGTAGGTGAGGTGATTGTAGCTTTCGATGGCGAACGTCACTCTATCAGTCTTGGCACCGAGCATTTAAGAAGCCCTGTCGCTGCTGGCCCTCAGGAGGGCCTTCTTTGTTTGATTTCTCTTTGGTTCATTTGCAGTTCATGTGTGCCATACTAGATCCAGGAGCTATGCACGGATGATTCCCAGTCTCGATCTCCCAGAAGCTCATGGAGAGTGATCTACTTATCTACTACAATGCAGCACACATCCATGGCTAACCATCTCCGTCTATACAACCTCACAGACATCCAAGCTCGGCTCTACAAACCAAGATGCTCATACCTGAACTATCACTAGTCAGCCCAGGACACGAGGGAAAATGTCTCAACACGGGACGATCAGCTCGTGTGATACTCGTACAATCTTGGAATGCTCGCCACGAGGTTCTCGAGCTTGCAACGGCATCGCCATGACCCATCAATTTACCTTCGAAACCTTAACAAGTACTCCAATAACCTCCCGTCTACTTGTATTGAGCCACTTACTGCGATTTTGGAGACGGCCTCGAGTCCGCGGCGGATACGAACTCTTATTCAGCGGAAACTCACACCCGAGATGGGCAGGACTACGACGATCCAGGGGAAGGACCCATACCGGTCGAGGCATGACCTCATCTATGTTGATTGGAATATTGGACAGGGCTTGGCAGGTGGAACTTCACAGTCTCGACCACGAGAGCCGAAAGGCAGCTTGTCGGAGCGGGGCGCCACCTTCTCGTACGCGTTTCCCAATTCCGCCCCTGAGCGAGACAGCTGTGGCGTGGAACGGTTTGCACACGGACGTGTATACATCGATCATGGCATGATTTCATTGTATCAGATGAAAAGGCCTGCGGGTTGCAATACACCAAGCAATTGATTAAGACTCAATTTCTCGTGATGCTCTAATCGTCACACTCACAGTTTCAAGCGATATCCACCTGCGAATTTTCTCAGATTACTTACGCGTTGCCGTTCAAGCCCCGGCCAATCACCATTGATACATGCACGGATCGTCCATGCTCCCGGCAAAAAAAAAAAAACAGGTGTGGCTGCTCAACGGGAAATTTCATCCTACGGGAGCATACGTGGATCTCTTGGCAGGGCGGCAGACATGCCAATACGTGTATTTGTGTATTCATGTGTATTCATGTGTATGTTTGGGTTTTCGGTACCGACTCGCCGTGCACATGGTACAATACAAACTGTACACAATTTTATACTCCACAACACCCCCTGACAATCCCTAGCATCCTGCGTCAGCCTGTGACGTCCTGCCTTCTGCGCCTCACGATTTTCGAACTACGTATACCGAACACTGTTCATGCTGCGTTACACTGTATACAGTCGTGGCCTTGTCTATTTTCGAATCCAGTGTCCAAGTTTCCAAATCAGGATACGCAATGGAACGCGGAAGGGGAGTCAACAAGAGGATGTGGAAACATTGCCACTCGCGGGGGAACACATACTTCGGGTCTGTGAAGAGCGATTCAAGGCCCATGATTGGGTGTTGGTACTTTGACAGAACAATCCACTTTACTTATCACTCTACAATCGATCTCCCCTGGGGATGAGTCTAGCTCTTTGGTCCGTTTTTATTACGGATTCTTTTTTTTTTTATATGACATTTACTTCTTTTGGTTCTCCCTTCTGAGTTCCCAGATCAACCCTATTAAAAGGCCCCCCTTCCTTCTAGATTTTTTCTATAAGTCTGTCCCTTCTTTATCTATTTCCAGTGCCATTCTCCCCACACTTTTTCTTTATACTAGCACTTCACCTGTCATATTTAATCGCATTTGAGCTTTACCAACGTCCATCATGTCTCTTATGCTCTCCGACAACCTGGCTCCTCAGCCCATGACTGATATATTCACCGAAGACACAAACATTGACCGTCGCAAGTGCCACCGGACAGTGCCTATGAAGGTGCTCGCTCTGGGTGTTGGTCGTACCGGAACTGCCTGTGAGTACACACTGCATTGGACCATCCATACCGGGTCTACAAGGAGTTGGGATTGTGTAAACTAACTCGGAATATCTGATCAGCTCTGCGCAAGGCCTTTGAACGTCTTGGATATGGCAAGTGTTACCACATGATGTGCGCAAGTGTTGAGAACCCGCCGGACTGTCTCATGTGGCACGATGCCCTGAACGCAAAGTACAACGGCATCGGCGAATTCGGACGCAAGGAATGGGATCAGCTTTTGGGTGACTGCCAGGCCGTCTGTGACTGGCCTGCTTGCGCCTTTGCAAAGGAATTGATCGAAGCCTACCCCAATGCCAAGGTCATCCTGACCACCCGTGATGTCGACCCGTGGCACGCGTATGTTTACTCCCGTCCATCTACTACATCAACAACTAACATCCAAATCTAGTTCCGTTATGAAGACCGTTTTCTGGCGTGTCTCAGACCCAGAGCACAAATTTGTCTCCAACTTCAGCTGGGCTGCCGGCATGTACTACCCCATGTTGAACAAGTTCTTCGAAACATTCTTCCGTGGCGATTTCCAGGGCAAGGGCAAGCAAGTATACGAGGATCACGTCGCCGAGGTCCGCAGCTTGGTTCCCCCAGAGCGTTTGCTCGAATACAACATCAATGACGGCTGGGCCCCACTTTGCGAATTCCTCGAGGAGGAAGTCCCCGATACTCCCTTCCCCCGCGGAAATGACATGGCCGACTTCTACAAGCGTTGCAGCACCCGTAACCGCCACCAAATGATGAACGCTGCCCTTCAGGTTGTCACCATTGGCGGTTCACTCCTCGCTGCTGGGTTTGCGGCTACCGTCGCTTTCAAGCGATTCAGCCGCTAAAAAAAAGCTCGTCCTTGCATATTGTCTTCTACTTCACTTATTCCCCCTGTCTTTCACATTCTTGTTGCCTACTAGTGCACGCAGGCGTGTCTAGTTTTTGTTGTCATTTGACTCAATTTCTGCCATCCTTGGAGCACCTGCATCTCTCATACCCATCTATAATATCTTTTGTTCTGACATTTTGTCTCAAGGTCGCGAAAATATCGCCAGGGAACACTTGGTAATACCTTATACAAATTACATAACTGATCGCACATCTATTTTCCCTGGCTTTTACTTGCATTCACATCATGCGTGACATACGCCGCAACAACCTTTAAATCGAGGGACAAACCTGTTTCTCCAGTTCCCCATGCATTATCGAGACGCAAGGGGCGCCTAAGTGTAGGGGCTTACCGCCGACCTGCAAAGAATTGGACGTGCCAAGTGTACATGGATATTTCAAGGCTGCCAATCATACACTGCGAAATAGACGTCTCCTTGTAATTACTACGAGTAGTTGCATATCCATCACTTTTTAAAAAAAAGGTACCTCGTAGGCATCGGCTTCATTTCACGTAGTATCTTGGCAATGGGATAAATTAAACACACATCTTCTAAACCCGACCACCAGCCACCTGGAACTCTGGGAACGGTTCTCAACTCCACCCGTACTCGTACGAGACCAAGTGAACTCGGACCAGGCGTCTATGTCATTGGGGCGTGGAGATTGCTTGGCCGACTAACGGCTTGGCAAGGACAGTACGAGTATCCATATTTTACAGAAACATGAAATATTACAGAACACTGTCTTCGGGTTACCGTATATAATACCTCTATCTGAATCGTCAAGAATTCTGGCTCGGCTGTTAGAGACTAATGCTCCTGTTATAAAGTTTTGATAATTTTCATTCTCAATTTTGGGAGACATCTCCTCAAGGCTTAAAGTGACTACGTAACCATACGTCGCAGATGTTGGATCCATTCGTAGATGTGAGAGATCGATATTCTGTCATCTTCCGCATTTTGTATACCTGTATGGAGTACAGGTAGTAAACACTTGCACATTGAGAATTGAGCGGGCCTGTGTAATTTGGAAACTGCGTGTGCTAACTCTCGGGGACAGTGGTTGAGCGTCGGTCAGGCTCGGTGGGCCATTGCACTGCGTGAAATGTACAATACAAGTGCGCATGGACATGTATCCCAGCAGCACGACCATACCGGCTCGTGCATGTCTGCTAGAAGAAGTATGAGATCTCCATGAAATGGAGGGTTGGGCAAATCTTCCAATCAATCTCTGATGGCGAGTGATAACTGACGCTTAAAGTATCTTCATGGTTTGCAGCCTGTTGGTCTGCTTGGACGGCTCCACCCTCAATGGCTGGTCAGAACTGCTCGATAAGCTGCAACAACCAATTAATATCCTGGAAGTATACTTGTGCACACGACGTGGAGGGTTGGGCACCGGAGGGCATGGTGTTCCATACCGGCAATGCGAGCATTTGATCCACGATACGATAAAAGCCCGAAGTACTGCTCGGACTCAGCTTCAGGGCTAGACCCCCTGGCATAGAAGGATTGCGTACACTCTAGCTGAGCACTTTGTGTATCATCAACTTGATAGACTGCCGAGCTCACCAACTAGCATACGCAACAAAGCTTACATTGTGTCAGCCATCTACACGTAGCGCTCAAACCTAAGTGTCAGGTTACTCGTAGTTCCATGGTTACACAAATAAATAGTTCTTGACGGATCGGGTATTTCTAAAATCGAGTGGGCTATTTATGGAGGAGTTCATCCACAAACACCCACAAACCGGCACGAGAGATCCCCGAACTGCCAGAGACCAGTGACCAATTGATCCCCACTCCATCAGCAGAAGAGCTCGAGCTTAGGATAGTTTGCGCTCACAGCGGAGCGCCACATTTTGGTGTCGCGGCCATGACGTGGCCTAGCAGTCACTAGTCTAGTGTAGTAGTGTTCAATGCCGGTACCGCCACACATTGAGTTGTGCGAATCAAAAAAGAAAGAGAGACGGGAGAATCAAGGTTTTGCACATGGATGATCGAAATCTTCAGGGGTAATTTCCGTAGCAGACCATTCTGGGGCTTCTGAGGGGGGACGATCATGGCTGAGCAGGAAATCATCCACAAACTTCCATTTTCGAATCCCCCGCAAGTTAAGCAATTTAGCAGGACTGGGCATCTTGGCGCTTCACTCGCGTTGGTCGTCGTGTTCTTGACTCAGCACTTTTTTCTGGCCTTAAAGTAGAACCAGCCAATAACTGTCCAGGGCTGGCGTCAACATTCTCCACTTGTGCAGAACTGTGCAGTGACAGGTGGAGTGAGACTCGTACTCTGCTTGGTCACCTTGGCCTTGGCTTCTTCTGTACAGGTTTTTGTACGAGTAGACACATCCTACATGTTCTGCTATGTCCCCCCCGCAATCTTGAATTTGACTTCTTGATATCTTGTGCGAGGAATGTGAAGAACCCAGGCCTGATGGTGACTGGAATTATCTCCTCGTTGAGGAGCACTCGGCTTTTGCTGATTGGATTGATATGTCTATACGCTATCGATTTTGCGATGGCAGAGGAGACTTCATTCTACAAATCAGTGAGCGGAAATTCTCTTCAGAGTGGCAATCACTACATTTTCTAACCGTTCATCCCACATCAGAGACCCGACATCTACCCACCAGTCTTTAAAGTCGAAAAGTCCGACCCCAACAAACTAAGCCCTGGATACATCTTCATTACACCTTACGAGCTGCAAAATCCTGGACCTTACATATTCGACAACACAGGGGTAAGTCTCGGTTCCAGCGAGGTTCACGTTTGCCGATCACTGACGAGTCACGCGATCAACAGGAGTTAGTATGGAGCGGCTGGGGTATCTCAGGTCCGGGAAATGCGCATGGCCTCCACGTGTGCAAGTATAACGGCGCCGATCATCTATGCTTTTTCCAAGGAAACCAACAAAAAGGTTACTGTCGCGGACATGGCATCATCATGGATCAGAACTATAGAGTGGTACGGTCTATACAGCCAGGCGGAGGAATGGCGTCCAGCGATATGCACGAATTTCGCCCGATCAACGATGGGAAAACCGCTCTAATGACTATCTATCAACAACGACAATTTGACATGACACCGTGGAACGTCAAGACCGGAGTTGGTTGGCTCATGGAAAGTGTTTTCCAGGAAGTTGACGTGGAAACAAGCAAGGTCATTTTTGAATGGCGGTCGCTTGACCATGTTGATCCTTCAGATAGCTTTACTTGGCCGTCGCACACCGATACCTCTGGCACCGGGCTGAATGTTCATGAGCCATGGGACTATTTCCATATCAACTCTATCGACAAGAATGCAGATGGCGACTACCTGATTTCGTCACGACATACCTGTGCGATTTACAAGATCTCTGGCAAAGACGGCTCTGTGATCTGGCGCCTTCATGGTGCCCAGCCCACTTTCCGCAACATCAACTTCAGCTTTTCCCAGCAGCACGACGCTAGATTCCTGTATGAGAACGCCACACACACCTTCATCTCACTTTACAACAACGGATACAACGGGTTCAACAAAACACACACATACTCGTCTGGTATGATCATTTTGATCGACCATGTGGAAAACACGGCTCTTCAGATTCGCGATTACGCCCCAATCTCCAATGACCTGGTGAGCTCTAGTCAAGGAAACCTGCAGATGCTTCAAAATCGCAATGTCTTCATTGGATGGGGCAACAACCCCTTTGTATCTGAGCACGACGAGGCTGGGAATCTGCTGTTCTGGGGTGCATTCGCAAAGGATACTGTGATGAACTACCGTGCCATGAAGTTCGAGTGGAACGGCATGCCAACAGACTCCCCTGCACTTTGGTCATACTCCCGGACAGCTGAGCCTTTCTCTCCAACAAGTTTCTACGTAAGCTGGAACGGCGCAACCCGCGTCAAGACATGGAAATTCTACGGTGCAATGAACATGACCGGACCATGGACATTGCTGGACAATGTCAACAAGACCGGATTTGAGACTGAGTACACCAACGCCAGTTTCTATCTTTGGTCGAAGGTTGAGGGCCTGGATCACGAAGGCAATGTACTCGGTCAATCTGAGACCAAATACACATTCGTGCCCTCAGCGGAGCTGCGCGAGTTCTGCGCGGACTCTACATGCCTGGATGCACCGGGATACGGCTTCCCGGGCGAAGAGGCAGCTCGGCCATTCATTCCTCCCGTGGGAGTGAATACTGTCCCTTGGATTGACCCGGCTAATCCAGGGTCAAACATTTGGACCAATCCATCCGGATATCCGCACTCTTCGGGAACTCTCAAGTACTCGAAGGGGTGGGATCTTGGCCGTAAGTGCGCAGGAGACCTCAGTCTTCAATCTTATCAAGTGAAACAACTCAAACTGACTATTCTTAGGCCTACTTGCGTGGAGTTGCGTTCTTATTGTCGTAATCCCCATTTCCGCCGGAATCTATCTCGGATATCGATTCTATATGAGGCACTCGGTTGACAAACTGCAGGATCAGGAGTCCTCCGAGCCTCTCAACGGAATGAGTGAGCGGAAACATCCCAGAGCTCCCATTGGTCTTCCCTGGTGGAATTGGCGCCGGTGGAATGGAAAGGGCGACCCGCCACGTTATCACTCACTTGGCGGGCGGAGTTCGCAAGAGCATGGACATCGGCAGCGGAACGAATGATTGTTCATTCATCCTTTACGGTGTACTTTCGTTTCCTTCCTGTTACATTTGCATGGATACCTCCCAGTCTTTCTTTTTAGCGCTGCACATAACATATATCCCCTAGAGTTCAAATTCATCAAATTCATCAAGCTTATCATAATACTCGTACTCGTACTTCCAAGGTTGCCGCTCGAACCGAAACAAGCATTTGCCCAAAAATGCCACTAGGAGATTCTAGATCAGATAAAAAGTCAAACATTGAAACCATCAAAAAATAAAAATAAAAAAACCTCCGCGCGGCGCTACGTACGTACGTACTATTCAGAAGCATCTCCGTGAATGTTTCCACCCAGTACGAGTATACGTATACCCGAAAAATACGTAAAGCCGACCGAGACTCCCGCGCCTCTTAAATTCTACGCAGCAGCATACGTATGCCCGGAAGGCGCGGACATTTTTAGCTCGTTGGACTGAATGTTTACTGCCGAGGTCGTACCGATTACCCAAACAGGTCAACAGCTTGTTGTCGGAAGCTTGTCGATTTTGACATAAGGTACCTACCAATTGACTACACGCGCTCCCCCGGAATGCCGATCAAAGTCATTTAAGGAAGGTTATCTTTGGTCCGGTTTCAAAGTGCTGTGATCTGGGCTTTGCCTTATAGGGTCAGTCTGATACATAAAATGTAGTGCCGGAGAATGTGTGACAACAAAAGCAAGCTAATGTATGATGATGTATCAAAGTGGCTTTTTGATTCTGCAACACAATGGAGCTGAAACGCTTGGGCGTTCGGCGCTAGCTGTCGCAAGAGCAGTACGAGTATTGTGTAACTTACGATTGTAACGGTTTTGTATCACAATCAGAGTTCGAGGTACTCAAGCTTAAATTGGTTCCGCGGATCCAATTTCCACATGGAACATTATGTAAGTAGAATGCCCGCCCGCCCACGGGCGCATTCGAATCGAATTGCACTTTAGGGGGCTAGATGTGTAACAGACACTTCCGTTTATGGTATTGATCGAATTGTCAGGAATAAAGTGAAGCGTTTCTAATTTAGTTCCACGGTTCATGACTTCAATTGCCAAGACATCAATCGTCAAAACGCACGGGTGTATTGGCGAGTCATGGCTCAGGGCAGGGCCTAGGTAGGCTCGGCAGGGAGATGTGGATCTGGTCGTCGCAAGCCGGCTGTCGTTGTCGATCCATCGACGTACTCGTATTGAGGTACGAGCTGTATTAGTTCAGGTTATGGGATCTTGTCCAAGAAAGGAACATAAGGTACTATGTAATCCAGATATTTATTTGCATTGCCTTGTATATTGAGTGTAGATTGGCGTGGCAATGTAGTGAATGCGAGTGATATGTAGTATAATGTAATCTACAACGGCATTCCCCCCTTGTGGGCCTATCAATAACAGTACGGAGAAATCAGCGTCATCGACGGCATTCCCCTGTGAAGCCAAGACTGGGAAAGATTAATGCCAAAAAAAAAAAAATACATAGCCAAGTAGATCACACCTCAACCACATCTCCTCTCTCTTTTTTATCCCTCTCATGGTATCTTAGGCCAATTATAACCAATTATAATTACCGCGCAACGACGAAAAATACACGAAACCGAAGGGGGCACGATTCCCACTTTTGTTCATTACGGCACCTTCTCCGGATTACATACGCATTCCTCTCTCCATGCCTTGGTCCGGGAACCATAAATCGAATAATGCCCGCCACGCGCGTACGACTTCCTGGTCGAGTGGCTACCATCTGACCCAAGGCGCAGCACAATCCTCCGAGAATCCAGGCCGCCGCCGACGCGAGTCCAACACCTCCCTCGCCAGCGTTGAAGAAGCCTCCTCTCCCCCGAGCTCTCTCGACGAGCCCACAATGCTCAAGAACACCTCAATGGATATGAGCCACAAAAGCCATGTGCACATCCGCTCCGTCAGCCAGAGCCAAGCGCAGGTGCAGGCATTGCAAGAGCAAGAGCTGCCGGCTGCGCCGCCGCCTCGCCCCGCGCCTGTGACATGGATGTCACTACCGCACAAGGGTCAATTAGCGTTGCTAGGGCTGTGTCGAGTTTTTGACTTCTTGCAAATTGCCTCACTACAGGCTTATATGTTCTATCAACTCAAGTCATTCGACCCAAATCTCTCCGACTCGGACGTTGCGACACAAGCGGGTATTTTGCAGGGCGCTTTCACGGCCGCTCAGTTTGCGACAGCCATTCCGTGGGGTCGCGTTGCAGATGCTGAGTGGGGTGGGCGCAAGTTTGTTCTGCTTGTTGGTCTTGGCGGTACCGCAGTGTCATGTTTGGGTGTTGCATATTCGACGTCATTCGCGCAGGCTGTGTTTTGGCGCTCTTTTGGTGGTGCCATCAACGGAACAGTCGGGATCATCCGAACTATGATCGCCGAGAATGTCAAAGAGAAGAAGTATCATTCACGTGCTTTCTTGATTCTGCCTATTGGCTTTAATGTGGCTTCGTTATTTGGACCTGGTGAGTTGATTAATGTTGTTCATGGCTATGCGATAATTTACTAACCATGTTTACAGTCATGGGTGGTATGTTGGCTGACCCCGTCAAGAGTTACCCTCGCCTTTTTGGGCCCAACTCATCATTTGGAGGTGAGAATGGAGTGCAATGGCTCGAGACATACCCTTACGCGCTGCCAATGTTCGCAAACTTCTGTTTCCTTTCTTTCACTGCCGTCTTGGTTGCGTATGGATTGGAGGAGACTCTTGCATCATGCAAAGGGAAGCCTGGCTTGGGAACATTCGCCAAAAGGTTCATTTCGCGCGGCTGCAAGTCTTTGGTTCCGTCTTCCTCGCCCTTGTACGAGAGACTTCCTTTCGGTGACCACGAAGAAGATGGACCTCTGTTGGGTAGACCCATGGACCGCTCAGAAAGCTACGAGCTTGAAGAGAAGGCGCACAAGCCTGTGCGTATGCAGCGAGTCCTGCCTTTCCGGAGAATCTGGACCAAGAACGTCCTGTGCACACTTGGAGCACAGGCATTCTTCGATTTCCAGATGGGTGCCTTCAACAACCTTTGGCTACTTTTCCTTTCGACTCCTCGCTACGACGCAAATGATCCCGCAAGTCCGGCTCAGAGCCTGCCATTTGCCTTCACTGGTGGACTTGGCATGTTACCCCAAAGTGTTGGCTTCGCAACTGCTATCCTGGGTGTGATCGGCATGTTCCTCCAATTTACTATCTACCCATCTATCAACGGTCGTCTCGGTACCGCAAAGAGCTACCAGTATTTCCTCTCGCTCTTCCCCATCGCCTACTTCATCGCTCCCTACATTTCGCTCGCTCCGTCCACCATTCCACCCCCAGGCCAAGCCAACGGCCCTTGGGTCTGGTTCTGGATCATCGTCGTGTTGTTCTTCCAAGTGACCGCACGAACCTTTACCCTTCCTACCTCCATCATCCTACTGAACAATTGCTCGCCGCACCCATCAGTTCTCGGAACAATCCACGGTATCGGCCAGTCCGTGTCATCCGCTTTCCGAACCATTGGCCCTATCTTCTCGGGTGCATGGTATGGATACGGTCTTGATGTAGGTATGGTCGGCTTCGCCTGGTGGATGATTGCCTTGGTATCGGTGTTTGGCTGCCTCGCAGCTATTTTCGTTTACGAAGGCTCTGGGCATGAAATTCTCCTTCCCGGCGAGGAAGGTGAGATCGAACATGCCCATTAGTGACGTGTTACGATGCGGGCTTGTCTTTTACTCAGTTGGACTGCACATTACTTCAACATTTTGCATGATATCAGGTGTCTGGCGGTTGTTTTCTCATTTCATCTTTGATCTTTTTCTCTCATTGCCGGTGCAGGCCACCGTGTCTCTGAATCCACTTGTGCGGTCACTGCACCGGTGGACAGCATTTCCCATCGGTCCTCATTGACACTTTTTGCATATACCTGTTTCCTTTTTGTATTTTTGGATACCATTTGTTTTGCATATCCCCGCTATCCACAGCATTTTCATTTTGCCATAGAATAGAATATACCAGAGCGCTGGCATGCCGACCCTCATTGAGTCAGATTGAATGAAAGTCGATATACAATGTTCATATACTCAACCAGATGGCCGAGTAGCATGTCTTCCAAGGGTTCGAGCTATAGTGTAGCAGCTACGGTCCAATTCTACCTCGCAATATGCCTGGTGTTATGAAAGTAAACCTGTCTATTCCAAAAGAAACTATATGTGCATTTTAATCTTGAAATCATATCACTTCACACAGCTTACAAGCTCGCGCCGTAAGCCTTGGCGTAACTGACATCGAAAGTATCCTTGTTAACGGCATACTCCCGAATGTAATCTCTCTCGAGATCATGTGTTCTCCGACCCAAAAGAACAAGGCTGTGCAAAGGTGCTCCCATCTCAACGGTGGTCAACTCCTGCAGTGTGCCGGACACCAGCTTCTGGTTAGCAGCTCCAACACGTGCAGCGCCCACAGCCAAGCTATCAGGTCCATAGACACCTTCCTTGCGCTCTTCCTCGGTCTCCAACATCTGCTGCGCGCACTGAGCAACAGTCATGTAGCGTGGGGGCTCGTAGATACGGCGTCCGCGTGCCATATTCTCGATAGATTGTTCCTTGACCTTGATATCGAGCAGGACCAGAGTGTGCAGTCCAATCTGCACATTTTCGCGCACCCGGTCATAGTAGGAAGATGGCTTCCAGTTGTCCATGAAGAAGACCATGCTCACTGTTTGTCCGAAGTTGTACAGCTGCAGGCCGGTGCAGCCAATGCCGGACATGATAGAGGCGTTAGGAACGACATTTGATTGGATTCCAAGCTCGCGGGCACGAAGGACAAGGTCGGTATGGGTGGTAGCGCTGGGGGAGTTAGTGCAAGATCTGATAAGGTGGGGTTGGAAGTCCTACCCAAATGGATCGCCGACCACCAGGAAGACGATATCAGACTTATCGGCACCGGCAAGAATATCGTCACTGCCAGTCTCGACAAGTTCACGGTCTGCTTCAATGACAGGGCGGCCATAGAACTCTTCCTACTGGTATCATGTTGAATCAGTCATCTGTGACATAGAATGAGAGTACAAAGGAGCTTGAAAAGGCAATTGAATTTTCCGAAATATATAGTCTGACCACTTACAAGTTTAGCCTTGTCCACCAGAAGAATAGCTGTGTATGCCTCGAGATAGACTCTCTCGGCCCGCTTCACGATCTCCAGACCACGGACAGTGATATCTGTCTCATCGGCGAGACCAAGACCAACAAGGTGCAACATTTTTGCTGTGATATGTCTGAGTTTCCTGGCAGGGGAAAATCAAATCCAGAGGTCAATTCAGCGGGGAATCAAAGCAAATAGCCCAACTGATCGACAGAAAAAAAGAGTATCTGCCCCGCAACGCCGCATCACCGCCCACATCACCGCCGCACTTCTGGCAGAATGTAGACCGCCTGCATCCCATCCCCAGATTGTAAACCCGTGGACCTCACCCTCTATAGTCAGCATCTCCTCCATCTTGGTCGCAAGTTCTGTAATTGGCTTTCGCCAGCCATACAGCCTACCTGGATTGCGAAGAACAAATCTGTCATATCTGCGTATCGCCATAGCGGCCAGCAGCCATCATGAGCTCCGATCGGAACCCGAAGTACCGACAGGAGATCCAACAGGTGAGCTCTTCCCAGGAGATATTTGCCCCCTATACGCGTTCCCAATAGTCAATCTGGCTCTTGAGACATACTATGTGGTTGTTAAGGAGGGTCCTGCGCCCCCAAGCGCATTGCGCATTGATGGATGTGCCAATCATTGTGTTTGCGCCGGGAAGGTTATGCATGGCAGATGGGTCCCCGAACCAAAATCGATTATGTGGTCATGTCAAGTATCTTGCATTTTATGACAAGAGACAAATATGATGCCATAAAGCAATGGAAGCAATCTGCTTGAGCAATCTACAGTCACATTGGGTGATTTTCCATTCGCGGGTTGTTCAGAGCTTCATATCAAACGTGGATTCTGAATGCTTCTGTTTGGCACATGATTCAAGATCTCTCATCCTTTCTCAATCGAAAACAAGATGATCCGAAGACTTTGTGACTTTGCATAGCAAAAAAGGCTATATGCGCCTGGGTGGCTCCCGCCATTTCGGTGACAGTTATCTTATTTGCTAAAAACCTGTCACTTTGGCAATCCATTCGTTCATCATATGCCTATCAAGCTGTGCATACGAGTCCCTACACTTCCACTAAAAGCAACAAGAGCCAGCGAGACCCCCAAATTGCATTTCAACTGGAGAACGGGAACTATGTCTAATATATGGATGGCTGACAATGTTGCAAAGATGATGTTTGTCTCTGGAGAGACTGCCGAGCCGTCACCTGAAACGACCACACTGATTGAAGAGATCACCCGCCAGCAAGTCATCGAAATCGTAAGCACTAATATGATTGATACGCCCTCAATTCTGGCACTGACGATGATACAGCTCACCCGAAGCACCGCCTTGGCAACCCGCCGTGGAGTTCGGTCCATCTCCACCGACGACCTTATCTTCTTGATCCGCCACGACAAGGCAAAGGTTTCTCGCCTTCGGACTTTCCTCTCCTGGAAAGATGTCCGCAAAAACGTCAAGGATTCCGATGATAAAGGTGGCGGTGGTGATGCCGCAGACTTTGCAGCCGATGAAGCCGCGGGGGCTGTTGCAGGCCCAGCAGACGTAGCCGCCAAACCCAAGAACAAGAAAGCGAAAGTCGGCCTTGCTTGGGATGTCAACAGTTTCTATTCCATCCAAATTCCCGAACGCGAAGATGAGGAAGACGAGGAGGAAGAAGAGCAGAACTACGCAACCCTGCAGCGTCTTGCAGCCGCCGACGAGCGCACCCGCCACATGACCAAGGAAGAGTATGTGTTCTGGTCTGAGTGTCGCCAAGCATCGTTCACATACCGAAAGAGCAAGCGGTTCCGTGAGTGGGCGGGCTTCGGCATCGTGACCGAGTCCAAGCCCAATGATGACATTGTGGATATTCTTGGGTTCCTTACATTCGAAATCGTGCAGACTTTGACGGAGGGGGCCCTCAAAGTCAAGGAGCGCGAGGACAACGAGAAGAATCGCCGCGGGGGTGCCGAAGCGGGTGAGAATTTGAAGAAACGCAAGCGGGAGACTGGTCTGTTTGATCCGCCTGAGGAGGGACGTACTCCAATTGAACCGCGACACGTCCGTGAGGCATATCGCAAGTTGCAGGCGACGCCCCAGAAGGCGGTTGCAATGCTACTACACGGTGGTCGTGTCCCAGCACGTCTCCCTCTAGTTTTGGTAAGCGTTTATCACCGTCTTTTTGTCATTGATTATGCTAACAGAGTTCCTAGATTTGATATTGCTGGACGCATACTGTTACCAGCTGGAGTTCCGGACGATACCCTGTTTTAATTTGTTTTTGTCTTTTTTGTGGTGTCCTGGAGATTGATGTCTCGATATGTAATACTATGTTTGGTTCCTCCACATGTCTACTCATGTACTCGAGAATTACGGAATACAAAGAATATTCCAGTGTAAGACAGTCGCGTGTACTCGTATTGTCATACTATTTTCTTTCATCTACTTAAGTTATCTGCACGGCAACGGTTTAGATTGTTCTAAAAGAATTACAGCGTAGTCGAGATTTGAGGAGCCGTTGGAGTTGTATCCGAAAGTGCAATTAACCATCTAGGTAATGTAGGAGTATGTAGGTAGATCTCATCCAATCATAACATAAATCAAATCACTGGATATTCGTAGCAGTGTTTGAAGTTGGTTTATTCCTGGTGCGTCCGGCGCCCTGAAAGCAAGTCAGTATGGTTAATAAACAGTGGATGGAAGAACCCGGAGAAACATACACTCAGCAAGCTCCTCCTTAGTCAACTCTCGAATGCCATTGATTGATGGGACACTGCCCTGCACGGCACCCTTCACGGTATCAACGGCACGACCAAGCAGACCCTTGGTGGCAACGACATGAGTGGCAAGCTTAGCCTCAAGCTTGATCACACCGATACGGGGATCAGAGGGACCGCCATCATGGACACCATCACCCATGTCGCCAATCCAGGCCTTGAGCGTGGGGGAGTAGTACTTCTCCACGGTGGCACGATCGCCGATGACCGATGCAGAGCCCGAGATAGAAGCCCAGGCACCGCTGACGGGGTCCAGGAAGGACATGTTTGTCTCCTGTGGGTGCACGGTGAGATCCATGGTCTTGCCAGAGAAGAGGTTTGTGTGGAAGATCAGGTCAATGCCGCCATGTTCCTAGTAAGGTTAGTATATAGTCCTCGGCTCGAGTGGAAAGCATCAGGGAATCGTACCTGTGCAGCTAGAGCCATGCAGCGCGATGTGAGATAGTCGCCCTCAGACTGCTTGGTGGTCAACATGCCGAACTTCACCTGGGAGATGAAGCTGGTCAACTCCTCGATCTTCTGAGGCAGGGGAGGGTCCTCGAAGTTCTGTGTCTTGTAAGGGTCCACAGGGTGGTTGCCCGTGCTTGTGTTGATAGTGGCATCTGAAGTAGACATGATGTGAAATGTGTAGAATTGATTGATATGGTGAGTAGCAAAGTGATTCTAAAGTTATATAGTGAAGTAGCTCCCAGTAAAAGCAGCTTTCTTGGAAGCTTCGTCAATGTGACGTCAGTGATTAGATTCCGGTTCAGGAACTTCTCATGAGCACATCGTCTTTTGTTTCTTTTCTTTTCTTTTCTGCACGTCCAATCAAGTCGAAAGCTGAGTCGCAATGTCTCCCGATGCGCGGGATCGATCGCGATCTGCTGCATCGGATACCCAACTCGATTACATCACGGTCTCGCGATTGTCCAGCAGCACCACAAAATTGCCAATATATATGCCGCTGATTTTGGGTGGCTCAAACTTGTTCCCTTGATCAATGAACATTCACAATTTTAATCATTGGTTAAGCTGCAGGGAAACGTTGTGGCATGCCACCTGCTTGAGCCCCACGAGACGCTCGATTTGGTCACGTTGACTGCTGCAAGGCCCGGTAGCCTGCTTGCTGCTTTCGAAAAATATGCAGAGCATTCAATGGAAACACCTATATCCTCACTGAATGGCTCGTTGATGAACATTTTGATCTGCCAAATGGAGGCCGATTCTGACCGATTCAGTAAACCTCTCAGCTGGGAACGCAATGATGTCCTACCTTAGGAGAATTGACCATACCAGATTCAATGCAATGGCTATGAGTCCAATCCAAATTGCTAACCGACAGTGAGCGCATGACCTCTACCAAAAAGGATGACCTGTGATGAGAAAGAGGAGGAATACCGTACCTTCCTGCCCCCAACTGCGAACTTTTCTCACAGCCTTCCTCTTCCCCTGTGCCTTGATCCGAAACCATGTAGAAATTACATCTGTCCGACAAGTCTGCCCATCAACAACGATGCATCCACCTTCTGTCGATTTGCATTCGAGATGCCAGCGGCGGCGCTCCATTATACCCCGAACCCGATCATTGCAGAAGGACTCATCAGTACGGAATGAGCATTTCTCCATTGGACACTCGAGCCTACTCTCGAACCGTTCGACCAGCCAGTCGACTTTGAGGTGTACCCCAGTATAGACCATGGAGTAGAAATGGCGGCTGCTGTGCTTGAGGGCCAGGGCATCTGGGTAAGATAGGTAGGTACTGATTTGAAGGTGCAGTTCTGACGGCAGTGTCATTAAGTCAGTACCAGGTGAATGTGGTAACACCATTATTGCTTTTGTTGTCGAGAGGCACTGATGTCGACACGAAGAGTGTTAATACCGTCTTATAAGACAATGATTCTCGCTGCATAGTCTAGAGAAGTCACAGTGATTCCTGCTACGTCAATCTCAGATCTGCTTGTCGATCTAAAGCAAAACAGTTGCCTACGGCGGTTCTCACTGTTGACTTAAGGCGTCCCGTATAGCCGCTTACTATTCGACGCTAACTGAAACAATGATCACGCCTACACACCCACAATCATAAGAGATAGGCATAAGAATGAATAGAAAGACAACAGGTAGAAATGGGTATTGATACACTCAAACATCAATAGACATGGTCACATGGAGATGAATAGGTCAGATCCAGCTCGATTACCTAAAGAGGTTTAGCGTGACATCGGAGCTCCTTACGCTCCATTCTTTTCGACCGCGTCAATGTGGTGACTTGCAACCACATCGAAATCTCAGTCCTGATTGATCTATTGACCAGGCTGCTAGAGTCATAGCAGTTGATTGGCGCTAGCGATATCAGTCACCCACCCCCAGTGTTCCCCGGGGCCCTCCAAGCAACCTACAACTCCGAACTTCATTTCCAGCGCAGCGGCGCCCCTCCATCTGGCTTGATCCGCAAAAGCAAATTCGACAGAATGGCGTCGCCAGGACAAACCCAAGGCTCCGCGCCTGCAACTCAAGCTCTCTCGCCACCCGCCGAATCCTCCGCCAACGGTGTCGCACCTGCATCCCAGACGCAGTCCAACATCCCAGCTGCAGCTCCTCAAACATCCACAGCACCACAACCCCCACAAGTCCCCGGCACGTCGGCCCAAGATAGCGGCAAATCACGACGACCGCGTGATGTACGACTGGTCCATATGCTTCTCGCCTCACTCGGGGTAACCGCATACCAAGACCGAGTACCTCTTCAACTTCTCGACTTCGCATATCGATACACCGCCAATATCCTACAAGATGCTGTGCATCTTGCCACGGAAGGATATGCCGCTGCGACAGATGGCGCAGCAGGCTCCAAGGGCTCCGCGGAAGTGAACAGTGTTTCTCTCCCGGCATTGCGTCTGAGCATTGCTTCCCGCCTGCATTTCCAATTCCAATCAGGGCTGCCAAAAGAATTCCTTATGGATGTCGCGTCAGAGCGGAACCGTACTGCCTTACCTGGTGTTTCGCGTGGCTTTGATGTTACGGCTGGTGCTCCCAATGGTCCCGTTGGGGCGAATCCAAGCCTCACGATGGGTGGAATGCGTCTGCCTTCTGAGAGATTCTGTCTCACGGGCGCGGGTTGGAATTTGAAGGATGAGTGGGATAGTGATGGCGAGGAAGATGTGCCTGATGCGCCGCAGGCTGGAGCCGGGAATGGCGTTGGCGGTGACGGTGCTGCAGATAAAGAGGACGGCGGCGATGATGATGATGATGACGGAAAGATGGAAGACATATTCGGAGAGGATACAAACATGGGTGAGGGTAGGAATGGAGACGAGGACCAGGATATGACTGATGTTTAAGCGCATTGCTTGACTACGGGGTTCTTTACTTGCTTTGATCTCAAGTCTATGGAGTTTCTGGCGCTTGGTGTTCCTGGTTTTCTGCTTTCGGTCGCATGGAAAATATCCACTGCACACCTTGCGTCTTAGGTTGTGGGTTGCGGGGAGAAGCTCTCGTGCTCTCTAATATGCCCTGAACAGGTAGAAAAGATGGGAATAGAGATAGGTTCCTGTTCAATTGAAACAAGATATGCAATTCTCTGTATATTGTACACAATTCAAGTCCACCCATCGCTTTTGGGTGGTCATGCAATGTAATTGAAATGCCCAGCAAAACGCCTGCTTTATCTGCCTTAGTGCGCCAAGAGAGGAAAAGTTATAACCTTGGTCCGTCGGGTGAATGGGCATATAGAGATGCCCTACGGCGAGTTCGATCGGAGTCCATACACCCATCGAGGGGTGAGGGTGGAAAGACAAAGATGTGCTGCCATAGACCTCAGTGTGCTCAAGAGGACCTCAACATTGATACCGGTAAATAAGCCAATACATCGAATGGCTTAATGGTAGCAACCCTCGAGCAATCCAAAGACCGAACAGATAGAGGTCCTGGCAATTCGACCCGGAGTGAACACAAGCAAAATACCCAAGACGCCAAGCCCAATATAGACAAAAGAATACTCACACAGGAGGTGGAGAGAGTTAGAGACATGATCGATCAGACAGATTTGTAATCATTTCTTCTCTTTCCTCCGAGTCTCATCTTCGCGCATTATGGCGACGACTTCCGCACGTCGCCTCTCAACACCCGCAAGCTCCTCATCGCGTGCGCGACGGCGCTCTTCAATCCCTGCGAACCACTCCTCACGTGCGCGGTCCTCTTCTTCCGGCTTTGCATGGGCAAGCATGCATGAGTTCATTGCGAGACGCTGTTGGCGACAGACCCATGTTGCAGTAATAGTGCGGTTAACAGCGCACTCGGCAAATGCTATGTCAAGTCAAGTTAGCAAATTGAATTGGGGAGGATGGCTGGGGAGGATGCGGAGTGGAGCGGAATGGGGCCATAGGCGCAATGGGCAATTCGCAAAATGCGAACAAAATTAACCGACGAGCTCGGTGCAATAGAAATCACAAGGATCGGGCAGTCGAGGCATGTGAAGAATGGAAAACAAAGAGAGCAAATGCGTACCTTTAATCTCCGGGGCGCAATAGCTTCGTACACGCTTGTAGTACAATAATTTCACTTCTTGTTCTTGGGGGGCTGAGAGCGGAAGAGGGTTGCGAAGATTATTTTGTCTGGGGGGATTCGTTGGAGAAGCCTCGGAAGATGTGGATGGGGTAGTCATTGGGACTGAGGAGGTCGATCTCGAGGACCGAAGTTCGATTTGAGGAGTGTATGGGGTGATCAATGGGTCGGATAGTTTGCTCGTGGCAGATCTGGTTTTGACCCGGTGGTTGGGGAGATAATTGCCAATTGGAAGCTTTGATAGAGTACAGCACAGAGAATCACAAAAGTAGGAGAGTGGCTTCAATGCTTTAACAAATTGGCAGCAAAGATCGAGACCAAGTGGGTGATGTTGATGCGGAGCGCGAGTGAGCCGAGAGCTCGGGCGGAGAGGGAAAAAACCCAGCAGAAAAAAAAGTTTCTCCAACGATCTTCGCATCTTTCCGATTGTCGCATCTATCTTTCTATTTTTCTGACCTCATCTGTGTCGGGAATTAAACATCACCCAAAATGTCGTCTATGCGAAATGCCGTCCAACGGCGCAACCACAAAGAGCGTGGCCAGGTCCAAGGCCGTGAGAAATGGGGTCTCCTCGAAAAGCACAAGGTGGGTTCCCGGCTGTGATGTTGCTTTGATAAACACTAGAAACTGTGTTTTCGACCAAATACGAGGAAAGATTACTAACGTTAGCAGGATTACTCCCTCCGTGCCAAAGATTACAATGCCAAGAAGGAGAAGCTGAAGCGCCTCGAGGAAAAGGCGAAGGATCGCAACCCCGATGAGTTTGCATTCGGTATGATGGGCGATAAGAACCGAACCCAAGGTCGACACGGACGCGGTGTAGGCACCGGGCGAGACTCTGCTGCGGCGCGGGGTCTGAGCCACGATGCGATCAAGCTGCTCAAGACGCAAGATAAAGGATATCTCCGAACCGTTGGAGAGCGATTGCGCCGCGAGATTGAGCGCCTGGAGCGTGACGTGGAGTTGCAAAATGGCCTGCAAAAGTCTCTTGGAGAGAAGGGCGGAAAGAAGGACGAGAGCGAGGATGAGGATGGCTTCGACGATGATTCCGATCTCGACTTTGGCGCCCCCGTGCAACCCAAGCCGAACAAAACCGTGTTTGCTGAAGATCGACAAGACCAATTGGCATTGAAGAGACAGCGGTTACAAAAAGACGAAGTTCCCAGCGACCAAGAGGATCAACCAAGTTCCAAGGCCCGCAAGACCCCGAAAGAGCTGGAGGCCGAGCTTAAGGCCCTTAAGGAGGCCCGACGGGCCCGCAAAATCCGCAAGCGTGCCGTTGAGGCTCGTTCAAACAAACTCGCTGCGCTGCGCAAGCAATATTCCGAGATCCAGGCTGCCGAGAAAGAGCTTGACTGGCAGCGGGCAAAGATGGGAAATTCCGTTGGAGGCACAAACAAGGATGGAATCAAGTGGAAGATTCGCGAGCGCAAGCGTTAATCACCTGGTTTTTCTTTGGAGTTATGAGTGATGAGTCGCTATCATCTTTTTGTACATATTGATACCAACCATAAGAGGCAGTTCGGGCGCATATAGTCGCATTACAGCAATTCAAAAGTCCTTTGTGCTAGCAAATTGATATGCTCGATTTACTCCGTGTCCGTTGCGGATCGTCGATATCTATACGCTACGCGCGGAACCGTAGATACTCTGAATATAGACATAAAGGTAATATTTTGCGTTAATAGATGGCTATAGTACAAATGCCAGACCGGACAAGAATGCTCAGTTTAGTTCTTTTCCGTGGGTTGTCTCTGCATCTGTTTCTGCTTCCGAGCAGCGCCCACTCTTGAGCAGACCTTGAGCTTGGAGAAAAAGAACAAGATCTGGAGAGAGATGATCACTGCATGGGCAGTGAGAGACAACCGTGCCCAATGCTTGTGAAGAAGGTATGCGATGATGATCGGTTCAAGGCATGTCGAGAGAAGGGAGATTCCATATGTGATGTCGAAGAATCGGAAAAGCAGGTCAGTCTGCTTTGCGCAGCCCCGGCGAAGGATGAGCGTTAAGTGAGAGGCAACACCCAATGTTCCGTCGAAAAACACTGTTCCATCCCAGTTAGTCTTTGAGAACGAGCCAATTGGGTAGATGTTTCTTACCCCAGAACGCAAACATATCCGCAAGAGTCCTCGAATGGAAGATGGTCGATAGACCGTTCTCAGGAAGATTGAAAGCCAAAGACAGAAATGCCTGGATAATGACGATTGTTCCCACATGATGGAATACAATCAAGAGCTTCAAATCCTGGGCTCGGAGGAGCTCGAATGTCTTGAAAGCGCAGACCAAATACATCGCAACGGAGGCGACATCTCCTAAGGTAGCGTGAGTGCGCGAGGGGTCCACGAAGTATGAATCAGACCAGTTTCGGCCTCCGAAAACCACCTCGAAGACTCCCTTGGATACTGTCGCTAGCGAGATCATTCGAACAATCCAGTCCAAGTGGGTGATGGAGAACATTCGCTGGAAGCGAGTTTCCAGTTTCTTATATTGCGCTCCATACAGAGTGGGCAACACGAAGGCCTGTAGAACAAACCGATCGAGAATGAAGAAAGTGATGAGGAGGCCTGCGATGGCTGGGGCCATGAAGTTGCCCAGTCGTGTGATTAACATGCAGTCGCCATAATAGTGTGGGTGGGCGATGAAGGTGTCTTCCGACAAGAAAGCCTTGCAGCCAGAGCTAATCAATCGTTCGGGCTGCATGTTCTAGGTTGAGATACAGCGGGTGGAGATGTGACCGACAATTTCTCCAGGACTGTCACTTTATATTGTTTATATTCCGCTACAACCTCCTACTGCCTTATGCTCGGCCCCTGCTCGGCCCTAAAGCGACCCACCTGCAAGGCACGGTTTCGCGACAATTGATGGATGGACTGTAACAGGGTACGAGTAGGTCCCTGAAACTGATATATGAGAACACTCTAAGAAGTGAAAGTTTGATAACTGGGCACCTCTTGCGCTGCTTCTCGGTCGAAACACAAGACCACTGCACCATGAGGCCTAGAAAGAAGCGGAACTATATCACTTTTAGGAAGTTTGACTCGCTCATCAATATTCGAAGGTCAGAGCCATGGATATCATATGGAGACCGAGGGATATTAGGTTGAGAATTCAAGTAACTGGCTAAACCAAATCAGTCAACGATATGCACAGAGAGGCCCAGGGACCTTTAGGGCTGGAAATTCCCCAGAAGCGAAACCCCCAAAATTCCAGGGAACACAAATTCCAGATACCTTAATTTGAGGCTACTCCAAATTACAGAGGACTTCACATGAGGGTTTGACAACGGGCTCCACCCATATGATACGGGAACTAAACGGAGGCCCCAAAATTGAGAATTAAGGTGTCCAATGAGTTCGACTGATCAATCCAGTGAAAGGATTCTGAGGAAACGAACGGCATCTAATTAGTCTCTTTGGAGAAACTCCCGAGTGCCCTCTCCACACTTCAATCCTCAGACCCACTGTGCGAATATCATTGCCTATCACAGCGATTTGAGACGAACCCGAGACTGTGAAGGCCCATGATCGCCCCGGTGTCCCTTATTTTGCCTGCTTGACCGTTTTGACATGTCATGAAGCGAGCACGGGGCTCCTTGTACCTACCTACTTGCTACAAACACGACCTCGGTGATGGACATGTGGGTCAACGGAGACCATCGGGATTTCTTACGAGAAAACCGAGCTATCGAATTTCAATGGCCTGTATTCCGAGGTCGTCAAGGATCCACTAGCTCAAAAAAGCGTGAGAAGGATTATTGGGCTCAGATTCTCACTGCGTCATACTCGTGGTGCTACTCTCATCTCATATATGCAAAGTCTTGCCTGGGGTTCTGAGTGACTCCGCCTGGGATGATGGGAAGGAGAACATCCAAACTGACGATGAAATTGACAGAGTCTCAGCGCTTTACACTCACAATTGTCGCTCTGGCAAGTGTGTCGCTCACTGTCTCTCTGAGCTCTACCTCAATGAGCAATGCTGTCCCGGTGATTACAAGTCAATTCCATGGCACGGATGTGCAGGCCTTTTGGTCTGGCACAGCAAATCTACTGTGCTCTGCAGTCTTCCAGCCCGCATTTGCAGTGTTTTCTTACATTTTTGGCCGAAAACCTCTGGTAAGAAACCCCACGCCCTGATCAAAATGGATGCTAAACGACAACAAGTTCATAATCGCCTCACTACTGTTCTTAGCTGGCTCGGCCCTTGCCACGGGCTCTCAAAACTTCGATGTACTCCTTGTTGCCAGATCAATCCAAGGCTTCGGCGGTGGTGGGCTGCTCACGCTGTCAGAAATCCTTATCGCAGACTTGACGCCTCTTAGCGAGCGCGGAAAGTGGATTGGCATCCTCAGCATGATGTGGGCTATAGGATGTGTAACTGGGCCTGTCGTGGGTGGTGCTTTGGCTCACAGAGGTAAGCTCTCATCAATGGGGATGCTCGAGGATATCTAACGCCTGATCAGATGTTTGGAGATGGATCTTTGCATTGAATCTACCGCTCGCTAGTATTTCACTTGCACTCATCTGTATCTCTGTGCAGCCTCGCACTTACTCCACCAGCTTTTACGAAGAAAGCACCAAGCAGAAACTCGGCCGTGTGGATTGGATCGGATTTGGCCTCTTTATCCCATCAATATCCAGTTTCCTGATCCCACTCACCTGGGGTGGTGAGCTTTTTGATTGGAAAAGCTGGCATACATTGGTGCCGCTTCTTGTTGGTGTCGCAGGCCTGGCAGCCTTTGTTATCTACGAGATGTTCATTGCCAAAGAGCCATTCTTGCTGAAGACGATCTTCCGTGACTGGAATGCAAAGCTGGTCTATGTCCAAACGTTTTTACATGGTTTGATCGTGAGTTGATACTGTTTCTGAATATGTTTTACCCAAGTTTGAGAATGCTAATATGTCTGAAACAGGTCTGGTGTCTTCTATACTACCTCCCTCTGTACTACCAAGCCGTCAAGTCATACAGTGCTCTTATGTCAGGCGTTGCCCTTCTACCTGAAACGTTCAGCATCACTCTTGCAGCTGGCCTAGTGGGGTTTGTGATCGCGAGCACAGGCCGCTACCGCGAGGTTCTGACAGCAGGATGGGTCGTCGCAACAACCAGCCTTGGCACGTTGTATCTACTCGATGTCCACACCGCAATCTACCAGTGGGTTCTCATCAACTTCTTTGTGGGGATGGGAACGGGCTCTCTGTTCACGAGCCTAAATCTAGCGGTCCAGTCAAACATCGCCCCTCACGAGGTTTCCCATGCCCTTGGATTTTTCGCCTTTTTCCGCGCCTTGGGCCAAGCAATCGGTGTTGCCATTGGAGGTGCCACTTTTGATAACATTTTCCGATCGAAACTGGCCCAAAATGCGGAGATAGCAGCATACCAAGACCAGTTGAGTAAAGGCGCCGCGGCGCTGATCGAGATCTTGAAAACAATTCCCGATTCAGATCCCCGGAAGCCAGCCTTGATCCAAACCTATGCGGATTCGCTGAGGTTGCTGTGGCCGGTGATGTGTGGCTGCGCCGGACTCGCGCTACTGTTTAGCCTCTTTATTAGGCACCATAACCTGAGACGAGGTGAGTCAATTTCCCTGGACCTTCGGTTGAAAACCCTGCTAATTGATACCTAATAGACGGAGAAGAGGAATATGCCACTGATACCCCTATGGAATCTATAGAAGAGCTTGGACATGGCCACTTCAAAGGCCCAAAGTATTGAGTTACGTGAAAAATGCCATTTTGTTTTACTTCATCACCGAGGACAAGAATGTGTTCGGAGTAGGTAAATACTCGTCCCCGTAACTTCGTATGTTCGTATAACCTCAAACACGAAAATACGCCATCAAAGCTTGGGAAAAGCCTAGTGCCTTAACAGAAATTTGACCGTGTGGAATCCACCGAAACTTCCCCACTGGAGCGCAGATGGATTTCTAGTTCGGCTACGGACAACGGTCCAGTGGAGTAGAAAGAGCAGAAGCCAAATTGGAAAAACGGTTCAAAAAGAAACGAGAAAATCGAAAAGCAAAGAAAATAATAAAAATCCGCCACTCTATCCGGGGGCATTGAATATTCACGTGGGCAAAGGGCGTTTTCGCCGAGCCTCCACGACTCAAAATTGAAGCCGACATGGAATATAGGCCAAACCAGCAAAATTTGAGAAATTTATTAGCTTGTTTGTACTCCATACTTCGGGCGAGTCCCGGCCAGATTTCCCATCTCAGCCAGGATCTTCATTTATTTTCCTCTTCCTGAGCTGTTCTATCCAATTGACCAGTAATTGTTTCATCCATTCGCGGTGGATCTTCACATCCAGGTACAAACGGTACTGTTTCATTCGGGCCCTTAACATATGATGATCAACTACCCCGTTCGCCACACATGAACGGGGCACGATGATCGGGGAGAAATGGATCTGGTCTGGGTTCCTGGTTTTGGGAACTGGTCTGTAAACACGGTCGATTTCCTAGAAGAGGGTTGAGAGTGTCGCACCAATCTATTGACCACCGTCATACCACTAGGATCAAAGTTTAGACCATCTCTTGACAAAAAACAATTTGTATACGAGCCCAACGTTTGGGGTTGCTGGTTTTGACTGGTCAGACTTGAGGTCCTCTTTTACCCACATGCTTAATGACCTCCCGTAGATAAGATCCTTATAGCCCGTCCTGAATACCTGAAGTCTTTCACTACATTCTATTGTCGTCTCTTATTTGGTATCGATCGGGCTGGAACTATCTACCAAACCTTTGACCATGTCTACACGGCAAATGTCTCCTCAGCACCAGGAGAAGGGTGAAATCCCTGCCAACAACAATCCTGCACAAGTAAAGAGAACACCATGGTACAATCAATTGGACTGGCTTATGGTCACTATGGTTCTCCTCGTTCCTGCATTCGCTGGCCTGAGCACTATCTGGATTCCCTTCCAAAGGAAGACACAGATTATGGCATTCTTCTATAGTCTCACGAAGGGATTCAGTATCACAGCAGGTAGGCACTCATTACCACTTTTGATCTCGAGATAAGTTGTGGCAACATACTGACTATAAACAGGATACCACCGTCTTTGGTCTCACAAATCATACACAGCCAGCAAGTCTCTCCAAATATTCCTGATGCTCTTCGGTGCCGGCGCCGGACAAGGATCAATCAAGCTTTGGACTCGGGAGCATCGTGCCCACCACCGCTATGTGGATACCGATCAAGATCCATACAGCGTCCAGAAAGGACTCTTCTACTCGCACGTTGGCTGGATCATCTTCAAAGATGACCCCGATAGAATCGGCCGTGTGAATGTGGAAGACCTGAAGCGAGACCCAATTGTGAAGTTCCAAGCCGACTACTACTGGCAACTTTTCCTGCTCATGGCATACCTGGGACCGACCTTCATTGCCGGACTAGGATGGGGCGACTGGCTCGGCGGATACGTCTACGGTGGTCTGCTGGGTACGGCTCTCGTCCAGCAAAGCACCTTCTGCATCAACTCTCTCGCTCACTGGATGGGAGACCAGCCCTACGGAACCTTCAAGTCTGCTCGAAACTGTTTCATTGTTGCCATCCTGACGCTCGGCGAGGGATACCACAATTTTCACCACGAATTCCCCTCAGACTGGCGCAACGGTGTGCGCTGGTATGAGTTTGACCCTACCAAGTGGAACATCTGGCTATGGACCCAGCTTGGTCTTGTCACTGACTTGCGTTTCTTCTCTATGAATGAGATCAACAAGAGTATGCTCCAGGCATCTCAGAAAGAACTCGATAAGAAGGTTGAGGCTGTTCAATGGGGTGTACCCATAGCAGACCTACCGGTGATGCTCTTGGAGGAATACTACAGCCAGGCCCGATCTAGGAACTTGATCTTAATCGAGAGGATTGTCTATGATGTGACAGAATTCCACCAGATCCATCCTGGTGGTGTGGGATTGATCAAATCTGGCTTTGGAAAGGATGCGACGAGGATGTTCAATGATTTGTACAAGCACTCGAATGTGGCGACGAACCTCCTTGCGGGCATGAGGGTCGCGGTGGTTGATGAAGATATGTAGGCTGGCTGTCTGAGTCGATGTGATACCATTTAAATGTTTTACGAAAAGAATTCCAACATACCCCTTTTTTTTTAAAAAAAAAAACTTTTCCTCGTCAATTTTCTAGTGTGCGCTCAATCAACAACCTGGATTGTGTGAATTAAGTGGTGTTTTTGGAGTTCACCCGTGGACCCCATAACGAATAGCGTACATGGCATGTCTGCAATGACATTTCAAGGTTTACCAACAGTCTAAAGTTCGCACCTTCGAGCACTTGCCAATAATTTGGAGCCTTAGATTATCTAAAGATTACTTTCACTCACCAACCTAAAATGAACTTTAGAAGGTGTACATTATCTATTATTTTCAAGTTCATTGTGATACTACTTGAGTACTGGCAAACACCGAGAACCTTGGAAGAACCCCGGAACCATCTATAGATGTCATGAACTATTTGAATCATAGTACTTAAGTATGATATCCAAGGCTTCCAAGGACAACTTTTCTGTTTATTAACTAGTGCAGCATGAGAATGCTTTACAACTTGTAGGCATTTCAAATGTTCCAAGGTTTGATTTTCTACCAGTTCGCTTTCAACCAAAATACTACTTGCATTCGGCATATGCCCTCGTCCAATGAACACCCTGCAGACTTCGTACTTTTGATTCAAACCATACATGTACCGCATTGACTGAACCGCTGATCTAAACTGTAGTAGTGATGATATCCAATATCAACCCCCGCCTGTACGGAGTAGAATAAGCGTGTTTGATGACCAAAAGCGGAGCGCATATGCGCGCTGCGGGTATTTCAACCTCGGGATATTGGCCGATGGACCAACTCCGGGTTCATGGTCATTATGGGAAGTATATGAAATCAACACCAGTACAACTTGGCCATTTCATCGGCCATACACAATAGACATGGCAATGTACAGAGTAGGATGGGTTTTTGCGTAGTTCACTTGGAATGCGACCGGAGCCAGACCGGTCATGTGATCTGATATGTCCAAACCCCCATTGGCAAACGGAACTATTCCCATCTCCTCGGAGATCGAATTCCAATGACCAAGACAGTTTAGGCAATTTCGAGAATGCAAATACGGAGGTAATCCGCGCGTGCTGATAGGCGGTCACTGATTAGCTTAATAATGCCCCTCCAAGGTGGGTATGACTAATGGTCTATCTTTTATCTAAATATTCATGTTCGCCACCCCTCACTTCACTCCTTTCTATTCCCCTTAACATAATTGACTGTACAATGGCGCCCTCCTTTATGACCATTGATACCAACGACACGGACATGGACTTCTCGCCGTCCAAGCCCGTGGCAAAGCGCACTCTCCTTCTCGCACCCCCCTCCATAGCCACTCAAGAGGATAAACTCCGCGGTCTTTTCACCACTTTCGACCGCTCAATCACAGACCTCCAAATGCTCGACCGTCTTTCTGCCGGCTTCGTTTCCCTCCCCGCATCTTCCTACGACCTCGTCCTCGTCCTCACCGACACAGACGGCTCTCGGCGCTCCGAGGCCCTCAAGCTTCTCACACGAGATGTCTTCACAACTCTTGTCCCCTCAATGAAGCCAGGCGCCAAGCTTCAAACCCAAGATTCCGCCATCACCGCTTCAGACTCTATGGAAGCCATCCTGGCCGGACTCGTCCAGTCCGATACCGGCTTCGAAAAGCCAAACTTCGAACCCACAGCCGCTGTCCCTCTCAAATTCGGCTTGAAGAAAAAGAACAAGCCCACCGCTCCTCCTGTCACAGCCATTCCTACTGGATTCGCCGCACCAACGCCCAATGGCACAACGAACCACGACCGCGAGGACGAGGACGAGCTCATTAATGAAGATACACTTCTCACCGAGGAAGATTTAACAAGACCCATAATGCCTCGTATGTCACCATTCCAACCCTACACAGAAATCATCTACTAATAATTTCCCAGCCCCAGAGTGCCAGCCCAAGACCGGACGCCGCAGACGTGCCTGTAAAGACTGTACCTGCGGTCTGGCCGACAAATTGGAAGCAGAGGACAAGGAGCGCCGCGCAAATGCCGATAAAGAATTGAACGTCATGAAGCTTGATACAGGCGATCTTGCTGAATTGGACTTCACCGTCGAGGGCAAGACAGGCTCTTGTGGCAGTTGTGCCCTTGGTGATGCCTTCCGCTGTGACGGATGCCCTTACATGGGTCTTCCTGCGTTCAAGCCTGGACAGGAAGTGTCCATTTTGAACGATGTTGCACAATTTTAAACATAATGGTTAACGTCTACTCTTTTTTGGGGGTTCCGGTTTTGGGGAGGTTGTCTCCAAGGTTGCATTGGGCGGGTTCTAATTTTTTTGTCATCTAATTTTTTTGGTGTTTTAAAAAAGTGCTAGGAGTTAAGCATTGTCAATTTACTTCCGGTTTCATTTTTATCTGATCTATGATGTGCTCGAGGGCAATTTTTTCTTGGTGGAGACCAACGTCATTGGGCGTCGGATCTGATAATGATCGCTGCCCTACGTCCCGCAATTGAACTGCCAATTGCCGAACATTTTTTTTACTTCAGTTCCCAGGTTATTACGTGTGTTGCTTTCTGTATATCCAATTGCTGGATGTAGCTACCGAATATGGAGTATTAGCCACCACAATTGACTCCCCATGTCTCTGCATGAACCAAAACATGTACAACGCGAGATCTTCTCTTAGGTTACACGGTTACACAAGCTCGTCAGATACTTAGAAAGAAGCCTTCTAGGGTACTGAATTTACTTTTGGCTATCTGTTCATGGCACATCCCGTCATGATAAAAAAATAAAGAAAATGCAAACTAATGATCCACAACCTATGACTGGTTCTTCTTCATTTGAGCAACACGAATGCTCACAGCACGCTTGTGCGCCTCAAGACCCTCCACGGCAGCAAGGGTCTCGACAGTCTTGGCAAGGCCGAGCAGACCGTCGGCAGTAAGGTTGGAGCTGGTGATGTGCTTCAAGAAGGAACCCAAGTTGACACCAGAGTATTGCTTGGCATAACCATAGGTAGCTGGAGAGTATGTAAGTAATTATTAAGCAGAGAGAAGTCAAAGGGCACTTACGCAATGAGTGGTTCACACCAGCGGAGTAATCACCAACACTCTCAGGGGTCCAGGGACCGATGAAAACGCTGCCTGCATTTTGGACCTGCTCGACAACAGACTCGGGGTTCTGGACTTGCAGGATCAAGTGCTCAGGGGCGTAGTCGTTGCTGAGGACCATGGCCTCGTTAATGTCGCGAACGACAAAGGTGACGGAGTGCTCGAGCGAACCGCGAACGATATCCATGCGGGGAAGGGCCTTAGCCTGGGCATCGACCTCGTCCTCGATGGCGCGCAGCTCCTCCTCGCTCAGGTCGACGGCAATGAGAATGACCTGGGAGTCAACACCGTGCTCGGCCTGACTGAGCAGGTCAGATGCGACAAAGGCCGGGTTGGCGGTCTTGTCGGCAATCACAAGAACTTCACTGGGACCAGCGGGCATGTCGATGCTGACACCGGCGGAGGTGTCGTTGGACACGTACATCTTGGCAGCTGTCACGAACTGGTTGCCAGGTCCAAGAATCTTATCGACCTTGGTGATGCTCTGGGTGCCGTAGGCCATGGCAGCCACAGCCTGAGCACCACCAGCAAGAACGATGCTTTCGGCACCGACCTTGTGGGCGACGTACACGATCTCGGGGGAGATGCTACCGTCCGAGCGGGGAGGCGAGGCAAGGACGATCTTTTGGCAGCCTGCCACCATGGCAGGGACACCCAACATCATGGCGGTGGAGGGCAACACGGCAGTGCCACCAGGAATGTACAGACCAACACGCTCGATAGGACGGGAGAAACGGGAGCAAACGACACCGGGCATGGTTTCCATGTGGAGGGCGTCGTTGCTTCCCTTCTGTGCAGAGTGGAAACGATCGATGTTGCCAATGCTGACATCAAGTGCCTCCTGAACCTCAGGAGCCAACTTCATGAGCTCGGGAGAGAAAGGTGCCTTGATGACGGGGGAGGTGAGTGAGGTAGCCTTCTCGAACTTGTGAGTGTACTTGAGGACCGCGGCGTCACCGCCGTCACGGACATCCTGGATGATTGGCTTCACCAATGCAACGATGGCATCATTAGACTTTTGAGAGGGACGCTTGAGGTAATCAGAAACGACCTTGGGGGTAGTAGAGGAGGTAACAACACGCGTCATCTCAATGCGAGATGTGCGGTCCTCTACAGGCGCGGGAGCAGGGGCAGGAGTGGGTGCAGGCTTGGCCAAGCCGGCCTTCTCAGCCCACGGGCCCTTGGCGTCACCCTTTCTGCGCTTGACCTTCAAGCTCTTCAGGTCAAGGTTGCGCTCGATATCCTCGAGGCTGACACCGGCAGCGGTGCACTTAGTCAGGGCGAAGTAGAACAGATCGGCAGCCTCGAAAGCAACCTCTTCCTTGGTCTGAGCGCGGCACAATTCATCAGCCTCTTCCATGATCTTAGCATCAATAAGCTTAGGCTCGTTGAAGAGGCGAGCAGTGTATGATCCGGCAGGGGCGTCGGCCTTGCGAGCGTCCAGAGTCTTCTGAAGACGAGACAGGCCAGCAGAGGCACCGAAACAAGTCTCAGTACCGAGGTGGCAGAAGCCTAAGAAATGACCGTCAGTACATAGACACCAATCAACTAGTCAATTCGTCCTTACCACGTCCAATTTGCTTGACAACGAAAACCAAACAGTCGGCATCACAGTCAAAGCCAATGCGAATTAGCTCCTGCACATCACCGCTGGACTGACCCTTGTACCACAGCCCACGCTTTCGGCTCTGGTAAACACCAGTTCCTGTGCGGAGGGCCTCGACGATGCTCTCGTCGCTACTCCAGACGAAACCAAGGCATGCACCTCGCTCATCGGTCACCGAGGTCGCGTACAGACCATTGGCCTGATCAGTAACCGCGCGCGACGCAATAAGCTTGGCAGCAGAAACCTTGCCCGCGACATCCCGCTCAACGGTCAATGTCTGAGATGAAACGACGGCAATTGCGCCCTTTTGTGTGACCTGCGAGATAGCATCCTCTGAAACCTGTCCAGTGATTGTAGCAAAGAGGCGTGGTGAGTCGGAAGCAATCTTCAATTTCTCGGCGGCGGCGGGGACGGCAGCGGGTGCGGTGTAAACGCTGGCCTCGTTACGCTCGGGATTGGCGGCGATCCATTGCTGAAGGGTATCCAGTTGGGAGTCTGATTGGGCATTGACGAGCAAGCGGGATGAGGGCACAGATTGCTCCTCAGAGAGGGTGGTCAATTGATCCAAAGTGATCAAGATCTTGGCGGCACCGGCGTTAAGAATGTCAACAAGATCCCCCGCTGAGGAGACCTCAGTCGCGTCGACGAAGACATCAAGGGTGCGGAAATTCTGTCGCAGGAATTGCTCTGCCTGAGCGAGTGTAGAGACCTTGACCAGGACGCGGCCGAAGTAGGCAATCTGCTTGAGAGAGAGGCCGGAGTCGGAGGCGGGGGAGGGGTCGTGGGAGATAAGGATTGGGGTCGCCATGATGAAGGGACGAAGGGGCGAAGAGATGTAAAAGAGAAAAGAGATGAAACTCCTTTCTAGTATTAACTCTCTTTTCAAGAGAAGATAAGTGGGAAGTCTTGGGAAGGTCAGTATGACTCTTGTGTTTCTTTTTTTCTCCGCCTCGGCAGTTCCCGCTGATTCATCGATTAGCCGCTCTCTACTGTTGGTCAACGAAATGACTGTTTCTTTCTTTTCTCTTGTTTCTACTTCATGTGAGGGGTTGCAGATGGGAGGGGTTTCAGCCCATCTGCAACCCCTCTCACCATACATGGCAAACTGCAAGGGTTCATCCTTTCTCAAATCTCATAAACAATCTTATAGGCCGACACCCCACCATCCCGGTACTCTTGGAAGCCTTGGGCGACCGACTCCAAGCCATGGAAGATCTTGGCTTTGTTGGGCTTGACTTGGCCCTGTGCTAACCACGAAGGCAAACGTTCAAACAATTCGCTGGCCAACTCATGATCCTTCTGCGAGGCCTGTTTGTAGTGAGCATGGAGATTCTGGAACCTGCAGGGGGGTGACTCACCGGCCAGTGGAACTCGCCATATCCGTGGTCTTTAAGGAAAGCCGTCCAAACCAGTACATCGGTAACATGCGTGTTGGCAGTGACATACTCGGTGTTTGCCTTCCCAGGCCTGACAGTACATAGATTTCCTGGACGGTCGCCAAATGCTTGTGAGGATTTACCAGAGCTGGTTTTGTCGCCAATGCTGTCGAAGACATGCTGAATGTCCGGGGCGGCCTTGGTGATGTTCGCAATCACATCGGGATCATTATAGTCAAAGACATGCTGAGCGCCGTATGATCGGACGAGATCCGCATTTCGTGGGCTGCAGGTTGTGATGACATTGAGCCCAAAGATGGATGCTAGTTGGATAGCATAGAGACCCACGCTGGCTGGAGAGGATTAGTACCGCTAGAAGAGTACAAGTTCTCAGCCTCAGATTTTACTCACAACTGCCACCCCAAATTAGCACACTAGTGCCGGCTTTAAAGCGATCAATATTAAGACAACCCTCGGAAAATAGGGCAAGCCAGGCAGTCGTCGCAGCGAGAGGAACTGAGCTCGCCTCGGCCCGCGAGATGTTGTCGGGCACTTTGAGAGAGATGCGCTGATCCGCAATGCTGTATTGACTATATCCGCCCAGTCCCGAGATTTCGCCTAGATTGATCAGTGGCTATTGACAGTAACATTTCTTCCATCACTTACCGCCCCAGATCAGACCTGCCACAATGTCACCGGGGACTAGTCGAGTGACTCCCTCTCCTAGTTCGGTGACTTGTCCAACAAAGTCGCACCCCAGCACAGCACCATCCCCAAAGGCATTACTGTCAAAGCATTGGACTGCGGCGCGTGAGCCTTGTCGGTGCAAACTGAGGTGTTTAACATACCGTCTGTTGGGTTCTGTGCGACATGCGATACCTTGACTTGCACTTGGCCTGCATTGGGTGTTGGTCGGGGAAGTTGCTCTTTGACCAGTTTGGGGTGCTCTTGCACGCGCACGACGAGTGATTCGCTTGCCATGTTGAATTTGAGAATAATTAAACAAATTTAGCGGTTCAACAAGATCCTGATATACTACTCTTCATACTTCAGGTCCCCACATGCAGTGCCGAGCTGACAAATGACCGGCAAGTGGAAGCGCCTGCGGAGAAATGTCTCCGGCAACTCGAAGCGCCGGGGAGTTCACGTAGTCTGCAAAAGTGGATCTAGATCCACGGTGTAAGAGTAACTATTCGGACCTTGGGACACAGCTATGTCTGCTGGGGGTGACACAAAGCCAGTATCATTCTGATGCAAGGGCCCGGTGCGAACAGTCTAGAAATGGACGTAGTGACACGGGCATATATACTTGATCCGAATGGGATCTCAAATCATGTGTTTAGTGATTTTGATTGAAACCAATGGGTTTCTAAAGTTGAACTTCGATCCCCAGTATGCGCAACTGGCCCTGGGATCTCAGATTAATCTTCTTCAAATCCCCAAGCTGGTCCACTGGTGTATCACAACACACAATACCCCCTTTGAAGGCCCGATTTTCGAAGTCCACGGAGTGAATGAAGTCACGTAGTGTACAGCGACCAAGTCAGTCTTTCCAGTCTGGTGATAGAACTGAGGGGTTACATGTCAAAGCACCGTGATTTTGTGACGGGACTAGTATCCCGCCCTAATTTCAAGGATCAAGTACCACAGGCTCCCAGGTCACGCTAGGGAGTCGTCTGTTGCAGTCACTCGAGTAGGCTGGATATGAGCCTGGTTGAGTACTATGTGAATCATCTGTGTAGAGCACATACGGAGTAATTCATACAGATCATGGGCTAGGGGTGCTCCATTCTCCGTGCCAATCGCGCCCTTGCAGATCCCCCAGGCGCCCCCTGAATCTTAAGCACATTTAGTCCGATTAATTCCTCTGGAGTTCAATAGTAGATGTACTCCGTACACTGTAACTAGTCCAATGCCCCTAATGACTTCAGAAAAATTTTAAAAAACAAAAAAACAAATAGACAGGTCGCGTGCCGACCACCTTCCTTTCAATGTCTCCTTCTCAATTGTAACCTCAACATTTGCACTTCTCGCATTCCACACTCCCTTCATATTTAAAAATCGCATTGGCCTGCTGCATTGCAGTTCAGGCGGTCCTTCGTTCGCGATCCCCTTTGGTTTGACTCCTCAATCATTACTTGTTTATCTATACTACCGCATCATGCGTGTTTCTTTCTCTCTCCCCGTGGTAGCACTAGGCCTCGTGGGCTCAGCAGTTGCTTATCCATACGACTCGAAGCCTCTGTTCCGTCGCGACTCAGAGAATCAGGATAAGGCCAACGCGGTCAAGGAGGCCTTCCAGCATGCGTGGGATGGTTATGTAAAATATGCCTTCCCGCATGATGAGCTACACCCAGTGAGCAATGGTTATGGTGATTCGAGGTGAGTGTTATACTTCAAATGGGGAGTAAGTGAGCTAACCCAGTCGCAGGAATGGATGGGGCGCGTCTGCCGTCGATGCACTCTCAACTGCAATTATCATGGGCAACAAGGATGCTGTCCAGACAATTCTAGACCATATCGACACAATTGACTTCACAAAGACAAAAAATGAAGTCAGTCTGTTCGAAACCACCATTCGCTATCTGGCTGGCATGTTGTCAGGCTATGATTTGCTCAAGGGTCCTGCCGTTGACCTGGGCCTCAAATCGAGCCAAGTTGACAACTTGCTTACCCAGTCAAAGAATCTCGCCGATGTCTTGAAATTTGCATTTGACACACCGTCCGGTGTTCCCTACAATAACCTTAACATCGCGAACAAGGGAAATGACGGTGCGAAGACCAATGGTCTGGCTGTGACTGGAACCCTAGCCTTGGAGTGGACGCACTTGTCAGACCTGACTGGTGATGATGAATATGCCAACCTGAGCCGAAAGGCCGAGTCTTATCTTCTGAATCCTCAACCGTCAACTGCAGAGCCATTCCCTGGCTTGGTGGGAAGCTACATCAACATCTCCAATGGACATTTCACTGATGGTATTGTATCCTGGAACGGTGGTGATGACTCGTTCTATGAGTACCTTATCAAAATGTACGTGTACGACCCCAAGCGCTTCGAGAAGTACAAGGACCGCTGGGTCCTTGCAGCCGAGTCAACAATCAAGCACTTGGCATCGCACCCCGCAACCCGCCCTGAATTGACCTTCCTGGCTTCATACAACAATGGTAACTACGACTTGAACTCCCAACACTTGACCTGCTTCGACGGCGGCAGCTTCCTGCTGGGTGGCACAGTACTTGATCGCCAAGACTTCATCGACTTTGGTTTGAAGCTCGTACACGGCTGCGAAGCAACCTATAATCAGACATTGACCGGAATTGGACCCGACGCCTGGGGTTGGGACCCCAAGAGGGTGCCGAGCGACCAAAAGGCGTTCTACGAAAAGGCCGGATTCTATATTAATAGCGGCGCATATGACTTGCGCCCGGAAGTTCTGGAGAGCTTCTACTATGCGTATCGCATCACAGGAAATGAGATCGTAAGACTTCTTTGATTTAACTCACAAAAAAATGCTAATGGAGAACAGTACCGCGACTGGGTCTGGAACGGCTTCAAGGCTATCAATGCCACTTGCCGTACAGGCTCGGGCTTCGATGCCATGAGTGATGTAAACAAACTCGGCGGTGGCTCGCATTACGACAACCAAGAAAGCTTCCTTTTCGCTGAAGTCATGAAGTATGCCTACCTTGTACATGCAGATGGTAAGCTATTTACCCCTCAGATATTTTCAGGGTTAGGGTGTCATACTGACTAGTCGTTACAGATGCCCCATGGCAAGTTCAGAAGGGTGCTAAAAACGCCTTTGTGTTCAATACAGAGGCCCATCCTATCAAAGTGTCTCACACCTAGTTATTTATTACCACAACAGTCAACACCTGCCTCATTGAATACTCTTCTATCAGGCTCAATGGTGAAACAAAATAACTGCACCTGTGTACCTAGTAGCCACTTAAAATCCGCTGAACTTTAGAAGTACTTAAGTAGCCCTGGAGGTCAGAATTCTTCACAAGCTGAGACGTCCCACGATATTCTGGCTCTAGAGCTATAGCGCATTCGTAGAACCCCCCAAATTATACTCCACAGTATGAGCTAGTTTCTGCTTGTTATTTCCAAGCGTAGAATAATATTGGAAGGGTCTTTTTTTCATGGTTTTATATTGCTTCGGCAGATGCTCGGCTAGGTATTGCGCCATCTGCGGAGCAGTTGTACAATAACTCACTACCGACCTCAAGTAGTTAATCAAAAGCCGTGGTTACTTTCTTAGTAGTCTTTAGTGCGAATGATGTTATCTTAGAGCGTGTCACGAAAACGAAAGGTCGCTAAAACTTGCCTAGGTATGGTCTAGTCCTCGAGTATATATCTGTTGATGGAAGTGTCAAAATGTACATAAAAATCACACAATAATTCCAAAGCCTACAAAGAGACCCATATCTACAAGCACAAGTACAACTTGAGAACATGGCACCTTGGAAGCAGACCATTCTATCTGCTCTGGCAACTTCCTCCATCACCCAATCAACATACCGGTCTCGTCCAGATCTCGCACCACCACAGCTCAACATCACCGTGCCCGCCCCAAACGCCAATGGCTCCGAGTATGTTTTCCTTGCCCCCTACTCTACTGGCAATACACTCGACCGTCCTGGTCCATACATCTATCGCAAAGATGGAGACCTAGTATGGGCCGGGACCGGTTACTATGCTGGGTTTGTTGCGAATTTCCACACCACGACATACCAAGGAAAAGCTGTTCTGCAAGCTTTCCAAGGAAACTTCGATGGATCTCACGGCGAGGGTTTCGGACAGAGTGTACTACTTGATCAAAATTATGAGCATGTCGTTACTTCAATTGGGGCAAATCATCGGATTACTTCGATTCATGAGTTTAATGTGATCGACGGCAAGAGTGCATTGATTGAAGTATTTGATATCACATCGAAAGATTTGTCTGCTTATGGAGGGAATTCGTCTCAGCAGTGGCTAGGGAATGGGATATTCCAAGGTTTGCCTCATGGTGCCATTGGTTATTTGAGAGTTGCTAACGAAGCAACAGATGTTGACATTGCCACGGGGGACCTTGTCTTTGAATGGAATGCTTTAGATCATGTTGATCCATCGGGTGAGTTAACATTAACCTTGAAGAAATATATGAAAATATGACTGACCGATTCCACAGAGAGTCAAATAACATTAGGCTCGACGAGCTCCAACAGTGGATTGTCCTTTGGCCAAGCATGGGATTATTTCCACATCAACAGTGTGGACAAGAACCACGAAGGCGACTACCTACTCTCCTCCAGACACACCAGCACAATATTTAAAATAAATGGCACAGATGGGTCAATTATCTGGCGACTTGGTGGTAAGAAATCCACCTTCACACAGATCGGCAATTGGACTTTCGGGTTCCAGCACCACGCACGCTGGCACCCACAACTCAGCCAGCCCGGAACTGAAGTCTTTTCATTCTTTGATAACTCCGGAGATGGCAAAATCACCCTCAACAACGTGTCTCGGGCTTTGGTAGTGCAGCTCAATCACACAGACCACACAGCGACGCTTCTTCGGAAAGCGACAGCGCCTTATGGGCTTCAAGCACGGTCTCAAGGAAACGCCCAGCTTCTTTCTGAAGATAGAATCTTTGTTAACTGGGGCTCGGAGGGCGCAGTGACAGAATTTGGTGCTGATAACCAGGTCCTATATCACGCTTTCATTCAATCTGGGCTCAGCTATCGCGGGTTCCTTGGCAACTGGACGGGGACCCCTACCGAAGCTCCAGCTTTGGTGGCATTGAAGTCATCCCCTAACTTGGTGAAAGTTTACGTATCCTGGAATGGTGACACTGAGACCAAAGCCTGGCGATTTTATTATGTCCATGGGGGAAAGAAAAGCCGAATTGGTCAAGTGAAGCGCAACTCATTTGAGACCGTTTACACTTGGGAATCAGAGCTTGCATTGTCTGACTCTGCCAAATTTATTGCCGAGGCTGTTGATCACAATGGGGCAACTATTGCGCAGACCGGTCTGATTGCTTCTACGGCTAATGTTAAGTTGGTTGCATGAAGGAGCTCAAATTGAGAGACCGGTATAGGGATTTAAGATCGCACTTTTGCTACCAAAATTATATCAGTGTCGCAGCCCAAATGCTTTTTCAGTCTCAGAATCCGTGCAATTGATAATTAAACATTAAACATTAAAGGTTCCAACTTATAAGCTAGATATTATGTATTAATTATGCGTCATCATCGAACAAAGTCAAATACCGGGCATCCACTTCGTTCATCATCGTCTCGAGGGCCATGAAAAGAAGAGGTTTATGGGCTGGCCAGATCCAATTAAGCATCAATCGAATGCTTTGTTTCCATCTTTCCAGCCTTTCGGTGCGCGTGGCAGGCCCTCGAAGCCCGTACAAGGAGGAGCAAGTTGAAAGTTCTGAAGTAGTGGAACGTTGTTAGAAATGGGGATGATAGGACGAATCTATTCTGATCCGGAGCACTTACATTGCAAAAAGGACCACGGAGCAACCCAAGCACTCCACCCCGTACAGCTTGTTGCCATCGTAGGTTGTATAGGTCCCATATCCACCGAGATGATAACCGACGAGTTCGTTTAAATAGAAACAGATGGTTATAACTTGGGCACAGAATGCAACACTGTCAAATGCAATGATCACCCCGGGGTGCACGGCACAGTTGCAAAATACCACGATGAGGAAAATGGTAGACCATGTAAACCCATATGTAGACTTTTTGAGTGACCGACAATCAGTAGATGTTTATTTAACGCAGGAAAAGCCATGGATATTGGGTTGAGTTGAGTTATGTACTCACTGTGCCCAGGTTGATACCGGCCCAAGATTCCCCCAACCCATCTGTAGAAACAAATCCCTTGCGGTGCTCTTCCATGGCCCATGCGAAACAAACCATCGCCGTGATATTGCAAAGCACGGTTCCAAACCGTAATGAAAGAAATGAGAGCCATTTTCTTTCACTTCTAGGCACCGCCTCAAGGCACCAGGATGTGATGGTATTGTCTTTCCAGGCGACGGACATGATAGTGTGTGGTTACTAGATGATATGGGTTGAAAGTAGGTGGTTGGATCCAGATCAAACCTGGAATAGAAGTCCCTAGTCATTTCATATATAGCCGAAAAAGAACCATAGCTGTGCTCGTATTCAATGTGCGTGAGGCTAATCATTGCCTGTTCTACTTGACACAGCCTTCATTCCGTGGCCACGCCAAGGGTATCGTATACCCCACACAACCCGGGAGGGCCAGTAGACCCCACGAATGATGGAATCAGACTTTCTGCAAGGCCGAAACGGTTATTGGCCCCCAAATTGAGGATCTGCGCTTTCTTCTTCCGGCGATTTAGTGCGTCGACTCTTCCATGAAGATGTTTGTCTTGGCGTCGATCACCTTGGCACCTGAGAAGGATTGTGCTCGAGTGTCAGCCTATTTCAAGAACTCAAGATGTGTTGCCGAGGTCTAATCTTTCATACCTAGTTTACTGAGAGAATTTCGACACGAAATTTAGGTTGCTTGAAAATATGTATGGATTAATACTTTTTCTTTATTAGTTTCAAAAAGAGTACTAAATGGTCTTTGCGCTGGTGTCGGTATTGTCTGAGCAAGGCTTGGCAGTTCACGGGTGCTTCCAAGGTTCAAGTGGACAAAAATATCCGAACACAGTCAATCTCACCCATCTGGGAGACCAGGTTCATTGCTCTGTCTTTCAACGTCTGCCAGACTCTTTTTTGCTCATTGTGGGCAAAGTCTGCTAGTACTCTGGCGAGGTGACGAGTATGACATGTGGGAAGTCTCTTTGTGCTGTTTGTTCTGATGTTAGTTGAGTGTTTGCACTGTTTGTACCGCCACACTACATCGCTGCACCACCTTGCTGGATCTTCTTCTCTTCTTTATCTGGAACGTCTTCTACAATTCCACTTATTGCCTTAAATTGCTACTTGTATGTAGCAATATAAAACAGAAGACTTTGCCTCGTAATGTCATCTATATCCCCGCACCAATCATTGATAGTAGTACATTCCTTTGATGTGTCCAGATGCCCGTCCTCAATGAATGTTTGTTTGCTTTGATGAGGAAAAGCTGTGAAAGCGTGCTAAGACAAATGCAAGGCCATTTTGCCATCGCTCATCGACACCAGGGACGCATATTGGAAGGTTAGCCTAGGAGACGGCTACAACGTCGAATACCCGAGAACAAGGAACCGAAGATTGAAAACGAAAGTTTTGCAGTTTTGGTGGTCGCTTTTGAACGGTCTTGGTCCAACATTAATGAACAAAGACAGCCTTGTGCGGTAGTACCACAGAACCAAAGAGCTAGAGACTCTGGAGCTCAATGCAGAATTGTCTGAGATTCGAGCGATGACATCGAAGTTTCATTGTATCTATAGATGTCCTTATATTGCATTGAGGCTTTCAAGATAGAGTTTAAGGTGTACTATCCAAGTCACCTCGAGGTCATTCAGATGTTTGTAGATCATGCCCAATTGGCCATGTGCCCAGATGAATTATTCTGCATAGCCCTGGTGTAGCATTAAGGTCCAGCAAGACTGCCACCGTATATCCATTATGACCTACCAAGTAAATACTTGAGTCCACGGGCAGACTGCAAGGTTACCACCTGGGCAGCATAGGACGGATCCTCTGGGGTACTCCTAAATTGCACCCTCTGCAATCTGGACTCGGCTTCACAATGCAGCCTAAAGCTTTAGGGGCCTCCCTGTGGCCACGAGTTGACCTCCAAGGTTCTTTGTACGCACAGCCAGATCCCAAGGTTGAAATATCTCCAGGGCTGTTTCATCTCTTTATGGTGATAAATTTATCTCCTTGGCTACGCCTCGAAGCTTCCAAGTTTCTTCAATCCAGATACGCAGTATCTATTTTTGACCACGACTTCTTTGTGTAGAGCAACGACCATCTCCTTGCCATTTTTCGTCCCGGTGTATAAGAATATGCAGGTCTCAACAGATCAATAAGGTAGAAAAACCAAATATCAAACTAAGGATACAGTCTATATCTGTATCATCTATTTCTTGGAAAACATGGTCCTCCGGCGAGTTTTTAACGGCCGCAAAGGCGAAAACAAGAACGAGGCCGAAGAGAAGAAGACCTTTGAGGTTCAAGAGGTCGAGCTACAGGAAGAGGATCTAGAGGCAAACGACCCAGAGGAAGGAAAGACCGAGAAAGAGTATATCGAGGAGGACCAGGGAGACAAGAAGAAGAGCGGCCCTGAGGATCCCCGGCCTTTGGGGGCTTGGAACTGCTTTGGTCGGCGCTCAGGACCTTGTCGGTGTGGAGGTCTCTGTGGAATATGTGATATATGTGATGAAGATGAAGATGGAGGAGATGGAGCTGCCGCAGGAGACGGAGCAAATGTGATTACCGCACAACCACCTCCGCAAAACATTCTACAGAATCCTCTGGCTGCCGTGCCTGCTCCTGTACCTGTCTCACAGACCACCACACCTGGTCCGGTGCGCCCAGGATCTGCTCCGACGGGCTCAGCACATGTCCCGCAGACCACCACACCTGGTCCAGTGCGCCCAGGATCTGCTCCGGCAGGCTCAGCACCTCATCCGCCGACCACTGCACCTGCTCCACCACCCACTACGCCTGCTCCGCCGACCAGGGCACCTCCTCCTCCACCCACTGCGCCTGCTCCGCCGCCCAGGGCACCTCAACCACGCACTGTGCCTGCTCCGCCAACCAGGGCACCTCCTCTGCCACCCACTGCGCCTGTTCCACCGACCGCCGTAGCTCAGACGACACCGGGACCCGCCAGCACATCGGGCAGAAAGCGCAAGTCAAGGGCCCCATCACCGGATGAACCTCCTGCCCAGAGACAACGTACACCATCACCCCCTGAAGCCAATGTCAACGTTCCGACAGGAGGTACCGAAGAGCCCGCGGAGGCGTCGACCCTGACTAGGGCACAACAAAAAACCCAGGAACGAAGAAGGAAAGGACACCATATGGGGGGTAGACGAGCAGGCAGATCCGCAGCTAGTAATCCTTTTGAAGGGAAGCCTGACTCGGAAGAGGAAGAGTTGATGGGAGGGCAAAGGAAAAGGAGAGCAGGCCAAGGTCATGCATGGGATTCCAGCAAAACTGAGGTGACCCCAACCTCGGGGAGCGGCCGGATGAGCCCGTCCGAAATTGCCGCGATGAGCCTAGAGGACCCGTACCGTGCGGACTTGTCACAGTTAGGTCTCCAGTATCGGCAAAGAGGAGCTGAGCTGCAGGCATGGATTGCTGACCCGACAGCACCTGGCTGTAACGTCCAACAGAAGATTCAAAGTTGGGAGACGTTGCTAGGGGATGACATAAGAAGGTGGGATCGCAATACTACTCAAACAACAAATCTTGAACTTATCGATGGTCAGATGCCCATTCAACGTGGTTGGGTAAGTCCACCTTTGGAGGTGGGAAATGTCCACAAGATAGGGCTCTCCCACAACAACGTGTACCGTCAGATAATCTGGCAACCAATGGGTACCGGCCCATATGGGGTCCAAGTCATGAACATCTGGCGTCAGGACACAGGGCTCGGTGCCATCTTCGCCCGCGATATCCTGAGACAACATGGGGCGCATTGGGGGGAAGTTTGCCAAGCCCAGTACACGATTGATAACCCAATTGAGACTCTGAAGTATGTGTTCGTCATCAATTGTGTCAACGATCAGACTTGGCCCTATGTGATGGACCTGTACTACAGAAAGAAGCTCAGCTATGACGACCCTCTGCTTCCGGCTGTAATCTGGCAGTGGGACTCTCCTGAGTACCAGGAGATCTTAGGAACGACAATTGGGAGGGGAGTTGCTCGTCTCGTCCTTGGATCTTTTCCAAGAGGTACGCGTCGGATTGATAGGATTCAGACCTGGGTACACAACGGCCAACTCCAGTTGCGATTTGACATTGTTGAGGTCAATCCAACGGGTGAGGCGGTGTGATAGTTGGGCAAGGAAGGGCAGATGATGGCGGATCAAGAAGATGGCCATGTGGGGCCCTCAGTCGGAGAAAGAAGGGACGTTCTGTGTACAGGTACATGGGCAGATATGAATTTCTTCATTGCATTTAATGTCATTTCACGTTGTATTGTCAAGTCATGGAATATCGTTCTCGCAACAGGAGTAGCAGTAGCCCGAGCAAAGTGGCGGTTCCAGTTCCAGTATCACTTCAGGCAAGGAATCATCAAGTAGTCTTTCGACAAAAGCAAGACGACTTGATGGGAACATCGGCCATAGCCATCGTAAGCCTTAACTGCGGAGCAAAGACACGCGCTTCGGCTTTCCGACCAAGTTTGATCAAACACTCATGGTATCCGTGCGAGGCCCAGACGTTATTGGGGTGTCTCAGCGCACGAGGCAGAGTCGTGTCGATTCCTAGGTCAGCTGCATAAACAACTAAGGCCTCATCGACTCTGTTCTGCTCAAGTAATAAAGCCCCGAGAGCATGTCTTGTCGGTTGCATCCAGCCCCACGGTTCATCATAAGGGAGCGAATCGTCTCGCTCAGCAGCTTCGCGGAGATGATCAAACGCAGACTCATACTCGCCGCGGCGATATGCGATTTCTCCATCTAGCATTGCTGACCCAACGCCGAGGATGTCGATGCATCGGTTGTTGAATATAGTTCGCGAAGGGGGAATTCGTTTCAATGAGTCACGGAATAATTCGCGCTCCGTTTCCGCCTCGGGGACACGATCTGTTGCTGCGAACGCAACACCTTTCGCGTAGTGCATCATTGCCGTCGTGACGCAGTACAAAGCTGCATCAGACGGCAGTTCCAGAGCATTAATTTCCTCCCAGCGGCCAAATCGGATGAATGCATGCACTTGAAGGCCAACGAAGCCTTCTAACCAGTCTGCCATCGGTGGTGACTCAACCCGCAAAAGGGGCTCAGTGATTACCTGCGCAAGCTCAGCCCCTGTCTCGATTGCGATTTTCGACTGACCGCCCAGCATGGCAGCATAAATCTTGAAGTGATAGTCATGTGCACGATACAGATTGTAGAAATGCCCAACAGGCTGATTTGCGAGGAACTTTTCGTCCGCCCGGATGGCAGACGTATTAGATGCAATAGCACGCCGATATTCGCCGCACAAAATATCAATGTGAGTCGGCATGTGTTCAAGATGGCCGGCGTCGGGCACTAAACCACGGAGATAATCCGCGATATGGAGGGCGATTTCCGGGGTTGGAGACATCTCCATGAGATGAATATACAAATGGAGAATGCCTGGATGATCAAGCGTTTCGTCGCGCTCCAAGGCTTTGTCCAATATTCTCTTAATCAACAGCGTCTTCGTCCCAGGGGCTGGTTGGCCGGTTTTCAGATCCCACAAAGCCCAGGGCGTCACATTCATCAACGAGTCGCAGTACAGCGCCGTGACATCAAGGTCATCGGGCCACTGCTCGTATACAGCTTCCATAGCCTCGGCATAGCTCTTGTTCCACTCATCGCAATCCCCGGGCTCTGCCTGCGGATACCGGGAGGACAGCGCATCGATCAGCGCATTTTCCAAGTCCGTGACTTCGGGGCCGTACTTCTTCGCTTCCACGATAGCGCGATGCGCACGTGTTGTGGTTGCTTGCAGGTCCTCTCCGTCGAAAAGCTTCCACGGTTTATTGTAGTTTGGACCCAGGGCAAAGGCGATGCCCCAGTGGCCCATTGCGCAGCCCGGGTCGAGCTCGACGACCCGCTCAAAGCATCGCACCGATTCTTCATGATTGAATGCGTAGGCCCAAATAAGACCCCGGGTGAACCAGATCTGCGCATCCTGGTTTGAAGTTGTTACCTCGCGGTGGTATTCACCCAGGTCGTAATCCATTTTGGTGGGTTGTGGAGGAGGGGTTGTTTGCCTACCCCGGACTTTCCCCCAAGATAAGACTTGATAAGATTGGCCATGATGATTCACCGCTCACGGTTTGATTGTGCTGTTAATCCTGGGCACATATTGTGCGAGTTCTGGAAATTACTCTCCAAGGCAACCCCTGAGGACGGGGAACGAGGTTTGAGGCGACAAGGCGACAAGGCAACGAGGCACTAATTCAGGCATCAAGGCATCAACACTTGCTGTACCCACCAACTAGAACTACCGCTAAATTGAATCCTTTGAATCATTTAATCACCTGGACATGTGCACATCCCCAAATTCACCTATGAAACCTTTGAAAGACACAAACCGGAGTAGTACATAGTCCCCGAGTCCAGGGGCCTTGCGTTGTAGTCGCACATCCCCCCCACATGAGCAGATTTGCGCTCCACTAATTTGCTCACTCATGCTCGATCGCTCTCACCTTGGTGGTCGACCTTGGTGGCCTATAAGTCTGCTGGTCTTGACTTTTTTTCTCTTTTTCATTCTACACTTGATTCTATTCTCTAAATTCTTTGTATATTCCAAAGATCTCTCTCACCACCTTTTCGTGGACACTGTACTTTCGCCTCCAACTCTATAGATCATGTGTGGAGACACCAACCGCCAAAGCTTGGGAGGCACCATTGCGGTCCTCTTCCCTCAAAACCAAAACACATCTGCAGAAGCATCACTGTCATCGTCCCCAGAATCGGTGTCTTCATTTACTTCGTCTTCATCAACCGCATCAATGTCATCATACAATCTTTTCTTCCGCGATGCAGAAGAGGCCAACCGAACAAAGGTTGTTCTTCAAACGAATGATGCAGAAACATATCATGCCCTTCGAGACTACGGGCACCTGGATATACGCATAGAGTGAGTTTACGGTTCCTTGGAGAGGGTAAAGCACGTAACTAACGAGCATAGGAAATATGGGGACATCTCCAACACATCACAGTCACTCTCTCCCCTGCACCAGTTCAAACTGAGCATGGATCAAGATACGTGCTCCAGCCGCACAGAGATGGAATTCGAGCTACCAGAAAAGCTGGACCTGGGTGTTTCAGACATGGGCGTGATAGGTCGACAGGTGACAGTTCGGGAGGGCGGAATGATCCTGGGGATCGGAGTCGTGGGTTACAACTAACTGCCAACGGCAGTGCCTACCGGACATGGTACAAACACACAGGAAAATACAATAATTGAGTCGTTAATAATCTGCATGGAATTGACCAAGCCTTCTACTAGCTATCCTGAGGGTAGATCTTCCAGGCTAAGTATTGATCCATCGAGTTTCTTCACAGCTTCAGTGGATTCTCAACACCTGCAGTGTATCGCTTCTCAGCCTCAGCCCAGTTGATAATCTTCCAAATTCCCTCGACGTAGCCAGCCTTGTAATTCAAGTACTAAAGAGCCGTTAGAAATGTCCGGGAGCAACTCTGGAACTGATATTTTAAACTCACCTGGAGGTAGTATGCATGTTCCCACATATCGACACCGAAAATGGGCACATCAGGAGCATTGACAGGGTCCTGATCCTTGGTCGTTTGGATCTCTAGACAACCCTTGGCACCACCCTTGCTCACCAGCCAGCCCCATCCAGATCCCTGAAGGCCGAGAAGCTCGGCACCGAATGCCTTGACAAAGGCCTCGTGTGAACCCCATCGTGAGACAATAGCTTCACGAAGAACTGGTGCTCCGCCAATGTCATTACCGGGGGTTCCGGGGGGAGTGAGGTTCTTCCAGAAGAGAGAGTGGTTGATGTGGCCGCCACCGTTGAAGCGCAGCTTTTGCTGCAGGCTGATTAGGGATGGGACATCGTTTGAGTTTGTAGCTGTGGCTTGGGCAGCGAGAGCGGCATTCAAGTTGTTGATGTAGGTTTGATGATGCTTTTGATGATGCAGTTCCATGATCTGCTTGGAGATGATGGGCTCCAAGGCCTGTTGATAGTGTGAGTGGGGACCTTGTGTGATTGGGAAGATAGTATACTCACATCATACGCGTATGGAAGAGGAGGCAGAGTATGTTGGGCCATGATTGTGGATTGAGGCGTTAGATGTCTGGATGAGATATGAGGATGAGTAGGATAATGGAATATGAAAGAGAGAGAGAGGGAGGGAGGGAGGGAGAAAGAAAGAGAGTAGAGCAATGCCCTGAGTGACGTGACCGGACCACCAAGGTTGAGCTCCACTGCGGTGGTTTGAGCACATTTGCGAAGCTACTTGAAGTATTGGTATTGAAACTATTGACAGCATTACTCTGGTTGGTGAGCTTGCTCTGCTGTATTGTTTGGTATCGTTCTGATCTCTGAACCCTTAGCTGTCAACATCACACTGTTCCCGCATGTTCTCTCGGGCTGACCTGTATCAGATCCACACAAGTATAGATCTCATAACAATTGTTGCGAGGAAGATCCCCATCCTTCTCCAAGGATTTTATTGAATCTCGCTAATTGCATTGCATCGTTGTATTTGTGCCTTTTGGCGACTTGACTTGGGTACCTTGCGGGACGGGCACTACGACACTTGCGGAGTCTTTCCTCGAGCACTTACATGCAAGTAGCGTTGCCAGAGAGGCTTTGGCAAAACTAACAACAAAACTACACCATATTGGCGGTTACACACAGATGTTTTTGCAATGTGCCACCTGGCGCTTGGGATATTCCCATTTACCACATTGATGAGACTTCAAATCCCACACTAGTCGCCCATACGACCACTGTGGCTCTGTCAGCTCTCAACATTGCCCATGAATGTTGGCAAACGCCGAAACAACAAGAAAATCCACCTCGAGGATGTGAACAAAATTATACAGCTTACTAATTTCATGAATAGTATGCAGGTGAGGGGTCCCGCTGAGCCTCGGTCGTTTCGGCCGTTCTATACAAAAACAGACGTCAAGCCGAGAACCCCTTCTGAAATTCCTCCGCATCTCTCTTCTTCAAATCAAACTCCCAGCAAGATGTCTGCCCAGGACCAAGTCAAGCTAAGCAATTTCAATGACATTTTCTCCCTCGAGGGAAAGGTTGCCGTCGTGACTGGCGGATCCCGCGGTCTAGGATTGCACGCAGCCTCCGGGTACATCCCTTGATTCAACCAAAGCGAACATCGCTAATGCCCACAGTCTCCTCCAAGCCGGATGTTCCAAGGTTTACATCACATCGCGCAAGGCTTCGGCCTGCGATGAAGCAGTTGCTGCTCTCAATGCGCTCTCCAACAAACGGCCTGGCGCACAGGCCATCTCTGTGCCAGCCGATAGCTCGGACATGAAAGAACTTGACCGGCTTGTGGCTGAGGTCGCTAAGACCACTGATCGCGTTGATATTCTCTTTGCTAACGCTGGTGCAACATGGGGTGAGAAGTTTGACACGCACCCCGAAAAGATGTTCTCCAAGGTGATGGATTTGAATGTGAAGAGCGTGTTCTACACGATCCAAAAGTAGGTCAAACACTTCAGTGTTAAATTAAAACATTTGCTAACGGGATAGATTCACGCCTCTTCTCACGGCCAAGGCCACTATCACCGACCCATCTCGTGTGATAATTACCGCTTCCGTTGCTGGTATTGGAATTGGCACCGTCGGCGACAATGCGACCCCATCTTACTCTGCTTCCAAGGCTGCTGCTATTCATATTGCAAAGAACTTGGCTGTCGAGCTCGGCCCGCGCCATGTGTTGACTAATGCCATTGCGCCCGGGTTCTATCCCTCTAAGATGGCTAGTGGGCTCATTGAGGCGAAAGGTGGAATGAAGGAGATGGAAGAGTACTCACCCAATGGACGACTCGGCAAGCCTGAGGATATCGCCGGCCTTATTGTCTTCCTTGGATCGCGGGCCTCCAGCCATTTGAATGGTGCTGTTATTGCGACGGACGGTGGAGCTGTGCTGAAGGGGAGATTGTAATATCGTTTGTCACAGATAGAAGTTTCTTCAATACTATATTACAAGGCTGTGAATATTACAAGGCTGTCAAATTTACCCAATTGTGAAATAGTGCAAATAATACAAGGATTGATTATTTTGATATCAAAGCTTAACGGACCGAGTTGGCCGAGGTTGTTCTCCGCACCCCGCATACAAAAGCCACTGCCATCCCCACTTCGGCTCTTCACACCATGGCTACTCAACGTTATGTCGCGATCACTCAACGCAAGCAGGCTGAGCTTAATGCCGCCATCCCGAAAGAATGGCGGTTGTCATCAGACCTGATCCCGGAAGGGATGCTGTCAATCTCGCAGTCGATTGCTGAGCCGCGGTACCAACGCGTCGGCGTGATGGAGATTCCCCGAGCCTGCGGTATTCTCACCGCCAGGGAGTTGGAGCTCACTGAGAAGTTCAATATACGGGGATTGGTTGGCGAAATGTCCGAGGGCCGAGTGAAGGCCGAGGACGTTGTGCGAGCATTTTGCAAAGTGTGATTTTCCCGCGATCCTATCCTTCGATTGCTGATCACATGTTCATCTACAGAGAGCAGCAATTGCTCAACAGCTCACTCGCTGCTTGACTGAGCCCCTGTTTGACCGTGCCTTGAAGCGTGCCCGCGACTTGGATGACACCCTGCAACGCACAGGCAAACCAGTCGGTCCCCTTCACGGCCTCCCAATATCAGTGAAGGATACCTTCAATATCAAAGGCGTCGATTCCAGTATTGGACTATCTGCACTAGCATTTAAGCCGGCCCAGGAAAACGCACCTTTAGTCGACTTGCTCGAATCCCTGGGAGCGGTGATCATCGCCAAGACGAACATTCCACAAACCCTCGCCACGCTTGACAGTGCGAACCACCTCTTCGGGCGCACCCTCAACCCGCTCAACCGCCAATGGACAGCAGGTGGTAGTACAGGTGGGGAAGGCGCCCTGCTAGCCATGCGTGGCTCGATGGTTGGCTTTGGAACCGACATCGGCGGCAGTATCCGCGTCCCGGCAATGTGCCAGGGGCTATATGGCTTCAAGCCGAGTACTGGCCGTGTACCATTTGGCGGTCAACAGAACGGGCAAATTGAAGGCAAGGGCCGGATTGGACTTCAAGCTGTCGCGGGCCCGCTGGCGCGCTCTGTCGCGGATATCAATGCCATCATGGCAGAAATCATGCCTCGCGCGGAGCTTTTCGGCGAAGACGGCATTCCGGGCCTGTGGTCTGCTCCGACATCTTCTCGTAATTTTACTGTTGGTGTTTTGAAAACGGATGGTCTGGTCACGCCCTTGCCGCCTATTCTTCGGATTTTGGATGAGGTCGCTGAGACGCTCCGCCGGACACCCGGCGTCGAGGTTGTTGAGATTCCTCTTCCTTCTGCTCTTCCCAAGTGCCAAGGTCTTGCAGGTCGGTTGATGGGTGTTGACGATGGATCTCACATGCTTGATCTCATTGAGGGTATGGATGAAGATCTGATTCCTTGGTTACAAGGGCGGATGAAGCGTGGGAAGGCCTTGGATGTGGTCCAGCTTGCTAAGCTGCAGAGTCAACGTGCAGAGGTTGAGAAGGAAATGATGAAGATGTGGACTCGGTCTTCAGATTCTCGTACTCGACATATCGACGCCATTATCTGCCCTGTGGCACCACACCCGGTCCCAGAAATCGATCGCTACAATGCTGTTGGGTACACTTCGACATTTGTCTTATTAGACTACCCGGCTGGCGTGGTTCCTGTTCGACCGATCGTGGAATCCGACCTTGAAATCGGTAGGGCGATGCAAGATCCTGTGTTGGGAAGCTGGGACAAGGCCAACCGGAAACTGTGTAAGCTTTCAAATTCCTACACTGATGGAAATCACTAATGTGTCTTGTTTACAGGGGACGAAAAGACAGTGGATCGTCGCGTGTATCTCGGCTCACCTCTCAGTGTACAGGTTGTAACCCCCAAGCAGCATGATTACCAGCTGTTCCAGGCCATGGAACTCGTGGATCGCGCTGTGCAGGGTGGGACCTCACCCAGTGCCAAGCTGTGATTGCTTGCCTTGGTCCATATTATGTTGTTGTGTTGGACATGGTATTTTCGCGTTGCACCTTGCAGCCATAGAATCTTCCAAGCCAACTCGCAGAGATCAACCGTATAATGGAACCAGCTTGATCATTTCTTTGAACAAGAGATGATGAACAGATCTAAATTCTCGATTTTTCTAAGCGAGGAATTTCACATGAGTTGTAACCCAATATCCCAGTCACAAAAATCATTCGCCTGTCAAACTTACTTTTCGAAATGACGGAGATGAGGTCCTGTCATATAGTTCTTGCGTTTAAGAATGAATTGCCTATGCCTGTGTTGGGATAAAGATAAATCATCGCCACCTAAGATCGTCATCTACTTAAGTAAGACTGGCGGTTCAATTGTAAGAAACACATGGCAAAGATGCTTCGTTTTGTCGACAAATTGAATAGCATCAGCTATTGCGATTGAATCTTCAGCTAGGTAGTAGCACAGCACCAATGAGGTGCGAGCTAATGGTTTTTCCGGACAGCTGTGACACAGATCATGATGCATCTTGGACAGGCAATTTCCAAAGCTGTACCAAAGGCGTCTGCTGGTCCGAGTGCGTCACTGTGTGTTGCCAGAAGGTCAGTCAGATGTTAATCATTTCCCACCGTTTTCTTGTGAGGACAGACAAGCCTGGACCGTGCACTGGCGATTAGAGTCTTGACAGTATAGCTAGTCTGTAAGTAATGATTGAAAAAATGAAATCGGATAAGGTGTGGATGGAGAACAAGCGCAGCATATCATGTCTTAAAGGGTCGTAGACTGCAAAGCGAACAGAAGTCGTAAGATAGATAAAATGATAACGAGAGCCCAAACACCATATCCCGGTCCCTCTAGTACTTTCGCCCTTTCGCGTGGTATCAGTTAAATTAGTAGCATATGAAGAAATGACCCTTCCAGGGAAGAAACTTTGACGGAAAAATACCACCCATCAGATGGCCATGTTAGCACATGTAAAGGCTGGTGTGGTGGAGCCGGAATAATCGGCAATGATAGCCTCAACAGCCGCATAAAGTCCAGGGCCCAGTACAAAGAGTCCAACGATGAAGATGAAAATGTTGAACACGGTGTTGACACTTCTTCCCAGGCCGCTAAATAATGAGCCACGGTTGAGCTGCCAGTAGGCGATTGCAAAATAAATGAATCCGAAGAAGGAATCAAACGTCGCACTCAACAAAGAAAGGAAATCACCCATGCTGGGAATAACCTCGGAGAAGATGTATGCGAGCAGGTAAATGCCCACCATGATGGCGACCCAAACACCCCATCCAATCACGGTGTGACTGTGCGTGTGTCGTGACTTGCCCAACACCCAGGTGTAGATGAACTTCGCCGTCACGTTTGCGTAGATCACGCCGATGATCAAGGTTGGGACGATCACGAATCCGAAAGAAGCTTTCTTGTACGATACCACTCCCAAACTACCGAATGCTGGTGCCGTGGAGTACTGTCCCAGGTATCGGAATCCGATGGCAGGAGGCACGATGAACAAAATTGCAGAAATCGCGGTCAAGACAGCCAAGGCTTTCGGGAAGTCTTGCGGCTTTTCCATTTCGGCGATGAAAGTCGGGAACAGGATCTGAGGCACCCAAAGGAAAGTGATGTTCAACACAGCATTCATACATGCAACCCAGGTGGTTCCCGGTAGAGGAAAGGCATATGTTTTGACTGGACCATCAGCAGGGTAGCTTCCTTTGTATCCGTAAAGAGGGGCCTTCTCAATTCCGGCAAAAACGAGGAAGAGAATAATGGCAATTCCCATACAGGCAGCTGAAAGATGTTAGTAAGGGGATTGGGTTTGATGAATTTGGTACTTGCATGAGAACATGGACATGAAGCTGACATGATGCAGTGTCCGAGGCATAGACATGATGATTCCCATGATGGAAACAATCACCGAGAATACAGCCGTGCACATTGAATGATCAGAAAGCGTATTCAATACTTTTGCGCCGGTTAGGATATGGAATCCAATGAGCATAATGTTGTTTGCAAGAAGCATGAAACCCGAAAACACATAGGCAGCTTTGCTTCGCCCGAAAATATAGTATCCAAAGTCACCTGTAGATAAGCATAAGTAGGCCACCACTTCAGTCAAAACGGCTCTCACTTACAGATATCTTTGATCTGGGGATACTTCATGATGTACTTATGCATTGTGATGGAAGTAAACCAGAACAGAATGCAGCACAGAACCATGGTGATGATACCGGGGACCCAGCCCAGAACACTGATTCGTTAGCTCCGTTGGTCGCTGTGGGATATGAACAACTCACGAAAGAGACCAGGACTGAGCCATGATGGCCAAGCAAACCTGTTCACCCGCAAGCAGACAAGCAGTCTTGTGCCAGGACATAGTTCGGAGCTTAATGTCATGGCCATGATCTGAAACAAATAATTAGCCTGGAATCAACAAAAAAGAAATGTGTTTGGAGTTAGCGCACTCACCTTCTGCAACGAGGACCGTGATAGTATCAAAAGAGACTGATTCATCGGCTTGTGTGTCCAAAGCATAACCTTCCTTTTCTTTCGACATGATTTCAAGCAGCGGAGAACAATGCAAAAGAGTTCAACGGGGAAAAGAGTGAAGAGAAGTGAGCAGAGGAAAATTGTACCTAGTGTATTCTGACGCTAACTATATCTGTCGAAATCGGGCCTTCCCAGACAGCAGATGGCGCCATAATCCTGTGAATCGCGACTTCACGTGCGCCACGCCAAAATAACCTACTTTTCGGCGTTTCCGTGGGTCTGGACTGGCGCTCGGACTCTGGTCTGTGAATCCGTCGCTTATCAACTCCGGACATCTCAGGTACTAGAACCAATCACAAGCCTGGGATTGCAGGTAAGCCTCGGGACCCGCCGAGCCAATCCACTTAGGTCTGCTTGCTGCCAACCTTATGTGCCCCTTTGCCGGGTTTGGTGGTAATCGTGACCCTGATTTTAAAGAAGATTTCGGATTAATTCATTCGGAGTGTAAGTTTTCCGCTGGAAAGCACTTGACTTCAAAGCAGGGACAAGATTATTCAGTATTCTCACCACATCCTCATCATTCCAACCATGTAACTTATAAGACCGAATACAAGTAAAAGCTCTCGCGCCAACAACAGGTTGGGTATAAAGAAGTCATGGGCCAGAGTCTCGAAATTTCGATCTTCGGTCAAAACACTCACAGTCACACATTCCAGATCTTGGAGAATCACTCTCCCCCCGTATATCTTGGCAAATGCTTCGGCTTCTTGGCCCCGTCCACCCACATCAACAAGCAATACACCACCCTGGAACCCACTGAGCAGCCTCTCAGGAACATGATAGAATCCCTCATCGAAATACTTTTTCTTTCCGGCGCCATAAACTTCTTATTGAGTTGAATTGCTCCAAATAAAGCGATGGCTAGGCGTATTGCTGCTGATTTCGCAGGCTATATTGTTAGTGACGGAGAGAAATATCAATACGCGATCGCTTACCTCTGCCCAAAAGTTACGCCGGACGAATCCAGTAGATGGCTTTAGGGCTGCAATGAGAGCGTGGCTTTGGGCGATCAGTATTTGCCTTGATCTTGGGCTTTCATTTTGGAGCTTAAAGCCTTCCTTTTTTTTTTTTCTTCTTCTTTTTTCTTTTTTTCTTTTTTGAAGCTGAAATCAATGATCTGAGTCGCCTAGCCTCTTGTGTCCTGGATAAGCCCCGCGTTTATTAAAACGGGGAGAGCCTGATTCTCGATCCACTCGGTGCACTTTATCAACGGCCGACAAGGCTCATCCGCTTCATAAAAAGTCAGAGGCTCCCAAGTTTTTACAGGCTCTGTTTTCATCGTGTCGCAATTGAAGGCCTTCTGTTTTGGAGGTGCAGATAGTGATTTGAGAATATCATTCCAATTTTTCGGATAATTCAGGGCTCGAGTATTGCCAATGAGCTCTTTCGAAAACAAATTCTCGTCAGTCTCAGGGTCTTGAATTATGGCTGGTTCGTAGTGCATCCCTGTAACAATATCACCAGTGACGTGGTGTTTGGTTCCACTGCGTGGACCTTGTTCGTTGGTCTGGACAAACAGAATGGTGTGGTAACGAGGGGGGACCATGTCGGGGTCCTGGATGGATAACTTGAATCTCACTTTGTAGACTGGGTAGATAGTGGAGGTGGACATTTTCATGAGTGGGAAATTATTTTGAAAAAATGAATATTGAGCCCAACATGAGAGGATCTTTGAATGTTTGCCCTTCCCCTCACTTCTACTTGGCAGCCTTGGAAACAGGGGTTGTCACGAAATGCACATACGAGTAGCCGTCTGCCAGCTAGATTGGGCCTAGGGATTAGGTCTGATAATAATATCTTTACTAAAAAGCCCGATTATAGGTACGGAGTAATTCCTCCCGAGTTTGGAATGTTTTTTGAATAATAATGCGCCACTTGGGATCAATTCGAGTATCGATGGAGAGGAGACGCTTAGGTAGGCATGAAACGACCATAGTAGTCTCCAGTAACATCATTTCGGCTCTAAAGTTACAAGAGAAAGCAAGCATTGCAATAATTTCTCAGTCTGCCGAACCAGAGGCAAAGCACTAATAGCATATAAACCTCGCGGTCGTTCGGTCAGTAGTATTATCTAATTAATGACTACCTGTGCGACCCGTGGACATCCTATCTCCATGCAGACGCGGGGAAGTCAGAGAATCAAAACTGAATGAGCTTAATAGGATCAATTATGCTGGGGCTGAAGCAAACTTTGCTATTTATAGTACTTCCCGTGTTGAAGCATCCAGGAACACGAGTTTACGAGCGATCAACAACCCCTTAAAGGGTCTTCCGGCCCCCAAACAGGGGTTCTTGTCCGTTCTCCTCGTAAATCTATCTCGTTCTTGTCAAGTCCGTGGTGCAGGTTCCACAGGGTCGTGTTTGATCTTCCATCAAATACGAGACTTGGGTTGCATCCCGTGGGGAGAAATACGAACCTCATGCAAAGGCCAGACGAATGTAGAAAGGGCGCAAATGTGAACTGCTGGGCAAAATGAGAAAAGTTCTTATATAAAATGGTCCATGTTCATTGATGTGAGGATACATTCAAGAAGCATCTCAAACGAAAGCAACACAATCAATCACACTCGCAAGACATGCATATCACCTCTCTGATTGCCTTCTCCCTCACGGCAGCCATTACAGCTGTCAGTGCCTACCCCATCACCGGTGACGATGTCAATTGTCGCTCTGGACCGGGAACCAGCTATGCATCGGTGAAGACATACAAGAGAGGCCAGGACGTCAAGATCTCCTGCCAGACCTCTGGTACTGATGTTTTTGGCAACAACATCTGGGACAAGACCTCCGACAACTGTTATGTATCCGACTACTATTTCAAAACTGGTAGTTCGGGCTATGTCACCACCAAATGTGGGGGTGGTGGCGGTGGCTCCACCGGCGGAGGAAAAGATATCATCGCTGCCGCAGAGACACAAAAGGGTCTTCCCTATGTTTGGGGCGGCGGTGGATGTAAAGGTCCTTCGGGCGGTGGTTTCGACTGCTCCGGTCTGACGCAGTATGCCATCTGCAAGGCTTTGAAGAAGACCATTCCTCGTGTCGCGCAGGATCAGTATAACTCCGGCATGGGAAAACGGTACCCGCGCTCGCAGGCTAAGCCCGGTGATCTCTTGTTCTGGGGTACTGGGGGTGATTGCAAGAACAAGGTCGTTCATGTTGGTATCTTCATCAAGGATGGCCTCATGATCAATGCGGCTAGAACGGGTACACCGGTGAGGGAACAGTCTATTTGGACTTCTTATGGCGGAGAGAAAATCTGTCCCGAGGTTATGAGGTATGTGGCTGTTCGTGGTATTGATGTCGGTGTACTAACTGGCATTCTTGTAGATTCACTTGAGCTACGGTTTGCTTCGGCTTGTCCGAGTGCTCTTAAGATCGATCCATTGGGCACAAAGTTCTGGTTTCAGGCTTCGCTGTTTTCGTGGTCAACCGTATGTAGTTGGAATAAGAATGCGATTGAGACATTTGTATTCATGGATGTTTTTGCTTCATGAGCAATTTTCTTTCTCTGGTGAGGTGAACATGTATTTTGTAAGAAACTATGCAGTGGTTTGGTTATGTGGAGTGGTGTGTTTCAAGGTTATAGTGAACGCTCAGAAGCGGGAGACATCTCTTCCAAATAGCTTGTTCAGGGTCCAGCGGAAAGCCACCCTGAACTTGTTGCGCCAGCTGATACTCATGGTAATATAAGCTGCTTTCCAGACGAGCGAGGCAGTTCGTCCCTTGATTCCATCGGGCAAATATCTGCGAGTGGTTCCGTCATCCTCATGTGGGATTTGCATCAATGCTCGCTCATTTCCGATGTACGCCATTGTGCCCATGTTGCGGAAAGAGAAAGATGGTGTTTGATCCAGATCACTCTTGTTCAGATGAGAAGCTAGCCATTTGGCCTCTTGGAAAGTAGCCTGTGCCGTTGCAGGAGGGGCACCAGTCTCTGGCATCGCATTGTCACCGAGAGCAAAAACGTCTTGGAGAACTGCTGTCTGCCCAGCCTCATTTTGTAGCTGGACCCGAAGGTGGCCATCAACTAGCAATGGACCTTTCCTAGGACCTTTCTTGAACTTCCATGATTCTTGCTCTGCATTTGCGGACGGAGACGAGCCATCGATGGTTTTCACCGAGTCCGTTGGGAAGTTGACGGTCCCGAGAGACTGCGTGATGAATTTGGGCATAGCATTACCGGTTACCCAAACGCACATTCCTACGCCCACCTGACCTTCCTCTTCGGTATCAAGGGTCAGACAGCGCTTGGGATCCATCTCATGCGTCGATGAAGCACCTGGCGGGCCCCAGCGTAAGCTTTTGACGTGGTGGGATGTTTTGATATCGATGCCTTCACTCTTCATTGTCTCCATCGCGTAGCGAGATAATGACTCGTCAAACATCGACAACACTTGGGGTGCAACGTCATACAAAGTGATCTTGGGGGGCGCATCAAGCGTCGGGTATAGAGCCATCATGTCGTCGTAGATGAAATCGCGCAACGAAGCTGCGAGTTCGATACCAGTTGGACCAGCCCCAACAATCGCAAAGTTCAACAAATGTTTCTGCATCTCCTTTGTGGTAGTCGGCAAAACAGCCAGCTCGAAGCACTCTCGCACACGACGTTTCACCCGTTTCGCGTCACCAATGTCCTTGAAGAACATGGCATTCTCTCGCACTCCAGGAGTTCCAAACGTGCGGCTGACGGCACCCACCGCGATGACGAGCTTATCATAGGGAACTTCGAATATCTCTCCTTGTTCCCATAGACGCTGGTCTTGCATTGGTTTCTTGTTTGTGGTTTCGGGGCCCTCTTCGGTTTCTCTATCCTCCGTTCGTGGTGACTCGGTGACACCACTCTTGACGACGGTTGCCTCACATAATATCGTCTTCTTCTTGAGATCGATAGCCCGCGCGGCTGCTTGGATGAAGTCGACCTTGGCGCGTGGATCACGCACAGGCTCGACGATGTTTGAAAAATCGAGGGATCCACTGGCCGCATCGGTAAGGAGAGGAGTGAACACGAAGTAGGAGCGAGGGGAGATGATCAGAGGTGAGAAATTCTTTGGTGATAGTCTCCGCGAGAGAGTGTATCCACCCCAGCCAGATCCGAGTATCACAACCCGTTCTTTTTGGTCCTCAGACCGTGCTAGGGTGGCGGATATCTCTGACTGTGTTGCAAGACATCTGCGTGTGTTGTGTAACGCAACTGAGGGTGGAAATACAGAGCGAAGGGACTGGGCCGCCAGAGGGGTTCGTAGAGCCTGGCGCTGCAAGGGAAGCATTGCGCGCGATGACCAGGGTCTCATGGCAGGAATAGCTATCTATGTTAGTGATTTGGAAGATTAGCTAGTATATGATTCTTTGTTTCAGTAAGCCCCGAACTATCCGGCATCGGCCTCGGCGGTCTCGATATACCGCTGACACATTGATGACTTCATTTTCGGTTGAATGAGGATAGGAGAGGCCCGGATCGGGAACTCAACAATCCAGGTCCACTCCGGCTCCATACGGTATCGGAATGTCTGCTCCCGTGAACATGTTAAGAACTTTAAGCTGTGGTTTTAAGCTCGTGGAGACACCCGGAACCCTTCGGAGCGATCGGTGAGAGCAGGACTCACGTGTCGTCGGAAAGCACCGGAGGAGTCCACATGTTGTTCACATGGTACTGAAGAGTTCGAAATTCGAAGATAACGAAAAGATCAATGCAGACGAGCTCTGCAGGGGAAAGGAGGTTTATTAAAATGATCTTCCTGGGACGATCATGTGACGTATGGGTGGTCTGAGGCTTGGCAAAATCACATGCCATATAGATTGCTCTAGAACTCCTGACAGTCTGTAGCACTCTTGAGAGTATGGAAAGAGTAGCTAGGTCAACTGTTGCTCTGGCGATCATAAATGCATATTGAGGGGGTTTTTTCCTAGCGATTTTGGATATCCTGTAGTGCGTAGTCCGTACAAATTAGTTCAATGGACAACATTGCTGGTATAGTTCGGGCGGTGACAATGGCAGAATAACTTGGTGGCGCAGTGTGGCGCAGTGTGGCGCGTGTGAGTCACCTCGGAGTTAGGACAAAGTTGCCAAGTTGAGCAGTCGATCATGGGCTTGCGTATACTTCTGACTCGATTGAGATCGAAGTTTGCCCCCAGATATTTGATTCTCGGATATTCAACCACTGAAAAGTGCGACTCTCATCAACTCCGAGATATCGCACTTACAACCCCGAGGCTCGGTCCCGAGCTAGCCAATGAGCGAGGAGATATACAAAGGGCTAGGCAGGGCTGAAGTACATATACTTCCAGAAGCACGGAGAACTTGGCTGCCTGGTTGTACAAACAATGGCATATAAAAGGCGAATGTATTCTGTGAGCAGTATAGGATCACGGCATTCGCTTCTTTTCGGATAACGTTCAGTTTCGAAATCTCATTCCATAAGTCTGGATCAAGACCGAATCATACTTGCCTATCAGATATTAATTCACGATGGCTTCCATCTACCAACTCAATCAACCACCGAATCCGTTTTGGGATTTCGTCACTAGCAACCTGGAGGACCATCCCTTCTTTGCTCCTCGTGGCCATCACGGCCATGGACGGAGCGGACACAGACACCCTCATCACGAACGCACCACCGCAGGTGATGGCCTTCAGTCCGGAGATGACGGAGAAGCCACGGGATCGGATTCCAACACCCCGAACAACTGCCATCGCTGCAACCACCGCGGAAAGGGAAAGCACGGATACGATCATCATGGTCACCCCGGAATGAAAGGACCAAAGCCTGCCAGAACCCAGAAGTCCAATGCAACTGCAGCCGATGAAGCGGTCGACCCATCGGTCGCCGCAGACAACAGCGAAGGCTCGTCCTCCGAATCTGACTGTCCAAATGACCATCGCCACAAAGATCACAAGAAGAAATGGCATGGCCCTGGCCACCATGGACCAGGTCCATTCCGGGGTAAGGGTGGCAAAGGCAAGCACGGCCACAGTCCTCATGGGCCCTACGAATTTCGCCCACACGGCCATAGCCACCACGGCCCGGCCGGTTTTGGCTTTATGCCCGGACCTCGTGGAATGCATGGAATGGGAAAGCATGGGCACGGCCCACACCATGATCCTCGTCGTTTCCCTGGTCATCATGACCATCGTGGAAGCCGCGGGGGTCCTTTCGGGTTCGGAGCTCGTGGTCCGCGAGGCCCAGGTGGTCGCAAAACCGGAGGGCCACCCGGAGGTCCATTTGACTTCCTGCGTAACATCGGCGCCGGTCTCGGATTCCCGATGGAAGCTCCGGCAGATGGTGTCGACTTCACGCCTTCAGTTGATGTCTTTGACACACCTGCCAACTACGTTGTGCATGTGTCACTCCCTGGTGCCAAAAGGAGTGATTTGAGCATCGTATATGATGCCGAAGACTCTGTTCTCCGCCTTGCAGGTGTGGTTTATCGTCCTGGTGTCAATGAGGTCTTGCATCAGGCTCTTGTTATGGAGGAGCGTGGTCAGGAGATTGGTGTCTTTGAACGTGAAGTCCGATTTGGTACTCGTGTTGCACCGGCTCCTGTCGTCATTGATGGAATTTCAGCCAAGTTGGAGGATGGCGTCCTGAATGTGACTTTGCCGAAGATTGCTCAGGATCCCCAGGTCCAGACCAGGAAGATTTCGATCGAGGATGGGGGGATCGAGAAGGATTTCTCGGTGACAGAGAAAACTTTGACTCCAGTTGAATCAGAGGATAGCGGAAATGAAGAGGAAGCTAGGGAGTATGTCAAGGTTCCTGTGAAGTAGGAAGCTCTGATTATGATATTCAATGTTGGATTTTGGGAAACTTTGGTACCTGTTTACTAGTTAGTATTGTTTATTCGCGTTCAAATGCAGTCGTTAATTATGGGTAAGATTCCTACCAAGAAATTCCTCACCAAGGGTCCAATGTTCCTTCTCATCACTTTCCAAAAACACATAGCTTTGGCCACGCTAACCACTCTTTGTATGCCGGGTGGATTCTTTTCTCAATGTCCTCCAATAATTCCCTGGAGGCGCCATTGATAAACCATGAATGCTCGACAAGATGTAGCAGGACACACCAGTAAGCTAGAAGAACTAGAGCAGGTGACCAGTATGCCTCCAAGTCATGGCGAAATCTCGTGGATAGCGAGTAAGCCCACATGAGAACCATTCCGATCTCTACGTGTGGGCCCGCCAAATCAATTTGGCGCGTTGAATTTTCAAAATATTGCAAGGCTTTCTTGTAGTCTGTTCGGTGATCAGGATTCAATGATCCATCAGGTGTCTGGGGTTCATCTTCAGATTCAGTAAAAGGATATTCATCGACAAATTTGTGCAGTAGGGATAGATGCTCGCGGGTACCAGCTGGGAGCAAAGATTGCTGCATCATCGCCGGGCTGGATATATTAGTAAACACGGTTGGAACTCATTTCACGACTGAGAACCTACCTTGCAATAAGAGGCTCACTCTCAAGATACACGCTGTTCACAAGGGGGGCAAGTTGGGTCTTTCGAAGGCTGTGCAACCACGGCTCCATGATGCTCTGCATTCCTTTGACGACAGAAAATAGCTCTGCCATGTTCAGTATAGGAGCCGGCCAGCGCTCCCCTATTCGGACGGGCGAAGCGCAAACGTAGACCATGATCATGGAAGAAAAGCAAAAGACGGGCTGCCAATTACTGGGATCAATGGGCGACGCGATCAATTCCCGGAATTGTTTCAGTCCAGCTGCCTGGTGGTAAGCGGTCGCTTTGATATATTTCTCTCTTTGTGCTGGATAGAGATGAGCGCGATGTAAGGCAGATAAAGCCAAAATTCCGTGCATCAAATATCGATTTGAATATCCTTCGATCGGAAGTACAACGCGCCAAACATGCCGGGCGTCTTCGCGGATCGTCAGTGTATTGCAAGTCACAGTGGAGTAGTGATGCATCAATTCAAGATCAGACGCCCAGTCATCCGTATCAAATGTCGGGATCTCATTGGGCGACTCCGCCAGGAAATGCAGTAAATCCGATCTACTCTCGGGCGGAGGGACGACCGCGGAACCTGGAGTTGTGGGGTGAGACTTAGGTATCAAGGGCGATGCCCTACTTGTCTGCAATGAATCTATGAGTAGCTGTGTCGCTGGTGTAGAAACCGGAGTCGACGCCTCTCGCTCCAAATAGGAGCATTGTATCGCGTGCTTGATGCAATTTGTGCATGGAAAACGCTCATCGCACTACAGAAGTTAGGCATGTAAATGAGCCAGGACCAAATCTCATACCTTCAATCTGCGCTTTTTGCATTCCGGGCAGCCGTTCCGTGATTTAGTATGTGTTCTGCGGGGGCCCATTGTCGAGGATAACTGATGTGTTGAAGGAAGGTGAACTCGAGAACGGATACGGAGATGCGCGAACACGAGGACGAATACGGGGACGGATACGAGTACGGACACGGCTACGGAGACTCGTACACTAAGGAGCCACCCCCACACGACCAAGAGAGATTTAACGTGGTATAATTAGAACGATCAAATCAATTCATCGGAAATATAAGGTCGCCTAGAAGATAGTGGATCCAGAGAGGCAGTGAAATCTGTTTGATAGATTTTAGCGACCTGTTCATATAAAGCTGGAATCCTACCCTGATACGTAAGACCATAATTCTCCAGCAAAATGGCAGACGAACGCAATATTTACGGGTACAATCCCTCTTTACCTGCTGCGGTCATCTTTATTATCTTGTTCGGTTCCTCGACGGCATACCATGGCTACCAGCTCGCCAAAGCCCGTTGTTGGTACTTCATACCTTTCTTGATCGGTGGAATTCGTGAGTCTCTCGATGTCTTTGATTTAAATTCTCCCCAGAGATCTAACATCAATCAGTCCAAATTCTAGGATACATCTGTCGAGCCGCCTCGCATGACAACTACTACGGAGTCACCCTTTACGCGCTACAAACAACATTTATCCTGATCGCCCCTCCACTCTACGCGGCTTCGGTGTATATGATCCTAGGACGGACGATCACCTATCTGCATGCTGAGAAGTTGAGCTTGGTCCGAGTGGGTTGGATGACCAAGTTCTTCGTGACGGGTGATGTCATCTCATTCCTGATGCAGTGTACTGGTAAGAATGCACTTATACCCTCGCGATATAAAGCGTCAACAGCAAAAGCTAAAACTTCACAGGTGGTGGTCTTATGTCGACGGGAGATAACCACGACCTTGGCTCGAATATCACAATTGGCGGCCTAATCGTCCAGCTGCTCTTCTTTGGATTCTTCGTCGTTGTGACCGGCGTCTTCCACTTCCGCATTTCACGCAACCCTACTTCCAAATCGCGAGCCGATCGCGAGCTCAGTAGCGGCCAGGGCTTCAAGCAGCGCAACTGGTTCACTATTATCGTTGGCTTATATCTTGTCAGCTTTTTGATTCTTGTTCGATCGATCTTCCGTCTGGTCGAATATATTCAAGGATATGGTGGATACATCATGACCCACGAGGTTTTCATGTACATCTTTGACGCAGTGTTGATGTGGGCTGCAATGGCTGTTGAGAACGTCTATCACCCTGCTGAGATTCTGGGGAATGGCAAAGGCGACAGCGTCGGTGACGAGGAAACTATGCAGTTATAAGCATCACAGGTGCCCAGATGAGAAGCACTTTTCACAAAATATACCCTACAATGTTCTTTACTCAAGCACTGCATACTTAAGTACTACATAGCCACCTGACAGTGTCTACCATTTTCTTGTTTAACAAAACCAGGAGCGTCTTAATCCTGTTCCCCGCCAGTTTGGCAGAACATCTTAGCATCCAAACTCCGAAAGGTAACATAACCACTGTAGTGGGGGAACCGCCTAAAGTGCCTCGATATGCGGTTTTCCTACTTAAGTATTTCTATAATTTCCATTGCCCAGGTGTATCATTTCGCAACAATCGTGGGTTTTCATATCGTACAACCTGTGAGGGAGGCAAAGCTTCAGAAGATGATGGTCAAATTCGACGAAGAGAACTAAGATGAAGAAGACTATGGAGATCTCTGGGGAGAGCTGCTCTTATAGTACAGAGTATGCAAAGTATGCAAACGCGCAAACGCATGGAAAGCAAACATGCTGATGGTAGCAAACCACCACATAACCCCCTCCTCTTTCTCTCTCTCCTCTCCTCTCTGTCTCTACAGTAGCAATTCGGTATTTCCATTGCTCTCCTGTCACCCTTATATCACCCGTTGCCATAAATTTGAGGTATCTAGCCGCCAGCCCCACTTCCACGGGGGAGCCTCCAGTGTCAGAACTTCCATGTCATTTGCTCTCAGGGCCTCGCGTAACGCGGCCGCGATCGCACAAATTTCGCGTTGTTTACGCGTTTCATGTGCCTTTTGAAGTGAATTAACCTCTCGCAAAGTTCAGGCCTGCTCGAGGATTTCGAAATGGGCAAATCACAGGCACCTCTTCCGAACCCATCATGGTTCTATCGTGTGCGAGCTCTTACCGATCGAGCGGACTGGCGGATGCCCCGCCCTGAAGATTTTGATCAAGACATCTCTGAGCCCTATGGGGGGTCTCCATTTGTTAATCTACAACCCGGTACTGGTCATGAAGACTTGGGATCACAAGTAGGCAAGCTTGAGGCTTCTCAGGGGGATTTTGAGGAGTCAACCAATCAAGCAGAACCTGGGGGGTGGGTCAGAAGACGAATACTACAGCCAAGAAGAATACGAACAAGACTGGGAAACAGATGACGATGAGGATCGGGATGAAGACTCAGATGATGATTTTGAGCAAAAGCCCCCCAAAATTCGAACAGAAGCCGACGATTGGCATGAATACCTGCATCTCCGCGAGGACCGCCGATTGGAGCTTGCGAGAGAGCCCCAGGACAGGGTAGACGAAGCACGCGAGTTTCTGAGAATGGGTCGGGAGAAATATGAATACTTCGAGGAAGTGACGATGGACAATGTCCCATATCCAATTCCTCTCTCTATCCCTGGCTCCAGCTGGATACTCTTCTCTTCAAAGCACCCTCGTGATTTCCTTATCTCAATGTCTCACCCAACCCTGGAGTTCTATCATCAACCGACGCCCGGACGTCCTGGAGATGCCGACAAAGTACACGGAGATATGTATTTTGGTACCCATTGCTCAGCTATCCTTAAGCCATTCAAAGCGCGGAAATATGTGGCCCCTGGTCTGATGGCAATGACATTCTACGGGGAGTCCAAAATTGACGACAACCGCGAATTCGAACAAAAAAATCGACCTGCGTACGAGGTTGAAATTCGATTCCTCGAAAAGCACTATCCCCATATGATGGTACCCCGGGAGCTGGTTTTTGGCCAAGAGAAGATTCCTCGGAACACGCCACGGTTGATGGAGTACTTCGGCGTCAGTCGAAAAATGGTGGAGGATAAAAGAGGGATCAAGCGGCAGGCGGTACAGGTGACCAAAAAAAGACCTCGAGCGCAGTCACCTAGTGATTCGTGGTTCGACAATTATCATCCTATGGGTGAATGGAACCGGGGATGGTAAAGACTATTTGGGTACGGTCTTGCGATATAAGCTGCCTTGACCACCAAGGCTATCTCTTGTCTTTGATGACATGAGTGTTTGCTTGGCTATATATTGCAGATATTAATCTAATGAGTTCCAAAGAGTTCATTGATCTGGGAAATGTGATCTAATAACAGTTCGATGGCAATATATCCAGCAAAGAAAGATATCGCAAGCCGGCCTGAGCTTCTAAAACTAGATCTCGCTCAGCGGGACATGTTTGCCTTTCACGCCACGCGGCTCATAAGCAAGAGCTGCAAACCCGGCCTTGGCCACGTCTTGGTCGTAATTTTCCACAACCCAGTGAGCCATCATATCCATGCCAGCGCATGCGCCGCCCGCAGTCCAAAATTTGCCGTCAACGACCCAGTTTTTCTCTGTTGTCCACTTGACATTGGGGGCAAGGTCCCTTGCAAGTGCAATGGCTTCGTGGTTGGTCGTGGCATCTAGGCCGTCGAGGAGACCCAATGCAGACGCAAACATTCCACCGGTACAGGTGGTGAAGACGTTCTTGACTTCGGCAGTCCGCTCGCGCACAAAGTTTGCAATGGCGGGCGGGATCTCTTCGATGTATTTTGGCGAAGGTCCACCGATGAGGAGATAGTCAAGCTTTGGACAGTCGGCCATGGCGACTGTAGGTTGAGATTTGAAACCTGCGGCATGGGTAACAGGTTCATCGCCGACATAGTGAAATTCGATATCAATGCCACGCTGGGCTAGGTCTGGGCGGCCAAACTCCTCCAGGTAAGGAATGGAGGTACTGGATAAAATATCCACGGGCCCGGCAACATCTGTGAGCTGAAAGGGTATCATGATAACGCCGAATTGGATGGGTGCCATGGTGGATGGTTTGATGGATGGTATGATGGATGGAAGACCAGAGAGAGGGCCATGGCAGGGGCTTTATACCTCATAGTGAACACCTCACTGAAACCTTCTCAACTTGCATCATTCTGATCACACACTAACTCTCATTCCCGTACTCATCACGGAGCGGAGGTAGAAATTCTGTGTTGTTCCGCTCCTCCAGCCCAAAGTACAGATGAGTCATCAAATCGCGGATCGGAGATCAAAACTGCGTGCTTCCGCTCCGTGCTTCAACAGAACAGGGGTGGAGGAGGTGCGTTTTTTCCCGCTTTTCCCTTCTTCTTAGGTCGCACAACCTTACTGCGAGCCCTGGTCAGCACCTCCCGAACCTTGATCTTCCCGGTTTCTCTCCATTGGGGCTAGACTCGATGGGACTCAACAAAGCTCCCCAAGCATGCGAGATATGCCGCTCGCTCAAGGTCCGCTGTCTGCCTAGCTCACAGCCTGATACGTGCCTGAAATGTGCTAGGTCCAAAAAGCCCTGTGTATTTGTGGAGCGACCCCCTCGGCAACGGCAAGCCAAGCCCAAACATGGTTCCAAGGCCCGAATTTGTGCACTGGAGTCAAAAGTCGATGACCTGATTGCATTAGCAAGTCAATCTCAGCTACCCAAGCAACAAAACTTCCCACAAGGAATAGCAGAATCCTCGGAGCTTGAATTACCCACCTCTTCTTCGTCATCTTCTCGCGGGGAGCAAGAATCTACGCGCAACGACCAGAAGACCTATACGGGCTCAAATGTCCTGACCGGATCCTTTGATGATTGGTCTGGCCATTCCAAACTAAATGAATCTTTTTGCACCGAACTACTGCGTGAGTGCGGTCTCTCTTTGAATGCCGCCGAGCGATATGTGAGACAATTCCACACAATGACATCTTACTTCCCATTTGTCGTGCTTCCCATCGATGCTACTGTGTCGATCTTATGTACAGAGCGACCTTTTGCCCTCGTGGCGGCATTGACGGCAGCAGCTTCCGAAGATAGGAAATTACAGAAGTCACTTGGGGACAAATTTAGAATCCACGCTCTCCACGCTATCATGATTGACAATGAAAGGAGCTTAGATCTTCTGAACGGGATCCTTATCTATTTGGCCTGGTGAGTAAACTTGAACTGGCTGATACTGTTTAGCTGTGCTAAATGACAGCACCTTCAGGTATCAGTTCCATTACGTTCCCAGCAAGGAGCAGTTCAACCAATTACTACACGTTGCAATTGCAATGGTTGGTGACTTGGGCTTGAACCTCAGGCCTGCAGAAGCAATGAAGAAGGCAGCGCTTCGACTGACCCACTATCGCAAATATCGTAATCCTACAGCGGATCACGATGAGTTTTTCAGTCGTGAGGCCCGTCGAGCATACTTAGGATGCTTCTACATCTCTAGCGTGTGAGTAATCTCATGGAACCACATTCATCTTTGGATCTTGGTATCCTGGTAGCATCATAAACATACTTAAAACGGAGAGTGGATGGCTAATTGTGGCATCGTTTGTAGCACCTGCTGGGCTACAATGAAGACAAACAACCTCCAGTTTCAAAACTATATGGTTGAATGTGCGACCTCATTGGGTGAGGAACTAGAGCATCCAACAGACGCAATTCTTTTACCGCTCATCCAGCTTCAAAACATGGCGGAGCTGAATCATCAAAGTATCACGGCTGATGGTGGCACACCACTTGACTACATGGGCGGACTCGACCTAGAAACTAAGGTTCGATTGTTTCAGGATGAACTTTCAAAATGGAAGCAATCACTTCCACTCGCAAGTCAACAACCAAGTAAGTTCAATCATGCGAAATAAGCATGCAACCTGTATTAATTCCTTTTAGACGTCAAAGAAGTTCTACATCTTGCATGCGAGCTTGCAGCAATGCATGTCTTCGAGATGGGTATCGTCATGATGGCTACCGTGAAGATGAGACAAATGGCAGGCTACGCAGAGCCAACAATCTCACCCTCCAAGTCTCAAGTCCATTTGGAAGTCCTATTTCTCTGTCTGAAATCAGCCGGGAACTTTGCTGGGACTCTTCTCACCATTCCTCCACACGAATTGACCAACATATCTTACATCCAGTGGTCGGGTCTGATATACGCCATCACTATCATTTACAGACTGACTGTCGGCATTCCTCATCTTCCTGACTGGGATGTCAGAGTTGCACGAAAAACCATTGACCTTGAAGCCATCTTAATTGGACATTCCTGTCGCTTCGGCCATTATTCGGTTTGCACCCAAAAAATACCGGGGGATGAATACCTATTCTCGATGATGAGTCCCATAATTGAGGACGTTTTGATGTCATACGAGAGACTAAGGCAGCTGCCACAGAAGGATAGTGCAGATGATACTCGCCAAGTTCATGCCACAAGCTATCTGTCCTCTTCACTTGGATCCCAGAACATGTGCCCCATGCTCTCATCTCGAGGTCCAAATCGGTTAACATGATATCTCCACCTCCAGGCTTGATAGCATGAGATGCATTGCGCGATTCTCTTGTAAATATTCTTTTTCTATGACAGAAACGACATCAGACACAACAAATAACACCTCCACTCAAATATTTACAGACACTAGGATTCATCGAATCCCACAATCAAGGATCCTACTGGCTTTTTCAATCTTTTATGCGAAACAAGAAACCAAGTTCTCATGCGAGGTAAGGGGCTGGTGCGAACCACACACACACAACACTTTCAAACATCTGGGCATCCAGCAGCGAAGGCAGCAATACAGCTCATCAAGTATCTCGTCTGCGACCACATATCTATGTACCCGATCGGCTTTTTTACTGAAAATTGAGGCTTTCAACCCCTACACCACCTATCGTCAAGCATACTCCAAGCTCACTGTGATTGGTCAATGTCTCGGGTTCGTATAAACTCTAACGTCCATCGTATTCGGGTTCGGATTCGAAGTTCAAACTACTCGTACTCTTTTTCCGCGCAAGAGTGGCAGATCTGGAATATGCATACAGGCACCCGGATTTTTTGTCAATCAAAGCCTTCTTTCTGAAGGCTGAACTATTTCCAGACATGCAATCAGGTGGAAATCTAAGATCCTCAGCCGGACCCGAGATCCATCAGTGCTCGTATCCGTTACGACAGATCATGAAACCATAGTCGAGTTCCAGGCGGAAACAGGACAGGGACCACTCCTGAGCATGACGATCATTTCAATCTACCAAAGATCCACACTCTGTTATAAGAAGAGATCGTTCGCAGCCGAGAATTCGACACTACGAATCTTTCTTTTCTCTAAATGCTGCTTCTTCCTTTTACCGGACTGCTCCTTTCAGGATTGGCATCTGCCAATTCTGGCAATATCAATGCCTCATCAACTCAGACGGGGCTCCTTACTACTTCCTCCGGTACCCTACAAGTTCCCAACGGCGCTTCATGTGCTTGTGCAAAGCTCTCTCGATTGATTCCGGGAACCGTGATTCTGCCTGGGTCATCGAACTATACTACCCAAACCGTCGATACGTACTGGGATATCCGTGCAAACCTCTCACCCGCATGTGTGATCGTCCCTCATTCTGTTACTGAGGTCTCTCAAGCACTCAAGATTATCAGTGCCTGCGGCTCGCAGTTTGCTGTTCGTGGCGGAGGCCATATGAACGTGAGTGGACTTGAAGAGATCAAACGAAAATAACACTAACTTTGTGCTAGTACCCTGGATCCAACAACATTGATGCTGGGGTTTTAATCGCTATGTCGAATTTGAACTCGGTCAACGTCAAGAAAGACAGTGTAGAGGTTGGCCCTGGTCTCAACTGGTACCAGGTGTACTCTGCGCTCGAGCCCTATGGCCGTGTCTGCATTGGTGGCCGTATGAAGACGATTGGTGTTCCTGGTCTGACCTTGATCGGCGGCTTCCATTACTTCAACAACAAGTATGGATATGCTATGGACAATGTCATCAGCTACGAACTTGTCCTCGCCAATGGCACGCAGATTTCAGTCACTAAAGACTCACACGCCGACCTCTTCTGGGCACTGAAGGGCGGTGCAAACAATTTCGGAATCGTCACAAAGTTCGAGCTCAAGACTTACGCTATGCCGAAAGTAAGCACTACCATCCAGGTTTTCAATGAGACACACATCCCTCAGTACCTCTCTGCTGTTTGCGAAGCTGCCAAGCTGGACGACAAGGATCCCATTGCCGCTGGCATGATTGCAACTGTTTCCTACAATGCCACCACGAAGGTCGCACAAGGATCCCTCTTGGGCGTTCAGGAAGGAGCTAGCAAGCCTCCTTCTCAGTTCTCCAACTTCACCAAAATCCCTGCTACAATGAGAATCAACAATGTCACATCTATGGAGAATTGGGCCAAGACACTTGATTCCCCCAAACAGATGATGAGGGTTCAATTCTCGCACCGCACTATGAAGCCTGATGCCAAGGTTCTTTACACCATCTACCAGGCATGGAAGGCTGCTGTCGACAAGATCGCCGATGTTCAGGGTCTTTATCCAACCTTTGTCACCAACGTCATCTCTCCTTCTTCTGTGCGAGTGGCGAAGACCAACGGTGTGGGCAACGTTTGGGGTCTTGAAGAAGAGCCTCTTATTAGTAAGTTTTTCCTAATGAGAGCCTAAAGATTGCTCTTTTTTTCGAGTTTCTTTTTATTGACATTTTCCTTTCTAGTTTGGCAATTCAGCACTGGCTGGGACCTGGCTCAGGATGATATTCGTATGGAAGCTTGGTCTCGTCAATTGACCGAGCATCTTCACGGCATCAACAAAGAGTTGGGCATTTCTTCCGAGTTTGTTTACATGGGCGATGCTGGTGAATGGCAGGATCCTTACCTTGGCTTCCCCACTGAGAATGTGGCTCGCTTGAGGAAGGTCAGATCTGCCTATGACCCTGCTGGGGTGTTTTCCACCCTTAGCTGGGGAGGGTTCAAGCTTGGTTTGTAGATAGGCTTCCCCTTGGGATAATTTGTGGTGTGGGAGCATCAAGGAGGTAGAAATTGAGATGATCTCACTGACAGAAGCTACAATCACTGTGAAATTGAATCATATGTTCGTCATATCACTGGTCCTGCAATCTTGTTAAGATTAAGGTGCACCCCAGGGCTGAGATGAAGCCAATGAGGCCGACTTGATTACTCCAGATTATTCCACAGGCTCCATTGATCGGGGAGATCGTCCACAGCCACCAATTAAAATGCTTCCGGAAACGCATTTCACCAACCTCAAACCAACTATTTTCGACCTGTCATCTACTTCTAAAGTTAGAGACAAATAACCAATGATGCTGTTTTATTCTCTAGCGATCAAGCATTGCGGATCCTTCTTAGAGGCGAACAGCCGTTCTCTGGAATGTAGAAGAGAGCCCACATACCACGCGTGGTCATAGATCAGCGGTATATCGACCCTTTGGGACTGGAATGCACAAGGAGCCAATTGACTCACACCAGAGGAGAAGTGAATGGCACTTACCAGCCCCTGAGTATGACGTTGGAGTTTCCAGCGCGCTTGAAGTCGAACATCATCTTCATTCCATTCATTCTTCCCCGCCATCTCACTAACGTGGTGCTCGACTTGTAGTGAAATAGGGAATTAAGGCATATATAACGCGCATCAGGCCCATAACTATTTCCTCAATCAACATCCCATCTCAATATCCAAGCATCCATCTTCATTGCTCGGAACATCACTCGCAACCATGACTCGTCTTACATCAACATTCCTGGCTCTGTCCATGCTATCAAGCACAATCTCCGCCGAAAGCGTGGCTAGGGTGTGGACACATTTCTACCCCAACTGTCCTGGCGATGCCTTCTCCAAGCTCGACACATACGAAAACTACGAGGAAAATGCTCCATCACAAGACATCACAGTAAATAGCTGCAAGAACATTGCCGTCCCCTCATACGAGCACAGCCTTGTCAGCGCAATGTCCGTCGATGCAGAGCTCCTCTCTCACAACCACAACCTACCATTCTTATCAGGTGGCAGCGGTTGCAACATCACTATTCACGAAGTCCCAGGATGTATCGACCCACCATTGATCACCAAAGAGATCCGCAACGGCGTCGCCGTCAGCCAATGCGAGCAGCGATCATTCGCAGCATACAGCCAAGTCTGGGTAAATCTCATCTGCGATGCAGAGAGCCCACTCCACGAAGATAAACCAACGCCAAGTAAAGAAGAGCAAAAGCAAGCCGATACACAACAGGGAATTCCAACAAACCAGCCTGATGCTCTCGTGCGCACCGAGAAGCAGACCTCCGTCGAGGATATCAATAACATCCAGACTCCGGGGTCGAACTCAAACTCATGGAACTCCCAGGCTATGAATAACCACCGTGAGCCTTTGCAGGAGAGTCGGGTGGAAAATGCCGGTCATTCGGAGAGCCAGCAGATTGTGCATGAGATGATGGAGTTGTTGAAGAACAAAACTTCGCAGATTGTTTCTGGGAAGGACAATTCCACCCATCACTTCAATCTTACTACGGCGGGTAACCGCACTATGATGGCTCGTCGACGTTTGTCTGTTTTGCGGAATCGTGCTGCTCGTCTCATCTAGACTGCAAGATGCATCCGAATGTTTGGTTCTTGAGCGGTCGATTTTTATGTTTATGAATTTGTCAGAACAGTTGTGTATACTAAATATCAATCAAAAGTCACTGATATGTTATAAGATTCTCTCTGACTGGGTTTATGAATCCGTGCGTAACCCCCTGTGTTAAGGTCATTCGAAACGGTGGTCTATTATTCCGTATGGTTCTGCACGATTATATTGGTCTCTAGCTTAAAAACCAAAGCTGTCCAGCAAAGAGTTGGCATCTGGCTCATGGAACATTGTGGGTGCTTTCGGCTTTGGCTTCTGTTCTTGTGGATCTTCTGCGGGCTTTTCAGGGGCTGCAGGCTGTTGCACTGCACTGGCCAATCGCACCGGCATATCAGCAACGACAAGGCTGCTCCGCCGACGAAGCAGTTTGCGGTAATCGACGCCGTTCTCATTCATCTCAAGAGATGTGTTCGGCTTCATGGAGTCCTGGGTAGGAAGTCCGCCGAGGAACTCCCAGTGACGGACCAGGTCGAGAGCAAGGAAATCACATCCCATGCGATCATAAAGTCTGGCATTGCGACAAACGAATTCCCACTCTTCTCTCGGGCGCACTTTGGATGCACCCTTGAGGGTCTGGAGGGTCTTTGCACGAAGTTGGTGGTATAAGACTACCAATGCAGGATCATTCGAAAGATACGATTTCGATTGTAGCTTCACGTGCCCAGGACTTCCTGGGGTCGCGGGGGTTCCCGGTGAAAGGAGGGTCTCAACCGGTGACTGAATAACCTTAGCATGTTTCCCAAACATAGAAGTAGGGACCTTACAATCAGCGCCCGCACGGCCATGTCCCGTCGTCCGAGCATCCAGAAAGCCCAAGAGGCCATCCAGCGGTTGCCCTCCGAAGCTGCCAAGGGCAGCAGCTTTTCTTCTAAAATCTCCCGCAGAACAGGTCCAGTGTCCCCTTCGTAAGCTCGGGTGATTGCAATAGCAAGCTGGATATCACCCATCTGGTTCATTATGACGTTGGCAGCATCGCGAAGATGGTCGGCAAGAAGGAAGAAAGATGCGGCGTATTCTATAAAGTGTTAGACTTGGTCATGGTCGGCGAAGATCAGAGTATGTGCATACCAAAACGTCGCTTTCCGAGTAGCGCATAAGCATTCTTGAGGGCCGATGTCTTCCACCGTGGCTCGCTGAAGTCATTCGCGAGAAGACGCTGGGTAGCTGCCTGTTCCCGGTTCCAATGTGCGATGCGCCAAAGCCCTTGGAGAACATTCTTCTTCCTAAGGGCAATGTAATAGAGTGTGCAGTCGATCGGGTTCCTCTCCTCCGTCTTGGTATATTCACACCGAGCAAGGATCTCAAGTTGTGCTTTCTGTTCAGTAGTTAGATTGTAACTAGACGGAAAGGGTCCCAAGTACATACCACAGCTACCGGGTCTGACAGGCACATGAAAAGACCGCTTTCTCTAGCTGCCTTCCATGTTAGTTTTGCGGTGAATTGCCGAGACACAAGATCCGTGAGGATGTCTTGGCTGTTACTATGGTATGCCCAAACGATCTCTCTCCATGATACAGTGTCTTTATTGGCAACTCCTTGGCTCTTTCGCAACATATGTTGTCGGAAGAACAAAAGATAACGTGCCGCATTATCATCCATTGACCGGCGGTGCTTCTCAACCATGGCGACACATTCAATCGTATCTGCCAAGCGGAACTGCTCATGACTTGACAGCTGAGGCAAAGCAATTCGCGCTAAACATTCATTAAGGGCAGTTGCAGTATTTTCATCCACAACGGAGGAGTATTCATCTTCTGTGGAATCAAGATAGGAGGAGCGCAGTTCTTTTGAGGTCACTTGTTGTGAAGCCTGCGATTGTTAGTATTCCAAGGAAGAAAAGAAAAGAAAAGAGCGAAGGGAGGGAAAGGGAAGAGATTGATATGAGACACTTACGTCTTCCTCGTAGAAGTATTCAACAGGCATATCCAGAAAGCCGTCCATTTCATCACCTTCGGTGTAAAACTTGAGCTTCTTGTGTAGGTTCAACAAAATCGAGTGTACCAAGCTCATCTTCCCAGAAAGGATACATTGTGCTAGGTATTGTGGATGGAAGACGGGCAATGGGCCATTGAGGCGGCTGACAACATCGAAAAGATCGACAGAAGAAAGTCCTCGTGAGGGCATTCGAAGTTCAGAAACCAATCGGTCTCCAACATCTATATCTTTGTCGTAAACGAACAACTGATTTCCGGCACCAATGACCAGGTGTCCGTTGTTAAGCCAGCAGGAGTCGCCTATGGGATGAGGCGTGAGATCTCGAATCCATATCTCCCGAACTTGCGTCCATGAGGGTCGAGAATCTAGATAGTCATAGCGAAGTTGCGACAATAGCACCACCTTATGAGGGAATCCCACCGCCAAAATCGACTGCTTGTCGGGTGTGGAAGTCCAGTCAAGGTCTCGAATAATGTCATGTGAAGCAAAATGTTCCTCAAACTCCAGCTGAGCATTGTTCATATCCCAAATTGTGAGATGTGTCTTGTTTTCGTCAACCAGGGCAGCCTTGCGAATAGAGCTGCCACTTGCTAGCCCGGGATTTGCGATACCTGTGTCGACTGTTGATTGAAGAAGCCAGTCGATCTTGACATTTGTGGGGTCGACCTTAGCTGTCCAGGTCCGCACAACTCCACTGTGGGTGTATGAGAGGGCGACATCATTAGAAAACGAATCAAAGAAGCTCGAGGTTTCGACCTTCGGGCCAGCCGGATCCACAGGAAGAATGTATGCGACGTCTTCATTCAAACCCATGTCAAAGGTACAAAATTCACGCAGTGAGTGACCCTGGCTAGTCTCGGATTTTGCGTTTGGGGCATCAAGACCAGACACACGTACCTCCCACACAATGCCACGCATATCTGCCCATATCGTTGCGACATAGGCAACACCCGCAATATTTTCAGTGCTAGGGATTGGTAAGACACAGAGTGGTTTTGTGGGCTCAGTGAAAGGTAGAGAAGCCACATTCCTAGCGTGGTTTACACTGAAATCCCACAGTGAGATTCCATTATGATGGAGATTCACAAGGAGGTCATAATCCTCGATCACACATGTCCGGTAGATATGTTCATCTGAAAGCAGGACGCTCTTGTGTGCTAATGAACCACCGTTTCGACGCTTTTGTTTCCACACAGTGGCTTTATTCTCATTGGTACGCGACACCAATGTATCACCAGTGGCATTTCGAACAATCTTTTTCACCGGTGCAGTGTGACCAGACCAAGACGCTCTTTGGGTAATTCGTTTCGCGCGCGGTGCAGGGTCAAAGAGAACATCCACATGAGAATCATACCACTCGATTCGGCCATCATAGTGATGAACAAGGACACTCAGCTTGTCATCAGACGGTGTATTTTGGAATGCGCGAATCTGAGCATAGTCCTCCTGTGGAGATCGGTCGAAAGCAAATCCAAATTCCAGGCCTTCAACGTGCAGGATATTGAACACGCTCAGTTTAGTCTTCGCTTTGGAGCCAACATCTTCCAATGCCCAGGCAGACATATGCCCTTGGCCATCGGTGACAACACAGATCTCTGGCGAGTTGCTTGCAACCTCGATGATATGTTCTAACGCATGATTTGCTTCGTTCCCAGTTTTTCGCTGGATGGCACGCTCTGTGGCCACACAAAACTCGCGCCCATCCAAGATGAAACCGTACCGCCGCTGCGGGCCATGATGCTGATCAGATGCATCTCTGGGCTGGACTGACTCTCCCATGTCAATTTCGGTCCATAGTTGTAGCGCAGAAAGCGCTTGGTGGTCAGTCACAGCCCATACTCGAATCTTATTATCGGCGCAAAACGTATAGAGAACATTATCGATAGACTGCTCAGGATGCCGAGGTAGTCGCCAGTGTATTCCAGTGACAATGTTCGGGTGGGGCAGATACGACACTTCGAATCGGACCTCGTCGGCGCCAAAAGCAAGCCGTCGCCAGACTTTGGCCAATCGGTCATACCGTCCCACCGTAACAATCAAAGCTGAGTCCGGGGAGAATTGTGCGAATTTGACCGGCATCGCAAGTTTTCGTTTCCATACCAGACGTGGCTCATCATTCATAAACCAAAGGGCAAGGCGGGAGTTGCCCACCAACAGCTCATTTGCGGAACCCCACGATAGTGTATAGATCGGTTCTTCGTCATCGGAGGCACGAAACGTGTTAAGGAGAGACCACTAAAACCAAACCGTGTGTCAACATCAATCGCGATCTCTGTCGCACCCCATTGGGATTGGTAGGCCAGGCTTGAGTGGGCTGTATGCGCACCTTGAGCGTTTCACCCTTGATGCCGTACGGCTGGTACACGAACACATCGGGGCCACCACAAACAGCAATTTTCCCGGACGATTCATCTATCACCACGGCTTCGAGAATATCGGTGTCGTCGACGTAGATCGTTTGGAGGAGCGTCTGCGGACCGCTGAGGATAACTAGCGCATGGCCGGAGATGTATGCCTATTGATCGCGGGTCAAGTCAGCGATCAAGAACTTTGGGTCAAGCAATTAAGCTGTTAGGATAGGTAATAGCACTCCTGAAATACATACAACAACACGAAGACCATTCCAGAGCGCCGTGCTGAACGACTGGAGCTTGGCTGGGGGTCTGCCCGGCAGTACCGCTCGCATAGAGGCGGTTGGTTCAAATATGGGACGCTCGTTGCGCTCAAAGCCACGTTACACCATTGCCGGATTCAGGTAAAGTATTGCTGGGTAGATCTCGCTGCAGAAGTGCGGTAAAGGGGGCAGATCGAGTGACTTTGGGGGGGTTGTCTGAATACACGCAGCGGAGGCGGAGGTCGATTACGCTGCCGCTCCACTCAGTGAGACCTCACAGCCACGCCAAGCTCGAAGCTCTTTATTCTACACCTTTGTTTTGCATTTGCCATTTGGTCTGGTGTTGAAAATGCCATATTAATAGGCATATTTACGAGCTATTACATCCCTGTGAATAGCTAGAGAACTTCCAACATAAATATAGTGTATAGCTCAGGGCGATAAGCAGGTAATCAGCTCCGAGTATATCTGACCTCGGTACGTGGACATTTGTATCCTGCAGCTCTAGAGCTAAAAAGCTGTCTTCAAGACTCCTGAAGTCGGAAAAAGACAAACCAAGTAGAGCTAGGCTTACACATATAATAGGACGATAAATTATTGCGCTCCTTTTACAACCTTAAAAATATCCATTTAATACTTGATCATCACATTCAATCATGGCAAAAGTACAAAATCAGTATACCCAGAACCCAGAACCCCTTCAACTCGCTATATGTTGCGCCGGATGATGCATGGAATAAAACGCGATCAAACCTATCGACAGGAAATAAGAGGAAAGCTATAAGCTTGCAAACCGCTGATGTACATGAAACCAAAGCAATAGCCAAGGTAAAGGAAGAAACATCAAGGCCGCCGGTTCGCCGACTTGCGGCCATCTGTCGGTGAGTCAGGTGGTTCGTCGTCTACGAAACGAACGCTAGTACCGACTGAGCTTCGCCGACCGGTCCGTGGTTGTTTGGAGGATGTAGTGAGAGCAGTGGTAGTCCCGGCGCGGAGGAGGCGGCTTGCGAATGGTGTGCGCATAGGTGTGGCGGGGGTGGTGGAGATTTGAGCAAGGGCGCGCGCTCGGGCTGCTCGCTTAGATGGGGAGGCTGAAAAGTTGGGGGTTGCCAGGGGGCTTGCGGAGATCGGGTCATTCGAGGTGGCTTGAGAAGTGGCTTGAGAAGTTGCCGTGAAGTCGCTGAGTTTGAACGGAGTTTCCGCGGGATCTTGTGACCATGGGTCGAATATCGCTGAACCGGCATGGTCGCCGTTGCCATACGTTGACATTGGCCCTGGAGTCATGGATGGACCAGCAGAATCACGAGCCTCGAGCTTCAGGCGCGCACTGTCCACCCAATCGCGGAACATGTTCCTCGCGTGTTTCCTAAGGCTTCGTTCGCGCATAGCCTCAGCGGTCTCGGCGTGGTTGCTAACCTGGAAAATGCGAAGGCTGAGCTTGCGAAGAGCGCCAGATGCTAATCGAAGAACATGCAAGCGATGTACATTGTCTGCTTGATCTTCCATCTCACGGCGTATGATAAAGGTTTCGGACAGTTGCATCAGCTGGTCGAATGCGACTTGTCGGAAGTAGGAATCATCGGCATCCTGTACTTCCTGTATTCTCTTGTTTGTTTTCTCATTCCATTGAGCAAAGATATCCGACGTATCGACCATTAGTTTGTCCCGGTCGATATCAGCAGCTTGTTGCTCCATGTCCACAATGACCCGGGTTTTTGATGCCCAAGCAGACAATGCTCTGGAGGCAAGGTTGATTTTGACCATGCGTCGCACTTTTGCATATGCCTCTTGACGCCGCCTCTTACCAGAATCTGATTTCGCCTTTTGCCATTGCTTCATTGACTTCTTCATCAAGAAATAGAAACGTGCATCTTGGGCCCAACCCTCCATTTTAATCACTTGTTGATGCCTTGCTCGCCAAATTGCCAAAGACTCAGCTGCCAGTCGTGGAGCATAGAACTCCGATGCAATGTATTCTCTCTCGCGTTGGAGCTGTACTTGGTCACGCCAAATCGCAAATTTGGATTGAACAATAACCTCAGCCTGACGCTCCTCATAAGCTTCTGCATGGAACAGCAAACGAGTGTACGTATCCCGGGTATTTGTAACGAACCGAGAGAACACCTCTCGTTTGATGCGCTGCTCTCGTATCCTTCGCATCAGCTCATATCGTTCCATTAGGATCCATTTGTACATAGCCTCCATCTTGAGGCGCTCGTCAATACGAGCGCGGAGTGCTAGACAGCGAAGTGTATCGTTCCAAGAAATCCATGAGTTGCGCTGGATGCGACTGCGATCTGCATCTTCCGCCTGCTGAATCATTCGAGCTTTGCCAACCCATCTTGAAAGAGCAGTTCGTAGAACTCTGGTGTCGACCATGATGGATACCTGAGAAGCAGCCGGTGCCAGCCGAGACTGTATTCTCCATTCGTCGAAGGTTTCCCTCAGGTCATGCTGACGGCGGGAATTCTGGACCTCTTGCTCTGCCATGACAATGGTTCTGGAGTGCTGGGACCATGTTTGGAGCACGGACATTAGAGATGATCGCTTGTTATGAAGATCAATTTCATGATCGCGCTCTCGGATGGTTCGAAAATTGCGAAGCCAAGACAGAAGTGAACGATTTTTCAGTCGATAGTCGGACACTTCGAGGACGCGTCGATCACAGAAACACCACCACCAGTGCCAAAACGATGACCGTTGAATTTTGGTGTTGCGCATGGTGACTGCCTGACTCTCCGCGGCCCTCAAATCGTGAAGCTTCTTCCGCCACGCATGGAAGGGCCTCTTCAATGCAAAACGTTGGGCCTTCAGTTCATTGACAGCGGTGATCTCGCGCCAGGCCTTGAAATATTTAACACTAAGAACATGCTTTCGGGCAGCAGATGTTCGAGCTACCTCCTCAGACGTGAGTTGAGCCCAGTGACTGAAAGCTTTGGTCATCAAATATAACTCGCGTGCCCGATTAGCGCGCGTCTCAAGATGCTTGAAGAAACGATTGGTGCGGGCTGTGTGGTGCTTTTCTTGAATTACCCCAAGCCAAGGATCAAAAGCTTGTCTAAGAAGAAGGCTTCGGTCATAATTGGTGGCCAATGATTCCCTATTTTCGCGAACTTGTCGCGCTTGGAATGCCCTTTTCAGCCAAAATGTCAAAATTCGACGGCAAAACGATCGTTGTCTATACATGTTGAAAGTCGATGCATCACGGAGCAAATCTGAAAGTTGGGGCCGGTAGAGAAATTCAGGAGGCACTTCTTCTTTCTCAAATGAATCGTTTTCTGGGCCTTGCGACATAATCGACTCCATCTCTTGGGACTGTGAACTGTCTGATGATTCAATGGAGGCGGATCGATTGGATAGCGAAGCCTCGGCCGCTCTCTTTGAGCGATCACGAGTAACAGCTGATCTTGCAAGTACCCCATTAGTTAACGGGAGAGGTTCTGAGACTCCAGGCTTGTTTTCCACGCCGTCGAATCTGCTCAAAAGCCGTCGTCCAACATCCAAAAACTGGCTGATCAATTGTGTACGATCTGGTGATTTGATAGGCTCTGCATTTTTCCCATGTGAGGGTGATAATTTTGGTTTTGAGAAGTCGGGTTTGCCAACTTCGAGCCGGGACATGGAAGAGCGAGAGCTCGGACGATTCATGAAGCTTCTCTGTGTAGCGTCCTCGCCTATGTCATATGTAGTGTTGAAGGATGCGCGCCGTTTGGGGGTCGGGGGCACTCCGTTTGGGATGTGAGGATGTTCATGGTGGCTGTCATTGGCATAGTCAACAGTCTGGCTGTAGGTGACTTCTGCGGTATGTTGGCCATGATCCCGTGCTTCCCTGATGTCTGTCGATCCGTCATCGCCAAAATCAATCACGATTCCCATTTGCTGGAGCGCACTCTCGAACTTGTCGAAGAGCGTCTCACCGTGCACGCCTTTGCTTCCCATCTTGAACAAGAAGCGCATGCACGCATGGCCCGGGTCCACATTAAAGCCATGTTCACGAATGACTTCGTCGTATGCATCAAAAAGCGCCCGGAATGGGAGTCGATCGGCTTCGGGCTTGACCTCAGCGCTGGAGACAACCTGGTAGAGAAAGCCGACATCTGCAGCGCGGTGAGGATCAATTCAAAGGCAGTGTGAGTTGTGGTCTTACCATCGTCTGTAAGAGATGAACTCTCCTCGGTCACGGTTCGGCGCTGAGAGGATATCGGAGGCATCGAAAATTCGCGGTCTTAAGGCGCGCTTGTCGCATTAGGGTAGAGCTGCGGGACCAAATAGATCATCGCGAAAGCGGGGGGCGCCAAAAGTAAAATACATGCGCCAGTAGACACTTGCTTTGATCAGCACGTTCAACCAAAGAAACAGAGGATAGCATGCATCAAATGCATTGATTTGCGGGTTGTTTTGGTTGCCGCGACACAAACATGCAGGTCACGTGATGTTACGTAACATCGCAGGAATTCGACGCCTGAAGATCAGCCTCAACTTCCCTTCAGGGCTGTAGATCTTCCAATTCATCCTTTCAAAATGCCTGCAAGGACTCGACCAGTTGAGAAGATTGCGAAAGCCTCGGCTCAGTGCTCTGCTGAGGTTGGTAGCCTTATCAATCTGTTTCTGGGCGTCACTGACAAAACCCTCTATAGGTGACAGCATACGGAAAATGTGTTGTTACGGATTATAACTCCGTGCATAAAGATATGTGCGCTCAAGAATTCCTGCGATTGAAGAATTGCTATCTTGTAAGTGAACCTTGGAATATTTGTGTTGCGTAGTCTCATAGACTAATCCACCATTGCAGGCGGCATCCAAGAAGGGCTAGACAAGAAGCTAAATGAGGCTGGCACCGTTGCAAAGAGTTCAGATTGCGCAACATGAACATAGCAGCGCAAGTGGGGACTGTTTTCTTGTTCTTCTTCTATTTAAGCCAAAGTTTATCCTACTGTATCAAATAATATGCATTCTCAATGGAACATCATAAGTACGTTTTCATTCAAGGAAATTTTGACAGTAGACTGCTAGTTATCTACACATGCTCTTCCGAAGGACTTTCTAAAGCTTGAGAAGACGCAGCAAGAAGGTGGCGTTCTGCACTTCCTGCTCCTCCTGGGAGATAGTACCTTCCTCATCGCCGGTAGGGAGCTTGTCGCCAGAGAACTCACTCTGGTCAACAGGTCGGCGAAGGACCTTCTCGATCTCATGGGCCTGAGACTTGAAAGCTTCGGTGATACCGATGTTGTCCGGGTCCGAAATAACAGTGTATTCCATCTTCACATCATCGGTGGGGACCAGACCGGCCTTCTTGCGAAGACGCTGGATACGGTTGATGATTTCACGACCCAGACCCTGGTGAGCCAGCTCGGGGTACAGGTTGGCATCAAGGATGGTCAAGACATCAGAGTCGGTGTTCGTCTCAAAGCCCTTGCTGTTTTCATCCTCCTTGATTCCACGCTTGACAACAAGGTCGCCCTCAACAAGCTCAATGCCATCGACCAGGATCGTCTTGTTGACAAGGAATCCCTTCACGTCATCACTGGAGAGCTGGGGCAGGGCCTTCTTGACCTTCTGCACATCCTTCTTCAGCTTCTTACCCAATGTAGGCCAGTCGGCCGCGACAGAGTAGTTGACGTTGTACTTGGCCTCATCGGATGAAAGCACAAGCTCAAGGACGTTCAATTCGGAGCAGATGTAGCTCTCGAGAGATTTGACATCGTCAAGGTAGACGGGGTCATTGTGGATCACAACAAGAGACTTGAGAGGGGTCTTCAGACCAATGGTACGGCGCTCACGGCTCAAACGTCCCAGCTCAATGACCTTCTGCATTCTGGAAACACGGCGTTCCACAGTGGCATCAAAGAGCTCTTCACGCACCTCGGGGAAGGGAAGGAAGTGAACACAGCGGCTGTCTGCGCCGCGCAGGGATTCGGGGATGTGGGGGAGAAGGCGCTGGTAGATGTTGTCGGTGAGGAAGGGTGTGAAGGGAGCAAGGCCTCGGACCAGGGTGTAGAGAACCTCGAAGAGAGTGTTGAGGGCGTGCAAGGTATCCTCGACGCCATTTTCACCCTTAAGACGCTTGCGGTTGAATCGAATGTACCAGTTAGTGGTGTTGTCAATGAGCTCAAGGAGTCTAGGCACGACGGTGTAGAGCCTGTACGCAGCCATCTCCTGGTTGACCCACTTAAGCAGACTTTGAGTGCTAGCCAAAATCCAACGATCGAAGACGTTCTCGTTAGTGCTCTCTGCGGAAGGATCAAAGACGAAGTCAACGTCAGAAGCCTTTTTCAGGAGGGCGACCTGGCCCTCGAAGAACTTATAGCTGTTCCACAGGGGAAGAAGAACCTTGCCGACAATCTCCTTGACACCAGATTCCTTGAACCTCAAAGGCTCAGCACGAACAACAGGGGAGTTAATCATGTATAGACGGAGAGCATCGGATCCGTAAGAGTTCATCACCAGCGTTGGGTCGGGGTAGTTTTGCAAACGCTTGGACATCTTGCGGCCGTCTTCGGCGAGAACAATTCCGTTGACAACGACGTTCTTGTAGGGCAGCTTGTTGCGCAAGTGGACTCCAATAACTGAGAGCACGTAGAACCAACCACGTGTTTGGTCAAGGCCCTCAGCGATGAAGTCGGCGGGGAAGCTGTCCTCGAATTGCTCCTGGTTCTCGAAGGGGAAGTGCTGACTGGCATAGGGCATAGCGCCACTCTCGAACCAGCAATCGAAGACCTCAGAGACTCGGCGAAGGACACCCTTGCCCTGCTTGCTGGGGATAGTGATGTGGTCGACCTTGTCACGGTGAATGTCGTTGAGCTCGCCCTCATAACCGCTCAGTTCGCGGAGCTGCTCAATGCTACCGATGGCGACGACTTCCTTGAAGTCATCGCTGACCCACAAGGGCAGAGGCGTTCCCCAGAAACGGTTACGGGAAACGTTCCAGTCATGGGCGTTCCGAATCCAGCTAGCGAATCTGCGCTCTTTGACGTTGGATGGAACCCAGTGGGACTTTTCAATGCCCTCAAGAATGTCGGGGATGATAGGCTTTACCTTCACGAACCACGAAGGGACAGCACGGTAGATGAGAGGGGTATCGGATCTCCAGCAGAAGGGATAACTGTGAGTAATCTGGCTGTCAACAAGGACACGGCCATTGCCCTTGAGAAGCTTGATGATAGCCTTATCGGCAGCCTTGACATTCTGGCCTGCGAAGTCCCGGACTTCAGCAGTGAAACAACCCTGGGGATCAACAGGGTTGGGGGGAAGGCGGGTTTCGTTAATGACACCGTGGTTCACAGCAACTTGGTAATCCTCCTCACCGAAGGCGGGGGCTTGGTGAACAATACCGACACCATCCTCGGCAGTAACATATTCGTCATTCAGAACACGGAAGCCGCAGTCCTTGAATTCGTCATAGAAGTAGTCGAAGAGAGGTGTGTACTTCCACCCCAGCATATCAGAGCCCTTGATGCGGTCGACAATCTTGAATTTAGCCTTCTTGGGGTCCTTGTAGATGGTCCGAAGAAGTGCCTCCAACAGAATATAGTTCTTTTTCGTGGCCTCGTCGTAGATCTTGACGTACTCGAAAGCAGGGTGGGCACACAGACCGGTGTGCGAAGGAAGTGTCCACGGGGTGGTAGTCCATGCGAGCAGGCAGGTCTCAGGATCATCCAACAGCGGGAAAGTCACAACGATAGCGGGGTCTTGGACATCCTTGTAGTTCTGTTGCGCCTCGAAGTTACTGAGCGGGGTGTTGAGGGCAGTCGAGTAGGGCATAACACGATATCCACGGTAAACGAGACCCTTGTCGAAGAGCTCCTTGAAAACCCACCAGACGGACTCCATGAATGAGGGGTTCATGGTCTATAACGTGGTTTTCATCAGCGAAATGCCCACGGACACACGAGCTCGGATTTGTTTACCTTGTAGTCATTATCAAAGTCGATCCAACGACCTAGACGCTCGATAGTCTGACGCCATTCCGTGGAGTAACGCATAACAATCGCGCGACACTCCTCATTGTATTTTTCGATACCGATTTCTTGCACGGCCTGCAGACCGGACATGCCGAGCTTCTTGTCGATTTCATACTCGATTGGCACACCGTGAGTGTCCCATCCAAAGCGACGCTCGACGTGGTAGCCCTTCATGGACCAGTACCTGGGAATGACATCCTTAATGGTCGAGGCAAGCAGATGGCCGTAGTGAGGCAATCCGGTAGCGAAAGGTGGGCCGTCGAAGAAAGAGTATCGAGGCTTGTCACTCGAGAGTTCGACCTGGCGCTTGAACGCATCAATCTCCCTCCACCGAGAGAGCACAAGCTCTTCTTCCGCGGGGAAGTCAATCGACATTGCTGAGTTGGTATGCGGAAATGAGAGGTTTGCAATTCACAAAGCCAACGGCAGTGACTCACCCCACCTCGGTTTTTTGCCCGCGGGTCTTTCACCCCTCCATATGTGCACTACACCGCCTTCCACAAACAAACAGTCTATACATACTACAATTAAAGAATGCCACTGCAAAGGACTACAACACAGCTGATATTTGAAACAGTTCAAAACCAGGTGTGTATTAGGTATCCATGGATTCTCGGGTACTAAATTGGGCATTGGTCCCCAAACCGAAGCTAAGGAGTATTCGATCATCCCACCCCACTGGCTGCTAACCAGCAGGGTGAGGTGACCGTTGCAGTGGTCGAACTTGACCCCGCGAGATGCTGGATTGGACGGGGGTACCGTCCTTTAGAGAGAGCAATCGGGGCACTCTCCCTCTGTCAACTAAAAGGAGGGTCAGCAAAATCTGAATTCGAATTGAGTATTGTATGAAGTGAACGCATCCAGAGCCAATAGCCCCGTCTCTGGGCATACCTTGAATTGTGGATGCGAGGCAAAGAATGTTTACTGTCTTTCCCAGAACGGCACAGTTTGGCTGTTGTTTTGCTTTCTATGTCGCAGATTGTATAGGCGGATGGTGTTCTTGATTTTCAATGTTAGTGAAGAATTCTTTGTATCAGAGGATTTTGTGGAGTGAGTAAGGAGTGAGTAAACAGTGAGCAAGCAGTGAACCCCGAGCTAACTCGTTGAAAAGGGCATCGACTACATACCCATATGCCAAAAAGATGATAGACATAGTTTGCAGACTGGGCTAGACGTGGCTCCTTTTCCTCTCTTAAGCTTCGGAGTGATTGTAGTAGTGGGTTGTGCGTATGTTCTCACCTCACACCGTTAACATCAATGTCTCCCATTGCATCCAAGATGGAACAAAGCGTGGAAACAATCTTGTACTGCTTCTCTGGTTGTAGAATATTTGTAGCAATCTCAAGACGGCCTTGTAGATTGTGAAGTACCAGCCCGCCACATCCTTTCACGCCGCAGATGGATCAAATCCACACCGTAGATGCAACAAAATCATGGGCTTCATCCACTTGAGCAGATGTCAGCTGTGCGAGATCCGCTGAAGCACGACAACGTAGCAGCATTGATTCAGTCCACCAGGGCATTCCCTCTGACCACCACCCGCTGGCCAGGTGAGGGTGGAACTTGTCCGAAGTTTGAGAATGATAGATCGGATGAAGCTAGCGGAGATGCAAGCTGGTGGAAGGGGTTTGTGAACTCCGGAAATATGCTTTTGGGCTTAGACTTTTACCCCTATCGCTCCTTCACCAGGTCCAGCGCGACGTATGTATTCAGATGCCAGCGTCTGGATTGAGCTGCCTTGACCAATCCCCACCCTAAGTAGATGAGTGCAGATAGCCTGTCCTCGTTCTTCATGGCAAGGCAAAATCCAGATATATGCCTTATATGATAGGCACTAACTCAATGATCTGCAATATTGAGATAAGGACCTCTAACTCACATTGTCTTGCTGAAACCATTACTTCTAAGTTAAGTATGAATTAGTTTCTTTGGGTCACTTAAACCCGATTGCCAAAGATATTTTTTGAGCTTCTTTGACCAAATTAATAATGTTCGGATTTGTGTATTTGCTATATAGAATGTAAAGAATTCACAATTTCTCTTCAGTCAGAAGAAAACGAATATTGAAAGCAGAATCGAGTATACGCTATTACTTAAGTACACGATATAGATGATAAAGTTGTTGAGAATATATACCTTTAGCCTTTCTTTTTTTTGTCCATATCTTAAAAACTCTGGGATTCTTTTTAGATGCAAGACTGGGTATGAACTTAGAAGCAGTCAGCTAAATTATTGAGGGGAATGGTAGCTCATTCGAAGATCCTTGCAAAGCATAATTGAAATTCATTTTGGGTCCGCCCCTAACTCCATATATTCCCGCAGTATCAAGCCCAATTCCCGGTGTTGTGAGATAATAGAACAACAGTATTGAAGACACAGAATAATCACAGAGAAAAAGAGAATGTGAAATATCTGACTTTCTAATAACGACCATATCCACCTCCACCTTGGTTTTGGTTTTGGTAGTTTCCACGACCTCTGCCCCCGCGGTAACCACCGCCGCCTCGGCCTCCGCGATAATCTTGCGAGCCACCGTAACCGCCTTGCTGATAGCCGTTGTTATACTGACCACCTTGGTTATACTGGGCGTGAGGGTTGTAGTAGCCTCCGTACTGTTCATAACCTTGCTGAGGTGGGTATTGGTTGCTCATTCCACCACGTGGGGGAGGAGGTGGTCCTCTGGAATAACCTCCGTATCCTTGGCCAGGAGGAACCCATCCTGGGGGTACCATATGGGCCCCGGCGGGACCTCCCTGGGGACCAGGGGCAAAGTTAGGGTCGAGGTGACCAGCAAATGGGTTTGGGCGATCGGGTTGAGGGCGATCACTTTGGTAGCTCATCCGGCCACCTCGGCCTCGGCCCTGGAAAGGTGCACCACCGAACGATCGGCCAGAGTTTTGAGCACGACCCTTGGTAGCTCTGATGTCAGCTGAGTCCAGCATCGGCGTCGGTAGCTTCACACCGCGCAGCAGCATGGACTTGTGAACATGTGACGACTTGGGGAGTGTGTATAAGACAGTGAGGGAACGATCGTCATCGACACCGGGCATGCCATGAGCTTCCAATGGCGATACCAATGAGCTGTGAGGGATATATGTATCACTACGCTCGACAATTCCAGCAAGACCTGCACTCAGGTCTTGCTTGATAGAGTACTGCGCAGGACCTGGCTTCTTGGAATAGAAATTGGCAACCAGATCTTGGTACAGCGGGTTTCTGTCCGATAAGAGAAGCACCTCCGAGCCGTGAGTGTTACGACTGGCCTCCTCCTCGGTCAAGAGAGGATAGACAGTCCCCATGGCTTCAAGCAAGCGGTTTGCATCGATGAATGGCAGGAGAATTACGCCCTGCCAAGCAAACTTCTTGCCATTTAGGTCGAGCGGGAAATCTTCAGGATAGAAATCGATGATAGGAGAATTCGCATCCTCCATCAAGGGGTGGAAGACCTTTGGCAGTGCGTGGTTAGAGGAAGCGGGAAGCACACCCATCAGTTGTTCGAAGGGTCTGAATGGTGCGCCCTTCTCAAACTCCACGGGCATATCCGCAATATCGACGAAGTCGGCAGCAAATGGCGCATAGTGATGGGGGTAATACCAACTCCAACTAGGACATCCCTGGAAGTAGTAGCGAAGAACCCAGCATAATCCGAGAGCATAGTCGCGGGCGACCTGGTGGCGGAACTCATGGTTCTTGGGGTCCACGTTGAACTTCTGCTCGTAGTATCTATCGGCGTAGCCCGGTTCCCATAGTTTGACAGTGTCCTCTGCCGGTTCATCTGACTTAGGCTTCTCAACTGCCGGGGGAGGTGGTGGAGAGTCTCTACCGGGCGTCCCCGCTTCGCCATCTTCCTGGTCGGCTGCATCGGCCTTTCGCTTCCCAAGGGTTGTTGGGGCCGCGGCATCACTCGAAGTGTCTTCAGTCGGAGTCTCACTAGGCTCGGGCTCGGTTTGCTTGCCCTTCATGAGCTTGCTCTTCAACACGGCGGCAGCACTCTTGTTCTCCATATTGGCACGATACACGGCACCGCGGTTGGTGACCATGTCGTGAGTTAACTCCCTAGTCTCTTTGGCCAAATGACCACGACCCGGGGTGATCAACTCCATAGGAGGGGCGGCCTCGGCGGGACCGCCAGCCTTAGCATCGTACTGGGGGGAGCTGCGTCTCCGCTTTTGAGAACGCTCCGCATTACGAGCTTCATCTTGCTCTTTGCGTCTCTTCTCGTTAGCCTGCTTCCTCTCATCTGCCTGTCTACGGCGACGGAAGATAGCGTCCTCCTGTTTGGCCAATCCTTGCAAGATGATTTGGGCATTTTTCAGCTCAACGCTTCCATCTTTGGTAAGATAGCTTCCCATAGCAGGGAGGTTGTCACGCCAGATGGCGATCAGTGTGTCAATTCCATTCTCGCGAATGTCCAAAGAGGGCAGGTGAGGAAGGAAATCGTTTCCGACAAAGAAACACATGAATACCCAGTCATCAAGGGCACGTTCCAGGTCAAATGGGAAAGGCTGCTGAGGGACACGAAGTTCCACTGCGAGGTACTCTCTGAGAACAGCGACGTGCAACCAAATGAAGGGTTTCAGAGGAGCGGCATTCTGTTTCTCATCAAATTCTCCAGACTTTTCCTTGGGGCGGCCCAGACACTCTTCAGCCTTGTGTCCATTCTGTCCACACAGCCTACATCCTCGGGGTCTAGAGTCTTGGGCGAAAACATCTTCACGCAATACTCGGAAGTAAGGCTCGTGGGTACCAAGGCCCAACATGATCAAGTCAGCATCCTAGCGGAGTTAGCAAGCGGGAATGACAAATTCAGAGTAGATATGAAGCCTTACCAGACCGTAGATGACATGACGAGTGTTGGGATCATGGTCAGGCGAAGCGCGCTGCGATCGCACAAAGTTCATGATCTTGTGTTCTCCCTCTCCGGGAACTGTGGCATCCGAGATGATGATTTTCAACTGCGGGTGTTAGCAAGCACCTCGCGACAAGATTTGAGACGGAAACATACATTTTCCCATCCTGGATCAGTGTTGAGCTTGTAGGCAATCCAATAGCGCAGTGAGGCTGCAAGGATGTCCATGAAAGGTGTTCCGGGGGTGATAACGTTGCTATCCCAAGTCTTCTGAACAACCTCCTCCCGAATGTATTCCTCGCCAGTCTTTGTATGGTGCTGCTTGGCAAGCATCTTGTGAAGTTCCTCCTTCTTTTGGTCATTCTCTCTGGCCTCTTGTGCTGAGCGGAAACGACGCGCGCGTTGTTGGTTCATCTTGGCTCGGGGAGCGACACCGTCTGCAGGTCCAAGACAAGTTAGCTAGCTGCAGTTTGTGGTGATCATGAGGAGTATTCAAAGAGTAGCTTCATATCAGTGGGGCGGCAAAACATACCGATAGCGATCATGAGAAGCTTTCTGGGGCGAACCATGTTGACCACGCGGTCAGTGTACTTGTAGATCTCCAACATCATCTCCTGCTCGTCTGCTGGGGGAGGTCTGCCCTCCGGGTGAGTACACGGATGAACAATACCGTTCATATCCAGGTAGAGATTATCCTGTTCCTCGCCATTAGGGTTGGGGCCAGTGATGTCCAGCGGGATTTCCTCTCCATCCACTATTTGGGCCTGTTCCTCAACAACCGCAGATATAATCTTGGGATATTTATTGGAAAGCCATCGGAACAGCGCGGGGACACCCATATTGGCGATGCGACACTTGTGGAATCAAAGGCTTGTGTAAGAAGGGAAGCGTTGTCGCAATCGGTTCACGGTGATCGTGTTGGCGCAGGCGCAGGCGCAGGCGCAATCCCAGAATCTGTCTGATGGGCACAGGTGGGTGAGAAGAATGAAAGATTTTAGACTTCTCGCAAATCAAGGAGAGATATGAGATGCAACCGCAGAAATGATCGCGGTGCTGGGCTTGAGAGGTGACCGCAAGCTTCCCGTCGACGAAAAGATAAATCCTGGGCGGTCGGAGATTTTGCCATCACACTCAAGAGCGGTAGCGCCGCTGGCAGCGGCAGCAGGACAGCTTGCTGTTACAATCGGCGAATTGAGCAACAGAGTCATTTTTCTTTACTTTTGTTGTCTTTAGATGACTATCAATTCTTACGCCCCCGGCCGGCGGTGACCATGATATTGCAATTCCACCACAATGTTTCGAATTCTTGAATCACAAGCTCCGGCCAAACAAACAGCCACAGACACAATCGATGTATTGAGCAGTAGACTGCAGAATGCAACACTCTTGGAGGATCGTCGAGCAGCAATCCAAGGCCTCAGAAGCTTCGCAAAGCTCTACCCCGCGTCAGTTGCATCTGGCGGTCTACGGTCATTGATCAGTAGTCTGCAAAATGACGGCGAGGATGTGGACACCATCAAAGTGGTCCTCGAGACCCTATTGATGCTTTTCTCGCCAGATGAGTCTAGTGTGGGTACCTAGCTCTCTGAAATATCAGATGCCGGATTCTAATGTGCTTCTATAGCCTGAAGCATCAGATGAGATAGCTCTGTGGCTGGCGGACTCGTTTACTCAGGTATGAATCGTTACCTCGGCCCAACACCATAAACTGACATTTCCAAAGCGACAAGATAACATCACTACCCTCCTCGATCTCCTCGAAGCCCGAGAATTCTACTCTCGCCTGTACTCTCTGCAATTGATGTCTCACATCTGCAACGCACGACCGGAACGAACACAAGAGTGCATTTTCACTGCGCCGTTAGGCATCTCCAAGCTAGTCAATGTTCTAACCGATTCAAGGGAACCAGTTCGGAACGGTAGGTTTCACGGAATACTAAACTCACTTGTGACATGATCGTTGTAGGCTGACCAAATGTTTTTTCTTCTGGTTGCTAGAGGCCCTTGTCTTGCTCATTGCTCTTACACCTACATCCGAAGAATTGCAGAAGCTCGTGGCATTCGAGAATGCATTCGAGATTCTCCTTGATCTTATAAATAAGGAAGGGGCATTAAGTCTCGGAACTGAAGTTGTCGAAGATTGCTTGTCCTTGTTGGCTCATCTGCTAAGATTCAATGTTTCCAACCAATCGTCTTTCCGAGAGACTGGCTGTGTAAAGAAGGTTACACACCTTCTACATGAATGCCAACAAGAGCCAGAAGGCGACGAGGCGCTGCCACAGTGGACTTTAGTCCACCGGGACAAGAACGTGTGGGGCCTATTGGCTATCATACAACTGTTTTTGATCCGTGGGGGTGTAACAACCCCTGTGAATCAAACTGCATTCTGGCAAAATGGCGTGACAGAACAAGTTTTAAGCATTGCATTCGGTCAAAGATTTAGTGTCAGCGTAACCTCAAAGGTGAGATGTCGTTCTTCGCTTTGATAATTGTCCGCACTCGAGACTGACAGCTTTTGCCAGGCACTGTCAACCTGCGCCGATCTTATTCGTGGAAATTCGCCTCTGCAAGAGAGGTTCGGTGACATAGAGGTCTTGTGGGGCTCTTATGCTCGCAGTGATGCAGGTAGCAATGGCGAGTCTAAGGAACCTTTACGAATCAATGTCATTGAGGCATTCCTGAAACTCAGCCTTGAGCCCGCCCCCAATAGCTTACTCGACGCCCGCCTTGCGGCTTGTGAATGCATGAAAGCGTTTTTTGCTCACCATTCCGGAATTCGCATGCATGTGCTCAGACGAGCCATTGAAGGTCACATTAGTGGACAGGATGCTATTCCGAACATTATGTCTGTTTTGCTCACAGCCCCAGAATCTCGAGGAAATGCCGACCCATATCAGGTGTGGATGGCCTGTGTCCTCATGTTCCACTTGATTTTCGATGATACCGAAGCGAAGGCAACTGCTATGAAAGTCACTGAAGGCGACGCTGAAAGTGGAGAAGAAGTCGTCACAAGTGTACAGTCAGTGGTTGGAAACCTTATCACTGGACTCCAGCGCGGCGACGATGAAAGAATCACGGTCGGTTACCTGATGCTACTCTGTGGCTGGTTGTTCGAGGACCCAGATGTCGTCAATGATCTCCTTGGAGAGGGCAGTAGCATCCAAACCTTGCTTCAAGAAATCAAGCACCAACGTGCTCCCAGCAAGCTGATACCTGGCCTTTGCACTGCACTCCTGGGTATTATATATGAATTTTCCACCAAGGATTCACCAATCCCTCGCCTCACGCTCCACAAGCTCCTCATGGAACAACTCGGCAGAGAACAGTACATTGACAAGATCACCCGGCTCCGAGAGTGTCCCCTGGTTCGTGACTTTGAAGTCCTGCCCCAGAATGCGGGCAGCCAGCTTGAGGGCGGACTACCAGAGGTCTTTTTCGACCGCGCATTCGTTGAATTCCTCAAGGACAACTTTAGCCGCTTGCTGCGTGCCATTGATCGTGAGCCTGGGTTCGAGATCTCGGTTGTCGCCAACGGGGTGGAAAAGGGAGTCTCGCGTGATCTTGTGGATTCTTTGCGGGTTGAAATCGAAGATCGGACTCAAACACTTCAAAAATTGGAGTCTGACATTGTGGACATCCAGAGGAAGCTGGATCAGGAGCAACTAGATCACCAAAAGACAAAGGAATCTGGCACCATGGAACTGTTAAGGTCCCAGCAGTCCAGCCAATCTCTTCAGCAGGCCCATGCACAAGAGCTTTCACAGCAACTGGCAAAACTGGAAGACCAACACACTCGTTCCAGAAACGAACTATTGAAGCAGCATGGCGAGCAGATTCGAGCCCTCGAAAACCAACTCAAGCAGGCTTCGGCGGCAACTGCAGGCCACACCAAGCAAGCGAATCAAGCCAGAGAGCAGCATGAACGGGAGGTATCTGGTCTGCAGCAGAAAATCCGTGGCATGGAGGCAGAGCTCACTCGCATCCGTGGGCAACACACAGTAGAGACTGCCGATTTCAACAAAAAAATCCAGGAGTTGAAAAACACCATCAGCCAATCAAAGACTGCACACGGCAATCAGGTGGTGACTCTCGAAAAGAAGATCCAAATCCTGGAAAGCATCAAGGCAACCAATGATGGACAGCTTGGTGACCTGAACAAAAAGACCCAAGAATTACAGAATACGATTAATAAGTCAAACGATGCTCACAGTACAGAGGTCACTCGTCTTCAAAAGAAGATTGAAGATATGGAGGCAGTCAAGAAATCCCACGACGGACAAGTCGCAGGTCTTGAAAAGAATGTTCAGGATCTAGAGGCGGCTAAAAAGTCCCAGGCCGAACGGGTTGAAAGCCTTGAGAAGATTATTCAGGACTTGGAGTCAACTAAGAAATCCCACGATGGACAAGTTGCCGAACTTACCAAGAAGCTGTCGGGATTCCAGAACACAAAGGAAGCCCACGATGGTCAGATTACCGACTTCACCGAGAAGCTTCAGACTCTGGAATCGACGCTGGCCACAACTCAACAGCAACACGCAAAGGAAGTCAGCGATCACAAGAGCAAGATTGCTGCCCTAGAGACCAGTCTCTCAACTGCTTCACAAGAGCATGAGACTGCGACAACTGGTCATAAGGATAAGGTCAAAGCTCTGGAATCAAAGCTGAGAAAGGCTGAAGAGGAACATGAAACGAAGGTTTCCACCTTGAAGAAATCCGTCACAAGCCTGGAGTCAGACCTTGCCGAGGCCCAGAAATCCAGCAAGGATCTCGAGACAGCTCAAGAAGGCAGCACATCCCAAACGTCTGCACTGGAAGCACGGGCCAAGGAAGCAGAGAGCAAAGCCAAGGAGGCCGAGTCCCACGCTCGCACTGCAGCGGAGGCTCTGAAGGCTATTCAGGAACAGCTTGACAAGGCCAACGCGGATGCCAAAGAAAAGGAGGAAGCTCGCCAGTCAGCACAATCGGAACTGGAGGACCTCCTCATTGTATTTGGAGACCTAGAGGCTAAGAGAACCGAAGACAAGGTATGTTTGCTAGATCCCAATTTTGGAATATTACTAACAAACTTCCAGGCACGGCTCAAGGAGCTTGGCGAGGAGGTTTCTGAGGCTGAGGATGATGAGGATGAGGATGAAGATGAGGACGATGCATGAAAAACAATGTGCCTACTCAGTACATAGCAAGGCAATTCAGTTTCTTCAGGCTCCATGTAGTACTCACCACTGTATGCCAGGTGTCAACTAGCTAGGAATAGTCGCTGTATGATTTTCACCTGAGCAATATTCAATGCATACTTCTGAAGTACAGAGTACCTCCAACTGTGGAAGAAGTCTAGAGTCAACCCTTGAGGCTGCTGTAGTCACATCCAAGCGTTTTAGAACTTGTGAGCAAACCTAATAAGCATGAGGCACAGAGTACAAGTAGATTGTGTGCACCTACATACCAAGATTCAGCTTTTGGCCACAGGTGTCGTGTTTTTGTGGTTTAACTTGCTCTGGCTTTGACTTTTTGCGTTTTCTTTTTCGGCAAGGACAAGTTTCCGACGTTCTATTCGGATTCCCTGGTCCATTCTTGTGTACAAAGTTGAGACCGCGGGAATCTTAGCAGAAAAACAGACCGTTTGACCTTGAGGGATCCTCCTAGAGACCTTCGACCTTAGGCGGCCTTGCTCCCTAATCACCGTCATCAACCCGATATCAATCCATGGGCTGCCTATGAGTAAGGTTGAAACCATGAGTCAGGTCCTGCTCAATCTACGGAGTGGATGTGGTACAATGTACGGAGCATTGCTAATCTGCCTATCGGTGTCTCACGACAGCAAGGCCAGCATGCGGAACACAACAGGGGGCAAGGATTGGTCTATGGTCGACTTCAGTGACAAGAGAGTACCTTGCCAAATTCAACAGTTGTGAGCAAAGCAATGTTTTCTAATGTGGATCAATCGGCCAGCCCTTGCGATCGAGCATCTACGCGTAGCGGGAGGACCATGTGAGTGCATGAAGTGGGATTCTCTCCAATCACTGCACTCCAATGGGTCACCCGAAGCAGGTGGAGCAGGGCATTGGGGAGATCCATGGAAAGTGAATTATGCGAAACAAAGCCCCGAAGGGGGCAACAGCACTCCGTAGTGTTAGCAAAGCTGATTTTATGCGAGATCGGCAGGGAGAATGTCCAGACACGGCAGCCCGGCGAAGTCGGCAAATACGATTCCAGTGATTAGGGTTCTGAGATCAGCCGCAGGAAACCATTTGAGCAGCTGAATAGGAGTAGTGGAGAATTAAATGTGGGTAGGATTTCCGATTGCTTTTGTTGGGATGCATATGAGAAGCGACTCTGTGAACTATTGACCCAAGTGCAGACGAACTCGTATGAGCAGTAGAATCCACAAGTAGCATCTGATGTATCCAATGTGGATGATCAAAGTCGTGATATTGGAGTATGGGAGTGTACTCGTAGTAGTAAGATGCTAAAGCGAAGTCCACAGCGGGTAACAGATTGCCTAACCCTGCGAGGCGGTCAGCAAATTGCCCGCGACACCGGACCTCGTGTTTTATTTTTCTTTTTGGTTCTCTTCATAAGATCAGCAGAGTTTCTTCTGGGGGAAAAAAAATAAAGATTCTCACATTGTTGGACATAGGTATGTTCCATTGACTCTTTTTTCTCCCCCTTCAGCCATCTCAGGGGCTTGCAATTGATCTATGCGTGCTGCTAGTCCCATAGTGGGGGCAAGCCTAAAAGTTACTATGACTCAGGGTGGGACTAACAAATATTCACCAGAATGAATTGATCTCTGAATCTTGCTTTCATCCATCATCCATAATGTCCGATCCCACCAAGATCAGTATCTTGGGCCGGGAGAGCATTGTTGCTGATTTCGGTCTTTGGCGCAACTTTGTCGCCAAGGACCTGGTCAGTGAATTGCCCTCCACGACCTACGTGCTCATCACAGATACCAACCTCGGATCCCTCTACACCTCAACCTTCCAAAAGACCTTCGAGGCGGCCGCTGCCTCCGTTACCCCCTCTCCACGACTCCTCGTCCACAATGTTGCTCCCGGCGAGAGCTCGAAGTCCCGCCAGACGAAAGCCGATATCGAAGATTGGATGTTGACCCAGAACCCACCATGTGGCAGAGATACCGTGGTCATCGCATTGGGCGGTGGTGTGATTGGTGATTTGACCGGCTATGTGGCAGCCACCTACATGCGTGGTGTCCGCTACGTGCAGGTTCCCACTACACTGTTGGCCATGGTTGACTCCTCCATCGGAGGAAAGACTGCCATTGATACCCCACATGGCAAGAACCTCATCGGCTCCATCTGGCAGCCATCGAGGATCTACATTGATCTTGAATTCCTCGAGACTCTGCCCGTCCGTGAGTTCATCAATGGTATGGCCGAGGTCATCAAGACCGCCGCCATCTCCAGCGAGGAGGAGTTCACTGCTCTGGAGACCAATGCGGACGCCATCCTGGCTGCTGTGCGCAGTGAGGCCAAGCCTGGCCAAGGCCGTTTCGATGAAATCCGGGATATCCTGAAGGCTAGAATTCTGGCCTCGGCCCGCCACAAGGCCTTTGTCGTCTCTGCTGATGAGCGCGAGGGTGGCCTCCGCAACCTGCTGAACTGGGGTCACTCTATTGGACACGCCATTGAGGCTATCCTTACCCCTCAGGTTCTTCACGGCGAGTGTGTCGCGATCGGTATGGTGAAGGAGGCAGAGCTCGCACGTCACCTTGGCATCCTGAAGGGTGTCGCGGTCGCTCGTGTTGTGAAGTGTCTTTCCGCCTACGGTCTGCCCACCTCCATGAAGGATTCCCGCGTCCGCAAGTTGACTGCTGGCAAGCACTGCTCTGTTGACCAGCTGCTGTTCAACATGGCCCTGGACAAGAAGAACGATGGCCCCAAGAAGAAGGTCGTTCTTCTGTCAGCCATTGGCCGTACACACGAGCCCAAGGCTAGCGTCGTCTCCAACGCCGACATCGCTGTTGTCCTTGCCCCCAGTGTTGAGGTTCACCCCGGAGTCCCCAAGACCCTTGATGTCACTTGCGCACCCCCCGGCTCTAAGAGTATTTCTAACCGTGCTCTTGTGCTTGCTGCGCTTGGTTCTGGAACTTGCCGCATCAAGAACCTTTTGCACTCCGATGACACCGAGGTTATGCTGAATGCCTTGGAGCGCCTCGGTGCTGCCACTTTCTCCTGGGAGGAGGAAGGCGAGGTCCTGGTTGTGAACGGTAAGGGCGGAAAGATCGTTGCCAGCCCTGAATCTTTGTATCTGGGTAACGCTGGAACCGCATCTCGCTTCCTTACCACCGTGGCCACTCTTGCCACCCCCAGCAGTGTCGACCACAGCATCTTGACCGGTAACAACCGCATGAAGCAGCGACCCATTGGTGATCTTGTTGACGCTTTGACCGTTAACGGAGCTGGTGTCGAATACGTGGAAAGCAAAGGCAGTCTTCCCCTGAAGATTGCTGCTTCTGGAGGCTTCGCTGGAGGCAAGATTAACCTTGCGGCCAAGGTTTCCTCCCAGTATGTTTCCTCGCTTCTCATGTGTGCTCCTTACGCCAAGGAGCCCGTGACTCTGAAGCTGGTTGGTGGAAAGCCCATTTCTCAGCCTTACATTGACATGACAACTGCCATGATGAGATCTTTCGGCATTGACGTCAAGAAGTCTGAGACCGAGGAGCACACTTACCACATCCCCCAGGCAAGCTACGTGAACCCCCCCGAATATGTTGTGGAGAGCGACGCCAGCTCTGCCACCTATCCTTTGGCCATTGCTGCCGTCACTGGTACCACCTGCACCGTTCCCAACATTGGCTCCAAGTCTTTGCAGGGCGATGCTCGCTTCGCAGTTGACGTGTTGCGCCCCATGGGTTGCTCTGTCATCCAGACTGACACCTCTACTACCGTCACTGGACCTGCCGATGGTGTTCTGCAGCCTTTGTCCAACGTGGACATGGAGCCCATGACTGATGCTTTCCTCACTGCTTCCGTCCTCGCGGCAGTTGCTCGCGGCAAGGATTCTAACCACACCACCCGTATCTACGGTATTGCCAATCAGCGTGTCAAGGAATGCAACCGTATCAAGGCCATGAAGGACGAGCTCGCCAAGTTCGGAGTAGTCTGCCGTGAGCACGACGATGGTCTCGAAATCGATGGTATCGACCGCTCCACTCTCCGCCAGCCGTCCGGCGGTGTCTACTGCTACGATGACCACCGTGTCGCATTCAGCTTCAGTGTTCTTTCCCTCGTTGCTCCTACTTCCTCTCTCATTCTTGAAAAGGAGTGTGTTGGTAAGACTTGGCCTGGCTGGTGGGATGCCCTGAAGCAGATGTTTGGTGTCAGCCTTGATGGCAAGGAGCTGAAGGAAGAAGAGCACGCTTCCTTCACCCAAGCCGAGCGAAGCAGTGCGTCAGTCTTCATCATTGGTATGCGTGGCGCTGGCAAGACCACCACCGGCAACTGGGTTGCCAAGGCTCTCGACCGCAAGTTTGTTGATCTCGACACTGAGCTCGAGACCAGCGAGGGACAGACTATCCCCGATATTATCAAGACTCGTGGCTGGGAATCGTTCCGTGACGCCGAATTGGCCGTCCTCAAGCGTTGCATGAAGGATCGTCCTACTGGATACGTCTTCGCTTGTGGCGGAGGTGTCGTCGAGATGCCAGAGGCACGCAAGCTGCTCTCTGACTACCACAAGAACAAGGGCAACGTCCTACTCATCATGCGCGATATCAAGCTTGTGATGGATTTCCTCAACATCGATAAGACTCGCCCCGCTTATGTCGAAGACATGATGGGCGTGTGGCTGCGCCGTAAGCCTTGGTTCCAAGAGTGTAGTAACATCCAGTACTACAGCCCGCACTCTAGTTCATCAGAGCTTGCTCTTGCTTCCGAGGACTTCAACCGCTTTGTGAAGATGGTCTCTGGTCAAATGGACAGCCTCAAGGCTATTAAAAAGAAGCAGCACAGCTTCTTCGTCTCTCTGACTCTCCCTGATCTTCGCCCAGCTCGCGAGATCATCACCGAGGCTTGCATCGGTTCCGACGCCGTTGAATTGCGTGTCGATTTGCTCAAAGATCCGTCCGCTAAGGGTGATATCCCATCAATCGACTATGTCGCCGAGCAAATGTCCCTTCTGCGTCAGAGCACCGCTCTGCCGCTTATTTTCACTATTCGCACCAAGAGCCAAGGCGGTCTTTTCCCTGATACTGCTCACGAAGAAGCTTTGGCATTGTACAAATTGGCCTTCCGCTCCGGATGTGAATTTGTGGATCTCGAGATCGCATTCCCCGACCAGCTCCTCCAAACCGTCACTGAGATGAAGGGTCACTCCAAGATCATTGCCTCGCACCATGATCCCAAGGGAACCCTTTCTTGGTCCAACTGGTCTTGGATCCAGTCTTACAACCGTGCCCTTGAATATGGTGATGTGATTAAGCTCGTCGGTGTTGCTAAGACCCTCGATGACAACACTGCTCTACGCAAGTTCAAGACGTGGGCTGAAGAGGCTCACGATACACCCTTGATCGCCATCAACATGGGTGATACCGGCCAGCTTAGCCGTATCCTGAACGGTTTCATGACCCCCGTGTCTCACCCTAGTCTGCCCTTCAAGGCCGCCCCTGGTCAGCTCTCCGCGACTGAGATCCGTCGCGGTCTCTCCCTGATGGGTGAGATCAAGGCTAAGAAGTTCGCCATTTTCGGCTCCCCCGTCTCTGGCTCGCGCTCTCCTGCCCTCCACAACACCCTCTTCGGTACCATGGGTCTCCCTCACGAGTACACTCGTCTGGAGACCACCAATGTCGAAGACGTCAAGGATTTCATCCGCGCCCCCGACTTTGGAGGTGCGTCCGTGACAATCCCCCTCAAGCTCGACATCATGCCCCTCCTCGACGAAGTCGCTCAAGAGGCTGAGATCATCGGCGCCGTGAACACCATCGTCCCTGTTCCCACAGGCGACAAGCCTCGCCTTGTCGGCTACAACACCGACTGGCAAGGTATGGTCCGCTGCATGCGCAACGGTGGAGTCTACGGCTCAGCCGGCGACGAGAGCGCAGTGGTAGTCGGCGGTGGTGGTACCGCCCGCGCGGCCATCTTCGCCCTCCACAGCATGGGCTTCTCTCCCATCTACGTGGTCGGTCGCTCCGCCGCCAAGCTCGAAAGCATGGTCTCGACCTTCCCGACCAACTACAACATCCGTGTTGTTGACAACCACAGCCAGCTCGACTCCGTTCCCCGTGTTGCCATTGGAACCATCCCCGCTGACCAGCCCATCGATGCTGGCATGCGCGAAACCCTGTGCCACATGTTCGAGCGCGCGCAGGAGACCGACGGCACCTTGATTGGCAAGACTTCCGAGGCCAAGCCCCGGGTTCTTCTCGAGATGGCCTACAAGCCCGCTGTCACCGCTTTGATGCAGCTTGCTTCCGATGCGGGATGGAGCACCATTCCCGGACTGGAGGTTCTGGTTGGCCAGGGTGTGCACCAGTTCGTCCACTGGACTGGTATCACCCCCTTGTACCACGAAGCACGAGTAAGAAACCCCCAATCCATCGATCATTTGCCTTTACAATACTAACATGCCTGCAGGCTGCTGTTCTGGGTAGCGAGTCCTCGTAAATACAATTTCGAGTCCCCTTCTCTTCACGCTTGACGCCCTCATATTCCATGTTTTGACGGGGGAAGCGGGTTTTCACTAAACAAAAAGTTGATTCTTCCGCTTTATAATTTCCTCTTCAGTGGGATGTGATCCTTTCATATACATTTTTTCGGTCAATGATATTATAGTATGTGCCACTTCATACTTCTTTGCTTTTGTAGAGTGTATAGCAGCTCATGCATCTTCCTAGGGGGCTCATCCGGATTCCTATTAGTGTTACTTGAGTATTATTTGCTCTCCGGCATGTTTATTCTGGTGTTTGAAGAAGCTTTTGATTTTGGTTGCTCCAAATCAACCCAAAATATGCTGCCTGCATTTCAAGTGCAGTCCAGCATCCGCATACTTAAGTATAAAATATAGACACAAACTTCCAACCCATCATTCATCATCTCATTCAGCCTTAACCTCGGCCCGGCGAGAGATGGTGAGCCACAAATCTCTCCAGTATCCAATACCACCCATGATCATGAACTTTGCCTCGGGCTTACCAGGCACAGCCTCCGGTTTGTACTGACGGAAGAACTAGAACGAGCGTTAGTTGAGAAATTCTTACTGGAACGTCAAAACTCACCTGCAAAGGTCCCTTGAACAATTCCATCATGGCAATATCCTTGCCCAAACAGCCACGCGATCCATATCCGAACGAGAAGTTGTACTTGTTATACAGCTTGGCTTTCTCCTCATCCAACCACCTCTCAGGTTTGAACTCCTCCGCATCTTCGCCATAAAGTTTCTGATCACGGTGCACAAGATACGGGTTACAACTGATTTCCGTACCCGCTGGCGCAAACTTGCCGTACAGATCGATTCCAGGTTCGGAGACATAGCGAGGGAAGATATTGGGCGCAGACGGGCAAAGACGCATGGTCTCCTTCACACAGCCAACATAGAAAGGCAGGTGCTCGATCACTTCATTGTACTGGGGCATGTCTGAAATAAGACCCTTTCGGGTCGCGTTATCGATTTCCTCCATCATGCGCTCATATGCCGAGGGGTTGGTGATGAGGAACTGGATCAGAGCCTGGAAAGCTGTACCGGTGGTATCGGCACCGGCCAGGAGAACAAGGAGGACCTCGGCGCGAATGTACTCCAGATCGAGGGGCTTGCCTTCTTCGGTGACGGCCTCGAGGAACGTCTGGAGAAGATCGGTGCGTTCAATTTTCTTTTCGTCTTTAATGTCCTTGATGCGCTGGTCGATGAGGCGGTCTCGGAATCGCATCAAGACTCCGATTCCAGAGTCGTCTGCAGGCGTGGCGACAAGGTATTTCTTCAAGAAGGTCGTTTTCACCCACGAAGTGAATGGATGCAGACGCGAGAGGAGACCAAAGGCTGGAAGGCCGTCGTGGAATCCTTGAATAAGGCCACCGATATCCTCACCCTTTTCAATGAAGCCGAAGGGCTCACCGAAACCGATTTCACTGATAATGTCGTATGCCATGTATCTGTGATTTCCATGTTAGTGGGTCCTTGGTTTGTATACCTGCAAATGCTTACACTGCCCACCACGAGAAGTCAAATGCTTCACCAGTCTTGCAGAAGGTGCTATCGAGCTTTGAGGTCCATTCCGTGATACGCGCGTCAATGAGCGGCTCCATCTTCTTGATGTTCGAGAAACTGTACTATAGGAGCTGTCAGCGGCTGAGACATTGGATTTCATGCAGGAAATCTGTGGAGAACATGTCATACAGGGCCAGCAACGTGTTTCCTGAACACAGCGTGGGTCTTGTGAGACCTCATGTTGAACAGAGACTCGGTTTCGCCAAAGCTTCCAGTGATATAGTGTCCAGTCTTGTCCACATTTCGGTGGTAGATCTCGGGGAGCTTTTCGTGATCGCTGACCAGCAGCAATGTCGGGGTGATGCGAACGACGGGGCCTATGAAAAAATCCGATTAGCAAGGAGTTGAGATTGTGATTTCTACATGACTGACCATATTCCTTTGCAAGTGCATAAACAGTCGGCACCTCTGTTTGCTGTAGACTGTGCTTTGCGATCCAGAGACGAGTGACCGAAGCCCAGAAGGGTCCGGGAAACTTGGCAAGTGGGTGGAAGAATCTATAGTAGACAATCTGCCAGCCAAATGTGAGCGCAACATACGCAAACAATGCTAGTGACAGGTTCGCCACTGTCAACAGTGACAGGACATTGCCGGCAAGACCCATCGTGGCGTTTAATGCTGCAGATTTGACATGGGAAAAAAGGTGAGGGAGGGAATGACCTAGTCCAAATATACGGATTACTTTCCCTTAGCTCTGACAGTGCGAAATGTAGTAAGGGAGATCACCGCATTGGCTAGTGGGCTATGCAGCTAAGAGGTCTACTCCACGACGGCTCTTTGCTATCTGGACTCTGCATGCCTAGACCCATCGGGGTCTGAGAGACAATGTCCATTGCGGAACCACTGACCCCCTACATCTTAGGAGTGCGAGTACGAGTAGTTCGAACACCATCCAAGGCATTTTCAACGGTGTGGATGAACGATCGTGACTCCGCCCGCTAATTCGCAATTGCAGCTTCGTGGATGGCCCCATTGTGCACATCAAAATCCCCATTCCCACCGAGATGGAGCTTCCTGAAGAGGTAAGGATATTCCAGGGAGAAAAGAGCTGGAGAAACCCCAACTGTCAAGGGTTTATTTTATTTTTAATTTTTTTGCGGACCATTCGGCATCTTCCATTTGGGAAAACATGCCGTTGCTCTCCAAAAGATGCTTGAGACATTGATCAACAATGACATTATTCAGTGCAGTCTCGGGCGCCTCGGGCTCCATATAAATTGGAGACAGAAACCCGAGAATCCAGAATCCAGAGGGCAGGGGTTATTTTCACAAGGCGAGACAGGAAAATCCCAAAGTACCCTCTACTCCGTACTCCGTACTTCGTACTCCGGGTCAACGCTGGTGGATCGAGAGGCCGTGGCGTTCTCCACTACTGAATTGCCATCATCTCACTGGATCGGGGCACTCGCAACTAAATTGAGGCCGCAGACGCCAGGGGCGGCCCGGGCGCCTTACCTCGTGCACAAATTCACACAAGATGCCATTGATAAAAGTGCGAGCATCCTAGATTTCGATATAAGTGTGGAGATTCGATAGGTCGAATGGTTCGCGCAATCGAGATGAAGAATCGAACGCTTAATTTGATTTTGTCGTAAGCAGGACCATTCACTCCGTAAGCAGGCTATATCGGGGCTAATCCGGAATTACGAGTTTTGTGTAGTGAAACAAGTTAGTCTCCAACTTTTGACAGTGGAGACGTCAAAGAATGTGCTCCACTAGTCTCTTCGGCGAACAAGAAATGCGAAAAATGTGACATGGAGAGAACACGAGCCGATGATCGTCTACTGCATTTGAGGGCCTGTCTACGAGTAATTGTGTTTCCTACTCCATACTACCTGTCGGAGTACAAGTACGGAATACACCATATGTACTTCTCAGTCAAAGATGACCAACGACATAGACTAGAAGGCAATGGTGTTGATCTCAGCGGCCGAAAGACTACAAACCACAGGCGATGGTTTCCGAACTGGCCAGATGGCTTGAAATGGCTGAAAGGGGGAGGGGATGGCGGGAGGCTACATAGATCCGTCTTGGCCCTATAATATCTGAATGCTACTCGTAGACTATATGCCTTACACAAGCACAGGGTACGATGTATAAACCCCCAATGGTTCCTCGTGAGTGGACAGTCTCATTTTTGGCATTGCAATATGTATGCACTCATATGCGTCTCATATCACAAATGATATCCGTGCCCATACTTGTATACTCCTGATGTGTTTAAATTGTTTAATGCAGATGACTTCATTTACGATTCCCCTGTGAACCCCCCAGTACCTGAGCCCCTTCAATTAATAACTCTGTTCGAGTCAAAATTTCTAGTGCAACGTTTTCCTGCAGCAACCACGTACTCGTACTCCAGACAGCCAATCTCGCTTAACAAGACACAGTCATGATGGGTGGACTGGTGGATGGGCGACCAAGTCTCCACTATGGACGGGTCGGAAGGCAAATGGGTCGTGCAGATCGGAAGTGTACGAGCTCTGTGTGGATGATTGCTAGCGTTTAAATCTGCATTCGCCGGATCATTGCGAGCGGAAGAATTATTTCGGGGGTTTGAAACGTCCGTCCGTGCTGATCCTCTCGGCCCCCATTACTGACTCGTACAGTGTCGAAAGGATTTGCAGAGATTTTGCACTGAAGCCTGAAGGAATTATTAAGAATAATTAAGCAGTGTTCTGACAAGGATTCTAGTCGTTCCAACAAACCAAATAAAGATAAAGTCCGAGACTTCATGCGCCCTGTCACTCAAAGCAAAAGGGGCTGTCGAAATCCATTGTAACCCTTGTCCATTATGTACATACACTGCCCATGTGCATTGTTGACCTGGTCCGAACATAGTGGAATTAAGATCACCATCGGAACCATCTCGATGCCCATCTCGATAGAATAAAAATAAATCAGATCGGAGAGATCATTCGGTTACCTTCCGCTCTATTCGTTTTCCGCCCCCAGCGGGTTACGTGCGAACTCATATTTTATCAATATGCTCTATCAAATCCTTTTTCTTTGTTGACTTTTAACATTATATGATGTGCCTAATATTGAATGCTACTTTGTAAATGTCCGTCAATAGTGCCAAATGATCGTCTTTGAGACGTTAAAGACTATGTCCTGACATCCCTGTTCAAGCCAATCCGATCCTTGTCTGCAAGTGGGCCACAATTAACCTGTTTAGAGGCTACTGTACACGAACTTTTCCGGGGTCCCATCCGAGGAGCTGGGTCCGTCGGTCTCGCAAAGAAGTGGATATATCCAAAGGATTCTTGAATGCTCGGCCAAGAATGAGGAGACTATGACAAAAGAATTATAGGCAGTCCGCGTCTGAGCAGCAAATCACAACCCAACTAGAGACGACCACTGTCGCCTCTGAGATCTGCCAGCATCTTGAAACCAGAGCCCCCAGTTAAAGACGGCAGGCGTCTGTTAGTGCTCACGCAGGGATCAGCGACGGCCTCAGACTGGGCGATGGAAGGTGGAGGTGGTCACTTCTGACAGTCTCGTGTCTCGTGTCTCGGTTTCGGGACTTTTCAGAAGGTAAAATGAAAAGCCCCATGTCAATCCCTGCCTTGTTTTTGCGAATAGGCTTTAAACGGGTGGGTGGATCTCGAGGGTACTTACTAGTACAGTAGGACCATGCACACTACTCGCATATCTGGGCTGTAAACTCGGTCTTTTTTGTTCATGCTAGCTCCAGGGGCCTCGGGCTTAAATCCATTTTATAAATGAACAACGGGGTACCGCGAACTAATCCACTTGATGTTTTTTTGTTGATACTTGCAGCTTGACCCATGATTCTATTCTCTGTGAGAAAAGAGTGTGAAACCACTGCCTGTGCCTTTCGTTAGATTTTCTTAATTCTTTCCTTTATCCTTCATTCTCATTCTCTTCCTTACTATGGCCGGTGACAATGGCTCCCAAGGACCTGTGGTCGTGGGTATCGCTGTGGCGTTTGCCGTCGTGACATTCATTGTCTTAGCGCTTCGTCTCTTTTCACGCATTTACGTCTTGCGCAAGATGGGCATCGATGACTGTAGGTGGTCCACACCTACTTTTTCTCAGCAATACTGACAAGTCTATAGATCTTATCATTGCTGCTTGTGTAAGACAACCCAACCATGCCATGAAGGCCATAACTAATAGCAACAGTTATTATCGTGGGCGTTCATTGCCGTCACTATCATCGGTATGTATCCTCGGCCAACCACCCTCAGATTCATTCTAACTCAGACTAGCGGTTCAAAACGGACTGGGGAAACACGCCGCGGATCTCGACCAGTCCAAGCTCGTGACCTACGCATTTGTAAGGACGGCGCCTCATTCAACGCTCGTATGTCTAACGTCTATCTAGGTGGTCTGGCTGAGCTCCATGTTCTATCTTGCCACTCTCGGATTCATCAAAACTTCGGTCCTCTGTTTCTATACTCGACTTGGAGATCGTTACCTCACACGTCTCTCCTGGGTCATGATGGCAGTTATCGGAGCGCAAGCTACTTCCTTTGTTCTCGTTGCAGCCTTCCAGTGCCAGACAATCAGCAAGGCCTGGACCCAAACTGGACCCGGAAAATGTGTCGACATCAACCTCTTCTACCTCTGCAACGCTGCTCTCAACATCGTCACCGATGTGTTGACATATACACTACCAATCAAGGTCATCTTCAACCTACAGGTTCCCCAAAAGCAGAAATTTGTTCTTGGTGTCATTTTGTGCCTTGGTCTCTTGTATGTACCAACATCTTGCTCTGATGGTACAATCTCTAACACGTTGTCTGTGCAGTGCATGCGTCTCTTCAATCATTCGAATCACCTACATCCCCTCCATGCTTTATGGAAATGACCCTACTTATGACATCAGCGGTGCTATGTATTGGTCGGTGATCGAGACCAATATCGGAATCTTTGCCGCATCGATCCCGTCCTTCAAGGCGATCGCCTCCCGCTTCCTGCCCCGCTTCATTGGTGAATACAGCAGTGGGAAGAAATCTGGGCCCTGGACCAGCGAAAACACCAACCGACGGTATGGATCTGGCTTCAACAAGGTTACAGACCCCAACAACATCACCCTTGCTACAATCAATGGCAAGGAAGACATGACTATGGGTACCAACATTGGAGCGGCGAGCAACTCCAGTGAGGAGAGGATCATCCCCGACGGAAAGATCTTCACCCAGACGGAGATTGAAACTACCGTTGAAACAACCACTGACTACGGGGGTTACAACTCATCGTTCGAGCGGGCTCGTCGTTGAACACCGGTTTTATTTGGGCGGTTACTTTCTTTGAAAAAGCTATAATTTTTGCACATACATGTATTTCGGTTCGCTCTTTGTACAACACTCCTTTGATGGCAAATCACATTTGTTCATATCTAATGTGTTTCGTAGCCGGCGTGGCCCAACAGACTCGATGAGCTGTGTTTCCCACTTTAAAGGGAAAACGACAGCATCTGGATGGCAGGCTGTCGAGTCACGAATTCTCCAACTCACAACTCAATCAACCACACGATCACTCCAAACAGTGAGCAGGCATTGCAGTCTCACTTCCACATGCGGAAAGCCGCAATCCCAGTCCCGATGATGGCAAAAATGAAAGCCCAACGCGTGAGGCCCCTCCGAAGGTGATACTGGATAGTGCGCTCAATGGCCTCGGAGTCATTCACACGGGGAAACGGCACATCTACCGGAGGCTCCATCCCCAGAGCCTCACACAGCGGCCCCCATCCATCCTTCACATCGAAGAATACCAATCTATCCTCCGGTACAACTTCCTTCAACCACTCGATATGTCTGGCATATGTCTCTCGCCCATGCATACCCATCACCCTCCCATATATGGTCTCCCACTGCGCAGCAAGCAGATACCCATACGGAATGAAATGCCTCATGCCTTCCAAAGGCAGCAAAACAGCCCGGGCAAACCAAACGCCCGTCAGCGTCTGCACGTGATACATGCTCGTCTCCCAAGAGACGGGATCGCGCGTCGTGCAAATGACCTTGGCGTCTGGGTAAAGTTCCATGAGTTCCGGGACGAACTCGCAGCCTGGAGAGTCGGTGATGGCGACGTAGCCGGCCAATCGGCGGTGCAGGAGGGAGAGCATCGTTGAGCGAGAGTCCGCATCTTTTTTAAACCATCTTTGCAGGATTGGCATCCATGATTTAATCTCTGTGGGTGGGCCGCGCGATATTTGCGTCCCGCAGTGGTACACTGGACCGTTGAGGAGGATTTCTATCGCTAGGCTGAATGATGAGGTCCCTGTGCGTGGTAAACCTGCCCCGATAACTTGAATTGACGACCCTGGTTGGGGTTTTGAGGCTGTTTGACCCATGTTATAAATCCCCGGGGTCGTTTGAGAGGGCTTTTTTTCCCTCTTTTTTTTGGCGTCGGGTATGAGGTGGCTCAAGCTCCCTGGTTTGATGACCTTGAGTCTCTTGTAATGCAATGAAGTAGCTCTATGCCATGTTTCTAGTCTCAGAAAATGAAACGAGCGAGGTGTGCAAGATAGGGAGTCCGGGTGTTTGGGGATTTCCGCCCCCACATCGGAGTTCCCCCCAATTTCGTGATCCGCGCTCCCGTCGAATTTGAGAACAGACTTCACTTGGGCATAAAGTGAATAAAATATATTCTTTCTTCCTTCGCTCTTCGCTATCCAATGGTTTTTGTCAATTCGGAGATTGTCTGGCCGGATTCATGTGCGTCTCCAACTTTATGCATCCTGTTCGGCACTTTATCTGGAACATAGACTACTTCGGGATAATGTATGTCTTGGTTGATCTGACACGACAGCAAAGCTTCTTTTTCCTAACCTGGCAATCCTGTCGCGCTAGAGTCCAGCCTCCTCGGTCATGACTCGGTAAATCAGTCATTATTCGGAGCCTATGGCTTGTTGAGCACCTCCATCATCAACGAGTCTCGACACGTGCAATCTTGAGATTTGATTTTGTCGAAATTTTGGGTCTGACCTATTGGGCTCAACATACGAGGGTACAGTTGCTACATAGCGGATTGGCTGTCGGCTTTTTTTTTTTTTGCAAAAAAAGTCGGCCTGTCCTTAACAAAAGAGACCAGAGGGTTTCCATCCCTGGTGAATTGAAATGGCAGAAAGAAACTCAGCAAACTCCCGAGGTCACGAGTAGGGAGTCCTGGAGACGGTTGAAAAATGACCTCGGGTTGATACTTAAGTACTTAAAACAAATCTTGGGAAATCTTGGAAAACCCCACCCCATGATCTAAGTATGGGCTCGATGTCGTACATATTGCTTTCATTAGCGCCAGCCTCAAGGGCTGGGAAAGAAGATCTCAATTAGAACCTTCTTCCAATTCAAACGCCTGGTAGAGAGTCCCGGTCGGGTGTCACTTATTAATTTTCGGTGCAACTACTTGTATTAGGCACTGTGTGCGACCAATATATCTGGTACAGCTTTAGAATGTGATCTATATATACTCGGCGCGTCGTGTTTGAGACGTTGTATCAGGGGATTTTAGAAAGCCAACCGTATCATAGTCCCCCCATCGGAAATACCTAGGTAGAAAACCCACTAGAATGTCACAAAGTTCAATCAAGTGTTTCTAAGAACTTGTGAGACATACACTTCTACCCAAGCGGTTGGTGCGAGGCTCCTTGACTTCCCGTGCGGTAGGTGTCCGGAGATACTTCCAACATGCCTCCTGAAGCCCTCAGCCCCATACTTAGGTTACGAGTACGAAGAAGAGAGTGTATCCTAAGAGACATGTGGCATTCTGAAAGTAAGGGCTTACTCGTATACACTTCTAAAATGGAATACTAACAGGCACCCGAGTAAACCATCCATCCCTTGCTACCCCAGTGTGACGAAGCACTTAGCCACAATTCTCCAGCCCGCAACCGTAAACTTTAGAACATCAGTTGAAAAGAATTCTCATCCAACAGCTCGTGACTCGACAGATGATGACGCATGGATAAAACATACCTAGTTACGGAATAGTATACGGAATTCACCTACGCGGCTGGTCCAGTATCCCCGGGGCGGGAGAGACCTGTCATCTCTTCCGGTGACTCACGGACTGACCACTAATGCGAAGTCAATCCATGCCATGGATGCTGATAAAGCCGCTGGTCAGTCCGAAATGCCATATTGATATGCAACTAAAAATCTCTGTCCATGCCAACAAGGAGCATGGTCCTCCGATTCGGTGATACGCAGAAGCCGATTTTCCGTTCCGAAAATAGAAAGCTTCCAGAATATTGAGAACGAAGCCGCTAATCCTAATGCGAAATTAGCTGCATGTGCAAGCCACGAAATATCTTCTGGAAAGTACCAGAATTACCGAATTACCAATACCTGTAGCATGTGGCAGCCCAACCTGCTGTACGGTGTACGGTAAACCGGCAACTTGAATCTCGTACGGAATTACCGGCATGTGGCTGTGCAGCCCTACAAATTGACAACCAATCAACCACATCGAAAAAGTCTACCATCTTGCATTAGCCCGTTACTAAATATGATACCTGCATGAAAACCGAAAAACGCAGTCCGAGGACTTGAATTAAGGTGCTGACGATTTGCTTTGTCGGGATTCTCTGCCGGTGAAAATTTTTTTTCTCACTTTGACTTCTGCAAGGGCTGCATTTCGTAACGGTTGGTCAGCACGAGTCCAACTCTACTGCCAAATTAAGAAGGTGAATTAGGCGATGTACGTTGTACTGACAGATACGGAGTACATGATCGCACGAGCGGGAATTCTTCCGATCGTTAGCTGAAAACCTTAGATCTACATGTGGCATGTTTGTGGCTTTGGTGGGCCATCTCTATCTCAACACTCGGATCAGCTGGTGCTGGTTTGCCACTTCCCCGGAGTCTGTGAGTTATGCGTAGGGGCCACGTTTGGGTGTTTCCTCGCGACTGAGCCCGCATCCGCAGATGTGATCCGGATCCGTCGAGAGGAATGGGAGAGATGTGTCGTTGAATTTGGGCCAGACTGCTCGGTAGACACGGCAGACCCCGGACCCGTTTCGGCGTGTCCAGACCGAGAGTACAGCGATCCGAGGACACCCCGGTCGAATTCTTGATTCAACGCACTAGTGATTTCAAAGGTTTGCTTTGTTGGTCACATGCGATCGTAAGTTTATTGTTTCTGCCTTGTCTCCGTACTAGCAGGAAACGAGAAGAAGAAGATCGGGATTTGCCACCCGAATCCTGTTCGGACGGGAGACCCTCGAAACGAGATCTGATACTCCGTACATTAGCATTTTAGTGCACGGGTCATGGCACTAAGAAAAAAAAACCCGGCTGTAAGCCGCAATACATGCAGTTCTGCATGCTTTGATTTGAGGTGCACCTGGATATTGGATACGTCTGAAATAATCTAGCAACCAATCAATCTGCAAAGATTCGAAGTAGAAAATTTTGTAGCTGAATTTTTCAAAATCTCAAGCATAGATACATGGCAGTACGGAGTCCGTATAATGCTCAAATGAAGAAAAAGATGTTTTGAGTGGGCGCCAGAAATATCAGGCAACCCGTGTGACAACCTTGGAAAGAACCCGAATTGGGCATTTCCCGCCGACCGTACGGAGTATAGAAAGACAAGCGCTTACACAGTAAGACACATCGCTTCGAGGTATTTGACTAGGGTGACTCAAGATAGGGTCAGCTGGTCAAGAATCCTAGTAGATCCATGGACCTGTGTCCAACTTCAGCGCATCGTGCCATTAGCCTTAGATGCATGCAGGGTCAGCTGACTCTCTCGCGGTTGTCTGCGGCCGAGAAGAATGGGATGTCTTGAGCGGAACCCGCCGATTGGCGGGGTCAACATTGCAAGACAATCGCAAGACAATCGCAAGACACTGACACAGCCACAATGCCCCTCGAGTACACACGAGTACGGTCTGCAGAAACACAAAGAATGTGCCCGCTCATGCCGGAATAAGCTCCCCCCCAGAATGAAAAATAACGTTGGGGTCGGTGGTCCCGAGTCCGTGGACATCAGCCACATGGCGCATGCTAAATGTGGCTAGTGTCGATTGGAAGCGCCAATGCATCTCCGTACTGACTCCGTATGGAGTCGACCTCGGCTGAATGGAGCACATCTCTCCGAATGCACTCGAATCCACCAGGGATTGTAAATCATGCCCAATGATTAATCCATTCATACGGGGGACTCCGTTTGACTCACCGGCGTGTAGTTGGGCCGTGAGCTAAACCGCATGGTCTTTGGAATCCTAAAACCCGAGAATGTCCAAAACCGAACTAAGGTGTGGCTCAGCCTTATCTCGCGGTTGGTCGGCTCCACCCCCATTCTTTTCCTAAATTTGGCCATGGTCACCCGAGTCTCCTCGGAGCTAGTTTGAGACTATGTATTGGACGCAGAATTTTCTCTCTAGTACGGAATACCCCCTTAGCGAAAAGCAACTAGTCCTTGGCAGACACAGAATTACAGAGAAATTCAGAGAATTTGTAAACATCCTCATAGGGTGTCTTGAAATTAGACATCACTAATGAACGCCCAAAATGCCCAATCACTGAGTAATCTTGATGGAGTGGAGACTGTGGCTTTCTGTTAATGTAAGCCACAACTTCATCGCGAGCAAGGGAGCGAGTGGGATAAACGGAAAGGAGACGATCCCCAGACCCAAGCAGATCAGTGGGACTGGGACATCGTGCGAGGAAGGATACGAAAACGATACCCCTAAATGACAGATAGAATACCAAGCATGTCCCGATTTGGATTAGCGCGAATCGAATAATTGAAAAAAGAAAAAGAAAAGAAAAAGCAGACGCAATACGGTATTTTTGGTAACGCAATGGTTCTACACCTCAAGTCGTTCGGTGTCCCCGGTTAAAGTGAGGTCATCTAAGCACACTGGGATTTGTTTCTTTTTGTCTTTATTAACTCACTCCTCCCAAATTCTTTGGACTTCACATTACTAAACCAACTCTGACTCTTATAATCATCATATCTGGTAAGACACACTCTTTGTCCGGTCGAGTCATTCTCCAGAACCAAACACTCACCCTCACCCAGATCTTCGTTATACTTCCAACCCTCTTATAATTCTCGATCAGTCTCCCGACGTTTCCAGACTCTTCACAACCAAACTTTGAACCAAAGTCTTGATTCCAGACTTTCGAAAAAGCACGGCCACAATTGATCAGGAATTCTTTATCGGACCCTGCACCCTCGGCTTTCTATAAAAGCTCGCCTTCCCCCGGGTGGCGAATCCAACCCATACTTGCTCTGACGTCTCCAACTCGTGACATTATGCTTATGTACCCACGTAAGGGTCTCATCACCGATCCATACAACTCTGAGGACATCATCATACAAGACGACCAATACCCACCCGAGTTCTATACCGAGACCGCCTTGAACTGCTCGCAAGACCGTCTGCAATCACCCTTCCAGTGTCACCCAACTGTACAGCTCTCTCCACCTTCTTCCACACCCTCCTCACCTGCTCTCTCCTCGCCAACCTTTTCGATTCCCTACCCACAAACGTCCGACTCTCAATCGTTCGGGGCTCCTTCGATGACCCCCGCCTCTTCATATAACCCGTCGTACGACATTCAGGGTTCAGATTCGCCTTCTCACTACTTGCCTCACTACCCTCAGCAATACTATACCCCAATGTTGGCTCAACAACCTCTTCCCAGCAACCAGGCCTGGGACAGCAACTTGCAGTTGCTGAGCCCCGCGCGCATTCCCTACGCCGGTGTGCAGAAGAGATCATCACCTTCAATCGCATCACGATCAATGCCTTCTGGCTACCATCGCCGGTCGACCAGCTCTAACAAGCCATTGCCTACCCCGGTGCAAACCCCGCTCCAGAACTCTTTCCTTGCGACACCCTTCCAGAACTTCGACATTTCAGCGCAGGATGGTCACAGCGCCGACGCTGAAACGGCCATGAGACGCGCAATTATGGACCAACAAAAGCAATCATCCCCTCAGCAGTTCCAGGGTGATTATTCTCTGGCCCCCTCGGTGTCAACCTTGAGCCATAATTCCCCTGTGACCCCACAGACGAGTCTCGACGAGCTCGACGACGCATCGAAGTCGATGAGCAATGGTGAGATTGGAAATCCTGAAATCGACCGGTGGATGACACAATACTTACATTACGATGCCACAGAATATAACAATGGCATGCCTATGGGAGTTCCAAGGTTGGACAGGACGATTTCCGATATTTACCAAGATGAACTTTACAACCCCGCTGTCATGGCCGCCCCCCAGGTGTCCAAACCTATGGCACAGAACCAACTGAACCCGCGCAATTTCATTGCCGACCGTCTGAATGCCGCCAATCAGGGACACTTGTCTGCCGGTTCCCAATCACCAGTCAACAGACGGGATCGTTCGCCTTTCCGCCCCTCTTCTCCATTCGCGGGAGATATGGGTAGCGAGGCACTCCAGCAGCCCCAGGCTACTAGCGTCCCTATGTCGAATGGAATGAACATGAACCAGAACACCACCGACATCAAGACGATGTCCCCGAAGGATGCAGTTTTGGATTTCCAGGATGCAGAGGACCCAGCCATGCCACCTCTGTTCCCCCCTGGCCTCCCCACCGGTCAGGCTGATTTCAATCTGGGCGATGCGCTGGGTTTGCGACGCGACAGCGGCTCGATGCGGGCGATGGAAGCATTCCCTCAGTACACCGCGGCCACTATGTCGCAACCTCATTTCGCATTTGCTCATCCCCAGAACCGCCAAACCAATCTCTTGCAGCAATCCTCCGACTTCCCATCACTCCCTACTGTGGAATCTACCGAGACTCCGCAAATGCACATTACGGAGAGCATCCCTCGACCCGCCAACACCACTTCGGATGCCGGCACCTATACTTGCACCTACCACAACTGCGCCCACCGCTTCGACTCTCCTTCGAGATTGCAGCGACACAAGCGCGAGGCCCACCGCCAAACTACGCCGGGCGGGCATCTGATTAGCCGCGACACCTCGATTCGCAACTCCCAGGCCGGTCCTCACAAGTGCGAGCGCATCAACCCTTCTACAGGCAAAGCATGCAATTCTATCTTCTCCCGTCCCTACGATCTTACGCGACACGAACATACCATTCACACCGCCGGGAAGCAGAAGGTGCGCTGCCACATCTGTAACGAGGACAAGACCTTCAGCCGAAACGATGCCCTAACAAGGCGTAAGTTTTAGACCCCCTTACCCTCGATATGTTCATACGCTAACTTACATTACAGACATGCGAGTGGTGCACCCTGAAATTGATTGGCCAGGCAAGCAGCGCAGACGGAGGGACTGAGCACGCCTCTTACGTCACGACCCACCGGATCGGCATGCCGAACGTCATAGGGTGGGGCCAATGAGCCCCACCCAAAATCCGGGGCTTCGTCATGATGACGATTACCCTTATCTCTCTGTATCACCATTTTGGTTTCTCTGTGTACGATTTCACGCGATGATGTTCTATTGCATGCGGACTTTGCATTGACTGGTGCTTTGCTTTTGGCTTTTCTTCTTTTGGGTTTTCATTCTATTTGCTTTTTCGAGCCTTACGGGAAATGGGGGTTTTTGGGTGTACATTGTTGTACATGGTGTTGCATTTCTGATTTCGACAGTACAGTCTATGTCGTTGTATCATAGCACATTCCAAAAAAATGTATATTAGCTCTTTTTGGACATGAGATGAAAATATTATGAAAATATTATGACCTTAATTACGAAGTCTGCGAAGCCCACTGTAACAACAGAGTCGAATTCACTTGTTCCCGTTCTTCTACAAGTACGAGTAACATCATTGTCCTCCGTATTCGACCTCTCCATAGTATCTCCACACCCCACAGCTTACGAGTACATCTCAAAATTGAAACATTGACCCTGAAACACATCGACAGGGTCTTCCAACGGCCCTCCCCCTTCACCAATCACGGATGTCCCATCCACCCACTTTGTGTCAGCCACTTTGACTCCTCACGCCGATCGGTATGTACTTAAGTACTATTATACATTATAGCAAGGGTATATGGACCACAGGCCTATCAGAGTGACTCTACACCATAAACCTCAAGGAGAGATGTACACCGAAAACGGTAATAATCCACCAGAATCACGAAACCAACATGCTTCATGGAGATCATCCAATTGGTGGTACCGACACGCGGCCAATTTGCAACAATTAAGCAAAATGACTCTGAATCAATACAAGCCTCTATGAACATTCGATCTTGTGCCGAACATATTAGTATGATCCCATGATTGCGTAAACACCACCAGGAAACCTTGGAACAAACCCGACACTCAAATTCCGGGTCGATAAGCAATCCTCCCGGTACCCCGGTACAGACTACTGGGATTGTGTGGGTGGAAGTTGGGGTTTCTCCAGTCTACACATACGTAAGATGCGTATCAGAGGTTCTAAACTTTTGACGGGTTCTAGCTTCACCGGGTAGGTTCATGTTCCCCCCCTTCCCCGCGCACTCGCACTCGCGCTAGCACTAGTATACGAGCCCTTCTAAAGTTGAACATTTGACCATCGTCGTCATCGCATGTTCATTCTGCAGAGACGACTCATAGTGTACTCGTAATTGAGCACCGGACCAAATGTTTGAAAATAACACATTACTCAAGTATTGATTTCATTGTTCCGATGGTAAGCAAAAGCCTCCTTTAAGCCATGTACGTCCGTGGAACTGATAATCCTATAGTGATAGGCAAGATAGACAGCTTGGGTGGAGTAGTGGCTTCTTGGTGGATCGGTCTGTATTAAATTACCCGTCTAAATTGAGACGGCTTTCGCGGTGTGGAGCGATGGAGATGGGTGGATAATCGGTGGATATTTGGTGGATGTTGTGGCTTGGGACGAACTGCTGTCATTTGCGAATCTGCCGTAGTGCTTACGAAGATCGTGACTATGGAGCTTTGGATTTGTGTACATCGTGAGATGTGATATGAGCACTCCCCGAGGTTGCTTTAGGTGGCTTCTTTTGGTTGGGTGATGGCCTCGGGCTATATTTTCCGTCGCGTGGTGAGACTGGTAATTTTGGGAGCATGCAATTTGTGTCGTATGATCTGTTCTAAACTATTCGTATAATTACATTTCGCTTGAAGGTCAATTGCTCGAAAGTCAATTGGTAATTTTTGATTCGCACCGGACGTTGCATGTACGAGTAATGGCATGCAACCAGCGAGAATTTGGCTTCAATGTTAGGGGTTGTGGCTGTGTTCAAGCTACCGAATGTTGACTTCAGGAAGCCATGTACAACATTGCCTGACTTTGTGTTTACTTTGTATACAACATGTAGCTCTGATGTTTAAACGGCATATATTGAAGGTCTCTGCGCTGCTCAGGTGTATTTGTTCACAAGTTTCATTCAAATAGTAGTAGAAATAATCTTTTCATATAATAGGGGATACAACTTTAGAAATATCGTTGGTATGAATCCTCCAATCATAACCCGATGAAGCCACGGATACAACCTCCGATATGTAGCGAAGACCCTGAGTGTGAGCTCTGCCACACGTAGCTAGTTTGTACGGAGTGAAAGCATCGATTTGCACCGTACAGGGCACTCTCTTCCAACTTTAGAAGATTATATTCTGACGCCACTTTTCGCATTGATTCCAACAATTGTCACTCCTATAAATCATTGCCATGACACGATCTGATGCTTCCTGGGTCCAGGATGGGCGTGTGTAATCGGAGTATCCTCTGCTTCCCGTGTCGAGTGGAATTCAAGGATGACCCGTGAACGAAATGAGGCATCAAGCGTATATGGGTAACTCAATTGATATCCGAACCGGCGAGTCAAGCGTTGGCAAACACTCTGGTATTGAGATAGACAATACCTACATATCAATGGTCAATTGATGCGCCATATCAAGGAGGCCGACAGGTCGTCCAGTCCGAAACAGAAGCCCGTGCAGGAGAGCTGGCATCCCTCGACTGGAAATGCCTTCTTTCAACTTCTAAACACAGCTTTTGATCGGTGCCAATTGATGATTTGCAACCCCACAGCTTTCCTTATGGTGACAGACGGAAAAACAGGAGCAAGATTAATTGATCATGTCGTTGGTCGATAGAGTCACGAGAGAGGGAGAAATTGAGCAACGCAAATGGTGAAGGGGAGGGATTTTAGCCTTGATCTTCAAATTTCCAACCACAAGGGGTCTCGCCTTTGTCGCAACATCTCGATCCATGGAGATTTTCATTCACGCGAAAAGGCTTATCACGCGGCGAGCCACTTGATTGGATACGGTTCCACGCGATCGCCCGAACAGGCCAAGTGCCCCAGGCTATAGAGAACGTGGTTAGAGCCGCTTATGTCGGCCACCAAAAGGGTTCTCAGGGTTGCAGAGTTCTAAAAAAACTCTGCTCAAGTCAGCATGAAGGAAAAATACACTCTGCTGTTGCTGATCCAGCTGATCCAGTCGACTTGCGTCCTGGCGGAGCCTGCAATTGTAAGCCAAAGAAACATTGGACCCGATTAGAGATGTCGATCACTGACCAAATAGACGATTCCGTGGGTTGGGTACTCATACTCCGGGAATTACTTTGCGGGCTACGAGGGAAAGATCGTAGGAACTGTAGGTCTGCCCTACGCTCAAACGTGTACTCTTCCTAATGAATGCAACAGGATGGCGACAAAACAACTTACGAGGTGAACTGCCCGGCGAGCGACACCACCTGCATTCCATTTGACTCCGACTCTCCCATGACTCTCATTGCTGGATCCAATAGTGAGAGATATTCCCGACTTGGAATTTTCCAGATGCACTAACAGACCAGCTTATGATATTATCTACACCGACCCATGGGAATATACGAGCTCGGGTTGCACATTCGCTGGTGCTCCAACACCCACGACGGCGACATGCTCGTATACCCAAACTTTACAGATGGGCACTCACTCTACCTCCCGGACTAATACATACAATGTTCCTGCAAGCACCGTCTACCGAGAGATGTACTCGGCCACCTTGGCGGTCGCGGGATCTGCATCTTCGTCTAGCACGGCCACAAAGACAACGAGCAGCACTGAAGTAATCACGACTCAGACCTCTAGTAGAGATGGTTCATCTACTGCTGGCGCTACAACCCCTGCGACCACTACTGCTGAAACCACCGCTGCCACTGGCAACGGCGCATACAAATCGTCTGCGCCGATGATGCTAATGGGTGGTGCGATTGCGATTGCAATGAACGTGTGAAAGAGGAACATAGTCAGTTTCAAACATTTGTTTCTAGTCAATGTATAGTGTTCTCGTCAGACCAACCGTCTCACAAAACCAAGAACGGAATCACGAGAAAGCCCATAGTAACAGCAGACCCACAAGTAAGGTCTCGAGATGTACTCCACACAACTGATATTCCACGTTTTGCCCACGTCCTTGTATAGACACGCAGTGCATTATGGAGTAAGGGCCAAGGCAGCAGGAAATGAGCCTTGCTCAATGTATAGAGCAAGTCTACTTCGACACCTCAGGGAAAGACTTTTCAACGTGTTGGAGTCGGTTGTACTCTTCATTGCGGTGCAGTCAAGACATTTGCGTGATGAAATCGATGCGCCGGTGCATTGTGGGTTAAATCACATAGCAAATGGCAAAAAGTGCGAGGCTCTCATTTCGGCCGAGTATTTGCTGCTTAAAATCCTGCAGCATATGCCTCTATGGGCTTGAAAAGCTATTTGGTGACTGTCTCCAATATGGCGAGTGATCAAATGGAAAGCCGGTGGCAGATCAACCTACCACCAGAAGTGGCGCTAGAGCCTTCTCTCACGGTTCGTCAGTTGGAGATGCCCATCACTTACTGGGGCCACTGAGCCTTCACGCAAATGTAAGTATAGTAGATATAGCCACACTCGTGAGTCGACCACTTGTGCTTGGGGGCAGAGGAATCCCATGACCCAAGAGTATGTATTGGTGATTAAATCTCGGGAGAATTTCAAACAAGAAATCAATCACAGGAGATAAGCGCATAGACTTATCGCAGTAATATGATCCGGCATTGGAAAACGGTGATACATACTAGTGCAAACAAACACACGGGGCGATCCTGATTCCGAAGAGGGTCACCGCCATGTGGCAGAATATCATCATCTTTCTACAGCTAACGGAGCACATTGCTTTTGCTCTTTCAAACAACAATACCTTCACAATGACAAATGACAATTCCGCAACAATTCAGCAAGACGTGGACGAGGAAGACTACAACTCCGCCGAGGATGAAGATTTTGAGCTAGGCGCAGCGCAAGACGACTCCGATCTCTCCTCCGACGCCGACGAGGCCGCAGAACCCGCCAAAAAGAAGCGAAAGACACAATCGCGATCACATGCCCCGGAAGATCCAGAGCTAGACTCCGGAGATGAAATCACAATCCAAAAAGCGAAGGAGAAGAAAGAGAAGAAGCGCAAAGGAAAGAAGACCAAGGCCAAACGGGCGCGTGATAGCGACGACGATGACGATGTTGACATGGACGACGACGAGGGAGGAGCGGGCGGATTCGTGCGAACACGCGCAATGAAAAAGCACATGTAAGCTCGTCCTGCTACGTCCAGCTTACTCCTAGGTTCTGGTTGCTAATGTCATTTGCAGACGAGAGGAAGAAGCAGAGCGCAAACCGCTAGCGAAAATCGACGGCGCGACCGTGGATGTTGACGCTCTATGGGAGCAGATGAACGCTCCTCAACCCCGAAATGACCAACGATCACCACAGCCCCCGCAAGCCGCGACCGTCCCCGAACCCGAACCTACAAGCCAGTCTGGGATGCAGGATCAACCGCCCCCAGATGGCGACAAGAAGACGGCCGAGTCGCATGGGGATCAAATGGTCAAGATCAAGCGCACCTACAAATTCGCAGGAGAGTGGATCACGGAAGAGAAGGTTGTGCCCAAGCACTCTGCGGAGGCGAAGGCATTCCTTTCGAGCGGGGAGAACGTCGAATACACTGATGAAGACGCGGGCGCGACTCTCAATCTGCGCCGTCCCCTTCGCAAGATCTCGCGCTTCGATCCCAATCCGACCGGCGCGATCAAGAAAAGCTGGGAAAAGCAGCTCGTTGCCGAGAAGGATGCGCAGGGCCCCAAGATCAACACCGTGGAGAAATCAAGACTCGACTGGGCCTCGTATGTCGACCAGGCTGGTATCAAGGACGAGCTCCGTACGCACAGCAAAGCCAAGGAGGGCTATATGGGTCGTATGGACTTTTTGGGTCGCATGGAGAACAAGAGAGAGGACGAAAGGCGCGAAGCACGGCTCAAGAACATGTGAAGTTGAGAGCCAAGCTCTACATTCTAGTCTCTACTTCATCATATACACTCTGCCCGTTGTGTATCGGCACATGTCCTCCTTGGCTTGGATTGCCTGCGCGAGGCTTTTTCGCCAAATCAGCACATCCTCTGATGGCCATATCAGTGAGAGATTTCACCCTCGACAACAGGCATCACTGCTCTGGGTATATTGAAAATCCCAAACACGCATACCCTCATCGCGATCCAAGCGACTGTTGTGTTTGCCGATCGCAACAACCACCAAAGCCTGCTGGTTGTTAACAGCGACGATCTTCAGCCCTACCAAGGCGCAAAACTTCATGGGTACCATTTACAGGTCCGAACTACCGCACTGCTCCTTGTTACAGTCCACCAGCTACATGCTTCATAATGCAGGCCAAAAGGAACAACAGGTATTCGTCATATCTTCATGTAATATAGCAATAATCAAAAGAGCAAATATCCAGTGATAATTCAGCTAGGCAGCCTGCACCAGGCCCTCACATATCATTTACTTAGGCACATATTTAATTCCAGTGCTGGGGCAGCCGGAGTTGGTGACTAGAAATCACGATGTTAGCAAAGCCACTACACAGCAAACCGGTCCACTTACGCGTCTTGACAGCCTTGTAGGATCCATCGATGGCATTGCCCTGGACGTTATAGAAATACCAAACCTGGTTCAACTTTCCACTCGAACAGCCAAGATACACTGATGCGCCATGCATCTCAGTGAGTGCACTCTGGATCGCACTCAGAGTATAAGTCTTGGAGGTGCTTGGGGTAATGCCAGCAGCAGCAAGAGCCTAGAAACTCGTTAGTTTCACAAGTCCGAACAGAAAAATGAAATGGATGCCATACCTTGTAAGTATCCAATCCCTTGAACAAATCCACCACCTTCTCGAAGAAATCACCCACTTCTTCCTGGGCCGTATACCCCTGGTAGCAGTCTGGATCGATGGTGTTAATGCAAGTACCATGCTTGCCCCACTCATGAGCCCAGAACGACTCATTGTCGCCGTTGATATCTACCCAGTACTCATCCATGTAGTCTAGGAGATCATCACGGCCCTGCGTCTGCAAAATATCGGTGATATTGGTGTATGCGCGGGACGAATCACAGCTGGACTCGTAAGTGCCGTCACAGTTATCGGGCCTGGAATTATTCAATATGCCGTTCAAGTTATGTTCCCGATTTCGACCTACCATAGGCCGTGGATGGTCCACGAGGTCGAGGGACCTGTTGATGGGCTGGTGTCCCAGAATTGGGTCTGCAGCAGGGCGCCGCCGGGGTAGTTGAAGCAGCAGGTTGGGGTGGTGGATGAGCTGGCACAGCTGTAGCCTGAATTGGTGGAGCAGGTTTGTAGGTCGGCGTTTGTGCCTGTGAGCAGACTCATGGCTGCCAGGGCCACGGCGGATTGGAACATTTTGGTGCGAATGGGTATGGAGTAGTGAAGTTGTGTTGCAGTGATCATTGCAGGATCAATAGCTTTTATAGTTGAATCTCCCAAGGTTCAGTGAAACCTTTTGGCACATGGGCCCAGCATTGAAATTTGATTTGTAGCTTCATTTGGTTACTGTGCAGAGTATAGTGTCAGAGTAGTGCATAGAGTAGCGTGTAGCGTGCAGAAGTGCCCTGGAAGTGGAGGGAGGCCGAGTCGATCTCCGACCGGGGCGCGCCGAGTGTTTCCACTTCCTCCAATAGAAAATCCCAGATGCACAACGCAGTCGACACGCTAAGCGAAAGGCCGACGGTTTTCGTCTGAGAAATGAGAAGTTGAGGTTGCATTTCCCTTCGGATCTCCGTAACCCCGCGAGATTACCGATCGTCAGGTCCTGACGAACCAGAACGCTTAACTTGCATCCGACAGCTGATAGACGGTTTCATGAGCTCCTCGGCTGGACATGTCGGTGCTATCAGAGACTCCACCGCAACCCACCGTGGTCAATTGTATGGTCATGAATGATTATTGCAATTCGAAGGATAATATCTAGGATAACAAGGGTTCCTCCTCGTCGCTTCCCCGTGAAGGCTCGAGCTTCACGTTCCAGACAGCCACCACAGCAAAGGAGAAGAACACCGAAGCCACCAAGAATGGAAGCCCCAGCCACGCCTTGCCAAGATGCAGACCTAGTCGAAAGAGGTTGGCGAACAAAGGACCTGAAACGAGGAGTCCGAGTCCCTGTGCAATTGCAATAGCCGAATACAGCGTGCCGACGTGATCGGGGAGTACGAGCGAAGTTGCCAGACTGCGCGTTGTCACAAAGAATGCCGAGCCGATGGACAGAACGACCAGGCCGCTGATTAAAAAGGCGGGCGCAGGACCGATGAAGATGGCAGCAAAGCCAATCACCGACAGTATGCCGCTGCCTTTGCTCATGACATGGTCGCTTTGCTTGCCGTGCAAGTCGAAGTATTTGGCTGCCAGGAAAGATAGCAATGGCATGAGGAGCAAATAAGTTGCCAGTCCGAAAATCCCACGCAGGGATATGAGGAGACTGGACTGTTGGGGTCAGCTTGTTAACTCGGAACGTGGAAGGGGGGACATACGCGACCGATGCTCCAGTCGAACTTGGCGGAAACGTATTGCATGAGGAGGTTGGTGCATTGTCGACCCATGACAGTCACAAAAAGGACTGCGACCATCAAGCAGACGTTGAAATCAGACCAGATGAACCGGGTGGATTCCGCAAACTCGCGAGCTTGTCGGGTCAGCTCACGGAAGACTGTAATCTTCTGGGGTTGCAAGTGCTCGCCTGCGTGGTGGGCAGACTCTGGTCGCTTGGTCCGTTTCGCTATGGCATCCTCGAGAGTCTCGGGCAGAAGAAGTGAGGGCAGGGATCCCATCATGATGAGGCCGAGTGATAGCGTGAAAGGGACCATGGGGCCAAAGGTCATCATGTACGCGCTGAGAGGAGTCGCCAGGATCTCTGCTACAAAGATACACGATTGAAGTCGGAACAGCGCGGTTGATCTAGTCTTGTCAGATTTTGAAAGGGAAAGGGGTCACTTTCTGGCAAGGTACCTTTCATCCTCAGAAAATACATCGGCGACTATTACCAATGCAATGGCAGTGAGGACTTGGTCGCCGCCGCCGATGATTCGAAAGAGTGCTGATAGCCAGACCATTCGGAGAGGAATGACAGTTGACCAGAAACCTGTGGCCATGTTTAACGAGGTACAGCATGAAGCATGAGAAGGAACGTACAAACGATTCTAATCCAGACCTCACCAAGGAGGATGCCCAACAGGGCGAGGTACAAGAGGGGCTTTCTTCCATAGCGATCCGAGAGCACACCATATGGGAGCGACAGCAGTAGACCTATGCATCTCATCCTTAGCGGTCACCCTCAACCTCAATTCGTAAAAAAACATACCCGGCAGCACCTCCAGAGTATCTTTGTATCCAATGACGAGAGCCAATTCACTCTGTACCGCCTCTGATTTGCAGGGATTTGAGACTGACAAGCTCGAGTCTAATAAATTGCCAGCGCGATGAAGAGTGGCTTTGTAATCCCGGCAGATGATGTCCTCAAAGACCGCCAGCTGCGGTGCAGAGGACATGAAGAATCCAAAGTCGGCGCATAATAGGAACACCGCGCATACTGTGAAGACGAAGAATTTCTTGGATTTTGATCCGGTCGCCTGTGCCAACGGTGGCTGCGTCTCGCTGTGTATCTCTGACATTTCTGTCCTGTCTGGGCTTTGTGTGTAGTTCTAGAAACCTGCCAGTGGTCCTATAGGGTCAGAGCCCCTAGAAGAATGGAATGTCCAAGGGATATGACCCAGTGACCTGGGGCTGTCAAGATGCTTTTAAAGAGAAATCGAGGCTTTTAAAGAGAAATCCTGGTCTAAAAAAGGTGCCTAACAGCGTTGGCAATTGCTTATCGAAAGCCAATGAGGCCAGGTCAATTGGTCGGACTTCGGACCTTTTCTTTGTTGGAGAACAATATCAACATCGACTCCTCAGCCAAGCCCTGGAGGCTATTGTCAACCTTGGAAAGGAGATATCTCCCGTGATTGATGCGCTTATCCTCTTTTCCTCATATCTCTACTCGGCACTCTACAATCCATGAGTCTACCTTTTTTAGGGGTCTGCGGAGTATCTCGGAGCTCAACACTCGGAGCTCGGAGCTCGATCTGACTCGTGTCAAAACTATTTCCGATGAGATGATCTCAACATACACTGATGCGATTGATTGCCATTTATCGGGCTTTTGCGAACCAATCGTCGACATGAGTCGTGTTCCAGAACATCAATCTAACGTGGCATCATGCCGAATTCTGAACTTCTGAACACACCGCCACCCCCGTACTCCGTATCAGGGGGCACCCCTGTGTTCTTCTGATATATCCAGTCCAGCATCCCGCCGGCCTTCATAATTGGCCTGGCCCAAACGTGCGAGTCGCAGGCCCAAAGCCAACAGCGCCCAGGGCAAACACCAAGATCTCTAGAATAGGAAAGGAACCCGACCTCGGCACGAAGCTCAGCTAAAGCTCTGAAGCGACGGAGACAAACCGCCAGCTTCCGCCTGACGTGCATTCTGTGCGATTCCGTCTCTTGGAAAGCGGTTGCAGATGCACGCGCCCGGTGGTGTAAGCCTTGAGATTTGAAAAGCGACCGTCGGATCCGGGAACTGACTGGCCCGGATCAGGATGCGGAGAATCGCCCGGGAGACATCTTCGGGGGATTAAGCAGAGCAGTCTCTTTGCTTTTTCTTTTTCCCGCTGCGGTTTGCCGTTGCACGAGCCGGTGTCGGGTGGCGCCCACGCTGTGAGTGCAACGCGTTCGGTGGGCTTGCAGATGTCATCAGCGATGAGATGGATCGGTCTCGGTGGCTTGCTGGTTTATGCTTTGTGTGTCTGTATGAGGTCTTAGAGTTTGGGCGCACGCAGGGGCTGGTGATACCACTTGGTATTGGCTGGCCACGGTGTTCTCATTGCCAGTGGACTCTGCCTCTGGCTGAGATGGTAACATGCCGCACAGAAAGAGTGTGATTGAAGCTGCGTCGTGCGCTGACTGAATCTTCACGGGGATGGTCTGATGAGGTGGATCGTGGCTGCTGTAGACTGGTCTTTATTGAAGTTCTCCCCGGGCTCAGGCTGTTTTCAACACTAGTCCAACCCTCCCTGTGTTTCAGCGTGTCGTTGTGCCAGATCTGGATATGGCGAAGTCAAAGGAAGGGGGAGCGGGGGCGTAAGAGGGTAGGCCAAGTGAAGATGACTTGGACAGCTGACTGGAATAAACGTGATTCTGACCTGGGAGATGGGCACGGTGGGTTGGAAGTGAGGTAATGGCAAAAGGTTTGCTGAGTGAGTACGGATATTAGATGCAGGTGTGGGATATGTGTGCACCTGTAGACGTCGGGAGGTCAGAGAGAGAGAGAGGCCTCTGAACCTATTGATGAACTCATCGCATCACTTCGCATCGTCTGTCGTGGCCTATGCGCCCTTCGTTGCTCCTTGGCTTTCCAGTGGGAAGCTTACAGACATTGTGGCCCGTCCATCTCAGTGTTGCTGAGCCATTTGTATCGGTCAATCACGAAAGAGGGAAGGTTCGAGTTCGCTCAGGCTTTGTTTGCAAGCCTTCATCCACCTAGGCACGGATATCTCGACATATTTAGACATATGAACAGTGTACAAAGAAAATCAAACCAATGTCAACCAGTCCGTACCGTGGGGAAAGCTTCTAAAGTTTTCGATGAAATCCAAGGTTACATTAGCTACCGGGATGGGAATATATTGATGTACAAGGAAAATCCATGGATGGATAGAAGACCAGTCAGTATAGCATTGAGAATCGGGCCACTACTTAAGTATATATCTTCTAAGTGAAGTTAAGTGTCCCTTGAGCACATGAGTATTAACCCTGGAAGCAGCAAGGCCCCGGGGTTGTCTCCAAGGTTCTCTCATTCATACATGTACTCAAGTAGCATTGACCTCAGGAAGCTCTAAAGTTCTAGATATCGCCTGGAGTAAACCCTAGACACCTACCCATAAAATGGAAACCACTTTCCAAAGTTCACACCGCACAAATATGGTATCATCGCCCGGCGACTGGCTAACCTAGAAGTACATTGAGCTCATTGGCGATACGGGCTGTAGGTAAAAGCAATTCCATCCTACTTAGGTGGGCGCAGTGAGCTTCGTAGATGTATCTAGCTGTGGTTCAAGAGGACAGCAGCATGCAATATGTCAATCCTAATCTGAGTCTGCATACAACTCTTATTGGTTCACGCAATCCTAAAGGCCTGGATATATATCCCGAATTGGCCATGGAAGGTGTCGGTGAGATAAATGATGGGTAAGATTACCATAGATCAACTCTCGCCTTCTAAAGTTCTCTTATTCTCTCACCGTGAGCCTCGGCCCGGAGCAGATCTACCTACACAAGTAACGAATATATGCCTGGGCTTCCAAGCCTACCGATACTTAAGTATGGATTTCCAAGGTTCAAAATTGTGTATTGTATACTAAAGTGGTTTTCAACAACAAGCACACCCTAAATCAAGTGACTCCAGCGGCAGTATGAGCACCGGAGCAAGTTTATGCCCATTTAGGTGCGGTACTTAACTAGAGGAACTTTAGCTAATTGGCTCTCTATGTTGTTGCACTGCAGTTGAGGCTTCACCGTAGCCCCCGGGCGACATACGCATGCACTCAAGCAAAGGCCACATTAGCCCCAAAGGCCCGAGTCCTGCATTTGAAATTGCTACGAGACCATGTCACCTTAGCGAGTGCCCACCGACTCAGTCTGTAGGCTGACGTGATGATCAATGGCCGTCTATAGATGTACATGGTAGTTTTTCGCTAGAGTATTTCTAAAGTTGGTGTCTGCATTCCGCCGAGGAAATTAGTCAACTCCAGCTTACGAGTACAATCAAACAGAATTCAATGACAACCTTGCTCGTAGAAACAATGCTCAAACGGTGGATGGCACACGGGTAGCTGATCGGCGTTGCATGGTGTTCTTCCGAGACGCAGCCCAATGCCTCTACTCCGATGGAATCACGACGCCAATGCAACATAGAGAACAAAATACTCGAGACGATCGAGGCCTGACCGAGACCATGGCCCAGCCGTGTATATGTAGGAAACGAGACCGGCGCAAATAACAGCATGTACGTCTACGAAGTAGGCGACAAGAGCTTCAACTCGGCGCAAGGGCCACGAATAATATGATATCATCCAGATTCTCATCAATGATCGCCTTGAGCACCCCAATCACGTCGAGCTCTTCTTCCACCTTGGCTGGACGTGGTTCGTGCGTGCAGGGTTCCACCTGCAAATCAACCATGTCTGACATTCTCCACAGGTAATTCCATCTGCACGGTCGATCAGGGCCCTATCGGGGCAACAATTTCCAGGCTTGGCGGGTGCAAAGGGTTGTCGACTACGGGGACACTAGTATGTTTACATAAGATTGATTTTTACTAAGTCTGGCGAGTTGGATTAGGGAATGGAGACGGTCAGTGTGCTTTGGTATGTGATACAGGCAACATTATTGCGACGCTGCATATCTGGAACACTGTAAGGTTTGAGTGTGATTTTGATTCGCAATATTCGTGTATTTGGGAAACCCTATCTAGAGAAGCGAGAGCTACACGGTCAAACGCGAATCAATGGGGTTGTGAATTGGTGTTCGAGGAGGCATTCTCCTTTGTCGCGACTCACATCACGGTCCTGCAGGACGAGTACGGGTATACAGGTTGAAGGGGCCACACGAGGGGCCGGGATCTGGGGAACCCCTGAAGGTCAACTAGGCTGAGTTACAAATAGAATATTCACGAATATTCACGACCCACCACCAGATCCGAGGCCCACAAGGCATTTTCTTTTCTTTACCTGAACGTTGAGTGCACTAAATGGTGGCTGTTAATGAGTTCCAGGAAACCGGGAATACCTAATGCAAGGCTATGTGCAATGCAAGTCAGGTTGGGGTGAAATTAAGTGGAAAGAAAAACAGAAAAGGAAAAAAAAAAGAAAAGTGAAGCCAGTAAAAAAGCAAATTTAGTCAAAAGCCGTTGTCTTGAACGCAGACGGCCAACCGTGTTGCAGAGAAAGAAAAAAGAAATACAGACAGGAACGTGAAGCAAGGGAGGCGACCAAACGCTCAGGTACCAGAGTACCAAGACCCCGACCAAAGAGAACACACTGAGTACCTTTTCAGGCATCGTGCATTGAACGCAAAGTACTTTTCTCAAATGCACACTATTGATCACTTTTGCAGCCTTGATCCTAGATGCGAGCCTCCCATAGGTCGATCACCTGGGCATCTTTATCCCTGCATCATGAACCCAGATCCTTAAGCTTTCTCACAAATCATTGCCTGCAGCTTGCCAATTCCACAACGCTTCTCCACACAATTACTCATGCCCTGACCGGCTCTCTCCGTCTGGACAAGCCGATCGGTTGTCCGAATCTGGAGAAAGGTCACCCCGACCGCAGCGAAATATCTTCTCCGACTGCCCTGACAACTAATGGTATCCTTGCTTGGCCTGGGTCTCGAATAAGTGTCAAAGCCAAAGCATGACAAATCATCTCTTTCAGTACCAGAAATGGAAGAATGGATGACAAAACCATTGAAAACCTTGTGGTATCAAGCCAAAGCTGAACTGGCCCAGAACATGCGAGCCCACGAACCTACAAATGATAAGAAATGAACATTCAGAATGTCATCAGTGGCTTGAGCCACACACCTGCAACTGTAGCCCTGGAGTTAGCCGTTCGGCCGTACTGCAGGGTCGGGGGAAGACAGATGCATACCGAAGAATGTCAACCTGGATCAGTGCGCAGCGGATGCAACAACCGCCCAGTACCGTCCGTGCAAAAGAAAGCAATAGTATAAGGCGGCATGTTGACTGTGAATCTATTGATTGGGCATGGACGGCCGGATGATCGAAGAAGCAATTCACGAGGAAAAAGAAAAGGGATAAGCAAAAGTCGAGCGGATGAGAAAAACATGGCGGTGGGCTCGGGGATCTCAATTCAAGAGGTTCGAGTGTGGGATCAGAGCTCAGTTTCGGCGCTCCTCGGCAATCGAATGGAAATAGGAAATAGTTCGGGGTTTGTGAAGGTGATTCAGTTGATAGCTCCATTTACGAGGCCCGGGTACCTGGTACCTGAGGGAGGTCGTGCTAATGCAGGCATCAATCTGACCTCAGATAAGGTTATCTAGGTCGTTTGAGCTGTAGTATAGCTCGACTGATCTATCAACGTCTGCCGTTTCGGGGTACGTGTAGCATAGTTCAAGGATTGAGTTTAGTCCAAGTTGATCTACATTTGTGTCTATCTGCGAAAAAAAAAATAACTTTAAGAGTACGTGTACTCCGCACCCCGTATTATTGTTGGAGTCCCGTTCGGCCCAAGATAATTGACATGTTTCAGTCGCCACATATGGGAGACATTTGAAACGAAGCAATGCGATAGATAAGGGATCTAACATTATTGTCAACCTACAACGTTAATAACTCACATTACGTGGCATCCAAATTTCCGCGAAATGCAGTAAAGCCGTGAGGTTAACGGGCGGAGGCCACAATGTAGCACGCACCTCAACGTTGTTGTGGCTAGCTGGAAAGGTGTACGAAGAGGTCCTGATGCATGAACAGGAGGCATGTACCAAACGGAGAACGCCGGATGATCATCCAGGATAAGCCACAGTAGCATCCACAGCGCCACAAGGCGATCACTGTGGCTTTGGTCATGGGCTGCAACTTAAGAGAGACTATGGCATGACTGGGTGGAACAGAAACTTGGTTCGTGAAGCCACTATCGAACTTTCGGCCTGGGACGATCGCGGTATTTACATGCAGTCGATCAATGTTTTGGCAGTGTTGGAAGATTCGGGATCTGGGGACACGAACCATTGATCGTCAAATCTGATCTCAAACGCCGTGGGCAGTTTTGGTTGATAGTGGTCCCTAGTTCCGCCAGGCACAAAGACGGACTCGGCCTGGCCGGTTCGTGGGGAAGAGGGGCCGCATACGTAGTTCAAGAGCATCCCTTTGGACGCAGGGGTCTCTCCCAAGATCTGGGGGAGTCTTCGAGATTCGCCCTTGCTGCACTTTGGTCTGTGCTTTTAAAAAATTGTCCAACGAGAAGCCCGGAGAAAGAATGACTTTGGTACGAATACACAAGATGAGGGGAAGGTTGCATACGAAGCCTCTGTTGAAGCGGAGATACGAGTGGATGAAGCTAATGAGAGCCCGGAGTGCCTGATTAGCACAATATCCGGGGTACCGAAATGTGGAACTCGATGAGGCATGTAAGCAATAAAAAGATCAACATACCTATTCCGCACCGACTTTCAAGTTCCTGGGTTTGGGGAGAATGATTTAAAGGACATGATACATCGTATCACTAGCCAACTGTGAAGAAGCATGTCAAACCGGTTTCTGGGTTTATGGGACACGGCCAGAAATGCAAGTGTATCCTCATATATCAATAAAAGCGTGGTGGAAGGATGGGGAAAGAAATAGTGGCAACGCATGAAATCCAAGGGTTAAACAATAGAGGTGGGGAGTGCAAAGGCCAGATCTGACAGTAGGGGAAGATCGACAATGATACGGGGCCGTAGCAAATGCCGGTCGTTCGATAAAGTAATTCTACCGCCGAGTCGGCGCGATGAGAAAGTCAATATCCAGAGATTTTGGGGATTGGGATCATGTTCTCTTTTGTTGTTTCCCCACGAATAAGGGGGTTTTGCTCTCTCCAGATGTCGGACAAGGTTGAGAGCTGTCAGAAATCAGCCGCTTAGCCTTAGGGCTCAGATCAAACGCTCGTTTATTCAACGCTAACCACAATAAAAGATAGTAAAAAGCCTGTTTTACCATGACCCACTAGAGGATGTCAGTGCAATGTGATACACAGATAGTCTAACCCATTCTTACTTTGGGCAAAGGTCCCCAATATTGAACTTTTTCACGTACTTGGTATGCTTTATGATATTATCATCATTGAAACAGCTAGGAGGAAATAAGTGAATATGAAAATAAAACCAAAACCAATGAACTAATGAGAACAAGAAATTCAAAAAAAAACTTAGTAATCATCGCGACCCTGCAGCCCTGGAGAGACAAACACTCGAGGTCAATCACTATCTGGACGAACTTGAAACGTACAGAGGCCACGAACACTTGAAAAACGCGAAACTCTGCCGGTGACCACTAGCCACCTAGGTCAAACGCAGGGTAGCAGTCCAACCAGAGGCGAGTTCCATTGTTCGGGTCTCGACTGACGCGTGATGAATCAGACGCAGGTGCAGCTTCAGCCTAGGCCGACACTATCCGAACCGTTGGGGCAAGACGGGCTGTGGTTTCTCACGCCCAATGAATGCGATGGGTGAGATGGGGATTTGTGGTTCCCCGAGGTCTGTCTCTGTATAGTATGGAGTACATGGTATTTCTTCTCCATTTTACTACATGTAGTAGTTTTTTCGCTCACATTCCAAAAATCCATAAGTGGGATCTGTGGAAGTGTAAAAAGTACCCCCATCTGTCGGTACAGAAAGGAATTGTGGAAGTACACATAATGGAATTATCAAACCAGAGCACACAATGAGACAATGACGATCCATTACTGATCTTCGCCACAGAGAGAAATAACGCGGAGAATTAGGGGAATGTTGGAATCTGAGATTACTACTCTCCGGCCTAAGCTGCAGTGTCAACCGGGTTCGCACAGACCAAAAGGTGATTAACGTCTGACCTGTCGCAAAAGTACTATGCGATCGATCCAAGCCCCCACTGCACGTCCGAGCGAGCTCATATTATTTATTTTTAAAGAAAAAAAAAAAAGCCCACATTGTTTTGGAGTTCGCAGTTGCTTCATGGTATCTTCCCTAGGAGTTGAATCAAAACAAACTATAATTCAAATATCAAAGGTAGAACTGAAAGTCTCAATTTGACGGAGCACAAACCCAAGTCTCCCGATCTGAGACTTTCAAGTGGAGAGGAAGATCAGGGTCTCAGGTGTGATCGACCCGGCTGTAAAGTCCGGGGACACGATTTACACTGCATGTCCAAATAGACTCTGCTCACATTTCACGGAACCCAAGAGGTACAGCCTAAACATTCCAATGTACGGAGTAGAGTATGCTTTAGTATGCTTTAGTATGCTTTTAGGCCGTATCTGGAGATCGAGCATAAAAGAAATGCTGTTATTTTTCCCAAAGATGATTATGATCTACAAGTGTACTCCATCTCTACTAATTAGAGAGCCCCAAGGTTAAATGCAAATTGGAAATTTAAAAAAAGAATAGAATAATTCTATTTTCTTTTTCTTTTTTTAAAAAAGATACTATTTCCTATTCCATCTTAATTGCAGATTAAATCTCAATCCATTTAAAAAAAAGAAAAAGAATTCGAGAAAAAAGAAAAGGTGAGGGATGGCAATCAATGCGCCGATCCAAGTCATCTTTTCTATCAGCAACTTCAGCCCAGAACAGGTACCAGGAACAAGCTTCCCCCGTGGATCATTGCTTTTAATTGCTTTGCTATAAACTCTTTAAGACACCCGTCAGCCCTCCATTTCCCATCACTCCTCCTTACCGAGCCCTGGTCATATAATCTCCCCTCCCCCTGCCGTCTAACCTCGAACATTATCTGAGACCAGCCCCTTCTACCAAACGATTAACCGCGTCAAAGGGCTTTCTGACACCAATATCGCCGAACTGGTACTTGGTGTTCCATCCCAGCCAATTCTTCTGTCTCTATTCGGCAGACCGGGTCCATATTAACGCGAAACATCGCGTTTTAACCCGCAGCCCTCGAGGACCTCCAGCCGATCCCAGCCCAGATCCAGCCGCTACTTTCTTTGCCGCGGTAACGGAGGATCTCATAGTCTACATTCCTAGCCTTGCTTGGTGCCGGACACGCGACGCGCCGCTAATCAAGTTCGTCTGAGCTTAGACCATGGCGTATAGCTGTAAGTTCCACCTCCACTCGGGATTCTATGCTCGACCAATTTGTTTATTTCTGCTCGTTTGTCCTCCATTCCCTTCACCTTTTCAACATTCTTTCCTTTCCCTATACTTCGGGACCTAATACACATTCTCTTGTCTTGTCTTCTTCCTTCGCTTTCATTGTCACACATCCCTTCACTTGCATTGACATCATATCGATCTTTCAACCTTTCTTTTTTTTATCTACCTCACTGTCGTCTTTTCTACACCACAATCGCTTCAAAAAAAAATCTCTATATACATACTAAAGCAAAGTGCCTGGACAGGTGATACCATTCCAGCTGCATCTCAATCTTTCAAGACCGAGGACCTCGACGATATGAGAGCACACGGACAACAGATCTCTGACCGTTTGACCGTTGAAGTCGACTGCCACTCTCTGGGCCCTAGTGAATGCCCCTCGATGACCTCGAGCTTCTCTCCTTTGGACTCTCCAACTCCCACGCCTACCAGCATCTACAGCCAAGGCTCAATGGCCTCACCCGGGTGGCCTGACTCTACGCAATATCACCATGGAATGCCCATGGAGCGCCGAACTTCGCAGACTCCATTGCGCAGCGCTTTCCGGATGGCCGATCTCACCTCCAACGATGGCATGATGAACATGCCGTGTGGCAGCATGGATCGACCAGAGCAGATGCCCTTGCCCGAGTATCTGCCCGGATACGAAGACCATGTCGACCAGCTGTGGCTCCCGCAGGATGTCCCAAAGACCTACCAGGAGGCTCAGTTCCCTTACCAGGCTCAGATGCCTCAGTACAATCAAATGGCGCGCAACTACTACCACCGACCTCAGCAAGCCGGGTATCTTCCCGAGTCTGCTTCCAATCCTTGTCTATCTCGCCCTATCTTCAACCAACCCAACGAGCGAATGCCTAACTCCGCCTCCATGAGCAACATGCTCCACTGGATGCCCTCGCAGGAGTCTCTGGTACCGCAAACCATCACTCCTTCCCAGGCATTCCCCCCTGCCGGCCCTATGACGCCACCATCTTCTTCTTACTCTGAATTCCCCACCAACATCCCTACCTACAAGTCCCACACTCCTTCCACCCCTCACCGCTCGGTCTCCATGGGTACCCCCTCTGGATCAGATACCCCCATCAGCCGGATGTCTCACGGCGAATACCCCGACGAGTTCCAGCTCTCCCCTGTGTACCGTGATGGCTTGATTCAACGCCATCGCCAGCCATCCCGCAAGCCTTCCAAGAAGCAGCTTCTTCGATCTACATTGAGTCTCGAGAACCTGCCGCCAATCATCAAGCAGGTCCAATTCAAGTGCAAGGAGCCCGGCTGCAAGGGTCGGTTCAAGCGCCAGGAACACCTCAAGCGTCACATGAAGAGCCACTCTAAGGAAAAGCCCCATGTCTGCTGGGTTCCCGGATGCCACCGCGCGTTTTCTCGCAGCGACAATTTGAATGCTCATTACACGAAGACCCACAGCAAGCGAGGAGGTCGCAACCGTTATGTGGCTACCCTGGATGACACCAGTCCAGACTTCGACCCTGACTTCCGGGGTCAACTTACCCCCGATGGTCGCCCTATGTACGGCACTAAGCTTGAAGATGCTATTCCTGACTGTGGCGACCTTAGCGTTGATGGCTGCTGGGATGACTAGTCGAATGACCCACGCGAAATCAAACACCACAAAAAAGCAAACACCAAAATCGAAAACCGAAATTCCACAAAAAAAAAAACAAAAAAAAAACAACCAAGATCGATTTCACCGTACTTCTCAAAAGGAAATATGGCACTATAGAAACGCTTCACAGAACCTTGGCCTTGGATTTGATACCCCGTGTCTGGAGGATCGATTATATGAAATGGCAGACGCATCACAGGCCAATGGGCACTGGCGTTGTACATGTCTCTGAACCTATTCAGAGACTTTGATTTATTTACGTTTTTTCTATGTCTTTTTTTTTTTCTCTTTTCTTTTCTCTTGCATAATTTGTCCGGAGCCAAAGGCTGGGAGGTACTTTCAACGACTATGGGGTTCATTTGGCGTTACATTTTTGCTCTGGGAGATCGCCTATGGGATAATCATTTGGGAGGAACACCCTCAGGGGTTGGCGATCGTGTACACTCTGTTACAACGTGTTGTTGTCTTTTTTTTTAAACTACTTTATTTTGTCTGTACCACCATTCCCACGACTTGTGGCATAATATACGAAAAAAATCAAAGACTTGCAATGTCGCAGACCATATACACCTATTGAAACCCAGAATCCTTCACGACGTCAATGAATAAGAGCCTCTAGACCAAACTCGTGTGTTACACGCGAGTCCAACTTCATTCTCCCACGGTTCCTGGGGCGTCGTGGCACGCCACCAGAATGTTACAGATCACACCACTATCCGCTCTAGATCCCTAGTTCCTGGATCTCTCCAAACCGATCTATCTAGTGGAGCCCATCAAATCGGGACTGGTGCAGCTAGCGTGACCCATCTGTACCTCTTGACCCGTCTTGTGTTGTTGGAACTCTCCACATTCCTGTCCCAACGGGCCAACGGATCGCCTTTCCACAATAGCATCTCCCTTTCCAGTTAGGCCATGTCATCATCTCTACACCGCGGCTCTGGTTCATGATGTTCTATGACTGCTTTGAACGACGTGTCTTTGAAAGTATGTGGCACACAGGGCCCCGAGCACGCATCGCGAACCTCCGAAGACACGAACCATGCTCCACTCCACAGCCCGCGCCACACTCGACAGCGCAATCATCTACCTATCAGACAGGTGGGGTCGATTCTCCTATCTTGGGTCACACTCGTACAGTCTGCAATTCTTCAACTCAAATAGTGGATGTCAGTGCCACGTCTAGTGAATGCTAAGTATAGCGCTATAGCGCCAAAAGAATCTGAGCCCAACCCGAGAACGAGACCGTGATGCAGCACTCTCTCACTTGCATGGTCGATGGCTGGAGGACTTGGCCTACTACGGAGAAGCCACGCTATCTTTCAGGTGCTCGCCACTGTGTCGGGATCTCACACGTCATTTCTAACTATTTCGCCCCTCTTGGTTTCCACTACGTAGTACGTGGTCAACCTACCAGAGCCATAAGGTACGGACTAGTGAGATTGGATGTTTACTTGTCATGGTTGGACGCCGTGCATGGAATACCTTGGTTGGAAGCCTACCATGCATGTAACTCCAAGCTTGGAGAACCACTCCTGCATCGGGTCTAGTCAGGCCCCGGTATGCCCATTCTTTCTCTCAGATGGACTACTACATGGCTACTCGTACGGCTTACATTTTACACCAAACTAGACCAATGCCAAGGGACAAAATTAGATTGATCGTTCAGGGTCTATGATTCCAAAGATCTTGGTATTCGTAAGCTCTTCAATCTCGTGATGGACTTCAGAACAGTACTCCATACTCCATACTCCATATGGAGGTTACCCCCTTACCCAGTCCCACTTCCCCAGAATAAAATCCCCCTAATATCCGAACCGACTGCTACACCGGCTTTTGCACAGTACGCGGTGTGGTCGGCGTGAAAAGTATGTACGGAGTAGTTACTCGGTCTGGAGTACGGATCTCCCACTCTGACGCCCATGCCCTGCGAACTGTAGGTTGTTACACGACGCTATGTATATGCCACGCAGTACTAATCGGGAACAGGTATCGGGCCTCCCGGCGGTATGGTACGTGGAAATGATACCTAAGCCACCTTTTCTTTTTCAATTCTTTTTCTTTTCCTTTTCGTACTTATTCTGATTTTTTTCCTTGGTCGTGAAGCATCTAATGAATGCCTGTTAAGATCACTGCAGCTAGACAGAAAACCGCTGGTATGACCTCCACTTTTCTCGTGATTGATGTTCGATGCGCGTTTAGATCCCGAGGTTGGGCCCTGCACCAGGCTCTCAAACGGGGTAACATCGTCATTAGTTCTCACTTCGTATCTTGTGAGACCATTCCAGCACCGAATTGAAAAGTCGAATGTAGTAATTTAATCAAAACCCAAATTAATTGGAACTAAGCATAACTCCGATCCATGGACGTGTCCCGATTCGCGTCCAATTCGCTAGCAGTTATGCAACTTTCACGATGCATAAACTCATGGCATTCCACTGGCAAACTTTGCTCAGCCAGTTGGAATTCTGGTATACAGTTAACCTAGTCATGCCTGCGCGCGATGATCAATTATCTTGAGTGGTATCCTGTGGCCTTAGATGCAACGGCCTGAGACATTGTTCAAAGTTTGAAACGGCATAACTCCAAACCTTGAGCCGCTTGAGTCAGGACTTGGCAAGTTTAAAAGCTGTAGTCGTATGCGAGCAGTGGTTCTTAAGTTTTACTACACCGTATAATGAATATTGCTTCTCGTTCATGCCAACTGGCTAACCTAGGTATTAGCTTCTTGCTGTACGGCGAACTACTTGTACATGCATTGGAATGTGACATTCGACGACCAAGTTCTAGACTGCTGTCTGTCAATGAGCCATTTTTGGGGGGGATTACCGCTTTCACTCTTATGCTAATGCGAGGCGATGCAACGAAAGCTTCCATCGAACTACTCCCCCTTGAACTACCACGGATTTGTGCATGTTTTTCGCGATTTAGGTGGATTAAGAAAATGTATACTAGCGTCTACTCTCGCTGATCTGCTTTGCTTCTCGGATGATGTGCGGCGATCATCCCTAGTTTCGGGGTCAGAAGAGACAGGCCGGATTCTGCACTTTCAACATACATTTTGTACACAATATGGTTGTTCCAGAACTGGCTCCACTGTCACTTGTTTTCTTTTGTTCCCTGATTCGAGTGGATTTATTGGAACGGTGTACATCACCCGGGACTCTGCTCCGTAATCACAGATCGAGAGAGTTATTCAACCGATTCGAGACATGATCACACTGACGCCAAACCCCGTTCACCGCACTTTGAACTTGAGACTAGCTATACTGGACACCTTGACCTGTTCCAAGGCTCACTCATGCAGTAATTTCCTTGTTTCCATCGACTAAATGCTGAGCCTTCTTCGGGGACTCTGCAAAATCACAAGACAGTTACTGGGATGCCTAGGATACACACCTCCGATGTGATTCTCTCGAGTTGCGCACGAATTGCTAGCCATAAGTCGTTGAAATCGGGGTTCTTTCTCTCGCTTGGAACGCGAATGGAACGCGAAGCTTGCAGATGAGATCTGATAACAGCCTGACAGCACACAAGGCCAATGCTAGACGCTCTCTTTCAAACAGAAGCTTCTCTCAAATTTGATCTCATCAAAACCAGCACTAATACTATATCCCATGAACATCTCGCATTTTCATACTCGGCTGTTGACACTTTTCCCGTTTAGGCGAAGCCCCATACGGAGCCCGGAACCTGAACCTCCGAGCTGCTGACATCCATGTTACATAAGCAGCCCCTTGATATAAAAATTCTGCACGCGCTGCTCCCTCGACCTTCCCATTCCAATCCTTGACACCTTCGACTTTGTCAAAAACATCGACCCTGCACACACAGCCCATCTGAAGCAAATGCTCAAGAGATTAATGTCTTCTCTTGGTCATGCGCTTCCGCAATGGCTTGATCGTTCATGTGGCCATATCGCAGGACACAACTCTGGTCTTTCCTTACTGTGATGATCACCATTTCTATTGACATGACTTTCTCCATGAGTGTCAAATTATCAAGCTCAACAGTCTGAGTACCGAATGACCAGAGAATTGTCTCACGAATATCGCCAACCCTACAGGTCACGACTCCCACTAATCCCACCAAATGTTCTCTAGCTCTCCATACCAAACAATACAATACTTACTGTGATTCCCATGTTCCCTTTTCTCTTTCCAACAGATAGCACGGATGTCAAATTGCGATCCGGCCCTTTCATGGCCGCGGTCGCGCCGAAGAAGTGCTTATATCGAAATGGAGATACGTCTCCCTAGCCAGTGAGTACTAGATTTTTGTCCTACGGTTCGCCCGAGGTGGCAAACATCCATTGAAGATCTGGAACATCCCGTAATCGTAAATCATTCTGTATTCATGCCCAGGTGTCGTGAAACCAACGCCTCTGCTTTAGCAGTCATGGGCATATTTCGTGTCTCTTGCCATTGTGCGAGGTCCGCGCCTGTGTCTGTTTGATTTCGCTCAGCGCCTTGATGCAATGTGCTCGTTGATGCTGTGGACGGACGCTATGCATCGACGCCATCCTCTGGCTACTATTCTCAGCTCTGTGGCTCAATGTTGTCCCTTGATTGCGCCAGGAGTCGCTGGTCACTGTCGCAACCGCTTCGTCGTCATGACTTCTCAGGGTTCCTTGCGCTTGTCCGGCTATCTTGCAGTGTCTGCAGATATGGCGTCCGCTGTCGCAAGGGGTCGGATATCACGTCCCAGAATTCAATATCGGCGGTGGTGCATATTGGTAACGTCCTTGCAATGAATGCTTCGAGGACTCAGATCGGAATAAATGCAGTGGTCTATTGGGTGTCTTGGCCTTGTGCGTGATGTGTGCCTACTTGGCAAGATAACCAGGGTAATTACTACGGAGTACCCTGTACAGGTCGGCCATGCCATTCTAAAATTGAACCCATTTTGAGCAAAATAGAAGCCAGCTCTTGAATTTCGTGATATCAAACTTCGAAGTATTTCACAATTATCGAAAGTGAAAAAAAAGTTAAAAAAAAGTGAAATGACCCCAGATCCCACCGCATAGATCAAAAACTCCTGTACAGAATGGTATCGAGTCTGATAAATCCCAGGATTCCCACCAAAAGCCGTGCCCAAATAGTACAGAAAACAGAAAGAATAATTGAATCCGCGAAGGAAAAACCAAAGCAAAAATAGTAACGCCGACCTGTCCGATCTCCACGATGCATGGTCCCTGTACAAATTCCCGGGATTCGAATAGAGAGTAAGAAGGAGAGGAAATCGAAGTAAAAGAAGGAGGACCAGAGAATAGAGTGAGAATAGGCAACGGCTACTAGCCAATGCACTGCTCAGTGCCGTAGAGAGTCATAAATCGCGCCAGATTGGCAATCTAGGTGAGGAAAGTGCCTCATCAAGAAATTTTCATTTGTCAGATGTTAGTGAAAGACCAGCTCAAACGCACAAGCTTAGTTGTTCATTCCGCCCATGCTGTGCATCGAGCCCTGTGCTTGCATTTGCTGGGCCTGCAAAGCACGCTGTTGCTGCTGGCCATTTTCTCGCTCGCGACGCATGACCTCGTGAACCCACGCCTTGGCTGTCTTTTCTAGACCGGGGCCATATTGTTGCGCGATGCTTGGTGGGTACTGGTTGGGCGGGCCATACTGAGCCATGTATCGTTGGGACATTTCGTGTCGCATACGGAGCAATCGCTGTTGATATAGCTGTGTATATCTTTGTGCAGGATTGATAGTCTGCCCATTCTGACCCATCTGAGCCCCGTTTGCCTGAGCAGCAGCCATGAGCATCTGTTGCTGCTGTTGTGGCGTCAATTGTTGAGTGTTTTGGTGTTGCTGGTTCGGCTGGCCCCCCATCTGCTGATGTTGCCCGCCTTGCTGTTGCTTGACGATTTGCATTTGAGCATATTGGGCGCGCATGAGCTGCGCCTGGTAAGCCTGTTGGCCATGTTGAGGAACTTTTTGAACAGGCTGGTTGCCTTGTTGCTGCTGAGCTTGGAGAAGCTGTTGTTGCTGTTGGTGGTTTTGGATGTTTTGTTGGGCGTGTGCGTTGGCTTGCAATTGGGCAAGTTGTTGTGGTGTGAAATGATTGGGTTGCATATGACCTTGTTGCGCCGCAAGAATCTGTTGCTGTCGGTGTTGCTGCAGCATCAGCTGCTGCTGCGGGGTGAATTGCATGCCGTTCATCTGGTTGGTGTTACCCATTGCTTGGTTCATGACAGGTGTCTGGCCCATTGGGTTGTTGGGGCTGCCATGTCCCATACGCTGGGTAGGTGTTACATTTCGCATGATCGGTGTAGCATGCGACATGGCTGGTGTGCCTTGAGACATCTGTGGAGTGCCATGTCGACTTGGTCCTTGCTGACTTCTCGAAGGTGCCATCGGGTGGCTCATGACATTGGGGTGCGCATGCTGAAGGGCAGAGGGGGGTCGTGGGGGACTTCCAGATCCAGATGCGGTCATGGACATTGGAACCGCCTGCATGGGCATAGGGTTACCAACCAGTGGCGATGAAGCGGTATGGGGGGTCTGGTTACGTACAACAGGTGAAGACTGCTGTCCTTGGCTGACACCATTTGGCTGAGCCATAGGGTGACGATTCTGTTGCTGGGCTGCAAGTTGAGCCTGCGCTTGCTGAGCTGCAATTTGCTGTCGCCGTGTTTCCTCCTTGGCGTGGTCTTCGGCCTGTCGCTGTTCGATTGCCCGGCGTCGCTCTCGTTCTTGTTCCTGCTGCTGTCGCTTGATCAAATCCTGCTTGGCCTGCGTTTCATGGTCACGCTTGGCCTTATCCTCGTGCTGCATGCGAATCGTTTCAATGGTCTTGAATCGCGAGAATCGGGGCTCAAATGGCACCACACCACCTGTGTCATCCACCGCCGCAGCTTTCGCGGCGCCACCTGGACCTGGCGCAGTTGGCTCCAAACGCTCGTCCATGATAAGCATGAATCTCTCCTCTTCTGCGGCCAGGGCTTCGTCTGCGGCAAGTTCGGCAACGGTTCTCTTCCGGCGCTTGGGTGAAGGTGGCGGGTTGCAATGGAGTGGGTTTTCCAGGTGTTTCATGAGCTCCTGGGCGGCCTGGAAACTGTGAACCGGGTCCAAAAACAAAGGAGGGGCCAAGGCGTGAATAATTTTCGCCTCACAGTCTAAACGTTGTTCTGGCTCAATCATCATCTTCTGTCTCTTTGCGACATGTCCACGGTCGGTCTGGGTGCCAGAGACCCCTGGGGTGGAGTTTGGTTGAGTCGGCGGTTCTTTGGGCGTTGTAAGCAATAATGTCAACTCTGCTTGCAAGCTCCGCGCGGTAGGATGAAGGACCGTGGTGAACACTCGAGGCTTGAGGGGGGCATCATCTTTCTGAGATGTGGAAACTGCCTGTTTTTCCGACTGCTCGCTGGGCGCCGAGACATCTGAAGATTGGTTGGTGTTTGAGGCACTTTCGGTCTTCGTCCCTTGTGTTGCGGATGGGAATTGAGTTTGCTTCGGGTATGGAACGTAGGGCGATGGCGTGACATGCTCATTGTAATTGTGAAGAGAGAAAGGCGTGTTATTCTCGTTGGAAGATGTTGTGGATGTCTTTCTTGCTTGCGCACAGGCAGATTTGTGGTCCACGACGCGGACAATAAGACAATCTAACAACGATTAGCAATCGACCGTCGCACTATATGGCAAGACTGGAAGCTACCTTCGTAGAAAGGAACACCGCCTCGCAAAAGCTCCTCAATAAGATCGTGAGGTACTGTCCCAGCTCGAATGTGTTCAATAATGACCTTCATCTCAGAGTTGTAAGGGAAACTCCCATCTTGCTGCTCAAATCGGAAGTGCGTTGGGTGCAAATGCACGGTCAGAGATGGCGGACATTTTGCGTATTTCTTGAGGATGTAAGATGTTGTTTTCACTGTTATGGCGCGCGGAGGAACGAGGTCAGTCAAGGCGCAATGCGGCATTGCGAACTATCTGTAACTGCTTACCATAGGGCTCGGGCGCCTTTTTCCCCACTCGGTGCGCATTGTCAGAGACTGCTGTCCTCGTCACTGGCCGGCCAGATCGCGAGGATTGATCAATCGTCCGTTGCGCCTGATTCCTGGTCCGATTAAGGGGTCCTTTTGCGGTGGAATTGGGCATATGACCTGCGCCGTTTGTGAGATGGGAGCCGGCGTTGATCGTGGAACTTGTCGGGGGGCGTTTAGCGGCAGATGTGGGTGAGGATGAAAGGTGGTGGCCCTTGACTCCGTTGACCGCGGCCTGGCCGAAAGGCGGGGGCGGCCGCTTCATCTTCTGGGTATGGGGCGTCGGTTTAGAGATAGCGGTCGCCATTGTGTCTGCGCCAGATGCGCAATCTCTGGATGGCCAGTGGACTAGAGGTGCGACTTATCGGGATGCCGGCTTGGTAATATTGAAAGAAAGCGTTGCTCGGGAACTGGATTGGATGGCCGATGCGCGAGACATGTGGGGATGGGAGGGCGGCACCGGTCCCCAGCACAGCTGGAATCAATGCGGAAAAATTAGCGGAGGTTAGCCAAACGGCCTAAAAGAATGATTGGAAGGAAGCGCCGGTCCGATAAAGCTTCTAGGAAGGGGTGGATCGGAGAAGACGCTGGGCGAGTCTTGCAGAGGAGTTGATGATGCCAAGCCACCCGCGAGACGTGAGGCAGTCAGCTGACTTCTTCCGCATTGGGACTAGTATGCTTATTTAACACACTGCCCTGACCTCGGGACATCGGCGACGTTCTATTGTTACGGAGTACTAGTCCATATACAAGTACATTCTTTTCAATTGGAGAGATGATCTTTTGAAATTTGAATTGGCCTGGCTATTGAGCTAGATAGCCAATTACAATATAAGATACTCCGTTGTGCTTCATTGTCTTCTCCTTCGCTATCGTGATTGACGAGATGAATCGGTCCGTTTTATGATGATGAAAGAAAAGAGATAATCATGCCAAGGCTACCTTTTTGAAAGGCAGAGTGAGTATTCATCTTCATACAACAATGGGCTTCGGGGCTCATTGTGTAGGAGTTGATGAATCGACAGGCGCTAAAAATAGTATTTCTTCCTCCTAGAGGCCACCGCAGATTGAGTATGCGGCAGCTTCCTGCTGGTTGCCTCGTCCATAAATATGATCGCAATTTATACGAGCACACCGAGAACATCATTGGTTGGGGCAAACTGATGACCTTGACTCGCCTCTAAATGCGCAAAAACACGAACAAAACAAAAATATGGGACGAGCCAAAGCAAGTAAACCACCACCGCACAAGCGTAAACCTTACGCTGCTTTCGTTCCTAGAAGCGCTTTGTCCAAGCGGGTGAAGATGTTCGACCTTGTGTTTTTACGGAAGACCGAGCGTCTATTAAATGCCGATATTGCTCTGGAGGTCGGGCAGAATGCATTGTTGGAAGATATCTATGGATAAAACTTCCTGCCGTTAGGTATATTAACCCGTGAGCATTTAGTTGCCATTAAATATCAGTGACCCCGTGTTGCGACTAAAGACAGAGCCGGAGGCAACTGCAGAGGATGATTAAGAGGAGTTTGCCGTGAGTGAGCGGTTCAAAGAGGTATATAATGAGGCGTGGAAGGCGGTTCGTTGAACCCCATCTCTACAGAGGACTGGAAGGTGGAGTGCGCGAGTGTAACGTTGAGAGGATACTGAGGTTAATGAATGCTGGGCTTTTATGTTGTAGAGTTTCCAGGTTCTAAAGTTTGGGATATGAAATATGTATAATAGGGAAAATTCGACCTTTGGACATGAATTATCTTGAGAACACAAAGATGGAAGTAGCGCGTCACGCCAAATCTGTCCTTCTAATGGTCCTACTACTTAGTACATCATTAAGGGTACACTTTACTCCATTCTGGGGTATTAATACTTCAATAATCGTTTGCGATCGACCTATGCATATCCGTGGAGATCGAGTGTCATTGGCCATCTGCCCCGATGTGACCCCATTGTTTACCACTTGAGCAAGATCGCTGATGAATTAATGTCTCATAACTCAAGGTTGTAGTGGTCAGGATGACTTTTACAAACCTAGGGGTAAACCTTTCGATAGCGCTAATAATACCAGCGTCATCCATGGATGCTATCTGCTCAAGTGCGCCTTTGCCTTGGGTGCAACAATATTGGTCCCGAGGTCGATTCTAATCTGGCAAAGGCCCAACAGCTTCCCCTGGTAGTTTGAAGCCATCGAATGTTCGCATTGTGGCAGATAGACGAGCCCGCCATTATCACTACTTAAGTACCTCAGGAGGATCCTTCTAAAGTTGTTCAGGGGCTCGAAACTAGGCATTTAGAAATTTACCGAAGTAAGCAGAGTGGCCTGCCTCCAGTGCTGACCAAGGACTCGGAAGAGCCCACTTATGAAAGCTCTTTGTCTGGTGAGATGATCCACTCCGGAACTTCAATTGAGGCGCGTTGCCATGGAATGTGAATAGTAGAAAATCAAAGTGTAAAACGACATCGAGAAAACAGGGGAATAGGGTCAATCAATCATCAAGGGGTGAACAGGACAGGTATAGACACAAATAAAAGTATCAACATCAAAATCATAAGGCCAAGTATGGGAGCTAGGGGCCTAGTCCAGACCGCGCACCCGTCGTCGCCAGTCATCTCCGACCCGGACAACGTCAACCACGTCAATGCGCTTTCCGATTCCTATGGTGCCTTCTTTTTGCCACCACTTCTCGCCCTTCTCGCCGAGGGCCGACTCATCGTCACTATCAATGAGTCCGCCACGGCCACCTTCGTCTCCAACAACGACAATGACTTGACGAACCCAGCCAGCGATGTGCTGCACAGCTTCGCCCTGGTCACCGGTCAAGGATTCTTGGACATACACAAGCTCTGGAGAAAGGTGTCGGACAAGGTGGACAAAGCCACCGGCAGTGCTGAATGGCATAATCATGGTATCCTTCTCGACCAAAGCTTGAGCCTGGGTGTACAACGTCCTGAAGAAGCGAGATGTGCCCTGGAATTCGTCATCTTGGCGGGGCTCGACGGAAGTCAGCCCCCCAGTGGTCAGGTCCTCGGCAGATGCTGCTTCCTCAGTGGCAATGTTCGAGTAAGACGAAGTCATAGAGACCGTGGGGCGTGAGGAGCCACCCTTAACGATAGCGTGTTTCAGGTCCGGAGCATAGATCAAGACAAAAATCTTGGATGTTTCTAAATCGACATGTTCAGGGAGATGAGATAAGATGGACTGTTATTGTTAGTGAGGCCAATCTAGAATGGAAGTGTAAGTGTTCTTACTGCATGCTCAGAAGCAAACTCATCCGAGTCGGCAGAAGAATCAGACGAAACAACGATAACAACGTTTTTCTTCTTCTTCTCGGAGATATTCACGCCACGGCCAGGCAATCCACCGCTCATAGTCGGCGCAACTGCGCCTTGTTGTTGACTTCTCTCGTGGGCCCTAGCGCGGGCCTCCTCGGACCACCTAGAGTGATCCTCGAAGTCACCCTCGCCTTTGTTGTCTTCACGGATAGAAGTAAGAGCACCACCAACAAAGGCTCCGGCAGCAGTGACACCCGCTACAACCCTCTTACTAGCGCCATCAAAGATCTGCTGAGGGCTAGGCGTACGGCGCAGGGCACCTTGCATGCGGGACATCACGCCGTGGTCATATGGAGCATCTCCAGGCAGCGGTTCAGCACCTGCGCTCCGGGCATAGTCTCCGGTGGCATACGAGGGTGGAGGGTAGTCACTTCCTGGAGTTGAGGGTTGGTACGGGCGCCCTCCGTTGTGGGGGCGGTCGTCCTCGTCATCTTCGTCATTTCGTTCACTCCAGATCCAGGCTGCAATGCTGACTGTTGCGACTCCAGCTGTTAAGGCCAGGGGGAGCCAATATCCCAGGGCGGTTCGTGTGCCGGATGAGCTGAACCCAGCGCCGGCTCCGCCGCGTCGACGGTCATTCGGAAAAGACATTGCGATCGAGTTTCGATTAGGGGTGACGCATTAATTAGTTAACAGGCGCGGTCGCAATGACTCGCAGGTCGCATATCACTCAACGAATTGGAAAAGAAGAGGGTGGGGAAAGAAGAATGGGGGAAGGGAGATGATGGGCTCTCTCCTCGGATCCTAGAAACATGTGGCTGGGCCACTGATTGCCGCGGTGTTTACGGAGTAGCTGAGAGTTTGGCCTGTTTGCATCCGGAGTCTGGAGGCGGGTCACCAGGGGCAGCGACACGTGATCTTCATTATTATGTAAATTTTATGATTATGTAAGATTATGTAACGATGACTCCAAACCCGATAAGGCAACTTTTTATATCACCCCTCCAGCTGTGACTCGTCGCATTGCCAGCCCAGTATCACGTTATTATATCACCCCGAGTGTGAAAATTTGGTAGAGGAACATGCCTCACTCGGTGCCTGTCCCCCCAACGGGCTTCCAAAGTATTGTACTTTGGTCAGTATATCGACTCCAAAGAAATCCCAGGCAGGATTGACACTCAATAGTGGCCCTGGTGTCTCCCTCAACACATTTACCTCCAACCCTGAAGAGTACCCAAAATGTCTTCTTCCGATCGCAAATCGACCCATGATATACTATGTTCTGGACTTCTGTCGACGAATGGGCATCACTGGTGAGAGACATCTACACTCTTTCGGCGCCGAATTCTGGACAAAAAAAAACTAAAGCTATCAGATGTCACACTGGTCACCCCTCCCTCCTCTCTTGTGCCTCTCCAAGCAGCTCTCCGTCAAAATCCCCACCTCACCTCCCTCCCCACACCATCAGTCATTGCACCAAAGGAACTCGAAATGACGACTGGTACAGCGGAGCTGCTCCGCCTGCCAGAGGTGCAGAACTGCATCAAGTCCGACTTCCTACTCCTCCCGTGCGATCTCGTCTGTGATCTTCCCGGTGAGTCTCTACTTGAGGCGTGGATGGTCTCCGGAGGTGAGAAGGGCCGCCGCAGCGGCCTCAGCATGTACTATCAAACGAAGGATCGCGAGGAGAGCGTCAAGGGCGAGGCTACCGACTTCGTGGCTGTCGCGCCACTCGAAACATCCGAGGCACCGGTTGTGTCCCTCTCTGAGCTCCGTGCCCAGCTCTCAAAGGTTGTCCTCTCCATGCCTATGGACACCCTGAAGGAAAAGATGGAGAACGATAAGGGTTTCCTCATGCGTCATTCCCTGGTGGACAAGCATGCGCACGTTAAGATGCTGACTAGCTTCCGCGATGCGCATATCTACATTCTTCCGAAATGGGTTAAAGACATGGCCCGTTTGAATGAACAATTCCAGTCTGTCAGTGAGGACTTGATTGGATGGTGGGCCAAGTCGGAGTGGCAACGAGGCCTTAGCGAAAAGCTCAAGATCAACGAGATCTTCGAGCGCAAGAGCCGAAGCCACTCTGTTGACGAAGATGTCAGCCACGATGGTGAATCCCTCGACGGCGAGGGTGCATTGGAGGAAGAGATCAATCTCCCCGGCATGAGCACTACAAAGGCCACTTCGGCACCCAAGTCCCAGATTGAAGAGTCCGCGGAGACCCCGGATCTACCACCCCTGTTCGCCTACGTGCAGAGGGGTACATCACCATTCGTTCGCCGAGTCGACTCTTCTGCTCTGCTGCTCTCCACCTCCCTTCGTCTAGCTAAGTTGGAGTCTATCGAAGAGGTTGGCCGGGTTGAAGCATCTGCGTTCGCTCACTCTTCCAAGATCGCTTACCCACAGGGTGTGGCGCAACGGTGCACTGTGACGAAGAACGACTGCCTCCTCGATAGCAACACCACCGTCGAGGAGAAGTGTGTAATCAAGGAGAGCTGCATCGGCGCCAATGTCCACATTGCGAGCGGTGCGCGATTGACCCGATGCCTGGTCATGGATGGCGCAGTCATTGGCTCTCGCGCACAACTTACTGGCTGCATTGTTGGGCGGCGGAGTAAGATTGGTCGTGAATCCGTGCTCAAGGATTGCGAGATCCAGGATGGAAACGTGGTCCCCGATGATACGGACGCCAAGAACGAGAAGTTCATGGTCTTCGAGGGTCTTGATGATGATATGGAGGAATCCGATGATATGGACCTCTGAGACTCTACTATACATGGCTTATGAGCTCCAAGAAAATAGAATTATATACCCCTGCTGCCCCGGTGTGGAGGTCATCGTAATACCGCAGGTGCCAAGACATATCACCAAGGCCCTGTTACCCTGCATATCGAACCCGTGTGGCGCGGAAGCGTTAGAAAGGTGCCAAGCAACGGGGCGACCAAGGGGCTCTTGTCCCTGGTCGGGTCTTGTATATGCGGATGCGAGGCAACACAAAATGTCGAAGCAGATATTCTAAAGTTTTTATACAAAGAAAAATGCATGACTCGCTTATAACCTTGGAATGTATTGAATCTATAGATAATCCGTCCACCTGAGCCGTATTTAACTAGTCAGATAAGACCCGGTAGCAAAGACATCCCAGGCAGAAGGGAGTACAGCGTACGAGTACAACGTACGACAAGACACTCCACATCCCCGGACGCAGAACTAAAAAGTTAGTGACAAGCTAGTGCGCAAGCCAATATCAGCCCGAGTCCTGACGGGTGAATTTTAGTTCAGCGGTGCATGAACTATCCGCACAAATGAGAACGCGCCCTTCCCATCAGACCATGGGTGCTCGTCTATATGGGGCATTTCGGGATTCGCGACGGAACGGGCAGTTTATACCGGTTCAACCTTGGAACACCCTTTTAATGTTTGGATCTCCCAGTACTACTTAGTACTACTTAAGTAGGTGTAATTACTCCAGGGCTAATGTTCTCGGTAAGCACGTCCATTGCCCAGCCGCGAACCGAGGAATGAGAAACAGTGGCATCTGTGCGCAATGGGGTAAAGTTGGAATTCCCCTCTTATGCAATTTAATTTGTACGCTAGTTCGAGAACGGGAAAACCGTAAAATTGTACGGAGTACAATGGGTTGATTATCCGTCGATGGAATTGCTCGGTTGTCCTCCGTGCTTGAGGGACAGAATGAAGAAGAGTAGAGCATAATGTATTGAAAACAGTTGGGTCTGTGTCGATCACGCGGGAACTCTGTGGATCGAGTGTTTGGAGTGGGGAGTGTGGTTTCGAGATAAGGAGCATACCTATCTGGGTAATACTGAAGTACTTTACTGCGAGTAAGTGCCAGTGCAGATGTGAGCTTTCCAATGTTGCCTTTAAATGGAGTCCTCGTTGCCTCTAGGGCTGAACTAGGATATATATATCCTAAGGTGTGGACAGAATGAGGCAATATTGCCGAGTGGTTCGTCATCTCTCGAAACCTCATCTGATAAATGGGAGTCACGCTACACCGGACTGGGATGGAATATTGGACAAAGTAAGCTGAGTGCGAAGGGAAAAACTGATACAACAGCTACTCGTAGTGGAGTTTGAAGTGAACCACGGAAGAGGTTTTGCCAGCTCCACCGAGTTGATAATGCATCTTACTTATTTTGGTACTTTATGAGCTACTTACCTAGGTACCTAGTTAGATATGAGAGTAATCTGTAATAAGTAATACTCCGTCTAGTACTTTTGCTTTTTCAGTTGCCTGACAATCTGGGAAGAAAGGCACGGCAAATGCTTTTATGCAGCAGTTCGCAAAGTAAAGTCCGAGAATAGGGCAATACGGGTCGGATTTAAATAGCTATGGAGATGTCTAAGAATGGCCGCATTAAGGGGTATTGGCACCCCCCCCTTTTATGCTTCACGAATTCACCCATTTTTTGATTGAGAGATCGTTTAACTGGAGAACAGAGTAATTCTCAAGAATCTCTAATCTAAAACCCTTTAGATCTCCCAAAGGAAGCGGAGTCAGATAATACGGCCAGAAACGGACATCCCCCTAATCTACATAGCCCCTCCTATTTTCCTTCTCCACCCCCCTTCCCTCTTCTTCCTTCTCGACACGTTTCTGGGGTTTCGGTTCTTGTACATGGCTGTCGCTGCATAGAGACCTCTGGAATTCACTTTCCACACTTTCGTTTCTTCCTCGCCTGGTTTCGAGTTTCTCACGTCCTTGTCTCTTTTTTTTTTTTCTTGACCACGTCGCCTCCTTTTTTTTTTGCCCTTGTCTTAATCGCTGTACCACTACGTATAGTATTCTGCTTCTTTTTTTTTTATTATCTTCAAGGTACGTTTTAACCCTAGCTGACGCGGTCTCGTGGGGAGTGGGAAAGAGAAAAAAAAAAAAAGAACCACAGCCCCTTTCCCTGTCAGAACGCCCGAACCGCGAGCAGGGACTGACAGGTTACAGTATCCCGTTTCGTTCCTCGGGTCCCCATTTGACAATCCTCGGGCATCCTCTCTCTCTCACTCTCAACTTTCCGAAACGTGGTCCCTTTTCTCTTCCTCGGGGGAAGGGAAACAATATGGCAGCGTTGGTCCAAACAATCCCGCAACAGAGTGGCACGGTACCTGTGCTTCAGACGCGTCCTTCTTCCTCTTCGGGCACCTTCTCCTCTCCACAGAACCATCCGTCTCGCATCCAGACGATGTCGTGGTCCTCCTTCAATGGTAACTCGGGAAACTATCAAGCAGGCCACCCGGTTGTGGCTCCTTACGCCTACCAAAACACAAATCGCCAGTCGTGGTCACCACATCTGCGCCCTGAACATCGCACCTTTTCTGCTCCTGCTCAAGGGCCTGGAAACCCGACGTCTAACGGTGCTACCCCCCGAACTTCACACCTTGCAGCTGGTTCTGTATCAAATTCCTCATCCAACTCTTCATTCCAATCCGTTTCCAAGGACGACAGCGCCCTCCCCTCACGCCAACCTAGGGCCGATCAGCCCGTCCGCCCCTTGTCCATCGCCAATCTCCCTTCTCCCACCGGAGGTGCTTCCTCCCCCAAGCCATCCCCGAATCGGTATCGCCGGGGCAATCAGCGAACCGACACCGCTGCCACCCCGGCTGCTCCGGTCCCGACCGTGGTGGTCGATGATATGAGCACCCCCAGACTCACTCGACCGACCCTTCACACCCGGGTCTCGAGTGTTGATGATTCAACTCATGGGGAGAGGACACAACCTGAGCGGTATCGGAGACGCAGTCTAGGTAACATGGATGCATCGGCATATCCAAATCTGCAACTGGACCTTTCAACATCAACCCCTGTCCCTGCTCCCGCCCCTGCCCCTGCTCAGTCAGGATCTTACGACTTCATCACATTTGATAATCAACGACCCGGCTCATCCCACTCTCAGCGGAACAGTGTGGGCAGCGTTCATTCGGCACACTCATCTGCATCCTCGGTAGGGAATATACGCATAACTCAGACATGCCGCAAAGCTAACGATATCTTATTCACAGGCACGAGAAGGCACCCCAGATTCCACTGCCAGCAAGAGCAAGCCTGAGGAAAAACGGGCGAGCAAGCCCTCACCATTATCACAGCCCGCGTCGACCGAGACAGAAACCCCCAAACCTCCCCCTCAAGCCACTCGGAAAGCGACGCCGCCCCCTCTGGAATCCCCCGCTGCGAAGCGTCTCAATGATCTGAAAAATGACCCAAAACGCCCCGGAAAGTCACGTCTGCGACGAGCTTTCTCGTTCGGCAGTGCTTCCGAGCTCCTGAAGACATCTGCAGCTTCCAATGCCGCCAAGCGAGAAGCATTTGCTGCGGAGCAGGCGCGCCGTGAAGCTCTCCGAGAGCAATTGGGACCCGAGCAGGCAGCAATTGCTGAACAGCAGGAGTTGAGTGGTCTGGGTGAGAGTATATACTCTGGCCAAGGCCATTTCTTCACTGGATCCAATGATAATCTCTCGGTGTCTTCGACCGCCTCGTCGGCGTCCATGATGCTGCGGAAGATGGGCAAGGGTATGAAGCGGTCCACTCGTTCCCTGGTCGGCATGTTCCGTCCTAAATCCGTTGCCAGCATCAACTCCATCGAGGGCGCCAACCAGGAAGCCCCACCCCCGCAGATCACCGTGGTCAACGTCGAGGCCGAGCGGGAGAGCGTCGCTGTCAACCCTGACCCCGCAGACCTCCCCCGTGGTGCCACTGTCTTCCCCAAGGTCGAAGGCAACGCCGCCGAGATTCGCCGATCCACCTCAATTCGGGAACGGGCAGCATCGGAGAACCTTCAATCGCGTAAGAGCATTGTGGGAGGGGACACAGAACGTGCTGAAATCCTTGCTGGCATTCGGAAGGGTATTTTGAAAAGTAGGTCCCCTAGACAATTTACACACTTGACCAATGCTAACATGTATCCAGAAACTCACTCGGACTTGGGTGTTTCCTCGCCTGCGCACACACTGCCTGCTGGTGACTCACCACACTCCAGTGCACCCCCGACTCCCGATGAGTCCTCGCGATCCCCGGCACAAAACGACTCGGTGAAGATCGCTGGCGAGGATTACTTCCTTTCCAACGCAGGACGCTTCAACTCGGAGTCCAAGAGCGCCCCCATGACTCCTCAGGCGGTAGGCGGTAGAAATATCGTCTTCAGCCCTCGCATCCAGTTCCATGAGACCTGGCCCAGCGGCGAGTACGATCGTCGCGGTGAAATTGCCACCTGCAATCGTCTCACTCCCCTGCTTGCTCAGCAGATCCGGGAGGAGATCAACAATTTCAAAATGGTAGGCACCATTCCCAACTCATGTTCATTACGAGTACTAACTGGCATACAGGAAATGGAAGTTCACGAAAACTCCAAAATCTATACTCACTTCATCTAAGTTTTGGGCGGAAATCTCTCGCACTAGTGAAGCTCATCCCCAATGGTCCTTCACTCAGCTGCATCCTCGTCTTTAGACATGCATCACCGGCGAAACAAGGCGTTTCATGAAATTCCAGTCACAGATCTCCTCAGATCTACCAACAATCGACAACACAACCATATGCGTACCACCAAAAAACGGCCCCGGATCCGGAGCCCACAAAACCCCGACGTTCAATCCCGAATACGTGTTTGAAATCTAATGAATGTCTTCCATGTAATCGGAGCCACTCTTCTTCTTTTGATTGTTTATTTTTCGAACCTTTTCTCTCCTTTGCATCGTGCATTTTGAATCATTGTCATTGAGTATTGGGAGCGTGGATTACTGGTCTTTATTTTTTTCTCTCATTTTCTCTTGTCTTCTAGCACATTCATGGCCGTCTGGGCCCTTTTCATATCTGAGAATCCACTTTGAGCCTTTGGCCTTGTAACTCGTCTTGTTTTGTGGCTGTGGATTAATGGGCCTGTGTTTAAGGCTGTAGTTGCTAGCTTTGGGTCTAATTGGGATCAATTGAAGATGTTTTGACGTGAAGAATCGTGTGCAGTAATCATCGCATTTACTTAAGTACATAGTATCTAGCTCGGATCAAACCCTGGGGTTCTGGGGTTCTTTTAAGGTGGAGTTGACCCCAGGTCTACAGGTGTCGTGGGCCTCGGGAGTGCCCAGCTTCGAACCTTGGAACCGATCAGCTGAACCTTGGAACTTGAGAAATGGCCACGAGCTCCAGAGGCCAACCTTAGGATATTTCCAAAGTTGCCACAAAGGTATGAGCTCAATTCACTTGCGTGTCGATATAAAAACACAATGCCACTCCTGTGATTGGACCACTTCCAATTCTCGAGTTTTTGAATTTTCACACGGTCCTCAGGCATCGACACTATATATAACCAGCCCCCAGATCGATCCAACCCATATCACGGTCAACATCTCGACCCTAGAAGTAAGTGCGAAGTACCTAGGCTCACATACCAGTAGAGCATTAAACCTGATAGCTTCTTGAACATAATTTGAAATTCAGCACATGCCGTTAGCTATCAGCACATAGTCGTTGCATAGATAGCCCGAGACATCGGAACACGCAGCGAAGGACAAGAATAAAGGGATCGGGAAGCCGAGAACATTGCTAGAGTTGATCTGCATGGTCAAATTGAGGGGTATAATTCGACGTCTGAAGACAACTCGTAGATACTTCGGAGTGTTCTTCGGCTGTCTGAGGTTCTAAGTTGACGTCGGACATCAAAGGAATCCCACCACTGCAGATAGTTACATTCCAGATTACTGTGGCTTGCTGGGGTTTGCAGGGCACTGATATGCTTTGCTATGTTTTCAAACTTACTCGGAATGCCCCTAATTGAGTTAGTGTAACTTTGGAAACCTGTGCACTTCAGGGCTAAGAATCACTGCAGCAGTTGTACTTAAGTATTGATTACTCTACCCACTCCTAGCTCTTCCAAGGTTGGTATTCGACATAAAATGTACTTAAGTCTAATCGTGCTCAAGTGCCTGCACCCTTGAGCCGAAATACCTGACATCCAAAGTTTGATAGCTCAACTTTGGAGGAATTCCACCCCCACGCATCCCAGACAAGCCAAGTCCCTATACTCAAGCATAGACCCCCACGCAGAGAGACGATCTCGCTCCCCGCAAGCCCTTCTACTAAGTACTCGGGGTAAGTCCGGGGTCTAGTACTTCCCCGTGTTTTTTACTATCCCCGCGGGCTGTAATCTATTGGCTGTTTGTGCCACTTGTCCGCAACGGGCCAACTGCCCGTGTTCAAAGTTGCGGGGAAGCAGTAATGTCAGACCCCGAGGGTTCAATGTTGCAGTGACATGGTCCTTTGCATGCCAATGGGCATTTGGCTCTCAGATTATTGGCTCCCGGCGCCACATGTCTTGTTTTTGACATTGCAAAGACGACTGCACATTTCCCACGTTTTGCGGGCTTTCTTTTCTTCCCCTTCAGTGTCCCTTGCTTTGATAATCTATCAAATTTGATCTAGATCTATAGTCTTTTGGCTACTTAAGATCCTCTTTTTCCTTCTCTTGATACTCTCCTCTCCAAGCACAAGATACAGACCACCATGTCCAAGTCTCCAGACATCGTAAGCGATGTCGACAAGCCCATCCTTGATAATGTGGAAATAATCGCCAACGCCGACAAACCCAATGCACAAAAAGAAGCACCAGCCTCCGTCGCCAACCTGACAGCCGAAGAGCGCACCAAAGCCGAGATGGCTCTCGTGCGCAAGATCGACATCCGGTTACTCCCCATGATCATTATCATGTATATCTTGAACTACCTTGACCGGAACAACATCGCCTCAGCCCGACTAGCAGGTCTAGAAGAGGATCTGGGTCTTGTGGGCAACCAATTCGCAACCTGCGTCAGCATCCTGTTCGTCGGATATCTGCTCATGCAAATCCCGTCTAACCTGCTGCTGAACAAATTCGGCAAGCCAGCACTTTACCTACCCATAGCCATGGTCCTCTGGGGAATCATCTCCACCGCAACGGCTGCAGCTGAAAGCTACGCTGGCCTGGTAGTCATTCGATTCTTCCTTGGTTTTGTCGAGGCAGCCTACTTCCCAGGTTGTCTGTACTTTCTGAGCGCGTGGTACACGCGGAAAGAGTTAGGGTTCCGCACTGCAGCCCTGTACTCTGGATCTTTGCTATCTGGTGCTTTCTCGGGTCTCATTGCTGCTGGAATCACCAGTAACATGGATAATGTGCTTGGAATGCGTGCTTGGAGATGGCTCTTCATCATCGAAGGCGCTGTCACAATTGTTGTTGCATTTGCAGCTATTTGGATCCTCCCCAATTTCCCACGTACCACAAACTGGCTATCAGAAGAAGAGAAAGAGCTGGCCATCTGGCGACTGGAAGAGGACATCGGCGAAGATGACTGGGTGGACAGTGAGCAGCAGACTTTCCTACACGGCGCCAAGCTTGCTGTCGTGGATATCAAGACGTGGATTTTGATGCTCATGATCTTGTGCATTGTCTCATCTGCCTCTGTTACCAACTTCTTCCCCACCGTCGTCAAAACCCTCAATTATGGAAATATCGAAACCCTTCTACTCACGGCACCACCTTACTGTCTGGCCGTCATTTGCGCCTTCGCCAACGCATGGCATGCCGATCGTACAGGGGAGCGATACTTCCATGTCACGGCACCGCTATACATCTCCGTCATCGCGTTCATCATCGCTGCCACCACGACAGCCACAGCACCACGCTACGTCGCAATGATGCTCATGGTGCCGTCTTTCTACGCCGGATACGTCGTTGCCCTAGGCTGGATCTCCAATACATTACCTCGTCCTGCGTCTAAGCGTGCCGCTGCCCTTGCTGCTATCAACTGCGTCAGTAATGCCAGCAGCATTTATGCTAGCTACATGTATCCTGATAGCCATGCGCCTCGCTTTGGTATGTACAATTCTTCTTGATTGAAGAATAGTAGACTAACTTATATTAGTTCCTGCCATGTCCGTGAATTGTGCAACGGCATTCGTCGCTATTGTATCTGCCACTGTGTTGCGATTCATGCTCGTCCGTCTAAACAAGCAGCTCGATCGCGGCGAGGAGGTCGAGGGTGCTGTTCCTGGCGAAGGAAGCCGTCGTGGATTCCGCTTCTTGGTTTAAAGGGATTTCATACATCACACTCAAACTTACAAAAGCTTCACTTAGATCCATAGCAGCTTGTTTTAGATTCAAGATATCAATCGACCAACTACTGGTCTGGCTTAGAATAGAACATTCAGCATAGAAACGGACTTTTCACATATCAATCATACTGCATCATCCTGAATCGAAGACCTCCAACCACCCCTTCATAAATCCAGGGTTCACACTAATATTTACAAATCCTCAGCTCAGCAAACATTCGAACTAAGCAAACTTCAACCTCTCCTCAGTCCACCCAGGCCTCAACTCCTTAGTATCAAAGGAAGCAACATCCAACGAACTATCGGCGACATAGTTAACTCTCCAGTCAACACCAATCTGAGCACCCTCCTCAGTCTGCGCCCAAACAGCCACAGAAATCGTATTAGACCCCTTATAATCCAAAACACCCACTGGAACAGGGTAAACGACCTGATTACCAATGTAAGGATGGTACCGACCATACTGGTATCCATTGACAAACAATTGCGCACGATACTTATCCGTACCCGAAGGCGTGGAAAGCACAAACGAGATTGAGATATCGGTTCCAGCAGGTAAATCGAGATCAACAGTTGTGCGGAAGAAGCGGACCGATGCACCCGTGAAAGAAAGATCGGCGCTTTCCCATTTCGAATCATCGAATCCGGGAAGATGCCAGCCGAGACGCTCGCCGTAGAGGCCGTCTTCGTTGTAGACGCCGCGTACGGGGTCGAGGTCTGATTCGCCGCCTGCGGTGCCGGCTAGACGCCAGTGTGTGAAGCCGGTTTCTGAGCCTAGGAGGTTGGCGTCCATGATGCCGCGGGGGTTGAGGGCACCGGTGGTTTGGTCATGGCCTGTGTCATCGTGGACGATTAGGAGGACGTTGGGGGTTGTGGTGCTTAGTGTGGCGTTGGCGAATGATAGGGTTAGGTTTGCTTGGGATTTGGTTGCATCACCAAGGTAGGAGGTGAGGAATTCGCCGTTGAGCCAGGCGGACCAGCCGCTGTGAGGTTTTAGCTTTGTAGATGGAGCCTTATGTATTGAGAGAACTTACAATGCAGATCCCCCTTGGACGTTGATGAAGGCACCTGTGGCTGTGCCGTTGAAGTATCCACGCCAGAGACGGACGCCGTTGTGGAAACCATACTCGTCTGCATAGAGGACTGGTAGGCTGGTTGGAACTCGGGGGTTGAGTGTTGTCATGTGGTTTGCGTCTAGTCAATGGGCATCAGCTATTTGGTCCAATGGGTTGCATTAGAAACAAACTTACCAACCCAGGCTGCGCCAGAGTCATCGTATTCGGTGAATCGCTCTGGCAAGCTGTCCTTGGACTTCCACGAAGACAGAGATGGCAATTTCACAGACTTGGGGGCCTTGAGTGACGCCTTCAGACTTCCATATTCGGTCGAGTGGGTTCCAACCTTCTTTCCATTCCAAGTGATTGATTTCACAGCCCTTGGAGCAAAGACTTCCAAAGAGGTTGCGTTAACCACATCACCAGTGATAGAAAGCTTGTTGCCAGACAGCTTGGCACCACGAACAAGGTATGGACCCAGAACGAAAACTAGAAAACCAAGTCAGCTTTTCGATCTTCGTGATGTGCTTACAATACATACCACTTTCAGTCTCCGGAACAAATGGGTTCTCCGTGATGGCGGGAGCCCAGAAGTCGTAAGCGGAAGTTCTATCGAGAACAACGACTTGGACACCGTTGTCGAATTCCAAGATCGTAATTCCCTTGGACTGAGTGAAGGAAGTGGTCAAGCCACCGTGCTCCTTCACAAACTTGACCTTTGAGCAGCCTTCACACTTCTTGATGGAACCCTTCTTGGCACCCTTGATATTGAACTCGCCCGACTCGCCAGTGGGAACCCAAAGCACAAGGGTGGGCTTCTTGTCAAAGACCTCGTAGGTAAGAACCTCAGCAGTGGAGTACAAAAGCGTCTTCCCGCCGAATGAGAAGTCTGTCACAATGATCTTGGACTGGTGTCCATTCAATCGCAATGAAGCAGCACGCTTTGGAACATTCAATACTCCAGCGGAAGTATTCAACTTCAGATGGAAGGCCTCATTCGTGGAAATAGAAGTGTTGGTGTGGAATGTCGCATAGAATGCCGCATTGGTTTCTGGGTTTCGCAGCTCGAACGCCTTCACAGCCTTGTTGTCCGTGTATTGTGTTCCATTACCAATCAAATCAGTCATGGTGAGATCGGTGGCAGACCGAGTGAACAGGGCCAAAAGCTTCGTCTCATGATACTTTGACCAAATGGAGCGGTCTTCGGAGATAGGCGCCGAGTAATCATAGCTAGTCGCTGTGACAGGGGCAGCCATCGCTCCGTGGTTCTGACCACCGAACATCATGTACAGAGACATGGCTGTCACGCGCTGTCCAATATTCCAGCGGTAGAAGAGGTTGGCGAAGTCGTCACCAATGTCTCCGGGACAGCCACCTTCCGGTCCACCCCAGGGGTTGTAAGATCCACCCTGGAACTCGGGCATGAAACCGGGCTGGTTTGGCTGGGATTCTTGGAAGTAGCTGTAGTAGTCCATGACCTGGAAAGGGACGTAGGCGCCATTGGTAGAGGTGCATTGGCTCAAGTCACAAGTCCAGCACTGGTACTGTTAGTGACTTTCATCTTGAGCTTGATGCATAAAGTAAACTCACTGAAGGGTACGAATCAACACCTGCGACATCAACATTACCACCCTCATCGGACCAATCCTTCCCCCACGAATGCGAGTTCATGTTGGGGTCATTCGCAGTCAAGGGAATGGTGATACCGTTCTCCCTTGCGTTGGCTTCGAGCAACTCCATATAGTGGATAGCAGTATCATTAGGAACGCGCAGAGAAGCCTCCGAAAGCCACTGGTTTCCATACTCGTTCTCAATCTGATAGCAGATCGAGTTCTGACCATCAGTGACCTGATACTTAGAGGTGATAGTAGTCACCTCCGTAAAGTAAGGCTTCCAAGCCTCTGTGTAGCGTGTATCATTGTTTCTCAATGTGCCATAATCACCCGTCGTAAGCCAAAGGGGGAAGCCACCAGCATTGGCTTCAGCATTGACATAAGGGCCCGGACGAACGATGATATACAAGCCGAGTTCCTTGGCGAGCTCGAAGATGGGGACGATGTCGCGTGCACCAGTGGAGAAGTCCACTGTGCCGTTGTTGGGAGCGTGGTAGGCCCAGCTAGAGTAGAAAGCGAATGCTGTAAAGCCTGCAGCTTTGATTTTCTCGAGAATGTCACGCCACAAGGCTGGGACAGGGATGCGCCAGTAGTGGAATTCACCGCTAAAGACGAAGATTCGCTGGTCATTGACCTGGAAGCTGTAGTGGTCCCATTGCACGACCGTATTGAGGCCGTTATCTTGGAGGGGCCATTGAGTTGTCTCGTCTTTTGCCTGTGTCGATGCGCCGAGACAGGCGAGGAACAAGAGCAGACAATTGATGAGACGCGGCATCTTGGACTTGCCGCGAGATTGTGCGATGGGAATCTGAGGCAACGACGATCCATTTATACTGCAGGACAGGGTCTGCTCCCACTGTGGCCCTCATATCGAGCGAGGGGTACTTCATGCACGATTCAGCCACATCGATATTAGAGTACAAACACCGGTGTTTTGCCGCATTCTAAGCGACGCACCGTTGTCGTTTCCCCCCTCCTGCACCCTGCATTTGTCCAAGTTTCGGCATTGGCTCTTGGATTTTTCCGCCATTCACAGTATGGCACTTGGTGGATTGTGGAGGTTTCTCCGAAATTGAGGTGGATCGCGGAGAAAGATGGGGTGAGGCCAAGATGCTAGCTCTGCAGGATGCTCGGTAGCAACCGTAGCCGAAGCCGAAATACACACGAAACTGGGATGTCCAAATGATGCATTGTACAATAATTAATAACAAAAAGATACAAGAAGCTTGGAAAAACAGGAAACGCTTTAATAGGGTTCTAATCCAGCTTGAACAATGAAATTCCGGCAAAAGGCACTGCCCGCGGAAACACATAGTGAAAGTCACTACAATATTTAAACCGATGTAATCGGTACTTTTGTTTTCCCCCAAACTCCGAAGTGATGCGGCGAGACAACACAAGGCAATCAAGCATTGTTATCCAAGACCCCGAAAGGGTTCTCTCCCTTTGTATTGGGAGAAGGAGAGCCCTTCTCGGCCTTGGATTTCTTAGCACCTTTCTTCGAAGGAACAGGAGCAAAGCCCTGCTCCGACTCGGAGCGGTTGACCGAAGCCGAAGCCGAAGCCTTCTTAGAAGCCGCGGAGCGCGTACGGACCGGGGAGTCCGGTGCCGGAGCCTTAGCTTCGGCGATCTTCTGCACGCGAGCCTTCATAACCTCGTCATCAGTGGTCACTTCACTGTTCTCACCCTCAATGGCAGCCTTGCGGATTTCGCGGCTTAGACTCTTCAGAGCTTCCATACCGGCCTTCTCGGCGGCCTCCATGTGGGTAGGCTGCTTAACGCCGGGGTCCTTGCGGTTCAGGTAGGAGCGCACGAAGAATCGCGCGAACAGGTAGGTCAGGGGGAGGAGGTAGGAAACGTTGAGCCAGATAGCGAATGCTTGACCCGTGGTGTCCATGCAGGTCACCATCTCCTGGGAGTAGCCGGATTGCTGAACAGGGGCGGTACCAAAGGTGCCCACGTTCTCGGCGATGCCCTCGGCACCTGCGGCGCGGAGAGCAAGCTTCTTCAGCCAGGGAAGGGCGCCAGCGTCGGCGCTGACGGCGGCAGAGGCAGCGGCAGAGATATCCTGCAGGGCTGCGCTACCGGAGGGGTAGGGGATGGTGTAGTGCACGAAGAGGTATGCGGCAGCCATGTTGGTTCCGAAGACAAACTGGGTGATTTGCATAGTGGTCAAGCTACGCTTGATGGGGTTGGGGACGCGGATGCGCAGGGCTGTGAGGGTATAGTAGGTGTACTGAAGAAGGAAAAAAAAAGTTAATATATTTGCGCAATTCACCTGTGATGCTTTTTTTTCGGGGTTGACTTACCATCATGGCGTGGATAGCGGAGTTAACCAGACAGAAGATCCAAATGGGGGCAGCCATGTAGCGGATACCAGCCCACATACACATCATAGCTCCCGCGTGGTGATAAGTCTGAAGAGTCGAGCTTTTCTTACCCTTAGCCAAGATGATAGCGGTGTCAACCACTTCATAGAACTTGGACAAGTAGAAAATCCAACCGAAGTATGCCAGACCCTGGTTCCAGAGACGGCCAACATCTGTGGGATCCGGCATACCGTTCGTCAACTGGAACGACGAATTGGGAATGGACCAAGTGTTGGTGATAGGGCTGTAGGTCGCAGCGTTGCCGTATCCACGAGGACCATTGATCTTGCACAAAGAATCGACCACGCCAACCAGACCATAGGAATCCTCGCGATCTGGGAACGAGCTGCTGAAAGCCTGGAACATACCCGCGAAGGTCCAGGCAGAGTAAACGGCCAAAAAGACATTGTGGAGAACGACAAACAGCTTGAACAGAGGGGTATTGCTGAATGCATAGGGCTTATATCCACGGCTCTTGTTGATCCGATTGATCAACACCACGGTGATCGCGTATACGCTGGCGATAGTAATGGGTACGCGCACGTCGAGGAGCTGGTTGTACAGGCCATTGGGGATATTGAAGGGCTGCTTCCAGGTGGGCGAGTCGACGTGGGGAGCGGGAATGGTCACTGGAAGCTCATTGGGAGGGAAGTTGAGGAGTGAGGCAGGTGGCAGACCAATGCGTACAGTGGCCTGACCTAAGTCAGTTGGCACGTCGAAGTCGTACATGTTAAGGATAGAAGAGTCTAAGGGAAGAAAAAAGACGAGCTCCACAGATTAAGGGCCATGTTTAAATTCTCAACAAGGCAAGTCTCTACTGCCGATCTTTTGGGTGGGGCTCAACGTTTGTTGGGAAAAAGAACATGCCGAGGTTGATTTTTGCCACTTTTTGCTACTCGTATGGATGCCATTTGCTGGTTTTTCCTGGCAGTATACGGAGGATACATGACATCTCTCCATGTGTACAGTACAGAGTACAACATATGCATTCTGTAGGTGATTGCCACCACATGGAAGAGTTGCACAAGAAGCTGTTAGGCTCACGCGATCAGCAAAATAGCAAAATGCCCTGAGAAAGGCCCTTGAGCCAACCTGAGACACTTGAGCAAGTACCCATTGCCATTGACATTGGCATTGCCAAATTGCAATATAGAACCCCTAGGCAGCTCTGATTTCCGAGACGCAGAGCTTGGCAAGCGGCCACAACCCCAAGTTGGACGTGACCCCGATGACTCAGCGACGGAAAAAAAAGGCACATTCATTTTTCGGAGACTTCTTGTTGGGAACGACTATCAGGGTCCCAACAGCTCATATGCAAGTGCTCTACGATCGTCCGGGGCACCTTCACATGAGGCCTCGGTACTTGTAGAAGGAAATCAAGATATGTACGGAAACTACGGAGTACTCGCATGGACTACCGCAGAAGAGATGGGGAAAAAGGGAGAGAACGAGATCGTCATGTCGTCATATCAGATTGAAATCCCGTGTATCCATGTAGAACGCGACACTTAAAATGAACGACCTATACAATGCACAAAACGCTCACATCAGCGGGGTTTGGTGCCGAGTGGAATGGGGGGAGGCGCGGGGGAGGATGCCTCCACAGCGGGCGCCCGAATCTCCGCGCGCTTGGGCGGAGGTGGGGGCGCTTTCTTGCGCTGCGCTTGACTCTGGAGATCCTCCGTGGACGAGCTCGGCGCGGCTGATCCGGGACTGGGACGAGCGGGCGGGCGGGGAACACGCTTATTGGCGTCGTTGGAGAATTTGCGATCTTCCACAAAGGTATTGAAGCGTGAGGTCACTCCGCCCCATTTTTCCTTGCCCATATCAATCTTGTCCGCGTGGCGCTCGCGGAAGTCTTGCACCGAAGATGAGCCGCGAGCGGGCTCTGCAGGCTCCAGGTTCATGCTCGAGGTGCTAGACTCGGGCCGAGCCGGCGGGGTTGGTGCTGCGGAGCCAGTCAGGCGAGACTTATAGCCACTGAGTTTGTTCTTTCCAGCGTCGATGGAATCGGCATGGCGTTCGCGGAAATCACCATACTTCTGTTTACCAGAGTCGATGGTGTCGGCGTGACGCTCACGGAAATCCCCGTACTTTTGCTTTCCGGAATCAATTGTGCTAGCATGGCGCTCACGGAAATCTTGAACGGAAGACGTGCTTCGCGCAGGCTCTTCCGAGCCGGTTGAATCCCGAGCAGGTGGCGGTGGTGGTGCCGCAGAGGAACCTGTGAACCGAGATGCAACGCCGCCCAGCTTTTGCTTGCCGGCGTCGATAGAGTCTGCATGACGCTCACGGAAATCTCCTACTTTCTGCTTCCCAGAATCGATCGTATCGGCGTGGCGCTCGCGGAAATCACCATACTTCTGCTTGCCCGAGTCGATTGTGTCTGCATGGCGCTCGCGGAAATCTCCATATTTTTGTTTACCGGCATCGATCTTGTCTCCATGTCGTTCCCGGAAGTTCTGTATAGAGGATCCGCTTCCTGGCTGTGAATCTGTGGTTGAAGTCCGCACAGGCGGAGGAGGTGCAGACCCCGAGCCGGTGTTCATTTGCGAAAAGCGAGACTGAAGCTCGTTCACGGGCGCATTCGCGGGCGATTGGCGGCCCTGTTCCCCGATTCCAAAACCGGGGACTGAAACACCGGCCTTCGCCAGACGAGACGACGCATCTTGGTTGATATAGTCGTGGGACACCACTGGGGCGGGAGAGTATGCAGGCGGTGGCTCAGAGCTTGGAGAGTCATTTCGGGCAGGGAGTCGGGGTGGAGGTTTCGGTGGCGCTGGTTTCGAGAAGGAGTTTGTTGAAGCCGGACTTGCTGAATCTACACGGCGTGGTGGTGGAGGTAGGTTACTTGTAGACAGGCCTGTTGTATCTGCACGATATGGGACCGGAGGGGGAGCAGGTTTCTGGTACTCTTCTTCCTCAGCGGCCGCTTGCTGGTGATGTGTGTTCTGGGTCTCGATCTGATCTCGGGATAGAGGGGCCCCTAAGCCGCGGCGGTCGGGAGTGGTCTGAACAGGCACCGCGGCTGCGCCGTGGTAATTGATGTGTTTGGGGGGAGGTCCGAAAGATGATGGGTCTTTGAGAGATGAAATGGGCTGGGAGACATGTTCGGACTTCTCCTCAGAGTTGGCATCCCTGCCCTTTCCCATCCACCCAGCCTAGCTAGTGTCAGTGCCACTTCAGTGCCATTGGCCCCAGCCCAAGCGGGGTGACTTTACCACTTGGTTAATTCCTTTGAAATCCCCACGCCAGCTCTCCTTTGCACCTTCTTTGCCCTTGGGGTGCCAACCATCCTTCATAACATTGCGAAAACCACTCATTTTTGGTGCAGATATGTGGGGATGGCAGACGCCAAGTGGTTGGGGAACCTCAAGGGGGGATGATGACATCAGTCACGTGTGAATGAGCCTATCGGGCAATTGATTGACGACCCAAAATTTCCCCGCAGCAACATGGCATCAGAGTTTAATTATGGCTAAATCAACATTGTACTTGTATGTGGTTCTATGTAGTCAACATCTGAAACATAATAGCAAACAGGTATCTTAATCGAGGCCCTCATGCAGAGCCCGTCGAGTGAGATCATTTTCGATCCACTGTTCCACCAAAGCTACGCTATCTCCAATGAGATGATCGTAATTTGCACCATGCGGGATGAACATAGACTGGTGGGCTTCAACCTCGTCCATATTTTCCATTACTATCGGCACCCAATGTGAGTTGTCGTTATATTTCCAGTGATGCGAAGGGAGGAGAATGAATTTGCGAAGGTGTTGCGCGGAGGGATCTGCAGACTCCGAGGGTGTGATAGAGGCACTTTCTGTGATGGACAGGCTTTCAGACAGAGACTGGGTATCTTTAGGCTCATCCGTTCCAGAAAATGTAGCATCTATCTCGTCTGAGCGCTCGGGCTTTTCGTCGCTAGCCTTTTCTGTTTCGGCTGAAGTGCGCGAGATATGAGAAGATGTTGGCTTTATGGGTTGTGCTTCGAGAGACAATGTGTCCAGTGATGGGACCTGACTTGGCTGAGGGGAGTTGTTTGACACTTCTGACTCCCGTGACAAGACTTCTGTTGTCTCATTAATTTGGTCAGTGCCCTCCGCATCTTCGGTTGGCTCTTCGGAATCCTTGACATCACCGCCTTCCGTCGAGCCTTTGGGCTTTTTAGACTTCTTCTCTTTCTTCTCCTTCTTCTCTTTCGGCTCTTTCGGTGGCTTCTTCTTCTTCTCTTTCTTCGGGTGACCCGTACTTGCGGTATAATAATTGACAAAGCGAACTCTCTCCGGGCTGGACTCGGCGGCCTCCAGGTCCATGAGATGTCGGTATCGGCGCCGAAGCTCGGAGTAATTGTTCACACACCCTGCAAACTTCAAAGGCGATACAACCCGGTCGATGATTGATCGTGTAAGATTGTTTTCGTTCTTGTTGACAAAGTGCATGATGCCCTTCAAGAAGCCCCGTTCCACCAGACGCACATCATTCATGAACGGAGGATCGAAATTGGGATTTGATGTGGCTGGTTTGAAAGGTGTGTCTAAGCCCAATGACTCTTGCGCACCCGCTAGCTCCTCGGTTGCCGGTCCCTTTTTGGGCATTGAGCCTAATGTACCAGTTGGAACAACACGAGGGTGGATGCCTAAGAAGGGAACATCAAATCCCACAACTCCAAGAATTCGATGTTTTGCTCTTCCGTCTGTTTCTAGACGTGCAACGTCTGCAGCGAGAATTCCACCGAGACTGTGACCCAATAAAACGACATCCAAGTCATCTGCCTCGTGTGGTGAAAGCCTATACCAGAATGATGAGTTGCCTGTTTCCGTAGACTTGACCAAGCAAAAGATAGGAATTTGTTGAGTCGGATCACCTACCAGGTGCTAAATTGGTTCACTGCTGTTTGTATTTCACCCTGTGACTTATACCGAGGGTACATGCGCGTGTAAACAACGTGAGTTTCAGCCAATGAGCCCGTCAACAGATCATGAACATGTGCTGGGAGGTCATGGAAGCTGGCTTCAGAACCCATAAAACCATGGATGTATATCAGAAGCAGTCTGCGGCGTGGGTCTTCATCCTGGGGCACTTCATGGCGGGATAGTGACAGGTTCGACTGAGACTGATTGGCACAGTCCCGGATGTTTCCCTCCATTGCCCTAAAAGAGCCCGAAGTAAAATCACAAAGCCGGGTATTGACAACAAACTTCCGTTCCCGGGGAATGGAAATGCGGAGGTGCAGGTCCACGGGTAGACGGGAGGCACGACGTCACTACCGGCTTATATAATCACATTAGCCGCCCGACAATTGGCCAACCTCTCAGACTATGCTTTTCAACGAATCAATTTCAGACAGCTATAGACGCAAGCATGGTGTCAGCAATGACCATGCGACACGAAATACGAAATGTCATGATTTACAAGTTGATTTGTGAAGCCTGGCAGCCCGAAGAGCCCCGTCAATCGCCAAGACATCCATCTACTGACACCTTGCTGGAACAACACCATGACTGACTGCTAGGTGCACCAGCTTTCTCCCAATCTGTACTGGTATATATGACTCCAATCTGCAACTACTAGGTGGGAAATATTTAAGGCTCGTTTCGAACGGCCTGTCCCTATCGAACTTGATGTGAATTGAACCCCCCGTTCAAACTTGCCAGCATCTGTTTCAATGAGAGGCCATGAACCATATTGCCACTTGAGCATCATCCTGATTCCTCATTTTGGGAAAATCCACTGCAAAGGCCTATTATCATCAAACCAAGTCAACTGCCTTACTGAACACGACTACGAGCCCTCTTCCAACTCTACTCAACAAGAGTGTCATTCCACCCATGACCGGCTTGATGACGGACCGCGATTGGCGTTTATCCATCTAAAACACCGTGCAATCTTTGGGACTGAGTAAGTCCCTCGACGCCCAGTGTATCACAACATGTGCAGCTCAAAGGTCCGCCCATCGGGAACCCTGAAATGAAGATTATCTCAACACGAGGGATGCTTGCACTGTCGTTTTGAAGCCATATTGCGCACCGTGGAGCGGGTATGCAGCGTTATAACCGACCCTGACCGTCATGTACAATCTTTCAAAGCTTGCTGGGGTTGCCTTCGGTATTTCCAAGGCTCTTCGGAGAACACTGACCACTGCTATACTCCAGTGGTATCCGAAGCATGATTCAAAATCGTCTGAAGCTTATCGCAATATAAGAACTCTGTTGGCGACCGGCTGACTTCACCACTGCGTACCTCAACGCCTTTCAGCAGGACAAAGGGATGGTCTACATACACGCTGATGGCGGAGGAGGGTGACTGCAGAGATGAACTTGGTATGCCTGCTTAATCAAGCGCTGTGTGACTTGCGAAACAGCACTATTCCTTGGAATGGGGAGCTTGAGCAAGAGGAAGCATTTTGTCTGCAGGAGCAGGCGTCACCTGGCCCACCAACTCAACACGTACTAATAAATTGATATGGGTTTATTAAATCAACACCTATCATCGAGCAGGCTGCTCGTCTCTAATCAACCTGAGAACAGAATCGATGTCTTATGTCTACTGCAGAGATACTCTCCTGCCTACAAGTGACACCCAGGATTTAGATCCTTGGAAAGGATCGCAAACGGTGATAGTGGTGGATGATTTTTCTGGCACTTGAGCAGCGCTCCGGGCTCCAGGGCTCTATGCCTAGGTGACCGCGTTCCAAGGTTCAATCCAAACCTCCAAGGTTCAAAGGTTTCCCGAGCACACTGGCAGCTGCATGGTACTTACGAGTACATACTCTCACGACGACGATCTAAAATTTAAAAACGGGATACCTGCCTCGGAACCTTTCAAAGGAGGGAAGTCTATTCCAAATAAAACCCATTTCTCAAGGGATCGGTTATTTGAATCGGTCAGAGCAGGATCTGTCTCCAGGGCTGACATGAGAAAATACTAAGACACAGGATCATTGCTGCTCAGGGGCCTCCAACGCTAGGGGCAGAATGTCTCTACGAGTACTGAAGCTCATGTCCACGACAAAACAATATACGATATCAAACCCAAACCCACTCGTCCGAGACTAATGAATTTCGGAACCTTGGAAGGAATACCGGAAGGATTTCCAAGGTTGTGATCAAAAATAGCTTTGTGGCTACGTGGGGTTGTCTGTGGACTCCGAGGCCATTCCTACCTGTACGGCGCATTGAACACACGCTGAGCCCAACTCAACCCTAATACAGACTCAAAATGCGTGAAACTTCAATAGTGCATCTTCGTTCTATGGTCGAGATCTAAGTGTGATGGAGCTCGTCGAAATTGCTTAGCAGCGAGATTGAGTTCGGGCCTGACGCGGGACCAAGGTTAAGATTCAATAGTTTGAGCGTGTCAAGTTTCCTGTGGATATCAAATTGTTGTGGATTTGGCTGTGGATGAAACAAACTGAGACAGAACTTGCGAGTCAGTTTAGGATACCGGCCACAAGCCAATTTGGTTTTGGTTGCGAGGGATGTTGCTGAGCGCCTGGCTAGTCCACTAGCTTCAAGCCATGCTAAACACCCATGACTCGTACTCCGTACCTGCATGGAAACAACGGCTTTCTCGAATGTCTCACTTGACCTGCAGCAGACTGAGATCCTCCGCAAGCCTAATGAACTACTCGTACTAATGCTTGTGGCGACCGGCGCGCCTACGGGATTTGGCTAGATGGCGACGAAATACCCCTGTCCATATGAGTAAACAGCCACTTCTCGAAATTCAGACGAACATAAGAACCGTGCTTGCATACGAGTATACACTATGCACACTCATACGTTTATACGACAAGCCATATGCAACTCAAATCCCAGTCCCGTTTCAAAGCCACAGGCGCAATGCAATGTAACAGTCCACGCCAATTGTGTCCGAGTACTTGTACCTGAATCCAGTGCCCCCTTAATTAAGGTTCCAGCCGTGAGTAAAACCGGATCACAGCAAAACCTTCACCCACAGGCTCCAAAACTCGTATTCGGGCTTGCATTCCGTAGGATCGAGCCTGGGCGTATGTGCACGACCATTGCTGCGATCGCAGCGCCCCCAAAGCTCGGAATCGGGTTCGGGGATGATCGTCTCTTCGGCCGAAGAGAGAACAGAGAGTGAAATTGCAAGTCCTCATAGGGTGGGAGGCGACCACACCATCCTCCGAATTGGGCAATGATAAGCCAAAGTAAAGTCTGGGCAGAGGCAGGAGAGGCTTGATCCACTTGGACTTGTGTACAAGCACAACATACAGAGTACAACCTTGGAATGTACGAGTACAATGAACCCTTACAAGTTATGCAATGGAAGAGGATCTAGGAGCAGGATCTGCCCTACGCGACTCAAAAATGAGAAAAGAACAAAACCACATGGAGAAGAAATGGAAATTCTTCTAGAAACCGCGGTACCGCCGAATCTCAAACTTAGATTTAGTGCAATTGCGCGGTATTAATTTGACCTTTGCCCTGTCTTGGTCTCATATCCGAGCAAATTGTACGGAGTTTTCCGAGTGAAATGCGATATCAAAATATATGAAAGACAAGAATAGTAATGTCTGAATGTCTTCGACTATAGCAGATAACCGGCAATTCCGGGCAATTCATGACCGACGGATATTGATAATCGCCGTGTCCCACTTATCACGTCAGGCATTTCTCCACGCCGATCAATTTCAGACTCCAATTTCAGCTTCGCCTTGTCCACGGTACGAAACCTCTGAAGTGCTCGGCAGAGTATCCGTGGCTCACCGTCAATTGACGGCATCTCCAGTTCCACGGTTGATGTGGTGATCCAAGTGGAGAGTGCATTTGGTGAAATCTTGGCGATCTTCCAACTCTGGCAAGCACATCACAATATTAGTGGAGTGAGCACCGACCTCGGGGCTTTTCTGTAAGGTAATCCACGCATTGTGTACAATTACTCGAACACTGTGCACGGAGTACAATTACAATAAATGGCTCAATGGTGCGAATAACCAATAATATCGCAGTAGTACAGTCTTACATACAGCCTGCATATGCAGCATATGCAGCCAAAACTTAAGACTTCCAGAAGCCTGATGTAAATTCACTCGATACGAGTACTTTGGCCAACCCAGGAACTCAGGCCAGGAACTCCAGGTCTCGACCAATCACCTCCTTACTCGGGGCTCCTCCGACACTAAAGATCGGCGCACTTTTCCTGACGCAAGGGCCGGGAGATCTGCGGGTCCTCCTCTAACCGTGTCTGGATAGCAGGTGGCCCATTTGCCTTTACCCGAGATCTCAACTTTTGGAGAGGCCAGAATACTCCGGACATAATATTCCGTAGACAAGTATACGATTGTATGGAATGGGAATCAAGCTCAAAATTGGACAATGATATCATTGGATTATACATTTCGAGTAACATTGTACAGGGGGTTCAAAAAAAACAAAATCCAAAAAAAAGTCTACTTCTAAACAACTCCGATCCTCTATACAGATCCAGATTAAAAAAAAAGAAAATAATTGCAAAGAAAAATTCAAAGACGGGGTATCAAGTCCGTCGGGACTTCGTATAATCGTAAAACAAGGAAAATTTTTCGCGCGATGCGTATAGCGTATGGCCTAGACATCTTCACGTGGGCGCACATGTGAAGAACTAGACTGATTGGATGGGTAATCACCGGATCGTTGATCATGCTGGACGGTAACGGTGATATCCTGACGAATGCGCAAAGCACGAGCCGAGCCATCGTCACTGCTGACTTCGTGCTCCTCGGGAATGCTCGCATCCGAGGCCGTTGCCTTCTGTGGGGTAACGGTGGCGGAACGCTGGAAATCCTGCATGCTGAAGTCGCCGGAACGCAGATGGCTGGGTGGACCGTAGGGCGGCATATTGGAGCCGCCTTTGCTGGTCCATGGGCCGGATTTGTAGCGATCGGTACCGCGTTTGGAACCACCGGTCCAGGATTTGAGAGCGGGGAAAACGTCGCGGAGTAGAGACCAGATGAGGGGGAGATTGGTGACGAGGATGGCGACTGTGGCTTCGCGGAAGTACCAGTTCATGTATACGTAGGAAATCAGGGATGGGACGAGACAGTAGACCTTGTTCAGGACGGCGGCGACAATGACGAAGATTCCCATGCCGAAGAGCAGGATGAGGATGAGCTTTTGCTTGAGTGGGACGCGGACCTGCATGAGGAGTGGGATGGCGATGAGGAGCATAAAGATGTCGGCGGATATAGAGATGCAGCCTTGTACCACTTCATAGTACTGGTAAGACGAACATTGGTAGTTTGGTGTGGGGACGGCCCAGTAGTTTGTCAAGGGACGACAGATGAGGAAGAGCGAGAGCTCAGTAGCGACAAATCCGAGTGCGACATAGATGGCGATATAGTTGATCCAACGTCTTTGCTTGAGCCCCTCGCTGGTGATAATGTTAGTAGATACAGACGCAATATGAGTTATCGGTTTGACGTACGTGATACGAGCATAGATCACCAGCATGCATGCTTTCAAAGCCCAAACGCAGAGAATAAAGGAGTGCTCGGACACAAAGACCCATTTACTTCCACTGACTCGCTCGGCGATGGTCTTGTCGGTCAGGTTCTTTCGATCTTCGGGTGTCAAGAGATTGGATCCTCCACCAGAAGCGACTTGATTTAGAGCGACGCATAGTAATGTATACCAGACGACAGCAAAGAGCATGAGATAATCATCCACTTGGAGATTGCGAACACCCAGACGTCGAATACGGGCAGTGCTGTCGAAGTCATGCAGTTAGTTACGGGCCATGCCAAAAATCCCTTGCCATATACTCACAATCGCAACACGGCGCCGAGCACGCCGACAGCATATAATGCCCATGTTTCACGGGCAAAGTTGACGGCGAAGTCGCCTCCTAAACCAGACATTGCAGCCCTCTTGAACCTGAACGAAGGATGGGTTAACAAGGGGGAGGGGTTCCAAGGGCGACGGAATGAGGTTTATGAGGCGCACTCACATTTTATAAGATTAGCCGGGGATCTAAGGTCCTATGTACGAAGGATTCCGATAGGCTCTGCATCTGACGATCACAGACAAGGGTGATTGCGTATGAATACCGAGTAAGGTACGCTCAAAAGCCCCAAAGTGTGATTAAGCGGACTATTGGGGATGCAGTGAGATGTGGAGGATAAAGGCTTATCACGGCCAGGAAGATAGGATCTTCGGTGACAGAGTGCAACCAAAGAGTGAACTCTGGCTGAGTGGAGTGGTTCCAAGTCCACTGGGTCTGTGTATCCTTGGATTCATTTTGTTTGGGAAATTGATCTGATTGCTGGGCTCTGATTTGTACCTGACAGCCAAGCTGTACCGGTGTTTGGTCCACTTCCTGCGCATTGCCTCCTGGGACGATGAACGCCTTCCAACTTGGGCTCAGCTGTGAGTAAGTTTCGCTGCGTCTCCCATTTAGTGTTGGCTGCCGGTAGAGTTTACCGGCGACTTGGCGTGGGGACCTACGAACACCTCTTACCTACCTACTACACTAGGTAAAGAGCGTAATGCACGGCAGCCCTGCAGAGTGCTCTCATAGCCGCTTAGGTGGGCTTAAAACTCAATCCTCCTGAAGTCCAAGAGGCACGCGAGCTGTAAGCGAAAGATAGGCGTTATTCTTTCTCTCTACGTGTAAGGACCAGACGGCGAGGGCCCACAGTGGAGATGGGTTGTGCTTACATGGATTAATATATGTTAAATGTAGGATTCACTGAACAATTTCATGAGAAATTAACAATTTAATGTTCATTTCTTCCAATATGGTTAGGTCTGACGGTACATTAACTTTGCGGTCATCGGCCGTCCATGACCCGTGGACGCAGTGGGCTCAGTGGACTTCCCAGCCTCATTGGCCTCTGGGGAGCCGGGCATCTTTAACTGAGTTTGGCACTAGCGACAAGCGCGATGAGTGGGTCGGGGGCCAAATAGCATCCTGGTTGGCCCCCCGACTCTTGACTTTCTGAGGGATTTAGAAGTGGAGACATTGGGGGATCCTTACTCCGTCGGGAGGGGCTCCGTCGCCTTCCTGCGAGTATGGAGTATGGAGGCGAGGAGGGGAACACGTATACACTCTGCATGAACGGGTGTCCTCAAATCTGAATTTTTGGTCCGTTTGCTTCCAGTGTAAGGATAACTTGAGAAACCAACAATGTATTGAGATCGGAACGCTCGGGAAATTTGCGTCATTGCATCGATTTTCGATTCAAAGTTCTCGCTAAACTTTTGGAGTTACTCCGAGCAAACTTAATCAGTAGGGTGAGCATTTTGTGTATAGGTTAATTTATTCCATATTACTTAATATTGGATATTTAAAGAATCCTCCAAGACCTAGCCCTGTCGTAGTCTCTATTTCTATAGTACGGAGTAGGAGAGCTTTTCGTAGTTTCAGTCTAGATGCAAGATCTAGCCGGAGTACCCACAGTCAGCTGGTCTATGTATATCCCCCGAACGCCTGAATCGGACCGAGAGATCATGTAAAAAGTCTCGATCGTTTCCAATTAATGAACTCTGAAATTTTACATGATCCTGCCAGCATCCTCGACTTCAGGAGTCGTACTCCGTGCTTCGTACTCCGTATTCCTACGTGGCGTGGTTAATATCCCAAGACCTAACGGACGTATGAGTACCTTGTATACGCTATGGAGCATTGTGTGCACCCCGGTCGCAGTCGCATTAGTCTACCAGACATAGATGAAGTGTGTCCACTTTCCTTACGACTTGTTTTCTAGAACGCTAACACTAGGAAGGTGGCATCTCAGTGTGTGACCGTAGCCATAGGGAGACTGATTTAGTTTATTAGTTTACCAAGTAGGTTAGGACTTTGGTTGTTGTGTCTCACACGATTTTTACGCGCAAAAAAGTTAGATAGGTGAGGTCTCCATAGCAATATACTGGTGTACAGTGAAAATGTCTCGAAAATAAAATCACAGATTTTGTGAGCATGTGATCATAAAATGCAGTATACCTTCAAGAGTTGACATCCATTTAGAGTATGTAGATGCACCGCGATCGTGGACGGGGCTAAGAGGACTCTGGGGTTGATGGATCATGTTAATTCCAAGCATTTACCCCAGAAATCAAAGAGACCCAGAGGATTGTCAATCTCCCGAGGCCGTAAAAGGTAGGACGTAGAGATGAGGTTGTTGGTACATATGCTAAAGGGGAGAAGGATGGGTATGGGAACACGCCCATCTGCTCAAGCTCCCCTTCTGGGTAAAGCGCAAATGCGAGCAAACCTCTGGCCTCACGCAGAGTTTCCGTTCGCTCAGAACAGGGTTACTCGCCTCCGACTTCGCCCAATGGCGACTCCGGGGCGACTCCACTTAGCCCCAAGTGGCCACTGCATGATAGTCGGAAGTACAAGTGATTGGTGGTAGATTGAAAAAAGAGAGGGCCGACTCCGACTTCTTCGGGCCATGCCTGATGAGCATAAGTAATATAGGCTTGCCGTGCTCCCTATTCTGACATTCACTTCTCCGACATTCCCATTCCATTCTTTTATACGCCTGGGAAGGAAAAAAAAGGGAGAGACTCGGGACTCTTGACGCCCCTCATTCTCGATACATCGCTACCCGTTGACTTGTTGGAAATTCAGGGACGAGAAATAAGGAGTTATTGGGATCGCGACAGACGACTTTCAATCATGGCCGACGTTGCAGAGAAGACGGCGGGCTACTATGCCCCCGAAAAGGAGGTGCCGCCCTCCCCCGTGCACACCAATGATGGACCGGTGGATGGGGAGTTGGTCAACGCCTCAGGACATCGTCAGGAACTCGAGCGAAACTTCAGCCTGCTCAGTATTTGCGCCGTCGCAGTGACAACTGGAAACACCTGGATCGCTCAAGGTGGAAGTGTCACTACCGCCCTCTATAACGGTGGACTGGCCGGAACCATTTATGAATTGTATGCATGCCCTCGGCAACCCCCACCAACCCCTGGAAGTATAAATCTAACTCCCATCTAGTATTGTTGTGTCTGTCTGCTACTGGCTGGTGGCGGCGTCCATTGCAGAACTCGCCTCTGGCATGCCCTCGGCCAGTGGTGTTTACCACTGGGCTACTATCACTGCCGGACCCAAGTACGGTCGCGTGTGTGGATTCTACGCCGGATGGTGGAACTGCCTGGCATGGATTCTCGGTGCTGCCTCGATGTCTCTGATTCTAGGTCAGCAGACCGTGGCCATGTACGCTGTCATGCATCCCGGCTTCATCCCTTCAAACTGGAACATCTTCATTAGCTTCCTCCTCTGCACCTGGACATGTTGCGCTATCGTTCTCTTCATGAACCGCTTTTTGCCATACATCGGCAATCTGGGCATGTTCTTCATTCTCGCCGGTGTGTTCATTACCATCGTTGTGTGTGCCGTGATGCCCTACGTCAACGGTACTGGCTATGCGTCCAATGAAACCATCTGGGCCAACTTTGACAACCAGACCGGCTACAAATCAAACGGCTTCGTGTTTGTCGCCGGTATGCTTAACGGTGCTTACAGTGTCGGCACTCCTGATTGTTCATCTCACTTGGCTGAGGAGATCCCTAAGTCAGTATTCCTCCCCTTGCACTCATCTCTGCTCAATACTGACCGAAACCACAGGCCCAGTCGTAATATTCCTAAGGCCGTCCTTGCCCAGATGGCTGTCGGTTTCGTCACTGGTATCTGCTACATGGTCGCCATCTTCTACTCTATCAATGACGTCGACGCCGTGCGAAACACCGCTCTTTTCCCCTTGGCTGAGATCTACCACCAAGCGACCAACTCCCGTGGTGGTGCGCTGGGTCTCCTCATTGTCGCTTTCCTGCCCACTTTGATCACTGCATCCGGCTGCTACATCACCGCCGGTCGCACCCTGTGGACAATTTCCCGTGACAATGCCACCCCCTTCTCCGGTTGGCTCGGAAAGATTCATCCTCGATTCCACAACCCCTTCAACGCCACCCTGGTCTGCGGTGGCTGTATCACTATCCTGGCATGTATCTATATGGGCTCAACCACCGCGTTCAGTGCCTTCGTGGGATGTTTCGTGCAGCTGTCCAGTCTGTCCTACTTCATGGCCATCTTCCCCCATGTCTTGACTCGGCGCTCATCCTTCGTTCCTGGATGGTTCTTCATGAACAACACTGTCGGCTACGTTGTCAACTCTCTCGCTTGCACTTACATCATTGCCTTCGCCATCATCTTCTGTTTCCCTTACTCTCTGCCTACCGATGCCGGTTCAATGAACTACGCCAGTCTGATGACTGGTGGTCTGTCCATCTTCGTCACTGTCTGGTGGTTCATCCACCAGAAGTCGTACGAGGGCCCAAAGCATGTCCCCTTGACCGACAAGGCTTTGGCCGATGATGCGCGGTAAATATGCGGTTTAAAATGACGGGAAGGCTTGCGTTTGAAAAGGCATTTCCTTCACTACGATTTGTCCACGACCCTCGAATACTTCTTTTTTTGTCCATGCGCGATTATTTCATTTTATATACACCCTTTGTACATTTCTAATAGTGTTCGGGTTTGGAGGACACTTTGAATAGCTGCTCAAAAGCCCAAATTCGTATCCATGAATTATACCATACCACATTTGCCTGACCAAGGAACCTCTGATCATTTTGCCAAGGATTATAGACCAAGTATCTAATTTAAACACTTTCTTATCAATCACTAATTCTAGACCAGATCTGCGGCCCTTCAAGTCTCTGCTTAATTGGAATATCGTCACGTGACCACGCGTCCCGCGCCAAGTCGCGTCCCCGACTTCACTCAATCTTACCCAGAAGGGTAGTAGACCAGCACAGCCATGGTGTTCAAGCCCTTCAAACCTCCACTGATGAGGAACAATGTGTCAAATCCAATTGAGATAACCGATGAACCTTCTCCTCCTGCCAAAAAGCTTCGCCTCGACAATGAGCCCGCTCCTGTCGCGCAGTCGACACCGCTAGCCAATCGAAAACCACTCCTACAAGTGAGCAATCGCGGAGCAGAGACCACAAAGCAAGAGTCGTCTGATGGCCAACCCAAAGACGACAAATTGGACGAAAAGTACTTCAATGTTCTCTGGTAGGTTTCGGTCGCCCAGCAAGGGTCACACCCCAAACCACCACGAACCGCAACTAACGTACACAGGCGTAAACCAACCGCCAAAAAGCACAAAACTTGGGACGGCGATGGAATTATCTCCGTCCGCAGAAATAATGTCTTTCTGCGAGATACCACAGGTAAAGAGATGGGACGCAGAGTCCACGAGACCCCCATCGAACCCGGGGTATCCTTCTCGATCTCCGGCAAAGAAGTCGAAGTAGACTGCGAGATAACTCGCGAGGAATATTACTCTGGCAGGAAATTCCTAGAAAGCCCGAAACCAGCTCCATCAGAAGCAGCCCCCACAAAGAAAGAGTTGCCTGCTCGAAAGAAGGGTGAGGCACCCAAACCGACTGCGGCTGAGCGGACAGCCTCGCTCAAACGTTCGATCGCACTGGTTACCAACCCAACTGCCAACCCTGGCACTGCGCCAGGTGCTTTCGCGGCTTACAAGAAGCCCATGCTGGACAATACTGTTATTCCCAAAGCGCCTGGGAAGGTGGTCCCCCGACATGATCCGAAAGCACCTGGAGCATTGATTATGCCGCGACCAAAGTCTGTTCCGAAAGGAAGACAGGTGGTTGACGTTGTGGTTGACCCGTTTTTGAGCAAGAACCTGCGACCCCATCAACGCGAGGGTGTTAAATTCTTGTATGAGTGTGTCATGGGCATACGCGACTTCGGCGGCGAAGGCGCTATCCTTGCAGATGACATGGGACTGGGCAAAACTTTACAGACCATCACGCTGCTTTGGACGTTGCTGAAGCAGAATCCAGTGTTTGAAGACCCACCAGTTATCAAGAAAGCTTTGATCGTCTGTCCTGTTACGCTCATCAACAACTGGCGGAAGGAATTCCGCAAGTGGCTTGGTAACGAGCGGATTGGTGTGTTTGTTTTCGATGATAAGCGAAAGCGTTTGACGGATTTCACAAAGGGCAAGGCTTATAGTATCATGATTGTCGGCTATGAAAAGCTGAGGACCGTCCAAGAAGCTTTGGCTAATAGCAATGGGGTTGATATCATCATCGCAGATGAGGGGCATAGACTCAAGACGCTGCAGAACAAGAGTGGCCAGGCGATTCAGTCACTCAGTGCCACGAAGAGAGTAATTCTCTCAGGAACACCTATTCAGAACGATCTGAAAGAGTTCTTCGCTGCCGTTGATCTCGTTAACCCAGGTATCCTCGGCACTTTCAAGTCCTTCATTCGAGAATTCGAGACTCCAATCGTGCGCAGCCGGCAACCCGAAGCAACAAGCAAAGATATCGAGAAAGGCGAGTCTCGAGGCGAAGAGCTCCGAGAGCTCACCTCAAAGTTCATGCTCCGCCGGACAGCGGACATCTTGGCGAAATACCTCCCCCCTAAAACAGAATATGTCCTGTTCTGCAAACCGACGCGCCCCCAAGCAAGCATCTACAAGGCTGTGCTCGCCTCCCCGGTCTTTCAATACGCGATGGGCAATACTGAAAGTGCCCTGCAACTCATAACAATTCTCAAAAAGCTCAGCAATAGCCCCTCCCTGCTGTCTGCCAAAAACAACGACAACACCCCTAACGAAACAATCGCCTCACTTCTCGAATCAATACCCCAGCCCCTGCACCGCCATCTTTCCGCTTCATCGAGTGCCAAAATCCGAGTCCTTGACCAACTCCTTGACACATTGCACCATAAAACAGATGAAAAGATCGTTCTCGTCTCAAACTACACCTCAACCCTCACTCTCCTCGCAACCCTCCTGTCCTCCCTAGGTCTTCCCTACCTCCGTCTAGATGGCAGCACACCGGCGCAAAAACGCCAAGGCCTAGTCGACGACTTCAACCGTCTCCCAGCATCACAATGCTTTGCCTTCCTCCTCTCCGCAAAAGCAGGAGGAACAGGTCTGAACCTCATTGGCGCTAGCAGACTCATTCTATTCGATGTCGATTGGAACCCCGCCACAGACATCCAGGCCATGGCACGAATCCACCGAGATGGCCAGAAACGGCCTTGTCGCATCTACCGCGTGCTGCTCAAGGGTAGTCTCGAAGAAAGGATTTGGCAGAGACAGGTTACCAAGCTCGGTCTTGCAGACAGTGTTATGCAACAGAGTAATGGCGGTGCGCAATTTAGCTCCTCCGAGTTAAAGGATCTATTCCGTCTGGACGAAGAACGCGCTTGTCAAACTCACGAATTGATAGGGTGCCAGTGTGGTGGTAGGGGTATCACCGATTCTTCTGTCCCTGTTTCTGGGACCGCAACGCCAGCGGATGGGTCTGATGAGGAATTGTCAGATGCCCCATCTGTGGAGGACTTGGATTCTGACGATTCCTTGCTTGAACCTTTGAGGTTGACTCGTGCTTCTGATGTCGATATGGAGAAGCAGGAACGTGAGATTCGTGATGGTACTCTGCGTTCTAAGATGGCGGGAAAGAAAAACAAGGGCAAGCACGAGAAGTCTAAGGACTCGAAGGATAAGATGCATCAGACTCTGGCTCAGTATGCGCATATCGATCCTACTCTCCTGAACCCCGATGTCGAGGACGAGGAGCTTGAAGCTGCTGTTGATGACGATGTGCTTGTCTCTATGCTCAAGGATGAGTGTAACTTGATCGGGTATGTCTTCAAGAAGACCAATGGTGCAGAGATGGGAACTTGATTAGCCCGGGCTTCCAAGGTTGGTCGCCCTGTCATGTCATGCGTTTTAGGCTGTACAAAATATCAGATGAATGAAAAGATAGTATTTTACTTAAGTACTCGGCGTAACCTCGATTATTCACTTGGATATCATGTGAGATCTATACAAAAGAGATGCCCCCCAAGAGGCGATATTTAAAGACAATTGAAAAAGAAAAAAGGATATAAAAGAAAGAAAAAAACCAACCCCATCCCCTGATGCACCTTAATCCACCTGGCCAATTCATGCAAAACCACCCCCAAACATAGAGAAATCAATATCGTAGTTTCCCAACAAGACCAAAAGTGTAAGCTGTCTCAGCTTCACTCTTCATCTGAATCATATAGATTCTACCAGACCCGGTAGCCACACCACCCTTCTGTGCAACACCAGCCTCCTCATTCTCCTCGCGAATAGAGACTGCAATGCCCGTTCGCGCAATGCGCTCAAAGGCATCCTCGCCAAGACAAACATCCAACATCGTCTCGCCGCGCGTCTTACCACGGATGACGATCCTCTTCTCAGCCTCCATTGCACGACGCGGCGACGCAGCGCCAGAAGTAGGAGGCGAAGGATCGTCAGGCTGAATACTCGAGTCACTCCTACTGGTAGTAGGGCGAGACGGGTTCGCAGGTGGCGCAGGCATGATGGTCATACGGGCAGCGCCGAGATCGCGCCATTTGGAAGCTGATTCGCGAGCGTAGAGGCGGATTTTTGCGTTTGAGAGACCGATTCCGTCAGCGCCCTTGATTGCAGCTGCAATGCGGCCGATACCTGTGTTTGCGTTTGGCGAGTTGGATTCAGAATAGACGGATCCTTCGCGGCGGGATTCGATTGTCGAGCGGGAGATGTTGAACATCTTGCTGGATGCTCCGAAGCGTTTGAGAGCCGAGAAGGCGGAGCTCATTGTTCCGACGCTGCTTTCTGAGCCTTCGGCTAGAGAGCGGGGGGAGCCGGAGGCACGGTAGCTCTTGCGGCGGCGGGGCCAACCGAAGAGGCCGCCTGATTTTGTGGCGGGTTCAAAGGCCGGTGCGTTGTCGTTGATGAAGGGGCCTCGGGCGTTTTGGAGGGCTATGTAGGTTGGGTTGTTGATACGGGATTGGTTGATTAGTCCGTAGAGAGCGTCGCACTCGTCCGGGCTACGGGAGCGGAACATGATGTTGTTGCTTGAGGTGATCTGAGATCGCTCCGTAGGCGGGGACCGGACACTGATATCGATGGCTGTGCCGCGGCGGATGGGAACGAGAGGTGTCAGCTCGAGGGAGATGAGTGGTTTTGATGATTCAGAGTCCGAGTTGGGATCGGGCTCGGATCCCATGGTGAATGCCTCAATCAGGCCAGGGCTAACAACGATACTGCACTCATCAGGAAGCAAAGTCTCCCAGTTGCCCTTGTCAGACCAGGCAAAGACGGAGGCGATTGCCTTGGAGGTTTTTGTGGGCTGCAGAGGCACAGCACGGTAGCCACTCTGGGATGCAGAGTTGGAATGCGAGAGGGAATTGGCTTCAGTGACCGCATCAGGGATGTTTGGCTTCGGGGTATCCTCATAATCATCATCGTCTTCAGACACCGATGAATAGTCGTCTTCGGAGTCGGTGAGGTCCGCTGACCTCGAATATTCGGATGAGGAGTAAGAATAGTGACGCACTGTCGACGCATCCGAGTCCGTCTCCGAGTAGTCAGACGCAGTCGATGGTTCATATTCATGTTTAAGAGGCGACGAGCCACGTCTCTTTAGTCCGCCACTGCTAGAATTGAGGACTGGTGCACTCGAACGCTTGTCGTTGGCAGGGCTAGATGACCGGTGAGGCGGGGGAGGTGGAGGACTATCATCATATCTCGGACGTCTGCGAGACTTCTTCCTTCTGGTTCTGGTTGGTGTCTCAGGGAATTCTTCGTGCTTAGGCAAGGACTCCAACGGAGGATAATCTTCCTCTTCGGGGCCAATGTCTGTGGGAGTAGACAGATGGGTTTGGCTACTGGGAGTTCGGATCTTCGGTATCAATGGAAGGGTTGTCGAAGGCACAGATGATACTCTAGGAGATTCCGGCTCGGGTTCCTTGACAGGCGTCTTCTGAGGCTGAGGTATCCGCGAGCGTGATTTTTCTCTTGGGGCTGCCTTGCTGGGAGACTGGTCCGCATCACTACCATAGTATCTGCCACCCGTTGGAGTACTGGGATGGGGGGATGCAGCGGCACTCTCTTCATGTGCCTTCTCCGAAGGTTTCTCGGGTTCTTTCTCGGATATGGCACTCTGTTGAGAGCCAGATTCAGCGGGCGCATCACCATATCGTGATAGCCGCTTGGCCTTTGAACGCTTGAGGCCCGAGGAGGGCTTATCGGGACTAGACGGCGAGTTCCTCGAGTCGGTAGAAGGGAGGAGTGGCAGGTCTGGACGAACAGATTTTCCAGACAATTCCGATCCACCGGTGGTGTATTCAGTCTCACGGGTAGTAGCTGAGTACATTGAGCTTCGTCCATCGGCAGAGCTGACTGTGCTTGGCTCAGAGAAGTGTTCCTTCTGAGTCAGTGAGCGCCGCTTGCTAGCCTTCTCGCCGATAGGGATATCGACATCACTGGGATTTGGCTTGGCCGGGGAACTACCGGTGAGCTTGCGAGCTTTGTTCTGCTTGGCACGGCTGATAAAGCTTTGGCTTCTACAGATTGACGGTGGAACAGGATCCGAGCCCAAAAGCGAGACCCATTCGGTTCCAACTTCTTCTTCGTCAATGCGAAGGGAGATCAGCTCTTGCCAGTATTTTGTAGGATCGTCCGGGGCGCTGCGCAGCATGAGGACAATCTCATGCTTAGATTCGCCCCGGCGAGCTGACACGCATCGAAGATCCATCGGAGGGAATAGGAGCCAGCGATCTGAATGATCTATCTCACAGATGAGAAGGTCACCACCAGGGCCCTTGCTCGAAGTGTTGTCTCGGTACAGCAGCTCCGCACGACAATCCACAAGCTGTCCACTGGAATGGTACAATGATAGGTTAAAGAAGTCACGGGCACGGACGCGGCGAGTCTGGTCAATGCCGATACCATGCAGAACACCCAGGGTCATTGGATCTCTTGTCCGTGAAGGGTCAATACTAGCAGCAGAATCGTCTTCCAACCTCGCTCTTTCATCCCGGACACGCTTTCTAGCATCGGCGACAAGGCTCTGATACGCAACAGCCGTCTCTTCGGCCTTCGGTGTTGGCTCGAGCACATTGATGCCCTTGAAGGTCTTAGCCAAATACTTGAGCCGAACCAGCGGCCGCTTCAGCAAATAAGCGACATCGACCTTTCCTCCGTCTGCGTCGATAATGTCACCATTCTCATCTCGCTCCAAGCCCTCATCCAAGCTCTTTGTGTCGGCATTTTCGTCATCACCCTCCTCCAGAGGCGCAAGGTTGACAATCACATCCTTGAATCCAAGTCGCCATGCTTTGAGGTACTCACGATAGACCCTCTGGGCACCTTGTGCCCAAGTCAGGAGAGCATCTGCGTTGTCCTGCGGGATACGCTTGTGGAGGTTCTTCAGCCGTTCGATCGCCACACCCATATTGACAATGGGCTTCGAAAAGTTCACGTCATCTTGTGGATCTAAAGACGGTCGGAACAAGCCTGCTGCGATTGCCGAGTCAGAACGAGAGAGCACACAGGTCAAAAGAACTGGAATCACACCCCCGACCAGGGTCTTCAACTCGCGCATGTACTTTGTCTCGTCGCCCGATAGCTCATGAAGCAGATCGTCAACGGTTGCGGCGGCAAGACGGCTCTTGTTAGTCCGTATGCTCCGATTTGAGCGGGTACTTCTGTTTCGGGAAACCGATACTGACAGGACCGACATAAGATCATTGTGAGTAGTCAATCGTCTTTTCAATTGGGAAGAGACAACAGGAAGCGAATCGGGATCAAACTGATCTGTTTTCTCCGCCTCCTCAGCATCCTCAGCTACCTCAACCAGTGATGGCTTGCGTCTCTCTGCAGACCTCTGTACAGGTAGGGTTATTTCGGAAATTGTCGTGCTCAAGGTTTCCGAAGATGCAATCGTAGATAGTCGATTATAGCCAGTAGATGGGAATGGCTTTTTACGACCAAGCGGCACAGGTGCATTATTGCCAGACACTTCAGAGCCGCCTTCTGAGCCAGGATGTAATTCAGATTCGGAGGCAGCGATGCTTTCTTTGCGCGGCTTTTCCTGAGAAGGAGGCTCTTTACTCTTCGCAGGTGGCTTGGATGAATGATCTATGCTCACACGCTTTGGTTCTGCCATCTCTCGATCTTGTGATTTCGTCGGCTTGTCCGTCAAGGGGAATGAGTCTTTCCCTTTTGAGTGCCGACTCACGGCGCTCTTTGGGCGAGACTCCGAACTCTTGGGACGCTCACTGGTCATGGACGGCTCAGACTGTGTACCCGGTGTTTCTCCGTCCACCAGCTTTTGCGATCGCCGTGCGCGACCAGACTTGAGATCGAGAGGGGCGGGCATGTCACTCTTATCCACATCCATGAAAGGATCATGGGTATCTGAGAGCCAGGCCTCGATCTTAGCCCCGCGACCAGTGGTCGGTGTTGGCGTTGGCCTCGGTGGCTCTGGTTCAGGTTTGGCGAATATCTTCTTCGACTCGTCGATCATATGAGCGAAGATTCCACCCTTGGGCGGCTTTGGCGCACCGCGTGCTCGTCGCTTCGATAGCTCAGAGAAGTCCGCCTCGCTCGTCGCCCACGCATCTTCCGGAGGAGGGGACCGTGTCTTGAGTCGTTCCGATATCACCGACGGTTCCACCGTTTTGCCGTTGTCCGTTTCGTAGTCGCTCTCAGTGATGGTATCGATATTCTTTCGAGATCCAGATCTCGGATCTCGAACCGGAGACCTAGGCCCCGTTCCCCGTTTGACCTGGAATCGAGGCAGATCGCGACCTATGTCATCTTCATCTTCGCTGTCCACCCGTTTGCTCCGTGACACCCTGGGCTGTCCCTCATTGGTGGTGTATTCCGAGATGCGCTTGGGCGGGGGCAAGTTGCGCGAGGATTGGGTCGAGGCTCGATTCCGCGTTCGCTTCCAATGTTCGTCACTCACGACTCGTTTCCGCGGGGTACTGTGACTGCGCTTTCTCGTCTGTGTGGGCTTTTCTTTAGGCTGCTCCAGCTTCTCAGCCTTGGCTTTGGCGGGTTTTTCTTTTTTCGGTTCTTCTTTCTTCGGTTCATTCTCATCGTCCGCGTAGGGGTCGTCGACAGTCACCACACCGCCACCCTGTTGTTGCCATTTTCGCACTCGCGAGCGAACGGTGTTGGTGTCGTGTAGCCCCAGGGGCTCTCCAATATCCACGGCCTTCACTTTGGTTGCTCCTTTGGAGGCACGCGGCGTCGCAGGAGATGGCATCGGTATCTAAACAAAGCCATTAGGGGAGGGGTTTTCGACAAAAGTCCAAACAGACTCACCAACACCTATCCCGCACAACTAACAAGATTCGGGCATTGATGATCGCATAGATTTAAAAAAAGTGTTTCAGGGATAAACAATGTGACTTTCGATAAGCCCCTCGCACTAAGCGGTTGCCGGGGAACGGGACGATCGCTTGTGTTGATGTGTATCCGTATTGTTGGACCGGGATGGGGTTTGTGGATATTGGTGTGATATTGACGAGGATGTTGACACAAGAACACTGGTCTGTTTTGTTTTGTTTTTCCTCTTTGAAACGGAGAAAAGAGGGCAGTTAACGAGGGCGCGTCAGCTGGTGCATATCAGCGTCATAGCACAAGCTGCAGACGTTAAGCCTCAATTCCCAACTTGTTTTGCTCAAGCTTCAGAGTTTCGATCTTACGTGCTTATACGAGTACTCTGGTGTCTATCGTCTCTAAACTTATTTCTATCTCCCTTTTGTCCCCCAATTTTACGGCCATACAAGTATACCCACTCAAAGCACTTGTGGCCTAATGCTCCACTGTCCCCCCATCGATGACGAAGGTGGTACACTAGTTGGTCTTCTTCTGTTCCAGCCGCTTGAACACCGCTGAAATGGTCGTGATGCTTTGGTACAAATAATCTAGAACGGATCAGCGCAACGGTCACAACGGTAGGAGCTGCACTGCACATACAGGCCGGAACCACAATCCAGATAAAGTTCATCAAGAAATAATAGAGCCAGAAATAATACGGCTCCGGGCGGGAGTACGGACGTCCGTGGACATACTCGTCAAACAGACTGGTCGCATAGTACAGCGTGTCGCCGTAAAGATGGCTCATGCACACAATCACCTGAATTGGGTGGCGCAGGGAGTGCCGGGTTGCGGTCAAGTATGCAACAACGAAGCAAAGTGGTCCCCACAGTAGCTAAGGTAAATCAGCGGTGTATCGCGAGTATATAAGGACAGTGGGAGTGGGACTCACCACGGTCATTGTCTCCATACACAGCACCAGGGTATCTGAGACCATATACCGAGAATCAGACAGGGCGTACTCTTTCCAGAGTTGCCCGAAGAGGTCTTGGGCAGATGCCATGTGGTCATGGTGGATCATGAAATATCCCTCGAAGAAGCAGTGCAGGCTGCCAGCTGGGGGCTTGTCAACATTGCGCTGTGGAAGGGGGTCGAGGCCATCTTACATAGGACAAACCACAGGATGGCAATTCGATCCGCTAGCTGCAGCTTCGGCCGTACATAGCTCGCCAATGCGAAGGTCACACCGAGAAGAACGGTGCATGCTCCACCGGCGGAGATGAGAAGTTCGAGAACTGGAGTCTGGTTGGGCTGATAGCCCACCACGTTGGCATCCAGGGGGTAGTATGGATGATTGGGCATGGTGTTTCAGAAAGGATGCAATCTGAAGATTTAGCAGACAGGACCCGATATGTAAGTACGGAGTAAGGGTTATAAACAAAGGTTCCAGAGCAGAAAAAGCAATGTTTGGGTGGATATGAAAGTGCGGCCAATGAAAAAGTATCCCATGGATGTTTTACAGCAACGTTGAACCTGTACGGCAATCTGGAGTATAAGGACAGAACCTCAATTGACAGAAATATTTGATCCATACCCAGGTATCTACTACGAGTAGATCGCTCACATAGCATGAATGGCTTTCACGTAGGTTAGTGGGACGCGACAATAACTTTGCGACCGTTCAGAGCTGACTGAATAGGTACAGAGAAGCTGAAGAATTGACCACAAACGGGGTAATTATGTCGACTACCATGCCTATTCGGAGTCATGGCGAGGCAAAAGGCGAAAGGTGAAGAATGGGTGCCTCAGGCGGCCCGATAGCCAAGCTGCGGAGTCGACCTCAACCGTGATTGCCCGAGAGCCCAGATGCTTTCGACACTCTTTAACAATGGCATCCGAATCTAGGCCTCTGGGGATAGAGGTTCCTCGTTCTCCAATGGAGTCGCCTCCAGGAATCGCTGCCTTGTTTGTCATCAGCTTCGACATTCGGACCGGGTAATCACTAGCCCCTGGTTGTATACATGTGAAGTAGCTCCGCTGACATGCCTGTGACAGATATGTGGTTTCTTGGAAGCGCACTGTACCGGAAGGTGAGCAATGAACACAAATTGGCTGAAGCTGTCGTCGGATATGAGACTGACTCCGGAACAGTGGACGTGGAAGGTGTTGTGGAATACAAATCGCTCCCCTCGGGTCTACACAATGTGACGGAAGATCTGGTGTATGTTCAAGCTGTCCAGGGTCCTCGGCAATCCAACTAATGCGCCCATATAGCTACTTCGTCCACGAGCAGTATGCTGGGATCAGCGCGTTTCTCAACTACCCCGCCGCGGAAGCCGAGCGCAATGCGAAGATGTTCGCGATCGGGGTCCTCGTTCCTCTGAGCACTGGCAGACTCGGAAAGAGCTGGCGCCATGCTCCTAAGTTGAAGGAGTTGACACAGTACGGCTACCCAGGACGTCGCGACTAATACAAGACTGACAGGAGGTCGATAGGAAATACGCCGAGGACATGTCGAACATGGAACCTCTCACGAAATACTGGGACGCATACCGAATAGGAGGAACCGAGTCATCTGCCCCCGAATCCCCAATTGACTCGCCATTGAGTCTCCGATTCCGACCCGGCGAGCGACTGGATTCAAACCGCACCCGTGCCTTCAGCGATGCACTCGTTCTGGACAACTTCAGGCCGGCCCTGACCCCATTCCACCCCGCATCATCGCTCCCCGACTTCCTCGATTCCTTCGGACCCCTAGTCTTCCCCTTGTATAGAGCGGCTCTGCTGCGCAAGCGGATTCTATTCATGGGCGAGGTCCCCGTGCACACACCCTGCAACTACGGTACGATCCTCCACACCCATACCCAAGACATCCACTAACAACCCCCAGTATATGACCTCTCCCTCCTAGCATCCCTACCGAACTCTCTCCTCCACCTCCTCCCCGCAGATCGCACCCCGCCCCTGCGCCCACGCCCTCTCTTCAACGTTGGCATTCACGACATCCCATACCTCTCATCATTCGACCCCTCCCGGAACATGCACGACCCAGAAACAGATCCAAGCTGGATTGCCTGCTCCACAGACACAGTGTTAACCATGAAACCCGACCTCTTCGACATCCTCATCACCCTCCCACCACCCCACACCAAACAAGCAGAAGAGCGAGCCTTCCCCAAACTCTCCCTCATCAACCACACAAACCCCCAACACCACCTACCCCTCCAAGCAACGCAGCGCGACGCCCGTCGCCACGCAATGCTCCGCCGCGGTCTCCGCACCACAGACTCAGACACCGACTCAACGTACTCGTCCAGTCCCGTCGTCGAGCCAGTCTCCTGGACCCGTCTCGCCTACACATCATTCATGTGGTGGGCATCAGCAGGCGAGAACCGCGACGGTCTAACTGAGGAAGAAGAAGAAGCCCAACTAGAGCAAGACTCGCGCCTGCTGGCCAGCGTCGAGAACCTGTCTTTGGAAAGCGACCAGCCGCCCGAAGTAGCTATGGTGGCATACTTCCGTCGAATGACGGCTCAGATATTCGGTACTTTGGCAGGTGTTATTGCGCGCAATGATGAAGACAGTTATAATGAGCCGTATGCTGATGATGATGATGAGCCGGTTTCCCGGTCTCGGTCTATTGGAGATGAGTCGCCTTTATTGCGGCAGCGGTCTGGGACCAGCTCGCAGCGCGATTCGTTGCGCGAGAGTGGTTGTGAGGTCGTTAAGGTTTCTGTGGCGGATATGGCGGAGATGGGGCTTGATGTGTGGAGTGTGACTGATCGGGTGTTTGTGGAGGAGTTGATTGGGCTTTGGTGGGGGAGAGAGGCGAGGGTTGATTGTGCGAGGATTAGATGCTGTGGGATATCAGTGCTGTAAATATTTAAGGATGTAAAGGTTAGGCACATATAAGATACAATCTCTTTCTTTACGTTGAAATATCTTGGAGATAAGTGAGTCTCGACCCAGAGCCAAGGTAGTGTTGAATTAAGCATTGTCATAACCCTTGCGGAGAAATATAAACGGAGAGAGGAAGAAGGAAATCGACAAAGGAAAGGTTGAGGGAGTGACGGAGACATAAACCGAAAGTTTGTCAAGTGAAAGGCACATGGGGAAAAGGAATCCCTGTATAGTCATAATATTGAAGCCAAAAAAAGGGAGAAAACAGATCGCTTCTATCGCCATGCAAGTGAGGAATAGGCAAATTGATGCAGCGCCGGGGGGTATTATATGAAACGACAAGCACCGGCAGACCATGCAAACGAAAGACATAACGCATCGAGGATACAATCCCAATCAACTACCGACGAAACATGCGAACGGGAGCACTGACATCTCGGCGCTCGTTGACATCATGTTCAGTCCTTGAATCGGGCCGGAGATTGGGGTTGGGGACGCGACGAGGCCCTCGTACCGGGTTCGTGGTCGAACCGCTGGGGGCGCGAGCTACGCGGCCAGCTTCATTGGCACTAAATGAGCGCTGCTTGCTATGGGTACGACCTCTTCGGGCTCGGATCTGAGCCAAAGCCTGCTCACGGTCGATTGGGACGTCTGGGACACCTGGATGTGATGTGCGCTGGGATTGCGTATCATTTCGGAGAGGAACTCTCTTCGTGTTGATGATGGCGTTCTGTCCGCGAGGGTCCCTTTTCGGGGCGTGCAGCGGTTGGCGATATCCATGGGCATCTCTCTCAACCCGGCTGGGCGGACGAGCTTCTTGAGACAGCCGTGCTCGTGCGGACGATATGTCGTTCTTGCCACCAGCTGGGTTTGCGCGGGACCTCACAGCGGGGGCAGGTGCACGTGCAGGTACCGGTCTGGGTGCCTGTACCGGAGCTGGCTCTCCAGACGGGGTGAATGACTGAGAATGCTCTTCTGGAGAATGCTCTTCTGGCGAATCAGAGACATCCATGTGGTCTTCTTCGAAGTCTGGCTGGGGCTCAGGAAGGTCAGGTATCTCGAATTGATCCAATTTCAAAGGTCTGACGTTGTCCCGCAAGGGAGATGGGAAAGTCATGAAGGTGCCAGTCTCTGGAGAAAACGTCACCAAAGGCTCGGCTGGCATATCCATCTTCGGCGCACTTGTGGGTTCAGCCTTCTTTGAAGACGGAGTAGCCCGTTGGGCATGAACAAGTGGGGTGACCTCGTGGGCAGGAACAGGCGGCGGGGCCAGAGGAGTTCGACTGGCTTCTGGCTCCTCGTGGTCACTAAGTTCGGGAGAAGCTACTCGAGTGGCCATGACATGGTGAACAGGGGAGACGTGAGCCGGAGATTGGTGGGCAGGTGAGGGATGAATGGGAGATCTGTGGATGGAGGAAGGGTGAACAGGCGACTCATGAGTGGGTGTTTCATGGGCGGGAGACTGGTGCATAGGAGATCCATGGATCGAAGCTTGGTGGGCAGGAGATTGGCGAACAGGAGATCGGTGAACAGGAGGTGGCGGAGGACTGGCCTCAGGGGTGCTGGCTGACTCCGGGCTGGGCTGTTGCATAACGAATTTCTGAGTGTTCGCCTCGTGGGCACGAGCCTTCTCTTCTGCCTGAGTCTTCTCTTCTGCCTGAGTCTTCTCTTCTGCCTCAATCTGGGGCTTTTGGAAGGTGTTGTAATACTCGGCATCGTAGATGTAACGACGACCCTGGCTCTCGGCAATTCTGCAAGAGCAACGCTCGAATTGACACTCGATGTTCAAGAAATGTACCATGTCCTCTGCGGCAGCCCTACGACGGCGCTCGAAAAGGAGCTCCTCCTGCAGTTCCTCAAACATGTTTTCATCTGCCTCAGCAGGAGCAGTTTCTGTTGCGGGCTGCTCATCGACAACTGGCCCACACTCCGACAATCGTGGGCGTTTGGGGGGTGTCGCTTCCACTAGATCTTCATCGCGTTCTGGGGCGGGCGAACGGGCGGAACCTGCGGCGGCTCGTTTGGGCCTCCGGGGTGTGTTCAAAAAGGCGAGGTCACCCTCAACCAGTGATAATCTGCCAAAGTCTTCTTTGCGAATCTGATGGGCCTGGACTTCCAGGGTGCTGGAGTGATTTTCTGTTTCGAGGGCACGGAATTTCTCTTTCAGCAGCTCAAGCTCTTCTGTGAGACCAGCAAGAGCATAGGCGCGTTCGAATGCTTCCTGTTTGGCGCGATCCTTCGAGTCGCGTTCTGCTGCCAATTCCTCTTTCAGAGATTTGACTTCTGACTTGGCATGCTTCAACTCTTCCTGAAGCTTCACCACAGTCGATCCAGCCCGGAAAGCCTCTTTACGGGCTTTCCGGATCTCCTTTTCGAAGATGGATCGTTCTTGGCCTTGTCGTTCTTTTGTTCCGTGTAGCTCTTCAAATAAGGACTCAAGGCGTTCACTGATTCGGCGTTCGCGGTCTTGGGCTTCGGCTAGTTCTTCTTGTGCCGAAGCGAGGGCTGACTCGGCCTCTTCGCGGCCCATGTTGGCCCTCAGCACGGCTGCATTGTTGGATGATGCGTTGGCGGGGCTGCCTCCCTTAGAAAGCCCGTTGAGGAACGCCACCTTGGCTTGCACTTCCGAGACACCTCGGTGGTTTTTGTGATGAAGTGTAAGAAGGTCGGCTGGGAGTGATGGCGACGCGGGGATGGTTTGTTGATTCATGCGTTCCGGAGAGACCGGATGCAACGCTTTTGAGGGACTCGGGGGGAGACGCGTTGGAGACTCCATCGTTGATGACGAGCTTTAGATCCAGGCGACGAAGATCACAGGGTTCGCAAAAAAAACATCACAGGAATGATGGAAAAGAGATCTCATGAGTGAAAATCACCGTTGTGGAGTCGGCAAGTGACGCACCCACACAAACATGTTTATTGCCCTCTTTGGAACGATCATGTGACCGTTGCCCTGGTGACCTGTTTGGTATTGCCGGATCAGGCTAGCGCATCACGTGTGATAAGGTCTCAATTGGGACTAGCGCGATAATCCGAGAACGTCTGTGCGCCAACTCGCAGCGCCGATATCAAAATTCATTGAGGGGCTGTACAAGAGGTGTCCGTAGCTTGCGTAATAATGCATGAAATTGTCACTCTTCAGTTAGGCCAACGGGCTAACTATCTGGCAACCCATTTCTGGAACCTCCAGGTGAGTACTTTTCAAATCTCATGTCTGGGCTCGACTGATATATAATCAGGAATCATACTTCACATATGATGGCACAGAGCAGTCTCCCGTGGACCACGACGTCCACTTCCGACCAGGTTACGGAGCAGATGGCTCGGAGACTTACACACCACGAACCCTGATCTATGATCTCAAGGGTGGATTTGGTACCTTGCGCAGATACAATGCACTTTACGAACTTGGGGAAGACTCTGCGGCCGGGCAAGGATTATGGTAATGCGGCTCAATCTGAACCACAAACTTAATGCCAGCTAACATCAAGTCCCAGGGATGGGAGGGAAGTTGTTCAAAAGCAAGCCCCGATCACACAAAGCGAATATCAGAAAAGCTTGGATTTGGGCACACCAGCTCCTCGCCTGACCTCGGAATCCGTCCGCTACTGGTCAGACTATAACCGGGTGTTTTACCACCCAAAGTCTATTGTTCAACTCAATGAATACGAACTGAACTCTCAGACTATGCCCTTTGAGGACTGGAATGTGGGAGAGGAGCTCTTTAATGATCTCGACAAGGAGCATGATTTGCTAGACCGTGATCTGAGACCATTGATCGAGGAATGTGACCATTTGCGAGCCTTGCAACTCTTTGCCGGGTCAGACGACGCCTGGGGTGGATTTACAGCCCAGTATATGGAAAGATTGAGAGATGAATTCGGAAAAAAGAGTATTTGGGTCTGGGCGATTGAAGATGGCACCAAGACACAACGGGTAAGTGGCACAGTGACATTTCGAACAGTCAAGTACCAGGTTGGCTAAGTTTCGAACTTTGTAGCATCACCAATTCAAGAGGGATACGAACAAAGCGAGGTCGCTCTACTCAATCTCACAGCAGGCGTCGCTCTACGTCCCAATCATCGACCTTCCTCACAAGCTTCCTGGCTACCTGGAGGTGGATCGCCAATCAGAATGGCAAAAGACAGCCTTGATAGCGTCGGCGATTGAAACGGTCACACTGCCTTCTCGACTGAAGCCGTACCAGTATTTCGAGGCCGCTTTGGCCGGGGAGGATGGCACACATACCATCTTCGAGTTGCAGTCGTCCATCAACAAAATCAATGACGGTCATACAAAGCAGTCGTCCAATGAAGACGAACAGACTAAAGCCGAAACCGAATTTGACATTGACTTCACCTACGATGGCGAAGACAAGGGCGCCCACATCTTCAACCAAGTTCAGGTCTCCCGTGGAGAAGCACCGGAAAGTGCCTCCGAGTCCGCGCAGGACCAGGATATTGGACACTTACGGAAACTCAGACTCTACAATTCGGAGTCTATGCTTCAGAGGTAGGTTTTCCCCAACTCGCGCATCCCATTTTCACTGTTTCAGCCGGAGACTCACGTTCTATACTACCCACATAGTTTCCACACGCCACTCAGCATGCCAATTCTTGACAGTTTCCCGCACAGCATGTTCGGTCCCCAGGAAGGCGGTCTTAACGTCTTTACCGCATTGACCGCCTCAACACGCACGGCACAACGGATCAAAGCTATTTCAGGAACTGCCGCACGCTTGGTATCGGTTGAGGAGCGAGAGGCGATTGTTAACGGACTAGGCGAGATTCGAGAATTCTACGAGACGGGGTGGAGTAGTGGCTCGGACGAGGAAGACGACTAGCTACCTTGATCATGACCAGTGTTGATATCATCGCAATTAAACGGTGCCAGACTCCGGTTTCGGCCGTCCCACGCTATTCCCCACGAGGCTACTGTGGCTTGAGGCCCGCTCTCCGGTGCATTTCACCTTTCTTCCGCTATCTTGGAGATGGCCCACTTGGACATGCCCAGAGGACTGGATTATCGCGGGAAGAGGGCACCGGACCAACCCCCCGAGCTTCCACTCGTAATCTTAGCAGCGAGGGCCTTCCTGGAGTAGTCACACTTTTCCACCCATGTGGCTGTAGAGTTTAAGACATCTACTCTAAAAATGTCACCCTTAGGATCGAAGTCGAGGTATAGAAGTCGACCCCCGCATTTCTGCAATTAGCATTTCTCGTATAGTTTCTACACGATAGTATGAGTAGCATTGTTAGCATTATCACCATTACCAGAATTATCAAAATTTCCCGTATTTTGTTGTCTCACGACCGTAGTTTATCGGGGGCTGGTAGCAAGCCCAAAGTCAGTGAGGCTTTGGTGTGACTCCCGGGTAATAATGCATGTACTCGCAGGTGTCCCATGTCAGAAGCAGGGGTATACTCTTCGTTCTACCCCGCCACTTGTTCCAATGGGCTTTTTGCCTCTTTTGTGCGCTCGTCGTCATCGGTTCAATTGATAATCATTGCAATTTCTACAGTGTGGTCGAAGTGGTCGGGATCTCCAATTACACAGTAAATCAGGGCAGTCTCACGAATTCCGAGACATCTTGTACAAATTATGCTAGGCAAAGGAAGAATTAATTATGAGTCAAATTTGCTGGAAAACAGAAGCGAATTCAAAGAAAAGAGGAAAAGAAAAACAATAGAAAAAAGGAAAGAAAGATGTAAGCCAAGAAACATCCCGGGCCCAACAGAAAGAAAAAAACAGGGACACCTATCTGCCGCGGGGAAACTTCCCTGCACTTCTTACTTCGTAGTCTCGCCAAAGTCCCAGGGCCGGAGCAAATCTCGCCAAACTTCGTGGGCCCATGGGCATGCAACGTCACCTGCATTAGACACTTGGCCATGTCCCTTTCACAACATGGAATTGAATTCGAGCCGATCGATCAACAGTTGCGATCGCTCGACCCACTCAGGGTCCAGAACAACACTCGTACACGGCTATCCGGGACCTTTCTATTCTTACTCCCATACTCCGCACTCTCCAACTTTTTTTTCCTTCAAAGTCAACCGGTACCTGGAGTCCCTTGGTACGTTGCCGGGTCCAATATCCACGAGGGCTGCGATTCGTGAGGTTTCCCCACATTGTTCAGACACATGGGGCCGAGCTTTCAGAGCTATACAAGTCTCATGACGTGGGGAATGGAATTAGATGTGTGTTATCTCCAGAAACCGGAATGAGGGAAAAAAAATCGGAATGAAAGAAGGATCTATCAAAGCCTAACCCAACATGGGTATCGTGAAGGACAATCCTAGAGCTACCACCTGCATCGCATGCCAAGAATCCACCTGCGTCGTTGGAGTTAATTGGCCGCTTGACTGCTTGTCAGCCCTTTGGGGCCATATCGCGACCCCCGTCAAAACCAGCGAACCACGGCACAATTCTGAGACCTCGTCGCTTCATCATTGGCTAAATCCCAGTACCTGTCGTTTAGTCAACCGGGCCCGTGTGCACTAGCTTTGCCTTTGCATGCGGGTCCCGGTATACCCTACATCATGACACCAGCCTCTTCAAAATGAGCGGGAAGAATACTCCATGCTGATCGTTCATGTCGGGTTTGGTTGGCTTTCCAAAGACGAGGCGCCACTTTTCGTTGACTTTAGTCTGCATTTAGTGCCTAATGTAGTACCGAGCGGAGCGGAGCTGGCCATCCATGCCAGACAGGAATTGACTCTAAGCTGTTGGGAAAGGGTATATATTAACTTGCTCGATCCCCTCCATATTTCCCGCTTGCTCTCGGAACGATTTGCATTGTCGATATTACCCGTTTAGGAACTCTCTCGCTACGGTTCCTATCGTCCTTCGTTTGAAGCATTTCAACCCTTCCAAGCTTTGACTAAACACATCAATCGTTCGTCAAGATGAAAGGCTCTTCGATCGTTCTGCTCTACGCCGCGACCTTGGCGTCCGGCATGGTCATGAACCCCAGGCATGCTGCTGAGGCTCGCATTGCCGTCCGTGGCGGCGGTGGTGACGAGGGTGGTGGTGACTGGTGGGGCCATGGTGACCATGGTGATCACGGTGATCACGATGATGACCACGACGGAGACCATGGTCATGGCGGTCCACCGGCAGAGACTACTCCCTGTGAGACGGATGAACCTACTCCTACTCCTCCTCCAGTTGAGACCACCACTCCTTGCGAGACGGAGACTCCTCCCCCAGTGGAGACTCCGCCGCCTGTTGAGACCTCCACCCCGTGTGAAACTGATACTCCCACACCTCCCCCGGTTGTGACCCCGACTACCACCCCGTGTGAGACTGATACGCCAACTCCTCCCCCAGTCGAGACGTCTACTCCCTGTGAGACGGACACCCCTACTCCTCCAGTTGTGACGCCCACTACCACCCCGTGTGAGACTGATACGCCTACTCCTCCTCCGGTTGAGACGTCCACTCCCTGTGAGACTGACACTCCAACCCCACCTCCTGTTGAGACTTCCACTCCTTGTGAGACTGATACGCCCACTCCCCCTCCTGCCACCTCTACCCCGGTGTCTCCCACTACTCCCTGCGAGACTGATACGCCCACTCCTCCTCCGGCGTCATCAACTCCTTGCGAGACTGACACCCCTACTCCTCCTCCCGCAACCTCCACCCCAGTGTCCCCCACCACCCCGTGTGAGACTGATACTCCTACTCCTCCCCCCGCCACATCTACCCCGGTGTCTCCCACTACTCCATGTGAGACGGACACACCCACCCCTCCCCCGGCGTCATCTACTCCTTGCGAGACTGATACGCCTACTCCTCCTCCCGCCACCTCTACTCCGGTGTCTCCCACCACTCCTTGCGAGACGGATACTCCCACCGTTCCTCCTCCTGCCAGCACCACTCCATGTGAGACGGATACTCCCACCGTCCCTCCTCCTGCTAGCACCACTCCTTGCGAGACGGATACTCCCACCGTCCCTCCTCCTGCTAGCACTACTCCCTGTGAGACCGAAACCCCGACAGTTCCTCCCCCGGCTTCCACCACGCCTTGTGAAACCGAGACTGTTCCTCCCCCTCCAGTCACTGTGACTACCACCTGGACTACCACCACATGCCCAGTGACATGGACTACCGTCTCGAGCGGAACGACAACCTACACGCACCCAGTGACCCAAACTAACACAATCACTGTGACATCCGTGTCTACCTGCACCGAGGGTTGCACCCAGCCTACGGTTCCTGTCGTCGTTCCTCCCCCAGTCCACACTACTTCCGTAGTTGTGCCTCCTCCAGTCCACACTACTTCTGTTGTCGTGCCTCCCCCGGTGCAGACCACATCCGTGGAGGTTCCTCCTCCAGTCCACACTACTTCCGAAGTTGTGCCTCCCCCAGCGCAGACTACTTCTGTTGAAGTTCCCCCTTCTGCCACTGAGCCAGCTACCTCGGCTGCATCCACCTCGCCAGTGTCCCCTGTGCAGCCCACAACTGCGGCCACTTCGGCATCCTCAACCACTGCTCCTCCCGCCTCCTCCTCGCCTGCTTTCAACAGTGCTCCCGCTCAGTTCCAAAAGGGCATTGCTGCCTTTATTCCGGGCCTCGCCCTTCTGTTTACTTTGCTGTAATATTTCCATGGTTTAATTCGCCAAGCGCACCGTTATACTCTGGTCAACCGTGGAAGCGCACGCACTCCGTTGAAACCAAAAAAGAATTACAAAAATCTCAAAAAAATTGGATTCAAGTCCGTTCTTTGAGTATGTCTGGGTTATCATATTTTGTGCCGGCACTCTGGGATGGTTATTTAATGGGTTTTTTTGACGACTGACGCTCCTTATCCATGGTAATGGAACCCTAATTCTAGTGACATATATTATTTTATGAATTGATACTATTTTCGATATTTTAATTGTCTTCCTCTGTAACTTGTATTCAGCCCTGTCCAGGGTCCAAATTAGGGCTATGACATAATGCGATAAGGATAAGACGTTTGGCGTGTTTGCATGATGACCCGTGTCCTCATCCGAAGAGAGCTCTTCAGGCCTCAATTAACCGCCAAGTGGCCACAGTATCCCTTTGCTTCCAAATGGCCTAGGTTTTGAGTCATTCTCCAATTTCATCTTTCCTCTTCATCACCAGTCCCTTGAACCCCTCCCCGACCACATATTTGAGCTATCACGTAGCTCCGTCCGATTGTATTTGGTCCGGAGCCAACCCGCACTTCGACCGAGCATCCGGCAGTGGACTGTCAGAACATCTTACTGCTTGTTGAATATATAAGTTCCGAGGAGTAGGTCTACCCATTGATCGCGCAAACACCGCCACTGCAACTTGGCTGACTCTCGTAGGCGGAGCAAAAACATAGATCATGGCGTTCTCGAATCGCCGACAATTTTCCAGCCCGTCAATGCTGTCCCTCGTTGTCCTCCCCTTCCTAGTATTCCTTCTCAGTTTCGCTGGACCAGCTTCTGCCGCCGGATCGGCCGTCCTGGGAATCGATGTCGGTACAGAATATCTTAAGGCTGCGCTAGTGAAACCCGGTATCCCGCTCGAAATCGTCCTCACCAAAGATTCGAAACGCAAAGAGTCCGCTGCTATTGCATTCAAGCCTACACGCGAGAGTGATGCGCCATTCCCCGAACGATTCTATGGCGGTGATGCGCTTGCCCTCACTGCTCGCTACCCGGATGACATTTACATCAATCTGAAGACACTCCTGGGTGTGCAGTTCAACGATGGCGCCGATGAGACGGTCAAGAGCTATTGGAACCGGTTCCCCGCTTTGAGACTAGAGACTGCCCCTGATGGTCGTGGATCTGTTGCTCTCCGCAGCAACCGATTGGGAGAGGCGCAAAAGAAGGAAGCTTTCCTGGTCGAAGAAATTCTGGCCATGCAGTTGAAGCAGGTCAAGGCTAACGCTGATGTGTTGGCTGGTAAGGGGTCTGATATTCGCGATGTCGTCATCACCTACCCTGCTTTCTACACCGCGGAGGAAAAGCGCAGCCTTGAATTGGCGGCTGAGCTAGCAGGCCTCAAGATTCAGGCTCTTGTCAGTGATGCATTGGCAGTTGGATTGAACTACGCCACAAGCCGAACTTTCCCCAGTGTTTCTGATGGCGAAAACCCCGAATACCACGTCGTGTACGATATGGGTGCTGGGTCGACCACCGCCAGTGTGTTGCGGTTCCAGAGCCGCAAGGTTAAGGACGTCGGCAAGCTGAACAAGACTGTCCAGGAAGTTCAAGTTGTTGGATCTGGTTGGGATAAGTCACTTGGAGGCGACTCACTCAACGATGTGATTGTGAACGACATGGTTGCCAAGTTGGCTGAAGAGAAGAAGCTGAAGGATAAGGTCACACCCGCAGAAATCAAGGCGCACGGAAAGACCATGGCGAGACTCTGGAAGGATGCCGAGAAGCTCCGACAGGTTCTGAGTGCCAACACCGAAACTTCCACCAGCTTTGAGGGGCTTTACGATGAGAATGTCAACTTCAAGTATAAGATCTCCCGTGCTACCTTCGAAAAGCTGGCAATCGACTATGTTTCTCGCATTGGTACCCCGGTTGAGCAAGCCTTGGCAGCTGCCGGCATCCAATTGGACGACCTTGAATCCGTTATTCTCCACGGTGGTGCCATTCGTACTCCTTTTGTGCAAAAGCAACTGGAGAGCTTTGTGGGCTCATCGAAGAAGCTTCGGACAAATGTCAACGCCGATGAGTCTGCCGTTTTCGGTGCTGCTTTCAAGGGTGCCGCTCTCAGCCCAAGCTTCCGTGTCAAGGACATCCGTGCTTCCGACGCTGCTTCATACCCCGTCTCTCTTAAGTGGAACTCAGATGGCAAGCAGAGAAACCAAAAGCTTTTCACCGCCACCTCACAGGTTGGCCCTGAGAAGCAGGTCACCGTGAAGAACCTCGAGGACTTCGAATTCAGCTTCGCCCAACTTATTGGCCAGACTGAAGAGCAACCTATTCTTAGCGTTCAGACCCAGAACCTGACTGCGTCCGTTGCCAAGCTCAAGGAATCTTTCGGCTGTACCGCTGCCAACATTACCACCAAGTTTGCTATTCGTCTCAGCCCCGTGGATGGTCTCCCCGAAGTTGTGACTGGTACCGTCAGCTGTGAAGTTGAGTCCGAAAAGAAGGGAATCGTCGAAGATGTCAAGGGATTCTTTGGCCTCGGCAAGAAGGACGAGCAGGACGTTCTTGGCGAGGATGGCGAACCTCGTGAATCGATCACCCTCGAGCCTGAGACTGAGTCTTCGACAACCACTTCCGCCACCTCCAGCACCAAGACCACCACCACATCAACCAAGGACGCGAAGCCGACCCCCTCAAGCAAACTCGAAGTCATCCCAATCAGCTTGAAGTCGGTGGTACTTGGAACCCCGGCCCCATCTGCCGAAGAGCTTCTTCGTATCAACAACCGTCTCATTGCTTTCGATACCTCGGACCGTGAACGTATCCTGCGCGAGGAGGCCCTCAATGAATTGGAGGCCTTCATCTACCGCAGCCGTGATCTCACAGACAACGAAGAATTCGGCAAGGCAATCAAGGCCGATCAGCTGACTGTTCTTGGCGAGCGTGTCTCCAGTGCCAGCGACTGGCTTTACGAGGAGAGTGACAATGCCAAGACTGGCGATTTCCAGTTGAAGCTCAAGGGCCTCAAGGATATCGTCAACCCCGCATTGAAGCGCATGAAAGAGAGCTCTACCCGCCCTGCCCGTGTCAAGTTGCTCCAGGATCTGCTGAAGAATGCGGAATCCATGAAGGACTTGATCAAGAACCAGATCGAAAGCGATGAGCAGATCTACTCCTCTGCCCTTACATCTTCGACCACTTCGACTGAAACCGAGGTCCCAACCGAGACACCGGCTCCCGACGCAGGTCTTGAGGACCTCGAAGAGGACGCCTACTCCAGCTCTACAACTTCCACCAAGAGCTCCGCTGCTCCCAAGCCAACCGGCCCCAAGTACACGCTTTTCACACCCTCCGATCTGACATCTATCAACCAGGCCATTGACTCTACCGGCCCATGGTTAGAAACCCAGCTCGGTCTGCAAGAGAAGCTCACCGAGTCTGACGACCCTGCTCTGACCGTTGTGGAGGTCGACTCTCGCCTGCGTGAGTTCGAGCGCATCCTCAACCGCTTGTACGAGAGGATGACAGCTGCCGCTGGACAGAAGAAGAGCAGCGGTGGTAAGAAGAACTCGAAGGACAAGAAGTCCGAAGAGAAGAAGAAGACCAAGGAGCAGAAGAAGGAGAAGGAAGACCTTCCTAAAGACGAGTTGTAAAATAATTGCTGTCTTTGTTTTTGCATCTGTTTGTCATTTCCGTACAGAGCATTTTCTAACGCAGTTCATGTATCATGCACACTACATCTACACTACAACCTCGAAGATAGAAAAAGCGTTTGCAATGGAGTTTTGGGCTGAGCGTTAGCCATTTCATTCTCTTGTACTTTTGTTAGAGGGCTTCCGAATGGCTCAATAGCTTCCTTTTCCAATATTTCTGCTTTGAAACGACAGACTCTGTGATTCATGTTGAGATCGTCGGGGCATTTGGAATCGTCAGAGCGTTTGCGTTTGCTGCCCGATTGGGGGGCAGACTGTCGAGATTCGTCTTCATTATGCCGGGAAAGGGAGCGGACAAGACGTCCAAATTCGTCTTCATCATCCTGAACAAGGGGCTGGATAGACTGTTGAGGTCGACGGCGAGGGCGATGAGGAGCCTCTTCTTCTTCATTATTGATAAAGTCTTTGAGACTGCCAGCCGACTCTTTATTATCGGTACTTAGCGATGATCTTAGTGGCCTCATCCGTTGGAAGTTCATCTCGATCCTTCTCAATCTGGTCGTGGATCTTAGCCAAGTCCGCCATCTTGCTTATGATTCCCAGCTGTTTGCTGCTCAGGTGTTTGGATACCTTGCGGACATGGCTGTCCAATTATTCCGCGGCTGTAGCGAGGATATTATCATCAGCTGGACGTTTCTTGTTTTTGTTTAAGACGGGACGTTCAGAGTCTTCTTCATCTTGAACAAGGGGGGTAGACTGTCGAGATTCTTCATCATGCCGAGAAAGGGAGCGAACAAGACGTCCAGATTCTTCATCTTGAACAAAGGGCTCAGAAGAAATGTCTTTGTACGGTTCGTTTTGTTTGGGCGTCGAAGGTCTGGATTTTTTCCTAGCGGTTACCTCATCCCAGTTGATAATTGTGCGTTCGGGGTAGGACTCCAGTGTTGTATAGCCGCATTGCTTGCCGGGTATCAGCATTGGCCGTCCCTGTTGTGTCGCGCGAAGCGACACACCCTTTTCAGCGGAGCCGTATTGCTATGCCGTTGTGGGGCCTATGCTAAAATCTATGCGGGACACCGTCGCTGGCGCCGTGTTTGGAAGTGTCGTGTCTAGGCTGTGCGCACCGTCTGAAGAATTGATCTCCAATGGTGTTGCTACTAGACCGGCGCGGAGCCAACCTTTGCGGTAGATGGTCGCGATTGATTTTGTGTTTGGATATTTGTGTTGAAGCAGCCAGCCTGCGTTGTTGCATCCACCTGTGAAAATATAGGTGTCCTTCCATACTGGTAGACATCGCACATTGTTCTGCGTGACGATCACCGTCGGGCCTCGAGGGACCCGGGTTCGTCGAGGTTCTCCACGAGCGTCGAAGTCATATTGAAAGATCGCTGGGCGTTGCTTTGCGTCCAGCGTCAATAACGCGAATATGCTCGCGCGCGAAGGTTTCCGAATCGACTGCGAGTTGGTGTTGTCCAAGTTGTGCTCAATGGCACGGGGTTGTCGAATCTTTCCCAGTCCGCTGCAGAGACGCTAGTCTCGTTGGGACCACGGCCTGGCCCAGAGCGTGGGGCGACGCGGGTGATTTCGTTGTCACAAGTGTCGTGTTGGGTATCAAAAGGACAATCCTTCCAAACTTCAATGACAACCCTGAATCCAGGGTTGAGGAGAGAAGTGCTAGAGCCACGGCGTGATATCGTGAAAGGACGTTGAGGCCGTCCTTTGACCCGAAAGCATCGAGGGCCTGAAAGCCAGGATACAGAAATACCCCAATGCGAACAGGAGGGTTGGGGTTGGGGCCGAGCTTGTGTTGGCTTCACTCGATAATGCAGCTCCCATCGACCACGAACGAATTGTTGTTTGAGAAAAACAAATTGATCGTAAGTGGTGTAGAAGCCATACTTTACGTCCAGCTCTTGCATGTATCTTGCCAATTGGCCAATCTGATGTTGGAACGAAATCTTCTTTGACGGTCCTTCAGTCGGGTCGTCACTCAGCTCATGTTGTTTCACACATGGAGATTTGAGCTTCCCCACAGCCTTGACAGTACTTCAAAGACGAAGCTCATGTTGACACCCCACGAAGCCGGTGCCCAGCAGGAGTTGGCCTCCATTGACCAATTACCGATTGTGACTGTTGTCGATCCGTACGGCATCACAACATCATAATCGATTCCCATTGAGCCAAGCTTGTTATCAACAAAACGGCTAAGTTATCAACAAAACGGCTAAAGGCTCTGATTGGAAATTCATGTTCGCGATTCGGCATAAGCTTGGCAATGAGTAGCCGTTGTTGGGTGTTGTAGAAAAGGCGGGTGGATTTGCGCGTCTCTGCTCGCTCTGTAGATCGACCCAGCTTCTTTGCTTCTTTCTCTCCTTTCTTTCTCATCCAGCCCGTGAGAAAGTCAATACACGAAGTGATTTGCCTGCTTCCGTCTTTCTTGTTCTCGTCATTGTCCATTCGTAAGAACCACGTCTGGAGTGTGCCCGTAGATACCTGTCACGGCTCTGGAGTCGCCAAACGAGATGTCGAGGCCCTGGGATCCAAACCCTGCGGTCATCGCATGGCCAATATTTTGTGCAAATCGGCCTTGGACTCCACCTTCATCTCCAATAAGCAATTGGTCGCTGACGATGTTGTGGGGCCCGATAGCACCCACCGGTCTGATGGTGATATGTAGTACTATTGTGCCTTTCCCAGGCTTGCTGTTCGAATATGGCCCGGACATTGCGTCCGAAGGTAAAAATTCTCGTTACCCGAGTTCATGCGGAGCACTCGAAATGGTGTGAGTCTCTCCGGTCAGCAAACACGGTATTCTCTCTTGTATTGCCCTCTTGGCTCGCTGGGACTATCCTACCATTGTGCAAAGATTGTTGCTGTGTGAATATTCCATTCAGTCTTTTTCATGCCCGTCCGATCTTCGTCTGTTCAGTCTAGACCTTCTTGGCCATCGGCATGTGGCTGAAAGCCAGTGAATGCAGACAGAGGAGCCAGCTGGAGTCGTCCGTCTGTGAACAGACCACTGAGATCACCAGCTTTGTAGGTGAACTCGATATCTAATATCCGCTTCGATGTACCAGTTGCACTGACCAGTTCATCGAGATTGAAAACCGAGTCATTATCGATAGCTCTCGTTACCCGAGTTCATGCGGAGCACTCGAAATGGTGTGAGTCTCTCCGGTCAGCAAACGCGGTATTCTCTCTTCTACTGCCCTCTTGGCTCGTTGAGCCTCTCCTACCATTTTGAAAAGATTGTCGCTCTGTGAGTATTCGCAATCATGGTACGCGTTGTGTTGGAAACGAAGGTGAGGAGTGAGGAAAGGAACGAGGAAAGGAAGGAAAACAGAGTGGGAAGTCTCGCCCTAGGAAGGTACCTTGTACGTAGTTTCCCAAACGGGGAGAGGAATAATCAGGCTCACGCCTCAAAGATCACTGAATGCCCAGTGAAATGCCAAATTCTCATTATAAATTCACTTGAGCTGATGCATTGAGGTCAGTTCAATTGTCAAAGTAAAGATTGAACGAAACGATGTCCAACTTACATCCAGATCATATCATCCTAGGTAGACCCTTCTATGCATTTTTCTTTTCTCTGCAATGATATGTGCCATCCAATATTTCCAGACTCAAACAGAATGTTGTGATCAGGGAATAGGTCGAGGGACATCGATGGCCCCGTCTTTTCAACACTCTAAATAGATTCCACTTGTTACATGGAGTCCCCGGGGTCAATGGCACCGCTAATGTACTGTATGCATTTTTCTATCTACTGGTTGCATGGTTCAGCCGAATACCAGACCCGCATTGTCCGATTGATAGAGGCAGACGCCATCAGTCCACCGTTGGGCGAGAAAGCAATAGAGGTTAGCTCGTATCCGTGCCCTCGGAGTGTTTGGTGAAGGGATCTTTTCATCAAATCCCAGAGCTTCACGGTGCAATCACTGGAGCAAGACGCTAGCAGTTGGCTGTTGGGCGAAAAGACCACCACGTTGACATAGCCCAAATGACCCTCAAATGTCTGTTGTAGAGCTCCAGTTCCCAGATCATATACCCGCACCATTCTGTCCTTGGAAGCAGATGCCAACAGTCGACTATCAGGCGAGAAAGCAACCGATGTGACCTGGTCACGATGACCCTCAAGTATCCGTTCGCACTCGAGTGTCGCCATATTCCAAATTCTAATCGAGTCGTCTATAGCGGCAGACGCTAGGAATGCATTGTCGTAGGAGAAAGCCAGGGAAGTTATCCAACCGTAGTGAGAAAACTCCTTTTGTAAAATCTCAGTCGCCGTATCGAATACCAATACGTCCCCTGAGTCTGAATGACTGGTCCTATCGCCACAGGCCCAAAGAAGATTGTTTGGGGAGTACGCAAACGCCGTAGAAGACGATATCATGGATAGTACAATTCTGAACAGGATTGAGGTTCCTCTTGCAAGTTCCCTGATGCCAGATCCCAGGCCATGATGGTCGTTTTGGACCTGCAGATCAATTGGCGCGTGTCGGATGAAAAGGCCACTGACCGAACACTGTCCATGTGGTGCTGAAGATCAGGACTAGTCTGATACCAATGATTGGGCTTGGTATGCTTTGGTTTAACTTTGTCTTCTATAATGCATGATGCAGGCGTAGAAGCTTCAAGACCTGTCTGCTGCGATAGGCTCGTCTCTTCTTGAACGACGCTCAACCAAGGAGACTCTGTAGTGGTGCCAGGTACATTATTGCCGAGGCTAGCCTCTGGTTTATCCCTAGAAGACTTGATAATCCTTGATGCAGACCTTTTCGCCAATTCTGCGTCTTCTGGGGTAAGTTGTACCTTGTTTGGGACATCGGTCGTGGGCTTGTAGGCCGATGGTATCACCGATTGAACCCATGCGTTTGATTTGGCAGTTTCAGTCGTTTGTCTATCATTGGGACACGGGCGCATGAGCGAGGCAACAAAGTCAATGCTTGGCTGGCTAACACCAGCCTCAACGAGGATATGAGCTGGGAACTGCCGCTGGGATTTGTAGCCTGCAAGTAACCCAGGAGTTGCGAATGCCGGGTTCTTGGAGAGCATCTCAAAAGCAGTTTCCCCGAGAGCCCAGATGTCAGTCGCATATTCAGTCCCTCGTTCAACGAATATCCATAGTTCAGGGGCAAAATATCGAGGGGTGCCCTTCAGCGTCGAAAATTGGCCATGGCTTTCTTCGATGCGTTTAGTGATACCAAAGTCGGCGAGTTTGATCCACCAATTTTTTGGAGGATGTGATTTGATCAGGATATTCTAGACATTGCTTATGAATTCACACTCTGTCACATTTCAAAAGCAGACGTACATTTGGTTTGAGGTCGCGATGAGCAAATCCATTTTCATGCATCATCCCCAAGCCTTCGAGGATCTGGTAGGTGACTTCCTTTGTCTCGGTTTCGGGAAGTGGTGGTCTTTGATAAAGATACGCGAAGAGGTCGCCATTTTCGAGGTATTCCATTGCTATGAAGAGCTTACCAGGACATTCGTACCATCCGAAGGATTTCACAAAACATCGCTCATACTGCATCCATCAGTATAATTTTCTGTGTACGGAGAACACTCTTTCGAAAACCTACGCGAGCATGCGAGAACTTGGCAATCGCTTCCAACTCGCGATTATAATCAATTGAGCCAAGCTGAGTATCCAGATCAATCCGCTTGACAGCTCGAACTGCGGCATCCTGAACGGAGGATCCTTGTCGCCCTTGACTGCATTTCTCCAACCAGACACTGCCGAATCCACCGCGTCCAATTCTTTTGTGTGGCTGCCAGTGCTCTGATCTTGTCACTAGACGCCGTCCAGAGGATGGATCTGATTCTTCGAATTTGTGAACTGTCTCCACTCTATAGTCCGGGAGGAAATGTATTTCCAGTTGTGAGTCTCGAATGAGGTCAGAAACATGTGCCTTTTCGATATCCTAGTGAACAGCTTCGTGGGGGTTTGATGTTTGTGCCGTGCGCCAGTACCCCTGCAGGTCACCTGATGTAGCCATTCCGGCTCCCTGGGCACCGATCATCGGGCCTCGATCTGTCTACCTACACAATCCAAGTACAGAGATACACTATTTTCCCCGGATTGACTTCTGAGGATTCTTTACTGCCAGTTCGGGTCTAAAACAGAATCAACATCAGAATCAGAGTCCAAAGATAGGGGCTTAGCTGTAGGGCATATGCTCTTGGTTTTGGGGGGTATAACAGGCCTGGGCATAGGCGTACGAGTACCTCTCCCGGCGACTTCGTGCTTGGGCTTAGGCTTCAGACGCTTGGTAGCAGTAATTTCCGTAGAGTCGCAGTGTCTCTCATCATAGAGAGCTCTTTGGTATAGATTCAGGGCATTTCGCAGCCTTTGTATAGATAGCACTCAATCCAATCATCACCTGTACAGAGCGCCCAACGTGAAGTACCTTGAAGTCAGTCCAACGAACGTCATATGTACACACTCTACAGAGTACAGAAAGCTTCTTTCCTTTTTCTCTTTGTTTCCATTTTTTGATCGCTCTTTCCAAGGGATTTCATTAACTATATCCTGATGGAATATTCACCACTCTTCTTCGCTCTCGTCGCAAATCACACAGAAGATGTCTGAGATCGGCTGGTTCCCACGCAAATGGTTCTCACCAGGCTCCGAATTCCACTCCTCCACCCCACATGATACTGTCTGGAGAGTACAAGAAAAATTCCCACAGCACACATACGGCCAGAAGAAACACATGCGGCCAGAAGAGCAAGAGCCTCATACGCACAGGTCAGGGCCATCCACTGCAGAGGAAACAGTCCTTGTACAACATGATGAAAGCAACCAAGTTGCCTTCATGAGGGTGTATGTTCAAGTTCCTCACGGTGGCACAGAATTCAAGGACCCTGCTGATCGACGTGTTCAGGCCAGTGTGTGCCGGATCTATGAAGTGAAAGCGTTAAGAAAGCTGGTCCAACCATATGCAAGTCAATACGCTTGGAAGGCATAGCCGCTGCAAGCGAGGAAAACGAAACCGTTAAAAGGCGCCCCTGCTGGAGGCCCCGCAAGAAAAACATTCGCAAAACAAGCTCGCATGACAGATCCAACTCCTGACTAATTACGTGCTTTCGACATTTTGCAGGACGAATTCAGACGGCCGCAGTGGCTGGCTCACTATGATAAGACGAAGCAGCTGTTCATAGATATCGACGCGTCAAAGGCCATGGGGTTCGGCGCAGTGGCGTACCACGCCGAAGGACACGGTGGACCATTGTCAGCCCCACCAGCTCAGTCGACAGTACGGCCGATTTGTTTCTTGAGCCGTCTGCTCACAAAGCCGGAGCAAAACTACGAAATCAGACAACAAAACCCAACTTCGATAAGTTGGCCTCTATTTGGAGTGTGTACGGTCTGGCTATCTCCCTGCCAAATCCCTGGGACGAACATGATCCCTCAAAATGGCAACCTTAGAGTCGTGAACGCAGAACGCCATGAAATGAAGTCTTTCTTGGTCGTATAATGCCTTTGAATATTAATGTCAATCCTAATAAAGAGACCCTTCAAAAAAGTGCAATAGAACCTTGAAAATTTTACTTTTATAGGGAGATAATCAAAGTAGATTCAACTTCAACATAGTGATAATTGTAGTGAGAGTAGTGACAGACGGCTGGGCAGAAAGAAAACAAGGAGACCTAACCCACTATACTTAAGTAGGCAATGTATTGGTGATTCAGGTATCTTCATTTTCTGTCCGACAAAAGCCCAGGCAGCAATAGGAGAGAATCAAGCAGAAGGAGGTGCTTAGCGCTAGACCTGGTCGCTGTACCTCTGCGTAGCCTAAATCTAGATCTTTGACCAGCGCAGGAGTACCGCAGCAGCAATGACTGGCAGCACACTGACCAGCTCTCCCAACCCGGCAAACCTGGGAGGAACTCTCGCATTGACAAAAGCGCCCGCAGCGAGAAGAATTGCAAAGGTGTTATAGACGAAGCTCCAGCCAAAGTTGAACATGATGCGGTTGACTGATTGCCGACTGGCGTTCATCATGGCAGGAATACCGGCCAAGTTAGGCCGCATGAGGACCACGTCTGCGGCAGACTGGGCCACATCTGTACCTTCGTTCATGTGGACGCCAATGGTAGCTTGCGCAAGAGCAACAGCATCGTTTGTACCATCACCGCAGAAAACAACAACAGGTTTCTTCCGATCTGTCTCCGAGCCGAGCAGAGACTGTATGTAGTCTTTTTTGTCACCGGGCGAGCTTCGGGATCGGATGTTCTCACATGGGATATTGAGCTTCGAAGCCAAAGTCTGGACTGCTCTCTCTTCATCGCCAGAAACAACATGGACCATCACGCCACCCCTTTGTAAATTCTGAATGGTCTCCTGAGCGTCAGATCGAACCTCGTCCTCAAGACCATAGACTGCATGCAAAACATCGTCGATAGTGAAGCAGAGGACGGTATACCCTTGGGCAAGCATTGGCTGAACAATCGCATTTTCTGACAAATTGAGCCATCGGGAGTTGCCTGCTCGAAGTAACTGGCCATTGAAGACACCTTCAACGCCCTTGCCAGTCAGACTCTTGGCATTGGGGACAATGGAAGGAAGAACTCCATCGTTTTTGAGACGAGCAGCGACGGAAACAGAAACTGGGTGTCGACTGTTCTCCACGAGGCCTAGTAGAAGCGGAAGCTTGTCCACACTGACGGAGTCTTCTGTAACAACAGAGAGTTTACCGCGAGTCAAAGTCCCTGTCTTGTCAAAGACGACATGCGATGTCTTGTGAGCGACTTCGATGGCATCCGCAGATTTGAAAATGATGCCTCTTTCCGCCGCAACTCCGCTAATGATAACAATGACCATGGGAACAGCTAATCCAATGGCACAAGGGCAAGAGACGATGAGAACAGTAATGGCGTAAGTAATGGCCTGGATGGTAGCTTCGGATCCATCATAACTACGAACAGTCATTCCCACCGCAATCCATGTCACAAAAGTGATGATTGTCAGTGCTACTACAACAGGAACGAAGTAAGATGCGACTTGATCCGCGAGATCCTGCAGCTTAGGCTTCGATAATTTGGCCTCGTCAACCATTGCAGCGATGGAATTGATGGTATTGTCGCTAGGCAAGCGATTCAGTCGAACTGTCATCACTCCACCTCCATTGATGGATCCAGCAATGACCACTGATTTGGCATATTTTTCCACCGGACTGGATTCACCCGTAAGCATTGACTCGTCGACCTCAGAAGACCCATCTATAACTGTGCCGTCGGTGGGGACTGTAGTGTCAGGAAGGACTTTGAATGTATCGCCGTATTGAAGAAGACGGGCGTCAATTTCCCGTTCCGCTCCAGTGTTTCCATCGAGGAGGGTAGCTGTTGATGACTGCAGGGAACGGATGGAAATTGACTCCACAGCTCGCTGGCGAGCAAGAGCGGCAACCCATCGACCAACCATAATCAAGGTGACCAAAAGAGTGCTTGTTTCGAAGAATTGACCAGTGGAAAGTGGCTTCTCTGCGATGGAGTATCCAAAGGAAACAACCGAAAATATGTACGCGGCACTAGTGCTCAAAACGATCAACAGGTCCATTTCGATAACCTTAGAGAATATGAGTGCTTTGAGAGCCTTGGGGTAGAATGGCCCCGCTATGACAACCTGAACAATAGTAGCCAAGGCGAGTGAGGCTGATGAATATGCCACTTCCCTCGGATGGAGCGGGGCCCAAGCCATGACGAGAACCGGGATCGTCAACGCAGCAGAGAGAAGTGTCATGTATCCGACATTGCGAACATGCTTGCTGCCAGTCTCTAATGAAGGATCACCGCGCGGAGGCGCAAGCTGGATTGGTGGGCCCCAAACCTTCTCGACGAGATCTCGGGCGCCGACAGTCTTTGGGTCAAACACCACGCGAATGATCTGTTTGTCCAGGATTGTCATGTCAATAACCCCGTCGGGCCACTTCTGAGCAATGAGCCCCGAGGAATCGCCAGGCATGACCAGATCTAGACTAGATCCTCGGTCTTGGACTCTTTCACACTTGAATTCGGTTGTTCGCCCCAGGTATTTGATTACCTCCTCTACTGTGGAAAGGCGAAGGTCAACATTGAACTCAGCTCGCGAAAGAACCAGGCTTGTTTTTAGATCGGCGACCGCAGGCAGAGCAGCGAGTGTTCGGTTGAGCTTTGTCTCGCACCCAGTACAAGTCATACCAGAAATGCTGAGAACAACGCGTTCATTGCCGGTACCTTGACCTTCTATATCGGGGATGGCCTTGATATGAGATTCCTTCGTCTGCTGCTGTGCATCAAGTGGAAGAGAGGAGCAGCATGCATCTGCACAAGAGGTGGCTTCAGACCTGGAAGACATTCTTTCATTGCAGCACGAATCCTTTTGACCGGAGTTTGAAGTTTCTTCAACCGCATTTACTCCCGGCGACTTGCAGCAAGAGTCGGGGCAGGTGGCATTAGGTGCCCTTTTGCGGGTTACAGGTTCCGGTGAAGCACAGCAAGATCCTGAACTTCCACAAGTCGGGTTCTCAGCTGCGACCTCCATCTTGGAACGGCACAAGCCACCCTGCTTGCCTTTTTTGCAACCGTCTCCCGAAGGGTTGTCCTTGTCCAAACGGGAGCCGAGGGAGTCGACTTCGAGCGAGCTTGAAGTCTCGACACTGGGACAGCACGGCTTCGAGCATTTATTATTGACGTGAGGCTTCTTCAAAGGCTTTCCTGTCGAACAGGGAGAGACACGACCCGAGTCCGCGCAGTCCCCACGAGCAGATTTACCAATTTCACCAGAGCCAGTTCGCAGACGGAGATGGTTTTGCAAAGCCTGGTACCTAGTAACAGAGTCATTGCTGCGGCCAGAATCCAGCGATTTTTGAAGGAGGGAACGTGCAGATGACCTTTCGGAATATTTCTGTTCGTCAAGCGAATGGCGCTCTCGAATTTCACAGCAGGTCTTTTCGCCAAGAGCAATGAGTGATCGGCAAATACATCCTAGGGCTTGTAGCGTAGCACCGTAGCGATCGAGGGCAGAGAGGCGATGGTGGTTGCATGCCATGCTGCCAGTAGCTCCATCACAGGCTGAAGGCAATTAGCAATTTTACAACACCCAAGTAAAGAGTGTACACCCACAAGTCGGTTGACAGCCTCCACTGAACGAAGAGTTGACTGTGTTCTTCGAGCATTCTCGCAAAGCCAAACGATCCAGACAAGACGTGTCGCAACACGGGCCGACTTTGTCACGGCAACAGTCGGGTGCATCGCTTTGGGCACTTTTACCAGTGTCCTCGCATTTCCCTGTGGTGCAGCAGCCTGTTGGCTTCAGCGGCAGAGAGTCTTGCGAATTCAGAGCTCCATCATCTGGAGACTTGGGGTCGTCATCTAAAGAACTATCCTGGCCGTTGTTTGTCCCAGTTGGAGATGCGATTGGCATACCAATCAGTTCAGAGGGTGGGGCTGGAGAACCTCCACAACAATCATGTCCCATTGTCGAAATGATACGAAGATATCTCGTGGGTCAAATTCAAGTGAGTTGTGGAAGTGAACTTGAGGGAAGGTGCAGGTTATCCTGGGGGACCGTGACCCGTGACCCCGCCCCTGCGCACGCCTGACTAAACCAGGCACCAAGCCCTGGAGCCCTCCAAGCCTAAAATCCACCGGCCCACGCCCAAGCTTTCAGTGACAATTATTCATTCCACGTCATGCAAATGCAGAAAATTTAATTTGCCCTTCAGTAACAAAAATATTACGCCATCAAGTAATTTCAGAGTTTTCAGAATAAGATATCGATGCCGTTGTCACTCGACGTAATCCCTTGCTTCATTTGTTTGATCCTCCAGTCTACCTCTGCGATGTTGGAGAAATTTTTACCTAGAGCCCTTTTTAAGTCAAGCTACTAAGTATTCATTAGAACAAACTTTTTAATAATCTGAAAGATACAGAAATCCTTTCGAACTCAACTCAGCTAACTCTACCCTCCGATGCTATAGTTTAGATTCACATGCATCAGGGGCTTAACTACTAGCGCCCCAAATGAGGTTTCCGGCGATTGAAAACCCCTCCGGGGAATGAAAGTCGCAACGAGAACACTTTTCCACCAAATGCCCCCTTTGTCTTTTGTGTTGTTTTGTTTTTTTACTTCAATTATTTTTAGGACTGCTCATCTAGAATGACGTGTCACTGAGTCCTTTAATTGCTCAAAGATACTGTGATGTTGAACCGTCGATCTCTCTTTAGCTTTGTTTGTCACTGGAATTCCCGAGCCATTGGACCTTTTTATCAATCAGAGCAGGTCACATCTTGCTGATGTAAAAGTAGAACATGAACATGCGAAGACAACAAAACTGCGCTTTCAAACCAATGATCAGCCACAGCAAGTCAGCACCTCACACGAGGTACGGCATTTGACTTGACATAGCTTAGACCAATCGCTGTGCACATCAGTACCAGATGCTATGGCCGACGCAGATGTAGATCCCAGCTCCGGTTGCACGGTAGCTGAATGAATACCATAGCTATGGAAGCACTCAGTCATCGTGTTGGCGATCTGTACGAACTCGGGGATGGTCTCTTTCGAGATGGTAATGTGGACGGATGCTAGAGCCTTCTCTTGGTTGAGACGCCAGACGTGGAGCTCGTGGACCGATAAGACACCCGGGATCTTGATTCGATTAACGTTGTTAGATTGGTAATGGTGGAGGTGGATTGAAACATACCGTTTCAAGATCATGCTTCACGTCTCCCAGATCAATGCCGTTTGGAACACTCTCAAGTAGAATTTTACCCGAGCTTCTCACTAAACAAATGGAAAATATTAGCACTTGAAAAATCACCGATGTCAAGATGATACGAACCAAGTGGGATAGACGTTGTTAGGATAACAAGGGCGATAGCCATGCTGATAGTAGGGTCTGCGTAGTAACGATTTGGGTACGTAGTGAGCCAGATCACAAGTGCTGAAATTATGACACCAACGTTGTTGGCAGCATCACCTATGACATGGATCAAGACACCCAACATGCCGAGATCATATCCCTTCATCGATGGCTGGTGGTTGTTGTGGCGATGGTTATCGTGGAAAGCAAAGACCTGCAATAGAATTGGATGAGTTTCAAACATCCAACAATCAGGATGTTTGGATCAAGCCTCACCTGTTCTGTACCGTTTTCTGTGTTGCCTGAATCTCCCACGACGCTTGAGGCACTTGAGTTGTCGCCATGTGAATGGCCGTGGTCGTGGCCATGTTCTGAAACGACAATTTATATGAGTATTTTGTTGGTGGAAAAGACATGAGAGTCACAAACCATGGAGAAACGAGGCGCTTATAATGTTGAGAGCAAGGCCAACGCAGCCAATGATGAGCACGAGCTTGGGCTGCTCCACGACTGCGATGGAATTAATGAGATGAAGTCATAACGATCGGAAAACCTCGCACCTTGGATAGATACAAATCGCTCTATGGATTGTAAAAGAATGCTCACACCCAGAGCAAGGAGAAACACGCCGTTGAAGAATGCACCGAGAAGTCGAGAACGCTGCCAGCCAAATGAGAGGTCTTGGGGGGAGTCTTTCTTCGCGGATATCTGATTTGAGTTAGAGCTGAGCGGATGATCCGAGAAACAGTACGTTGTACCTTCAAAGCGGCGAAAGCGACGATGAAACCGATCAGGTCATTCAGCTAAAGATGGTCAGCTGCGTTTCTTCTTTCAGACAGTGTTGGTAGGTGATCATACGTAGTGAAAGGCATCTGCAACCAAGGCCAGAGACCTTGTGTAAAAACCAACTGAGGCGATGAAAGTCAGAAGACGGATGTGGTTGGAGGGGGTCTCATTGTGGTAATACCGGATATTTCTGCTATAAAGAAGCAGAAAGAGATAGAAATGACCAGCTGCAAGCGTTGAGACTGAGTCGAGCGTAGACCCATAGCTGAGGAAAATATTATTATTGATCGGAAGATAGAGTATCGGTAGATGGGAGGAAAAGGAGAAGGGGAAAACAAGGGAAAACCAAAGAAGAAAAGGGAATGGCCTTGGAAAACGGTAGGTGGCCATAGAATCCAACTCAGAGCTTAGCGGTCCGCGGGATTGTTATCGGTGGAGTGGCCAGACAGGCATTCTCTTACGCTACTCAATAATTGGCGCAATACATAGTCCCGTACGTTGAACCCTTCAGGCATCTGCTCCTCTCGTGGAAGATATGGGCATTGTTTTCTATAGATTTATGAACCAGCAGGACCTGATGATAATTACCATCCAGTATCTCTGATTTTGCACACAGGTACAAAACCATTCAATTAGTTCAAATTACCGTCCACCGGGCTAAACGGAGACGGAGGATCCGAAGTGCCAGAAAAGCCCGATCCCTCAGCCAAGTTGCCCAACCAGCTCGGTTGGAACTCTCGTTGTTTTCGCATTGAATGTGGCCTAATCCCCAAGAAGATTCAGTTTAATTTTGACCCATTTTAAGACCAGACCGCAAATTAGAGCAACAAGGGCACAGTTTCTCAACACCATGTCAATTTGTTTAACACCGCAGGATTTGTTCCCAATGCCGCAATGTCTTGGCTCTCATGACTCATACGATTCAATCCCCGGGGTCTAGAGAAGACGAGAAACTCCCAATTACCAATGTTGATTTTGCGCCACATGCTTGAGCACAGCTAGATCTTATGTCCATGCTTCGAGGCCAATACTACGTCTTTTAATGTCAACGAATCGTAACTCCCAGTCTCCAAGTTTCCAATCTCATCGCGGAAAAATCATGGATTTCATCGACGGTTATCATTCGCTGCCATGGCAGGAATAAATTATGTCAAAGGCAAAAGAGGAAATGAATTCTTAGTCTGATAACCTGCGTTGGAATTTTAAGGTCAGAAATCTGCCAAAAGCTGCTGATTGACAAGCGAAAAAGAGTGGATTCCTCAGGCAGAAGTTTGAGAGGGTGTTTTCAATAGACCAAATCTCAAGAATATCGACACCGGGGTGACTTGGAGATATAGAAAGCATCGCAATGATACAGAGAGGTTCAAATAAAGTTAATTAAGGATCGGACAAGACCTCTAAATCCCATGATTCCCACGTCTATTGGTCCAAGGGGCTTTCACCCACAAGGTCCTCACCCCCAAGGTCCTCACCACCGATGCCCGCAGGGTCCTCACTTCAACAATAAAGAGCCATCGGCCTAAACATATCACAACATGCTCTTAGGCTGCTTTAATAGAAATTGACTGGGTCTAATCGGCAATTTTCAATCAAAGTCACTCGGTCGCTACCAAATTGCTGTGCTCCTGTCACTTCCACACATCAACATGAATGATCCGAACTTCGCTAAAAACCGAGGCCCTACTCTGTTCGTTGGGAAGCACCACTTCCAAGGTCTGTAACTTGGGAGAAAATGGCACATTGGTCAATAAGAATGGTTTCATCATAAATCAGGTATCATGGGTTTTTTGCTGGAAAAGTAGCGAGCCTCACGCATCAAGTATTCAGATTAGGTCACGTGCGTAGACCCCGAGACTCTCATCGTCCATGATGTGACCCACCTTCACAGCCAATCCCTGTAGGTGCTTCATTTTTGACAGTGGAAGATAGCCAGGGTTACCAACTTGCCCTTGATTATCACCTTGGACCCTGCACTCCCATCATGTGTCACCCCTCTGAAAGACAGATTGTGTTCGAGGCTAGTGGTGAATTCTTTCCATTCGATCAGATAGGTGGAGAGCTTGTTTAGTTGACCTCCCCGTCAACCTTGGAAGAAATAATCTCTGTTATGCATGAGGGTGGTTTACGTTCCTTGGATTTTAAGAAGGTGTGATGAAGAGAGAGAGAGCAAAGAAGCTGAGTCTATCTACAGAGCAGGCGGTCATCTTATCCCGGCGATCCAACAAATTCCACGAAGATCATGCTTGCTTGGCCAATCCGGCATACCAGAATTTGCGACTATGGTCAAATCTTCAACCAACAGGCTAAAGCTCAAATCTCTGCCGATTCTTCTCGACCCATTGCTTGAGACTGGCTGGAGCCTTTCCGGTGTACTTCAGCACACTTTCAGAGGCACCTTGATACTCGTCTGCGTGCAGTGACTTGCCTGCATCATACACCGCATCATGGACCATCCAAGCGGCAACCGGCGTAGGGATTCCTATCTCGCACAATTGCTTCACCGCTTCTTCTTCCCCGATCTTGGTTACTTTGATGGACTTGCCCAATACCCCGCCAATCACTCCCATTGCGTCTTTCAGGGCCAGCTTCTCTTGGCCGACAATCCCCACAACATGCTCTGTGGCGCCGTGGGCGAGAATTATGCCGGAAACTCGTCCCACATCATCTGGTGAAATCCAATCAAATTCCGCGTTGGGGTTCGGTAGTTTGACATCTCCCTCGATAATACCCCTTTTAGAGTTCAGCGAGTTGCTTGAGAAATAAGCTGGGCGAATTGCAACGAAATTCTCATTCCCGAAAACCTCTTCCAATTGAACCTCCACTTGTGCGTGGCGATAAGCAATAAAATCTGAGGAGATCGTGGCGCGAATGTCACCTGAGACAGTAAAGCTACTCAGGAAAACCACGGATTGAACACCGCCTTCTTTCAGAGCTCGAAGACTGTCCTGCATTTGACCGTCTCCGACAACATAGATGAAAGCCACAGTGGCACCGGATTGACGGGCAGCAGCTTGGACACTCTCTGGCTCAGTGAGATCCGCTGAGATCTTGTTGAACTGGATGCCATCTAATTTGGGGATCGGCTTTGCCGTGTCTCGGACGGCGAGAGAGACTTTGGCACCTTCTTGGTGGGCTTGTAGCGCTGCCGCAGAGCCCACATCGCCTGTTGCGCCGAAGACAATCACATTTCGTTTTGTGGCCATTTTGACTTCTTGGCGGGGTAAGAAAAGATGTGTGTGTTTATCTTCTCCCTCTCTCTTCTCTTGATCGGGCGATCGTAGAGTCGAATGTCGGAATTTTCGATGCTCCTTCGTGCGAGGCCTGAATATTGACCCCGTTTAAGTATATTTTGGGATTCGTGTCTGGTGGGTTGGGCTGTCAAGTGCGGTTAATAGAATCTGAGTGATTATAAATGCCCTCGGTTGGAGCGGTCTTTCGCACGGATTGATCCTTGCATTGCGCATTTGCCCTGCTTCCAGTTGACTTGGGGGCTCATGGTGGATCGGTGAGGGATAGTGGATTCGATGATGAATGCATTGAGGTCACTAGAAAAGACCAATGATCGAATGAATATTGGATCCGACAGACTTTCAGACAAGAAGAAGTGAAAAAAAAAGTGAAGGAAAAGTCAAGGGAAAGAAAGGAGAGGCGCCATCACGTTGAAGCCTGAGGCACCGACCTGAATACTTATCACTTCCAACTTATGAAGTGAGCAAGTTATCGGGCTGGGTTTGTACGTATCCTCTTCTCTCTCTTCAAGAAAAAAGTGAAGTTCATAGATCAAAGGCCATTTCTCCAAAATCAGAATTTCATTGCATATATCTGCTCCATGTTCTTCATTTTCTAGCAACAACGCCGTTTCATTACGAACATTCCAGTGATAGCCTGAGCCCAAAGAGCTTTCCAGATGAAGGACCTTTTATTGATCGAAGTCATCTCCTTCGTCGTCGCTCTTTTCGTCCCCCAAACCAAGTCCGAGTCCGAGTCCAGCTCCCAGACCACCCCCAGAGGCCCCGCCAAGACCTCCCCCATATCCTCCCCCAAATCCATCGCCAATGGAGCCGCCGCCACCGCCGCCACCGCCCAGACCGAGGCCTTCACCAATGCCGGACCCAATGCCAGAGCCTAGGCCGACACCCTTATCACCGCCTGCACCACCACCTATAGCAGGAAGTTAGTATGATGGAAGTGTTGTTTCTTGCTCATGTGACGAACAGATAAGATCAGCTAGCTCGCCACTAGGCGCAGCAATAGGCGCAGCGACAGCGGCAAGGGCCACGCTGAAAAGCGCAACCACAAAGTTGGTCTTCATTGTGTCTCGATTATGCTATTTATCTCTGAATCTTTTGTCAGCTCATTCCCACTATGGATCTGGATGGGATTACCGAATGGTTTCAGACTTCAGGGAATAATAGGGAGAGAATTGAAATGGTTTCTCAAATTGATCTTCATCCTCGTGGGCCATCATCCTTTTATACAGCGGTCTCCGGTCTTTTGAACGCTTCTCCCTTGGGAAGTTTGTATAGCTCTCATAGTAGACAGATGGATTTCGGTCGGACCAGTTGTTTCACGATGGTAAGTGACCGATGTGAAGAGCCTGGTTTTGAATTTTCGGACGGCCTGGTTCCTGGTGTTGGTAAGTTGAGACTTAAGTGAGTTCTAAGGTTTGAACATCTGTCTCGGATATCTCTGTGTAGTACGGGCTTGCGTATAGAAGGGGTCTTGCATATTGAGGAAAGCATTGTCGTCCAGGTTCCTAGGGCTCGTACTCTTAGGCTAGTCCTAGCTACTTTACGAACAGTCGTAGTCTACGGTGTCAGCGTATCATTACAATCGATATTTCAAGGTTGTTCCTCCTCAAAGTGAATGAATACGGAGGAATCATTTGAACCAAAAGAATCAACAGGATCAAGTTCGGTAGAGGGCAATCATCCCCGCTTTCAAACCAGTCCAGGCCCCTTGCATATATCCGGTACGTGAGGTAAGCTCATGCTGTACAATCTTCGGAGATGTTGCAGTTAGGCTTTGACCTCGTGGTGATCACGAGAAGTTCCAAAGTTTTCCTTGCTATTTGCATTGCGATATTCCATACTCCATACGGAGTACTTTAGATGACTCGAAAGGCAAAGATTAGGTGTACATACCCCATTCCATCTGCATGATATTTACTAAGATCAGCTTATGCTCGGTTTCGTGAAGAGTTAAAAAATCCTCGCCATCAAATTGACTGTCGCTCTCTTTGTGTGCCGACCTACGATGAAATACTCAAGTGAGTGGTAGGATGATAGGGCACACGTTGGATCGGAAGTATGCATGCCGATTGTAGCCCAGTCGGAGACGACTTCACTTGTCTCATACTTGGATCAAAACCTTATGAGACTTGTTTGGGAGACTGATGAATATACTTGCGACAAGTCAATATCTGCTCTAGTGACGATGGCGAGGCAACACGTGAGCATCGGATTCGGCAAGGGACTTAACGCGGAGTTAAGGCCGGCAAACGACGCGGTCTTTGGCAACGGACGACGGGGACGAATTGTCCGACCTTCTAAGATTGCATGATGTCATAAAATGAGCGTGAAGCAACATCGAAATTTGGCAGAGAGTGATAGGTACTATCTACTTGGTGTACTCTCCAGTCAAATGATACTTGGATCTATCTGCAAGAAACCCACAGCTTTATGCTGGAGTTGATATTTATCCTCATTTCCCTCATTGACTTCATTCTAATATTACACCGAGGGCTTCAAGAAAATGGGAGAATATGGGTGATGGCTCTAGCGGACGGAGATAAAGCTAAAGCCCGATATGTGATGGAGAACGGCGGCGACCTGTTTTGCTCTATAAATGTTGACATCCTTGATTTTAGGAGTCGGATTAATTGTTTTTATCTTATTCTCATACTACAGACGACATTGATCAGATCAAGTTTCCTCAATGTCCGTGATCGTCTTTGGTCCCACCGGTGGTGTCGCTTCCGTTGCGGCACTCACTGCCCAAGAGCATGGCGCCGAAGTTTACCTAGCCATGCGAGACACACAGAAGCAAATTCCCGGACTAAGCCCGGAAAATGAACAGAAAGGCGGATTCAAAAGAGTTCAAGCCGACCTGACCAACCCGGAGTCTGTCGCCGCAGCCGTCAAATCATCCGGGGCAAAGCGCGCATTCACATACCTTGCTATCGGTACCCCGGACCACATGCGCACCACATTTGCGGCAATGAAATCGGCTGGGATCGAGTTCGTTGTTTTCCTCAGCAGCTATACCGTCGCTGGAGAGCCGAAAGATGTCTCTCCTGCTGATCTCATCCCTTACGTCCATGCGCAGGTAGAGATCAGCCTCGACGAGATTTACGGACAAGAAAGCTACGTTGCTCTGAGACCGGGTGGCTTTGCGACGAATCTGCTGCGCTTCAAGAAGGGCATTCAGACTGGCGAAGTCAAGGTCTGGGCTCCTGGCTTCAAATTCGACTGCATTACACCGGGTGATATGGGTCGCGTGAGTGGAACGATCTTGGTCCATGGGCCGAAGAATGGACAGAGGAAGATTTATCTATATGGTCCCCACCTCATCGCTCAAGGAGATGCCATCATGGCCATTGGAAAAATCGTTGGCAAAGACATCACTCTTGCGACTATTGGCGAGAAAGAAGCTTTGGACGAGTATATTGCAGGCGGAATCCCCAAGCCACTAGCCGAATATATGGTGCAGAAGTCTGCAAGCACGTCTAATGAGCTTACAGACCGGGCTTGTTATGATATTGGGGTCGAGAATGTGGGGCTGTATACGGGGAAGCCTTCTACCAAGTTCGAGGACTGGGTTGCAGAAAATAAGGAGCTCTTTCTGGCCTGATGTCAAAATGAACATAGGCCGTCCAATATTCACATAACGATGGCCAGTCAGTCATAGCGCAATCAAGAAGGGCAATATTGAATATCCCCATCTGTGGTGCAAATCCCCATTTGCTCGAGCCTTGAGGCTTGGTAAACGGAGCCAAATTGGAGGAGCTACAATGTCGTTTTGGCTACTTAAGTATGAATAATTATCTAGATCCTTTTGTAGATCGACCAAATCTGTATTATCGATTGTGATAGGGTTCTGGTCGATGATAGCCAGTTTGCTGAGCACTTTTACCATTTTTGCATTTCAGAAAGCCCAAATGTTTTGCTCTTGCCACAAGCAATGTTTCTTTGATCACCATGCCCAGGCATCATCGTCACGAACACTCGCATCCCGGCCTATTCTGAACAAGATTTTGCTGATTGGATCGGCAAAGTAAAACATTTCATCGTCGTCTCTTGGTTCGTGTACAAGACGACCTAACACTTGAAGGATTTCAACCCCGAAAGAAGGGTATTCCATGATCTCTTTGCTGAACTTGTGGTTTGGGACTCGAAGAAAACCATCAACGCATGCTTCGACTAGAAGGGTCCGCACTGGATTACCCGGAGGCAAAAGGGTTGCCGAGACAATGTGGTCATGGTTGAGGTAAACGGTGTTGGCTTCAGGGTACCGCCAATGTGGGACTTCGTCTTTGTCTGGATCAAGATAGGATAACAAGATCTGTCTGATGTAATAGGCCGTGTCCTGCTCCAGTCGATGAATCTTGTACATGTCCCCAAGCCTCGCGAGCTCCATGGCGGCTGAGATGCGCTTCTCTGGGTCTTCGATATCGAGTTCGATGGTGCGTTGGTATAGCCATCGGACGAAAGCTTGAAAGCTAAGCACAGAGACGATGTCTTTCATCTCTCCAATACTCGCTTCCTGTTGTTGAGACTCCTGGAACTTTCCATTGAACATCGCCGAGAAGACTGGTGATACCGCACACAAGAGGGGTTTGGAAACAACATATTCCTTGTTGCTAGGCTGCAGTCGAAGTGTCACGGAAGGCCCATTGCAGAGAGGAAGAATACTGGACAATGAAGTCAATGAAAAAGCACTTATCAAAAGGTTTCGATTTCCCTACTTGGAAACGAAGTACTCAGTGCTCGTGTCTGGTTTGTAGGGTTTGTCGGTGTTGGCCATTGTGAAGAATGGCTCAATGGTTGGTAGAAAGATGGATCAAAGTATGGGGAAAAATGTCAATGTGTCATCGAGTGAGGAGAGAAGCCCTGTGTGAGCTCCTTTGGACATTGAACTGGAGAAAGTGAAAAAAAACCAAAGGCAGAGTAGAGAGCATCTGATAGATGCAGGGTATACTACGAGTAGAGCCTGCACTAGTCCAAATCTGGGTTGGGGACTACGCTAAACCCAATTCGGGAGGGAAAAAGTTCAAGCTCACTTCTCCTCTTCTCTCCAACCCCACTTTTACAGCCATTTTACACGATGGAGAAACCCGAGATCGTGGAGTCTCCGCGAAAGCGCCAGAAGACAGATGATGCGGGCTCAATTGCGATCCCTCTCGGTGGCGACAGCGCGTCCGACATCCCGACTGTCGCAGTTACCGATGCCCAGACTCTGAAAGAAAACGAAGTCGGAATTACGGAGTTTGTGAGCAACGACTCGGAGGGCTTCGCTGGTATTCTCAAGAAGAGGTGAGTTGTTAAGGTTGGCTGTGTTATGATCGCCGCTAAGTTTTGCCTGCAGATACACCGATTTCGCGGTCAACGAGATCACAACTACCGGCGAAGTTGTCCACCTCCGAAACACGAGAGCCCCCCATACCTCTAGCAACTCCAAGCCCGAGGCGCCTGCCCCCGCTGCGGAAGCCAATCCTACCGAGCAGACCGAAGCCGCTCCCGCAAAGACCGAGGAGCCAGCCGAGTTCAAGGTGTCGGAGGAGGACCATGCCCTCCTGGTTGAATACTTTGGCTCTCAGAATGCCACCGATATCATTGCGCTTCACCACAAGGCCATGTCCAAGCCTAAGTCCCGACCAGGTGAGTTTGGTCAGGTCAGCGTTGCCGTGACGGACCGTGACTTGCGCACCAAGATTCACCAAGCTATCCGACGAATTTTCAAATCGCAGCTTGAATCTACTACCGATTCGGAAGGCATGATGGGAATTCTCGCTGCGGCCAACCGCTTCAAGCGCGACCCTGGAACAGGCCGTGGTGGCAATGGCCGGTCTAACAACCCTCGAACCAACTGGGAAGAGCTCGGTGGTCCCTACCTGCATTTCACCCTCTACAAGGAGAACAAGGATACTATGGAGGTTGTTTCATTTATCGCCCGGACGCTGAAGATGAACGCCAAGTCTTTCCAATTCGCTGGAACCAAGGACAGACGCGGTGTGACTGCCCAGCGCGTCTGCGCTCACCGTGTTCTCGCTGAGCGTCTTGCGCGTCTGAACCCTACTCTCCGCAATGCTATGGTTGGTGATTTCGAGTACCGCAAGCAGGGACTGGAGCTTGGAGATCTGGCTGGCAATGAATTCGTCATTACTCTGCGCGAGTTGGACATTCCCAGTGCGGATCTCAATGATCCCAAGGCTGCGGTCACCAAGGCTTCCGAGGTCGTTGGTACTGCTCTGAAGAACCTGCGTGAGCGCGGTTACTTCAACTACTATGGTCTTCAGCGTTTCGGTACCTTCTCAACCCGAACTGACACAGTCGGCGTCAAGATGCTGCAGGAAGACTTCAAGGGTGCTTGCGAGGCCATTCTGCACTATGGTGCTGAATCCCTTCAGGCGGCAATGGAAGGCGAGTCTAACACTGCGAACATCGGCAGTGATGATAAGGCTCGTGCCATGGCCATCAACATGTTCGAGACCGGTGGTCCTCGCATCGTGAATGAAGCCTTGCAAAAGCTCCCCCGCAAGTTCTCCGCAGAGCAAAACCTGATCCGCCACCTTAGCAAGTCTGGAAACGATTACCTGGGTGCATTGCAGACGATCCCTCGTAATCTGCGTCTGATGTACGTTCACGCGCACCAGTCCCTTATCTGGAACTATGCTGCCAGTGAGCGCTGGCGTTTGTACGGCGACAAGGTCGTGGCAGGTGATCTTGTGATTGTTCAAGAGCACCGCGACAAGGAAGATGCTCCTGTTGAGAATGCCAACGAGACTGTCGACGAGGATGGCGAGATCATCATTGTTCCCCAGGGTGAGGACAGCGCTGTTGCGGCCGAGGACATGTTCACCCGCGCACGTGCCCTTACGGCTGAAGAGGCAGCCAGTGGAAAGTACAGCGTGTTCGACATTGTGCTCCCCCAACCTGGATATGACATCATCTACCCCGAGAACGAGATGAAGGCCTTTTACACACGCTTCATGGCCAGCGAACTGGGTGGTTATTTGGATCCCTCCAAGATGCGCCGCTCTTGGAAGGACATCAGTCTCAGTGGAAGCTACCGTAAGGTTTTCAGCCGCATGTTGGGCGACAACTATTCCTTTGATGTCAAGCTGTACTCCCAGGACGATGAGCAATTCGTGCCAACCGATCTGGACATCTTGAAGCAAAAGAAGGAAGAGAAGGAGACAGCCACAGCCGAGACAACCGGTGATAAGATGGCTGTTGTTCTGAAGTTCCAGCTGGGCTCAAGCCAGTACGCCACTATGGCCCTTCGTGAGCTGACCAAGGGCAAAGCTGTCGCCCACAAGGCTGACTTTGGTGGTGGCCGTTAAGCTATGCATCTGCCAGAAGCCAAGCATCTACACTTGCACTGTACAATGCATCTGAGGCCCGAACTGTCCATTGCAATCAGGATATCCCAGCATACTTTAACTGCTCAATCCAGCAAGCAACGAATGTAAATCAATGAAATGAAAACAAAAAAGAGAATAATCTCAAGATGAATCCCAAAACAAAACGCCTTAGCCCAGAGAACATAATCTCCATCTTAACGCCTATCATATAAAATCATACTAATCCCGATATTAACCTAGGTCACCTAAACCGCCTCTGCTCCGGCGAACTCGGCGAAACAGGCGACACCCCATCAAATGATAATTCCGAAACCTCATCGAAATCCCTTCTCCTCCCTCCCCTCTCCGTCCCATCATCGTCTGAAACATCCGAAACAGCATCATCGTCAACATGCACAGGCGCAGTCACAGGTGCTGCCGCAGGCACAGGCACAGGGACAGGCGCAGGCCCGACGCCAACCTCATCATCCTCAAAGTCCTCAAAGGGCATACGCGCCAACTGCCTCGACCCTGACCTTTCTTCCACAATACTCTGTGGCCGATTCACCGGGACTGCAATCGCAGTCCCCAGTTCAGCCTGCGAGACATGGCCATCATCCTGTGAAGTAGGATGCGATAGCCCGCCGGTACTTGAACGGGGCAGAGTTGGCGATACGAGAGGCATGGGCATGTTCAATGATGGAATAGATCTTGTTTCGGGTTTGGCGATCATCAGTTCTTGCGTGGAGATGGCTGTTGTTTGACTTGGTGCTACGTGGTAAGGAGGGGGCAGGGACATGCGGTTTCTCCTGCGGCGACGAAGTAAAAAGAAGATGATTGCGAGAATTATTGCGAGGCCGACGATTGAGACTGGGACTGCGATTTTGATTTTTTTGGACTTTGACATCCCGCCTGGGGATGCGCTTGGGTGGCTTGTTGGGGTTGAAGTTGTGGTTGAGATTGATGATGCAGATTGGGTTGTAGTGGTGATGGAAGTTGAAGTTGTTGATATCGAAGTTGAATTGGATGAGATGGATGTGGGTTGCACGCTTGCTGATTCTGTCGGTGCAGATGCCAAAGTGGCGGCAACTGGCGCAGATGGTGTGCTGGTTTGTCCATAATTATTGGGATTGGAAGCTCCGCTCACACTGCTCAATGAGGCATTGGTATCGACTCCGTTATTCGACACCCCCATATCTCCTTGGTCTGTGGGCGCCGGTCCATTTTTTATCGATTCTTGCCCTTCATCGGCTCCGATATTTGCATTCGGGCTCCTTATCACACCTCTCAAATTTGCTGAATTCGTTGAGACCGTTGAAACGGCTGAATCCGTCGAAGTCTCAGTGGTCTCAGTGGAATCCAACGCGATGCCATTTTCCGACCCTGTAAAGTCGACTTGGGTGTCCACAAGGACGAAAGGTAAGAACCTCATCATCTCAGTCACGTCTCGAGGAATATTTCTTGGGGGGACTATTGGTCTTATGTGATATGTTCAAAGCGAAGAAGAACAAAGACAAACAGCGTATAACAAAAGACCCAAGCAGGCGACTGGCTATTTCGATTCCATTCAGTTTGGGTAGATCACTCTAATGTACGCATGCGTGCATTATGCATAGATATCACAGACTCGACAATATATTTGGAGGAGAAAAAACAAAAAAGCGAGAGAGAAAAAGAAAGAGAACCAGGTACAACAGACATCACGGTATACGCAGCCCAATGGCCCCAAGGTGGGGTTGAAGCACTGCCTCCAACAAAGAAGCGCTTGACTGCAGCGCTAACCCTTTTTCTATCGCAATCCTTATTCTTTGGTCTAATACGAGTACGCTACTCCGCACAAAGGGTACTGTTTAGTTTTATTTCAGAACAGAGGGCTAAATCAAGAGGAAATCGTACTCAAATGAGGCTCATCGTATGCTATTTTTGGCCGAGTCGCGCTAAAATGGGGCCGCGCAGGATCAGCCCAATTGCCTAACTGCTTTGCGCCTAGCGCTGCACAGAGTTCCCAGTCTGGAGTAAGGCTGGAGGATTTGCATCGAACATCTCTCACTTATTGGTTCAAATGTCCAGAGGGTGACCCCCATGTGCCCGGGTGCCGCTCCTGAAGCGAGGGACATGCCTATCAGGGAGACTCTCGTACCATACAGACCGCATTCTCAGGCACTTGAGCACCCGGGCAAACATCGGATTTTGTTGAGCGACCGTGTCTAATCCCTGTCCCGACAATTTGATTGCCCTTTGTTCTTGTGAGTGTGCAGGAATTAATTTGGCCCACGGTGGATTTCAGACACATAGTCGATTGTCTGATTTTCCAGCGATACCTGGAGAATGCCTGGTTTGTTCGATGTTTTTTGACAATAAAATCATCTAGGGCATGTGAGGTGTCAAGTCTCGCAATCAAGACTCTTCGCTGTTTTCGTTGCTGCTTGCTCACCTCATCAATCTGACTGCATCTTCTCGGTATAATACCCACCCTTCCTACATGACCGCATCCTTTGATCTTCTGAAGTCGAAAGTCAAGGTCACGAGGAGCCTCATGAGCTTCTAAAGTTTTGCTGGTAATGTTGAGATGCACACCCCTAGCTTCGCATCCGAGACTTACATTGCTCGGCACATCAACGAGGCCTTCATCTCTTGAGCGGACATGCAAAATGATTTGTTCAAGACACACAAAATATTCATGAATAATAATGACCCAAATGTTCGAATGCAACAATTGTACTCCCTGACTGAAGTATTTGAGGAGGAAAGACTTCCGAGAATTGGTTTTTTTTATCAGAAAAATAGTTTAAAAAAAGCAGCCGACCAAATGCTCAAGTCAGGAACCACAAGACTGTCCGGGTACGTAGAGAAATCCGAATGGACGCATTGGCCTTTGGTTACTGCCATAAACTTCCGTTTTACAGGCCTTTAAAGTGGCCAGGGTATATTTTTCTTTTCTTCTTCTTTTCGAATCTGCCCACATTTTAGCACATTTATGGGATTAAATTGAAGTTCGAAAAGCCTAGAAATAATGCGCTTCTATAGGCTGGCTTGGCCATAGAATATATGCCCGTACCATGGACACCATATTAATACCAAGCTTTTTACTCTACAGCGATATCTCCAAAGCTTTAAGGATTCAAAACAGAGCCTCAAACACACACTAGATCATGCCCATATATTCAATTATTCAATTACATTAATAAATGCAAATCACAATCAATCCAAACAGTCGTAATCATTTCCATTCCAAAAACGCATGCTCGCCAAAATAACATCAAAGTGTAGCATCATGAGCCTATGCCGAAGGGCACTCGACGAGGTAGCTGCCGTAGCTCTTGTCGCCCGAGACACAAGTGTTAAGATCGACATCGTGACGGCTCAAGTGGCAGGTAACGTCATTGTAAATAGCGACTGTAAATTTGATGAGCCTTTGAAAGAATAGGAAGCGCAATCAGCCGGGAAACTCACGGGTGCAGTTGTTTTGGTATTTGTACTCGAACTTCACAGATCGCACGTTCTCATCGCCAAAGGTCTGACACTTGTTGACACTGTCGCCGTAGACTCCGAGCTCACCGAGGTTTTGGGCAGAGCAGCCGGGTTCTCCGAAGAGACGCAATTGAACGAAGCGAGTGTTGGCGGGGTCGGCGCGACGGGTGGGAACGGCGGAAACGCCGAGGGCGAGGGCGAGAGTGGTGATGGTGGTGAAAAGCATTTTGAAGGTGGAATGGGAGGTTGGAGGTTGGAGTTGGAGGTTGGAGTTGGATTTGAATTTGGAGTGTTTGTTTGTGTGAGGGGGTTGGTCGGAATTAGGATTTTGTAGTGGTCTGTTGTTTGTGGGCTGGAGGCTGTTGACGTTGATGATATTGTTGTTCTTGGGAGTCAAGCCCTTCTTAAATAGCAGCTTCTTAGAAAATCAGGCCGGCAGCTTGCGTACGATGACAGAGAAGAGAGACAATTCTTGAAGGGTGTGAGGTCACATGTAACCCAGCGTGGCGAAGCTTGAGCATGTCGGTTCTCGATTCATGCAGTGTAGATCCCCGTGGATCTCCGGCTTATAGGACACGAGGTGTCATGGTTACATTTCTCCCGATGTCTTGTACGTGTCTGTCTCAGCCCTTTTCATGTAGGTAACTTGATCTAGAAGGCTGTAATCATAATATTATCCCGCGACTACCGTCGCCTTGTAAATGCCGATTGCACAGGGAAAAGGTCGTGCCCCGATTTTGTGACACCTTGATATTCACGGGGAAGATATAAATAGAGAAAACAGGTACACCGGGTCAACAATACTTAAGTATTTGCAATACCTGTAGACCTTAATCGGAAATCTCCGCCATTTGCATTGGCATTCAGGTCTGCTTGTCTGCACGGCCGACTACAAGTAACATTTTTCTTTTTTAGAAACAAAACATGGCCCAAACAAGTGTCTTAGCTATCACAATGGTTCAGGCAACCCGTGGACCCAACTAGAACTTTAGAAGCTTTGTAGATCTATTGAAGGCCTAAAGATTGACATTTTTAAATAGAAACAGGGTGCAGGACGCCTTTGACTTCTTGGCAGCTTATTCCCCCGCATTTCACCGCAAGGTTCTCTTCATATCAGATCAACCTCACCACTTTCCTTTATGCGCCATGATTCTACGTTACTGAAATAGTGTTTCGCGATGAAATCCGTGGACAATTGTGCATCTTTGCAACGTTGAAAGTCGGGGCTCAATCCGCTCTAGGTATTGAGGTTGACACGATTCTGACAGCTCAAGCAAAGAAACGTAAGGGACACGCGTCGTTGTAGAGCGTAAAGAATGCAACCTTCCAAAGTTCCAGATGCAAACAACAACGGTCGGTGGGTTGCCTGTCCTCACTGGCATCATATAACCTTGGCTACCTTCCAAGGTTGCAAGATTGTCCCAGTTACATACGTGTCCGATCGGGCCAGACTTGTGGATATGTATCTGCAGGGCCACAGCCCCACGCATTCGTGAATGGGCTTTGAGTGTCGATACTTAAGTAGCTGGATCTACGAATTATTAAAAGGTTTAACAGATGACATATGGATTTCAAGATATTCAGTACCAAGTACAGGTAAACAATCAGAATTAACAAGTTCCATGGATGCAGCTAAAGTACCTGACCCACGGTACCATTGACATCGAAAGTAATCAGCGCAGAAGCTAAGGCCAGGAAAACCCAGCCAGACGTATCCACCGGCAAGAGACCAAGTGTACAAATGAAAATACATCATAATTTTGAAACGAGGAATAAGAAATGCTAATGTTCACTCCATGCGAAAATCACAAGCTGAAAAAACAAAAGATAGAAAAAGATTTGAATAAAATTGTGTGTCGTTTCGTCATCACTGAAGCCCACCTCCTATGCTTCATTGTTGTTTTCTTTTATTTTTTTTGTTGATGGCAGTATTGGGTGCATTCAGTCGTCGTAGAGGTCTGGCGACTCGACGCCATCCATAGCATCCGCATCATCGACATCCGTCATCTCGTCATCACTGAGATCATCATCCTCATGATTGGGCAGGACCTCAATGCGGCCATCAGTCATTATGACATTAGCTTCTTCTCCATTCTTGATACTGCCCCTGAGAATGAGAACAGCGAGGCGATTGAGCACCTCGCGCTCAATGAGTCGACCAAGCGGACGAGCGCCGTAGGCAGGGGAGTAACCGGCCGCGCCGAGGTAATCTTTAACTTCATCTGAGCAATTGATGAAGACACGGCGATCGTTTTGATCCAAGCGTTGCTGAACCTCTTTGAGACGAAGATCAACGATCTTGCGGATCTCACGCTTGGTGAGGCGGTTGAAGATGACGGTGCTGGAGATACGATTGAGGAACTCGGGAAGGAAGTAGTTGCGCAGAGATTCCATGACCAACTCGCGGGTCGTGGGGTCGATGCGTCCCTCCCTGGTTGTGGGCCGGGCGAGGTGTTCAGCGCCCAAGTTGGAGGTCATGACCACAATGCAGTTCTTCGCGTCAACAATGCGACCTTGGCCATCGGTAATCCGACCGTCGTCCATCAGTTGCAAGAGAACAGTGAGAACTTCCTTGGCGGCCTTTTCAACTTCATCGAATAGGAGGATCGAGAATGGACGACGACGGAGGTTTTCAGTAAGTTGACCGCCGGCATCGTGACCGACATATCCGGGAGGGGCACCAATCATGCGACTGAGAGAGTGTCGCTCTTGGTATTCCGACATGTCGAATCGGATCATAGCCTTGGGGTCGTCGAAGAGGAACTCGGCAAGAGCCTTGGTGAGAAGGGTCTTACCGGTACCGGATGGACCGCAGAACAAGAAGCTAGGGGGCGCGTTAGGGTTGCTAAGACCTGAGCGCTGGAGACGAATTGCGTTGGAGACCGAGGTAACGGCTTCCTTTTGGCCAACAACTAGCTTGCCAAGATACTTCTCCATCTTGAGCAGCTTGTCCTTCTCGGTGGTCTTGAGTCTAGTGACAGGAATACCGGTCCACCGAGCCACAATCTCATTGATTTGCTCAGGACCGACTGCATCAGCAAGGAGTGCTTCGCCCTCATCAGCAGCATTGGCGCGACGCTCGGCATCAGCCTTGGCTCGGTCTTTCTCAAGACGTTCGATCAAGGTCTTTGTCTCTGGGATCGCATAGTACTCAAGATCAGCAGCGGTTTGAGTGTCACCAGAGCGCTCAGCCTCGTCACGCTTGACCTTCAAGGAGTCAAGCTTGATCTTCGCATCTTGGACCTCGCGGCTGCGCTGCTTCTCGGTCTCATACTTCTCCCGCATTGGGCGAAGCTCTTCTCCGACGTTGGCGGCTTCCTGTTTGGCCGCCTCAAGACGAGCCCTTGAGGCGTCGTCCTTTTCACGTTCAAGAGCATGGATTTCAATCTGGAGCTGGCGAGCCTTGCGCTCAAGTGTGTCAAGAGCTTCTGGCTCGGATTCGCGGGTGACTCTGACTGCAGCCGCAGCTTCGTCAATAAGATCAACAGCAGAATCAGGAAGACGTCGGCCCGTCAGGTATCGTGGCGCGAGAGTTGCAGCTGCCACAATGGCACCATCGAGGATGTTGACACCGTGGTGGACTTCGTACTTCTCCTTGAGACCGCGAAGAATGGAGATGGTCTCTGGGATAGAAGGTTCTTTCACCAGAACCTGCTGGAAACGTCGCTCGAAGGCTTGGTCCTTCTCAATATACTTGCGATATTCGCTGAGAGTGGTAGCACCAATGCAGTGCAGCTGGCCACGGGCGAGCATGGGCTTGAGGAGGTTGGCGGCATCCATGCCACCCTCGCCGCTGGATCCAGCGCCCATAAGCAGGTGAATCTCATCAACAAAGAGAACGATGGTGTCCTTGGAATCTTCAATTTCCTTGAGAACACCTTTCATGCGTTCCTCAAATTCACCACGGTACTTGCTGCCCGCGACGAGAGATCCCACGTCCAATGAAAGAAGACGGCATTGTGCCAAGTTGGCGGGGATGTCGGCGTTAACAATGCGGCGGGCGAGACCTTCAACGATGGTGGTTTTACCCACACCGGGTTCACCGATGAGGACAGGGTTGTTCTTTGTGCGTCGGCTGAGAATCCGAATAACTCGGCGAATTTCTTCCTCGCGACCAATGACCGGATCGATTTTTCCTTCCCGAGCCAAAGAGGTCATGTCGATAGTGAATTTCTTAAGGTTTTCATTTTCGCTTTCCGCATCGGCGGTCTTGGAGTCAACGCGCCGTGTGCCGCGAATTTGCTGAATAGCACTATCGATCAATTTGAGGTTGGGAATGTTGGCATCGCCAAGTGCACGTTGAACCTGGGGATCTTGGCAAACAGCTTGAATCAGGTGATCAACGGCAACAAAGCTGTCTTTCTGGGTCTTGGACAGATCCGTGGCAGATCGAATGACTTTGGCGATCTGAGGTGAGAGGCTCGGGTTCTCTGGTGGGGGGTCTTGGCTTGGTAGTCGGACCAGCAGCTTCATAAGCGCTCGGTCGAGGAGTTGAGAGTCGCCATGGGCGCGCTCAACGACTTGTCGGAAGAGGGGTGCAGTCGCAGTATCATGCGACGAGTGAGCCCCAGAGGGCGTTTGTTGATCTTGGGACTCATCGGGAAGAGGGTTGAGCAATGCGACTGCAAGGTGAAGTGGGAGAATCTGGGTGTGTGCGTACTGTTCGCACAAGGCACCCGAATCAAGGAGGGTCTTGTTGGCCCGGTCAGTAAACTGGGCGCCGTTCATTTTGAACGCAGTAGTGGGGCGATTTCACTCGAAGTGGTAAGATTTTGGACTGAAAAGTAGACTGAAGATGTGTGTGAGAGAGGTGTGAAGAGTCAGAATGAAAATCTGAGAGGGGTAGATGTGATGATCAGTTGAAATCTGGGACAATGCCACTTGAAACGTGATAATTCAAGTTCATATACTCCTGGCGCGTGGCCAGGCCGAAACTGCTCCCAGGCCCATGTCGTCACTACTCAGTTCCACCGCCTTCCAGAAGCTACCTGACTGTGCCCGATCAATGCACGTGACCTGTCAGAAAATCATCCCACGTGTGATCACGTGGGACATGTGATACTGTATGTGCGAGTCATGTGATGAACACACCCTGTGGCTGACGTAACCCTACCACACCCGAGATGAGTCAGCATCTCCGGATTAAATCGGATTAAATCACGCAAATTTCTTGGAATTTTCCGAACTCCCCACGTTGGAAAAATGATTCGATCTTGTTGACTCTACAAGTATTCGTATTGGTGGGTTCTACTTTTCGAGTTCTTTGCGCTTGCGTACGAGGTGTGCCTTGCAGTGGAGCATCCGCGCTGGGCCCACATCCGCTTAAATGAAGCCTTAGGACTTGATGATGTATCAGTTCTACTTACAGAGCACGAGAACAAAATCACCAGGTAGCAGCACCGGGCCATTTGAACCACCTGACTGTCCTATATCGCATGCCACGATAGCCGACAAAAAAAAAGACCCCAGTGAATCAATGACGTCAGCCGGGATCTCGACTGCGCAATGAGAAGTCGAGGAGATCGGATCTCGAACCCTAGGCAGAGGATCAGACCCCTGTTGTCAATTTGAACCGAGGGATTAACAAGATATGTCTCCCAGCAAGCCCACCCTCACCGGGCCGCAAAGAGGAGTACAGTCTCACTTGAAGGCGTTTAGTGAGGAGCTCAGACACCAGACCATGGATAGTGGACACTCGTTCCGAGTCGGCGTGTCCAGAACTGGTGATCAGCTCCATCCGGATTCCCACAACCTTATTTACTATTGGCCTCTTCAGCAAGGTGTGTTCTCTAGGCCCTTTTCTCTTCTCTATTTGTTTCGCCCTTTTTAATGGGGCGAGAAGAAAAAAATAGAAGCGGAAAGGTTCCTGCGGGGCACAAGAGGGGCAGGGGCAAATAGCTTTGCGTCCGTCCTTATTTGCCTCAACCCACGGCTGCCCTGAAGCAACGGTATCGGCCTTAGTGCACATTCGAGACCGTTTGGAGATGTTCCTTGGGGGCCACTCGCAGATACCCCGACTAACTAGATCTAGTTGCGGGTACGACAAATTGGCATCGAGGAGGGAAACTTCCACCCAGAACAAGTAGAACGAGTAGATCTCAATTCCGAGAATCAGGATTCAGAGGTACCCAGTCTTCCATGGAAGTTTCAGTAGGCAACTGTGGTAGCTCTCCGCCTTTCCCGAGAAAAAGGAAAAAAAGCCGGGTCTGCACTGGTGCGCCTCTGGTCAATATAAAAGGGTTTTAGTCTCCCCCACAACCTGCACTTTCTTATTCTCACGCCATAGTTCTCTGATCTGAGCTCATCCAGAGCCCTTCATATTCGTCGGCTCAGCACAGTCTGTCAAAAGACCTGACCCGCTAGAAATCTCTGTCGCGCCACAGGGTGCTTGACTATATCTTGACGTTGATTGATCAGAATAGTGATCCACAACAAGTTTATCTACAATTACCTTTCCTCCCCTGCCGGATCAGCAAAGTGCAGATATTGTTTGATTTACATCTTCCATCATAATGACGAAGCCTATCTTTGTGGCTACGCACCCGCGAGCATGCTCAACGGCCTTTGAGCGTGTAAGAGCATCCCGAATCCTGTCTTCTCCGGACAACCGCTGACAAGAACCAGGTCTTCATGACTCAGCGTGACACCATTCAATGTGTTCACGAGCCGTTCGGCGATGCATTCTACTACGGCCCGGAGCGCCTCTCCGGCCGATTCGCAGGCGATGAACAAGCCCGTCTCGACAGTGGATTCGCCAACTCTACATATAGTACCGTGATGGATAGACTTGACCGGGAAGCTACACAGGTCCGACCTCTCTTTCTGCGAAATATCTCGCGTTCTTGATTTTTCGCGTAATGCTCTTCATGCTCTCCCTAGTGGATTGAACATGAAGTTTCCCCTGCCCTTACACCTCTACATGCCCTCTACGCCCCCTTTTCACATCCTTCAGATGAGCCGAGACGCCATCTGCTTCCCTCTACATCGTAAATTGAACATCCGGGCTCTGTCCGAGATCCTGGGAGATGAACATCCGCAAGATGGAATGCAAACGCTCTTACTCGAGGGGAAGCTTACCGTATAACAGGGAAAGAGAGTTTTCATCAAGGACATCGACCACTACCTGCTTCCGCCCAGCGGAAAGCCGGCTAGTCCCGCTCCGTCTCTTCTGCGTGTTAAGCGCGGCGTCGGGACCAACGGCGAGCATTCAAATGGTGTGAACGGCGTCAACGGCCATGCCAATGGTCACGCCAATGGACACACCAACGGGGTCAACGGAACCTCGAACCGCATCAATGGTAGCCACGCCAACGGTGTCAATGGCCACACCAATGGCCACACCAACGGGCACACCAACGGTGCCAACGGCCACAGTAATGGTGTTAACGGTGAGACCAACGGAGCTCACAAGGAGCCCTACCCATATGACACTCCAACCGAGCCAGGTAACCCAACTGTGATGCCCCGTGAAATCCAGGAGCAGTTCCACTGGGCCTTCCTGATCCGCGACCCGCACTACAGCGTGCCGTCGTACCTGCGGTGCACAATCCCACCCCTGGACGACGTGACTGGGTTCCACAACTACGACCCTCGGGAGGCCGGGTATGACGAGCTTCGTCGGCACTTCGACTACCTCCGTGAGACCAAGCTTGTTGGGCCCCGTGTAGCAACCCGCCCTGAGCTGTCAGAGTCAGATGCCGAGACCAAGGGCGTTGAGATCTGTGTCATTGATGCGGATGATATGCTCGACGAGCCGGCCAAGACCATGGAGGCTTTCTGTAACAGTGTTGGTTTGCCGTACAACCCAGACATGCTGCTCTGGGATACCGAGGAGGACCATGCCGTTGCCAGGAATGCGTTTGAGAAATGGCGTGGCTTCCATAATGACGCTATTGAGTCCAAGGCTTTGGAGCAGCGCGTTCATGTAAGCTTTTCATTCCATGATCCTCGAGATGATTTGACTCACCAGTTCAGAAACGCCCAACCAAGACCGAGGAACAGTTTGATGCCGAGTGGAAGAAGAAGTATGGCGAGGAGCACGCTGCTCTTATTCGCAAGACTGTTGACGAGAACATGGCCGATTACTTGCACCTCAAGTCATTTGCCGTGAAGGTCTAGAGAGGAAAGAGAGGGGGAAGAGGAGAAGGTAAGGACAGCAGTCCTACAAGAGTCCTGACCGCTCCGATGAGAACAATTTAGTTCGGATGACGCCATCTCCACTTGATCCTACGAATCGCGGATCTTTGTGGGGATTGGTTAATGACCCATGACGATCTTGCATAGTAATTCCTGCATTTTGGTTTTGTCACTTTGCTATTATTTGCTACCCTTTCCGACTGTGATACGAGATTGAATACCATTTCCTTTTCTTTTTACTTCACGTATTGAAGGCGACGCCAGAAAAGCTCATTCGAGCTTGTAATTGGTTCTGACTCAATATCAAATCGTGTTTATTCAATATGGTAGTAATTCATGCTCTGCTCTCGATCTCTGCTACAACGTCATCATCGTTGAGCTGCCCGGAGTCCATCTGGAACTCGAGCAAGTCTGCGGGACTTCGACAGAATCACCTTCACACGATACTCAAGGCCAGTCGATCGTAGTTGTCAATTTCTGGGTGACGAGATGGCTGTTGGGACGGAACGGCGAGAGAAAGAAGAAGGCTGGACCGATTGATTATTCTCTGCGGGGAGAGAAAGAAGAGAGAAGGGAGAAGCGACAAGGCTGCGAGCTATCTATAAATGGGGGTTGGGGCGAATACCCTACACAATAATGGCCATATGTGCTGGCGTTGCAACTCATTTTCCTGTGGGCTTCCATCTCTGCTCCTGCGGCCATACAGGTCCAGAATGTGATATCCATGGATCTATCCACATCTATAGATGGGCACGGACAGATTATAATACTAAATTGAATTCCAGGGTTCCACGGTTCCGACAGCCCTACAGCCCGGGTGGGTGGTCAAAATGACACACTTTCCAATTTCGGTGTCGGGGGCTAAGTCGATATAAGTCTACAGGGTATCCGCAGTCTTTTCCTTCGTCTCTCACACCTTAACAAATCATCCAAAACATCATGTCCGCTTCACTACTGCAAAAATCAGCCATCAAGCCGGACCCGGACCTCGAGGTTCCGCTTGACGATTACATAACCGCAGATGAAGCCAGACTTGTGCAAAAAGGAGACTTCAACGCCTTACAACGTTGGCGATATAACGCGTGTTTCAAATCTTCTTCATTTCCCGATCCATCATATGAACTTCTTGATACCGAAGAATATCTCCGAGAAATCGTCCAAGAAGAGATGGCTATCAAAAATAGTCCAGCCACAGCGGAAACCGAGAAAAGGCTTCAGCACCTCGGTGCTGAATACTGGCGCTATTCCCAGACTTGGTGGTGTTGCCGTTCGAATATGGTATACATGCAACTAAGGGCCTTTCTTCTATGGCGATCACAGACGGAATGGTATATGCACCCTCACCTTGTGGAAATGTGTGCAGGTCTACAAGGATGTTGCGCTCGTGGATGTGGATGTTGTACCAACCGAAAGATTGATCCGTCGCGCACTCTTGGTGTTGGTCATTGTACGGTTGAATGCGTATGCTGCCAACGGACGAGAGGCTTCGAGTTGACATCAGACGACAAAAAGAAGTTCAAAGGCATGTTCAAGATGGACTATCCATTCGATAGCTGCCGCCTTATCAAAATGATGCTCGTCTCAGTTTGGGGCATCTGCGCAGACGATTCGGTGGGCACATGTGATATCATTGCTGCTCCTCCTAGCTACAAGCAGAGTGAAGGAAAAAAGATGGGTCTGAGAAAGTGGTTCCAGCAGAAAATCTGGAACTGATACGAACGTTGGGGATTGACATTCATAGTTGACTGGTTGATGTTCACATTTGAGTATTATTATGCTCACCACTATCTGAGAGACTCACCACACATCCACATGGGCATGGATGGCAAGTTTGTTCTAATCACTGTCCCAACCCTTTCCCCCTCACGACTCGAACACGGTAAGCTGGGAGATACTTAGAAGTTACCATAGTCTCAATGTACAAGCAATCACCCGTACTGAATTGACCGTCTCCATGCGCCCGAAGTCGTTTTCCCACAGACTCCCAGTACTCGTAGACATGCTGCCGTCGTGGATGTCCTGTAGGCACTGCTGCAGCGATGTGCGACTTGCGGCCCCGGTTCGGAGGTGAGGCACTTGGGTTTCCGGGGAGTCTGTATAGATGATTATTAGTTATCTGGAAGTCGGGGAGTTGGAACAAACCGTTGCTCGAGTTCGTCCAGCCCCAGTTCAGATCGATTGCTGGCGCTACCCCTGTCTTTCTTTCTTTCCCTCTTTCTCTTTTGTATTCCATCCCTCTCCCCAACCTTGGAAGGGAATGATCACTTCCGTCCGCTTCTTCTGATCCATAGGTTGAAATATATCATGGCTCGAATAGGGCTCGGATTGGAAAAGAGTTCAATCGGCGTGTCTATAGATCTAGCTAAATTAGGCTTAGCGCATATCCCCCCCGTACCCGTATTCGTTAGTCCGATAGTATTTTACTTCACAGCCTCCAGGGATTGGAAGTCTTCAGCCTTACAACGCTACATAAATCATTGAAGTCCGCTATGCTAGTTGTTTGACCAGTCTTTCTCACCGCCGCTTAGGCTGGTTGTCAAGCTGAATTCGGACAGGGATCTTTGATTCCCAGATTATGACACCTGGAACCCCACACAAGAATCAATAAATTTCCATGAAATTATGCAAGGTCTCTACTTAAGTACTCGACGAGTTGCGGACCACTTCACTTGTAGCCCTGGAGATCCGCAAGAGATTGGAAAGAGACATGTTTAAATCGACAATCTCAACCATATTGTAGCCGGCAGTCTCGACTCTAGGACCACCTACTTAAGTACACCGGAAACCCAAGCCCTAGAGTAATACTTAAGTAATAAATTCTCAAGGTTTTGGCAATAAATACTCTGAGGTTACTCTTTATCCGTGAAAAAACCCCTGCGGGGGGAGGGGTCCACGGGTGGTCTTTTCCGCACGAGATGGCGCCGGCAGCTAATCTAGCCCGTGCGAGCCGATCCGTGGCAGGATCAACAGCGGAGACCAATCTGCAAGGAGCATATGCTGTGAATATGTCGATCAAATCAACACCTATCAGGGATGTCTGCACCCTTTCAAGCCTGCCTTCAGTCTTCATCGGAAGGCCATTCCAAGGTTGAAAATTCACAATCACAACTTCAGCATGCGTGTGCGTAGGATTTAATAAAGCTGACATTTCGTGTGATGTAGTGATATTAAAAGATTCCAAGTTTGAACTTCGACGATCTAGCTCAATGGCCTCGCCATTGTACTTAAGTCTACAGGTAAAGGCAGTGCGGGTTTCTACATCAAATGCATGCCCCGCGATCCTACAATCATTCACCTTTTACAATCCGTTTTCCGCTGTTCCACGACATGAAGCTACTTAAGTATATATGATGCAATTGCTCAATATGAGCGTGTTGCTTTCTTGGGCCTGCCACGTATCGCACATGTATACCTCGCAGAGGTAATGCACCCAATGTGCAATATCCAGAGTGGCGTAGCTGAGTTCCATCAATTATTTTCTGCCCGTCTTTTGGGGACCGTATATTCTCAGACGACAATCTCAAGATCTAGTCCCATGGAGTTATTGCAATCTACTTGATCTGGAGGGGAGAAAAGGACACGAAATATCAGTCCCTGTCTTTGTACTACTTAAGTAAATTACATTCTCGGTAGATCATACAATGTCTAGTCGATGCCTGCCGAGTAGGGAGTGGCATATGCATGACAGCTCTTGTGTTACACTGAGATGCGATGGTATGTGATGAGTCCTTTGCAATCCATTTATAACACGTAAGTGCTTCATCTTTGCAGGAATGACGAATTGCATGGCTGCAGACGTGTATAGGAACAACTCGAGGACTTCAATTACTTGTAGAATCACTTGTAGGGGCGGGGTGTGTCTGTATGAATTATATAAAGGTCCCCTTCGGCGCAGGTCAACATCCTCATTTCCTCTTCGTCAGCATTTTCACAAACCCGAAAGAACCTTGAAATATCTTAAATCCTCCTCAGAAATCGCCACAATGGTCGACGCCGCATACTTCGACAGAAATGTCCAGGAGTACTACTTCTTCTCTGGCCACAGATTTGCCCAAATCGACGCCAACACGGGCAAGATCGCAGACAAGACAACCCTTGGCCCCGCCAGAATCGCAGACCACTGGTCGGGACTTGTTGAAGCCAAGTTTTACTCATTGGATGCTTTACTTGAAGTCCCTGGCGAAGCGGACCGTGTTTGGGCTTTCCGTGGCCTAGACTTTGTTCGTATCCAAGTCTTGCCAGGAGGAAAGGGCAAATCCACGTTTGGCCCCGCAAAGATTGCGGACCATTGGCCATCGCTCGTGAAGGCGGGCTTTGCTACAGTCAATGCTATCCTGCCGGTCCCCGGTCAACCCTACGAAGCCTATGTCTTTAACCAGGATCGCTATGCCAAGATTAGCCTGACTCCAGGTTCTGGCAACAGTGGACTTCTTTCGGGTCCTGCCAAGATCACCGATGATTGGCCTTCACTTGCCAAAGCTGGATTTGGTACTATTGATACTGCAGTTGTCGCTAAGGGCATTCCGGAACATGCTTGGGTTTTCCACGATGACCAGTATGTGCGTATCAAGATTACGCCCGGGGATAGTGAGCTTGTTTTTGGCCCTACCTCTGTGGAGAAGCACTGGCCTAACCTTAGCTGGGTTTAAATTATGGATTGACCTGTGTGTGTTGGAAAGTTCAGACCGATATCCTCCTGACAGACTTGGTAGTTTAGTTAGGGCAATCGCTCAAGATTGTTCAATGCATCATAATTCAATTACCGAACCAAATGGAATTTATTGGCCAGGCTTTTTGTCATGATGGAGTGCTGAAAGTGTCCTTTAAACAGATTTACGCAACCCTGTAAGTCTGATGAGTGATGGAATGGTTAGTTCCTATTTATTTACTGGGTAGGTTCCTTCATCTCTAGACCTCTTGCCTTTTCTTCCCCCCTTCTCTATTCCCCCCTTCTCTCGATTTCTCTTTTCACTTTCCAACGCTCCTCGGAAGAACATTCGTTCTTCTACCTTCCAGAAGACTTTCAAAATGAAGCTGGTAATTCTTCTTTAATCAATATCGGTAAGTGAGAGTACATTTCTAAACAAATTTTCCTGTACGCGAGACCCAAAGGTGGTTTCACGACAGTCCCCCGGAAACCATGCCTGAATCTGAGGCTAGATGCTAACATTTTATACGCAGACTACAACTCTCGCACTGCCTGGCGCCCTTGGGGCAGCGCTGCCGCGCCCCGATGAAAATGGCATCTGGCATGTGAATATCGACGAGCTAGCAAGCTTGTGTCAAGCCTACCAGCGTCAGTATCCGCAGCCACTATTCCCTCATCCCTTCCACTCCCACTCCTCATTTGGTCGATCATCAACCATGTACAATTATGGTACGAGGGTCTATCGGGGAACTTTGGAGAGATGTATTTAGGGCGAATGCTAACAATCGTTTGATATTAGCCAAGACAAGCACGGCCACAATCCACTTAGACAAGTGGACAAAGATCCTCGGTGCGGTTGTGGGTGGTGTGGCAACTCTCGCCCACGCTTGCAAAGCCATTGTCTGGCTGTATGACAAGCACACGAAGCGCAGAGAGGCAGCGAAGGTTAAGAAAGCGGATCTCGAGATGGCGAAGCGGGCGGAGCGAGCGGATGCCGAAAAGGCCAAAAAAGCCACAGAGGAGAGGGTGAGCAAGCAAGTTAAAGAATGGATGGACAGGCTGAAAGAAGGACACCGAATTCCTTATAGGAATTTATATCAAAATTAGCGCATCTGCCCTCCAGAATACCCGTATTAGTCAATTAGATATTTTACTTCACAACCTCCAGGGCTTGGAACTCTTCAGTCTTACTAGGTGCTTCATCCTCGCAGAAATGACGAATTGCATGACTGCAAAGGTGTATAGGAACAACCCGAGGACTTCAATTGCTTCTGAATTTGCTATTTGGCACAAACATGGGCATAGAGTCCTCCCAGATAGAGTCGGTGAGTACACGCTTATTTGATCCATCAACATCCATCACAACGACTTGACCATAAGGCTGGAACGTCTGGTCGTAGAGCGCACACTCATATTGGAAGCCGAACATGCCAGAGGAGTAAGCGATGCGGCCGTCCCAAGTCCAGACAGCATGGGCATCATTTGCACCACTGCTCGTAAGGACCTTCAAATCTGTCCCATCCGACCGCATGGTACAGACATCATAGTTGTAATCGCTGACTTTCCTAGTGAAGACAATTCTTTCACCGTCAGGCGAGAAGGAAGGCAAATTATCCCACTCGTTTGTTAGGACAGAAATCTTGCGAGTGTCCAGATCAAGAAGACGGAGACCGAGCTGGGATCTGTCGCCGAGGGTGGAGTTTGCTCCCCACACGCGGAAGATGATCTTCTTACCATCGTGTGAGTAACTGGGGAATCCGGAGTTGATGACACTGCTGTTGCTTTCAAGGGTGGTTTCACTTTCGGTCAGGACCTCGGAGTAGGAGCCGTTCGCGGTTGCGCGAACTAACCATCCGCCTCCAGTTGCGCGGGACTGGAACCAGAAACCTACACCGAAAGTAACCCATTTTCCATCTGGAGACCAGCCCGGGTTAAATGCACCTGCTGTGCCCATGGCGACGGATGATGCGTCGAGGAAATCGGATTTCAGGTCGTCGTAGACAAGATGTTCATTCGTGCCGTTTGCGCTGAGGGAGACAATCGAGGAATTTCCCAGCTGTTTCTCGGTCATGGCGATCTTGTTTGTGTTTGAAAGCTGTGGGAATACATCGGTAAAACGGTACTCCCAGTCCTCATCCCAGCTGTACAATTTCTTGTCCATCGGGCGAACAACATCCCAGCTTGTCTTCTCGTAGACAACCTGCTTGCCATCTGGGGACCAGGCTGGAGAGCGAATAGTCGAGCTGGAAGTGTTGACAAATCCACCAGCAGAGGTGTGGAGTCCTTCTTTGCCAGATCCCTTGGCGAACCAGCCAATGGTGCTGTCAGAGATATATTGAGGGAAGATCTTGACACCGGATCCTGCAACTTCAACACGTCGGCCAGCGCCAGAGGCGAAGTCCACCGAAACCAAAGTGGAGTTAGACGTATTGATTGATTCAGGACGGTGGGAGTTCCAAGTATTCTCGCGGGTCATCTCGTAGTAGAGGATACGCTTTCCGTTGGGTGACCACTTTGGCGAGCCAAGACAATATCCGGACTTCGACACAACACGACGGAAGTCCGAGCCGTTGGGGCGAATAGCGTAAATGGACAGCTCCTGTGTGTGTTCCCATCCTGAAACACCCATGAAAACAGGATCTCCGTGTCCGTACCACCCCGAGTTTCGATCTGACGAGAAGGCGATCCATTGTCCATCGGGAGACCACGAGGGGCGGAAGTAACCGTTCGGTAGCGAGGCGTTGGCAGCGGTTGAGACTGTATCCGTGAGATTCCATTTGTGACCAGTCTCCAAGTCCATGACCCAGATATTCGCCTTGTATCCATTGGCAGTGGAAACGTAGGCAACTTGCTTTCCATTCGGTGACATTACTGCTCCATCTTCGATTGAGGAAGTCGCCTCCAATTCCTCGAGGTCGGAACCATTGGTTCTCACACGGTATATATCTGAGTTTCCATCACCGTTGCGCTCTCCGGTAAAGGTAACCCATTGGCCGTCGGGGGAAAACGCCGCATGGTATTCGTAGATAGGATTTGATAGGAGAGGACGTTCATTGGTTCCGTCGAGATTGGCAACGTATAACTCTGATGTGCCAGGTGCGATTCGGTTCATGTAGAAGATGCCCTTCTTTCCAGAGGAGGACACCTCACGGGGCGCGTGCGGATGAGGAATTGTACTCTTTTTTTCAAGTGCCATCTTTTCAGCATATGGACAAAGAGCCCATGCTGGTGAAACAGCAAGCCCCAAAAGGGCAACTGATGCGGAAAGACGCATGTCGAACAAAGAAAAAAGAGACAGACGGGAGCTCAACTCTTGCAGTCTGCCGCCACTCCTAGGCGTAGGACCCCATACTTATACAGCCACTTCCACCACGCGAAAACCCTGAATAATCGATCATTTCCGCCAAGGGCCGTAGCACAGGACTTACCTCCGACGCCATATCCACTCTCGCGTAATGAAGGCCACATCATTAGCGGAGTCGGAACAGATGTAGTGCAATGCCAAGCCCTTCATCTTATCTGATGGGGCAAGCGAACGGACTGATCCTCCATTGGGAGAATCTTATGCGCCTGGCTCCGCTCGTAGCGAAGCCGTTTGTCTCGCAGGATATTGATCCACCCTTTGATTGGCCTAGCCACCTTGCGCCAGATTGAAAGACTTTAGAGGAACAGGGAAGGATCGTCGTTCTCTTAAACATAACGGAGGAAACCTCTCCCGCTGGGTTAACGCAGTATATTGTGCCAAATGAACATGTTGGATCCCGCTGGCAGAAGAGTATTAATGTGGTTCGGGTCCACTGCGGGATAGGTAGGCTTCACAAAGACTGATATGACTGCCTCTGAATTTCAGATCAGTCCACGTCAATGGGTATAGTTTAGGACCGAGGGTGCCACTGACCTTACCCAGCATGAATTTTCGCCCATTGTGTGTGGCTCCATCTCGTTTGTCAATGCCTGACACCGAGATTAACCAACTGAGCTAGACGCTTGGCAAATACCATTTGAATGGTTCCCTGCCCCTGCTCTAGGTCCCGAGGTCTTGATTCTGTCTGAAGATTCTCGGAGTCCGAGAGGCTCGGCCGGGGATGCCAATTGCAGGAGTATGAAGTGCCGATCAGGGATGGAGCGGCCCTAAGTGCGGTCTTGGCATTCGGCCAGGATTGATGCATCGCCAAGTCTCGAAAACGTCCGGAAGGATGTGCCGGGTTGTAAAGTGGTCGAGAGTTCGTAAGTGTGTGGGTTCTAGAAGATCGAGTTCGGAGAATGCTTGCAATTCCAAGTGGCTGGCGGCCAAGGCGTCCGGGGCAATGAGCAACGATTTGCATGGTTTCACATTCATCGCCTCCAACCAAGTGCAGCACCCTTAAGTTGGAGCTCCTTGGGTTGTATGCAATCACTCCGAGGGTATAGGTTATTGCCCCGGATATTTCTCTAGGAAAGTCACGAAATGCCTTATCATACATTGCACAGGCAACCTTGGGAATTTTCATATTATCATTTCCATTCAATTGACTGAGAAATCCACTAATCTGAGAGTGCAAAGAGCGAGAAATCAACAAAAATACATGTAGTTTCAGATCAAAGAATCACACAAAGCCTCCAAAATCCTTGTCCAAACCTAAACACCGCCGTCGTCCATATCATGATGCGAGCCGCCTAATTCTTCTTGGAGCCCGAGCCTTCTTTCTTAATTCCTGAGCCTTTGGGGAGGGTAAAAGGGATGTAGCCGAGTTCTGGGTAATGCCGAAAGAGGTAATGCGGCACGAGATACTGGTCGAGGGAGCAAAGAAGCAGGGCCGGCAACTTGAAAGTTCCGGTGTCAGGGTCTACCTCCTCCAGCAGACCGCGGTACTCTGGCAGAATGCAACCATCACGGCGCCTAAAGTACAGTTCAAAATGACCTCGGAGAATGGGCCCACAGTGAAGAAGCACCTTGATTTCGGCTGTATCGAGGACCTTGGTCCGAGGGTCAAACTCAGCTCCTTCTCTCTTCCATTGAAGGTTCTCTGGCAGGTCCTCATAAAATTTAAAGCCGTTATACTTTCGGCGCACATCACGGGGATGGCTGTTGATCTCCTGGTAGAACTTCATAATCGGGTCGTTCGCTACCTTGGGGTCATTCAACGCCCGTATCCACTTGAGACTCATGCCCAGCGTGTCCTCTTGGCCGTTGACGAGCTTCCTCTCATCTGGTTCAGTACGCTCCAGCACGTCCGGCTCCAGCACGTCCGGCTCCAGCACGTCCGGCTCCAGCACATCCGGCTCCAGCACATCTGGCAGAGGCTCCTGCTCTTCTGGGGGAAGTTCGTTGGGCAATGATGGAGCGCCCATTCGCGGAGTACTTGTCCCTGCGGCCTGGAAAATCAGAGCTGGATCAATGAAAGATTCATTCCATCCTGTTGAACCCGACATTGTCCTTTGGTGGGAAGATGTCAGCTCCGTGTAAATCTGCGAATCCACAAAAGGCTGGTCATCAAGCGGAGGATATGGAGGCAATCCAGTCATCCAGTCAGTCTCTGGGTCCTGATATTCCTCATACATCCCGGGTAATCCAAATGGATTTTCCGCGTTGAGCATACCCATGTATGAAGGTTCCCATGAAGCAGAAGTCGCAAAGGGATTTGCACCTAGGTAGTTGTATCCCTGAGAACGGGGTCTCTCTACTCCACCCTGCGATCCGAAGGAGGCCAAAACTTGACCACGGGATTCTTTGTCAACCCAGCCACCGCCCTGGTTCACGACACCACCTTCTGCATCCTGTTGCTGGTCACGAACTTCTCTCCGCTTTGCATGTCGCTGTTCTGCTTCATTGCCGTAGCCCCCACGTTCGTCGTCGAGGTCGATGATAACGTTTGGCATCTCCTCCGCGAGATGCATTCTCTCAATCGCAGGAGGCAGATCAGGAAAAGATTTCTCATCATGGAACATATCATCGCCACCCAATTGACCGAAAGCAACGTCAGAGTTGCGCTTTGACAAGTTAACTCGAGACGGTCCAGAGGCATAGATTTGCTTTTCCGCGCGGTCGAGAACCTGCTCCGCTTGGTTGAGTTTGGCTGCATTTATCTTGTTCTCCTCTTCCAGCAGAGCAATTTGGTTTTTCAATTTCCAATTCTCAGAACGCAAATCCCAAATCTCCTTGCAAATATCGGAATCGGTAGCCTCCTTCGCCTCAGTTGGCTCGGCGGTACGGAAAAACGGCTCTGACTCGGTAGCCCCTCCCTTTTCGGCCGCCGAGGGACTCAGAAGATTGACTCGAGTACTGGTGGTCGTAGCAAGCAACTCAGCTTCCTCATCTTGGCTCAGTTTCAAAACCATTTTCCACTCGGGGAACAGCACATTCAAGCGTTCTTCCGTAATAGGAAGTTCGCCCACCTCATTTGGGCGGATATAAATCCACGCATATTCAACCTTCGTCTCGAATGAGCTTTTGCCAGTGGTGATGAACAGCTCTGGGTAATCTCTCAGCGAGTTGCGATCACCTTCCTGTGCAATGGGATAGATCTGATCCAAGGTTAGGCGAGTATGTGGTTTATCGGGATCAGATGGCAAGGGAATTCCCTCGTTAGTGACCACTCCTGTTGCCGCAATCCTCCTTGCTCTTCTTTCAGTGGGCTTTCGGAACATCCCCGGGCCTCTCAGGGGCCTGTATTGTCTGGTTGGGGTCCAATCGAACTCGGCTTGGGAGACACCATGTGCCTCGGATGTGTGACCAAGCAATGGCGATGACATTGGGATACCGTGCTTATTGCCGCGGGACGGTGTTCTCAAAGCTGTCAGAGGACTCATTGCGTTCGTCTCATTCAGTCGAGATGAGCGTCGAGCTTCCATTGTGTAGAAGCCCAAAGGCACTGGTGGGGGTCAGATATCTCATAGGGGTATTGTGATTTTCTAAGACTGTATAACTTGCCTGCAGAATAGCCAGAATAAGATAAAATATCAAAATGTACCAGTAGTTATGATAATATGTCGCGTCGTGGCGCGTTGTTGGGATTGTAGTAACCTGGGCTTCGGTGACGGGGTGGAGAAAGACAATCTTTGGAAGTCGATCGAACTTAAGAACTCGAGTAAACAACGCGAGAGGAAGACCTTAGCCAAATATCTCTAGTGTCTTATCCTTCGGCGGCGGCGGCGGCGTATAGTTCCTTTCCACCAGCCGACCGCCCTCCCAAAAGCGTTTTGGGAAGGTCATGATCACGAGTTTCAATATTGCATCTGTCACTACACTTCGTGATATCCAGAGGTATTCTGGTCTGCTTTTCATGGAAGATATAAGAATCATGAGCTATTCATCAAGCCACACGACTAGCCCGCTATGCTTAAAATGGGCCCCATATTCCGTGATATAAAAGTGAATATTTGGCCCAAAATGTTCCATTATTAAGTCGTAGTGAGCACTCAGATAGACAGACCACATATATTCACATAACAACCATATGAATAATGCAGCCAGGCAGATACAAATCCAAGGAAGTGGGATGCAATACTCACATATAGTACTTATATATGGGGTTCAGGGCATATCAACCATCGGGCCTGTCAAATTCGGGCAACGTGTGTCCATGTTCTAAAGTTGTTTTGCGGGACCTAATACTTAAGTACATGGCAGAATCCGCAACAACAAAACAGCAAGGCCTGGTCAACTTAAGCAGCTGGGAGGAAATTATCATAGGGCTGGATCAATGAAGAGATCTCGCACGGTTCGTTTGTTGCCAAGAAAAATCATTATATGCCCTGTGTCACCAGTACATCATCTGGCATGGCACTAAGAATACTGTGAGTCTGGAAACAAAGACACTGGGCAATCTCAATCACAATGGCCACGTAAGTGCTGGGTATGGGTGAATATGACATGCAAAGTAGCTGCTGAAGAGGCTATATCATTCACGACAGCCAAGTATATAGAACAAATTTCATCTAGCGCCGTACGACGTGGGCTGGAATGCTCCACAGTCGTCTGCGAGGAGTAGGGAAGCTCACTGGGAGGTGGAATTCATCCGTTCCGGGGAATTAAAAGAAAAACCAAGATTGAATTTCCCACAAGTACACATAGTATAAAGAAATCCGCACACATCCCAGCTCTTTCATACCGCACTGTATCCACCACGAGAGCCTGCACCTTGCAATGTGTTGACCACACGACGAAGCCAGTCCTGGAAGATATAGGGAACGTCACGAATAGTGTCGCCGTGGGGGAGGAGATCCCAGCCACGAGCTCCGTAGCGGTTGTAGTTGAGCCACGAGCCAAATATAAGATAGGCGGCAATGCAGAGGAATGCACTGAGATGGTCAGCAAAATGAACAACAATACTTCAGGCAATGAACTTACATGACGATCAGCCAAGTGAAGAAGCCCCAGCTCTTACTCGAAGACGGACTCCCATTTTCCTCCTCGTAGTTGTCACAAGCGTACTTAGTACGCCAATCCAAACGCAAAACATAGGTATCGTCATCGGTGGGTCCAAAACTCTTGAACTGCAAGCTGCTGGTGTTTGTCTTGGGCGTCTGCTCTTCTTCTCTGCGTCTGCGCTCCTTGGGCTCCGGCTCGGAAAGAGTGTGCAATCCCTCAAGCCCGGATCGCTCGCGATCGCACTGGAATTCAATCACAGCAGCGGCCTTCTTGGCCTTCTGATCGTTCGCTTCACCCTTGTATTCGCCACCCGCCAGCTTCACGCGGAGTCCCTCAGTCTCGGGGTCGATCGCCTTCAATCGTTTCACTTCGGGATCTTTGCTGCCTTGGCCAAGAGGTTCCAGGCCCACAATCGGGAATCCGTATGTTAGGTCCCCATTGCCGTCTAGTGGGGATCGGTGAACGAAGCCGCAGACTACACGAGACGCGTTAGCTATTTTTTCATTCTAGACGGTCGCGGGTAGTTGTAGCTGAGGTAGAACGTACTGTTTTTACTGGATCCGCATGTCGCATCGCCGAGACGGGAACTTTCCCCTAGGATGTTGCAGATATTCAGTCGGTAGGTCGTATTCGTCACATAATCATCTGTCTTGACGGAATGGGTGATCTCGTGGGCACCTCCGAGGGGGCTCAGGTCGTATTTGTAATTGTCGACTTTGAGCTGGCCGCAGTCGAAGCCGGAGGCTGATGCCAGGCTCGGTAGGAGGGGGAGAAGGTACGAGGAGTGTAATCGCATGGTGATGTGTATCGAGGTCTAGCAGAGTGAACGAGCCAAAAGCTGGGATGAGGCTTTCGCGGAAGCTCAAGAGCTGTGGAGATCGGAGGTCACGGGAACAATAAATGTGACCTGTGCAGGCCGATCCAAATGACCTGGTATCAAGGAATATTGGTGAGCACAGGGAGTGAAGGGTTCGGTGGCAGATGACGCGGGAGAGGTTTCGTTTTCTCCGGAGGCGGAGCTGATCCAAATACTAAGTAGTGAGGCCTACACTACAGAGTCTACAGAGTACAGACCTACTAATAGCTCCAGGGCTTACAACAATCGGGACTAGAGCTGTCAGAATCTATTTTGTTGCCTTCTGAGAAGTTCTCGGACTTGGTCAGATCAATATTTGCATTTCAGAGCGATGATGTCAGTGCCCGATGGCCCAACTTGTATCTACTGTAGAATGTACATTTGGAGGTATGAAGACAGAATCTTCAAGGGTACATGTATATATATATTTATAGAAAGTCTCAGGTACATCTCTGGTATTGCCAATATGAGGACCAGTTCATACAAGGTACCTCCAGGACTACCATCACCTTCGTACTCTGTACTCTGTAGTCCAATGTCCACCTAGGTGACCCTTGTAAGATGAAATTCCCCTGGACTTCATCTCCGCTCAGTACAGAGGCACAGAGACAGTCAAAACACTGACCACTGTGATCATCTCACACCAAGGCGACGTTGAAGCAACAAACACACTCATCGCCAAACTCGCACGGACCACCCCACTCAAACCCGATATCAAACACCCCACCCCTAACAACCGACTTGACACTCGACATTTCAGAATCAAGTCACAATGGTCCAACCACGCATGGTAAGTCTTCAATCTCACAGAACTGCGCCCCCTAACCCCAAGCAGCTCGAGAAGGCCGATGAGACCTCAGCCAACGACGAGAACGAGGTCCGTCGCGAAGATCAAGAAAAAATAAACCGATTCAGTCGGCTGCATCAACGTGAGACTGTCCTTGAAGAGCAGTTGAAGGGAAAGCAAGTAAGTAAACGCCAAATATGATTATGGCTCTGCGCCCTGCTAACCCAATTTCCAGAAAGACAAGGAAGACCTCGAGGAGGTGTCTTTAGAGCTGGAGCTGGCCGACGAAGACGATCTTGTGCCGTAAGAACTCAGTTCTCAATCTTGGTCGTGATGACCCGCGTTGTTCCGTGCTAATTCATGTCCAGGTATAAAATTGGAGACAGCTTTTTCCAGCTTCCTCTCTCAGACGCGCAGGGAATGCTCTCTACGTCAACGGAGAAGGTTGATGGCGAGATTTCCAAGCTTGAAGAGACCATTGGCGATCTGCGTGAAGAGATGCAGCAGCTGAAGGTGGCGCTATATGCTCGCTTTGGTCGGAGTATTAATCTGGAGACTTAAAAAGTTGCAATGGGTTTCTCTGGATGATTTCTATGCTTTCATTGGAAATATGAATATCAAATGTCATTTCGAGAGGTTGAGCCTCTATGTTTAGATTAGACATCAATGAAATGGATGAGAGATGATTACTCGGAAATGGCATGGCTACTAATACACATGCTACACATGCAGGGTAGATTCAACTATTATAGTCGGGCGAACACAGCTCATTAATGTCATTCGAACCAATCACAATCAACGAAATGGAAGAGGCAGAGGTATCTAAGAAGGCAAGAAGAAGAGAAGAGGAAGGAAAGGATTCCGCCACAAGGAATAGGCGGGGGAAGAAAAGCTCCACAGGGACTGTGGTATACATTGACCACAGTGAAAAGCCAAAACGCAAACTGCCGACTCTGCAGCAGTGCGGGCTCATCCAATTCAGGGTCTCATGACACGCAAAATCATTCAAGAAGGGAAGTCAGAACTCTCGGTCATAGCCGAGCTTCTGTTCGCCAACATGGTCGTCGGAGAGATGTAGTATATACGGCTCCCGTATTGAGGGTAGATCTCCATTTGTTCACATTCACCTGAACTTGGCACGGCAGCGGCCCATGATCTCGTTTTGGCAGACTAGTTCGGCGCTGAATTCGCTGCCGTCTAGCGTGAGGTAAATGTCGAAGTACACCCGGTAGAAGATTCCTTGGGGTGTATCCATACGCTCGAAGTCGGTCTCTAGGTTCTTTCGAGAGAGGTCGGAGGTTAGGGTGACAACTTCCTTGATGCCTAGATTGAGTGGGTCAGCGCGAGCTTTGGGCATGGGTTAGATTTTGACTTACGTGGATCCTTGGTGTACTCGGGGCAGACGTCCTCATCGCAGGCGTACAGGACGTCCTCGTACATTAGTGTAGCGCCAGGCGCAACTTGACGGAAGAAGCTGACCTTGACTGGCTCGCCGATGCGAACACGCTCTCCCTTTTGAACGAAGATTTGACGAGTGTATTTGCATCGATCGCGGCCATCCAGGCTGGGCACACGGTATTGCTCTGGGTGGTATCCCTCCTTGAAAGGCTGTAGGGTGGCCATCAGATAATGACGACGAGCAACACGATGAGTGATGACCCGCTCGGTGATACCGGCGGTAACCGCACCCTTGACAATCGCAGCCACGGAGTCCATTGGGCGCACGACCTTGGTTTGGTACTGCGGCGGTACGTGGAGCTTGATTTGCTGGAACAGGTATTCTGAAGCACCGAAACCACCAACAACCAGAACGTTCTACACAAACATGTTAGCTCAAATTATCGGATGAAAAGGCGATGTTAAATACCTGAAGTGCGCGGTTCTGCGCTTGAATGGCGATGATCTGGTTGCGAACCAGTTCGAGAATACGGTTGACGACCGGCTCAAAGCACTGCAGAATCTCCTCATTCGTAAATGTCATAAAGCCATCCTCAATACCAGCATCAGGGAAGTCAGCCTCGATACCGACATCCACAGCCCATTTTTGTCCGTTGTTGCGGAAGTCTGCCTTGATACGGTTCTCAAAGTCCATGATGCACTTCGCATAGACCTTGCCAGCAGTACGCGAGCCATCCGGAAGCTTCATCTTCCGAATCTTCGCGCGCAAGATGTTGCTGAAGTTGCGGTTCAAAGCTGTAGAGCCGCAGGAGTCACCGGATCCAGCAGTGCACTCCATCACACTGAAGGGCGATTCTTCCTCGACCTCGTATGCAATCAGATCGACGGTACCACCGCCGCAATCAACAATCAAGATCGCATCGCCGACCTTGAGGTTCAACAGACCGCTCTTGGCACAAAACAGCGCAGCTGCTTCGGGTTCAGAGACGAGAGTCAGACGGTTATCGTTCTCATCACGTAGGAACCCAGCCTGGATCGCAGCTGTCCGCGTCGCGGCCTTGCCTGCATCATTCCAGATAGCTGGTACGGTCAAGTAGTACTTGATGTTGCGTTCCTCGCGAGTGAAGACCTCTCCGAGTGTTTTGAGTAGCTGGGCGCGCACGGCCTGTCGTAGCTTGAAGAGGTAATCGGCCGCGACATCGATTTCGGATTTGCCCGGGGGCAGTGGAGGGAGGTTGATAGGATCAATATATGTGTTTCCGGAGAGCATCAGCTGAAGCTTGAACCATTCAACCTTTTGTACCCCGGGCTTGGGGTAGCCGGTGGGAGCGAGCGCGTCGGCGATATCGGGGCCCCATCCTACCACCTTTTGGTACTGGTCGTAATAGAGGACAGTGGGGATCTAGTAAATGTACACCAGTCAGATCAGCGCGCTAAACACAGGTTACCTCCCTTTCACACTTACCTTTTGTTTGGTGTGGGTTCCGGCGCCTGGCCATTCTGTGATGATATCCTCTCTTGCCTCATTATTGGTCGCGAACGCGTATGCGACACCTGAGAAGGTTGTGCCGAAGTCAATACCCACGATCAGCTGGGCCTTACTGCGGCCTGCGCCCTCGACCTCGACTGCCGGGTTACGGCCCGCGTAAGTTGGGTTCGACATTGCCATTGGAATATTGGTGCCCATTTGTTGCTGCATTCCATAACCTGGAGGACCATTCACAGGAACACTGGGCTGGTTGTAAGGCAGATTGGTAGAAATAGGCGGGGGCTGACTGGGCGGACTCGTTGGGCGATAACTTGGCGGGCGACCCTGTTGGTTCTGGTTGCTCATTGGTAGACTTGCAGTTGAGGAACTGCGACCGGAGGGCGGGGGAGGACTTGTTGGAATACTTGGAGGGAGATTCAGAGTCGAAGGAGGGTTGGGCTGGGACTTGTTCTTCCTGCCTCCAAAGCCGAGTGCTTTGAATCGGGAACTCATGAGGTCCATGTACGGCGGGATAAGAAGATAAAAGAGAGGAAGGGGTGAAAGAGGGGAAGACGTGAGGCTGAGAGGTGTGTGGAGATCAAAGAGACCTGAAAGAAAATAAGACCGCGTAGGGGTAGAATTCCGCGGATATACGAATTGGTGTTGACATTGACAGGTCTATGCCGAAGTACTACCATTGGAAAACAAATCACCCTTGATCAAGAGATTTTCCCTTCAAATTTTACTTGTAAACCATTATTTCCCTTACATCTTACCATTGTAACTCGTCAAGTACATCTTACTAACTATTGATCTCACCGTTTCTTTAGGCGCACAGGTCTGCGGGGTACATTCTTTGTAACAAGTACCGAATATACCCCCATACTCCAAGAATCCAAGAGTCCAAGAGTCATAAGTCCAAGAATACAACACGACAAAACACTGCAGCCATAGCAAATTCGTCATTGTCAGAATTGAAGCTGAATTCCTCGTATTGACGGGTTTTTGGCCCCCAAACACGGAAACTGATAGGCAGACACAGCCTTGTCGGTCTAATCACAGGTCTTATTACGACAGGGTTTCCCGCTTTCTGGCCCCATTTTAGCCTCAAAGCCCTTCACGCCCCGGTCACTTTTCGCGCCACCCAGTGCGATGGCTGGTAAGTATTTTGCAGCATGCTGTTGGGGTCCTGAATGTAGCCGCAAGGCCGACGAACACCACGTTTCTCGAGGCGGAAGCCCATGCGCTCCACCAGGCTTAGCACTTCCTCCTCAGTGAGCTCCACATTGCCAGGTTCTCCAATTCCAGGCTCGTGGCCTTTATCGCCTGCTTTGTGGTTTTTGCCGCCATCGAAATGCCACAGAAGGGGACCGACGTTGATCCACAGCCCGTTGGGTTTGAGGCAGTGCCAGATCGCCTCAATGTAGCGGATGAGGTTAGGCGCGGTGTCGATGAAGAATACCGTGGTCACCGCGTCAAAGGTCTCCTGGTTGCTGGGCTCCGTATAATGCACAATGAAATCAGCAGCAGTCATCGACATGGTACCGACACGCTGGCCAGCTGAACCCGCTACTTGCATCGCTTGTCCTGGGTGTACATCGGGGATCTGGACTTGCTGTAGCTGCTGGGTACGCGACTGCAAATTGGAGAAATGTAGTGCAAACGGGTGGAGCGCATGCTCCAATGGTCCGGCTGTGTGATTGAGAATCCAGTTACTGGCCAACAACTGATGGTACGAGATCTCGTTCCCTTCAGCATCGTAGCCAGCCATGCAGACCTCAAAGACTAGCCGGCCAAGGCCAGAGCCAGGGACCAAAACACGGATTTGTTCTCCATTGTCGCTCCGGGTCTTGAACTCATGGTGGAGATCCTGGAGGACTGGTTCATAACAGACTTCTCTTTCGGCTTGTCCTTCCAAGCTCCAATCGCGATAGAATTGACGTATCGTAGAATGGGCTTTGTTAACATCTTCTGTTGTGGCCACATCCTGCCAATTTCCAATTGGGTCGCCTTTTTCTGGAGTAGGGGAGAGATTGAATGACTGCAAACCAACTTTGAGAATGGCATCTGCAATCTCGGCATTGGTATCAATGGCATCGTCTACGTTGTTGAAGTTGTCCAATAGAGAGAATGGTGGTTCCGACAGCATCTGCCAATGTGCTGATGGCAGAGCATAGAATAACTGTCGACGACGATGAGTAGTGTTCATATGAGCATTTCGCCGATACTGCCTAGTATTAGTTAGTTTTAAGCAATTGGGTACGGATTGTGCTGCTGTGTGTGGATGTTTGAGTTCAAATTGTTCTCAACACCTGGATCTTGGGCTATGATAATTTCTGTCAAGTGTTCAATCACCTACCTAAATGAGTCGACAGTGGCATACAGCACCCTCCGCTCTTCAGGATCAGCGAGGGGGTCATATCCCCCCTCCCACTCCGCTTCATCGGGGTGTTGATGCTCAGATGACATCTGTGAGTCTTGCGTAACGACAGCGGCCTCGAGGCTATAATGGAAGAAAAATTCGACGAATCCTCAAAAGTCAAGATCCGACTGAAAACAAGTAGACAACACCAAGTGAAGACATATACAACGTCGTGAGTATATTGGAGGGGAAGTCGAAAATAAGTGGGCAAAATATTCCTCAGGCACCAACACCTGGTGGGGGCGTTTGATGTTCAACCTTCCCCTTTGGAGACCATCGCTTCCAACAGCCAACAGCCAACAGCCAACCACTTCAAAGTACTTGACTTCAATTGTTTCAACAGCAGCCATGGCAAGCGAAGCTCTGCCTCAACCGGAGCTGACCGCCCCAAGCGTGAAGCCTCAAGAGGTGTCATTCACCTTACCAAAAGCCTTCCATACAACAGCACATGTCCATCTAAACTTCCTGGGTCATTGCGCTATGGTGTTCCTGGCGACCTCTAGCCCAGCAGAATCTGGAGGCTCCATCAAGCCAATGGGAAGTTTCGTCTACGCGATGCCCGACGTGAGTATACACCCCTTCAACGTACTATTTTGCCAATTATCAACAGAGTATCTGGCATCCCTGTCACCAGGGCAAGATAGAATTTGTATCCGTCTTTACCTCAAGCGTTGTTGGAATTCGAGCGCGAATGAACGTCCTTCGAGTCGCTGTGCCTGCATCCCTGTACAAGGGATTCACACACACCGCTCGGATAAGGATAGTTCCATTCATCTCTTGATGCAAACAGATTGGATTTGACACTCGAAATAAGAGCGCTGCTGACATATTCATAGCGTACATCACCAAAATCAACAATAGCCACAACACTTTACACCTCAGCACCTAGCATTGAGTACACATCCCGCATAGCCAAGATCCTGGCCAGGAGGTTTTCCATTCCTGTTTATGTCGGTTGCAGCATCGACCCGCATGGTCTGGGTCTGGAAGTGGAGGAGGAAATGGAGGGGCTCACCAAGATCATCAACGTTATCATGGAAAAGTGGGAAGAGCACAAAAAGGAGACCCCGGTACAATAGGGGTCTAACGTCATCTATGGCTACAACCATCTCCAATGGAACATATTCATTTCCTGAATCTCGATCGACTGCTACATTCACTGCGTACTCAAGCGCGATTCGTGGAAGAGGATCCATGGTCTTCGGAATCGCGCGCTCTTTCTGGGCGATTAATTTTGACGAAACCGCGCCTGCGCCCATTCATTGCTCTAGGGACTTAGGCGCACTGGTTGGAGATACAGCCATTGGCTGTACTATATTGATGCTATGTGATCAAGTGGAGCAGACTCGTCGGAACTCCCGAGGTCTACCTATGTGGACACACTCAGTCTCAAGTGGTTGACAATTCCCAAATCAAGCATGGGATGAGTTGCCCCATGCGCAGACCTTTTTCGCAAGGGAGTGGCTATTCTCCCTACATGTCTCCTATGGTGTAAACACAGGGAACCCACAGGAGCCCACAGGGAAGCACAAACCCGAGATCTATGACCAGATGAATGAACTCTGTATGGCAATTTAATCCGATTGAAGGATTCGCAGGAATCCGAAGGAGGAAAATGCCGAATACGAGCTCATTGGAAGCCAAAAGCGTTCATCTGGGGAACCTAGGTTCGTGGTCTACAGGCGTTCCGACGGAGATATGTAGTGAGAGGCTCCAGGGATCCATTGAGTTTGAGACACAACTCTGTTAAGCTTTTTTCTGTCTGTGAAACATTTCACGTGCTTTCAGTTCCCATTACATGTGCATACTACCTCGAGCTCCATCGCTCTATAGCAAGGTTGCATTGGGCGAAGAGGGCAATCTCCTATTATATTGGCTGATGTGAGCCAATATCCCAATACCCGTGCAGCCCGAGCCTTGTCGCGGTATCCTAGACCACTCGGCAAGTAGACCGAATCGAACTACGTCAGAGCAACCTGAGACATACCCGTGGACTAGAAGGCGGAAGACGCCGGGAAGTCTCATGTTAAAAAACAGTGGCAGTTGAACCAGGGCCAGCAGAGCAAATCGGAAGGACTCGGCGAGTGGGATTGTTGTTTCATCGAGATCGTTGTCCCGCTGTGGGGCGGATTCGGACGTCTGTCAAGGTTTATACTCGTATCACATTTTTGAGAATTGGATATCATGAATCCAGGAGTTGACCACGGGTGGAGATGGGCCCTTTTTCTGGAGAAAATGTATACGAAACATACTCCGTACGGTGTGTTGCTTATGTTGCTTACTCGGATATGGTGCTTAGGGGGCCTTCTGCACCCTGAATGAGCTTGGCAGTGGAGCGTTAAGCGATGGCGATAAATTGGTTCGGGGGCGGCCGAACTGCGTCCAATTAAGAATCGGGTGGAACTCAGCTAACTGCCGGGAAGTACGAGTACGCGGCCATGCACGGAGTACAGTTGACACAGGTAAGTATTGCAGATCTGAGCTAAGAGGGGTGATATCAACCTCGGACTACGAGAACTCGTATCTACTCGTAGGGATCTAGTGGGGAACTACCCCCTTGTACACCGCAAGTTAGTACTCGTACATAAAATGAGAATAGGCAACGAGCCTCCGGCTATTGGGCACAGTCCCAGGTCAAAGCTTTACACGTGTCGCCTTGAGCCCCTGCATACGGAGTACGGAATACTAGTCGTGTACATACTCGTACATTCAATGCGGCAGAGTATTAGACTTGTGCATGCACCAGACATCCAACATATGACAGGCTGCTTCGAGACGAGGCCCAGGCTCTACCCGTAACCGAGAGCGGGGAAGACCGACGTGAAGATAGTCCTCGTTTGCCCATTTGGTGAGAGCCGACCGGAGGGGTTCCGGTCAGCGGATGGCTACTAGTCCAGGGCTGAGTCTCTGCTCTTATTTGCCGCCTCTGCTGCATGGCATTGAACATATCCGGATCAGTCAAATCGGAGTTATTGGTCCACATCCCCAGGAGACATTCTCCGAGTGGCACCAAGCCTGTTCGGGGGGGACCCCCGGGCGTGGGACGTCTGAAGTGTCCCAGACGGCACGGTCCCTATCAACCTTGGGAAGAAGCCAATTCTCAGTTGGGAGGCTGTATCGACCAGGGGGTTCGGGTGAAGCTCGGTGCCCAGGTGCTTATCATGATGTGCTCGCATACTACTCCGTTCCAAGGTCCGTACTGAGTGATAGTCAAGTGTATGATCTACTGTAATGAGACTGTATACGAGTAGCTCGGCAGGAAGACACTGGGTCCCGGGCCAGCCATCCGGTTCCATGTGGTCCGGTGCATGACTTCCGAAGTCGATCATCAGGGCTTGTGCAGAAGTTGCAACGGGTGCCTTACTTTGTCCTCTTCTAAAGTTACACTCTGCTCAAGTGCTACGAGTAGCAACTTTAGAACTGCTGTACTGCGTATTACTACTTATCTATACGACTGAACTATAAGTAGATTCAATTCCCTACATCCCACTCATAAGTATATCCCATACTCTCACGCTAAATCATCTTTACACCGAATTGAACCAAATGGGACAAAGTTCGGTGGACCATGGCGAATTCTGCTTCTGGTATGCATCGACAGTGCCACTGCCGATCGCGGGAGAGAGGACAACAGTCCTTAGTTCACTACGATAGTACTAGGAGAGAGAAGTTGTCGGCTCGGCTAGATCTGTCATTTTTCGGCTGAAGATTCCCTAATTTAAATTCTTTAAAATTATTCTCCGCGATCTGAGGTTTGATGGCAAATACGGGACGGATGGGGCCCTGTTGGTGATCGTAATACTTCTCGTCGATCTGGTTCACTTTTTCCTTTCTCTTCTCCTCTCTCCTCTTCTCGTTTTGACGCATTCTCCGATCTCCCCTTTTTTTCCCTTCACATTCCACCTCGGCAGTTGTCGTCTTTGCCCTTTGTGATTTTTGATTTTTTTTTTTTCCCTTTCCCATTCCTTATTCCCCGACAATGGCCGTGCAATTCCCCGAATAACACACGCTTGCAATCGTAAGCGTCTCATCTATTTTCGCTTGGACTGCTCATCATGCAGCCTCACTATCGGGGGACCAACCCGGGCTACGAACTTCCTCCCGTGCAATCAGTGACGTCGGGCGCATTCCCGGCCCCCGCCGCTTTGCTCTCCGCTCCCCCGACAAGACCCAACAGCGGCATGCAAATGGCTCATCTACTCCAACCCATGCCACAGCAACTGGCCGCCCCGGCGACATCTCCATATCAACGCTTCTACGATTCGGCCTCGGGCTCCCCCGCCGACAGTGGCGCCTTGCCTGATGCGCCGCCAGTAGGCTCCGCCCCGGGTGGTCTCTACCAGACCAGCCCCGTCGGTCATGGCCAACCGACCCCCGCGCAGTTACAGCAGAAGCGCGCATATCGCCAACGTAGGAAGGATCCGAGTTGCGATGCCTGTCGCGAACGCAAAGTCAAGTGCGACGCTTCCGAGTCGACCAGCTGCACCGAATGTAATAATCGCAGGGTTCGCTGTCAGTTCACCAAGGAGACCAATCGTCGCATGTCCTCCATCAAGCAGGTGCAGGACCTGGAGAAGCAGTTGCAGAATACCAAACAGCAGTTACAACACTTGCAGACGGGTATGATGCGACCGGATCGTGTCATGGATGTGGATGAAGCCGTGGCGCAGCCGATGATTAAATTACCTGAGATCGAGTACCGTCCTGTGCATAGGTCGAAAACGCCAATTGCTCAGGATTTCTCCGAGGTCCGTTCTAACCTCCGCCACTATGGTCGTGGCATCTTGAAAGTGCCGACCCCTTACCGCGCGCAGGGCGCAGAGTCACTGGTGACGGGTAATGCGCCGGAGCTGCCACCAAAGCGGTTAGCCGACCACCTGGTGGCGCAATATTTCAACTGCGTTCACTCGGTGCTTCCGATGCTTCACTGGCCTACATTCACCGCGGAATATGAGAATGTTTACCGCGCGGGGACATTGCTCGGGGTCTCGACTGAGTGGGCGGCTGTTCTTTATGGAGTGTTCGCCTGCGGTGCTATCCACACGGCGGAGCCTAATCGCGAAGAAGAAGGCAAGAGATACGTTCGCACATCTTGCGGGATCATCGATGTCTGGCATGACAACTTTAATCTGGACCGGGCCCGGGCGGCATTACTGGTCAGCATCTTTCTCTACGAGGTCAATTCGAAGTCGGCCAGCTGGGTGTGGATCGGTTCGGCCGTGCGCGTCGCTCAGGAGATTGGACTGCATCTCGACTCTGGGCCCTGGCCTGCGATCGAGGGTGAAATGCGCAAGCGCGTGTGGTGGGGGTTATATGCCTGGGACAGGTTACTTGCGCTCGAGATGGGGAAGCCGGTACTGATCAACGACCAAGATTGCGACATTGATCTTCCATGCCCCGTCGATGAGCAGTATATCATAGAAGGAGGCAAGGTTCCTGACAGCCAGCAAACCACGCCGCTTCTAGCAACCATCCACGTCGTCCGCTCGATTGGCCAACTCACCCGCACCCTCCGCTCACCCACCATCAGCCAAGCGACCCTCGAAACCTTCGAACTCCACTTCAACACCTGTCTTGCCACTTTCCCCTCCCAATTCCACCCCAAAACCGACCAGGACCTCGACCCCCGCTCCCTCGCCCCGGTCATCTACCTCCAAAACGCCCGCCTCCTCCTCCACCGCCACAACATCTCCCCCTTCTGCCCGGACATCACTCGTGCCTCGGCAATGGACTATTGCGTCTCTACAGCCCTTGACACCGCCAACATCCTCGCCCGCTGCATGCGCAACTACCCAACCCACCCAGGCCCCGGCAATGACCCACGCACCCACTTCGCATCCTGCGCCGGCTCCCTCCTCTGCACTCACATTTGGCGCTGTAGTCTTCTCCTCCTCTTCCGTGCTGAATTCGCCGGCGCCCTAGCCTGCGTCCAAGCCCTCGTCTCAATCGGCGACGTCCGCACCGTTAATGCCGCCTGCGGTCGCTACCTCGCCTTCTTCCTCCGACACCTCCTAGCCCGCATCCGAGCCGAAGGCCACCTTCCCGATCTCGACCGTGACGAGGAAATGCTCGCCTACGTCTCCGCCGATATGCAAGGCACCACCGACGGAAGTTGGGTGTGGCATGGCTCAGAGACCGGCTCACAGCTCGAAGGGGTGGGACATCGCACGACGCCCAATTCCGCCGGCCGACCTGAAGTTGAATCCAATGCTGATTGGGAAGGTTGGGAGTGGATTGAGAAAACGGTTCAGGATCTGTTCACTGAACAGCATCGCCGGGAGTATCGTGATACCCTTGGTGTTCCGAAGCAGGATGGTTCTCTTGCCGCGGAACCGGCCTCTGACACAGACAGGCGGTCGAGTTCCGCTCATTCACGCATGACGATTGCTAGCATTATTTAAAGCGGGTTATCATTGTTTTTGGTTCTCTTTTTTTTTTCTGCCTCTTTTTTTTTATGGTCCTTTCTGGTCTTTGTATCTGCCGGGTTTCAGCATCAGTGCCTGGGTTTTGGGTCATATAAGCGATCTTACGTCGTTTTTTCTCCTCATTTCTATCCTGTGATGCTTTTCCGTCGCTTTCAGTGTCTCGGTGTGGTTGGTTTGAACTCCGGTTGAGACCTGGTTCGGAGTTTTTTGCGAATACTGGTCATTCCTTCGGCTTCATTGCTGTTTGTCCATAAATTTCTTCGGATTGCATTGCCGATACCCTTGCCCCCCATGCTTGTTTATAGCCTGAGCTCTCTTTTGTATATATCCACTAGCATCAGTATCGGATTCTGGTGAAATATTCAGCATGGCAGTCCAACTGCCTGGCCTGTTCGACGCTGATAGAAATATTAGTGAATCTTATCTCATCTGTCCATCCATCCATGGATCTTGATCTGGTATTCATCAACCTGATGAACCCTGTTCTTTTCGAAAGAGACTCTTTAGCCAAACTGGCCTGGAAAAAAGACTTGCAAGTGGAAATTAGCTTGTATTCATAGTCGATCATAACCTGCTAACAGCAAATGTAGATCCCAAACAGCCAACTCCAACGACAATCCTCCACAATCTCCCAACATCCACCCATCAACCCCAACCATTCACATTGCTTTTGAGCCCAGGAGCTTAGATCAGAGTCAGCTCAACGGGGGCAATGGTACCGTTCTGGATGGCACCAGCGTGGTGACGAGCAACAAGACCGTAAGCGAACTGGTACTTGTCAAGGAAAGGCAGAAGCTCAGGAAGACCGGGGGTCTTGCGCCAGTCGCGCATCAAGTCGCAAACAATACCGAACAGACCCATGAGAGTAACACCGGCCTTCTCCATGCGACGGTTGGCATCCTCAGCGAGACGAATATCGAAAGTACCACTGGCGTCAGTGTTGGCGAAGACTTCATAGCCAGCGTCGACAAGGGAAAGAGCCAGGAAAGTGGTGCCTGGGTGCGTTAGCATTTTACGTTTCGGATTCGGATTCGGATTTGGATTCTTCAACTTACAAACTTCGGTAACGATACCGGCGATGATGAGCTGCTTCTTGCCGGTGGCCTTGACGGCGGCGCGGAAGTCGGCGTTGTCCCAGGCGTTGACTTCACCCTGGCGACGGACGAAGGTGGCGTTGGGGTGCATGTCGGTGATCTCCTTCAGCAACAGGCCGTTGGGGCCCTGGTCGGAGGAACTGGTCAGGACAGTGGGGATGTCGAAGACCTTTCCGAGAGCGGCGTGGCCCAGCATGGCGTTGCGGAAGTCGTTGGTGCCGTAGTCACGGACGACCTGGGCAAGACCGACCTGGTGGTCGATGACGAGAAGAGCCTGCGTGTGTCAGATTGGTACTCGAAGTGGAATTGAACATGATCTCGATTTTCGAGATCGATTCATGGAAGGGACTCACGGCATTGTCCTTGTCGAGTCTGTTCCAAGCCTGGGCAGGGATGGAAGCTGCAAGCAGCAGAACGGCCTTGATACCAGCGGTGAAGTGCATATTGACAGAGACTTTTGAGAAGCTGTGAGAGAAGCTGAAGTTGTCTGGATGATCTGGATGCTCTTCTCTTCCTGGGAATAGAGGTGCCTTTTATATCCCAGTCTGGATACCAGTCTGGGACGCCGAGACGAGGTCACTCATACTGATTCAATAGTCATGACAGAGCATTTACTACCACACCTCGCTTAGTCCTTTGCTTATCGAAGGCATTGAGACTAGGTGTTGGCGTTCTGCTGCTGGTGTCCTGCTGGTGCGTGCTGTCAGTGCTTGGGATAGCCGTGGAGGGTTAGCGCGATGTCTTGGCTGGCCAGAAACGACCATATGGATCCCGGGGGAACGGTTGTATTACACACGTAGATTGGATTACCAGATCATTACCAACGCACTATCTCCTTCTGGAGTATCCATATTCCATTTCGATCAGGGTCTTTAGCATAGCGTGCAGCAGCTTTGATCCGGTTGGGTGGCACTCAAGATTGATAGCTGCTGCGGCTCGGTGTTCACTTAAACTTTGGAATGCCGGTATACTTCGCCTCATGTTCATTTTCTGAATTCGGTATAGAGCTTGGGAAATATCCTTGAGATGAGGTTGAAGTCCAAGTTGACTACGAGTCTTGAGATGATACGCAGTTGCCTAAATGGGAGTTTGCCGGAGTAACCCCGGTGCTCCTTGGTCGAAATCACCAGTGTCTTCTCTCAACTACTCGTACACAATGAAGCCCTCCAGTGATCTGGGTCTAGAACTTTTCAGTATACCCCATTCCACAATCCCCGTGGGCTTAACACCACCAGGGCACATGGGAGTTCACGCATGCAGCACGCTAAGCGACATGGACATACTTTGGGTCCCGAGAGATCACATACAGGAAGCCACTGCGATGGGAGAGCAATATACGCGATATGTGTAATTGATTCGTCTTGGCATCATCTGTATGAACTTCGACAGGGTGGATTGATTTCCGTACTCATAGCTACTAGGCATCTTTGAAGACATCTGCGTGGCTGGATTGGGCTTTTTTTCGAATATTACTGCGGGAACAGATCGTTGACTCTGTGAGACATACCAAGGATCCAAACTTCCGGGGGTCAGTAGGCTGGGGCCAAGGCGACTCTCATCGCGGACTACAGGCCACCGGGGCAGGGACTGCATTTCCGGTAAACAGGACACTGGGTGGATGTGAAGCAAGCCACAACGTGCAAATCCCACTTGGTGGTTTTAATTAAAGTATGGAACATCGAGATTGACTGTGGGGCTCGAATTTACAGGCTTCATTCTGCTCCGTATGCCTATCCCTCTAGAGACTATGAAATAACGTATACTACGGTACTCTTTTCAGTTCTGCGAGAACTGGTATTTCCGCGAAATGTCGGATGAGTTGTCCAGACCGCAGACCGTGCAGCACGGGATGGCAACGTGCAGGGATCTAGGAGGTTTGGGCCAAGCATGAGGGCAATCACATCGAGTCTGACATCAGCCATTACATTGAAGTGGCTAAAAATTGAGTTTACAAGGGTATCGTTCCTGGATCTACAGGGGATCGAATGCAAAGACTGTACTCCGTTGCACTTAGTACATTGCATTGGCATTTGTACGGAAAAGATACCACAAAGTTCCTGTTAGTGCGCGAATCCACCGGGAAGCTACCGGGAACCCACCGGAGATTGGCTCATTATTCATTTGCTCGGCTCGGCAGACCCTAACTGAGTCAAAAGTCTGCAAGACTCACTTTTCGCAGTTTAGCGTCTTACAAATAGACTATAATCTGCTTGTCAGCATACCCGAACCTTCTGCTAAGCTCACCTGGAGCTAACGTGGGCCTTGTTCCCGCTTTTCCCATGAATCAGGTTGCTCGCTGGTCCCTTTAGGTGACTCCCATCTCCAAACAAACTGCCAAGGTATACTTGGCGTCCTAGTACACCATCCAGACACCAGGCTAGTAATAAATTCCTCCACACATCTCTACGAAGAATACGGAGAGTACGGAGTATGACGGTCGTCGTCAAGCCTGACCAACGACACAGACACTGCCAACTTCTTCTACCGTAATGCCAATGAAAAACCTGATCCAAATCCAGTGCCTAGCCGTGTCTGCGTGCAAAGATGCATCTGTGCCCGTTGTCACACATACAATATGTGCCCAGGCGAGTCAGGTCTGGGTAGTCGGACTATTCGGGAATGTGGGGTATTTCATTTTTCCCTTGCTCGCCCAGTACTCCGTATCTGAGACAGACGTTATCCCGTGATGCTGAGCCTCGCCAGACCCGTTCCGCGTCCCTGGTTGTCAACGTCTTTCATCTACACAAAATCTCCGTACCGCGACGGGGCCGTCACATCTCGGGTCCGACTACTAATCGTACAGTCAAACCTTGTTCTGCGGCATTTTCCTGGATTCTACAATTCTCTCCTTGGGAGGCAGCGGTAACTGTTCCCGCCTCTTCAGTGGATGGGTCGAGCACATGTGAAAATTTTTCGACGAGTGTCCGGAGTGCATCCTCTATTCGAGAAGTCCGTCTCGTGATGTCTTGGAACCCCAGAATTTTCCCGACTCCAGCGCCGTTTTCCTCGCATCTCAGCACTACTTGGTGGATGTTCAACGCCTGAGGTACCATTTGATCTCCCAATGGCGTGATTGGATGAAAAATGTCATCGAGTCGATACTAAATTCAAGGGTTGAAGATGTTGACTGATCTGAGGATCGCGCATCGTGGACGCATCTCTTCTCAAGTTTCGCTAACTAGAAATTCTTCCCGCCCAATGCAGTGTTTCAACGAGCATGCGACGCTCGAGCAGTTTCAATAATCGAGCGCTGGCAGCCACTGATCGCCCTGAGACCCCGAATGAAGCTTCCCTTCAGCCAGGTCGACAAATAATTTGGACAGTGAACGTTTGCGCAACAATCAAGCGATGTGCGAAGCACATTCCGGTCACTTTCTATGGAATCAAGAAACCCGGAGTCGATTTCCGCATTCTCTGGCGTCTTGATGCGAGCATGAATTTAGCCGACCGATCCTTTACGAGTGGCTCAGCGCAACTGACATGGCCTACGAGCAAGGCCCGGTGGATCATTGACTATATCCTTGGGTTTTTTTCGCAATAGCTGCTGGGGAGCTACGGATCAAAGAGCACTCCCTCAGAAAAAGCCACGAGTCTAGCGTTGTGCTGCGCACGGCGCTGCGTTGCTGGCGTGCCGGTTTACAACCAGAGGACGGAGATTCACTTCTAAAGTTTATTTCCGTGATTCGGATCGAGTATGGCTCTTTGCTCAAACCCTGTGGTGGTACTGGATTCGTCTCTCAATAACGGCCCGAGGGTGGAAAAATTTGTTTTCCACGGTTGCACCTCCAGGGCTGGGTAACGAGCTCATGTTCAGATTAACCCACGGAAGGAACCTGCACATTACTTAATTATCAGCTGGGCGTCACAGGTAGGCATCACCTGAGAAGTAGACGAACCCCGGGCCTCGGCAACACTTTTGCCAATTTAAGGTTCTTCCCGAGGTCCCGAAGTCACAATCCGTGGATCGTCATCCATGGATGCACCCGTGGACACATCCGACAATTACATATAGTGACCTGTTCCGCTCTCTACAGTTCAGTTCCATTGTTGCTCTGGAGCTGGACTTCAGCATGGGCTATGTACCTTCCAAGCTTGGTTTGCTCGATTTGATTTTATTATTAGACTTCAGGTACTAATGTGATTTTGGAAGTAAGGCTGATTCCAACTTAGCTTTATGTCTCCTTAAGTATGACTTCACGATCAGACTCTAGAGCTGTGGCCTGGCTATTCTTATTGGGGCCTGGAGGCCTATGGCTCTCTACTTATGGCTCTCACTTGAGCCTAGAGCGTTTGATTATGTGACGAAAGTCGCCCTTGTTCTAGAGCTGCGTTGACATCACTTTAGCATTGGATCAGTGGACACAATCCGTCCATGGATGGATGGTTTCTTTCTTCTAAGTTAAGTTACTGAATGAATTTGATCTGCAAATAATAAAACTATCTACGTCGCCGCCCAAGTGTTGGGGACAATGGTCTTGTTCCAAGGTTGTTCTAAATTCAAGTCCCGAGATAGTTCACTCATAGAGGCGTCTTGAGCTTTAATGCAAGATATCCAAAAATGCGAACTAGAGAATGAGAACCAAGAAAATGGCTTAGGATGACAAACGAAGCCTCGGAAGATTTGTGTTGCGAATCTAAAGTTGGAAGATATATATAGCTGGAGCTTGGCGGTTGGGTTCGACATATTTGTATGGGGCGAAGAATGCGCAGCTCAGAACTTTGGAAGTTATCCATGGATGAAAATGTTATTTTCAATAATTTTAGAAGCAATCCTTGGAATTAACAGTTGAAGGCTGGAGTTTTACCTGCATTCAAGAGCGCTAAATACCTTCATTGTATAAAGGTACAGAAGTACTCTGGGGTCCGCATAGTAGTGTAAGTCTAGACATGCACTCTTCAAAGCTCAACTGAGTCCAGCCCACAAACAGACTAGACTTAAAATAAAGCCGACAGTTCGGAGCATACCCTGGTATGGAGTTGTGTTACGGCAGCTGCGCCGACCGTTGTCTTACTGGTGCACAACATGATCGTCGCTTGACTAGTCCTGCAGGTTTGCCCAGATGAGAAATGAGCGACTTGGGCCACGGAAACCAGCTCAGCGTTGCGTCTTCAGGAATTCTCTCTTTTGCATTGCTTGTTTAACTTTGTGTGTTTCCTGTCGAGTCTCACGAGGCAGCTTGCCATGTCCCATCAATACAGTTCAGTCCCCGCTACCCGTTCACCCCCGCCTACGGGCGTTTCTTCACGATGGAAGGCCGCTGCTGCGTTCTTTGCGGCATCCCAGCTCCTAAGGTACATATCTCCCTCTGATGTGCAAGCCCCGGCTGACCATGTCCATAGCTACATGCTGCTCGCTATCGTGGTCGGGGATGCTTCCCATGACCTACGTTTCGATAAGTTGGCAACTTACATTTGCACGTTCATTCTGCACGCCATGTGTGTTACTGCATTGATTGGGATCGCTGGGATCCAATGGCAGAAACGTTACTTCTTACTACAGCTCTTCAGGTGGGTCATATCTGCCCAGGTGTTTTTTAAAGATGTCTCAACTAACTGACTGCAGCACATCCCTCGTCGTGAATATCCTCGGACTCCTCAATATTGTCCTGCATCTTTTGGGTCGGAATGTGCCGATGCACCGCCTACAGATCGTGGGGGTTTGTCTACCCTCTATCCTTTCCGTGATGTGCGCCTTGGTCATAGGCTTGATCTATCGCGAGCAAAGTCGGATCAGCAGCACGGCGCTACTTAGCGAAGAGGAAATGCTCCGACGACAGTTGCAGCGCTTGTTGCAGGAACAGAGCAGTGCACCATCCCCCGAGCTCATACGGAATACCTACCGATTTGACCTGCCGGAGGATGTATCGCACAATACGAGTAGCTGGGACCCATTAGCTCGTTGAAACAGATAAAAACAAAGAGAAGACTTGGATAAATACATTTCTCCATACCAGTTCACGTGGGGACGGCAAAATACGAATACGCGTCGTACTCCGTACGGACCTCGGCTGTTTCCGTCTAACCCTCCAACTTCAAATATTGTTTCTTCAGAGCATTTAGATCCTCAAGATTTACTAGATCTTTGGTCTTTTGTCTACAAACATGCCGAAACGTGTGACGATCTTTGATCCCCCTGCGCAGGACCATTCCAAGGCCCTGATCGAGAATGTGCTCGATTTGACCCCCGTGGTAGACCTCGGCCCAGTATGGTCCCTCTCCCACCTCACTGTTCATAGCTAACAACTCAGGATGTCTTCACCAATACCCGACCGCTATGGCATCCTCCTGGAGCTCGAGGCATCTACGGCGGTGCCGCGATCGCGCAATCTCTGTCCGCCGCTATGCGAACCGTCCCCGCCGACTACGCCGTCCACAGCATGCACTGCTACTTCGTGCTTGCCGGAGACTCCGAAATCCCCATCCTATACCACGTTGAGCGAGTGCGCGATGGACGAAGCTTCGTAACCCGAACCGTGCAAGCGCGACAACGGGGTCGCCCCATCTTCACAACCACGCTGAGCTTTAGCCGCGTAGGCAGTGGCGGCCAGAAAACCATTCACCACCAGGCCACCAAGCCGGATGTGAACCTCCCTGAAGCCGAGCTGGGCAGCCTCCGCGCTCTCAGTAACGCGGGCGGTGGTCCGTTTGAGTCGCGGAAGGCGGGCATTGTCAACCGTAGGTTGCGGGAATCATCTGTGGTAGTGTGGTGATACTAATTCTTTTTGGCAGGCACATCTGTCAACCCGGAAGAGAAGAAAGTCCGTCGATACATCCGCGCCCGTGGCCACATCTCCGAGGAGGGAGGTTACCAAGCCCACCTGTCGGCGCTTGCCTACGTTACGGATAGTTTCTTCATCGGATCCGTTTCGATTGTACACGACATACCGCGGTTCTCCTCGCCCGCCGAGTTGGAGAAGCTTCTGAATGCCTTGAAGAATCCGTCTGATCTGGACGATGAAGATATCACACGGGCTCTTAAGGAACTTAAGGAAGAGGAGGCTGCAGACTTGCGCCGTCGCATCGAAGGTGCATTGGACAAGGCGGGCGGTGAGAACCAGGAGGAACACAAGGAGGTTGGTATGATGGTCAGCCTTGACCACTCAATCTACTTCCACAATCCGCTTGCATTCCGCGCCGATGAATGGATGTTGACCGAGATGGAGAGTCCTTGGGCTGGCGAGGGCCGGGGATTGGCGATCCAGAAGATCTGGTCGAAAGACGGTGTCTTGATTGCTACTTGCACGCAAGAGGTATGTTGTCTCCTGACGATCTTAGTGACACGCAAGCTAACTGGGCCGCAGGGTGTTGTGCGCTTAAAGCAAGACAAGCCGCCAAAGTCAAAGATCTAGAGAGTTCCTCTCGGTCCCTGACTGTGATAGGCTTCTTCTTGTATACCCTTCGATCATTCACTTCTTTTACATACTTTCCATTTTAGACTCCGGCTCAGCTCTTTACATACAGATGGTACTTTCCATGTCACGCTAGCATTTCATAATTCCAATTGAATGACCAAACTACTTGCTTTGTGTTTTTTTAAAAAAGTGCCTTGGCATCTCTGCTATTTCTCAAAATCGAATACACAAACCCTGGGGCTCAATCTCCAGCCCAAACACTCATTGTCGAGCTCACAGAACTCACAGAACAAAAAAGAAAAATAAACAAGAAATCAACTTTTGCGTTGAATCACAAAAAGCCGCCAACCCAATTTTAGTCTTCCAGAGACAAAGCGCGAAAGAAAACAGCTGGTATAGTACAGAAAGTATCTCAAACCTCAAGCTTCTCCTCCTTTTCGTCCAACACCCCCCCTCGCTCCCGATAATACTCCAACACTTTAGCGCCCCATACATCTCTCCCCTTATACTCGCTCACATATTCGGGCCAGGTCTTCATCTCCTTGGCCAAGTTTGCCAGCTCAGCCATGGGAAGCTCATCCAGAGGAGTAAGATAGGTTTTGACGCCAAAGACCAGCGATCCTGTCCGTGGTAGACGTCGGAATGTCTGCCTTTCGCGGCGAATTAGAATCTGTGATGGCGAGGGATCACTTGATTTCTTTTCGCACAGGGCGTTCGGCCGGTAGAGAATATCAGTGAGGCTCTCTTCTGGGCTCTTCACTTCCACAAAGTAGTTTGATCGTTCCATTGGCGAGTTTGGTGTCAAACGGGCTAGGAATCTGGATTACGGATTAGTATTTTGCATGGTAATGTTTGATTCTTGTGAGTTGACTTACTTGCTGACTGAGTTTGCAACCTGCTGGTGCCATAAAGGTACTGGACCGTGTAATTGGGAGATTGTCCATCCGATTCTCTGATTGACGGTCCATCCCGTGGGGAAAAGACTAGCACTTGCTGCTCTGGAAGTTGTTAGTTAAATCCACGCCTGATAGACACGAAAAGACATACAGATAATATTCTCCCTCCTCGTTCATCATCAGGATACTAAGGTCCTCCATCGTCAAACGAACAGCAGCCTCAAGTGCCTCGGTCAAACCCTCGTTAGGATCGCGTCCACTGACAGCAAATTTGTCGCCTGTCATGCGATTCTCCACAATCTTTTGGTTTTCGTGGGTTGACATGGTGAATGCAGTCGAGAACCGTTGACACAAGAACTCCGAGACCTCCTCTAGTGCCTCCTGGCATGATTCGAGAGACTCAGGAAGACACTGGATGACTTTGCCTCGTTTCTCTTCGAGCAATTGGGTCCGTACTCGGTGCTCGTCCATGTAGTTTTTATCGAGAGTGAGCCAATTGTGGGCGTCGAGCTTGCGGATATCCATCATGACACGGTATCGATCTCTGCCCTTGATGGGCTGTGCTGGGTATGGCGCCAGGCGCTTGACGTCGGCTGGGTTGGACACATCTTTTGAATAATCTTTTCCGGTGATTTTTTGTAATAAACGCTTCAATCCTTCTTTGTAGTGTCTGACTGCGCAAAGGCAGACGAAGAGCGTGATGGTAATGAGTGAAAAGGTTGTCATACTTTTCCCATTCAATGTCCGTGATTGAAAGCCGATGTATTATTTTCCCCTTTTTGCTTGTTCGAACTGTCTAATCAGGTCTTTTTTGAGGTTTTGAGGTAAGGAAAAAGAAAAGAAAGGCTGAGCATGATGAACTCTGACACGGCGAGGAGGATATAAATATCAGTTCGACGGGCTATGAAGTCACCTAGCTCGGGACCAGGCAGCAAACCAGATGATCAGACGATAAGTCAAGTCAGCTTGACTAGTTCCGGTCGAGAATTAAAAAAAACCGACTTAAAGAAAAAGGTGAATTTTAAAATGGATAGCTCAACGGCAGCTGCATTCCACATTCCTTATTGAGTGCCTGGTGGTACGCTCTAATTACGCCTGATACGCCCAGGGATTCCCCGCAAAAGCCCGCCAAAAGTTCGCCGCCGGGGAGTATTGGCCACAGCCACATGATCTCAGACGGTATTTTTTACCGGGATGTTTGATGTTGGTGCGAAATAAAATTTAAAGGCTGTGCAAACCAGAGCTACATTCGTACATAGACTAGGAGAGTGGGGAGTGGAGAGCATTGATGACAATCAAACCCTCGGGTGCTCACTGGTTGTTCAGCTGCCTTTACCAGTCGGACATGAGCGCTTGGTCAGGACAGGGACCCATAACCGGCGCTAGCCCCTAGATAAGGCTAACCAAGGCCCCACGATCTAGGCACAGAGATGCCGTGTTTAGCTTCAAATCGTGCAAAGCTCGCTTCTGTCCGTGCGCCCCAGAACCGCCAGGGCTTGCCGAATCCATTCGGGAAACACTCGCCCGAACAATATGGCATAAAAGGCGCCGGACGTGCTCGGATGAGGCCATGTCTAGGAGTTGATTCGAGCCGCGTAAGGCGCCTGCCAACCATGTCAGTACCTAAAAGCCGACAGAACCGGATGTTTGATCTCTGAGTCAAGGACCCGTTCAGCTGTCCGCACTCACGTCTGAAGAGACATGCATTATTTCTTTAGTGGGGACTTGAGTCGGAGCCAGGATTATTGGAGGAGATACATCAGCCAAGCTAGAAAGATGGGGCTCCTCGAATAGGCTCTCACGCCTCGTGTGTGTTCCGTATGGGGGTGGGCCAACGGGTTTAATGCTCCAGCCTCGATTTCACGATCCCAGCATTAATTCAGGGTATAGTTAACTTAATTACGTTGTCAGTCGACACGTCGACGAGATCAGACATCAACCATCATACTGGTATTTCTGGAATTGATGGAGTGTACTCCATAAAATTTACAATAAGCTCCAAATTGTACATAATAAAAAACACCAAGGCAAAAAGCCAAAGCTGTCCGACACAAGGGATCACCTTGTGAAATCCCCTTTTTACAGAGGCTCCACTAAAGGTTCCCGCTGCAACCGCAAGCCCCCTTTCGCGTAAAGCGCGCTTGCCGCTGAGTATTAGCAGTCGCTTCAAATGTTTTCTTTCTCTTTTTTTTGGTGTACGAGCACGGAGTAAGCCGGATTTGAAATTTTTCTCAAGATACAGGTACTACGTACTTTTTTTCGCCTCCTATGCAAACACCGACCAGGATCCAAATCGATCTACATAGCATAAAACGTACACTCCCGTACTTCGCCACCGCTGTTCAGCAGCCTTTTGTTTGCCCGTTTCAATCATAACCCGATGATTGTCTCGGTTTCTAATCCTGTAAAACTCACCGGCCAATCACCGATGATGTGATCTCCTTCATTTCTCTTTTCATCGAGAGTCTGGAACCCAGAAGAAGGTGACGTCTACAGTGGGAAATCCTGGACCTGAATCACATTGATTAAAGTGCGGACCAATGCAAGTCAATACTCGCAGATTTGACAATCCCTCCGTCAGGTCCGTAAACTCTAACAAACTGGTTATTTTTTTTTTTGTCTTTGGTCGCTTTGCGCACAGACATCTGGATCAGCTGCCTACACGCAATCGGTTCTCATGAAAATATGCGATTGATCGGCACTTTTGTTTGGTACTTTCAAGAGGTTGCAGGTCGTTAAAGGTCTCGATGGTTCATATGTATACAGGGTATGTGGTACTTAGTGCCCCTGTACTCCATACTCCGTACTTTGGGGATAATTATAACCTGGTCTAGACTTTGGCTTGATTCTTTGCATTAGCTGCGCTCCGACCGCAAGGAGACGTAAGGCTGAAGTCCAATCACAGGGGGGCAATGACGCCGGGGCAGATTTTCCAGCCCTGGGGATCGCCCACCCCAAGCCCTGGCCAGGGCGATGATCACATGGGCTCATGTGTCAGAATGTGCTTTGGTGACTCGACGCGTCGTATCTAGCTCCTGGTTCTGGTAGTTGGTCTTGCTTGGCTATTGGAGTTGAGGGCGGACTACTTCTCCGTATACCGGGGTGCAATTGCAACGATACTAATATCACTTTTGGAGTGATACCCCACACTCGAAGAGTGGTTGAGCGTTGCATCTGATTATGCTGATTCTATTGTTCAGCTATGAAAAACCATGTTGTACGAGTATACATCGAGTGATCAAGCGAGACCTTTACAGGTCGAACTTTTGCCCCAAAATGCACTCCCCCAAATGCCACAGCCTGGCAGCATTCTCAGCACAACGAGCATGGGTTGCTTGTTGCTTCAACTGACCATCACTAAGGTAAGAGCCCGAAAATTCTAAATCCAACAAAGAAAGTTAGAAACGCGCATAATGCAACGGCCATGCTGAGAGACTCGCCTGTTAGGCTAGGATCTAATGCCGCAATCAAACTAGTAGAACAGCCTTGCTGAAGAGTTTTCCTGTCGGTGACTTCGTAATCAACAACTGCAAAAGTCAGCTCTGTTGAAAATTTCAAGCACCAACTATGTGTCAACATACTGTTTTGCGATTTGACCCTGGCGTCAGTGATGGATTCCGAATCTACATGACGTTGCAGATTGGATGCAATGCCTAGCGCAATCAGCGAATCAAAAAACAACAGTGGGTTGAAACATACTTCCAGGGTGCACCGAAAACGCAGAAACTTCCTTGCGGGGGATTTTGTTGGCGATCTGAATGGCCATCAAAATCAACGCAGTCTTCGATTGGCCGTATGCTTTCCAAGTGTCATAGCCAGATCCACCCTATTAGCCGCATAATTAGTATACCCCACACAAAGGACATCAAAATCCATACCCCGAAGTCGAGATCTTCGAATCTTATACCCTCGAACCGATGTGCTGAGCTGCTGACATTCACAATGCGTGCCCCAGGCCCCGCAGCTCGTATCTTGGGCAGTAACAGGCCGGTAAAAAGAAATGGGCCGATGAAATTGGTGCCAAATTGTATTTCCAGGTTATCTTCGGTCCGAGAGAATGGACAAGCCATTATCGCAGCATTGTTGATTAGCACGTCGATATGCTCAACCTGTGCGTTGATTTCTGCAGCGGCGGATCGTACCGAAGTCTGGCTACTCAGATCGAGCTCGACGAAAATGGATTTGACATCTGGGCTCAACTGAGTGATCTTGTCGATGACAGGTTGGATTTTAGCCTTGTTCCGGCCGGCTAGGATAAGAGTCGATGGGGATTGAGAGGCTAGACAAAGGGCTGTTTCTGCACCGATTCCACCATCGCTTGGGCCTGTGATTAGGACTGAATATGCGGTCAATTGATGTGATGCTTTGCAAAAGCTCAATATTTGGTGGTGACTTACACACACGCCCCTTGATCTTCTCGGCATATTCGGCCACCACTTCATTGCCTGTCGATGACCATGACCACTTGGACATACTGAAAAAAAAAAAAAAAAAGAGGAGCTCGACGACAGACTTTGGATTCAATTACCAGATCCTTGAGTATGTGGCATTTATATGAAATGTTTTTGAAAATGCTGACGCCGGGCTTAACGATCTAAGCCCCGTTCCCGAAATGGCCATAATCTCCTAACTCCGCGGATGTACGTCGACTTCACGAGCTGAACGTCTGCTTATTGGTGGACAAGAAGCCAGCTCCATAGAGCCTTTTGGCAAATCCAGTCAATCATTTCTGCAATGCCATCTGCAATTCGCTTTTCAGCTGGCTCATAGGTAATATCCCAGTCAGCATCGCTAGTTCCGAGGACTCGGTGCAGACTGTCAAGCATATCACGTTGAGAGACTCGGAAGCTGTTGATCAAGACCTGTTTGTTCTTGAACTGAGCAAGTGATGGTGTTGCCCCCGACTCTGGAAGGCTGAGCAAGCTAGCCAAGGCTCGGCCACATTGGTCCCAAGTGCTGACGGTGATGACACGCTTGCCGTCAAAGAAAGTCATCTTTCGGTCTTTGATTGTGAAACCGAACCATTCCCTCGCAACCGGCTTTTCTCGACTTAAGGGAGGAGCAACGACAGAAAGGGCAGGTACGGGGTGGCCCTGGGCGTTGGTGAGTCCCCGTCGATTCCTCCGGTTTCCAGACCTAACCTCGCCATCTTCAAGATCCAACGGTGGACATCGAGGATGACGAACAGGACGCGTATGGCTTAAAGCCCGGGGGGTCGCAGGCACAACTGTATCAGACCCGGAAGACGAATCATCGTCATCACTTCGGTGACTGGTGAGGAACGACGGAACAAACTTCGAGAGATCTATATGAAGCACAGTCAGTATATAGCACACTTCTGACAGTCAATGCAGCACATCAGATGAAGGGTTTTGCTGAGAGCAATCCGCTGGCGGCCATCGGCTCAAACCCTCGTTCTTTACTTTTGACCTGACCTCCAGGGCTTCTCTCCGAAATTTCTTTCAATCCTTGTCCCTCCAGCCTACCATGTCTCCCCGTTGTTCCTCTTGGGCTCGCATGGATTAGGTGTTTGTGGATTTCAACAATTCTTAGGATTCCCCTTAGACTCTAGGTTGAGACGGAACGACAAGAGAAAGAGAAGACTGAACCGATTGATTGATACTCTGCGGGGAGAGAAAGAGAGAAGAAGGGAGAAGCTAGAAGGCTTCGAGCTATCTACACAAGGGGGTTGGGGCGAATACCCTACACAACACTTTATACTAGAGATTTCATTCCCAGTTCAGACTACTTCACACAGAGCATTTGAGACTTTTTAACTCGGGACTAGACAAGAGGGAACGTGTTTGAATCAATCTGCAACCTGCAAAGCGTTAAAACGGACCGGCGCTAACCAGAGGTGATGCCGAGCCCAAGTGACAGAGAAGTGAAGAGGGAAGAATTTTAGAAGCTATGCTAACCCCACGCCAGAATAGGCATCAACCCTAAGCTTTTGCCAAACTTTTAGAGTCTTGGAACTTCCGCGTTTCATTCTGTTTGAAGGACAAACGCCCGAGACACTCGAGCGATGAGTTTGTTTCTGTGAGGGCTGATGTGCCCCGCCATGTCACCAACAGGGCGTCCTGACTAATGGCCCACTTCTAGCCCGTCATCAGGACTCATTGGAGTCCGATTGAATCTCTTCTTAAGTGTCGGAAAAGTGATTTTCTGTCATTGCTTCCTGGCTGGATACTTAAATCACAGAACAGCATGTCTTCGACAGAAGTACGAAGAGGCCAGCCAGGCATGGACCAAGATGACTCAATCCAACTATCCATGCTGCATTCACAACTTCATGAATCGCTTGAGGCCTCTCTGACACAGCAATCGTCCGGTAAACAGCCGCAATCTGACGATCCATACGAATCTCGGATTGTCAATCTTTCTCGCAGCAGTGCGGTCATTTTGATTACCACCCTGAGCGGCATCACGTTTGTGGGCAGCATGAGCAGTGGACTGCTGACAGTTGGGCTCCCAACCATCGCAAAAGACTTGAATTTACCTAACAACTTGCTGTTATGGTGAGTACAACAAAGTCCCTTCCCACAACAAAAAAGTCTTCATCAATTAACAGCAAGCTTATATGAAACAGGCCAGCCTCTGTCTACTCGTAAGTGAAAGCATAGGCCTTTGGAACGTCGCTAATGTCCTGTAGTCTTGCGAATGGATGCTGTCTTCTTCTCGCTGGATCAATGGCTGACTTCATGGGCAATCGAATGATCAATCTTGCTGGCTGCTTTCTGCTCGGCGCATTCATCCTGGCTTGCGGGGTAGCGCAGACCGGTATCCAAATCATCCTGTTCCGCACATTTCAAGGAATTGCAACATCAATGTGCATTCCCACGGCATTCAGTATTTTGACCGATGCTATGCCAACTGGAAAGAGAAGAAACATTGGATTTGCCTGTCTCGGGCTAGGACAGCCGCTTGGTTTCTCAATGGGACTGGTACTTGGCGGTCTCTTTCAGGGTTCATCGCTAGGATGGAGATTTGGATATTATCTGTGTGCGGGCATCTCCATGGTCCTGACTTTGGTCAACTTTTTCAAATTGCCGAAAGATGCAGTGCGTGAGCCAATCTCCTGGCGTCGGCTTCGATCGGAAATTGATTGGCTCGGAATTTTGCTCTCGAGCTCTTGTTTGGGGATAATATCCTATGTCTTTGCGTATGTGTTTTTCTGATTGGCTTCAAACAGCGAAAGATGACTGACAATAACCACAGAACAATCACCGACAAACCATCTAATATTCAACGACCGGAAAATATTGTTCTACTCTGTGCAGCTGCAGTGATGATTCCTTCATTCATGGGATGGATGAACTGGCGCGAGAAGAATGGGAAATCCGCGCTGATACCTAACAGTCTATGGAGAAACACGGCATTCACATCCGTGTGTGTGATGGTTCTGCTTTCATGGGCTGTACTCAATGGAATGGAAACGATACTCAGTTTGTTGTGAGTATTTCCATATCAATTATCTTAAATACTTCTTCTAACAAGATCTACAGTTTCCAAGAGGTCCAAGATCTGTCGGCGTTCCAGGCTGCTCTTCGCTTCCTGCCCAACGTTGTCATTGGCATTTTATTGAATTTGGGCACCGGATTGCTTGTTCATCGCCTACATGCTGATCACTTGGTGCTGGTAAGCACATTCCTGAGCGCCGGATCTCCACTCCTGATGGCCATCATCGACCCTACTTGGTCATGGTGGTACTGTGCATTCTGGGCTGTACTTCTCGGTCCCCTTTCGGCAGATGGTGAGAAATTTGTCCATCACTAGTACCTTTTCGTCTACTGTATCATCTTGAACGGAGGATTGAAACGCATATTCATACGTATGGTAAATGCTAAGTCTCAACATAGTCATCTTCACAATTGCCAATCTCATCATCACCGATGCCTTCACCCCCAAAACACAAGGTCTGGCTGGTGCAGTATTCAATGTCACCGCACAGTTTGGAACTTCCATCGGCCTGACCATCTTCGCCATCATCTCCGCCGGCGTCACTCAAGGATCCGCTGAATCGGATAAGGCTTCGCCAGAAGCATTGATGATCGGCTACCGAGCCGTCTTCTGGACCTGCTTCGGACTAATGATAGCAGCTTGCGGAGTTGGTGCATTAGGACTGCGCAAAATTGGAAAAGTTGGATTGAAGCGGGATTGAGGTTACCCGGAAGCACTCGAAAAAGTCGATAAAATGCTTGGAAGATACCGATGTAGAGATTATCCAGAGAGTAGAAGGGCGGGGAGTGTCGAAAAGTTGATCAATTTGAACGCTATATATGCTTGTCTGATGCAACCCTGTGACTCGAGGGTGGGGAAATCCAAATTGAGCCCATGCGCCCATCGTCCGGAGCAAACTAAAAATTAAATTGAGCAATATCATCATGTCGCTCGCTTTGTCATGATTTGAAAATTCAAAACTTTTGTGTCGTGAAAGACGGACGTCGTTATTAGTGAAGAGGTCTGGTTTGTCGTGAGGGAAAAGATCGCAATGTAACGCCATTCACATAAACTGAAAGTACTTCAGCAAATGATTGATGCTCTGTCAGTCCGAGCAGTATCGACTCTGGTCATGGAAACTCCGGTATTGTGTGTCGGCACAGGCTCCAGTTTGTCGTCACCACTGGCAAGACGTTCCTCTCGTTCCCATTCCAAGCGCTCAGCCTCCTTGATGCGCTTGAGCTCCTGGCAGAACTTGCTGTTGTTTCGGATACGATCACCCCAGCGAATGAATCCGAAGGGAATGATAGAGACAATGAGACTCAGGAATGCGATCAGGCTACAAGCCCAAGGAACACCGAGCTTGTTGAACATCGGCTTCGCCGCGAGTGGAAGCACAGCACCAAAGATGCTTCGTGTGCAGCTTGCAGCGGACTGAGCGCTGGCGGAAAGCGTTTCATATGCATCAGTCATGTAGTTCAACATAGCCATGAAAATCAACAGGTACCCCATTCCAAAAGGAATTCCGGACAAGAAGGGAACAACCCAGTGGATATTTGGTGAGGCCGTCCATCCAACCCAGAAAAGAGAGATGACGTATAAAGGTCCACCAATGCAGGCGAGCGGAAGTCTTCGATATTCTTCGATGAAGGCCCAGTTGGCGTTGCGGGCTTTGGCTCGGGCAAGGTAGCCGTCATACCAGATGAAGACGAAGCAAGCGAGAACGGCACCGATTCCGACTGTTGGGTGATGTTAGACCAGAATCACTCCCTGGAATGGGAGGGATTGAAGGAAAGGACTTACTTGGTAGGAACATAAGTCCAGAGATTCCAGGGCTCATTTTGTAAATGCCTGAACAGTCGATCGAGTTAGTGGTAATTCTCCAAAAATTTGCCAGGAACAGAACGGAATCGTGCGACAAACCTTGGAAAATGATAGGGTATGCCTCGAAGTAAAGGTAGAAAATCGCATATGCCAAGGCGAGGTAAAGTGAAGTCAATGAGACAATTGATTCATGAAGCATCATGCGGAATGGTCGTGAAATCGTGACAATGATCATCTCTCGGAGGTTGCGACTTTGGACCTCCAACGGTGAGACAATGCTAGAGTTCCCCGTATCTTTACGGAGCTTTTGGGCGCGGCGCTTCAAAATGACAGGTGCATAAGTCTCTGGCATGAAGATAACCAAGGGCAAACTAGCTCCCGCCAGAATGAGACCGATCCAGAAACACCATCGCCAGCTGACGACTGCGACAAACCCAGATACCCATGGTCCAATGATGGGTCCGAAGGTGGTACACTGTGATCATGTCAGGTTTGATACTTGAACAGATTGAGCGCAAAAAAGAGTTTCATGGACTTACGGCCATATAGTATGCCATCAATCGACCGCGGAGTGTGGGGTCGTCATGTACATCAGCGAAAAGCCCACCGACGGTGGCAATAGGCGCGGAAGCAACCATTCCATTGAATAAACGGAAAACCAGCAGAGAGGCAAATGAGTCTGCAACGGCACACGCCAGCGTGAATATCATGAACAGGACATAAGCAATGAGTAATGGGGGCTTTCGACCAAAATATTCGGAGCTAGGACCCCAGAGTAGAGGACCTAAGATGTAACCGATGAGGAAGATGGAGATTGGCAAGACAAGTATTGTTTCGTTCGTGATATCAAACTCTTTTGCGATCTCTGGGATGGCGTTGCTGCAGATTGAGGAGCCAATTGTGCTGTTCATCACTTGCATAACGCCGGAGGCAAGGACAAAAAACTTTCTTTTCTGGCGGAGATATTAGTATGCCGTAATGATCGGAGAAGGTATTCCCAAAGAACATACTGTTGTCCAATTGACAGCGTTCTCCGGGTCATTGGCACCAAAGGACACGATCGTTTTCGAAGCCACGCGACGGAATCTGGAGGTCGAAGGATTTCCATATCTTTCCTGGATAGGTTCATGGCCAAACCCTGCCTCTTGGTCTTCTGAAGAATGAGAGCTAGCCTGTGACTCCCGCGACGATCTGATTACTGCGTCTTCTGTGGGGGGAATATGAAGCTTTAGCATTTCACACTAGTGAAGGGGATTGAGGGCTTTGCGTGACTGACCTGACGCTGACATGACCTTCTCCATATTCTCGTCTGAGGGAGAATTATCCGACATTTTGGGCTAAAATCGTAAATCGGCAACAGAATGAAGATCGAGGCGGGACCTTGGAGTTATAAAGGTACAACTCCAAAAGTCCCCCACAAGGGATCCACGTTTTGAGTCAGACAAATGAAAGGTGAGTTTTAAAAAGTGGACTCGGTTCCACATCCGACAGTTTCTGATTCCGCGCCCTATTTGTGACAAATTGGCAATCCGACGAGAACTCTCTGGCGTTCACTGGCTAATTGGGTATCTGACAATGCTGATCAGTCAGGTATACCTACACTCGGTTAAGACGGCTTCTTCCCCAACTTTTAGGTGGACACTACGCTGCACGAGCACAGAGCCAAGATTCTGTGGAGTATCAATGTGGCAACTCAAAATGGGAATGAAAATCACATGGGATTTGACAGAGGTTGTATATCACAGCGCTGCAGGCCAGCGTGGGTTATTTGCAAAATTGGCATTTCCAAAATATGGGCGTTGACCATGAGGAATTTGAAACCAGACATCTTTTCCGCATGCAACCAACGACTCGTGTATCGAATTCTCCATCTCCTGAACTGAAAATTAGGGGTAGATACCCTGTCGATCAATCGATTGGTCTTGCATTAACGCGTATGCCAACCCACTGCTCAGCACAGTCGTGCATTGTATGAGCCAGACTAGTAATGCAAGCTGGTTGGGCTAGGGGCAGTTGTTCCCATGATGTGCGCGGGGGACTGGCTAGCCAGATCGAGCCAAGGCCAATTCTTGGTATGAGGGAGCTCCCTGTAGCGGGGACGCCAAAGCCGGGGGGATGATGGGAACGGGGGCATTCCGCAGGCTTGACTCACTTGCTGTGCAGGGGACCCTCCCGAGGCCAAGGACTCCACACACCTAATGAACACCCGATAAGAAGACTTAACGTCACTATGGAGTGCTCGTGAAGGTTCTTTGGAGCCTGTTCCTTAACTTCCTCCATAGATTTGGGCAAGTGATTCCGTTGGGCTTCGATCGGCGAAAGTGAAATTCTCCGAGGCCGGTGCCGGATCGGTGCCGGATGCGCGTCCCGGCGACGGGTTCGGACTTTTGGCCGATTTGCCTCTGGACATGTGAGAACGGGAAGCTTGACCTCGTATTCTGGTCAAGGAAATTGAGGAGCAAGAAAAAAAAACCAGTCGGAAAGTTTCAATGGAGTTTAATGGTGGAAGTTGTGGATTGTGATCAAACGCGTGGGATTCTTGGTTGATGCCTTACCAAAGTGGCCATAAACTCTTGCCTCAGGCCACGATCACGTGCAGCTTCATGTAGTATAAGTCTGTTCATTTTGAAGTTTGTATATAGATCTCTATAACAATGTAGGCCAACAAGTCAAATAGATGTGCTCTGAGCTCCAGTGATATGGCATTTAATCATGGTTGCCCACACTACAAAATCCATGGTCACATACTCGACATATTTCGATCTGGTAGTTGCCACAGAGCGTTCATGCAGAGGGGGTGTCCGAGGAATGGGGGGATATGAAATAGAAAACATGGAACTCAAGTACATTGAACCAAGTTGGATGACAAGAGCTCAAGCCAAAGCCATTGGAGCTGGGCGTGATATGCCTGGAGCCCAGGGTCAAGAAATCGCAGCTTTTCCCTCCGAAGAAGGCACTTTATTCCAGACGGGCCTTCTGTTTGAGCAAAATTTCTTTTTTTGTAGTGTCAATCCTGCATTTTCGCCCTACCCATCTACTCCAGTTCACCAGATCTACATATGATTCCAAAGTCGGAGTTTGGGCCAAGCAAGGGATCCCCACTGTGACATGATCCGAAGGTGGGTCTGACAGGTCAAAAGATCGACAATAGGGAAATGGGTCTACAATGTACTTTGTCCTAAGAGTACAAGATCTAACGATTATCTTGACGATTATCTTGACACAAATTGTCAAGCTGCGTGGCTGAGATAAATTATTCCGAACGCGAAAGAGTTTCGGGCTGGGCGGCGAGTTCTTCCGCACAAATCCCGCACTTCCACAGCTTCGATGCTCACTCTCAACTTCCCTCCTTCACTCTGCCAAATCCGCCACAATGGGTGTTCCCACAGCTTCCAAAGATGCTCCTCAGATGAGCCCACTGAGTCTGTACTCGCGATTTGCCTTTGCAGGTGCAGTCTGTTGTGCCGTCACTCACGGCGCGGCTACTCCTCTTGATGTGTAAGTGACACCACACCTGGTAAGCGCATCTACCAATGAGTATCGCCACACAGTGTCAAGACCCGCATACAGCTGGATCCCGTTACTTACAACCGAGGTATGCTGGGAGGCTTCCGCCAAGTCATCCAGAATGAGGGTGCCGGCGCTCTTCTCACAGGATTCGGTCCTACGGCTGCCGGATATTTCCTCCAGGGCGCGTTCAAGTTCGGAGGCTATGAATTCTTCAAGCAGAAGTCCATCAACGCTCTAGGCTATGAAACGGCCAAAAATAATCGTACCGCTGTCTACCTTGCCTCCGCTGGTGCTGCCGAGTTCTTCGCGGATATCGCTCTCTGCCCGCTGGAGGCCACCCGTATCCGCCTGGTTTCACAGCCCACTTTTGCGAGTGGTCTGCTCCCTGCGATGGGTCGAATTTTGAAAGAGGAGGGCATTGGCGCATTCTACTCTGGATTCGGGCCTATTCTGTTCAAGCAGTAAGCGTGTGATGATGCGCTGTCACCTGTGACATTGCCACTGACAGCTCGGATAATAGGGTCCCATACACCATGGCCAAGTTCGTGGTCTTCGAGAAGGTCTCTGAAGCCGTTCTCGCCAGAGTCAACAAGGACACACTCTCCGATGGTGCCAAGACCGGTATCAATCTTGGCTCGGGTCTTGTAGCTGGTCTCGCCGCTGCTGTCATCTCCCAACCCGCCGATACCATGCTTTCCAAAATCAACAAGACACAGGGTGCTCCAGGTGAAGGTACTGTCAGCCGTTTGATGAAGATCGCAAAAGAGCTTGGTATCCGTGGCTCGTACGGTGGTATTGGTGCTCGTCTGTTCATGGTCGGGTCCATTACCGCTGGCCAGTTTGCCATCTACGGCGATATTAAACGTATCCTTGGTGCAACTGGTGGTGTTGAGATTTCCAAGTAGATCCAGGAACTATACCATGGACGCTTGATAACCCTGCGTCACCCGGTGGCATACGCGTAGCTTCCCCCTTATCTGTGATGTATAACAATAACTATTTCGTGATTCCGTCGACCAAAAGCACATTTCCTTGAATCCTGCCATTTCTTCTTCGACTAGACCCACCTACATTCAGCAGCCATTTGGTAGAATGCACAATTGTTCAAGTAAGCTTGGAAGCATCGGACATTCTAAATTCATATGGTGGTCATTTTTGATAAACAACTATAAGATCAATCAAAACTATATGCTTATAACAAGGGAAAAGAACCACTGAGAATTCAACCCCACCCAAGATCACCACAGCGTACCTCACATTAAATGGAACTCTCATCCACCACCCCATTTCGGGTCTATAAGCCGCGCCATTACACAATGGCATTTTGAGTATCACTGATACCCAGTTGCCTCACTCAACAACATATGCCGAGATCCCTGTCGAGCCTGCTTAAGCATGGCGAATGTATCGCGGATATCCCGCGAGAACTCCATTGGGTTGCACATGGACAACCAGGCCCAAATGCTCAAAGGACCACCCTGGTAATGCTGCGGGATCTTGGGTCCATTGCTAGATACCGTGGTGTAGTCGTGGTCGTCGGAGGACCCTGATCGGGAGAGTCGGTAGGGTCCGATACCGTATGCATAATGGAACAAGCAAGCGATTGGAACCAATTGAAGACATATGATCAGAGTTTCAATGCCCATATGGACATCTGCCCAAGTCAGCTTTGCTGTGGTATCGAGAAGAGAGGTAGAGCGGAGGATGGTGAAGATGATCTATAACGTGTTAGTCTGGATTTGAGGGATAGGAGTAGCCAATCCTTACATTTTCAAGAAACACGAGTCCGACAATGAGCTTAAGGGCGACAAGTTTCGTGAGAGGCTTGTGTTGTAAGATGTGGGGCTTTAGGGCCGCATAAAAAGTCAGAATAGATAATGTGGCAAGGAATACCGAGACGATGCGAATGACGTTTAGCTGGTGAAAACTGTTAGCATGATGCTTCTAAAGTTGTTCAGCTATTGGATTTGAAAATTGACATACCCAAACATGTGCATAATACGCCTTACTACTTTCCAGGCAGTATATATCCGCGGCCTCGGTGATACAGGTTCCAATCGCATCGATGAAAGCCACAACGGGGTATTGCAGAACCATATACCATTTTTTCTGAAGACTTTGTTAGATTGGGATTCATTTCAGAATTGAACAATGATCAGCGAAGGGAGAACCAACTTGGAACCATGCGATACCATCCACAGGCTTTGAGCTTCCCTTCCCTTTCTTTGGCTGAAGCTTCGCAAAGAACATTGCACGCTCCTCCTGACTGGGACTGACAAAGTCACAAAGTAAAAGAAAGAAGGCACACAAGGCGATGGCCTGGAACACATCCAGCCACGCAACAAGATAGACGTAGCCGTTGGGGAAGTAGATTGCAAGGAACGAGAAGATCGCGTACAGTGGAAGAAGAGCACAGATTCTCATGATTCTATTAATCCAAATCAGTGGGTGGATTTTAGAAGTGTTATGGCTCTTGTACTTACTTTGTCTGTCGGCATGGGTTGCTGAAGTGAGTGGCATGCATGATCATCAAAGTCACGACAACAAGGCAGACGAAGACTGCGCAAGCTCCCGACAAGATATTGTTAAAGGTGTGAAAAGTCATGTCCCCAACGAAAGGATCAGATGCAGCTGTAAGATGAATCAATCAGTATGATAGCGATTGTATTCGAAATGAGACGTACCCCCAGAAAGGTCATCCGGCATTGGACAAGTATGATTGCTGCTTCCATCTTTGTGACTGAGAATACCCATTTTATTCAGATGATGGATGGTTTCAGTAATGCGCAGACAGTAAAAAAGCAAGATGAAGTATAAGGAAGCAAATGCTGTGGGAGAAGATGTGTTTCTCAGCTTCAGGGCAGGAAGAAACAGGGCTTTATACCTTTTCACCCAAAGCTAAGGTAAGGCTGCGCCTCAGACAGAGGCCTCCACCTCTTCATTTTTGATAGTTCTCAGCTCAAATGTTGTTCCTCATCGTGGAGAAAGGATTGAAGCTCGTGTCACATAAGCCTCCTTAAGCAGTTGACTAGTCCAGATTAGGGAAGGTTGTTGATGATCTCCGTCTGTTGTGCGTATCCCATTGGTGGGTAATGGTGGAAATGCGCTAGGCAGTTTGTGGTAAATCTGGCGATTTAGGGGCTGAATGCTGACAACCACCTTGACTGCACATCAATCCTGTCTCAGTGGCGGGGTTTTCATTTCAATCTCCCGCTTTGCAATATTGCATGGAACCAAAATAGTCCGATCTGCAAAATGGCCCCCACGAGACCGGTCAAGGGCTGCAATAGCTGCAGAAAACTCAAAGTGAAGGTTGTGTGCCATTGGCAGTCGCAGTGAGGGCACATGCTGATCCCTTGAAAGTGCGATCGGACAACGCCGGCTTGCTCACGGTGTGAGAAAGGGAGTCGGGAATGCATCTATCCTGATGAGTTTGATTCGGCGCACAGGGACCAGCGTGTTGTCGCGAAGGCCTCTGCCGAAAAGAAGTGGAGACAGAGAGCCGGGAATCCGTCAGCCTCAAGTGCACAGTCTGTTTCAGACGACAAAGCCATCTCCGACCGCCGTCCCGATGCCCCACAGGTAGGGCTGCGAGAATCCCTCCATCAGCTGGCATACCAACGGTTCCGATATGACTTTTTGATGCCATCTGGTGTTAACTCGCCCGCCAGGGGGACATTTGCAAGACTTGATTCCTTATATCTCAAGGCACCTGAAGACTCGTGTGTTTTCTGTGCGGTTACCGCAGTCTCATGCGCGAATTTCAACGGCAGAGTCAAGTCGGAAGAAGCCAAACATGCCAGTGTGGTTTATTATGGAAAGACACTACAGAAACTTGCAACTTTGATGGCAGAAAACCAAGCCAATGTCAACAGCGATGAGATTCTCGTTGTCATATTAGGTTTGGGCTTGTATGAAGTGAGTACCAAATGCCGAAAACTGTTGCACCCAAAGCTGAGGCATTTTTAGGCATTGACCTCGGCGCAACGTGATGGGTTCTGGGTTACCCACATGCGCGGTACACAATCAGTCATTGCCAATAGAGACTTCAGCTCAAACGACGGGAATGCAATTGTTGCGTCGCTCTGTTTACACTTGGTGAGTACTGCGTTTATCACAGATGAAATTGCTCCCTGGGACCAAGCATCAACCCATGACTAATGATGTACCAGCTTGTTTACCACATAAGCGAAAGGATTGCTCCTCCGCCATACTTCCACCAATGGCTCGCACAAGTTCCACCCTCATTCGGTAACAAAATTGAACTATCCAAGTATATGGTCGAGGTAGCCACGTCATGTGCGAAGCTGAAAGAGAGCAACAATTGGAACGCATCTCAATCTCAGGGATCTGACATTCTCGAATCGGCCCTCTCACTCGATACCCAAATTCAACTGTGGGCCTTGCATCTGCCCTCTGACCGATCATCTACAGTGCGACCAGTCAGCACAAATGACTATCCGCCCTGGGCATCAGCATTTTTCTCGTCACCAGGTGCACCTCAAATGATGGAGGTCTTCCTGAATCCTCTGGCAGCCAGCGACTGGAATATGTATCGAGCTACTCGTATACAGCTCAATTTGTCTATGCTGGACTGTCTTGATACGCTAGCGCGATATAGTAACACGGTTCACTTGACGCGTCTCAGATCTCGGGTTCTGGAAACCATATATACCCTCTCTGATCAAATAGCATGTTCAATCCCACCATTGCTTTTGATTAAACCAGAGAGCACCTCACGATATCCCGCATCAACAGATGAAATCCGCGGTTTCTGGGGATATTTGGTTATGTGGCCGGTTTCAATTGCCTTTTCATGCTACAAAAATAAGCAAGTTGAGGACACTCGCTCGCAGAAACAATGGCTTGGTACAGTACTACACTTCCTGGCGAACAACTTGGGAATAGCGAAGGCAGAGGCTTTGTTCAATGCTTACAATTAGAAACGTGAAAATTAAAGGTACATTCAATAAACATAACGGAAGTGTGGGTTCTGTTATCCAATTAGTCAAAGCTTTGCGAAAGCACTTGATTGGGGTCATATCACTCACCTCGAAATCGGTCAAGTCTGCCATAGTGCTCTCATCAGCAGATACTGCGGCTTGGTCTGCCACCGCAGCGGCAGCATCTCTCTGCTTGTTTCTGCGAATCAACATGAAACGCAACAGAACAGCAAGAGCTGCTTGGGCAGATGAGCATGCCAGGATGAGTTTGACTCCAGTTTGGTAAATCGGGGCTTCCTTTGCAAGGAACGCGTGAGGTCCGATGATATTTCCAGCACAGTATGCCAGAAAAACCAAGGCAACACTGGTGGTTCGCTTTGTGTACCCACCAAGGTTGGTTGCTGGCATCTGCAAAGCCAATACCAATGAGCAGACATAGGCACCAATGATGTAGTAACCAAACAGCACTCCCACCTTGTAAGTCTTGTGATCCAACTTCCACAAAAGACTGGCCCCAAGGATGGTAGGCATCAGATAAACGAACATGACAACGGTACGGAAGTTCTTGACCCGGGATGCGAGGAATGTACCTCCAAGGACATAGAAGATTTGGAATCCACCAAAGGGAATTCCCAACGCCACAGCGGTCGCAGAATCGTCGGTCAGTCCTTTGATGATGAGCTTACCGAAGCTGGCGATTCCGCCATTGACAACCTCATTCAAGAGAGTGAAGAGGAACAAGACCCAGACCTGGGGATCAATCAAAGCTTCCCGGATTTGATGCCATTTGATTTGGTGGTTGATGATACCAGTTTGGCCGAGCCGGCCACGGCCGATCAAGAGGGCCTTTTCATCCAACGTGAAACGCTTTGATGAAACAACGTCATCTGGGAGGAAGAGGAGCATGATTACTCCCCACACGAGGGTGATTCCGCCCAAAATGAGATATATAGCCCTCCACACGGCGATGGTATGGATTTGTCCAATGCCATACGTGAGGATGCCACCCACCATCGCTCCCAGCCCGTTACAGCTGTAGAAGACACCGGCGCGGAACGGCTGCTGAGCACGTGTGTACCACATTCCAATCATCATCATAAAACAAGGTGTTATGGGGGCTTCGAAAACACCCAGGAGGAAACGGCAGATGGCCATTCCAGTGAACGAGGAACAGGCAGCGGTTATCATGAGCATTGCGCCCCATGCGATGATGTTTCCAGAAACGACTTTGGCAAGCTTTGTCTTCTGGGCGAGCATGCTCCATGGGTATTCTGCGACAAGATATGCGAAGTAGAAGATACTGGCGAGCCAGCTGTATTGGTCGCTGGACATGTTCGTCGAAGGGAGAAGGTCGAATACGGCGGAGTAAGCCAGTGCTGATTTGTCAATATACTGCAGCATGTACGTGCCAGCAAGCAAAGGTAACAATACAAGGTCTACCTTGCGCACGAGGGCTTTGTTTCGTGGGCCATCGTCTAACAGGGCTTGAATGGCCTCTTGATTGAATCCATGTTGGTGGAGGAAGACCTCTCCCTCATCAAGGTCTGTCACAGTGCCAATCTGCACATCTTTCTCGTCCACAACATCGTCGACTGGCTCTTTCTTCTCAATTCCTGTGCTCATGGTGTGAATGATTGTGTTAAAAGAAGATTTTCAAAAAGATATGGCCATATACAGGGAGTCAGATACCCCTCAAAGGCTTTTAAGCCGGTCATTTTCCCGTTATCTTTAGGGTTTGGCCACCGGATCATGAAATGCGGAGAATTCGGTGTCTCTCCGGCAATCAACGAGGTAAACCACAACTGATACGAAGCCAAGGAGCTTTTAGTCACAGAGAGAGGACTGATCCGGACTAGTGGGAGATAAACACGGACTCCACTTAGATAGTCCCCCGCACGGCATTACTTCGGCGCTACTTCTGACACCCGGAGAGATAACACCCTGGACGGTGCTATATCTCACTTCCGATCCCATCTCTCACACTTCCTCGATTCCTTTTCATTGGTTTGCATCTGTCCTGTGATACACAATGACTATCGTTGATAAGCCTCCCTCCGTCATCTTGACTCAAGGCCAAGTGGTGGGGACAAAGCTAAAGGACTCTTTCCCCCAAACCGTTGACGCCTTTCTGGGGGTTCCCTATGCTCTTCCTCCCGTTGGGGATCGAAGGTTCAGACCAGCAGTGGAGGTTCCAAGCTCATCTGAAACAATTGACGCGTCCAAGTATGGGCCTGCAGCTCCCGGAAAGGCACTTCTCTCTGGAGGACCGAAGCTTGTGCAGAGCGAAGACTGCTTGACGGCGAATATCTTCAGACCAGCGGGCACCGATGGTGAAAAGAAGCTCCCAGTCGCGGTATATATCCACGGCGGGGCTTTCAACCGAGGGTCGGCAGCTATGCACAGCACCGCGTCTATGGTAGCGTGGTCTGAGAAACCCTTCGTTGCTGTGAGCTTTGGATATCGAATTGGGGCTCTTGGATTCCTACCTTCGAGTTTGTCTCAAAAGGAGGGGCTGCTGAATCTTGGATTGCGTGATCAGGTCCATTTGTTGCAGTGGGTCCAAGACAACATCACCAACTTCGGAGGTGATCCTAACAACGTCACTTTGTTTGGTCTTTCCGCGGGCGCCCATTCAGTGAGTTCCGAAATTCGAAAACTCCAGGACTCAATTCTAAAAATTTCCTAGATTGGCCACCACCTGCTGAATTACGACGAGCAGCGGGCGCCATTGTTCCACAGGGTCATCATCGAGTCAGGGGCTCCAACATCTCGCGCCGTCCGTCCATACAATGCTAAAGTCCATGAGGAACAGTTTGTGGATTTCCTAAAGGAAGTTGGTTGTCCTCCGGATTTGCCCGAAACCAAAATCTTCCCATTCCTTCGATCACTTCCCAGTTTGGTCGTGACAAATGCCCAGACGGCGGTTTTTGACAAGTACAACCCCTCCCTTCGATGGGCTTTTCAGCCCGTCATTGACGGGGATTTAATCTCTCGCAAGCCTTTAGAGGCATGGGAATCAAAAGTTTGGAACAAGGTTCCCATCATGACCGGATTCAACGGAAACGAGGGAACCATGTACGTGGACAAAAATATGTCGGAGGCATCCCAGTTCCGCGATTTCTGGCACAAGCTTCTTCCCGAGCTCTCATCTTCTGATCTTGATACAATTGAGAGTCTTTATCCAGACCCTTCCCTCGTGTCAACATCACCTTATGTTGAAACCAGGGAAGGCGAAGGCCTTGGCCCTCAATACAAACGCATCGAGGCTGCCTATGGACATTATGCATATGTGGCACCAGTACGACAGACGGCACATTTTGCCTCGTCTCAAGGTGCTCCTGTTTACCTTTACCACTGGGCACTGCCGAGAACGGTTGTTGGCCGTGCGAATCACGGAGACAACATGTACTATGAAACTTATAACACTGGCATTACGGAGATTTCTGACTCTCAAAAGGAGCTTTCAGGAACCCTCCATGCTTACTTGACTAGCTTTATTACCACCGGCGACCCTAACGCTGTCTCCGGAAGATATGAGCAGAGGCCACAGTGGGAGCCCTATCGACCAGAAGCTACGAAGGTCATGATCTTCGGAGAAGGGAACGAGGAGCTCATTGGAGGGAGCGTGGCACCCCCCGCCAAATGCGTTGCAGATGATTGGGCTAAGGAAGAGACAGAATTCTGGTGGTCGAAGGTTCCCATCTCACAGTTGGCTTGATCAGTGAGGGATGTCTAAGTAGAGCTAAGAGTTACTTAAGTAGTTGTCGATCGATACAAACGACAAGATGTATTTTTGAATATAATCTGCATTCATTTTTGCATTGGACTACCCGTTGTGTCAAACTTATTTCACATTCTCTGCCTCGTCGTCATGGAAAATAGTAGTGCCCCAGTTAGGGCGATTGAATCGCTTGGCTCCAAGCGTTTCTACCAATCCATCAATTTGCGCAACTTCCTCATCACTCATCACAAAGCATTTGTTCAGGTTTCCTTCAATTCGAGCAACATTCACACTCTTCGGAATGACACTCCGCCCCTTTCTCACCCCCCAGCTGAGTAACACATTCCCGGAGCTGCACCCTCTCTTGTTCGCAATCTCGTTCACAATGGGGTTCTCATGCAAAGTACTACCACTTCCACCAAGAGGTCCAAATGCCGTTTGGTGCACGCCTTGCTGGGTGCAGAGGGCATTCAATCGCTTCTGGGGGAGCAGTGGCTGGATTTCTGTCTGGTTGACAGCGGGTGGAATGTTGCAAGTTTGCAGGAGCTTCTCAAGATTCACTGTTGAAAAGTTCGCCACACCAATCGCTCGGACCTTGCCTGTATCCAGAAGCTTTTCCATCTCCCGCCAGGTATCAGTGAAATCCCAGTCTGGGTCATGTACCGTGCGGTCTTCTTTGCCGTATGTTTCTGGAGATGCGGTCGGGAGAGTGACTGGCCAATGCATCAGGTAGAGATCGACGTAGTCAAGTCCAAGATCGTCGAGGGATTTTTGCAAGGCAGAGGTGATTCGATGGTGGTCGGAGGACCAACTTGAATTGGAAGGGACTGTGTCAGTCTCCAGGAATATTTCGCTGTCTGATTTACTTACAGCTTGGTAGTCACGAAGTAGTCCTCCCTGGGAATCTGGGCTGTCTTGAATATCTCGCCGATTTCAGCTTCATTGCCGTCTGTATCTTCTAGTCAGTTTGTGGATCCATTTCCTTGGTCCCTGGGTATTTGAACTGACACAACGGGGCGCAATCCTGATGATATCAAAGTCAGTCTATCTTCTGTGCCGATGAGATAAATAATTGGGAATCAAACATACAAAATGCCTATAACCAGCTTCAAAGGCGGCTCTGACAGCAGCAGCCGCCTCACCTGGGCCGGCCTTCCATGTCCCAAAGCCAATTGCTGGGATTTTGGCACCTGTGTTCAGTGTGAAGGTTTTGTTTTGTAGCTCTGTCATACTGAGGAGTGAATTAATCTACCAGTTTTTCATAATTGAGGTCTATCTAGCTTTATCAAGCCGCTGCGGGGTATCTTCGGCTGATCCCAGAGCTCCCCGCTATGTAAATCTGGGGCCCCGGGGAGAAAGCCGCAGGCACACTAGTACCCGCCCTCCCTCCGAGGGATCGGAGCCTTGCCGGCTCTACGTGGAAATGTCGCCAAGAATCATCAAGCTCAATAGTGAAAGAAGATCGCTACCAAAATGTCATTTCCCGTATAAGCTTACTAGGCTAATCATACCCCGCGTTCTGAATCTACGCGGTTTCGATATGCTCCACGCGGTGGGTCTTCCCATCATCCTCCAAGGCGTGAGGCTTCCCAGTCAGAACGTCCTCTCGGACATCGCGCCTAACTTTCTCTTCCTCCGTGGGGTAGGCGTGTTTCCACATCGTCCACAATGGTCGCTCAAACAAATCGTCCATGCTCTCCATAGAGCGACCTTTCATCTCCGGCAGACAGAAATAGATAAATATGACACCCAAATATGTCAACATGGCATATAGCAGGAATGTGCCCCATCCCATTTCTGTAATCATATTAGGTGTGGCACGTGTAATGCCGTAGTCGACAATCCAATTGACGAAGAAACATATAGCCATACAGAAAGATCGCTAAAAAAAAACTTTGTCAGCATATTTGATATTGGGTCTTTTTCACATTGAAGTTACTCACAATTCTGGTTGGGAACACCTCGGCTGCTACCACGTAGCAAGCAACTGAATGACCGAATGACCATCCGAAGGCGTAAATGTAAATGAAGATGATGCCAACAATTCCACCAGCAGGGGTACCATTCCCGGGACTGTCTGTGCTCGCCCCTGCAAAGCGAAGATAGAGAGCCAGGTAAAGCATGGATGTCGCTTGCAATGTTGCTCCAACTAGCAAAGGAAGCCGACGACCAATTCGATCGACCAAGTATCCCACATACAATAATGACACGGCAGTTTTCACAACACCATACACACCCGTGGTGAGGAGACTAGTGGAACCGCCTTTGACACCGATCATCACAAAGATCTCGGGCGCATAATACTATTTTCAGGTTAGTAGAGTCTCAATTCTCAACCAAAGCAAGAGCAAGACTTACGTTCAACGAGTCGGTGCCAGTGAACTTGTGGAACAGGAACAGCATTATGCACAGGAAAAAACGTTGGAAATTACTTCTCGTAGAGAAGACATCCTTGAGTACCACCCAGTAGTTGTGACCTGCAAAAGCCTCTTGTTCATGGCGGACCTGGGCCAAGATCTCACGATATTCTGTTTGGACATATTCGTGATCAGCAGGTAGCTTTCGCAACTTGCAAATATTTTTGAGGCCCTCTTCATTCTTGCCGTGGTTGATGAGGTATCGGGGTGTCTCGGGTACAAATGGAATCATCAAGCACAGCAGCCCACCCGGGATGATTTGAATACCCATCGCCGTTCTCCATTGCATGTCATCATTTTCAACACCAGGGTAGGACCATTTTGCCACACCATAGTTGACCCAGAATGCTAACATCAACGATGTTACAATCATCAGGTTGTATGTTGCAGTCATAGATCCTCGGACTGACTTTGGAGAATTTTCAGCAAGGAACTGGGGCGTGAGCATGGATGATGCACCAACTCCCATTCCAGCGATGAATCGACCAGCGAGGAGCACATCATAGTCCGCGACCATTTGCATCGCAGCGCCAATGACGAATATAAGACCCCAACCAAAGACGGACCATTTTCGCCCGATATAGTCTGATGTGGGAGCAGCAAGTAATGCTCCAGCCGATCCACCTGCAGCGAGCATGGAGGCAATGGTGCCCTATAAATAGTCAGGAAATTGGTTTTAGGGATTTGGATTGCCAATTGCTGACCTTTCTGTTGTCTTGTTCTGCTTGGGAGACATCATTCAGTCCAAATGCATTTTTGAAAGATGGAAGTGTGAGAATTCCTCCAATATTTCCTGTATCAAATCCATAGAAGGACCCTCCCCAGGCGACTGCAACGAGGAGGTATAGAAGACGGAGATTGAAGATCTCTCGGGGATCAGTCTTAGCTTCGCTACTGATCCAAATGCTGGTTCCTCCCGCCATGGTGTTCTGCTGGAGGAGTTCCAAGTAAAGTCTTTAGTAAAAGGGGTATCGGCCTGGCGAGCAGGTTATGATTAGAAATATCCAGGAGCTCAGTGGGTCGGTAGCGGCGAGCTTCAATATATAGCCCACGGCAAAGTGTAATTGGGTATGACCATCCTGTGTGCATGTCTCACGAAGACATATGCATGCCCAGACCGGTAGTTGCAAAACCCCATGGGGAAGTGGGGAGGTGGAGCGGGCATGACGATCACACAGTCGGGTTGCTCTCCGGGGGTTTGTCGCGATGTATCTACATCTCGGTGAGAAAACCGCACAATGTCACTCCTTGGCGATTTGGAGCTTGACACGAGCTAATTGATAAGATAAGAGTCATAAATTGGAGAAGCTGTGAGTTTCTGTTTTCTTCTCTCAACATCAACTGTTTTGCTCACAGCAATCATGGCAACTGAGACAACCGCCATGCTCGAGGCGCCTCAATTCAATCCGTCTCTTCGCCCCTCTTCGAACAAACCCTATAGCTACGCCGAGGCGTTCATTCCAGCACTCACCTCACAATGCCATGCCTCGAATCTTCTTCAGCTTCCCAACGGCGATATCCTCTGTGCTTGGTTCGGCGGAAGCATTGAAGGCAGGCCCGATATCTGCATTTATATGTCTCGTCTTCCAGCTGGAGAGAAGGTCTGGACAGATGCCGTGAAGATGACACATGACCATACCCGAAGCGAGCAGAACCCACTTCTATTTCGCAATCCCTCAAACGGAGAAGTCCGTCTTCTGTACACCTCGCAGAATGCTGGAAATCAAGATTCGGCCATTGTGAAACAACTTATCTCCGGTGATGATGGGGCGAATTGGTCGGAGCCCACCGTTCTTTTCAGTGATGCAGGAACTTTCATTCGCCAACCCATGATTGTCCTTCAGGACAGCTCGTGGGTGATTCCCATTTTCAAATGCCGTGCGGAGCCAGGAACACGGTGGTTGGGAAGTGATGACATTTCTTGCATTCGGATATCCAAAGATGAAGGGAAGACCTGGACTGAGAGGGAGATTCCAAACAGTTACGGATGTGTACACATGAACATCCAGCGACTGAAAAATGGCACATACCTCGGTCTTTACCGGAGTCGATGGGCTGACCATGTCTACCTGTCAACTTCCCCTGACGGGCTGGACTGGACGGAACCTAAACCAACAGTTCTTCCGAATCCAAATGCGGGTATTTGTTTTGACGTCCTTCCATCCGGGCGCGTGGTGTTGATATATAATCACTCTTCAAAAGAAGATGCACTCGGTCGTCGTGATGGTTTGTATGATGATATCAGCGATGGAACTGATACAAGAGCCAACCAAGCCACGAAACATGGAAAAGAAGCTTTCTGGGGCGCTCCTAGAGCTCCTCTTTCTGTTGCTTGGAGTGATGACGATGGTGCGACTTGGAAGTGGAAAACTTTGGAAGAGGGAGATGGTTATTGTCTGACGAATGACAGTGAGAAGAAGCGCAACCGGGAACTTTCATATCCCAGTATTCTGGCCGAGAAGAATGGGACTCTGCACGTCGCATTCACTTTTTGGAGGCAAAGAATCAAGTACATGCAGCTGACAGAAGACTTATTTGAATAGACAAGGGAGATCAGTATAATTTCCAATCCCATTCAGTTCTCAATCTTATTTTGCCACACTCCCGAGACGAGCAGTTCTCTCCGGGCCTTCAGACAAATTCTTGTGGTGTGCTCCATGTAGTGATTGATCGTCCATATTTCGTCTCTAATTCTAAAGTTTGCATAACTATCCCCATCTTCAATGCTAGAAATTGCAGCTTTAAGACAAAGTAATACATGAAAACAACCCGTAGACGTACAAAATGTCTCTCGATCAGGTAATTAACGCCAGCACCTAGCTATGACTTCCAACAATAACACCAAATATATCCCGATATGCAGGTGGCTTCAATGATAAACCTCAAAAATGCGCCGCGCGTGGCTTTGTATTCCACATTTGAAAGCTTCTTCATACCCGACAGGGAGATGGAAACTATGTGCGAGTGAGAAGGATATGCTGCTATAGATGAATCACTGGCAAAGCAACACCTCTATCCGCTCACTTTGGTGCAAGCTGTTGGTTTCGATGCGATCCGCAGCAGACCTGAAAATTGTTAAGATGGATGTTATGGCCATACCCCTGGATCATTGACGGGGGATGCTGCTCACCATATGCAAGTGTTCAAAACGAGATTCAGTGCAGCTACATGAGTCTCAAGCTTTTGCCGATATTGTGTTAGGGATTTCCCCCTGAAATCCCACATGAATCTTCGCCATTGTGATTTCAGCTTGGCTAGCTGGGGCGCACGGCGAGCCACTCGACCATGGCTCTCATTAGAGACCTTGACTGCGTCACGGTACTTGAGAGTCGCTTCTTCGAGAGCTTCAAGATTTTGGCGGCATGAGTGTATCATGAGTCCTAGGTTTTGTTGTATATCGAAGGAATCTCGGTCCAGTCTCGTGTTCCGAGAAGATATAGCCATGGCGACCCTTTGAAGATACTTGAGAGCGAGGTCCATGGCCAGTAGCACTGTCTCAAGCTCTTTGAGATCGTTATGTGCATTTTTTCGACCGATGGTTGCGGCGGCAAGTAGTCGGTACACAATTTGACTGCAGAGGACAATGTCCCCCACGGAGAGACCAGTCATTCTCGTGTAAAATATAAAATGATCAATGTAAAGAGCCTGGTGAAATGCTCGAGTGTCCAGGTATTTTCAAAGCTGGGAGGTTGAGCAGAGTGTCTTCACATATATATGGCATTCCGTCTTCTGCCTCCAAGTCTCAGTTGCATAGTCAAAAACGATGATCAACCCTATTGGCCCGGCCCGATGCGACCGTCTGGATAGCGTTAGGTTCCCGATCTAAATCCAGCCCTTCGATAGGTTGATTTTATAATTTCTTCTTCTTACTCTTCCCCGCTGTCGCCTCTAAGTTTTCCCACTCCCATTACTTTGGGTGTGGCAGTGCTTTGGTGTCCCGGATATACTGGGACAGCTCATCTTGCCAAGGACCGCGTCGACCGCCTGGGCAATGAATTAAGTATTCCTGAAGTCTGTAAGAGTAAACGATTCCGCAGCCCTGGAGTGATTTCCCAATCTATAGATGTACTCATCATGTTGCATTAGAGCCTACAGGACAGTCGGGACCCTTTTTTTGTTTCCTATCCACTAAAAGTTTCTTCATCTCTTTTTCCACCTGGGCAACGAGGCATCAGCTGGCATCTCCAGGCATTGCAAATAGCTTCCACCCCTCAAGGGTGCCATACACCTTCGTGATGGAGCCTTTTCACAGCTGCCGACTGGCCAACGCGACAAATGATCTCATAGAAAATTTGCACAAGGAATGCACACCCGCCTTATTGCACCATTGAACTCTTACCTCTAGGGCTGTTTACCGCGCGGTCAATCGTTTAAGATCATAAGTACAGCCACAGGTCAACCATCGGAGGTCGTAAATCCCAAATTTGTATATTAAGGCAAGTACAAGACATTTGCATGATAGTCCGTGTATTCATTTTAGTCAGTATGGAAATAAGGTGTCGTTTCAAACACATGGTTGTATACTGTGATAATTATGTTCCATTTGTGGACTCAGGCAGCGTCAGGCAGTGTTTGCTCCAGCTTCTCCAAATGCTGCATCACCTCAACCACCCAAGCCGACTTTTCTTCCCCACACGGGGTATATGGTTTCCGAGGCCAGAAAGTCTTTGCATCGGTAATACCAGCAGCAGGACCCGCAAAATGGGCAGCTCCGAACTTGGTGGGTGCTATACCCTCCTTGCACGCCTTCTCGGCCCGAGCCACCAGGCCCTGTAATTCTCCCGCTTCCTTGGTCTTCCCCTGATTCCATAGCGCGTATAGATGCGCAACACACTTGGGGAACACATTAGCAATTCCTGTGACGCATCCACCACCACCGCCGGCAAGACAGGGGATAAGCCAATCAGAGGATCCGGCGTAGACTGCAAACTGCTCATGGCTGTACTCTTCAGTGAGTCGAGTGACCTTTCCGGCATTTCCGCATGTCAGTTTGACTCCGACGATGTTAGGATGTTGTGCTAGTTCGGACATTGTATCGGAGTTCATGTCGATGCCGTTGCACATGGCGGGGAACTGTGAAAACCAGTGTTAGTTTGGCTTTGGTCTTTTGAACACTGTGACTTCCAGCAAAATGCATAACTTACGCTGTAAATGACAATGGGCAATGAAGTAGAGTCCGCGACATCTCGATAGAATCCGACAATGACGTCCTTTGTCACGGCCTTGGCCCAGTAGCTCGGGGGTAATAGCAGACCGAAACTAGCGCCCGCCTCCAATGCATCTTCTGCGAGTCTGATCGATTCATTGGTAGATTGTCCGCTGATTCCGGCAACGACGGGGAACTCTGGACGACCGAGATCAACAGCAGCTTTTCTCGCGACCTTGACCAGCTCCTTGCGCTCTTCGGCAGATAGCAGAACGGCCTCGGCGGTAGTTCCAGCGAGAACAAGGCCGTCGACACCCCCGCGAATCAGATGTGAGAAGAATTTATATGATGCATCGTAGTCAACTTCTTGTCGGGCGGTCGCCTTGTAAAGAGAGATCACGGGGCAGTAGATGCCTGGGGGAATGGGCGTGGATTTGGATGCGATGGTCGACGTCATTATGGTTGGCAAATTTTGAGGCTCAAATAAACGAGTGTAAATAAACGTTCATTTCCATCAGCCTTATATTCTGGACAGTGTTTCACGACCGGAGGAGCCCCTCTACATAGCTCGGCGAGGGTCCGAGATTCGCAAGGTATCCGCGCCGGAGGATTTACCCCCGATGAGGGGGAAGAGTATAGTCCCAATGAATCCCATCACTGTGGAGAAAAGAGAGGCAATGAGCTGATCTGCATTTGCCGACCCCATAGAGAAAGCGACAGCTCTGGGCGAATAAGGAGAGCGCTATTTCGTTAGACTGGGATGGAGCTTTCCCCGCTTTTCCGTTAAAAGGCCTCGGGGTGGTCACCGGTGTCAGTTGCATCCTTGACCGTTCGAGATCTGACTATTCCTGACACAATGGTGAAGCGCAAGCGGAACTGGACCGACGAGGAATCGGAAACCTTGCCGTCTGCACAAAATGCGTCGGACAGCAAGGAGCCTGCGGTCTTGGATGTTTTGCCGGGGGTTACCCGAAAGATCACTGCTTGTGGAGCATGCAGGAAACAGAAGGTGTGTCATTGAATTGCATGCGATTTGGTTGGATCAAGCTAATGGAAACAGATTAAATGTGACATGAGCAATGGACCTCCTTGTACGCGGTGCCGTCGTCGCGATTTGTCTTGTGTTCTGAATAAGAGCCTCCAATCTTTGGTTGAAGAAGTCAAGTAAGTCTTACTGTCTTCAAATCATTGGGCATCCACTCACAAGGAAACAGGAATACAGAGATCTTGCAAAGTGATATATCGGGCATACACGAGACCCTCGACAACATATGTCAACACCTCAACCTACCTCGACCGAAGGCTCTCTTGTCTTCCGGTGAAGCAACAGAAACAGATGACAAAACAGGGGGCAATGATGATCTTGACCGAGACATTGAGGATTTGGATGGCTGCGAGATTTCTCCGCCCGACACACCATCTGCAGTGCAAGCTCCGATCGATACGTACCTGGACATAGCCAAATTGGGAAGTCCAGGGTCATCCGAAAACACTCCCCCAAGTACAACAAAGCACAGACAACATTCGGCGCCACAGGATCTCATCAGCAAAGGGGTCATAAGCATTGCGGTGGCTGAGACATTGATAGAGAGATACTTCGCTCGTCTGGATCCATACCTGTACGGCATATGCAGTGGATACCAGAGTCTTCAACAGATCCGAGCGACATCACCCGTGCTTCTAGCTGCAATATGCACCGTCTCAGCACTACAGGACCCCGAAGGTCAACGCACATACGAAGCATGCAATCGGGAGTTCCGTCGGCTGGTGTCAAGATCACTTTTCGAGAAGCACGATCTGGAACATGTTCGTGCACTATGTGTTAGTTCTTTCTGGCTTTCGGATGCGTCCAGAATATTGTCAAGTGACGCTATTCGGCGAGCGGCCGATATGCGCCTGCATCGCAGCTTCGAACATCTTTCGGTCCCAATGGACCCGCGTCTGGTGGCAGGGAGCCATGCGGCACCGCAATCTTTCCATGACACGGGTGCTCTGCAAGACCGTGTTAGGCTCTGGTACTTGACGTTCATATCAGACCAGCATCTCTCAATCCTACATAACCGAGACCCACTCCTGCGCAGTGACAAAGAGATCGCTCTGAGCTGGGAGACTTTCCTTGCTCGTGAGGATACAACAGACTGTGATGTTCGAATTATATCACAGGTTGCTCTGCTTGTTATCATGAGTCAAGTGCGGGACCTGCTAGGATCTGACCAAGGAACCCGCGTTCCGCAGTCTTTATCAAATCAGATCATTCACTACTCTCGACAGTTGGATCGATGGTTCACCAAATTCTCTTCTATCTTCAAGCCAGATCCTTACATCGGTGACTTTCCCAAGCGCGGCTTACAGTTGCACTACCATTTCGGGAAATTATATCTTGGACACCAGGTGTTCAAAGGATTGAACGGCGAGATGATACCACCTCATTTCCTGACTGCGGCCGGCATGGCTCACGAAGCTGCCGTGGCAATTTTTGAAATGATCTTACATGAAGATTTGCAGAAAAGCCTCATTGGCATGCCACATTATTTCCACATCATGATTGCATTCGCCGGTCACTTTTTGTTAGAAGTGACGCAAAACTACCACACACAGTTATCCATTGCGCCAAGTCAAAACTTCGAATTGATTCAGAAGGTGCTGGAACTTTTCCAAGATATTCCGGCTGTTCAACAGCATCCAATTTGCAGGATGACACCCGGGTTGACTCGAAAATTGCGTGAATGTGTGGGTATCCTGCAAGGGGATGGCAGACATGTACTTCAGCCCTTGGGTGCGTCTATGGATTATACCGACAACCCTCTACAAATACAACCAGCAGGTGGTTTCTCATTTCCTGAAGATTCGCTCGTCAACCCTGCGGATGATTTTTTGCTTGCTGATTTCGGGGAATTCACTTTCCCAGGGATGATGTCGAATGGAATGACATGATGTATTTATGCTAGAATTTATGCAAGATGATATCACGTAGAACAAAGTCATTTTCAAGCCAACATGAGGGATGGGGTAGAGCACACAGGTTGTATTTAATAAGCCAACTGGTCTCGTAGGGTGCTCATTTCCAACCGGGAAAATAGGCCCGGAGACCTCACCGAGAGAACGGGATCCTTCGGCGGGGCGGCGCCCGCCCTCTAGGGCTGGTCCGGGGTTATAAGCCACTCTTCAAACCGCTGGAGCGCCCTCTTGATTAAACTTCCCCCAATGAACTCGACATGGAAAGTCATACTCCCTCTGCAGCCAACCAAAAAGTCACACAGTCAAAATCGTCACCAAAAATGGAATACCAACGCCTCGGCAACAGCGGCCTCAAAGTCTCCCGAATCATCCTAGGCTGTATGACATACGGCAATCCAAGCTGGGAAGGCTCACCATGGGTTCTAAGCAAAGACGAATCTCTCCCTTTAATCAAAAAAGCCTACGACGTAGGAATCAATACCTTCGACACAGCCAACACATACTCGAACGGTGTTTCCGAAACGATTCTCGGGAAAGCGCTGGCGAAATACTCCATTCCACGAAGCAGGGTTGTGATAATGACGAAGTTATACTATCCAGTTCTTGAACACGATCTAGACGCGCGACCAAACCCGGCAATCAATGACGGGCCTCTTGTCAATCAAATGGGATTGAGTCGGAAACATATTTTCGATGCCGTGGAGGGATCCCTTCGACGCTTGAACACGGATCATATTGATGTTCTTCAGATTCATCGGTTGGATTCTGATACATCCCCTGAAGAGATTATGCGAGCTCTCCATGATTTGGTGCAGATGGGGAAGGTGAGGTACTTGGGTGCTTCGAGTATGCATTGCTGGGAGTTTGCGAGATTGCAGTATGCTGCGAAGATGAATCGGTGGACGCCGTTTGTTAGTATGCAGGGATTGTATAATTTGCTTTACCGGGAGGAAGAGAGGGAGATGAATCCCTTCTGTGAGGCTGAGGGTATTGGGTTGATTCCTTGGAGTCCCTTGGCGAGGGGACTGTTGGCGAGACCTTGGAGGGAGAAGTCAGCTCGCGCGGAGCAAGATCAGAAGACTAAGAAGTGGTTTGTGGGTGATCAGAACGAGGAAATTGTTTTGAGGATCGAGGAGCTGGCGAAGAGGAAGGGGTGTGAGATGGGTGCTATTGCCGTGGCCTGGCTTTTGAGTAAGGGTGCATGTCCAATTGTTGGTTTGAACAGTGAGGGTAGGATTGAGCAAGCGCTGGAGGCTTTCAATGTGGTGTTGTCAGAGGAGGAAGTGAAAATGTTGGAGGAGCCATATCGGCCACTCGCTGTTCAAGCTATCTAAACTTGGGATATGACCGAATGGACCAGTGTACCCCGAGAGGTCAATTTGTGAACAGGTAGATCGGAAGACCAGATAGTATCGATTCAGTGTAGCCCGCATAGAGCGAGACACATCCTTGCATTCAACTATGTCAACTAGCTGCGAGAAGCGCAGGGGCTAACTACAGAATGACCGAGGCCATCTGTGATACTGGAAGTATGATACTACACCATTGAGATATGCAACATAAGAAACCAAAGGACGGGGATGGACGCCGCCGAAAAGAAAAAGGTGAAGAGGGTGAGAAACGGACCAGATGAGATGCCAAAACAAAAAGGAAAGGCGTCTAATATAGGTTCCGCAGAAGCATGGCAAAGAAGAAAAGGAAGAACGAACCAACCTGTTGCTCTGAGAGCAGGGGGACGTTCACTGTAGAGAAAGGTAAATCGCAACCTCGGGTGGCTACATGTTCGGTCGGTGGGAGGTGCAACTGCAATATTACATGTCAAAGCCGGCGCGTTTTTTTCCGAATGATTCCGGCGCGTTGCTGAGATCGGGTTGATGATGGGGACCAGCCCCGGTGGTATGAAGGTATGAAGGAGGGAGAGGTCGTTTAGGCGGGAGTTGCGGATGTCACTTGGCGCTTGGAAGCTCCTCCGGTGGAATCCTAAGAATCAAAAATTGGCATTAGTAATTCTTGTCGAGATCCTGGAAGGCTCTTTTGCAAAGCGATCGATAGCGGGCTCCAGGGTTAATGCGTTGCCATTTTAGGCCGATTTCGATCTTTTTTGTAAACTTACGTCCAACTCGCCGATGCTGCGTTTCTGGCCGGCTGTCTCTGATCTCTTGATCACCTTCTTCTTAGGCCGAGAGGGCCGGGTCTCACCAGGTTCGAATACATCTTCCGGGAGATCAAAGCTGTGTCGGATTAGCACTTGCCGGTAGAAACGGTGTGGTTGGGCGGAGGCCGTACTTGCGAACATGGACTACTGCCAGCTCCATGACGTCTTCTTGGAAACCTGTCCATGCTGTACATTGAGACTTGAAGAGCTGTGAGTCGCTCGAGATATCCAGAGATCTCGATTGGCCTTTGGAGAAGAGATTAGATTGCTTGAACAAAACGCGGGGGGTCATATTTACCAGGCTCCAAAGGCTTCAGCTCTAGGCCGATGTAGTATGTTGTTGTGTAGACAGTCTGGCCATCATTTTCAGGGGCGGAGTGCGCTGGTTCCGGAACCTCGGCATTCTCGAGTGTGTTCTGAACTGCGGCCTGATGGGCGGCGTTGTTGGTCTCATCAGTCGTCTCGGTCTTTGTGCCCTTGGCGACATGCTGGGTTGATCCATTCTTGACCGCTTCCATCTCTTGGTTGTTTTTGACAACGTGGACTCTTTCGAAGCCCTTGGGGAAAGGATGAGCAATTGCAATGATCTGCTTGCGATCAAGTGCACCAACAAGATGACGCAATTTGGATTCGACAAGACCTGACCACACACCCTCAGCCTCCTTGGTTTTGCTCGAAGCGGTGATGCTGAGATAGTATTTGTAGTCATTGGTGAAGAAAGTATGACGGACGAACAAATCCTCCCATGACAGCTGCTTCATGAAGACCTTGTCAACCATATCACCTCCTCGGTTCAGTTCCCTAAGGATCACATTCTTGGTGGAATGACTGATGTTGTGGGTTGCACACATTGACGGATATGCGGGAGTAATGATGGGCATGAGATGGAAGCGATCACCATGGTAAATCTGATTTCTTTAGCTGGGTGCACCCTGATATTAATGCCTATTCCAATGCTTACCTTTGGGTTCCACACTTTCATCTGAAGCGGACCATCCTCAATCTGCTTCAGTAAAACAGGCTGAGGCCAGTTCCACTTATTCATGATCCTGAAAAACTTGCCCACAATGACAGATCCTGTTGCTTGCGGGTATAGTTGACAGACTCGTGCCACCAGCATTGCCCAAGCAACACCGCCCGGGAAGCCCACAATGTTTGAGTAAATTGCTCGCCCTAAGGATATAACAGTTAGTCCTGATAGCGAGTGAAAAATCAAACACACTCACTCTGCGCCCAAAGTTTGATTGCCCGCAGCGCAAGACGGAATGTCTTTTGCTGGGGCACCAGCTCCAGGATCTCATCTGTAACACGAGTTCCATTGAGCGACCGAACCTCACGTTCGTCTAAACCTCTGAGATAGTCGTTGTTCTTCAGATCAATGTTCATTGGGATAGATGGAATAACAAGGCGGGCAAAGATCAGATCAATGCTGATCCCAAGGAGTTCAAGCTTGATAATTGGGACAAATGCGTCGGGCACAGGTGTCATTTTTTCGATCGCTCCTTCAGAAGCCATTCGCTCTAGTATACCGGGAAAGGATGAGAAGAAGTCGTCGATTGTGACATGTTTGGGTGCGACAACTAGAGTATCGATATCGGATCCTGCCGGCGATTGTGATCAGCATAGATTCTTGTGTCACTTGATAATGACCACATACCTGGACCATAGACACCAAGCCTGTAACTTCCGTATGTGAAGATTTTGCCGCCTGATGCTTCAACTGCAGCGGGAGAAAGACCTCGGTTGCGGCTAACGACTTGAACAAATTCGACGGTGACGCGCTGTAGCAGTTGGAGCACTTTTTGTCTTTGTGATGATCAGCTGTGATGTCTTATGCAGTCGCTACCATTTGCGAACCCACCTCCTTTCAGTTTCTGTCGGTTGCTCGAAGTTGTTTTGGGCTTTGAGTGACGCGATGAGATCGTCGTTTGCTGCGATTTCATCTTTGGTCGGAAGGACGGTTGAGATTGGGGGAGTGACTCCCCACTGTCGTACGGTCGGCGTAGCCATTGTGAAAGAGGATTAAAGTTGTTATATCCAGAACCGAGTTCCGAGCTGTGGGAAACGAATCAAAGAGCGACGGACCGGTTGGCGAAGAGATCCTGAATCAAGCTCTGAATCAAGATCTGGCGCCCGGTGGAAAGGTGAGAAAGAGAAGGCGATAAGAGCGGGAAACGTGGACACGAATGGAACACCGCGAGTAAAAGGAACAAAGAATCAAGGAAAGAAATTGGAGAAGAGAGGTCGCGGCGCAAGGTTCATCGGCGCTTCCATGAGCCGATCTAAACGCTTACTCATGTCATCACATGATCGTCATACTGCCAAGGTCTCCACTACTGTTGATGTTCTCGATATGTGCTCCTTATCCGCCCTAGCTTGGAACGGTGATGTTTCATGTTTTCAATTGAATCATAAGCTCATCCAAGGTTACTACGGAGCTTCTCGGCCAGATGCGTGATTCCATCGCCTTGATTGGCCTCGAAGAAATGACTGAGCTTGTTGTCAAGCCACTCAACGTCTTCCTTGCTGTCACCAGGACCTCCCGCCCAATCTGCATTGAATTAGCATTCCGCAATCAATATTCTTGCTGAGAGCAAATGGAAACTCACGACCCCAAATTGAAGGGAATATATCTAGTGTTCCAACGCCTGGCTTCATATAAGCCACTTCATATTCCGAATCCTCTGGACTAATATCACATCAGCCTTGACCTTACATGGGTCAATCGAACCGCAATTTCAAATTACTCACGGGAAATATAGATCTGTCTTTGCCGGCAGAACAAGCGTCTTGGCTTTGATAGAACCCATCGCCTTCTCGAAATCACCATGATACGGCTCTTGCTGGGAGACATCTCCATTCTGCCATGTCTGTAGCAATACCAGAAGATTCTCCGGGTCTTCAAAGCACAGTCAGCTTTGATCATACATGTTCCATTCTGGTGTTCAGAACGTACCTTTCGAGCAAGCCCACTTCTCCCAGAAGTTCACCATAAAGTCCTCGAGCCCCTTGAAGCCCAGCACAGTCTCATACAATCTGTGCCGGTAGAATGCCTGACTGAAACCCCTGTGTGTTCTCAATCGTCAAATCATTGGCTCAACCTTGGAAAATGGGATGGATCACCACTTACCACCCTGCATAAACCCGGCCCAGCGCTTTCAACCCAACATCTTTCTCCTCTTCGGTCCAGACGTGAGCTTCCGCCGTTTCTCTATTCAATCCGATCTTTCCAGATCCCGCAGACCTGCTTTTCTTGACTGCGATCAGAGAGCTCTTGACACCCTCGAGGAAGACCTGGTTATGCAACGAGGTCTTAGCAGATGTGCAGAAAGGCACTGCAATATCCATGAAATCGGGATACTGCGTTGCCCATTGATAGGTTTGCGCCCCTCCCATGGACCACCCCACGACGGCTCGCAAATGGGTTATCCCCATGTGTTTGGTGACAAGCTCATGCTGCGCTCGCACATTGTCGTAGAATGAGACTCGGGGGAAGGGTCCGGGCTGTGGCTGGTTGGAGGGGGACGAGGATTGTCCATTTCCAAACAAGGCCGTCACTATAATGAAGAACTTTTTGGGGTTGAGGAGCTTGTCTTCTCCAATGAGCCAGAAGTTGTCGGAAACGGCTGGTAGTTATTAACAGTTAGATTTCGTGTGGCATGGAATATATAGAGGGTCTCCTGCGTGGGCTTGTTTACCTCCGGAAAACCAAGTTGGATAGACGATTGCAGGAGAACTGGAATCGCCGAATGTTTTGTATGCGATGTGGGCATTGTAAATCTGCTCCCCGCTCTGTAGCTTCCAATCTCCAAGATTGTACGTTTCGTATTCTTCAGTCATGGTGACGATATAGATAGATTATGGTCCAACGCATAAATAGAGAGTCAGTCCAATCGGGCCCGGCCGGTAGACTTTATAGTTACAGTTGGAGAACCCCGCTTTGCCCGCACGAGAAGCGCTTGGAGTCGGAGATGTGTTATCTTTTCCACTTGAATGTTTGTTTTGCCTTGAAAGTATCCAGGTATGTCACACTATGGTGAGCCTGGCTTGCCATAGGGGTGGGCTCAAGATGCCCAACGTCGAGCGCCCTAGCCAGGAATCTGCTGACATGGTCTTCGAAAAGAATCATTGAGATTCACTGAGTGATAAACATATCCCTGAAGGCACATTCTAAAGTTTAACCGTTTCACAGGAGTATGGACTGTACCACCCTCAGTCTATATACATGAAACGCCATCGCCCGACGCACAAAGTCTACGGAACAAAAGAATACTAGAACTGAGGTCTAGGAATCTCCAGAGCCTCAGTTGTACGACCATAAGAGATGCCACCCAACCGACTGATGGGCTTCAGAACCTTCAGATCAATGTTGGTCCGTTCCTCATCAATAGCATCATCTCGAACCCAGAAACGAACACCCTCAATAATAGCCAGCACACCGGTTATCTTACCAGGCGTTTGTCTACTTTCAAACTCCCTGGTCTCCACCAGCTTGCCCTCGATCGAGAGAATCGACTCCTTCACACGCGCCGGCTTGACAACGGACGTCGGTGCCTGATGCAGACCGGAAGTCTCCCATTCCGAGACACCATAGGGCGCGTTGATCGATGTGGAATTGGCCGCTTCCACAAAGTGCTCTGAGATGATATTGATGACACACTCCTTGGTTTCATTCAAGTTCTTCATCGTGTCCTTGGCCTTGTCCATGGATCCCGCAAAGCCGACCGTGAACAGGGGCGGGTCGTGGTTGATGACCTGTGCATAGCTGAACGGAGCCAGATTGCTAGTCTTTCCATCTGAAGATTGGGTGCTGATGAGTGCGATGGGGCGTGGGACCATGCCAGAGATCAGGAGTTTATAGTTCGAGGCAGCGGGACGGCCCTCTTCGTTCGGATCGATTTCGACGTGGTCTTTTTTCAAACTCTCGCCTCCATCATTGGCCCCTTCGCCTTCTTGCCAGGTGGGATTTGGTGATTTGGTGTATGTGACCTTTGCATCATGGTCGAAGTCCGGTCGTGATGCCTGGGTTTTCTCGAATTCGGGGCTGACTTTCCACATGGCTGTTTGGCTGAATGGTCGGGTTAGGGTCTTAGGCTTGAAGGGGCTGCACCTTTGTGTGCGACGTCTAGAATGGAGATTATAAATCAGCTCTGTTCACCGATTGTCTCTGCCCCGCGGTGCTGCGGGGGACAGAGTGAGTGCGCCCCAATTGTGGTAATGCATGGGTAGCCAAGGGGGTTACAGTACTCACATAATACGGGAGAGCGGCAAGTGTTGCGAGGTGCGATATGTGATTCTGAGTAGATCCATGAACGACATTGGACATTGGCAGTCTGATCTGGCAAGATTTCGTTATCGCGCAATTGCCCTAATGCCACCAGCACGATACCCGTATAGCCACTGCCAGGGCTAATTCACAGTCCAGGAGGTGCGTGGCGATAACCCCCCTTTTCCGACCTCGCGCATGTCGGCTCGAGCGTTGGTGATGTCATCGGGGTTATTAACAGCGAGGCTCGAAGGTCACGCTTCACGCGTTCGAGTCGTCCACGTCAGTTCAACCATTTCTACTCGATAAACCATCGTAGACAGAGTTCCTGGGAACATGTCTAGGTAATACATAGAGGTCTTTGCGGAATCGAACCAATGGACAGAGTCCAGTATTGGCTCACGAGTTCACACAATTCATACAAACTACGTAACTGGTAAGGGATCATTTGTATTTTCTATGAGAGTGTGGACTCTACCAGTATACGCTCTCTGTGGGAATGTTGTGCTCGTACCTGGCAACTGGGTCCCTAACTGAAGTTCAAATGTTGCACTAGACGTGGGGGCAACCCACTTCTCCATAAAAAGGGTCCCATTTGCGGAGTATCGGAGTTGATGCGAGAAAGTGAAAGAGAGTAAAAGAGAGACGAGTGTTGAAAGGTAGTATCAGCTGACACAGATGTCCCATGATCGTCCTAGGATAGCGGTCAGTATATGTGTGACTAAATTACCCGACAAAAACATCGTGAGATTTACTTCGTATTTTTTATTTGGGAGGCGTTGGCATCTCTTCTCTTTCTCCATCTCACATCCTGTGTCGCCTAATGAAGATTTCGCTTGAATCCATTTTACCCTCTCACAACCTTCCCCACCGCCGCATTTATCCGATTACCCTCCCTGGCCCGTAGAACACAATTATCTCGATCGCTCGAGAGCGTGTACAGGTATCCAATGGGTCGTGGTCACGGATAATCCATCGCTTGTCATGAGCGACCCGTCTCCCAAGAAGAAGAATGGCGGTACCTCTTCTGCTCCGAGACAAATCCGCTTTGTCGCAACCGACGGCCAGCCGCAGACGAAGCGACGCCGCGTCAATGCCGCGTACGTGAATCGCTGAATTCCTAACCCGGCCATTCCATGAAGCTGACATGGGTGGGGATCTTCTAGTTGCCTGACATGCCGCCGGCGCAAGATCAGATGTTCGGGCGAACAGCCAGGTAAGTCGCGACACCCCGTGCCTCGGTTGTCAGAGTGTTGGTTGACGGAAGGTAGTGTGCAAAACGTGCTCGGACTATAAGCACGTCTGCTTGGGATACACCGAAGCGACCGCTCACGTACGAACGCAGTCCGATTCCTCATCGCGGGCGCCGCCGCGTCTTTCCGCCCCGAATGGATCGTCCCAACATACCTCCCGGGTAATCGAAAGTAGCTCACCTGAGCCAGCGGCAACGACCATACCGACGCCGGTTGCAAACAGATCTCCCAAAGATAGTGGACCGCAGTTTCAAGATGTATCGGCTTTATTGGATATATCTTCACGGAACAGGGAATTGGAGTCCCGAGCTGCTGTGGACAGCCCGGAGAGCAGTCGTGCCTCCGTGAGCTCCAGTAGTCGCACGCATGTGCCGTACTTTCGATATTTCGGTCCCACCGCAATTGTTCCAGGTTTCAAGCAAATGGTGGTGCAGGTCCGGGGTTCTCGCAAGAGTAATCCTTCCATGTCTTCGGACTCTGGGTCTCCTCTGCGAAGCCCCAAACTGGCCGACAAAACCTCCGACAATCCCAGCAGAGCTCCGGCTACATCGGAGACGAGGGAAAGTCGCGATGTGAACATACCGTTCTACGATCCAGATGATACGGCACCTGTTTCGAACCTGGTCTTACATCTTTGTGACCTCTTTTTCGCCCACCTTGGGTGCAACTTCCCATTCCTACAGCGAGATAGATTCTTCTCGGATCTGAAGGATAAAAGGGTTGACACAATGCTAGTGGATGCGGTGTGTTCACTATCTGCGAGATTCTCAACGCATCCATTGCTTCAACCTCCCCAGGCGCAACCGATTGAGCGTCCGTCCTCGCCCGATGACCACACGAGATCAAATCGTGGATTGCCATTTGGACACCGTGCAATGAGTGCTCTCGTCGACTCACTGCCATGCCCAACTCTGTCTGCTGTTCAGGCTTGCTTACTACTCGCGTATGAACAGTTTGGATCGAATCGCGATAGTGGTCTTTGGATGTACCTTGGCATTTCAATTCGCATGGCGCAAGATCTTGGATTACAGAAGTTCCAAGGTCTGAAGCATAACTACGGCCAGAGTGGTGTGACGCCTAGCGACGTGATGACCGGCGAAGCCGGGAAGCTCAGAGAGGACCAGTACGATGATTTAGATGTGCATCATACCCCCAAGACAACGCCCAAGCCTCTTACAGGGGAGCGTGCTCGGGAGCGTGAGCGGGTAGACTCTTTTTGGAGTATTTTCTTCTTGGATCGGGTCATCTCTTCTGGGACTGGTAGACCAGTGACACTCCGCGACGAAGATATCGAGCTTTGTTTTCCACTTCAATCAGAATCACAACTCCCGAATGGGTGGCCGGCTCCATTTCCTCCGCTTATTCGGATCATCCACCTCTACGGTCGAGTGACTGATTTGATCAATGGTATCCAATACGTCAAGCATGTCACACCAGACACTTTGAAGATGCTGGCTGGCATGGAGAGCGATCTGACTGGCATCTACCAACGGCTGTCCCCGAGGCTCCATTTCAATGCAGCCAATTTCCAGGCCTATGTCAAAGCCAAGGAGGGAACAAACTTCATACTGCTTCATTTTTGGTTTCATACTCTGATTGTTCTTTTGCATCAACCGACATTGCTGAACTCGTTCGGGGGGTCCATTCAACACCTGTATCCCAACAGCCGTGAGTTGTCAATGTCTTCTGCCAAAACCATTGCAGATATTCTTTCGTTCTCGGAACTAGTGGACGGAAAGAGCTTCATCGGTAATCCCTTTACGAGTCAGCCAATGTATATCGCAGCGTGTGCCTTCCTCATGGAAAGCGCTTATTATACCATCCCACCGTCAGGTGATGGCTCGTCCTCCCCCCAGCCATTATTGGCAAACCAGTCCAGTGGTTTCGTGCTCCCCAACCTGGACCCAACTAACGGGACGGAACGAAAGTCGACAGCGAAGCACATTTTGTTGGCTTCTGCAGCCAAGGAGAACTACCAGCGGTGCTATAAGGCGCTGCAGGCCCTCAATTCGTACTGGGAAGGCACCGGGTACATCCTGACGGTGCTCGATCAAAAGGCCAAGGGGATCGTCGACCCCCTTCTCTACACTCTCGAGGAAATGGAGAACACATCCGGGATAGCCCCCGGGTTACCTCTGGGCCCTGGGCCCTGGCGTGCAGGCAAAGCACCAGCAAATGGATTCAATTCAGAAAAGCTACATGGTGCCGCCGACGTACCATCCAATGGCAAATGGTCACCCAATATTGACCCAAGTCAAGCCATTGGATGGTCCCTCACAGGCGCCACGAACTCTTCCCAGCCTAACCTAAGTTTGCTATACCAGATGCCTACAACCGAGACAGATCATCCACCCGACCGTCCCACGTACTCATCGCAGTACAGTCATACCTATCCAATCCTGCCAAATGCCGACCAGGGCGGTAGCTCATCATTTACTCCACTTGGTAGGAGTCAAGATGACAGGGCAGCTTCGCTTGCAGCAGCGAACTCCAAGTACCCCCCGATCGCCCCAGCTATGTCCACCGACCCTTACTACATGAGCTTGAATTCCCCCTTTCCAGATTCCAGGGTCCCATCAACTCGCCCAATGCAATCTGTTCAGACTCCTTTCTCCGGCCTTCGGCAATCCCAAATGGAAGCTCAGCCAAATACGTTCGACTATTCGATTCCCCCGACTCCCAATCCAAACGGGAACACGATGGGTCCCAATGCCGATGTCAATATGAATGCAGATAGTAATGGGATGATAATCGGTAGCCACGAAGTCGACATGAATACCCTGAATCATCAAGAATCGTTCCCCTTTGCGAATGGAGAGATTCTTCCCTGGTTGGAGTATCTGCCGCAAGATGTTCTCAGCTTCTTTGGAGAAAACCAAACTTATCCGCTTATGAATCCTGATGATGTGTCACGATCTTGATAGCGTTGATTTCTTTTTATTCTTCTTGTATATATCCATAGCGTCTGTCGGTATTCACGCTACGGCTGTGCTTGTACCATCTATAGATGTGAACTTTTCACCCGCTCAACATCCGTTTGTCTCCCAACTGTCAATTTCCACCTCGTCACGATTCATTGAAGGTCGTAATATGTGTTGAAAATATATTGTAAACAAGACCAAGGGAGTTCGGGATTGCAAACAGGCTTTTGACAACCGATCGAAGAATTCTACTAACATCAGAGCTTTAGCCTTGACTCACGACTAGGCCATGGGCCCAGAGGCCCTTCTGAACGCCAATATCCAGATGAAGGTCCAGACCAAACCGAGGAAGCAACCCATGAGAACCGAATTCACTATCGAGCCTACTCAGATTTTTCAAATCAAGCCCAAACTCCAAAATCACAGTTGAGCCCCTCGCCACCAGCCCAGCCCAATATCTCCTCCCCAAGCCACCTGATAATCCAACTACGGCACCCCATGGGCACCAGCATGAGGATCCCCACCCGCACGAGGCATAGACGCAAACCTCCCAGAATCAACACAATCAATCCCCTCCCCAGACCCAGACATCTCACCCAACTGAGCCCAACTCTCCAAATGATCATTCCGAATCCGCCGTTCCGTATGTCGGTGCAAAATCGCATTCCCAATATCCTGCGAAAATGCATAAAAACCTTCCGAAGAGTCGGAATCGAGCCGAAGATAATAACGAACCACATATCGGTGAATACCCAGATATTCAAACTTGCCATCGCGTACGTGTTATCTTTGACATCTGTTATGTTCTTTATCGAAATCCCTTTGACGATTGCGGCGCTGCCGGCTCTGCATGCGCTTTGTTAGTGCGGTGTATTTTGGTTCGAGGTTTTGGGTAGCTTTGGCTATTGCCCGGGTGTTTCCATTCATTTCTTGGAATCGGATGGTGTGCGTGGATCTCTGATCAACTTACATTACGCCACCGCCCATGATGAGACAAAGTCCGATTTTGGTGGATCTCTTCATATATTGGATTTTGCGGATTACGAATATGGGGTATGCTGCTAGGAAGAAATCGCAGAATGCGCCGATTCCTGGGTATTCAGTGTTAGTGAGATGGTCATTTTGACTTTTGTGATTTTTTTCAATATGTCATTGTGAATAGAGAATTGGGTACCAGAGAACATCTTTGAAATTTACACCTACCCCCCGCAGAGTACCCATCTATAGCAGTGGACTTAATCCCATTGCATGTTCCAGGGATACTTGGATCCCACAACTTAGCAACCGGGCTGCACTGTTTGAATATCAGACCGACAGAGAGGGCGTAGATCACTGCCTGGACGACTCCAATAAACCAAAGGAGATATCTGCTCCAGTGGCTTGTACCACCTTGAAGTAAGAGAAGAAATGCCGCGACAGCAATGCGCGCGAAGATGAGATCAATTATCGAGATCACCTGGGCGATCCAACTCCAAAGGTTCAATTTGACGAGGTTCTGGTGCGAGATCAAGTTCTGGTGGTTGCCGAGTCCGTAGCGAACGCTGAGTGTGAGAGCTATCTGGGACGCGACAGCGACTACCTGGACAAAGTAATTCTTTCAGTGGAAGACTCAACTCGAAACTATTAGGCCACATAGGTGGGGAGTATGTGATTGATCTGAACAAGGGAGGAAGTAATTGGATGTTCAACATCACCTACGAATGCGAGGATCACCCACACGAAATCCCACCGCAACCTATAGAGGCCCGAGAAGCCGATCGTGGAGTTAGGGCGACGAGGACGTATTGATGCGTTTTTGGCTCGAAGGATGATTAAGAGAGCTGCCAGCCCTGTTTCCAACCAGGTGATACCAAGAACCATAGGCCCTCTGCCTCCATATGTGACAGTTGATTCGTCCGACATTGCGACAGGTACATGCAGATAAGAGTGTCAAATGTGGAGAAAATCTTCTTTAATTGCAGCCTCATGGTTTCGTGTGTGGTAAAATTCATTCTCAGCCGCGTCGGGTGTTTTATAGTTGTGTTCATGGGGTCTAACAGAGGCTGAAACGCATAATTTTGCATAGTCAGCCCTGCTCAAGTGCTACCTGTTCGTCTCACTTTCCAAATATCCCTGATTATGAGGTTTTCTTGGGGTGTCAGTTTCAGATACTCATATCCACGTATTCTAGCTAGACAGAGAAGCCCTGTCGTTGACTTCTAGTAGGACATCTCACAAGTGGAATATGATGGGATATGCCCTGTCTAAAGGCTTGAATATCCCGGTAGGATTCACCTCAAATATGTAAATATTCCCAAAGGGTAAGTAATTGAGCCTCCACCCTGGAATGAAGTGAAACGAAATGGATTTTATCACTTCTGTGTTGCTCAACTAGCAAATCAATGCATCTTCACCAGGCAGTAGAGTAACACATTGACCGCCCTGTGATACCTCCAAAGTTGCCCATCAGGGATTGCATTATATCCAATGTTGACATACAAGAGTGATAGGTTGATATTACGCATGGGTACCCAGCACTCCACTTGAGGTACTCCAAGGCCTTTGCTCTCATTGTGTTTTATCTATCTTACCAATGGCGCTTCATTTTGGCGCCACTTCGCGATAGGTTTGTCCCATTGATGCACCTTAGCCCGGTCTAGGGGAACCCTATCAAATACGGAGCACCCAGCATCTTGGGATTCGAGGTGGCACACTCGAACAGCGGGTCCCCAGTTTGACCAGCGGGGGAAATTCTGGACCGAATCCTTTTTTTTCCTTTTGTTTTTCACTATCCTTTCAATTGCCTTATGTGACTTCATTGATGATAATAACTGAAGTCAAGTACTCTGTACACCTCGGAATCTCTTCACATCTAGATCGCGTTCTAAAGTTGCATAACAGGCTATAGTTGAAAGTGGGTCTATAGGTAAGCTCTGGAGGTGCAAGTGGCGTTTCAGGGTTCTATGCATAATGTCCCTGGCGATTGGTAGATCACTCACTGCTGATCTTCAGAGCTACTGCACAGTTTCTAAAGTTGTGATCTGATCGGGCAAACTCATTGAGATTCCAGATTTGGGATGCCAATGAGTGGAGATGAACTCGATCTGGATTTTTCAACACAATAGATCCGCTGCATGCACTGTCTATCAGAGCTCCAATCTATATGTCCACCAGTTTCCCGTCCGGCGTGCCGAGGTCATGTTTGGAGCATTTTGGCTAGAGACATGGCGCTGGAGGCAGACGCCTTCTAAAGTTGAAGGTGGAATTGATGCTCCAAATAAAAATCAACTGGTGTTTTTTTTTTATCTCTGAGCCTCTTGGAGAGCGGCCCAACATATTCTAGGGTTCGGTGCATGTGTGACGCATATGGACATCTATTCGGACTTTTCCACTGCAACAAAATCATCCTGAAGCCCCCACCTAGGCACTTGAGCTTGAATTGCCTATGCACGTAAACAATATTCCTTACTGCGTATCCAAGTACCCTTTTGCTCATTTCCAACCTTCGAAGGTTCGTGGGTGCCCAGGTGCGAACATCACATTCGTACTAAATCTATAGATATGGTCAAGCACTTTAAGATACCCATTTTGTGCAATTCCCCAGTCTAAGAAATAGAATCCTCATTAATACTTTGGAATAGAGAATCAGGAGGTTAAGTAGTCGAACGGCTTTCCGTTGAAAAAAAAATGGGTCTGATGATCGACCTGACAGTCCGTTGCCCTGAACAACGGGCGGTGAGTAACTTGTCAACATCCACGTTTAGTTGTCTCGGATTGCAATTGAAGCCGAGTCCTCATCACATTCCTGTGAACCCGCAGTCTTTCATGGCGCGGCTGAATGACGACAATTCAGACGCGGCAGTCGAGTCCACGGAGATACTAAGCCCACAACCATTCCACCCCCAAACCAAAGACTTCCTGGTCTCCCTCGAGCCCGGCCAATTATACAATACCCAAATGCCCTCTCACGAATATGAATATAATTCCTCATCGTCTTCCGCCCGCCACTCTACCAGCGACGTTTTCGGCCGTGAAATGGACGAAGAACTAGACCAGCTCAAATCGAGGGCATCCAGCCGTTCGTCGGTATCCTCGATCCCTGCGTCGGTCCTGATTCACCCCGTTGAAAAAATGAAACAAATGCCCGATATGGACGTCCACGAGAAAATCGCCGGATATAGAGCTGAAGAATCCGAAGCCAACTTCGGCGACTTCAGCGAAGTGCCCACAGCGAACCGCACGATTCGCCAGCGCGAAGCTGTCTTCCGCAAGCCGAGCTCAGTGCGAGCACTTCAGATGCACACGGAAGACGAAGCAGATGAAGACGATTATTTGACTCCCCCACGTCGACGGGCGGGTATTCGCTCCCCTGGCTCGGCCCCAGCGAAGCGGTCGCCCTATTACTCGCCAAAGGCCCAGAGACAACCAACACCGAAAAGGGAGGCACCGCTTGTGCTGCTACACTGCACGCTTTTGCCGCCTTCCATTCCGGTTCCTGGGGCTGCGGAACCCAGAAACCAGGACATCCTTGAAGACGAGTTGCCGGCGGAATATTGGAAGCGCTGGCGTCGGTTGCAGGACCGTGTTGGATCGGGGGTGCTTCGTGATCGGGGAGTGTTGATCTCTCACCCGGAGGATCTATATGATATGCTTGAAGAGCGACTGCTGGAGAGTCTGGAGCTTCAGCGACCGCGTCTTCAGAACGGACATTTTGTCGGACGGGAAGACCAGGACGATTCCGGCGATGATTTCTCGGATATTGACGAGAGCGAGACGGATGGGGAGCAGGGAGAAGAATGTCCAGACTGCGGAAACCATGTGCGACATAGCGACAGTAATCGCAAATGGGAGATTCGGGTATTCGCAGCGAACGGGTTGATGCGCGCCGGGGCATGGGCAGCTGCGTGGCGAGATATGGAGAAGGTTGATGTCGAAGTTGGACTCTGGCTGCCTTCTGATGTGCGTCGTGGATTGGAAAGAAGATTCGCAGAGGAGCAGATGGCTCTTGTGGAACGAGATCAGGCCCAGTCCCCCGCAATGCAGATGCTGCCTATATCATCGCTGGTTGATCGCGAGAACCAGATTCTGCCTGAAATCCTGCAATCACCTCGACGGAGTCATGTGCGTATGGTCAGTGATGTCGGCTCCTTCCAATCTCGCAGCGTTATGCCGTCGCGCGAGAGTATCTCTGGGCCTTCTGTTGAACCAGACCACCATGTCCAAAGCCAAAGAGTCGAGCGCAACCATGAAGTTGCCCTTTCAACCCTCTGCGCAAATTACATCCGGGTCCTGGCCGCTGATCGCCGCAACATAGCACTTGTTCTTCTGAGCATGCTTGTTGCGTTTCTTGCCTTTGGATATGGTCAACGGCAGCCATTCTCTCCAGAGGTACAATCTTACCAGCCCGTCTCATACGACACGCCTTTGCCTTCTATTATGCCCAGCCTGAGCGTCGCTTCGGCTTCTTGGTCTCCCTCGCCGACTGCTGAACCCGTCACCTCCGCCGAGGATGTTGACCCAGCGCCTTCAGCAGAGATAGGAACAGAAGCGCAAGCGACCCATGATGGGCCGCTCAATTTGCTCAAGGATGTTGAACCTGCGGCTGTGGAATCCGAGAAGTTTGTGGAGACTTCGCCACCGCTCGAGGTGCTGGAGACCTCCCAGTCCGAGGATATCATCGAGGAAGATCCACATGACTCGACAGTGGTCGACTCTCGCCCAGAAGATGGAGAAACTGAGAATCAGGAGCACCTCGATGACTTGGATGAGTCTGACGAACGCGAACCTTCCGATTCAAACGGGCCGTCTGGGCCTCACTCTGCCGGAATTGATGAAGACTCGGACCTCCGGCACACGCCCGAGGCTTCCAGTTTGTCTGTGGAGCCTACGGATACGTCGGTGATTGTTGAAACAGAAGAAACACCCCATGCTGAGCCTGACTTGGGTGCAGCGGAGGGTTCCGCTGAGGCCGAGGAGGCCGAGGATGAGGCCGAAGAATTTGACGAGGACGCTGAAGAGGAGGAGTTTGAAGCCCAAGAAACGGATTAATATTTATGACTACGACTGCAATGATTTAAAGTGAAATGTTATACAATTTGGGCGTCTTTAGCGAAGTTGAAATGCCAAGACTTACATTTTGATGTCTCCACTTTCCCCCCAGGTCCGCTCTCGCTTAATGATCGTCCCCAGATTAGATGGAGGAGACCGTGCATAGCTTGATCAAGCAGGACGGGATGGGGCAACTGTAAACAATGATCTGCAGTGACAGGTCACTAAGAATGCGGGCACATGTCTACATGTCTACATGTCTTCAAGGCCTACAGAATATACCACACACGGAGCAAAGAGTAGAGAACAACCAGGCTCGATTATGATTATCGATTAAGGGTAAGTTTGATGAACGGATTCGATTTTGTCATTTGAACGGGTGTGAGTGAAGAGACCTCATTGACCCAGAATTGGCAGCCCATATGTCACAACCTTGGAACAGTGTTGATCACCTCCAGACCTTTTATGACTTCTCCATAACTTTCGTGAGATTCAGGAAATTTAGTAGCCGCCGGACTGGCCGCCGTAGCCACCGCCGTAGCCACCCTGACCGCCGCCGTAGCCGCCCTGGCCACCACCGTAGCCGCCCTGACCACCACCGTAGCCGCCGCCGTAGCCACCGCCGCCCTGACGGTAACCACCACCGCCGCCACCGCCGAAGCCACGGCCACCGCCGAAGCCACCACCACCGGAAGCGCGCTCAGTAGCACGGTCAACACGGATGGTGCGACCATCGAACCTAAGACATGTGTTAGCGGGGTGTGTCCTCGAGCGATTGACCCATTTCCATCCGCGCGCCGCGCGCCGCGCAAGCGCGGCGACCGGTCTGATCAGAATGGAAACAAATAGCGAGACGCGACTTACTCCTGGTTGTTCATAGCCTCAAGAGCAGCAGTAGCCTCCTCGTCGGTGGAGTAGCGGACGAAACCGAAACCGCGGCTGCGGCCAGTATCACGGTCCTTGACGACAGTCTGTAGAAGAGAGAAACAATCAGTTGGGTGATACTCCCAAGTGGGAGATGAGTGGACTCACAGCATCCTCGACAACGCCGAATTCCTCGAAACGCTGGCGCAGACTCTGGTCGTCCGTGTTCCAGGACAGACCGCTATGACCTTGTTAGCGGGCGCGCATCGTCGTGGCCTAGAAATACGAACCCAATGAAAAGCTTCGACATTTTGATGGGAAAAGATCGAAAAAGGGGTGGGAATGATGAAAGGTGTAGGTGTGAAGAGGGGCATAGCCGAGCCTGATCTTAAATACGGCACAGCGCTCTCTGCCTCCGGAACAACTTGCAGCCGTTAACCCCTCGTTTTTCAGGCGCTTTTTTTTTCTTCTTCTCTTTTTTGTTTCATTCGATTTTGATGTTTAGTATTTTGATTGTTCTATTGATTCTTTGATGAATAGCTTTGGTAGTGTTGGGTGGGATTGCCATTGTCTAGATTCCCCGGTTGGGGTAATCATCTCAGGTGGAGCTCCGTTGACAGCTTGGAGAGCTATCAATATACCTACTGAGGCAACATGCCCTGCTGCACTTGATAAATCTGTACAACACCATTGACTCGCAGATCAGGGATGCTGAGTAAAATATGCGTCCAGATGGACATCTTAAGACATTGCATGTCACCGGCATCATCCGCCCCTCCGATCTGCGTCACCCCACCCGTTAACTTGTATATAAAATCCTCCATCTCACTTCTTCCTTTTCTCTCCCACACAACCATCCACTCATACCCAGAAAATCCACAACCAGAGAAATTCTTGGAAACTATCAACTAAAGCCAACTCCTTCTGAACACATTACCAATATGCCCGTCATCGAGATCACAAGGTACGATATACTCCTCCATTTCCATCCCGAAACCCAGACCTCCCCTAAACATCCACAGCAAAGCCCAATTCCTTGAGATCATCCTCAACGGAGAAACTCCCGCCATCCTCGACTGCTACGGCGAATGGTGTGGCCCCTGCAAGGCCATTGCGCCAAAGATCGAGGAGTGGAGCGACGTCTACACCGATGTCAAGTTCTACAAGGTCGACGTGGACAAGGTCCCTGATGTGAGCCAGGAGCTCGGTGTGCGCGCTATGCCGACCATCATGCTTTTCCAGGGTGGTCAAAAAGTTACTGAGGTTGTTGGCGCTAACTTGCCTGCCATCGAGGAGGGAATCAAGTCTCTGCTTGCGTGAGTGGGTGAGGAAGTCGGGAGGCGTCACTTGTACTTTAATTCTGGGCTAGACTTGCTGGTAGCATCCATGGAATCGAGCTACCACAATCTACGAAATGCCATTCATTTCCTAAAGCTGATCATATTGATCCATTGTAACGTGGTGGGGATGGTCGGTGCTACATTTTTCGACATTGTCCTACTTCAATTTTGTGGTCTACCTGGTCTGACAAAAACCACCCGTGAACCACTCCCCGCGGCAAAGATGGAAACTACTTAGGCACTTGAGTACTCTTTGACGATTCAAATCTTGGAATACAACAGTAGGCACAAGTCTCAAGGTGCTATATAATAGATAAATGCCAAATCCCAATATCCCTCCGGTAATGTACCATCCACAGAGCTAAAGATATAACCAAAACAATTCCACGAAAAGTCCAACTTATCTACTCCAACCTCAAATCCACCGCCATGATATCATAGTTCGCCAAATAACAATATATCGCGCCCGACCAAATACCTCCAACGTATATCAAGATGAAACTCTAGAACCCAGAGTCATTCAAGTAATTTGGCGGAATGGTCGGCCAGGCATCAACCCCATCCAACATAGCCAAAGCCATACCACCACTCTGATGAACCTGGATATGACAATGCATCAAGAAGGCTCCAGGGTTGACCACATGGTACCGCAAGGCCAGCCAAGTAGGCCCTGTAATCGGAATCGGTGTATTGGAGGTATCTCGATACTGAGGTGTGAGCAGGTTGAAATTTCCAGGACTCGCCTGCACGGCTTCGGCAACGGTATTCCAAGTGAAAGTTCCATTACCCTGGCCTATGATGAAATGTTTGTTTGAGTGCTTGTGGATTGGGTGTGCGGGCTGCAAAATTGAATCGACCTGGATGATCAGGTCGACCCATGTATTGTTTCTTGTTCTGATAATCAGATCGCTGGGAATAGCTGTCTGGTTGAATAGGAGTGGCTGTGACTCCTCGAGTTCTAGGCCGTAGCTTGAATTGCCAAGTGTCCAGCGGTAGGAGTTGCCTACCCGGCTGACATGGAGAATGAATGTCTGGTCGACAATGTTGGATGGTACGAGTGCCGGGAATGGGACGACCGAGGACTCGTTCAGGAAGACAGTATTCGCTGTTGCGTTTTGATTGTTGATTGTTATCCAAGGGTTGGAGGGTCTGTTGAGCTGCGGTGTGCCTTGATATCGCATGATGGCAGTAGCGTTGAGGAGTTGTTGTACGCTGGCGCTGACTACGCGCACTGTATAATCGCCTCTCGGTTGGGTGAGTGGAATCAGCACGGAGTAGCGGTTTGAGTTGGGGATCGTGAGGGCGTTGACTTGTCTCGGTTGGATATACCGTCCGTCAATGGCGTAGACCCACATGACATGCTCGTCAATTGAAACAGTCATCTGAATAACTCCAGATGTACTGGTTAAGTCCCAGCTCACAAATTGTTGGGATCCATTGACAGTAAGAACTTCTTGGGGACCCTGGGAAGGCACACAGCCCTCGAACATAGTCGGAAGGACAGCACTGTAGTTGTGAGGGAAATTGAAAGTTGCATCCGTGACATTGGCAGGCCAACACCTAATATCATCGATAGATAAGTATATTTATTGAATTGGCGAATTGGAAAGTTTGACTCACGCCATATCTGTAAGGTTTTGGGGTCCCAGCACTGCTCGCTGCGCAGGAGTCGTCAGGGCATTGATTTGATCGCGAGGCAAACATGTAACAGAGCCCTTTCCGTTGACAAGAAAAGCGTTAGCACACCAGGAATCAACGCCAGATGCCACTTCAGCAGCCCAGATTTGTTCTGATGTGAGAGAACGCCAATCCGAGATCAAGACTGGACGGGTTGCCCTCTCAGCTGCCAGCATAGCATTCAACTGCGAAGTGCCATTCGAGATGAGGCTGAAAGGTCTTTGCACAGAGGGGCCAGGTCTAATATAGATTGGCCCAAAAAGGCCATCTTCAAGAGATCCACGGTGATGTGCATGATACCAGTATGCACCGTAATCATTAGCCGTCCATCTGTAAAGGAATGAGCTGTTGGGTAGGATGGAACGCTGAGAGACACCGGGAACACCATCCGACCAGGGTGTTCCTATCTGTTCGATTCCTGCACGAGCTAAGTAGCTGACCTTTTGTGCGATAAGTCACGCGTTTTTATCAAGACTCACCATGGAAATGAACAGTCGTATTGAAAGGGCACCTATTATTGACCAAAAATTGAACATTATCTCCTTGATTGATGTTCAACGGTGGCCCAGGGAACTGGCCATTGACCGAGATCACCGGCCTAGTGACTCCAGCAGCAGTTCTGTTAGACCAAGTCAAGGTAATGGGGAAGAAGACTGTTGCTGCAGATGCCCACTGAGCGAGACAAAGTATCCAGATGGACCGGATTTCTAGAAGGAACTTCATCTTCAAACTTTTGAGTTAGACCTACGCTCCGGTTTTGAATCTAGATGACCTGTTTTACATAGGCCAGTCCATGGACCGGTCATGCTTTTATACGAGCCTGGAGGCCTATGGTCCATAACGTGAGCACATGCGTCTCGGTTTCGTCTGAGGGTCTTCCATGCGGGCCATGAACTAGATGCAGGGTGTTCATGGAAGGCTCTAGCACGTGTGTTCGTAAAGCTGAAAATCACGGAGACAATAGTCTGAAAGTTCCATCATGAATCACTTCTGCTTTCCAGAAAAGGCACGATGTGGACGCATCGATCCGAATATCGATAAATGGGCTTGGGGTCTCTTGATCTTGTCGTGTAATTAGACCAATCATTTGAAGTGATCAAACTTTGTCTGCAGACCATATGCAATAAGCTAGCTGATTGGTTATTGGGCGACGAATCCGCTGACCGAAGACCTGGGGGTTTGAGATGACCTTCATCGGAGAGAGTAATCCATAGCAATAGTTGTAGCGCTGAGAGGGTAAGCTTGCGAGCTACTAAAATTGGGCAAGGCATAGAAAGAACATGGGGCATCATAGTCTTGAGTATCTGAAACTGATACCTTTTGGAACCATGTTCTACACTTTGAGTGGTTCACCCGGCGCAAAGGCCGAGGTGGGTAAAGGTTCCATAGCCATGGGTGCGCCCGATTGAGGGGATTCGGCTCTTTGCAGGTCAAACAAGCGTGAACTGATGGGACGGGCCTAGTTGGAAGAGCGCTCGCTCTCAAAGGGCCTCAAGCCCCACCAGGTGTCGGAGGTGGGTCAGCTAGCTGTGCACTGGTGGACTCGTGGGCGACATCTGGAGGGCTGGGATCTCCGAAGTCGGGTGAGATCAAAGTGTATTTTGGCGCAGACCTTAGTCTCGGGCTTAGCATGGACGCCACGTGCTGAATGGGGGATCAAAGTAGGCCATTTTCAGGGTGATTGGGAAGCCTGACGTGAGGGGGAGGGCGATGGACCTGGAAGAAGTCGTATTCTAAACGGAACTACCCATGAACGTGGAATTTGGAGGCCTGATTGGATAAACAAAACAATGGTAAACAACGAAAATCGACTTTTATTAACGTAGCCAGCATTATTAGCACTCAGATTGTATGCTATGGGAACGGAAATGATCGAATCTTGTGTAAAAGTAAGTTTTCCTCTGCCATGCATAACCCTGATACAGGCGATAGTCACCAGCATCAAAAGTTTCCGGGGTTGTTAAAAAGGCCAGGCGTGTCACGTTGGGCAGCGTCGGATGCAGGGGGGTGGCCCTCTTGCGAATTGAACATAAAAACAGGATCTGAAGTAGGAACCTCGCTTGAAGTAGGCTGAGCTGGTGGAATCGGCTGATGAAGTAAGCTCGGGTTTGCCCATTCTTGGATAGGTACACCTTTTGGACCCTCGCCGTCAATTTGTGCACCCTCTATGTTGTCAGGATTGATCTCGTCATAGCTGTCATTCAGGCGTCGTAGGAACTCTGGGTCAAATCCCATTTGAATCAGTGGATCAGCTGGCTTTTCGCCCGCGGAGACAGTAGTTGGAAGGCTACTAGCCCAATCCGTAGAGAAAGAAGGATCTGCGCCAGCTGAGATTATCCCTGCACTACCAGCATAACTACCGGAGAGACTCCCCGGTCGGCTGGGCCCCGCCGATGAGAAGCCTGTTCCAGGAAAAGCGGGGCTTCGGAAACCAGGGCTGGAAACTGTAGGACTGTGGAGGGGGGCGCCATGGCAAACCGTTCTTGCCAGAACATTGATGTCCCGAGGCGCAGCCCGCAAACCACCATTCACGGCAAAAGGAGGTTGCATGCCCAGGTCAGAAAATTGGATTTCATCGTTGTGCACAGCCGTTTGCAACCCACAATCACGCTTCAGAACACCAAGCCAGACAACATTGTCGGCACAAGTTTGGTTCCACGAATCGTCGGATCCATAGATGATGCGACGGGCCTCCGTCTGGATCATATGGTCTGATGGAATGATACCTTGGGCCTTTTGCTCGTATATGTATGTGGTGAGTTCGCGTGAAAGCCGGCGGTAACAATTTACATCGGTGGGCACAGGAAGGCCGAGTGAAGGTCCATCTTCCTCAGTTCCTTTGGCTTGTTCGGTAGCCCACGGATCGGGGGACCGCCACTCATAATCGATCATGTACGGGGGGATGGCATTTTCGACACGAGCTTGGATCAAAGGATCAAAGCCCCAGTCTCCTTGCCATTGAGCCATGCTGGCGCCGTTCTTGAAATGACCAGCCAAGTGGTCCACTCGATCTTTCCAGGTCTGGAAAGTAGAATTGCAGAAACCACAGCGAGACTTGATATCGGTGATACTGCTTTGCCATTTCTCCATACAAGGTTGGAACTTGGTGTTGTGCATCAAGCGAAGGTGTTGGTTGAGATGATCCTTTCGATAGAATGTTTTCTCCTGTACTGTCTTTTCCTCACAGCTCATGAAGTTATGTGTTTCTAGGTGCTCACCATCAGGATTAGCTGCAGAGCAGAAGACACAGTGAGGTATGCCATCCTGTTCGATGATACCACCCTGGGGGGCACATGTCCATTTGTCCAAGATGAGATGCATGGACTTCTCGTGCCGTTGCCAATCGTACTTGGCAGGGAAAGAGTCAGTGCAGAAGGTGCATTGGAAAGGTCGAACAGCTTTGGCCTTGGAATGGGCCAATGTGTTGACTGGCACCGAAGGCTTGCGGCGACGGCGACGTTCTTTGCGATCCATTGAGCCGAAAGAGAGTGAAGATCGATGAGAGAAAGCAGAAGCAAAAGAAAGATCGGAGAGGGATGACCGACTGGTATCCAGACTACTCCCTGAAGGGGTGGGCAGTTTATGTTCGGAGCTGGCATGGCTTGACTCATTGGTACTGGACCCAGGGCGACGGGGCCTCACGTGACCTGATGGGCCCCGGCGTGGACGAGAAGGATCGAAGGGGGGGTTGGCCAAGGCACGGTTAATATCGCTGATCGTAGCGGGTTCGTTCTCAGGAGGAGAGTACTTCCAACGTTCGAGGGGAGTCATGAGAGATACGTCGACCGATTGCTTCTTGGGGATGTCCACTGCTCCCGGGACGGGAGGGACGGGAGAACTGCTGCCGGATGATGAACGAACTTTGCCGCGGCGTCTGGCGTTCGCAAGCCAATTCGAGATTTGTGTCCGCGTCAGGCCAGTATACTGCTTCAGCTCGTCTCTTTCCTGCTCTGTGGGGTATGGATTGTCGTTGTGGTCTCGCAGCCAGCCCTTCAGAACACTGATCGCTTTGCGCGAAAACCGAGCGCTGCTGTTGCGGGAGCGTGAGTCAGATTCATCTGGATATGCGTTGTATGAGACCGACTTGAGGGCCTTTCTTCCTGTTAAACTGCCAGTTGGAACATATGCATTCTCTGACACACTGTGTAAGGTTTGAAGAAACTTTCCAGTGGTTTTCGCATGGGTGAAACTGCATTCGCGATAGAGAGAAATGCAGCAGGTGCAACCATAATTTAAGGCGCCGCGTTTGGCTAGGAAACAGTCAAGTCCTGCACGGCGACAAAAGTCGCACGGTTCCTGAGCCCGGAACATGGGGTAACCTCCCTCGGGGTCAACGGGCAGTTCAAGGTGGTGCATTGGCGGCTCCGGTACCGGATGATTAGGAAACTCCAATGGCTGATCTTGAGCGATTGCATCAAAGTTTGCTGCGTGCTCCTCGGCTTCCTCAAGCTCAATATCGACCGATGCGACATCGTCCTCTTGCTGAATAGAGCCATGAGCCGACGAGGCACCCTCGAAATCAAAATACTCCATTATGTAATTCCACGTGGTGAGATACACAGGAGGGCTGAGTATCGGAACTTGAGTCTGAGAGACGGACACAGTGGAAGGTTGGGGAGGGCCGGTCAAGTGAATGCTGGCCGAAGTTCGCACCCCTGGTCCGGGGTAAGTTGAGTGGAGTCTCCGGTCTGAACCACCGACTACGCTTTTGATTAGCTTGTGTACGTCGGTCGGTCGGCATGGGCCGTTTTAATGCAGCTTATGTGTGGCTTTTCGCGCCGATAAGCATTAATCGCCGATGATAGTCATAGAGCATGAGGAGCCCGAGCGGTGCTGTCCAACGGCATGTCCGTAAAAAATTCGAATGGAGTTCATGGTACGGAGTATCCGGAGTAGAGAGACAAGTCCGAGTGGAGGATCAAAATCGAAAAATGGATCGCAATGCGCGCCCTTCGAATGACAGCGCCAAGCCTCTTCGGGCCTAGCGCGCTCACAGGGTGCGGCTGCCAAGACTTTGCCATTTTCCAAACAGGAAGGAATGATTCATCTGACTTCTTCTTCTGGGATTAAATCCTACTTGGACTGCGAGCCCTCAAGCAACATCACGACTCTCGAGATTCTGAATTGGAAGGTTTGTTGACTGAGGCGTCTCGTATTGGCGCCCAATCGATCTACCTGGATTGTTCCTTTCGAGAACAAGACCTGCGCCACCCACCGCAACAAAGCGGTCATTTTCCCACGAACCGCCTTATATGGCCGATGGTGTTTTGGATTGGCCGACAGGAGTCGGCCATGCATGTACGATTGCAGGTGGATGATGGGATCGAATGAGTTAGCCAGTTCCTTTCTGGGAGCTTCGTTGGCCGGCTATAACAGCCCGTCAGACCAAACCAGCAGCTGGGAAATATTTCTCCGGGGCGATACCTGGAAAGGAGTAGCCGCCCTCCGCTACAATCCCCAGGAGCTAAACCGCACCCATGGCGACAATGTTGCCAGTTTTGATTATTATAGATATTCAGTTGGTGGGCAACGTCGATGTGCATTATATGATCGAGACGCTCTTCTGTGGGCGCGGCGGAATTGTTAGAACCCTCGTTCTTTGTTGATTTGATGAATTCCCAGGTGAGGTTGGGCCGCTGATACTGCTGTACAGTAACCGCATGTCTACACGATTTCTTGTCAGGGCCACAACACTAGGCTGCAGGTAACCCGGTCTGACCAAATTGTTGAAGCTGCAAGGCACAAGAGAAGGTGCGGACAGACTCGATTGTATTGACTGCAGCAGAGGGAGAGAGAAAGAAGAAGAGAGAGAGTCGGGAGAGAGAGTCTATCTACAAACACAAACAGGGGTTGGGACGAACTCCCTACACAACACAAATGCGCTCTGCATATCTATTAGGAGAGACCAGAGAATGGCAATATCTGTCTGAAAGTGCAGACTGATCGTTATGTAGATATAGGACTGACAGTAGGGGTGGTCACTGCTTTTGGCTTCTGCTGCGAGATAATTGAGTATTCTGCAGAATTGATGATGCTTTTATCTGCTTGAAGCCTGATGTCGAGAAGATCCATTGGTGCTACTTAAGTATTTTCCAAGTGACTTTGTCTCATCCATATTCCAATCACCAAAATTTGAATGGGATTCCCAGGCTCATTCCACATCGCGTATACAGATATTCTATTCCATCAAGTACTCAGACAGTGATACTTATACATTGACTGTTCATCGTGCCATTGATGAACAAAATGTGTGATCTAATGAAGTCTAAATGCTTGATGTGAATGATGAATGGGTATATGAATAGAGGGTTGCCAGGTGTATATCGTCATTTCATTGTGGTGAACCCTCGTGATTGCCTAATCGGGCTGCGGGGCTGATCCGCGTAGACTTCAAGTTCAGGAAGTCAGGACGTATAAAAACCTCATCTCTCCGCCCACTTCATCTCTCTGCCCACTCTATTCCACCGCCAGGCAACAATCCAGCAGAACACCAATAGGCCTTTGGTTATAACGCGTATTCTCACAATGGTCCTTCTTTTCCTCTCACACCTCGGTATCTTTCACTTGCTCTCAATCTTCGGCACCCTGGATACATCGGCCTCTATCCTTGCTTCTCCAAAAGTCCCTCTTCCACCCTGATCATCATCCTGCTTCATACTAGCAAGCATATTGACAAAAAAGCTCATTCCTCATCGGCTGTTTACCAGCTAGCCATTCATCATGTGGTTTTACCGTCCAATTCTGCTCTGTGAGGTTACAGGCACTGCTGAAACCCAGATACTTACGTCTACCCAGGAGAATAAGCCCTGCCTATCCTACAAACCCAAATCTAGCACGCGCCGTGTTGATCGCTGGTTGGACTTTGTGGTGCAAATCGCCGGATCCGCCCCAGTTTTGCTCTTCATACTCTGTGGCTTGTTTGTCTGGGCGTTCATCGGTATTCACTACAGCAAGACAGATGAATGGGTTGCCATAATCTCCGATGTGCAGGCTATACTCTGCTATGTGTTTGATTCCTTGTTGATGCGCCAAATTCTCCGGGAGCACTCTGATTCTACAACCATCATGGCCGAAATCAAGTCTCGGTCAAGCAGCAACAGTCGAATGTTTGCGGAGCTGAAGAAAAGGCTGGGACAAGATACCACTACTCGTATCGTCAACATGTGCAAAGACGAACCTCTACAACCGCTTGATCCCTCTTTAAAAGCCCACAGCTTTTTTGCTCGATGCATGATATTCTCGGCGAAAGTATTTGGTCACATCAACACGGTCGCTCTCTACTGGGTAGCCATTGCCATTTGGTTGGGATTTGGTCACAGCTGTGGGTGGACAAACCGATGGCAATTGTATATTAACGATTCTACATCTGCTCTCATGGTTTTTGTTTTCGCTTTGCTCACCTGCCTGCGTGAGTGCTATTCTAAGTGCACCATGACCTGTGTCGATGCCATCTTCCGAACTGATGCAACTATTGAGCTCAAGCTCCGAGAGCTGAACCAAGATCAACTTCCAAATCTCCCCGAGATTGTTTCGCCACGCAAAGAGGGTTGCTTCCAGACGGCCATCTACTACTACGCCGATCTCATCGGAACACTTGTGGGCATCGTCATCCTGGTACTGGTAATCATCGCCTGGGTCGCTGCGGGTCCTATCTTCAAACACGACCGGACATGGTGGCTTTTCATCGGCACATATGCTGGGCTCGTTGGTCTGTTTGATAGCTTTGTGTTGCGCAACATCCAAGCCAAAGTGCACGACTCCATCAGCGATCAAACTCAACTTGTGAGAGCTTGTGATGAACAAATCTTTGCCGACCTCTCTATGCCCCTTCCACCTCTCAGTACTCACAGTCACCACTCTCTGACCCATCGCTTGTCACGGTCCATGGACAAGATCAGCTCCCATCTGTTGATGGTGGTGGCTGGACTCATTCTTACGATTGGCTGCATCATGGCATCAAGCATGATGCACTGGAGTGTGACGGGGCAATTGATATCAAATGTCCCGCCCAGCATCATTGAGACCTTCTTCATGATCATTCTGATCACAGGTCAAAACGATGCAGATGCGAAAGCTCGCATCGAATTGACGAACATTTACCACCGACGGCAGCGTCTCCTGTCGTTTGTGGTAAATGCTCGGGGGCAGGTCGGGCCTGCGTAGTTGAGCGATGCTCCTGCATCGCTCTGAGGCATCGGGTGAGGCCTCGGTGAGGCGCGAAGTGAATGTTTGTGTGTTTGTATGATTACTTCGGGGGCCTAGTCCCCCTGAATGAATTCAATCACTTCGTTGTCTCTCATTTCTCACTTTATCATCACTTTATTCTTCATTGTAGACATCCACCGCCTTAGATCCTCCTTCTAGAGATATTCACTTGTATCATCAGATCAATCTCATCTGAAAATGGGTCCAAGGTTTCATGTTCCAGAACGTTCCAAGGTTGGAATTGGCAGTCATTCGGGTGAGACTCGGAATTGAGGTGATTAATCATCTCCGGGTGTACGAGTAATGGACACATCTCCACCTAAAGGAGCTCACACCGGCTTCAATGGGCGGATGAGAGAGCCGTTCTGATATTGGACCGACCAATCAGAAGTGGGCTGGACACAGCATTCGCCCGGAAATACTGTTCCTCCCCGTCCGACCAACCGGGTTCGCCCTTATGACGTCATCGATCTATCTACATTTAAAGACGCCCGTGGGAGTATACAGAAGTACCACTTGGGCAGTTTCATATCATTTCATCCTTGAATCTAACACCATGGTTTCATTCATAGACACAGAGGTTATGGGGGCGGGATTCGAAATCACCAATAGATATTCGGATCTAAAACCCATAGGCTGTGGCAGCTCTGGTTTAATTTGGTGTGTTTGACCCTCGTACCTGGTGAATCGCAGGCTCCTAACAAGCCAATAGTTCAGCGCGAGACTCAATCACCAACTCTCAAGTTGCCATTAAAAAAATTCCCTCACCATTCGATACTCCAGCACAGGCTAAACGCACGTATCGCGAGGTGCACCTGTTGAGTCACTTGCGACATGATAATGTTTGTTCACATCCATGAATTCGGAAGACAAAGCTTCGCCGTTCCAGTCGGGGGCTAATTCTCCATAGTTAATCAATATGACGGATATCTTCATCTCTCCGTCTGAGGATATGTGCGAAGGTCACCCCGTATGAGGAGCACAGTCTAATAATCTCTTTCACAGATATATTGTCACGGAATGCATCATGACAGACCTTCACCATCTGTTGAAAGCTGCATCAAAACAGTTGGAGAGCCAATTCACTCAATTCTTCACATACCAAATGCTGGTACGCCACTTCATCAACCCCACTGAAGAGCCACAACATCTAACTCCCGCAGCGAGGATTGAAATACATTCACTCAGCTGGAATCATCCATCGCGACCTCAAACCAGGCAACATCTTGATCAATGATAATTGCGACCTGAAAATTTGTGACTTTGGCTTGGCCCGAGAACAAGATGCCCAGATGACTGGTTATGTTGCAACACGATATTACCGTGCACCCGAGATCATGCTCACATGGCAAAAATACACATATGCCGTCGATATGTGGAGTGTCGGATGCATAATGGCGGAAATGATTCTAGGGAGGCCCCTCTTCCCTGGGAAGGACCATGTACATCAATTCACCCTCATCACCGAGATTTTGGGAAAGCCCTCTGAGGAGGTCATGAAAAGGGTCTTCAGCTCCAGTGTAATGAAAAACCTTCTACCAAGCTGGAATATTGACGAGTACTAATTTCCGGATTACAGACTCTGAACTTCGTGCAGTCGCTACCGGACAAAGAGCCTGTTGGACTTGCATCCGTCCTCGGGGATGTCGATCCTCAAGGTAAGCCATGTTCCTTTCGATGAATACTACTTTCATTCTGTTTCTTACACACATCAACTCTCAAAGCCCTCGATCTATTGGAGAAAATGCTCAAGATCGATCCATATGAGAGAATCACCACAGCAGACGCCCTGAAGCATCCATATGTCTTGACTTATCAAGACTCTGACGACGAGCCCGTCTGCAACAAGCAACTTGACTGGTCACTTTTGGATTCAGAGCTAACACCCAATGAGTGGAAAAGCTCAATGTAAGTCCCCCTTTCTAACTTTCCTTTCAATTTATCTGACGAGTTGAAGGTATTCCGAAATTTTGGATTACCACAGCGGTGCTTGTGACTGGCAGGTTGACCATGTCCCACCCAAGGGGAAAGTTGAGAACATGTTGGCCGAGGAAATGGGTAACGGCACGTACTAGGGCTTCCTTCAAGACCCCACTGAGGCTCCATTTCATATGATAAGTGTGAGTGGGACACAGCTTCGGGATTAGAATCTGTATGTCTAGAATTAGAGGTAAGGAGGTAAAGTGCCGCGCCGATGAATATAATAACGTCTTCACATCATCCAAAAATTTGGTTGCCTCAAAATAGAAGCTGCCCAGACCTACTTCGGATACAGATCAACTGGTTGCGTTGGGCATCTTCACACTTGGAAATGTTTCCAACGCAAGACAACGGATATTCCTGCACTTTCTTGTGTTTGGAAGTGAAACCGAAAAGAGAGAAGGGGAAGGCTAGGTAGACTGAAATTGAACCATGGGGCCAGCACTTAAAACCATTGAGCACTTCCTGTGTCCTCATTATTCTTTTGATGCTTTTGTTTTCTTTACATCTTCCCGGTGAGGGTTAGCAGTTTGGTGTTTCAAGGCACCCACGACACTTGAGGCACCCAAACCAAGCCAGTCCTTCCATATTTTCCCCCTTCTTCTTTAGCATCCCTTTTCCAAATTTAGTGTCTGTGGAATCGCACCACTTTTTCGCGCTTTGCCTGTCGCCACATTCTCTCCATCCTGAATGAAATCGATCCATCTTTGTCAGATCTGCCTTCCATCAGCCAAGAAGCTGAACAAACACCGCCCAGTCCAAAACACGAGAACAGCAAGAAACGACCGAGAGAGCATGGGTGATATCCATCGAAAGGTTTCCAATATTCACCTTGCGGGGTTTCAATGCTTCAAACCTTATCACACAGTGAGAAAAAATCGTTCGCGCCGATATCTCAAATGGATGCGAGGATTGCTTGTATGGTTCAACGTGGGGTTGCCTTGGGAATCTGACGGGATTGTTTCCCCGCAAAGGCCGACGGCTAATGAAACCCTCTTGGTTGGAGTTGAAGCTGCTATATCTTCCAGCGATTTCACTCTCTACTTATTCAATATCTCACATTCACTTGTTGAATTCTATACTCCCCATACATCGGTTATCATGTCGCAGCTTCCATCCATTCACTGGGGAATATTAAGTATGGAGCCCATCTCTTGCTATGAAGACATCTTGCTGACGAAATCATGAAAGCTACGGGCAAGATCTCCTCCTGGTATGTTGCGGATCTTGTTCTTTCTCGTCCAGATGCGAAGGTTCGCCATATCGTGGAGGCCATTGGAACGTCGGACACGAGCCGTGGTAGATTGTTTGCTCAGCAGTACTGCCCGGAAGAAACTCCCAAGATCTACGGCACCTACGAAGAAGTCTACCAGGACCCGAACGTCGATATCGTCTATATAGGGACACCGCACGCATTCCACAAAAAGAACTGCTTGGACGCGATTGCAGCAGGCAAACACGTACTTTGTGAGAAGCCTTTCACCCTGAATGCCCGCGAGGCCAAAGAGATATTTGAGGCAGCGAGAGAAAAAGGTATTTTCATTGCCGAGGCCATGTGGTTGCGTCATCGTCCATTGACTCTTGAGCTTCAACGACTTCTTCATCAAGAGAAGGCAATTGGCGAAATATTCCAAGCAACTTCGCATTTCGGGTCAGAGATCGACATTCCAAATCTGCCATTGGACAAGTACTACCGACAAAACTCTATGGGAGCCGGCTCTCTTCTTGACATCGGCATCTACGCACTGACGTGGATCGTACTGAGCCTGGACTCTGATCTTGAAGCAGGCCGCCCAAAACCAAACATCTTGGCAGCTCAGAATCATTGGGAGGATGTTGAGATAATCTCAACTGCCATCCTGCAGTACCCTTCTACTGGTAGACAAGGTATCGCGACCTCGACTACAATGGCAATTGGAAATCCAGATCTACTTGCTCGGATTCAAGGCACTACCGGTTCCATCGAGGTTCACGGCTCTTGCCCCTCGGCTCCCGATGCTTTCACCGTCTATCCGTCATTTAAGATGGGCGCAGGAGACGAAGTTTCCCGCAGTGGAGGCAAGAAATATGATTTCTCGGCTCCAGGCCGTGGTTTTCAATATCAAGCAGATAACATTGCTTTGGATGTACTCGGTGGACGGCTGGAAAGCTCTATCGTACCTCAGTCCGAGACCATTCGCATGATGGAAATAATGGATGAGATTCGACGCCAGGGAGGGACAAAATACCCAACGGACTAAGCTAACTTGTGGCTTTTGTTGGGTGGGATGTGGCACATACCAGGATCGGAAATGGGTGGCCGAACCTCGGAAACCTAGAGCCCTGGAGCATTCACCAAAATACCTTCTTGGCTGTCAGGAAACCCTTCAGGGCTAACGTTTCTACTACGAGTCGGCCCATTCAACTTGACAGTAGACGTGTTGCCCATATGCTCCTCACTCTGTCCATTTATGCCATATTGACTATACGATGATCCGAAAGAGATGCCCTGTCCTGTCCATTTTAGCGCCTGGTTCCTATCAAACTAAACTTGGCTTGTTTGTTTTTTTATGAAGATTATGAACGTGAAATCAACCACGGTCCTCCGTACTTTGATCAATGTTTTTTCGCCCCCGACTGCATCGACGTCGATACCCCCGTGCCGCCCCTCTCCACTCTAATTACTTTTCTAAAATAGGCAATATTTACGCCAATCGTCTCATGCAACGGGAAAAGATTTCGTAAGCCCTCTCTTTTGATGCAGGATCCCATACACGAATTCTCCTCAGGGTCTAGAGTAGGATCTATCCAATGTGATATGGTGCCACGGTCATCTCATGAGTGGTACTATTGCATTAGCTTGGCCAGGTGGCTATCATGGCCTGTTTGCCCCAGCATCTCAGCCGGGCGGGGGCATTGTGGGGGCTGCCCTGATTGTCGAAAGCTCCGACCCTTCTGCCGTTCCTTTGTAACACTTGTACCCCGTACGAGTAGTTCATTACCGTGAGTTCGAGTCAGCTTTCAATGATCGTGCGCAGCTTCTAAACGGTGTGCAAGTATCTTCACATATACACAATTTCCCCAGAGATCGTTGTCCCCGGGCATCCTCGCGGGAACATTCTCAACCCTGTCTCCGGTATACCAGCAAACGGTCCTCATCCACCCAGAAACCCGTCGTATTCATCATCATCTGATTCCGATACCACTGCGTCCTCTTTTCCCCCTCGACTCCTCAGCATTCCCATGCTGTCTGATTTTTCCGCTGGAAATTCTCCGCCCATGAAAGCATCGTAGATATCGTCGCTGTCAGCTGTCGGAAATGCTTTTAATACTTTGACATAGCGTAATGGCTGATTGAGTCTCCCATCCTCCAAATGCTCATCTGCAGACGAAGCGCCCATGAATTCCTGTAGTGATTCCTCGTCAATCACTATGCACATTGGATATAGGATATTCTGATCTTTTTGCTGCATATCATGCACCCAAGAATGGAAATGGGTTTGAACGGAGTCTATGGACGCATTGTCAAACTGTGTCTGATTCTCCATCAGGATTGGAAGATGATGGGTCCAGATCTCATTGCATGCAGTATGCTTCGCATTCTGTGCCCTGTGCTTCTTTGTCAAGCCGCATTCTGCAAAAAGCTCGTGCTTGATGTTGTCGTTCAATAATTTAATGATCTTTGGGAAGAAGATGTCGGACTTGGGAGTGTACGTTGTACGGTAGATAACGTAGCCCCATTTTGCTTCGCTTCTCACGGCAGTGTGAAGGCGCTGGGTCGACCAGGGGAGCCATGCAGAGGTCATTTTGGTATGTGGGGGGTCAAGAATGTGGAGTGACCAGAAAAGAAGTGTTGGTGGTGGTTGGAGATGGTAGGAGCTGCGGCTTGTCAAAAGTGGAATTATGCCTGGAGAAGCTTATCACGAGCTACGGAGTACGAAGGAGTAAGGTTTAATGCTGCGTAGAACTTGGCGCTTTTGACATGAAACGGTGCATCGTACGAGTGTGTAATTGATCTCATCTACAGGTGGATCTCCGCTCCCTTTGGGGCCGCAAAAGCACGATTTCGATGAATCATGACTGAAGTGCACCAAGACAGTCCTGCAACAGCGACATTTTTCTCATAGGCCATGATTTAGTGACTCTACACTCTTTTCTCGGCTTTTCATAGCCACATCTAAAGCCACCCAAGGGTTGTTTATTAATTTACCAAGTGGTACTCCGTACTCCTATGGAGATCCCAGAGGAGCAACTTCTCGTGTGCCTTTTTAGGTGTGGAAATTGTCGATCGCGGCCCCCGATTTTGCCAAATACGGATCGATGAATCAGAGCGCGCACTCACAGCCAACCGAAGCGGGAGCCGTGGACTTGTGGGGCTGCGGGGCCATCCAACCTTGGAACTGCCTTGAGCCCCCCGACTCTCCCGGTTCCACCGAGACAGTTTTCACAAGTGCCTGTCTGCACTAGCTCAAGCGAAAGCACTAGTGATGAAAAGTCCAGGGGCGCTTTCAATCTAACGTGGTTATTACAATGGCCTGTCTGCCTGGCCTTCCGAAGTCTTAGCTCCCAGCTTTCAGACTCTCTGGGATGCCCTCCGCAAGGATCAAGTCGATACCTCAACATGACAACCACAGTCCCATCGACGACTGACTCCACCGGGAACATTCCTCTCACTACCAAGTTCACTCCGCCGGCATCATGCAGCAGCCAATCGTGGATATCTTCGGATTGTTCGGTCGACACATGCACAGGAATCTATAACATTGTCCGCGCGACCGAGTCAGAATGTTACCCTTCCGGTTGGGCAACTACTGCCACAACATTTTCACCGGGGATACAATGCCCAGTCGGGTATTCTATTGCAGGAGTCAGTACCGCGCTTCTCGGTGCTGCTACCAATGTTGAGACTCGTGGAACGTGCTGTCCTAGGTATGAGATCCCAATTAAGTATATCCCCACACACGAGCCTCTGGTTTGACTTTGCCTACGTTCAGTGGTTTTGAAGTTGCAACCAGTAATTCCCAATCCTGGTACGAACGCGAGCCTTGTATTATGAGAAGCAAGGGCGTGACGACAATAACGTACTCATTTGGCGATCCCACGCCGACTGCTACCACGGCAGTCACATATCCTACACCCCTTATCCACGCGATGCCCGTTGGTATTGCATGGCAGTCAAGTGACATCGTATCGACATCGACGCCGACACTGACCTCAACCCCAACCTCAACCTCAACCTCAACCCTTTCAGGGTTATCGACTGGCGCAAAGGCAGGCATTGGAGTTGGTGTTTCTGTGGGCGTGATTGGCATTGCGCTTGTCATTGGTGCATTGGTCTGGTTTCGACGGAAGAGAGCTGGTCGCAATGATCCCCAATCATTCGCCACGAATGGTGCTCCGGGGGCTCCCGTCGACAATGCTTCGGCGCATAATAAGACCAGTACTCAAGGATTTACTGAGCTGGATAGTGTCCCGCCATCATCTTTCTCTGCTGAGTTGCATGGAGATGAGCCGCAGCCACGTGAGCTGGAAGCAAAAGGTATCTCAAAATGAGGAACTGCATGAGAACACATTTGCATACAAATTCTGTGGCACGACTAATACGCCAAGCTCCGAGGTTTTTTCGCTCCTCGAGCTCAGCCATTGTACATATTTACGGTCCGAAGATGGCGCTTCAAATAAAACTAGTTAGACTATCTTGCATATTAATACCCCTTGATTTCAAGGTTCTTAGTCTGGTTTGATCCAACCCTCGAAGGCCCGCGAGATGTGTCTTCGAGAAAGGCGTTGATGGTGTCTCTCTATAAGATTTCCCCCTTTGTGTTTCTTCCTCTTTCCTGTGACCCTTAAAGAGTCTCGTCCGTTTGCCCCCTCCGCCGATAGCTACATCTAGAGAGCTCTTCGCTGAAACACTGAAGAAATTTGTGCAACTCAGAATTTCCGAAATGAGTGTCTAAATTTCCCGGAGCCTATGTCCCTAGCAATCATGGTTAAATGGGCACGATGAGGCCCAATTGACGCGCAAAGCAATCAAGCTTTGTTCACCGTTTTCAATTTAGAGGGTCGCGTTCTTCATTCGGTTACCTGGTGGGGACAGGTGAGCTAGGGTCGGCGCGTCGACTTCCCTTGTGGGCCTTTGTACTCTGGAGAGGTAGATTTTGTTTAACTTTGATTGGTCCTATCCAAGAATGTTTCTTAAACCACTATTGCCAACCCCAAACGGTCCATGCCAAATTCTCCTACTCACTGGCAATCTCGGGACTTGGAGTATCGATGTACTTCTGACTTGCGCATTAATCTTGTTTATTTCCACGGTCGAATCAATAGCTCCGTGACAGGCAGAAAACTTTTAGTTTTACAAAAAAATCATAGTTTGTTGTGCATTATACAGGTGAGTATTCTTGAGCTTGTTTTGACCATGAAGACCCACTTGAGAGACATCACATCCACGATCGATACCTAGATAGATGACCCGCAAGCCCCTCCCCATTCAGGAATATTGCAGGTTTTTATGTGCTCGTAGTTGATATTCTACGACCCCTAAACGTCGGAGTCTCCTCTCAGTTTCCTCTTTGTTCTTCTTCACTTCCTTCACTTCCTTCAGAATCACGTGGATTTTTGTTCACTCGCCCATTCATGAGTTGTGGGGTTATTCTAGCTCCAAATCAATAGCTCACTAGCTTTCTCTATCTCTCTTCGCTGTCACTTTTCCGCTTTATACTGGTCTTTGCTACATTAGAACCTTACTGTATGATAAGCCTGCTCTCTAGTAGAGGCTCTAATGCCCTATTTCTCTCGTCGACAAGAAAACCTGTAATTTGCATTCATTACATGGGATGGAACTGCACGCGATGGTAAGTAATACTGTGGTTGTATGTGGGGCCGGCAGAGGTGAGCTTTGCATCTGGGATTCATAACAGGGGAGACATATGATATAGCGGATAATTGAGTTTGACAACCTCGCGAGTATATGAAAGGGCGGGTTGAAAACGTCTGAAAGCATAATTTGTGGATAAGAGACGATATCTGGGGGCTGGGTTCTTGGGTCAATCAGCCAACGATTGTACAAATTCAAAGCAACCTCAAAATAGAATCTCGGAAGAACAATGTCGGAATAATCCTCGGTCAGAGATGTTTCGATCTGATGACTCACGATCGCCAGTCGTTTGAGTTTGCACGGAGCCTTGCGTGGTGGGACATCTATTGGAAAGACAAACTTCAGTTGTCGCTCAAATCTTCCCTTGTAGGGAGACACCCAAAGCTTTGAGATATCAAAAGAGAGCTGACTTTTTTTTTTTTTTTACTGAATGTGAGTTTTCGAAATTCTTGGGATTATATGAGCTTCATAACCTCTACCCAGTAAGCGATCTGCAACAGCAATGAGCCTAGCTTTTTCATCAGCACTAAATAACAAGGACTCTGTAAAGTACAAATATGCCTCGGTTTGGGTTATTACTGGGGTGCGTGTATGGGCTCTCTTTTGGAATTCAGTGCTCATTGCGTCTTATTTTGTGAGGTAAATGTGATATTGTCTGTGAGAAGAAATTCGGTGGTTTCCAGACTAATTGAATCTCGGAGGACCACACAAAGTTTTTTTTCCAATTTTCTGATCCAACGGTATCGAAATGTCACACCCTGGCCTCTGCTGATTCCAAGGTTCTTCCAACATGCGCTGGTATCCATGATCACCGTGTATCAGTATGATGCTTGAGCAATGTGCCGGTTCTACTTTCTAAGGTTGTTTTGCTCGCTTGTTATGTCTTTATGCTTACTTGGCTCTGTTCTAATAGATGTCCTCTTCAGACAAGGAGGGCGGGGCGGATAGTTGTCCCGAGGTCTAGCTAATTCCATTAGCAGACTTTTGGCGCTAAGTGTCACAGTTGACTGTGCAGGTTGAGAGAAAGTGGACATGCCACTTTCCCCCAATTAACTCGGCGAATTTCCTTTCTCGCTAATGAGAATTGAAGGAGGGTTGCAAAGGGGTTTGAAATTTCAAGCGAGATAATAGCAAATTGGAGTCTGGCATCGGGGTCTGCTAAAGACAGGGGGATTCACCGGACCTGAGGTTGACCTTGGATCTTGCTTGTACCTATCACTTTATTGCTTTCCAAGGTTTCTCCATCCTCTCTGTCTCGCACTACTGATCCTGATTGGTGCATCCGCATATACAGCATCCATGTAATTTCATCTCTGCTTTCACAAATTTCTTGAGATCCCCTGGTAGCAGACCTCATGCACCAGTCGCCACTATGTTCGAGAGGCCAAGGCATTTTTGATCTTGTGTACATAGATCATAGCACATTTAGCCGCTGTTTAGCTTTTTTTCCAGTTTCAACGACCCGGTTCAGGACATAATTCATCCACTAATGGGTGTATCAATGCACCCCACACCCTTTCGGCCTCGGAGATGCAAGAAGGGTGCAGTGGTTTTTGTGAGGCAGCTTAGGGAGCTGTGCCAAGTAATGCTGACTGTGGTGATCGTTTGGTTGGTGGGTCTTATAACTGCGTGGGTGCTAGTTTCAAGTGTGCAGACACAGCCACAATGCCAATGCTGGAAAATCTTGGCTCTGGGTAATTTCACTATAATTCTACCTTTGCATTGGCTATATCGCGCCATGGAGCGACGGTAGCCCAAGACGGAACTCCAGACGTTAGAAAATGTCTTAATTTCCCGTGAGGTACTCCGTACTCCATGGCCATGGGATACATCCAGACCGACATGGGATCTGGACCCTGCATGATAGCTGCCAATTGTGGGTTATGCATCTAAATCAGCCACTCAAGTCTCGTCGAATTTCTTCACGGATATTAAGGATTCACGGAGTTGCATACTTGACCAAAACAGCTGTTTCCGCCATAGGGTCCTCAAAGGTATAAAAGGCCGCTCGCTGGCCATCAATCGAAGGAACCATCAATCAAAGAACCCAACAGCCGAACAAAATGCATTACAGCACTCTCGTCCTCAGCTTCATTGGCCTTGCCAGTGCCCAAACACTCAACATCCCCTCGCGCGTGGGCAGCATTGTCTCTTTGCCTTCTCCCAGTGTGATCAAGGGCAGCGTTGATTTGGGCAACAAGGAATACGATCGTGGTCGGGCTTGCGACAGCGATGATGACACTGGTATGTCCTCATGAAAGTGAAGTCCGTGAAATGAGGCTAATGGATTAGGCTCCGACAGTGCCGTGTTTATCTTGGAGGACGGTGCATCGCTGAGCAACGTGATCATTGGAAAGGACCAGCTCGAGGGTGTTCACTGCAAGGGATCCTGCACGCTCACCAACGTCTGGTTCCGTGACGTCTGCGAAGTGGGTTTCACGTTCATTCAAGTTTTCCAATACTGACATGTTGCTTGTAGGACGCCATTTCCATCCTTGGATCCGGAAATGCGCTCATCAAGGGCGGTGGTGCCCAAGAGGCCAAGGACAAGGTGGTTCAGCACAATGGCAAGGGAACCGTCACCATCGATGGATTCACTGTGGTGAATGCAGGAAAGTTGTATCGCTCCTGTGGAAACTGTAGCAACAACAAGAGCAAGAGCCCCCGAAACGTTGTTGTCAAGAACGTGAAGGCCAACAACGTGAAGACTTTGATTGGAATCAACTCGAACTACGGTGACACTTCGAGCGTGAGCAACACCTGTGGATCCAGCGTCAAGCACGTGTGCGAGGAGTTTGAAGGAGTCGAGAAGTCGGCGGGCAAGGAGAGCCCGAAGCTCACCACGACTGCCTCTTGTAAGGGACAATCATCCCTTTCTTCTTGTTAAGGTCAAATATCTCTCTCTTGACTGCGAGTGTCACCTTCGTATGTATTGTTTTCTTGAAACAATTTGCCCACGTACACAGGTGTATTCATCCTGAAGTCATTCTCCCATCAGGAGATCATGGAAACACATCCCAGTATTTTTTTCTTCAGCTGGCCAGATCGCGTTTTGTCAAGTTTACATCTCCAGTCTATCAATCCAATCTTTTATCCAATCACAGTTATCACCATTCGAGTAGGCCAGTGGCATGCCAACGAGTAAGTAGAGACTTCAGGAGGGAATGCCCACCTGGGTAGGTGGGAGAGAAACTGTAGAAACCTCTAGAGCTTGGAACATTTCTGAAAGCTGTGTGAGTCAACTTTAGAAATTCAATATATTATACGAGAGGTACTTACTTGAGTATATCCCGAGAACTTTCAATATTACTTAAGTAGAGGTTGTACTTAAGTATGTCTACATTGGGAAACGTAATAGCCTCCACAGTGTGGCCACAACGAGGCACCAAATCTTCGAGTCTCCCTTGGAGTATGATGTGTAGTGAGGACAGATATAATCAATAGCAAGAGAGATTCTCGGCGGGAAAGAGGAAAGAAAAGAGCAAAAAGAACAAAAAGTTTGACGAACCCAACCAGGGAAATGGCGATACATCAGCCCGGTGACTTGCGGTCCTAGGGATTCGAACCCGGGCTCGGGAATCTCGAGGATCAGAGTGCAGATATGGCTCTCTGTGTGACCAACTAGACCACCGCGGGTTTGCACCAGAAGATACGTTAAAACTAAATATAACCAACCCCAAATGTCTAATATCACGTGACCCATACTGCTAAGTACTTGATTGACGAGGCACTCCCCAGTTCCAAGATTATGGCATTACCTATAGATGGCAGCATTGGAAATATGCTAGAGTTCCAACTTCAAACGTTTCGACCTCGGGAAAGACCTCGGGAAAGACCTCAGAAAGTCACGTAGATACTAGCCGCATGGCCTATCGGCCTAGTGTGGTTAGGCAATACTGCCAACGTGAGGTTGCATCCAAGCTCTAGAGGTTCCCAGGTTAATTTCTAAAGTTATGCCCACCTGGAATGGCTCTAAGTTCGATCATGTGGACGATATTTGATCGCATTGGGTATGATACTTAAGTAGTATACAGATAAAGGTAACCCGGAGGCTCAGCAATGCCTATCTGTACTTAGGTAGACGTAGGAATTCAGAACCAACCTTGGAATTCTAAAATTGCTTATCGATTCCAAGGTTTTATCGACTCTTGTGAGTGGCTGAATTGTGAGTGGCTGAGGAGGGTACAAAACATACACAAGCCCGAGGAATATATTCTGGGATCTGCATTGGACCTGTGACATATTTGTTTCCAAGGTTCATCAAAAAGCTACACGAGGTGCATTACCTTAATTAGGTGTCTGGGACTCGCGAGGATAGGACAGATGACGGAATATTGGATGATGAAAAAGAAGTCGGCGTCAATGTTAAAAAGAGAAAAACAAAAAAAGAAAAAAAAGAAAGTGGCGGTACCCGGATTCGAACCGGGGCCAACGCAGCATTGAGTTCTCCACAATGCGGTATCCTACCCCTAGACCATACCACCAGATTTGAGGAGATTTTCACTAAAACTAGCCATATTGAAACATCAGTCATTTACCACCTCCCGTATTCACTCCCCTCTCTAGAGGATGATCTATAAGTAGATATTTCAAATGAACCGCAATGTTCTATTCGAGCAAGGAGTACATTGCCCTCAAAAATTATAGCCATTTAGCTTGCGGAAAGCTGCAATCATCTCAGCAACGAGTATATAGGCTACCAAGATCTCAACTTCCATAAAGATTTCCGGGAATGATTCTCTTGAGTTCTTTTGCCTTGAAGTCTATTCACTCCATGTCCTTCCTTTGATTCGAAGAGCGCGATCAATGTCAAGGCTAGCCTAAAGTATGATTGGAAATCACTCTGCCGCATTCTGCACCGATGTCACCCGCGCCGTTCAATTGCTCAGTTGCCCCCAAGGTCGGCTCGCGTCAATGGTCTTTCATCATTCCTTGCTTATCACAACTGACAAGAATCAAGACAACGGCTTCTGGATGCGAGCCAATCATCAGCCCCCTGGTTTCTTTCCCCAATATCCAAAGCTACCAAAATCCGGCTAACACAGTTGTACCCTGCAATGGTGGTCGTCATTTCGAGGACCTCCTGAGGCTTAAAGAGGGATTTGAGACCGTCGAACACCTCATCTGGGACTTTGATCGTCTTTGTCATGGCATCCGTATATCTCAGCACGATTCTGTGCTCGGGGCTCAAAAAGGCGGAGAGTGATTCGTTCGAAAAGTCAATTTCTGCATCTTTGATGATATCCAGCACCTCATCACTGATTCCACTCTTGCGTAGTAACGGAGCGTGTTGCTCCCATTCAAACAAGGCGCCATTCACTACCGCAACCCGGCAGATTGCAAGCTCTCGAACCGTAGCTGACAGAATAGATTGTGTTCTGATTGCCCCAAAGAATGAGTTCCATCCTTCTGCGATAGGGAAAGAGTGCAGTAGAGCTAAATCCAGAGGGAGAAGCGGGTTTGGACCGCGTCGGGCTTGGATGTCTGCGAGAATCCGAGCTTCCTGGGCTGTACTTGTTTGTGGAGGGTCTTGAACGTAGGGAAGACGCATTTTGAGTGGTGTCACAGACGCAAGAAAGTTGAGTCTCGGAGTTCACTGGCTAAGTGTCAAACGGGGTGAATGGAGGACTCCCAGGGCTGTGTTCAAAGGCGTACCTCGGTTCAAGGCTGTCGATATCGCGGATTGAAGGTCTTGGGATCAAATGCAAGAAGATGGGAAATTGATTTAAAAGAAAAGTAAACGTCAACTGAAAGTATTCTGTAGGGTCTGATCAGCAAAACCCCATCTAAGACACGCATGACAGGGCTACCTTGCAAACCAACTAGATAGACTTCTTCTAGCTTTTGGTTTATCTCTCTTTCCCCTTCCTTTTTCTGTTTTTTCTTTTTCTTTTTCTTTGTCTTTTTCTTTTTCTTTTTCTTTTTTGTTGACTCTCTTTTTTTATTGACACAGACAACCCACCGACACGACATGCACAGCTATGTAACCTTGGAACTAGCGCAAGCTTACTCAGATTGCCCCGATCAGTACTCCGTACTCCGTACTAGAAGGCCGATCTATAAGCATAAGAAAGCTCTCGGTGCCATGAAGCTGTTCACCGGGATCAATTTTAGGTTTGCCCACTATTATCCCAATCTTACATACTAGCGCGACATTCATGAGAACTAATCCATAATAACTCCGTGTGTGAAGATCAGCTCGTCAGGTTAGGTAGATCGATCGGGCCCAGATCGGGCATTAGATCAAACACAGTGCAGATCATCATCGAGGGATCATTTTTTTTTTGGCGGCGAACAATCTATTTCAAACCTAAATACTCTCGTGAAGCGGTGTTATTCTCAAGGTTGCTACTACAATTGACTATCGATCGCGGGACTTCTTGCAAGCGATGCGCAGCTCTAGAACCAAGATGAAACTTTTCCATGATATTCAGCTGTCTGTTGGAGAATACCGAGATATTAGGCTATTCGTGGGGAAAATCACTGCGTCCTCTGTGTCATACATACATTGAGGTGGAGCCATCTATCATCATAACACACACCGCCCTTTGGCTCAGCGTAATGGTGCAAATCCCAAATTTAGAACCTCTTCTAACATGTACGGAGTACTCCGTGGACTCCAATATGATATGATAATGCACGGAGTAGTGCCCAGGTGGTACCAGGTGGTATAGGAGATGGTACAATATTTGATAAACTCAAATCTCCAGATCAATGACCCTGTGCCGCCAATGAAAACTTTCGAACCTCCGCTATCTCCTGAAGTCATTGTATACAATATGATGCTATCTTATATCAGGATGCAATACGATGACGATATCTGTATCCAAATCTATTGCAGTGTCTGGAGAGAGAGAGAAGGTGGAGGGGGGGGGGGGGGGGGGAAGCTCCCCGATTTGATCTATGCGGTCTGACCAGAGGGCCGCCACTACATACGTAGTCCACCACGAATCGACCCTTATCCATGGTCAATTGGTGGTATTTGTGGATCAAAAACAAATTTCGACGCACCGAGGGATAGCTCATCGCTATAGCCAACCAGGCAATATCGAAATACATTACATACGTAGTCCACCTGTGGACTAGTGGGGTCCTGACATTTCAAGAGTACGAGATTTACCATAAAAAGACTCGTTTGTTCCTTGGATGACTCTACTATGGCTAAAATTTCAACTGAGTATGTGGTTGCAAAGTTGGGTCCATGGTCAGACTTGAAAGTACGGGTAATCCGAATCAAAACATCGTCGGTCTACATTCCAAGGTTATGTGAGATAAAAAAATTTACTTGATCCTAGTTCTTGATCCTAGTTATCCTCCTCAATACACGAGCCGTATATTTATTCTCGAAATGTCAAGTAAGTTAGCCGACCTTGTTTGAACGAAGTAGATGGTATTAACATCGAAAGCAACAACAGCATATCCTCTGGCACAACCAGAGGATCGGGAACCAAAACAGAAGAATGAGCTGTATCATACTGTGCCAAAAGCATCGGAAGCTGTTGGGCCACATGTCTCTGCATCTCTGATGGCACTCAAAAAGAATGACTCCATTAATTTGGTGGACACTTGCGCTGGGGTAGTTGAGCTGATCGAAAGTTTCGCCAATCTACCCGTAACGCCCCCGTCTTTGTATGTCGACCTTGAGGGTATCAACCTTTCCCGATATGGAACGATATCGATTCTTCAAATCTTCGTTCTGCCGAAACAGTCAACATTTTTGATTGACATCCACAAACTAAGACACAACGCGTTCTCCTATTCTGCCCCAAACGGAATCACGCTTCGGCATGTCCTGGAATCACCTTCTATCCCCAAGGTCTTTTTCGATGTTCGCAACGATTCAGATGCCCTCTTCAGCCACTACCAGATCAAGTTGTCTGGCGTGCATGATCTTCAGTTGATGGAGCTTGCAACGCGCAGTTTTTCAAGAAGATGTGTGAGTGGGCTTAGCAAGTGTTTGGAAAAAGATTTGCCGATGACTGCCAGTGAAAGGGCGAAGTGGAAATATGTCAAAGACAAAGGCAGAAGATTATTTGCACCTGAGTGTGGAGGTTCCTACGAGGTTTTCAATACTCGTCCGCTTCCAGATGAGATTCGGCAATATTGTGCGGGGGATGTCCAGTTATTACCTGAACTATGGCGGAACTACAATTCTAAAATAACACCCCGATGGGCAGCAAGAGTGGAGTCAGAAGTGAAGAATCGTGTTTGGCTTTCTCAATCCGCAACATTCAACGGAAAAGGAAGACATATGGCCTTAGCACCCGCACACTGGGCCTAGCTTTCTCGGCGGAAGGTTTGATATAGGGCTTGGTCTTCTGTGGCGAGGGCAGAGCCGGGTGAGATGAAACATGGTTATTCAATATTGCTTACCAGGCCTTCCAAGAACTGTCCACGGGTGTTGCCGTTGCTTATCTATTATTAAATGATTCATTGTACGATGAGTTGTGTTCGTTTGTCTGTTTTTGAGATTCTTTTTGCTTTCTCCTGGGACGAAAGGCGAGAGATTAGCGTGTACGGAGATGCAATGGAGAGACCGAGAGATGGAAGTTCTATCTACGTGCGGGGCTGAGGCTACACCCCGTCGCTTAACACTTTTACTTCACTTTCCTTGTTTGCTGTCAGAATTTTCAATTAGCTCTAATCAATCTACATTTGTTGACTCGTAGATCCCGGGTTCTATGCTCCGTACATGTCTGCTAGTATCCTTGTTGCAGGATATTTCAAACGGCCTGACAAGTTCAGTATTTAGTGAAAGAAGGGGGGTAAGGGAGGAGAGAAATCTGGCTAGGTTCTGGGACTATGTCACACCCCACGAATCATGCATGGGTGTTGAAGCTACAGGGCAAAAGATGAAGCGGACAGAGCCGATTGATTGACTGCGGGGAGAGAGAGGAAGAAGAAGAGAGAGAGAGTCGGGAGAGGATCTATCTACAAACGGAGGGTTGGGACGAACTCCCTATACAACAATGGGCCACAGTACCATGGTCTCTTTTCTGTCTGTTAAGAATGCTGCTATTTTATCTTTCCTCTTTCCTGGCAGATCTTGTCGGCTCTTAAAGCGATAGCAAGAAGAATTCTGCCAACATCCGCCATATCAGATCGTTTTTCTATGTCCCATGGACCAAACTGATGCATTGTTAGAGATCCAGGACCCTCTGATCGATCAAGTTTGTCATCGAGGTATTTGACATAAGTCTCGTCGTACTCGGCAAATATGATATAGATCTCGTTCCGGTCCTGGGACACATGAAGGCGGCTATCATGACCTTAGCAAGTAATCGAACAACAACTGCTTTCCTTCCGGATTGGGTGAAACCAACTTGGTGCGAGGCGGCAAATCGGACGCATTGATTGGTGCTTCCGTTGCCGAGCAACCTCAACATCTCCGTCACGGAACTCTCCAGGCTGAGGCTTAAGATCAACCTTATTCCCGAATCTTTGCAGTCCATCTCATTTCGACCCCTTCGTTTTCTGTACTGGTGAAACTCTTGATATGTCTTCCATCTCAGGGGTCTTGCGTACAGGTGAAACTCTTGATATGTCTTCCATCTCAAGGGTCTTGCCCTCCGAGGTCGACCAGAGGCAGCTCAAGACGCGCAAAATCTTCAGAGGAATGTTAGATGTCATTCTGGAAACCGTCTGCAACGCAAACACCCATCATCTCGAACCTGGCGTATGCAAAGAGCCCGGTGTCATTCGGGGAAATATATCTCTTGACGAGCAGTCCACGTGTTCACCCGTCTTCTTCAGTCGATACCAGGGCACCTTGGATGATCGGCCCTTCGACTCAGGCGTTGACGTTGCTGATTACCGGTCAGAATTGTCGCCCGCAGACAACGCGGAATTATTGCACCATGTGGTCTACCATAAGATCCGTGATTACCAATACAACAAAAACGCCCCTGGGAGTTATCTCGACATGTGAGTGTCTTCTCTCCTTATCCCCTTGGTGCCATCAAATCTCACCATGAGGCAGATGGGACATTGTCCGCTTTGGCGATATCCTTGATTCGTCTTCCAACTGGAAGCCTTCGTTAATAGCCCTCACTCTCGTGAACCCCGAATCATGGCCTCGTTCGCACGATGGCCCAGAACCTCCTCTGCCACATGTTAGATGCCTTATATGGAACGAGGTCATTGGAGACGACCGCCTGCTCCTGTCGGAGATCAAAGCCATCATCAAGATTATGAGACGCCGATTAAGAACAAAGTCGGTTTGCTCCCACTTGATGGCTCCGGTAAGCGGCCCCCTTAACATTCAGCAGGAACACCAACACCCAAAGCTACTTCTGACACCCTATTCCAAAGGTTTTGCTTTTTTCGATCATGGCGCCGTGGCATATTCGTGTTCTGGAAGCGTATTTCGATGGAAACAAGCTCGTTGTCCGCAAGACTCCGCTGTATGATATGAGAGAGAATGGTGAAACAATCTTGCAAAACATAGTCCGGTAGTGGTGGGGCCATTCTGGTGGGGAAACGAAAACGCTTCCTCATACTAGCAATCTTGCTGGAATGAGTTCATGACCTTATGAGAGGAATGATTGGTTTAGGGTGGCTGGCTTCGGGGTTCATGGAGTTGCACAATGATCTGTGCTCGGGGAGTTTAAATGTCATTCTTTTCTACACAACGCCCATATCCATCCCAACTTTAGAAAGCAAGTACGTAAGTCATGAGTGACAAGTTGATTATGCATCCGTGGGTGGTAGTGTAGGCGCCTTTGACGGAAAGAATTGAATATATCTCAAGGGTGGACCGCATACTTTAGGATGCACAAAACATAACTCAAGCTTGGAACTGGACACAGCATAAGGATAGACAAATCCACCGCACAGCAATGACATCAAGTTGAGAATAGAATTTCCTAGACTATCTGGGCGAGTACCTTGACATCTTCCTCGCCAATGAGTATGTCGTTTTCTTTAGGAGGCTCCGCACGTCTGAGAAAAGAATACTCGCCGTAGACTATGATATTGTCGCCTTCCCTGCTTTCCATGATCTCGGTGGTCTGGACATTTTCGATCTCTGCATTGGCGTTGTCCAGTTGCCATCTTTCAATGGTAACTTTGGACTTTCACCGGTCCGCCTTGCTGGCCATCACAACATTCGCGAGACCATCGACTGGGTCCAACCACCGCCTAACACCACGAAGCAGTTTGACATGCGTTTCAGTGATTGCTGTTTCAACCATGACGGTTGGTCTTTTTGGAATTCCGTGTGGTCGGATGATTGGACCCCACGCCGCAGCTGGTTCTTGGAGCCGTTCGCGATAGGAATTGTGATGAAACGGTGGTGGTAGAATGCTCTTTTGAGTCCCATCGGAGTCAGCGATTCTCCAATAGCCATGCCAAAAGAAGTAGGTATCTGTTAGTGTTCTCGAAGCACCAAATTGACTGCTAGTGAATTAATGTTCTGATTTGATATCGTTGGGAAAGAACGGGTTGGTTCGATATTCGGATCGAGGAAATCACGATCGTGTTCAACCGTGTCAATGGAAAAGATGATATATTGTTGAGTAGGAAGGGTGTAACATTGTAATATTCTGTAGACGACATCAGGACAAGAAAGTGGATGGGTCCAGATCTCGTTTGAAGGTCTGGCAGATTCGGTACCGGGGGTAGAGGCTCTTGCCTTTCTATGGCTGCCCACACCAATTCCGGGGTGTATTCTGCCCTTATGGGTTTCAACCGGGTCGGCATCCTGCTTAAGCAATCCGTAGTTCCCACGACTGGGTCGGTGGCTGGTCGGTGGGGAAGGCGGGTAGCCCGAAATAGTTCGGTCCCCGGGATGCCCAGGGAAAACTGAACGCCCGCGATGCCCCGATCCACGGCGCTTGGCGACGAGCTTTCCCAATCCTCAAGACCTCCTGCATAGGAGCCCCATCAATGAAATCTTTTCACTCTGCACCGTCTTTGGTTTCCTATTCGAAGCCTTAGTGTTTCATAATTATATCCCCGTGAATAAGTGGACCATCCCGAATGCATATCCTGCGCATAGCTTGGATGAGGTCCTGGATACCAAAGATCTGTTTTAGGCACTGGTGCCTCTCTCTTGGTTCTTCAATGTCGCCCACCTTAGCGTTTTAATTGTCAAAGATCACTGGAATCTCGCTTCCTGGCCCCAAATTAAGGCCTCTGAGCTGTTGTCTGGTTTCCTCGGGCTGTCGGCGTGGGCTGGGGTCGTCCGCCCCTGGGGCCATGGCAGCCCTTCCGAGCCAGAAAGGAAAACCAAAATGTTTTTGAAAACATGACAGCCGTGGGGGTCGAGGGAAGCACGGAGGGAATCCGACCCTCGGTCAAGCATCGCGAAAAATTCTCCGAGTGGCCGTTGCCAGAAAACCGGGAGGAGCTCGACGGATTCCTGTGGTTGACGCTCTCCCTGAGATAAACCTAAGGATGGCTTATACTCATGGAATCACACCACACCCAAATCACAGGCCATTGCACTGCGAAAATCACCAGTGGACCATATATTGACTTCACATGTCGATGCGAGTCCATGCACGTTTGCTCAGAGGTGAGACATAGACCAAGCCCCATATAGAGATCTATTTCTCACTCTCCGCGCTACTCGGAACGATAGTTTCCGGCCGCGGGCTCAACGGCATTCACAGTTTTTCTCGGGTCCGGAGATGTCCGCGTGGTCGAAGCGGTCGTGACGGGAGTTCATGCGTAGGTGTCATTCGCATTGAGGCTCTCGGTAACCTGGTGGTTCTGGCCGTCGTTAGCATATGTTCTAATGACAGACCATCCATCCGCCTGGCTTCACCTATAGCTGTTTCGGTGTTATGGAGTGGACCTCTCCGCTGAAGTTTGTCTGACCAGGTGCTCAGATGAAGTCACCGCGCATTATGATTTCGCATAGTTCATTAGCATCACCAGTTTGAATGTACGATGCATCTCTGCGGAACTGCTGGTAATCGAATCGTTTGTTGCATTCGCGCTTCTGAATGCTCCAGTCCATGCTCTCGTTGACCGTCATCGGAACTTACCTTCCTCCTTTCCCTCGAGCAAGTAAGATCAACAAGGGCCGAGCTTTGAAATGAGAACGTCACCTGCGTTATCCAGAAGGTGGAAGTGATTCGGTGCCAGATAGTAGGCCCTTATTCGTCTTTTTGTGGCACGTCACCCGCTGTGCCAGGACTCGTAAATTTTTGACCTTGCCGTTGATCTCATTTACATTTTCCATCCCGTCAAGGGTCGGGATGTTTTCCGTCAGGGTTTGTGACATGGGCAAAAAGAGGAGGAGATTCGAGTTGTATTTCCCATTTGTGGCTCGAGAGGAAAAGAATAGAAGAAAGAAAGAGTAAGAGAATGAGAAGATAGCTGGGTCAAGTAATCTCTACTCTGTAAATACTCGATCGTACATACACCGTAGATTATAGCCGTGGAGGTACTTATGGTGGTTTATGTAAGAAAGTCGGGGGCGGGATAACGGAGACTTTTGACAGTCAATGCAGTGGACGTGCGGTTTTTTTACTCCGGATATGGATTCTGACAAATCGACATCTAGATAGCATCAAAACAGATTGTATTGCGCTTTCAGACAGGTAAATTTGGCCGTTGCCTTTTTGTTTCCCTCTCTTCATTTTCAATGACTCTGATTCCGTCTCCGTTCGCCCACCATTAGGCAAATAACATTTAATTATACTCACAATGACCACATCATTTCTAGAAGAACAAAAAGATGCATCGCATTCCCCCAAAACTCCATCACCTAGACAGGGTGATGGTAAGTAATCCTCGAAGCTCACTCTGAAACTCAAAACACATACTGACTCACACAGATTCGGGTATAGGTCCTACACACACCCCGAAGGATGAATATATGTACATTGCCGACAGCTACCACTTGATTCGCCGGGCCATCTTCATCATGGCGGTCTGTTCGTCCATGTTTACCAATCAGTTGGGCCTTTGCAACAGCCTCACAACGCTCGAAATAATCGGAGAGTCCTTTGGTGTCACCGATCCTGGCAAACTATCGTGGGCAATCTCTGGCTACGGCTTGACTCTGGGTACATTTGTCTTGATCGGAGGACGCCTGGGTGATGAGCTTGGTAATAAGGCAATCTTCATCATCGGCATGAGCTGGCTTTCTCTGACCAGCATGATGGCAGGGGTCTCTGTCTACTCCAGCTATCACGTGTACATCCTTGCTCGTGTTCTGCAGGGTCTCGGTCCCGCCTTAACTGTACCCAATGCACTCGCCATCATGGGAAAATGCTTCTCTCAGGGTCCTCGGAACATGGGATTTGCATGGTTTGCTGCATCAGCCCCCGTTGGCGCAATGGCAGGTCTTGTCTTTGGGCCCCTTTTTGCCATGGCCTGGTGGCCATGGATCTACTGGAGCCAGGCTTTGGGGGTCGCATTTCTCTCTACTCTCTCAGTCGTTGCAATTCCAAACATGTCAACTGATGGGGAGGAAAAGCAGCGACGAACGATTCGAGAAATGTTGGATCGTCTCGATCTCTTCGGAGGTGCAAGTGGTGTGACAGCTCTGGTTTTATTCAACTTTGCCTGGAATCAGAGCTTGGTCACTACATGGGAAGAGCCCTACGTCTATATATGCCTGATACTTAGTTTCCTGTTCCTGGCGGCATTCTTTTACATCGAGCTTCGTCTAGCTCGCTATCCCATTCTACCTGTTGCCATTTTAACTTCTGATATCGCCTTTGTTGTTGGCTGTACAGCAGCGGGATGGTCCACATTTGGAATCTGGGTAATCGCTGATCTTGGCTCCGACATGATGTGTGACTAACCGTGCGTGTAGCTTTTCTACGTCGTCCGAATTTGCTTGAATATCGGGGGTCAAAGCCCCATTCAACTGGCAGCATGGCTTTCTCCTATTCTCATAACCGGCATATCGACGGCATTGGTAGTTGGGAAAGTGATCAACAGGGTTCCAGCCTCGTTCATCATGCTGTTTGCAATGATCTGCTATTTCCTCACTTCTCTTCTCATGGCCTTGCGACCCGTGCATTCAACGTACTGGACGTATTTCTTTATCGCCACTATCATCGCGACATTTGCAATGGACTCATCGTTACCTGCTGCCACGATCATCTTCTCGAACGCAGTCCCCCGAAAATACCAGGGTATGGGATCCAGTGTGATCATGACAATTGTTGTCTACAGTATATCGCTGGGTCTTGGTTTCGCCGGTACCATTGAACTTCAAATCAACAATGGTGGACACACCGAGGCAGACTTACTTTATGGTTACCGGGGTACGCTCTGGTTTTCTGTCGGATTAACAGCACTCGGCACTGTCCTCGCCATAATCTTTTTACTCAAAGATAATCGAAGACGACAGTTGGCCAAGTCTGAAAACGAAAGAGGAGAAGGCTGATAAGGCGCGGGCTTGAATCATTGAATGTTTGATCTCTCATCAACCTTTTAAGCTCAAAGATCAAAGTCAAGCATGATGGTCACTCCAGGGGACATCTCCAGAGGATTTGGCCTGTTGTGACCCCATGTTGTTAAGCGTTCCTGGCTGCAAGACTTTAATACTTGAAGGGGCGAGACCCAGTAAAGCAATTTTATCAAGCCAAGTCGGCAGGAAGGGTTGCTCTCCATCTAATCCCCATGTATAGCTGGGATCCTCCGAACGAAGAGCGACCCAGGCATCCGTTAAGTCATTCTTGTCAATGAGGGAATTATCTTCCTCAAGAAACGGATTGAAGTCGCCGGCAACTACCCCGCATCCCGTAGCATGTAGATATGACGAGATGATGGATATATTTTGGGTTCTGTAGGATTGCTGGATCAGTAGGTGGGCATGATAAGTCGGATGCGTGTTGTGCGGGCGTTCAAAGTGGGCGTGACTGCGAAGCGCCGCGCCCCGGGGCCCCCGCCGGGGCGACCGGGCGCCCGAGGGGGTCCAATGACTGATTTGGTGCCTGAGAATCTATGGGTGCCTGATTTCCTCTTCATCTTTGCGTGGCCTGGTATTCTCTTGTGGGGGATGGTTCACCCCAGCTCGATGTAGATAACTCTCTCCCATCGCTCTCTATATCTCTTCCTCTCAGCTCGGTGAAATGATCGTTTCCAACCACTTCTTTTCTCTCGGCAATGGGATTGAGACAAGTGCAAGTCCCCTGCAATAGTCTGACCAATCCTAAACCAGCCTGCGAGAACGTCAAAATCCTTCAGGGAGATAGGTGATGATGTACCGGAGCCTATAGACTTCAAAGTTGAGGATGGAAGTGTTGATAACGTGGGCGAGTCATAGTACCGACGAGGAAACGGGCGGCGATCTGGTTGGTGTTATGGCAACTGGTTCCGACAATAGGCACAGGAGACATTCGAGACTGGCCATTACGACTGGGTATTTCGATTTTGCCTGTAAGTCAGCTCGGATAAAGCACAAGTGGCTGGTGACTCCACACAGGCATCGGTGCGGGTGATGAACCCGGAAATAGTGTAACCTTGTATAACCATCGCACTATGGTACAGGGATTTCGCAAGCTGACTCACTTATCCCACACGGCCTCGGATAAGTGACACTGGACTGATAATGCCTCCGGCAACCGCCCTGGCTGTACTCCGTAGCAGCTTGGTCTTGTTGTAGAGTTTCAAGGATGAGATGAAGCTTGGTTCCGAATGTGGAGTGGTTTTGGATGCACCCAAATCGCATTCAGAGAAAGAGTTTTTGGTCGATGGGTGTCTCCTTCTCGCTGTGTATTACTCCGTGTGTGGCTCGGAATTCCATCCTACTTGACACAGATCAACCAAGTGGCGGGTGCGAGTTTAACGGAACGGCGGGTGTGGGGTCGGCTCGGGGAGCGGCGGGGCACTGAGGTCTAGGCGTGGAGCCTGATGCCCCTGAAAGGTAAAATGCACGGTGATGCGCTCAGAGATTCGCCGAGAACCTGTAACTGCGCATGGGAGTGTCTAAGGGAAAAAGACACTAAGCCAAAATGTTGGGAGAGGTTGGTTCGCCCCAGCCCGTTTGCTGTTTGCCTGTTCGGAGATAGCTAACTAGCCCGCTTTCTCCTTCTCTTCACTCTTCCTCTTCTTTTTCCTCGGGGAGCGGAATTGATTCATTCTGTCCGCCTTTCCCCTTTCGCCCGTAGGTAGATCTCAAAAGGCTCAGTAAGCTACATGAGGAAATCATAGTATAACCAATATCCGACATGGTCGAAACCCCCGAATTTATGTGCATAAATTTTTTCCATAAAGCACACCTTGATTCAAAGCGAGTTTCAACAAAAAAAGTAATGCTCTAAAGGTCGAAATTGGAGGGATATGAAAGTACAACGTGAAGCACCTTGGCGATGACATCCGCCCGTGGACGAGGGGTTTGTCTAAGATCGCAGATACGCCCTGGAAGGGTCGCAGAGGCAGCCTGAACAAAACGCAACAATTGGTTCCAAGCTTCCACGGGGAACTCGGACCACAGAGAAGTCAGGGATGGAAGTGGCTGGAAGGCTGAAGCTGAAGTTGGGTACGCGTAACTACTCATACTCGTACGAGTATACGATCTTCGGCTTGCACTCATAAAACCCGATAATTGCGCATCGGGCGATAAACGTGCATATATATTGCATATGATGAATTTTATAGACGAGTAAGGGGGGCTTGGGACCTCGTAAAATGGATGCTCTCCCAAAAAGGCAGGAATCGACACTTGTGGATCCAAGTCAATCTCTACGAGTAGAGCTTACTGAACTCCCATTCTACATCCAAGAGTAGTATTCCGTACATGAAGACAAAACCCCCCAAAACCTGATCCCTGTTTTTCGTGTCGCGTCTTGATAATGATCGCGTCAATCCGAAGAAGCAAAAGGACACAGACTGCACCAAAAATATGTGGACCCCCATCACTGAGGGCTCGGATGATATCCTTTATGTTCCAAGGTTGCCATCCCTGGAGTTCGGAACGTACCTCGGCCAATGGAGCGGAATAAAGACTCGTGGACTAGTTACACATCTACCCTGTACCATCGGGTGGAGAATTGGACCCAATCCACCATGCTAGAAGCTCACTTCAGACGATAGATCACATCGATCATGAAAAAATTCCCACATGAGCTGAGGCAAGGTACGAGGATGGAATAAAGGTGGGGCGGACTAATCTAGATTATTGAGTTGAGTACATATTCTCTACTCCACAATGCATCTGATCATCGATGGCCCGGGGATTTACTGTATAATCTAGTAGATCTTACATATTCCAAAGCACGGAGTAACTAGCGGTCAACACGACGGAAATGTGATAATCCGCTCGAAAATTCTTGTTCCTTGCCTGAGAATAAGGTATATCTATCAAGATACCCCGACCAACTGTGTGCAAACCAACCAGTTCCATCTCAACCATCATGAAGTTTGCTGTCTCCGCTCTCGCTGCTATTGCCTTTGTTGCCCCAGCCTTGGCCCAGGTGGTCCCAGGCTCGGTATGTGAAAGATTCTTCTCAACGACGAAGTTCATATCTAACCAAGCCATATAGGTCGACATCAATTATCAATCAGGCTATGATAGATACCAAGGCCGTGGTGGTGAATGCACGACTGCTAAGGCTCCGTATGCATATAAAGATCGTTTCTTGTTATTTTCATCGTTATACTAACCAGCACAATAGTGAGAAAGATGTCACCAGCATCAACATCTCTGCCTTCGCGCCAGGCACTGTCACCTGCGACTTCTACACGTTAGTTGCCTTCCCTTCGAGGCTTAGATCAAAGCTAATTCAAACAGGGGAGCCCACTGCGATGGAGACAAGTACACTCTCAAAACTAAGGGAGGAATCAAGGGTCAGCAGTTCAGCAAGTCATTCAAAGTTGGTAGCCTGAGCTGCTCCGCATAATGGCTTTGCTCAGTATTGCACATAAACTTGGATTCTGCACCAAGAATCAAAAGTTACATCAAGACAATCACAAAATCCCTCTAATAAGCGACCGTAAGCAACTCCAAAAGACAGAGCCATTTTTCAGGGAAAATAAAAGCTTTGGTAACACTAATTGGGTAAGAAATAACTCAACGGAACGTTGTAGCGGAATTTAATTGACAAGAACTCGTAGTCTGTTTGGAATAGCTACTCTGTATTGTGAAAATTGGGAGGGGTTGGAGTTGATGCCTCAGCTAGCAGAAGCAGGTCAGACTTGGAGGTCATCTTCCCCAACTACTTCTAGAATGATTCTGGGTAAATAAACTAAGGAGGTCATAGCATAATGGTCCCGGGGGTAGAGTTTGGAATGCAGTCTGAATGAAGGAAATACCTCAGGTGGCCATCTGCCTCAATATTTCCCACTCACCAACCCCCTAGAGACCCCCGCACTCATTTACACAGCAAACATCTCGTTCTTTTCACTTGCAACAATAGTCGGATGTCACTTTTGGTCCCGCAAAATATCTATCACCTTAGATTTTGACATACAACTGCCCAGATACCACTATGCAACCCTCTAATATCACTACCATGAATGAAGAATGGTTGATCAACCCTTGCCATCAGGCGGAAAATGAGAGCAGGATGATCAGAGGTGAAAGATCTGCGCAAAGACTGAAAACGACTCTGGCGTCTATAGAGCTGCGTAGCTATACCCTCGACTTTTTGAACTCGCCACACTCTCATGTGTGCTTCCACATGACACGGCTTTTGAGAAGCCAGTCATATCTGAGTTTGAGAGACTATTGGATCTGACACAGTATGAAAAACAAGATATATGAAGCTCACTCTTTGTGTCCGGGAGTACTAAGATGTATAGCCCGCACAAGGTGGAAACTGTTTTGGATATTAATGAGGTTGGAGAACCGGGAGAACAGACATAAAAGGCGATCTATTCAGAGAGCGAGAGGGTGTAAGAAGCAAGCTCCAAAATCAAGCACCGGACTATGGAGAACCAGACACCTCAAGATGCCTTAGGCTGCCTTGGCTTAGTCCGGTAACAAATATGGCAAATAACCTTGGAGTGTATCATCATTTTCCTACGCACGGTTCATAAACTAATCAACTGGATTGCTTTAAAATTGTACCTCAAAGATAAACTCCTAGCCGCGGTTCTTCCAATAATCTTTCCCCCGTAGTCTATGGCTTCAAAATAATCTCAAAAGGTGGTTTGTACGGTCGGCAGGTCAGAATATCGCCAGACGCCAGTTACAATACCCGTTCTAAACAGCGGCCTAGATTAAGATATCCCAAACCCCCTTTTTGCCCAGGTGGGCGCTGTGTTGCGGGGTCAGGCCACCACCTTCTTCAGGCCGCGCTCCCACTTCTGTATTCCTTCACCAACCATCATCGCCGTGGCAGATGACTTTTGAGTACACCATCTGCCAGCGCGAGGCTGCTATACAACATTGAAAATTCTATAATTTGGCCTGGAAACTTCTTTTTAGTTATACTCTGGGGT